ACCGGATCCTTTTGTGAGGTGAATTTCGTGGCGGAATACCGACAACGGGAATCGCAAGAACTCACGGATTCACGTGCAATCACGCAATTTTAAGTTGTCTTTAGCCACATAGGCTAACCATATAAGCAGTAGATTGTGTTCTTCCAGAGGAGGAAATCTACTTCTAGACTTCTAGAATCAGCATCGCCTCATCCATGGTGTCAACGGGATTTCACTTTTGTGTTTTATTTTGAAAAGAAGCCGGATGTTTTATTTTGTGTCTGTGCTCGACTTCCTTTCCAGCACGGGTTAATCTGTCCTGAATTTATCCGGCATGCTCTGGCGTCCAGAAAAAACGGAACTCTTGCGATCAGCTGCGGAGTCCGGTGATCCACAGCGGAACAGAAACAAGCCTGTGGAAATTGACACGTTAACTTGAATGGTAACAATCAGCTACAATCAGCGGATACAGCCTTTTTGTAGCTGTTCCGGATGCAGTGGAAGATGCCCGTTATAGGTGTTTGTGGTCTTGTTTGTGGTCTTGTTCATCTCATAGTGAGACACATTTTTCTCTCTGTTTTAAAATGTTAGCATAATTTTCTTGCGCTCCCACCTTTAGCTGCAGACTGGTTTGTTCCTGATCTGACGCCATCAAACTAAATCAATTCGACGTAACTACGGGGACTCTTTTGGGAACAAATCTTCATTCATGCTGGCAGCCATGTGAAGTGTGCATTTCTGTATGAAGTGCACTAGGAGGGACGGTGTGGACTTGGAGAACCACAGAGGATTGGCTAAGGCAATTACTGATAACATTTTGTTGCAAATTTATCACCCAGCCCTATAGTCACATGAACCCAATCTTTTACAGCGTTTGGCTAAAGAGTGCCAAATCTACTGCCTTCAATTCAGAAGCACACTATTGTCTAAGATATCGTTTTATACTGTTGCAAAATCTGTTCCATGCTTGAACCTTCAGGAAACGAACAAATGAAGGAGTTTTACAAGCCAGTTTGTTTTCTTTTTCTTCTCTGATGCCAGAAACTGAATCCATTCATTTGAGGTGATGACTGTCATGTAAACGTTCTTGGTTTTGCCCTTTATTCAACTTTGGACATAGTTTTTTTTATGAAGACAATTTATGGATTTGTGTGTGGTTGTTTCACTAAAAAACAAAGACTTTTTTTTGCATTTATTTGCTTGCTTTTGTGGTTTATTGGCATCACGTTGCATGCTGGTTTTGCACTTCAAAAAAAAGCTGACGACAGAGCCTCGACCAAAACTATGCAGACCGGGGTGTCCTCATACTGAGTAATGATATTTTTCTCTTTCCACGTAAATTCTGCAAATTCTGCTTGTGATCTTTGGAGCTTTGAAACGCGATACTTGCACGGCAGCTTCATCCGTTTTTCCACAGAAGTCGCTTTGAACTGTTTTTGTTAGATTAAATTAATACTTCAAGAGAAAACTCACTGCAGTGTCTGTGGAAAGTAGAGGCCAGAAAACTGCCTCTGGATGTAAAAAAAACACACTAACAAAAGGGTTTGAAAGAGCTTTGATTGCTCCAACAAAATCTAACTCACTTCCCGAGACTGAAACCTCCGCATATAAGAGATAAATATTATTGTTTATGTGATTCGGGTGCCCTTTCCTCTAAAGCGTCATGGTGAAAATAGTTGTTGTGTGTTAGGTTGAGTTAACCAGACCATCAAGATTATCCACCATAGCAATCAGCTGCAACCACCAACGCCTGTTTGTATTTATTCATTCAAGCAGCCTCTCAGTTAGTCCTCATTTTCTCCACTCAGACATAATTATAGACCAACATCAACTTTCACATTTTCACTTCCGAGAACAGTTATATCTGACTCCTTTTTACCTCCCATCTGCTCCATTCATTAACCAGACCTTCAATTCACCCCTTACAGCGATCCTGTCAACCCCCTGACCCTCATTCACTCCTCCTCCTCCTCCTCCTCTTCTTCTTCTTCATCCTCCTTTCCCACATTGCCCACTCCTCTCCCTCGCTCTGGGAAGTCATGTGACTTCTCTGAAGCTGGGCCCTATAAACCAGCAGTACATGGGGGGCTCAGTGTCTATTCTGCTCTCTGATTGGCTGCTGCATTCAGATGCTGTTCTCTGCTGGGTGCAGACACACACACATTAACACACACACACAGTGGCCCCCTGCTTTCTTCTTTCAGGAACAAATGTGATTTCTCGTTTTGGCACACAAAAATGTGTGTGTGTTCTTATTTGTGCACATATGCATGTGCCAAATGTTCTAAAAGAGGGAGTATTTCCCTCACAACAATGATAAGTCTTCCATGAATGGACTGCTCTCACGGGGAGAAATCACTTCAGTTTGCACACACTAAGCCTGAGAAGTGCCATTTGTTGTCGAGTGGGAAGGGGATGTGTGCAGTGGCAGGTCAATGGCTGAATGGACTCAGTCCAGAGGGCCCAGTATTAAGGCTTGTTTAATCCAATTCGACGCTTGTTGAGACGAAACAGCAGGCTGTCATTTTTGTCAAAAATGGGGCAATTGAAGTGTAATCCGTTGATTTTGGTTTGCCGAAAACTTGATGTGGCATTTCTGCTGTGGACTGTACTAAACTGAGGGATCTTTAACATTTTAACAGTGAGTTTAATCGTGTTTTCGTGAGCCCAAGATGCCGTCAGCTAGAAATGTCGACACCTGTGGAGGTGGTATTTCGGCTTTGGTGAAAATGAACGTAGCACAGTGCATCGCTCTGATTCGTCATGGGTCTGTCCCTTTCGCTCCTGTCATGGTTAATACCCCGTGGAGAAGGAAATGAATTGAATGGATCTGACAATTTAGCGCTAAGTGGCAGGCGCAGAGGTGGGGGTAGTTACTGGAAATACATCTATAAAAGTACATGCAAGTCACTCTTTAAAAAAAAAAAAAAACATGATGAAGAATCCAATTTTTTCATTTCATAATTTAAGATGACCATAAATTGATTTCCCAAGATGCAACTGACTGTTGCTCTAGGGCGAGGACTCTTATTTTAAGGGACGTACAACACATTTAATGCCAAATAAAGCAAAGAGAAGTTTGTGTTGTTTCTTACTGTTCAGAGCTGCTGGTTTGAGTGCACAATGTGGGAGAGGTGGGTGGAGTTTGACGAGGTTATTGAGGCCAGCCAACAGGTGCCGGGAATCAGGGGATGGGCTGAGCACATCCTGGATACCTTGAAAACCTCACACACAGCAACTATAGACATGAAAGATGGATTACAGAAGAAGTTTTCTGCACATACTCAGGGTGCCTACAGGATATGAACACTAACCTGCTGCCTCGACTTCAGCTGCCAACTGTGTTTTAATATAACGGGAAAGTATTTCTGCATCAACAGAGAAAAGACAGATGGCGCAACTTTTTCTGCTCTGCCAAAAAAAAAGGTCAAAGTTTAGATAACTATCCTGTTACTTTTTCTCTTAAAAGTGAAACATTGTGATGGAAGATGGAAGAAGACCTCAGAGGATCATCCACAAAGACTTAAATCATCTTCTAACTCCTAATTTAGAACCACACTAAAGTCAAAGTCAGTGTTTATACTTCGACAACCAAAACTTGATTCTTATCTTTTGCTACAGGGATTCATGTTCCTCAGAGGATCATCCGTAATGATTTTGATCACCCTCTAGCTTTTTCTCCTGCGCCGCACTAAGGTCAAAGTTACACAAATATTCTGTGAAGTATTTACACATTCATGACCAAAGATGTTTTTTTGACATTTTGCGACAATGATAGATGCTCCTGAGAGGATAAACCAAAACAAATTTCCTGACTTTCTGCTCTTGTACTCTTAGCATGATAGAATAAAAATTTCAATGTTGCTTTTCACCACATTTAAGAGATTTAAAGTTTCTCAAAATCATTCATGTTCCTCTGAGGAGGAACCGCTCTGACTTTTTGATCCGGTACCTCTTCCTCCAGAACCACCTTACAGTTAAAAATAAGTATAAATCGTAAAATCTGTATACACTAACAAGACAAGAGGTATGTAGTTTATACACCAATTCATGTTCCCGAGAAGATTATCCACAATGACTTAAATCATCGTCTAACTTCTAATTTAGTTCCAGACTAAAGTCAAAGTTACTATTCATATTGTAATGTATTTGTACATTGACAAACAAAGCTGGATTCTCATCTTTAGCTACACGGATTCATGTTCCTCAGAAGATAATCCACCATAACTTCGGTGATCCTTTTATTTTTATCCTAATACAACCAGAAGTGTGGAACAATCTGTTTAATATCATGAATCTTCCTCCTTTGCAACAAAAAGAAATTTCGCAAAGCATGCATGTTCCTCAGAGGATAACTCATCCTGACTCTGTGATCCCTGATTTCCTTCCAGGGTTCACATAAGGCTAAAGATGATTAAACCCCTTGGAATCTGTAAACATGGACATCACGAGAGGAGTGTTTTTACTATTCTGATTCATGTTCCCCGGGGGATAAACCAAAACGACTTGTGTGCTCTCTTGACCAGGATAAAGTATTTGTATGAATGTGATCCCTGATCTGTTTCATCCTAATACAACCAGAAGTGTGGAACAATCTGTTTAGTGTCAAGAATCTCCTCATTTGCAAAAGGGGAAATTTCATAAAAGCATTCATGTTCCTCAGAGGATAACTCATACTAACTTTGTGATCCCTGATCTTCTCTCGGGGTTCACGTAAGGTTAAAATAAAGATGAATAAACCCCTTCAAATCTGTAGACATGGACAACACAAGAGGAGCGTTTGTTACTATTCTGATTCATGATCCCCAGAGGATAAACCAAAATGACTAAAGTTTAAGTATTTGTATGAAGGCCAAGTATCTCCATATGTACAATCCAAGACAGCTGAGTAGGATGTTTACACAGACACTCGTGTTCCCCAGAGGATTAACCATGATGACTAGAGAGGCATCTTAACTTTAAACAGTTATAGTTAACTCTGCGTGATGTTAAACTGCAAATTCATGACAGTTTAGCAGTTTTTAAAGGGTATTAGTACCTCTTTTATCGCTGTAGGTAACTCCACATTCATGACCCAAAACCCCTGACTCACCACATATGTATGCGTGAGCTAATACACACATGTGCTTGCCTGCAAGAGTCCCGAACATTATGCAGCTCTGTGTGCAGGCTGCAGGGATGGAGTGACACCTGAGAGTGTTGGAGGGTTTGGTCTGACTCCATGCTGTTACTGTAAGCCATTTGGCATCCACGCCTCTCTGCTGCAACGCTCGCACAGCTGTGAATGGAGAAGGAAAACAGTATAAAGACTCCTCCGCCGGGATGAAACAATGGGTCTACAACCTGTTTTATACCTTTCAGGTCTCCCGAGGTTGTCGCCTTTGTTCTCTCAGCCGGTAACAGTAAAGACACACCCGTCTGTTTGTCTGTCCAGGTGTCACGAGAAAAAACATTTCTGAGATGATTGAAATGAAAACATTCACAATGAGTTTCGAATTTGCAGAGGGGGTGGTGGTGAAGTCAGCTTACAACAATATTGTGGTTAGAGCGTGTCACATGGAATCGGTCAGTGAGTGCAGGTCAAGACTCTCTTAACAGACTCCTGCACACACACACACACACATGAGAATACATACATCCACATGCACTCGTTTTTGAGTGCATTTGACTATCTGTATGCTTTCCCATATGGTTTTTATTGATCCATGTCCCTGTTATACCCCTCTTGCTCCATCTCGTTCTCTCTGTCTCTGTGTGTGTGCGCTGATGGTGAAGGAATGATGGAATGCTGGAGGGTAAATCTCTGGTTTCCTGGAAGCTGGTCTGGCTTTATCAGAAGCGGCTGTGACAATACTCCAGCTGATGGGCCAACCAAACGTCTTTCCTATAAGGGGCTGATCAGCCAACAAAAAGCCTTCCTGGAAGAAATAATCAGCAAACCGGAGGCCCTTCCTGGAAGACCAATGTGGATCTCTTGATGCAGGGCATATTCCTAACTCCTTTAATATTCTTTCCACCTACAACGCTCTGCACCGTTGACACTGGCACGAGTTCAAAAATGAAAGAGACGCAAAGACAGAAATGATTTTAATCAGACTACAAGAACAATGTCTGTCAAATCTGCTCGTAGAGGAAACACTCACCATCTGCTTAACTTCTAATTTCTCTTGTGTTGCGTTCAAACATAATGAGGTTTTTTCGGGGCAGAGCCTGAACTGTGGTGTGAATGTTTTGATTGTTGAAAAACCGAGCTCAGTTGTTCGAGAGCCGGGTGTTGTGCTTGGCCCGGGACTCTGTTGACAACTGTTGAGTTGGAAGCAGCAAGTCATTACCCGAAAAAATGAATCATGGTGGAAAGACTTTCTGTGAGTGTGTGAGATTCACGAGAGGAGTGAAGGATACAAGCAAAATATTCCAGCCCCACTAACCAGGCAACTACGGGGAACATAAAATGAGTCATCGTGAGCTGAGCTGGCTTATTTAGACAATGTGTGTGTTTGTGTGTGTGTGTGTGTGAGTAAAACTGGATTATTCTGGTTGGATTTTGGGAAGAGGGCTCACTTATTTCTGTTTGTCTCTTTAACTACGTCATACTTGTCTATAATTTCTCTCTCATGGACTCGACACCCACATATGTTTGCACACACACACAGTCATGCAAACAGCAGATTTAAGGACACACATTTTTTCCTGTACATGTCATAGCAAAATAAGCGAAGTGAGTATCTGAGTCATTGTAATTACCTGGACTGAGGTAAACTGTAAAAACAGTTATTAAACATCGTCCTCACTCTCCCACAGTCACTTCACTGGAGGTCAGAAACACGTGTGGTTGTAAATACTGAAATGTAAAAAGAAGGCAGGGGTACAAAGTCCTTATTTAAGCAGAGACTTGTGCAGAAAATCAGTAATGTGAAATATATTCTCAGAGCAAAAGTAAGTATTCCTCTGAGGGACATTTTCAGCAGCTGTTTTCCTTTGAGTAAACTCAAACCAAACTCAACCATATTTGGGACACCGTCCAACTAAAATCGTTCAAACTTAAAGGGAAACTTCAGTATTTTTTCAACCTGGACTCTGTTTTCTCATGTGTGTGTTTGACTGATGGGGGGAACAGTTCCTGAAACTCGTCCAGTAGGGGAGAGTGGGGTAAAATGAGCCATTTTTCATATTTCGGATCACTACATCAAGTCAATCATAGTTTTGTCTCTAACTCGTGTATCTGCAGATATTTCATGATGTTGTTCATCCCTGAAAACCAACAGAATGAGTGTAAACAGAACTGTCTCGATAGTATAGCATGCCAAAAAAAGTGGTCTCCTATGGTCAACTTACCCCGTGTATGTATGGGGTAAGTTGACCATGAGAGCGGGGTAAGTTGGGCCGTATCCCTACTACTCCCAGCCCTCCGTCACCTTCTCTCTCCCTAAATAACAGTCACTTCTTCACAGTCATATGTATTTGTATCTATTAAACACTATTCAACTGGTACAATAATTATTTTTATAATTATTATTGCATATAACTGCTAAAAAGCTGTTTTGTAAAAAGCCATTCTAACATGAGAATGTCTTTAAGTGATTCAGAACATTCACAGCTGTATTTTTGACAAGAAAAAGTCAAACATTTCAACAATCTGAACTAAAACTCTGATCCTCTCATCAGACTCCTTTACTTTCTCAGTTACCCCTGAACTACTATTACGACTTTATTAGTCCTCGAAGCTAAAATGGTGGACTTTTATGTTAGGTTTCTGACCTGATGTTGTAGCTCATAGATACCACAATTGATGTGTAAAACAAACTTAAAATGATCTCTTTTGGTTTCAACACAACTCTAATCAAACTTATGACAGACTAGATTCACTTTCAAGATTGAAAGATGTTTTTTTTTTTTTAATAAATGTCGAACCCCTTCACCCATGTGCTTCTAACCTTCACAGACTCCATGAATTGATGTCCATTTCCTAAATATTTGGTCACATGATCAATTTTTTTCACCATTTCAGAGCAACAGGTGGTGGCTCAACTTACCCCAGTCTCTCCTATCAAGTGACAGTGTAGCAGCTGCCAAACAAGCTACGATATTGTCAAACTGCGTCCACTACAAGTACTTTATTTCACCACTAACAGACTCAGACTGTTTCAAAAAATCCGGAGTAAAAGTTTCTCTTACCTTCCACTTGTGCCGGTCTGTGTATAACCAAACCTCGTTAGTGAGGAAGTGTCGCTTTGACGTCTCGCGAGATTTAACGGATTGCAGCGAGAATGAAAGCAGAGCTGACTAACATGGCTGACCGTATTTATTTCATCCAGAGTATACCGATGAAGAGTTTCCCCAACCAACCATTTGCTGATTCATTTACTATTGATAAATATTTAATGTTAGTGGTCCTTGCTCGTTGTCACATATCACAAAATAGAGATGAAGCAGCAGCTGCTAGCTAGCTAACTTGAAGTAGCTCTCAGAGATGATAAAACTGGCATTTTAAGATTAAAAGTTGCCTCTTTTGGGTTACAATTCAGTCATTTACACTTTTTAAAACTTCCTACATTTTCAAACAGTTCTGTAACTAACAAAACTTCAAATAAAAGCGTATTTCTTCCATATAAAGCCACTTTATCGCAGGGAAGAAAAAAAATATCAAAATTAATCATGACAAACAATCATTTTAAGTTAAAATATCTCCTCCAGTCACAGGTTTGGTGTTGTTGTTAAATAACTTTTAAGATTAGTGTGTTTATTAGTGAAGTTTATGAAATAATGTGTTACTCCATCCTTATATTGCCTTTCTTGAATTTGACCTAATGTGTTTATTTTCAGGTTTTCTAGATAATATGTCATATCTATGGCCTTAGTAATCTGATATTGTGACAATAAATTTTAATTTACTTATTTTTGACTGATTTGATCCTCTCTCTCTTGCTATCTAGAAATATACTCTTGTAGAGTTTTGACCAATCAGAATCAAGTATTGAGCATTGCCTTAGCCAAGTAGTCTATTTAATCTTTGTGCCAATCTTGGAAACTCTGATGTTGAAGTATCTCTTACCTGTAATTATGAAAGTGAAAGTGTTGTCTGGCAAAAATCTTGTTTTTACACCTGGTTGTAAATCTTTCCATAAAGTGAAAATCGATCTGTTTATTCAGCAGTCACGATAAATGTTATAAATAACTTCATACTGTAGATTTAACAGTCGGTATCACTCCTGATGGTCTTGTTTGCTTTAGTGAGTCATGAAGATGTAATTAATATCCTCACGTTTTATAACATCTTTTATAACATCTATTTTTGGCTTCATGGCTGACACCTACCCCCCGGCACTGGTTTCACAAGAAAAAAAAGAGTTTAAAAACCGTCAAACTCTTTGCTGATTATCTTTGACATCGGAAAAAGGCATCAAACTTCATTTTAGTCTGTTTTGTAACCGTACAAAAACTCCACACAGGAGCTTTAAATCACTGGCTTTCTTAACTCGTGTAACTCCCCCACCACGTCGTATTTGATCTTTTCTGCACAATTCTTCTTTCATTCCTGTTTTATTTCTTTTTCTCACATATACACCTCTCACCACCCCCACCCCTCGATTGGCTCTTTCTCTCACACACACTATCACCAGTAAAGCCGTAAAAAGTCAACTCAATTAAAGTGCCTCATTTCCTGGAAGCCGGCCTCAGACAGAACAGTAGGTATGCAGGGAATGGGAAATGTGTGCGTGTGTGTAGAGTGTGTGAGTGAGTGAGTGTGTGTGTGTGTGTGTGTGTGTGTGAGGAATATAGAAACTCACCTTCTGCTTTAATTTTACCAATAGCAATTTCTCTCTACACACACGCACACACACTGCATCAGTTGAAAACCACAGACCATCATAAATCACCTCCACGTGGACCCTTTCACCTATTTGACCTCACACAAACACACACACACACACACACACACACTCTCTCTCTCTCTCTCTAGAGGACACCATCCTCACTCAGCCCCTCAGGCAGGATGTATAAAACCCAGCTGCATTCCTTTCCAGTTAGGTCCAGCCCAAAGTGAGCTTTCTACACAGTAACTGCTGTGTCAGAGTGTGTGTGCGTGAGTGAGTGTGTGTGTGTTTGTGTGTGTGTTAACTTCTGGGAATCCCTTTGTTACTGCGTGTTGTGTACATCTGCGAGGCACGTCTGAGAGAAATCGTACCCACACCCCTTCCTATATGTTCTCAAACAGCCTATGGAATTTACCCACAATGCCTCAGCAGAGAAAACAAGAAGTGATGATTGCAGTAATTTTAACCCTGTGATGAATGTAGATTGTCTCTTAAGGCGGGCTGGTCCGGCTCTTTAAAAGCCTGCAGACTGAATAAACACGGCTTTGTTTAACCAGGAAACCCTATTTGACAGTAATAATCTGCTTGTGAGGCAGGGCATTGTTGGATTATAGACTCCCTTACAATAGATTACCGTCAAATAAACCTCATCCAGTTAACACTGACTCACACAAAACAAACAGAGAAGTAACACACAGGACAAGAGTTCACTTTTGTAAAAATAGTGCTCTTTAATATAAATTATTGAAATATTTTAGAAATATAAATATGTGCAACGTTCCTTTTTTTTGTAATGCTTTGTCATTTCAGATATTACAGCTTGTATTTTGCCAGACTAGTGGCCAGCCTTTTTTTCAGAGTCTTTATAAAAGACAAATGATTCACAAACACGTGTGAGGCGCCACTGCTGCTGCAACACATGTCAGAACTTGTTTTTAATGAGAAAATAAGACTGAGATTTGACCGAAAAACTGTGTTTCACCAGTCGGGTTTCCATGAACTTGAATTGCATTAAAAAAAAGGGCAGTGTGGGAAATCAAAATTAGACGCTTAGTGCAAAAGATGCACTAATTTTGAAATGGCAGGCACAAAGATTTGGTCGCCTGTCAGTTTACATGATCAGCTGACTGCTGCTACATGCTTTTGTTTCAAGATGCTGGTACAAGCTGCAAGAAAAATAATCAAATTTGCCCAAAAGAAACACATTTTTGGAGATTTTTCGCACTTTTTGCAAAAGACACAGACAACTAAAGCATCTTGTGTTGTTTCTGGTTTGGCAAATTACAGCCACATGTCGCACAAAATCAAAAAGTTCTGATTAAAACTCACCAAATTAGCAACTTGATGTTTAAAATCACGCAACAGTTTTATGGAAACTTGACTTTTTTCGTGTAATTTAGCGCCACAAAACGCTCATGATGTGAAAAGGCTAGCTGCGAGCACCGCTTGGACACAATTCCCATCAGATCTCAGTCTTGGTTTTACAAAAAAAGGCTTGCAGTTCTTGAAGAATCACCGTAAGGACGTCTCGTGTTCCTTTTGACATTCAGACAGACAAAATCAACTCTTGCTTCAGAGGTAAGGATGGAGAACAGGTGGGGCGAGAAACCGCTGGAAGTTAATGAGGTTAGTTAACGTCTCCTCCTGTTCCCATCATGAGTGGGGTTGTAATGCCTCATTTCCACTGTTTGGTGCGACTCGACTCACTCAAAACTGACCCCTAGTTTTCATTTTCCAATCTGCAAGGTGAGCAAACCTGAAGCCAGACAGTGAAAAGTGGCGTGAAGACTATGATTATTGGGCCGATATTTGGAGTTTGGACTGATTATCTGTATCTCTTTATTATACAACAGAATTAACTATGGACTAGTTAACAGTCTGATTAACTATGAATTACCTGTATCGGCCCTGGACTCTTAATATTAAGTCAGAGGAAATCACCCCAGCACTGATATTTTAACTGCAGCTTAGCTTTTTCACCTAATGCAGAATATCTAGTTTTGATGCTGAGTTAAGAATCAAGTCCTGTTAGTAAGCAGGTAGCATCTGCAGAGGGAATTAATACAAAAGGCACTGAAACCAGCAGCCCTGAGTGAGTTGAATCACTGCAACTCTGTGGAAAAGAGGCACTAGAAAACCAGAAGAGAGAGAGAGAGAGAGAGAGAGAGAGAGAGAGAGAGAGCAGGAGGACTCTGTGTCGGATACAAAAGGACAAAAAAAGAACCGGGTCGAGATGATAACAGAGAAGGAATCACTGTGAGAGGGTCTGAAAGAAAGAATGAAGACTCAGTCAGCACTTTCTTTTCATACTGGGCCTGGTTTTATATCTACAGGAGCAGCGTCCTGTTGAGCCCAATCGTTTCCTCGAACTCCAAGACATCAATCACGTCAATGTTTTTGTTTAGCTGTATACCAGTATGTCTCCTCCCCTTTCTCCCCACCCGTAGCCCCCTTCCCAGTTCTTTAGTTTCCTTTTAGCTAATCCCATTTCCCGCTCTTCTCCTCTCTCCTTCGTTCAACCTCTCTCCTCACCCTCTCCGCTCATCCCCTAGTATCACCACCATCATCATCATCGTCGTCATACCCGGAGGAGTTTTACAGTGTCGCTGACATTTTTCCAGCCTCTCTGGATAAAAATAAGTTCTGCTGTTTTGTTTGGTCCTTCGCCAAAGCTTTTGTCTCGGTAACAGGCTTTTGTCTCGGCAACAGCAGCCTGTTTTCTGTCATTGTCAAAGCGAACATGCTACTCCGAAAAGAAATGAAGAAAAAAAAAAGAAAAGAGGGAGGGGTGGGGGTGGGGGGGGGCAGGGTGTGGGTGATGGAGGAGACAAACAAAATGAGGAGAAGATGCTTTGTAATGCTTTTTTCTGCACTGCTGTTCCCACGCTAACAAAACCTGCATGTGGGCCTGTACCTGTGTGTGTGTCTGTGTGTGAGTGTGTGTGTGTGTGCGTGCAGAGCTGGCGTGCATGACCGCCCCGCTCCCCCCTCTATGAGGCAACATTTGCGGGAAGCAGCGATGGAAATGTGTGCGCTACCACAACACAATAGCACACACACACACACTCACACACAGACAAACAAATACTCCATTTCTCTGCTCTGGGTCTCTTTTTTGGACTTTGTCTTTCCTCCCTAACTCCTCCATCACTCCCTCCTTTCCTCCCTCCCTGCCTCCCCCCACGTCTTGTTTTTCTAAGCCGTCTTTCTTTCTGTCCAGTGATCCACAGTGTTGTAAATGTCAGCCTGACCGAGGAGGAGACGTTTCTTCTGAAGCACGTTTAGAGGGACTCCTGTGGGGTACTGATCGTGTCCTCGCTGTCACTGTTAATATCTACCAATCGGGTTAATCTTCTACGAGGCTCTGCTCTGCGTCAGTCATAGGAAACGTCGACCCTTGACCTCTCACTTTGTCTGCCACTCGCATTAGTGGTCAGTTTCAGGAGGCAGGACAGACCGGGAAACCAACTCCAGACCCCGTGTCAGGAGGGGACTCTGGGTGGCCGGTGCCTGTCGTTTCACACTGGAAATCTGACCTCGCGCTAGTATCTAACACCAACGCTAGTCAGTATCTCATAGCGTGCATTTTCTCGTGTGCACTGAGAACTGGTCTACGGCGTCCTTGAGGCACCTGGTTCACGAAGGGGAACCTCTGCAGTTCCTGTCGGTCAGATCGGAGCGTCGTACTCCTCCAAGAAGTCTCTAAGCGTGTGAGGGAGCTGCTCTGACCGCTCTGACCCGCCCAGGCCTCGGTTGTTCAGGGTCCTCCTGCACATGTGCTGCAGGGACGACAGAGACGTAGAGAGGGGTCGGCGCAACTCCAAGGGAATCCTCTCGCCGCCGGTGTGGATCAGATACACGCTGCGCCCCTTCATTTCTCCCGCTGTCGCGCTCCCGCTGCACGCCCCCTCTCTGCTCCTTCCAGCCTCAGACCCTTTCCCCATGTAGTGCGCGATGAGTTTCAGCACACAGTCAAAGTGTGGGAGCTCTTGAGTGTTTTGGGGGTCTGGCTGTAAGAAGAAGCCGCCTCCCTCGCTGTGGATGCGCAGGTTTTTGGTACCTCTGGCCGTCTGGACAGAGAGGGTGAAGAAGTGGTGGTGGTCAGAGGAGTCACGGATCAGGAAGGTGCCCGGAGGTTCAGAGCGCAGCATCGAGCTGGCCTCCCGGCCCCCCACGGCTCCCCAGTAAAACCCACTCTCCTGGAGCTTACGCAATGCACGCATCACCTGAGAGAGACACACGAAACAACATGAGCACACACTGTTTGACTGCAACAACACAATCAGCTGTTTTCCCACGAACTCAGGTGTGACTCACCTGCTGGTAGTGTGCATGTGAGCTGAAGGGTTTGTAGTGATGCGGGGTGAAGTTTGACCCCTGAACCCTGCCCTCTGGAGGGGTCACACTGTTCATGGCGAGGTGGTTGCGTCCGCCGGAGGCTACCATGGCGCCATGGCCCCCCGCCTCTGCCCGCTGGTCGCGAGGCAGGGGGCCAAGGACGAGGGAGTCGAGGTGGAAAGGTGTGGGTGAGTTCGGGGTGGATGGAGAGGGAAGAGAGGGAGACAGGGGCGAGGGAGGCGGGGTCACACACCGGGTCCAGGGCCCCGGGGGAGAGGAGTCCGATGCATCCAGAGAGGGGCTGGGAGAGAGCACCTAAACACAGCTGGAGAGAGGAGAGAGAGGAGTGTAAACTGATGCATGTGTGCAAAAGAAGGATGCACTGATAGGGGAGAGTGGGGTACGCTGAGCCGGCCTTTAAGAAATTGATCATGTGACCAAATATTTAGGAGATGGGCATCAATTCATGGAGTCTGTGAAGGTTAGAAACACAAATAAACATTTTTCACTCTTGAAAGTGAATTTAGTCATAAGTTTAATTAGAGTTGTGTTCAGATCAGAAAAGATCATTTTAAATATGTTTTACACATCAATGGTGGTATCTATGAGCTACAACATGAGGTCCAAACCTAACATAAAAGTCCACCATTTTAGCTTAAAGGACTAATAAAGTCATTAAAGTAGTTCTGGGGTAACTGAGAAAGTAAATGAGTCTGATACCAGTTGAATAGTATAGAATAGATAAAAAATACACATGAATGTGAAGAAGTGACTGTTATTTAGGGAGAGAGAAGGTGAGGGAGGGCTGGGTTGGAGAGTGGAGGGGTAGTGGGGATACGGCTCAACTTACCCCGCTCCTATGGTCAACTTACCCCATACTCAGGGTAAGTTGACCATAGGAGACCACTTTTTTTGGCATGCTGTATTATCAAGACTGTTATGTTTACACTCATTCTGTTGGAATAGCATCTTGAAATATCTGCAGATACACCAGTTAGAGACAAAACTATGATTGACTTGATGTAGTGATCCTAAATATGAAAAATGGCTCATCTTACCCCACTCCCAGGACTCATTCATGAGCTCTGACTCTTAAATAAATGACCACTTTCCCACTCTGAGGCTCTCGGTTTACCCTTATATAAAACGCAACTGTGACAAATGCATATGAGACCAGAGGGTTATATTTAGTTTACATGAAGCCAGCGTGCTGAAGCTGGAGCTGGAGCTGCACCGTGCAGACAGACAGCAACTGGATCCTGATTGCTTTCAATTGTCTTCGATCGGGCGTACCGCAACAAGGGATTTCAGAATCGGGGTCACGGTGAAAGAGTCCAGCCCCCTCTTTCACACAAAATACCCTCCTTTCTCTATGGGTTCTCTATGCTCAGTGGCGACAAAGAGGCCCCATTCTCCGGTTTCAGTGTGACTAAAAGGTGTCCCGTCTACTCGCGGTGTTAGAGTAACCGGACGGTGCGGGAAGCAGGAGGCGCCATCATGGTCTGGAACCGTTAGTGAGCCGCTGGTGCAGAATCCTGCGAGAAAATCCCCCTAAATTTACACTGCACTGCACCAAGAGCCCGAACAGCTACACAACACCTCTTTCTGCTCTTTATCTGCTGTGTAACCCCGTTATTTTCTCGCACTTCGACGCGTCTTTTCACTGTCTTTTTGAACTTACCTTGCGGATTCGTGGAGCTCCGCACTGCAGCCGCACGTCGCCAACGCAAACGCTACGCAAACTACCCGAGAGTAGTGCTGGATGAATTATTAACTCAGGCATTAAAATCCAAACACAAAAAGTCTCCAGAAAGTGTGGTAGTAGGGGGGTCGGGGTCGGTCTCGTTCCTGAGCAGGGGAATGTGACGGCGGCGTCGGTATCTGCCGTCCGTGAAGATCCCAGTGAGTACAGGAGGAGGAGGAGGAGGAAGGTTACTGTGGGTTGTTTCCAATGACTAAAGCCGATATTCGGAAGGCTCCGCCCCCTCCGGTTAGAGGTTCTTCCAGGAAATACTGGCGCTCGTGCACTCGCTCGCTCACGCGCGCACGGAGCGGTGCGCACGGGCTCGCGCTCGCGCTTCTGTGCCTTGGCAGATTGCCCATAAATAATAAGCGTGACCTTTGGCGGGCTGTTTCCTGGTATTGGTGGATTTTTTTGTGGACAAGGTGAAACGAGTTAAAAAAGCTCCACATTTAATACAAACACAGCGAAGTTTAGTGAAAGTCTATTGTAAATGTATGAGGTATTTTTCCAAGATAGGAGCCAATGTAAAGACCACCTTTTGGACTTTAAAATATGCCAAATAAGTCACTTTAATATGTTAGTGTATCTGACTTCCCTATCCTTCACAAAATCAGAAAACATCTACAATTTTTAGCAGCCAGTCAGATCAGTCTTGCATAAAGTTTTATTTTATTTTTTAAATACCCATCTTTTAGTCTAATTCCTGGGTTTGAAAAGATACTCAGTACATTCATACGCACAGTTAAGTCAAGCTACAGTCAACAGTATGTGTATTATCCGTCCATATTATTATTTTATTCAATCTAGAAAACGAAAATGAAAAAGACGAGTCAATATTTTGTTTATTTGCTTTGCTATGTAACCAAAAAATAAAAGATTATTGCGCAACAAAGGTTACGTTCATACTGCAGGTTATGATGCACAATTCAGAATTTTTTGTCAAATCCGATCTTTCTGTGCGGTCGTCACATTACAACAACGAATGCAGCATCTAATGTGAACGGAATGCATCTGTGAAGTGACCCGCATGCGCACAAAGCACGAATTGCTTTCTGCGCCTGTTTGTGTTGTCGTAAAATGGTGACGTTTGTCACATGTTGATGACGTATAGGTCGGATGAACGCAACCTGAGCGTCCACACTGCAGTCACATAGGATACATATCTGATTTATATCCACATACAAAAGAGGCCTGGGTCGGATTTGAAAAAATCAGAACTGCACTGTTCACTCTTGCATGAAAAAATCAGATATGTGTCACATATGGTTAAAAAATCGGAATTGACCTGCAGTGTGAACAGAGCCAAAGTAGCCAACAATGTGGACCAAAAGCTCCAGGCCAGAGCGGTAGAGAAAGGCTAACCTGCTGTCATGGAGATGGACGAATCCTACGTATTATTCAAAGCCGCCAGGAGAGCCATGCTAAAGGAGGAAAATATGACGGTAGAAAAAATTACAACCAGAGCTCTGTTACAACGTAAGATTTTGGCGCTCGAAACGCTCTGCCGCATCTTTCGCCATGGTAAGTGTCGCTGAGGCTCATGGGAAGGCCAATGTAGCCTTCATGCACGTATGCTCAAAACAGGTCCACTTAAAGGTGCAAGTCAACAGCTGTTGACTCCGCTAGTAAACAAGAAATGTCCGGCAATCATAGAAAACATGAACCCCCTAATAACTTTTAAAAACAGAGCTGTACAGAAAAAAAGAGGACTTGAGCACAAACCAGTCTTACTGTAACTACATGTCAAAAATTTATATTCTGTATAATAAATTTCTAAAGTTTGTCCACAGCCCCATAAAGATTGCTGGATTGGCAGGATTTTTGACCTATGCTGCAGCCCGTCACCAGAGGGTGCTGTTCTCGGAGTGGCTTCACCCAACGAAGAGGCAGACGGCGTCCATTCTATATACAGTCTTTGGATTTTACTGGATAACTGTCCTTGTCCCAGCTATGGTAGGTACTGACACGCCCCCTTTTTTAATTGTAACGGTAAGGTCGTCTCGAGCTGACAAAAATTACGACACATTTGCAGTTCTCTATCAATTGTCGTTGGAGGTTTCACCTTTTTAAGTTCTTTCTTTGACGATGGTTTTGTTTTACTACCAGCATAGGCTTCTAACATACATGCTAAGACACTTCTGGCTCAAATCCCAGCGTGCAAACATCGGGGCATACGTAGAACGCTTTGGCTAGTTTGTCTGATAAATCCAAATTTCTGCAAACAATGCAAACATACTGACTGAAACAAAGGAGTGAAAATTTATTACTTATTTAGCCCCTTTGAAGCATTCTTTTATGTTGTTTTACAGCTTTTTATGCATCATTAGGGTGCAATCCAGACATATGGTCTTTATATTTCGTGTCATTCTGCATTATTCACATTTTGATCTAAATTTAAAAATGATACGTTTTTTTTTTCAAGTATTAGTTTTTGATTACCTCTTTTTTAAGTCTGATAAAATTTGTAAGAAGCAAATTAGTTTCCTACTTTAATTTCTTGCACACAAAGTAAATAAAACCTTAAGATGTTCATTTCCATTTTCAAAACAGGCTCTAACAGAATTACAAGACAGATGATTAACAGTTCATCTACCGCCAGCCAGCTAACGTTTAAAGATAAAGTCCCTCAGGCCCTCATGTCGTGTCAGGAAATGTCTGACTTACTGTAAGTGCTCTTGAGCAACTACCAGAAATGCTGCCCTTTGGCGGCATCTGTCCAAATACTCCAGTGCAAGCAGAAGTCCAAAATGCAAAAGAAGAATGGTCTGTATTGTGTGTTGTTTGTTAGTTGTTCTACATTTTTCCTTGAGCAGCAGTTGTTAAAGAAAATAAACTACTTTATTTTGATTTGTGGTCTAATTTTCTACAAACAACACATCTTTTTTATTTCAAAAGATTTATCTTAAGAGTCAAATGTTTGGCAGTAAACAGAACAGTATATTTTCACTGAGAATGACATTGTAGAAGTATTGAAATATTTAAAGAACAAGTACCAGTAACCTGCTTTTCAAGTCTTGATTGTCAACAATGAATAATAGCAGAAAACAACAAAAACAAAGACAACTTACCTGTATTCTCTTTGTAAAACCTCTACCACGAATACAAAACAATAACAACATGCTGCTGCGACCATTATCAACCTCTAAATAGAGTCATTGTAGTAAATAGTATCTTGAGGTGGGTGGAGCAGCACCTGACCATCCTTTTCCAATCAGAGGAAGCACCAGTTTGCTCCAAGTATAGTAAATTATTATACCGCCCTCATTCAGTGGCCTGAACAAACAACTCCATGAACGCCACCCTATGTATCACATGATCACATCAGATTACACGTGCTCACAATTTTAACAGTTCAGAGCAAACAAGTTTTACTGCAATATAGGCTTACTATACAACTAAGGAACAATGGATATCTATGAATATAGGCTCAGTGATTTATATTCAAAAACACGGTGACACATACTGATTTTTAGGACACAGTCAGGGTGGATTTGTCTGGGACATTAAGGGGACACACCCAGAATAACGAGTATTTTTTTGGTTGATTTCTTCTTTTGGTTGGTGAGGGTAATAAAGCTCGAAATTTTGCCTTTTAATAAACATTTTATATATGTGTTAAAAATTTATCTATATATATTTTTACTGTTTCCTTTCTTAAGTCAAAAATACTCCACACAGGAAAATATGTGTGATGCCTGTATGTTTGTTTGTATTTATGGTGGATTTGAATGGAAACAAAAAGAGTAAAGACATGTTATTTGTTCGTTCACATGCATAATTCTAGCCTATTTGAACATGGGGTCTAAAAATACATTTATATCACTCCTGGTGAACTTTTAAAGCAGTTATCACATTTGGTGCCCCCTATGGACAAAGCAGTATCTGTTCATCTTGTTCTCTTTTGTGCTTCAGTAGTAACTCGTGACAAAACAGCTCATCCTGCTGAGTTGTACCAGTCAGATGAATAATTTACTCAGATTTTTTATTTTATGTGGATAAGATAAAAACAGACGCCTACCCCCCTCTCACTGGTTTCTGGCATTAAAAATAACCACATAAAATAATCAAGACTCGTTGCTGATGGTCTTGTTTCTTTTTGAGTTTTATAAAAAGTCATCATTATTGATTTCAGTCCAGTTTATATATGTCAAAACATCTCATTGTTGGAAAGTTTTAGGAAATCTGTTGTTGCTACTTTGAATAAAATACTAGAACCAATTCTTGGGATGAAACCAGATGTCATTCTCAGTAGGAAAAGGCTGTACATCCTACATTTAGTACTATTTATACAATGGAAAAAATTACATATATGTTAAGATTAAAAAAAGAAGTGTTTATGGAAAAACGGCAACCATTAATGTAGGGAGTGGGAGAAAAAATGGAATGATAACCTAAAAAGCCTTTTGTCCGTTTTGTTTTTGGTGAGATTGTAAATGATACCCAGAGGTAAATAATAAAGATATGTACATGCATACAGGGAATAAATAACCAATGATTGGTATTATCTTTGATATATTGTTTTTGTCTTGCTCTTTTTCTTTACTGTTTGTTTTGTTATTTCTTTTGTCTGCTTTGTTTGTTTTTTGTTGTTTTTTAAGGTTTTTGTTGTTTTTGTCTTTTTTCCTTCTTTCTTAAATTTTCTAAAATATTGGTTTTCTGATTCATTCATTTACACGTGTATATAATAATAATAATAATAGTAATAATAATAATAATAATAATAATACATTTTATTTATAACGCACTTTTACAGGTGCTCAGAGACACCTTAGAGAGAGAAAGGAGAGAAAAAATGAAAAAAAAAAAATTAATATACCGAAAATTATGAGAAATAAAATCAATGATGTAAAAGGTTAAAGAAAGACACAATGAAAACAGATTCACAGGTTAAAAGCCAATTTGAAAAGGTGTGTTTTTAAGAGTGATTTAAATGTGTGGAAGTGTGGGGGTCTGTACAGTCTCGGATGGGCTTGAGGATATATATATATAAATAAAGGAAAACAAAAGGTGATTGTTTACTAAGACAAAGTGGATGTGAGAAAATAGAAATAAATAAATAAATAAATAAATAAACCTCTTACAGCAGCTTTAAACCACGTGACAGGAGTTTCAGGTTAGTGGTTGTTGTTCACTAGAGGTCATTTGAAAATGCTGAAAATATTCCTTAAAACATGATTAAAATACAAACCTTAATATCTAATTTATTATTTTTCCGTGTTATGGTGAGTAAACTATAAATTATATGTTTCTAGTAGTCCCGTGTTAATGTGAAACTAATTTTACAATGAACACAGTATGTTTGTCAACTCGAGCCTGTGTCGATAAAGTTTTTTCAAAGGCTCGCTGCAGCAGCAATGGCGGCTCCCATGTCCTGGAGGAGGTTTGTGCACTCCGTGTACACACCGGCACTTGCGGGTGTTTTCACCCGAATATCTGACCGGCTCTTCCGTGCACGGGACAGGAGAGGAGGGTAAGGGTCTCGATCTGTCCTGGACGTTGATGGATTAACGGTTGTTTTCTCGCGCCGCTGCTGCTTATGTGCTCAATAACGGACGTTACGTCATTCAGGTGGTCTTGTTTGGGGGTAAAACCGACATGTGACCAGTTTTCATTTATCAGAGGGGGGAAACTAAAGCTTATTTAATGCAAAGTTAGGTCCTGGAGCTGTTAGAAGGTTGCAGGTTTTCGCAGCTGTAGTTCTGAACATGATGTTCCTCCTGATGTTTATGTAACAGCCGGACTGGGACACCCTCTGCTGCTGCTGTCCCATCATGGCAGCTCCCCTAACAGTCCTGGGAACTCATACTTGACCACTAACAGACACTCCTGCTATTAAATCAAAGTGTCTCTGTGTGGGTCTGTTCAGATTGACAGGTGAGATAACTACTGACAAACTGTAAACAACTCTGACAGGAAAGGGTTAAATTATATACAAACGTGCAGGGCTGTTTTTGGTTTGATGGGTGTTTGTTTCGCTTAAAGGGATATTCCGGCATAAAATTAATTTAGGGTCAAACATACCGTAACACCGAGTTAGACACCCCCCTCAAGAGATCAGTTTTACCAACTTTAGGAACGACTGCACGATAGCAATACACAGCGGTCTGAGGAGCCATAAACATACTTCAACCAAAACGCCACTCTATAGACACAAATAATGCTCAGAACAGCACCTAACTTCATCAACAGGACATATAGGGTCCCAGCCATAGTACTAGACACCAAACATCTTTTTAGCTTTGCCTGATTTCTTTAGCAAAGAGACTAAACACAACTCACCTACTCTCTTCCAGCAGCCGCTTGTTTGTAGCGAGACCTCAGGCCAGTCTATCACGGACTACAGCGGGGTGACTCGGCTCAAGAAAAAACATTTACGATCATTACTCATTTCCTTGAAGTAATAATCACTATAATAATCATTTTGCACTGCAGACGCGGTAGTTCTTCTGCCTTAGTGTCTCAGTCTGATTGCATTTCCATGAAGAAATGATTATAAATGTTCTTCCTTGAGCTGCGACACCCCGCTGTTGTCCGTAATGGACTGGTTACAAACAAGCGGCTGCTGGAAGAGAGTAGGTGAGTTGTGTTTAGTCTCTTTGCTAAAGAAATTAGGCAAAGTTAAAAAGATGTTTGGTGTCTAGTACTATGGCTGTGACCCTATATGTCCTGTTGATGAAGTTAGGTGCTGTTCTCATTATTGGTTGCTATAGCGTGACGTTTTGGTTGAGGTTTGTTTATGGCTCCTCAGACCGCTGTGTATTGCTATCGTGCGGTCGTTACTAAAGTTGGTATAACTAGAGAAGCAAGCGGTCGGCAACATTCATCTCTCATCAACTCTGTGTTACGGTGTGTTTGACCCTAAATTAATTTACGGAATATCCCTTTAAGTGCATTTTGCACATATTTCAGCTAAATGAAGCGTTCAACAACACGTCTATATACATGAGTAAATAATTACGCTTTCAGTACACTTCTATCACAGGTGACATCTGGCCAATCAGATCATGTTGTGGGCGGGACATCAGGTGATGAATACACACCCCAGAATCAGAGCCAAAAACGCAGACTTTTTAATCAACTAGAAATTAAAAAGGGTTAAAAGTCAAAATGCCAATATCAGCTGTGATAATCTTCAAAGGCCGATAATCAGTCCATCTCTATGGGGTGAGATCAGGTCATCCCAAGCCTAGCACTGATCTTGTTATTCAGATTAGCGGTCACTGTTATTGGGTTTTTACCAACCAGGCAAGGAAAGTTTATCTAGAAACAAAGAGCATTTCAGAGTGATTTACAGAGTGAAAAACACAACATATAAAATAGATACCCTATAACAATCAACCCCCAAACTTTTTTTTTCTTTCAAAATCGAGGCTCACAGTTTGTTCTGGATGATCAGTCAGAGAGACGAGTTACTACTGTTAATGCAAAATAACCTCAGCAGAACTCTGAGGTTGACCTTGAAGAGTATTCATCTGTGTATAAAGCTCAGGGAATGGTGTTTTGTTCTCCAAGGAAACAGTTTTTTTTTTTTTAAGATATTATTTCAATTTTGCCCCTGGTAAATGAAGCGCAGGTTTTAACGTTAAGTTCAGCTTCCTTTAATTTCTGAAGCGCTGATTGAATGTCGTTTTTTCTACCGGGGTCGTCACCATCTCCTCATCCAGATATGTGACAGTGACCGTACGGCGTTTGTGTTTGTTACGAAAGTCTTCACCGACTTTTAACTTCCTCTGACTCTGACATGAGCAGCTTCAACTTGATAACCTCTCCCCCGACTTAATGTGTGACCTGGTTTCCCCTGGATGATCTCAGCACTAATTATTGCATCTAGATAAGCTGGTTCTCATTTTTCATTTGACGTGTGGTGCTCTACAGTTGGCTCATTGAAAGCGTGGTACTTCATTTTTGCGGTTACCACCACAGCCCAAGTTGTCACCTTTCACTTTGTTGAGTTGAGCGTTAAATTACGGTTGTTAATTATGGTTTTATTGGGATCATTTAAAGTCCCAGTAAGCAGGAGCTGGGAACTATGTGCCAATTTGCAGTGCATCTTTGCTTGAGTGACGTGTAAAGAAACCAGACTGAGACTTAAAAAACATCTAGAAGTTATAAACAAGTACTCGTCTCACAGATCGTGTCTGTTATGTACTTTTTTATAAGGAGACTCTGTCTAATCTACACCAGTGAATGAAAAAAACCTCTGTGTATAGTGAAGACTGTTTACTGTCTTCTCTGAGTGTTTTAGAGTGCACAAAAAAAGACCAGTAACTGAATGATGAGAAACCCTGACACATCGTGAATACAAGTCAGAAAAAATAGAAACAGATTTACCGGCAGTTCTGTCTTTTTACTGTTCATGTCTCCAAGGGAACAAAACTGAAATACTCGACAGTGTAGCTTTAAAAGAACACTGAAAGGCGGATGGGTGTTTATTTATTTATTTATTTATTTTGGCTCCTGATAAAATCTAAACACCGCTGAGGAATTTACATGAAGGGCAGTTCCTCAAAGGTGACTCCCTTTACGAAAAGGAAATGTAGTTTAGGCATGATGGAGCCTGTGGACATTATCTGTCATCTCTGCGTCTCTGTCATTTTATCACACACTCACACTGTAATCCACTTTCGCATGATCTCTCCCAGAAAGAAAGTGGAGATTAAAAGCAGAAATGAGCCAAAGTATTGGAATGTGAGTGACTCATTAATAGAGCAGACAGAGTGGATCAGATCACCGTCATTACTGAGACGACTTAGTTTAACGAGAGTGTATGGACACATACTTTTCTGTGCTTTAGTGTGTTGTGTAACATTTTCCATGGTATGGGCCTCTTAGTTTTTGTTGAGGAAAATCTTAATGCTCTCACCTTTTGTGTCGGCTTTTATTCCGATAATGGCAGCAGTTCAGAGACGAGTCTTTCCTGTTCATATGTTACATCAGTATGACGGTGCGTCTTCGCCTAAAGCCAGCTTTGAGCACATGTGCCCTACTTGTCTTACCTCTATAAGATCTATATGGGTAGCGTTGACTGGGAGCTGGGTCTGATAACACGGTGTAGCCCTGAGAGCTTTTTAATGCCCGGATTTCTGAATTTTTTCAGACTTGCAGGAAAAGCAGTCTTTGGTTTGTAATGCTAGTTTCAAACAATGATTTAGCTTCGACATGTTTGTCCTCTCAAACATGTAAGAATCATATACTCACACCTCAAACAGAAATAATGCTGTGTTCGAGTTACCTCAGAAGTCGGAAGTCTGAGCTGAAAATGACGTCACACACGAGTTACCAGCGTTTTAGTTACCAAGAAAAAAGCTAAATCAGAGGCGGAAACAAGATGGCTACATCAACGAAAGTTATTTTAGCGCTTGCCTAGTCCGAATATAAGCTAAGTGCTAAAATAACTTTGGTAGATGTAGCCATCTTATTTCCGCCTCCAATTTTTCTTTTTTTCCGACTTGGTAACTGAAACGCTGGTAACTCTGGTGTGACGTAATTTTCAGCTCGGACTTCTGACTTTCGAGGTAACTTGAACGCAGCATTAGTTCACCCCGACGCCAAAGGTTTTGTCCTACTCAATCTTGAAGTAGTGTTTAGACGTTATTTTTGAGTTATAATAACTTTAAGCTAAAATAACTTTTGTAGATGTAGCCATCTTGTTTCAGGCCTCCGATTTCGCTTTTTTCCGACTTGGTAGTTCACCCCTTACATTAAAGGTTTTGTCCTACTCCAGTTTTGAAGTGATGTGTTTAGATGTTACGTTTGGTTGTCCATATACTTTTGGCCGTTTCGAGTAACGCTTGTCTCTACTCTCTAAAGATGAGTCTCAAGACCCATCACAGCCCAACTCATCAAAAATGTGCAAATGCATCTTGGCAATCCTGGATGACTGAGGATTGTTTTGCCTCAATCATCCAGATGAGTTAGAAATCTTTAAATACTGATTTAAAGTGTTAACAGCTTCAGAATGACGAGTTGATGCACATTTGTCGCAATCAATACCTGACTTTGGGACCGCTTCAGAACAACTACCGACATCCAGCCGAGTATTTCAGAAGTTGTCACGGTTACCACAGCTGTTGAAACGTGGAAAACACGAAGAGTCGCCCACCAGATTTTAATTTCAGGAACCATTATGGATATGATAATCTGAGACTGACTGAATCACTGTGTTCCCCTCGTTACATCCTCTACCTTGAATGAAGTGCGCCCCTCAATGAACTCTCACCTTCACTTCATCAGAAGCAGCTCGGATCGTCTTAAAACAAAGTTTGGGAGGAAGTTGTAGCCACTGTATCCTTGAGGCGAAGAGAGGAGAGCAGGGAGAGGAGCAGGAGGAGGCGGGTGTGTGTCTGAAAAGCCAAGGGACAGAATGAGGAGAGAGGCTGAGTGCCTAAAAAGTGCCTCTAAAAGCATGAAGGAGATAACCACTGCTGGGCTGAAAAGTGAGAGACATCGTTCAGAATCAAAATAAAATACAAGCCTTAGTCTCGACATTATGGAGGACGTAATGTAAAAGATAGGTTTGATCTTCAGTCTGTGAAAAATGTGAGCAGTAAAAGAGCTCAAATCCTTCATTTTTACAAGACAAATAAAATCTGGCTTTTAATTTTGTGGGTATTATCACCAAAATGAGGTGAAGTGATGTGTGGTCCCTTTAAGTAATACATATGACTTTAAAAAAAAAAGATCATCCAGGGAGATAATCAAAAAGTTTTGGATTAAAAGTTTTGAAGAGGTTTAAAGTTGCATTATCGGGTCTGAAATCTCTTGATGGCATGAATGAGAAGGATCTGAGCCCAGACGTTGAATTTCTTCATTTTTTTGTAACGCACGTCACAGATCTTTGTTTGTTTGTCCGGCCGTGTCAACATTTCACCAACAGCTTTGAAAAATGAGACTTTAGACTGAAAAACTTCCGTGTCCGTGGTTCTCAACGCCTTGTTCACAGCACCGAAGAATCAGCCCAGATCTTTTGATAAAGATGCAAATAAAGTGAAACCACGCAGTCGGGGAATTTCTAAATGTGAAGAAAGATGAGAAGCAGACGAACATCATATTTTCCATCATATGCGTCAAATGAAATGGAATGTGGTACAGTCACGTAATGAAACAGCTCCTCTTGTCAGTGAAACTACCGGCTACGTCTCAGGTTTTAAAATGCTGCGATCATTTGTACAAAGATGTTAAAAATAATGAAAAAAAAAAAACTTAAGCGGTGAAACAGAGAGTAAAGGGTAATAAATCACGTTTGTCTTTGTTTAGTTCTGAGTCAGCACGGTCTGCATTTGAGTGTGATTTTGTTGCCATGGTATCAAAGTGATAGTTTCATTTTTAGTACTGTTGTATTAGCTTCAAAACTCTGATATGAAAACCCTGAAGAAGCTACACATTATAAAATTCATCTCTGACATAATTTAATAAGTGAACTTAAACAGTCAGTGTTCACAGCTGGAATAAAAACCCTAACTGACGTTTCTGGAGGACTTTAAACATGGATGTGATGAGAATCTACTGCGGTGAAAAGGTGAAGGATGATTTGTCATTTCCCCAACTATGAGTAAATGAATGACTGGAAACTGCAGCCCTTATCTCCCGTCACTTTTACCATTTACAGAAAGTTGTGACAGTCATAGGGTCAGGTGGGAGCCGCTCTATATTACATAATCTCAAATTGAAGTGAGATGTTCTCCTTTCGAGATAACTTTTGTAGTTTGAACTGCTGTAAAACGCAGAAGTACCTCCACCCCGAGATATTCCTACCTCCATGAGAAAGCTCTCTTTTATACAACGTTTGCTTTATGGCTCTGTCAGTAATACGAGTGTTTATGATCCGAGTCGGATCCCAAACAAACAGGGAATTCCCCTCCCAGTGTTTTCTGCAGAACTTCAAACTCAGCACACTGGCTTTGGAAAGACGCCTCGAGCTGTGCTTCCCGTTTTAATACGACTTCTTCGTGTAGACGAAGGTTTCTGTGGGTCCGATCCAGCCCAGAACTTAAACCATATGAGTGAGTGTTTGTTTTGTACCAGATAGAAAGGAATTTACTAGTATTACTCTGGACAGTCAGCCTCTGAGGTTTTCGCTCCACCTTGTTTTCATCTAATGTGGTTGCTGCGTCAGACAGAATAGTGAGATTGTGCGACAGACAAAAGGAGCAGTGGTGGTTTGGGGGTGAGTTTGAGGACACTGGAAGAAGAAGTGGACTTCCTGGTACAAAATCTAATAGATCAGGGTCTACAGAGACTACATTATATCCATGAAGAAGTATCGTGCATATCTGAACTCTTGTAATATTATACAAAACTGAGTATTTTTGGCCATTTGAAATAAAAACAGATGAACAGATTGTAAAAAAATTAAAGCAAATACTGATGCCGATGTTTGGAATATCAGTTTAGACGATTCTGGGAGCTGATGCCGATGTTTGGAATATCAGTTTAGACGATTCTGGGAGCTGATGCCGATGTTTGGAATATCAGTTTAGACAATTTTGCTGATGTTTGGAATATCAGTTTAGACAATTCTGGGAGCTGATGCCGATGTTTGGAATATCAGTTTAGACGATTCCGGGAGCTGATGCCGATGTTTTTTCATTACCTCTTTGTAATTTCGAACTCCTTTGAATTGGCCGTCAGATGTAATAGCTTAGCAGACTTACTGTACATCAGTGTGATTAAGATAAAAATAGGATGCTTCAGATAAACCCCAGCTTCCGACATTGATGTATGGCACATTGTTTGCTGATGATTCACTGGTGTTGCGACCTTGATAACTTCGAGACTAACACATCACAATAAAATTCACTGAGCTATTCAGACTAAAACTGTTCCTCGAACTAAACTGTAAACGTATCAATTTGTATCCTTTCCCCTCCATCTCTGCAGACAAATACCTCTGATAATTACAAATGGGGTCCAGTCAACGTGAAAGTAAACAGCATTGGTGCTACTGTAGATGCCAACAGACTACCAGTAAAAACAATGTTTGCAGAACTTCTACAAATAGGATAAAGTGACATAGTCCTGGACCCAAGGTCAACAGTTTAGCAGCACTGCAACACGCAGCAGGTCCCGTTTGACAAGAAACACTTCTGTTTCATCGCCCGTTATTCCGCCAGAGTCTCCAGTATTTACTTCATTTTCTTACTTGTGTTGGCAGTCGTGGCCAAAGGAGGATTCAGACAATTTCCCTTCGTTTCTAGTGTCCGATATTGTAGCACGATAACTTTGTTTGGGCTCGTGGACGTTGATTGAGGACGTGTAGCGTGGCTCACAACACGAGGGAGCACCGTCTGCCTCACAACCAATCAGGTCGGGGAGGTGGAGAACGGCTTTGTTGAGTACACAACGATATCAGGATATTCATGAAAAAGATAAATACACTGAGGAATGCTAACGATTTCGGAACATGACTGATATTAACCATAAGTTATTTATAATGACATTATTCTACATATCATAACAGAAATTATGCCAAATACCAGATGGTAACTGTTTTAGATTTGAGGATATTTAGTTAAACATTCATAGCAGGGTGCATTAGGCTTAAAGGCTAAAAAGTTAACTTCTGTACCAGCTTCCCTTTATTATTAATGATAATTCGTCTGCGAGCAAAGATATCCTGTTGTTTTGTTGTGTTTTAGCTTCATACAGTATTAAGCACCTGAGACAGCTCAGCTATCGACAGTGATGTCTGATGAGAGATTCATAAAAGAGATTTATAAAACTCTGATCTGCTCTTGTGTGACGTTTACCGGCATTATGAGGGCTAGACTGATAATCACTCTGATAATTACTACAAGGTACAAGGGAACGCCCACCGGTCTTCATCTGGATTCCTGGTTCAGCATCTAGATTTTTCCGCTGTGGCTAAATAATTCCAGTTTAAATGGACAACATTGCTCAGTGCATCAGTGTCCTGAATACATACCCAATCTTTGTGGACGTGCAGTCACCTAACGTGCTGCTAATGTGTGACTCAGTTGTAAGAAACTAGATCCCCTGAGGCCCAGTTGTCACCAAACTGGATCCAGCTATTTGGGGAAGCTCGTTTTGTTTGTTCAATAGCCAGCCAATAGAGTTGTGCACTTAATAACAGCCAACTAACTCACTGTGTAATGTATTAAATATGCAAATATAGACCAGAGTTACTTTAATCGGAGTCAGTGCATTAACATGCCGGTGTTTCCTGCAGCTCCTCGGTGCTGCTGCTGGCTCCCCTCCTGGCCGAAGCGGACCCAGCCCCTCGCCGCGTCTCCAGGCCCACCGGGTCGGCGGGAGCTCAGGGCACAGATGGCCTCTGCTCTCACTTCAGATGGATGGCAGAACATGTGCCTGCCTTCAGGGTGCCGGGCACCCACATCCACATCCTCAGCTCACCTGACCAGTTCTACCAGACCATGAAGGTTGGTGCCGGTGTGAAAAAAAAAAAAAAAAAAAAAGTGCTTTTGTTCTACCAAACAGAGAATGATTGACAGAGAAACAAAAACATAACTCCATGAACAGGGCTGACCTTTGTTTTCTCGGATTTGGCAGACAGGTGATTAATCAAATAGAGAAAGTATTTGAGGAAGTTCGATTTTCCCAGAAGAGGGTGTTTGTTTTCTCTTGAGCACCTGAGTTGGCAGAAAAGCAAAATTCAGGTGACAAAAGTTAATTGTTCAACTTTTCATAACCGACCGGTCCATCGTTCTTCGAAACTATTAACGCCACCCAAATATGTGCTCTCGTCAGAACCCGTTTTATAACGTTTTTGAAACATGCAAATGCAGTTTAAACTTATTTATTTTAGTAGCTGCAGAGCGACGCCTGCTCTGCGTCACCACATTGGTATCCTTACATGCTTTCATACACTTAAGCCTATTCAGCACCTCCAGGAAGGAAGAAACAAACAGGAATTAACTTCTGTGTACGTACTTCTATTGTCATATACAAGCAGGAACCTCTCTAATAGGAGAGCTATTATTTAACACAGACTTTTAATTTGAAAGGATTACACACTCGATCTAAATCATACAGACGTTTTACACCATCTCGGTGTAAAACAGGGTCCTGAAATAGCTCACATAACGACTCAAACCCAGATGTGACTCATGTCAAGTGTTACGTAAAAAGGTTTTTTTTTATGGTGTCCGAAATCATGTAACAGGGGTGTGTGAGTTAGTGTAATTCACCAAAACATGTAATTTGTCCTTTTTTTATTGACTTCCTTTAACATCTAACGCCGGTTAGAGTTTAATCTGAATGCCTTTGGATTGTTTTTTTATAGCTCACTTTCATTACACACACACAAACACACACACAGAAAACCACACACACTCTATTCTCTCCTTCAGGCTGTTTGGTGTTGTATCATAATGACATGTGAGCACGGCCATAGCAATAGCATAAAACATCCAGGGCTGCAATTAAAATATATGTTAAATAAATATAAAAATAACATCATACTAATCATGAATCACAGGAGCTTATTGACCTAAAAGGCCGCTATTGTGTCACTATCATGGGGGTGAGCAAGGGAGCCTTTCCATTCATTCCATTCTGCACTGTACCTTTAAATTTAGGTCGTGTGGTGAACCGGCGGTTAAATACACCCGCCTTCCTTGTTCAGATTTTATCGCAAAACCGCTCATTCATTCACCACACATCATCTTTCTTATCATATCCAACCAATTACCTGAGATTAGATTAGATAAACTTTATTTATACTTTTGGGAAGGTTCTCTTAAGGAAATAAAAACATTATTAAAATAACTAAAGTAAAAAATTACCTTAAGAAATAAACAAGCTGACAGAACATTTATGTAAAGGTGATTTGATTCATCTATGAAGCGGAGGGAAAATGGTGATAGATTCCTTTAAACGCATTTAAACAAACATGCTAATCCTGATGGTTTTAAGGGATATTCTGGTGTAAAACTAAGTTAGGGTCAAACACACCGTAACACCGAGTTAGACACCCCCTCGAGAGATGAATTTTGCCGACCACTTGCTTCTCTAGTTACACCAACTTTAGTGACGACCGCAGGATAGCAATACACAGCCGTCTGAGGAGCCATAAACAAACCTCAACCAAAACGCCACAAATAATGCTCAGAACAGCACATAACTTCATCAACAGTACATGCGGGGTGACGCAGCTCAAGGAAGAACATTTATGATAATTTCTTCATCAATTCCTTGAAGTAATAATCATCATATTAATCATTTTGCACTGCAGACGTGGTAGTTCTTCTGCCTTAGCATCTCGGTCTGATTTCCATAAAGAAATGATCATAAATGTTCTTCCTTGAGCTGCGTCACCCCGCTGTAGTCCGTAATGGACTCACCAAAGTCTCGCTACAAACAAGCGGCTGATAAGAGAGTAGGTGAGTTGTGTTTAGTCTCTTTGCTAAAGAAATTAGTCAAAGTTAAAAAGATGTTCGGTGGCTGGCTGTGACCCTATATGTCCTGTTGATGAAGTTAGGTGCTGTTATGAGCATTATTTGTGGTTATAGAGTGGCGTTTTGGTTGAGGTTTGTTTTTGGCTCCTGAGACCGCAGTCGTTACTAAAGTTGGTATAACAAGAGAAGCAAGTGGTTGGCAAGATTCATCTCTCAAGGGGGTGTCTAACTGTCTAAAATTAATTTTACGCCAGAATATCCCTTTGAGTTACTCGACCCATTTGGCAGCTTAAGTATGCACACACAAGCTCTGCTGCTGTTGCACGGATTACAGGACAGGATGCTGCTTCACTTCTTCCTATTAGAGACGGTTGAGGCCCTGCAGCTCCTCTGGCTACCATTTTTGCCACAGTGTCAACAGGCAGAGGTGAAATATCGCAGACTGTACGATCAATATATTGGCCCTTACTGTTGTTTTAAGGTTTTCGACCAATCAGAATCAAGAGTGAAACATGGCTGAGTAACAGTTAGAAAGCTGGGAAAAGTTCCTCTGAATGATTTTCAGTAACAGGCTGTTTTTGTTTGTCGAAGCAGGAGAACATGTGATCACATTTCTCAGTGTTTCTGTGTCTTCACATCTGCCCAGTCAGACACAAAACTTTCTCACTCTTTTGTTTTTCTTGACCTTTACCTCCAGGCGCGCATCAAGACCGCAAAGAGACGAGTGGTGATGGCCTCGCTGTATCTGGGAACAGGCCAGCTGGAGCAGGAGCTGGTGAGAAAAAGAAATTTCTGTGTGTGTGAGAGAGAGAGAAAAGGAAAAGTTTTCAAGTTTTTACGTCTTTAGTTTGGAGCAGGTGAGAACAATGGCATTCAGAGGCAGGCGTGTGCCAAAAAACTGGTCAGAGATGCCAGAAAATGTGAGTCAGAGTCCTCCTCGGGAGAACCGCAGTGTGGTTTGGACAGAATGAAAATGCGCTCCAGACCAGCTACAAGGAATGACCTGAAAGTGCAAGGCTTTATGGGAAGAAGGAGACCACTGCTGGCATGTGATAGCCTGCAGTTCTTCATGCTTGGAGAGCCTAGCATAACAACATCAACCCGAAGCAAAACCACAGTCTGGACCCGGGATCATGTTCAGCTGGTTTTCATGTTTTTGTCCTGACAGAGAGGGATTTACAGAAAAAGGCACAGACGAGTCAAACACGCTTAATTACAGCGAGAAGCCTCTGAATCAGCTGTGACGGTCGCCAAACTCCGTGACCTCACAGGATGATGGATTACTAGAAACGTCCCGTCGAGAACGGAGCCTGTTTTTCTCGTGTTGAAATTCGACACATTGACCTCAACTCGCTTCAGGAGAGAAATGAGTCTGGTTCACGGTTTAGACTCAAGAATGTCCTGTAGGTGAGATTTCACCCTGAAGCCCGGATCTGGTAACAGAAACCGGGCTGAAATCTGTTACTGATACTGACACACCTGAGGAGTGTGTTTACCTCTCAGTGCAGGTTTTGGTAAAGAGGTGGATCTGAAAGTCTGAGGCGAAGCAAACAATGTGATTTATCATTTCACAGAAGTGCACCAGCTCTTTACGGCAAAGTCTTGGCAAGGACAGCACAGGTGGAAGAACTGGTCCAGAACCTTTTTGTCGCTCTGGAGGACAAAGTGAATTATGTAGTGCTATAAATCAGTGTCAGTACTGATTGAAAACCACGAGTTTGACGAGGAAGAAAGAGTTTCCTGGAGGCTGAAGGATGCCAAAACTTAAAATTGATAATTTACTCAAAAGTTCGGCACTGTTTCCTCCAAAATCATGCGTTCAGGACGAAGAGGGAGAAAATTAAAGATCGGTTTAGACTCAGCCTCACCTTGTAAGGTTCGACCTACTCCCATCCCATCTTTGATCACAGGAAAACTTTCTTTAGCAGGCAGAAACTTTGAGCAGGACCAGACTCATGTAAGGCCCGAACTACACCATATATTATGTCCGATTAGGCCTCCCTACCACACCGAACCGGGAGTTTGAAGCACTCAAACCGGATAAATCTGAATCCGGAAAAACAAGCGGAGAAATAAAAAAATATCCGTATCCCGTATCCGCAGTGGATTCGTGTGGTCGGACTTTTACGGATCGATGACGTCAAACCGCAGCTCGCGCATGCGCATTAAAAACAAAAACAATAACAACAACGATGGCGGACATACAGGGTATTCTTTACGTTTGTTTTGCCCTTTTGGGGCTAATTTCAGCCTTGCAAGTGAATCTTATTTTATACAATTACATCCACCAGTCAGCCAGCTCACAGAGGCGTCTGCTGCGCCCAATACTTTTTTTGGAGAGCAATCGTAACGTTAACGTTAGGCGTTTTAAAGTTCGCCAGAAGCGTAAGTTTTGGGTCAAACCCGGTCGGACCAGCAAGTGGTGGGACAACTTCGTTAGAGGGGCTGTGCCTGCAGATGAATGGAAGCTAAACTTTCGTATGTCAAAGCGGCACCAGATAGGATTGAGTTTGAAGCCTACGTGTGGACGCAGATATTTTTTTGAACTAACACGTGTGGACAGGTACATTTATTTAGACGGGAGTACAAAAATATCCAGATAAATAAATATTCTCCTTCGTGTAGTTCGGGCCTTAGACAGTCATCTGCTGGGATTAGAGATCAGATTAGAGAGGAGAGAGAGGGAGATGGACAGGAGAAGCAGCAGGTCCACTTTTTAACGCAACATCTGCAGCAGCGATCTGGAGGAACCTTCAGGGACTCCCAGGAAAGACTCTTGATAATGTTATCAGAGGTAATAAAAATTAACAATCCCTATAAGCAGCGTATGCTCCCTGTCCACACGGTGTCTGTCAAATATACACGTCTAGTTTCCTCCTTCCGTCAAAGAGCCATGAGTCAGTTCAAAGTCTTATCTGAACATCTTGAATTAACTTCTCCTCGCTTATGTTTACACAAAATATAGGAATGTAAATAAAGACGTGCAGAGCTCTGTGTGACTCGAAGGCAGGCAGGACACTTCAATAGGTAACAGCGAAGTGAAGCTGATTTTATCGCCGATCTTAGCTTGTGTCACATGCTGTCAGGTGGTTTCAGATCTGCAGTTAGTTCTGCTGTAATCCTCAAAATCTGATAACAGGGAAAAATGTCCATCCGTCTTTAAATGTCTGATACGGCGCTGACAGGGTAAAGTAGCTCAAATATTCACGCTGGCACAATTTCTGAAAATGTAAAAGGACCAACTTTATTGATTCTGTCCTGATGATGAATGAAGTTTCACTTCTGATCAACACAGATAATTACTCTCAAATTAGCAGCGTTTCACAGTCTTTATTAAAAAAAGGTTTATCCAGAACATGAACAGCTCATCTGCAGAGACGTGCAGAGATTTATTTGTGAACCAGATACACAGTTTAGTTGGATTAAAAGCACATTATCTTGGCTCTGTTAGTCAGACTGTTTTTCCCCCTCGATAAACAGTTTATCGGTCATCACTCATCTGTTGTTTTGTTTAGCTGCTCTACCTGGAAGTGTTTTTAAAAGCGCTCTAAAAATGTCTGTCTGGTTTTTAAGGTGGACTGTATGGAGGAAGCTCTTCAGCGCTCACAGGACGACAGCGTCTCGCCGGACCTGAAAGTCTCTGTCCTGCTCGACTACACCCGAGGCTCCAGAGGTTATTCGTGTTTCCATCAGATCTCTACCTTTAAGAGTATCACGCTCATCTTTCTGACTGTTTTTGTGGGGTTTTTTTACGTACAGGTCAGATAAACTCCAGGACGATGCTGCTGCCACTCCTGCAGCGCTTCACCTCTCAGATGCGAGTTTCTCTGTATCACACTCCTGACCTGAGGGGGCTTCTGCGGCTGCTCGTCCCTCAGCGCTTCAACGAGACCATCGGGGTCCAGCATATCAAGGTGTACCTGTTTGACGACAGTATTATCATCAGTGGGTACGTGCCCCTGGGTTGACTCTGCTCTGTCTGCTCTCTGTCTGCTCTCTGTCCTTCATGTCAATATGTTTATTTCACAATGAGAGTATTTAAACTGAAGTTCATCGTTTGTCCTCGTTTCACCTCTGCCTCATGTTTGCATAACTCCAGATCAGACTGCAGGTGTTTTTACGACTATTTCTAGGAAATGCTCTCAGTTTCAACACTGGTTTTCTTCCAAGCCGAGTGGGCACGGCTCCGAATCGTGTGGTTTCCACTCAGTTTCAGTTCAGCTCACACACACACAGCGGCTCGTGCTACATCATGCTGCTTCTTGCAGCGACGACTTGTGAGAGCGAGACACGTGCGAAAGTAGAGAGGCTAGAAAACGCATTTACTGGATTTTAAAACAAACGGATGTTTCAGGAAAAAGATCTTTCCAGAGTCAACAGACTTTTGTTTACTTTTGATCACTCTTATCAGGAGTCGTTCACCGATCTGTGAAGCGGTTTGTCTGACTAAAGGGAAAGTGGTTGAGTTCTGTTGCTTCTCCAAACACGTCAATGTGAAACGAGGTCGCCCTTTGTTTAGACATGCAGTCGAGCCGACTCGTTTTTGGGAAGTCTTGAGCAATTTTTTTCACAACTTAACGATTTACACGTCCCACATGAGCAATAAAAGTCATATTCCCTACGCTGGCTGGACCGCCACGCATGCCTCCGATAAGTCCAGAGTGGCGTTTTCCAACCTGAGGCGATCTTTCATGATTTTACTTTGAAGATATTTAACTATTGCTCTTTAGATGGTGGCTTGTGCACAAAAAGGGAGTTATAGGAGTCGATTTTGCTCAATTAGCTTTTAAATTAATAAAAAATGACAGCTACATCGGCTTGTTTTCCCTGAAGAGAAATTTAAAAGTAATACTTATGATTTACTGACGCTGGCTGCATGAGACTAAACCCAACAAGCGGATAAAGGCTGTATTTGCACATGAGGCACTGAAAGTGATTCCAAACAGCAGCTGATCTTCTAGAAACTTCATTTTCCCACCAGGAAACCTTCCCTCTCTTTCCTCACATTCAGAGCTTTTTTAAATAGTCTACAGTGTCTTAATATCAAAATAGAGGATGACAAAGAGTCCACTTTCTAAACCAGAGCACTGATAAAAACAGATGCATAACCCTCGAACACTGTCGCCAAACTTAGTAACACCATCACTATCGCAGGGTGATTTTTACCCCAAATAATAAACCCAAGAAAAAGTACTTGTCATCAAAATATATCAAAATAGGACAAAACATGACAGATTAAAGTAGTTTTCTCTCATTTTTAACTGTGCAATGGCCAAAGGGAGGGAAAAAAGTGCCATGAGGGGACCATATATATATAAACTGTAAACTCAGTTTCTTTTCCACCTATTTTCTGGGACATGTGAGTCTTTCCTGGTGAAGACTCAGGGTCATTGGCACGATAACAGCTGCAGGAGAGAGAACCAAAATATGACAGATTTTGAGTAAAAATGACCAGCTGACTAAAATATTTCTCATCACCATATGAATTCTCTTGAAAATCACTACTTTGTGATAGTTATTCATAACCACTGCGCTAAATAAAGATAGTATGTAAATTCCAGGACCACTCTTACCGACTTTATTCGCCTACATGCAGCTATCAAATCCACCCAAACCTACTTTACACTCTGTCACTATTGCCGGGTAAAAGTCACCCTGTGAACACGTTTTGGATCAGGGAAACAAACATGCCTTCAAAGATGTCAGAGGCAATGCTGAAGCTACGCAGAGACTGATGATACTCAGACAAACACAACATAATGAAAATCACGTAAACATGTTTGGTCGGGTGAAAATCATCCAGCGATAGAGTTCTAGGGCTAGAGGAGGAAAAGGGATGAATCAAATCAAAGAAAACTGTCAGTCTGGTGTTTTAAAGTTTGAATCTGTAAATTAACCTGCTTGGTTACGGTCTTTCTAAACTTGGTTGTGCCTCATGTTTATTATCAGCCTGTTTACTCGACTAAACGTCACTTTCTTTTCAGCTGTAGCCTCGCCGACACGCTTCTCAAAATCTGCACTCGTCTTTTTCTTTCTCAGGGCCAATCTGAGCGACTCGTACTTCACCAACAGACAGGACCGCTACGTGCTGCTGGAGAACTGCAGGGAGGTCGCCGACTTCTTCTCCGACCTGGTGGAGGCCGTGGGGGACGTTTCCCTGCAGCTCCAGCCCGACGACTCCGTCACCATGCTGGAGGGGATGGTGCACCCGTATAAAGGTAGGAACCAAACCCCGGAGTAGGCGTGTGTGTCTGTGTGTGTGTGCACACAGACTCGTATTTACCCTCCAACATGCTTTGACACAGTTTGACACTTTGCACTCGGGTTTTTCAGCAGGAGGATCCGATTGGTTCCACTAATGGAGCCTGAAAGCTCAGAAAGCTCCCGTAGATGACGGTCAGTGCGTGTGTGATATCAAGAGAGAGAGGGAGAGGGCGCTCAGTGAAAACGATGGAGAGAGAGCTCTTGCGGTTGGCTAGCTATGCAGCCGGATGTGAAATTGTCAGGATTTTCTCTCCTCACACACACACACGCGCGCACACACTCACACACTCTGGTGCTCTGGTGTGTCCGTAACTGGAGCGGCGCAGACTGCCAGGATGTTAGTTTGAGGAGTGAATGACATCATGTCTACAGGATTGGACCGCCGTGGTAAATGAACACCAGGAATAGAGTTGTGATGTCAGAGTGTTGCTGGAAGATAATATGGACTAACACACACAAACACACACTTAAACACACACACATTAAACACTCACTGTAACACACACCTAAAGTGGTTCTGCTGAAGGACTTTAGTAAGACGGTGGTTTTACACCTGAAAACAAACAAAACTAACCAAAGAGCCTCAGTCAGTCAGTGAGAGTTCACTGATTGGACGATAATGTGATGCTGCTGCACAATTTAAAGGGCCAGTCCACTTAATTTAAGATGCTTTTTCTTCAAACGGCGTCCAACAAGATGAACCGATTCTTTCTTTTCACTTCATTCACTCTGCCTGAGGAGATCTCATCTGGACTCAGACTGTCCAGTTGGGCTTTGACCCCAGAATTGAAAAGGGGTCGCAGGACGCTTGGAGGTCAACTGAACCTCAAGAAATGATTGGTTGATTGTTTTGGTTTGTGATGTAACAAGGGGGAAGACCTACTTTAGTTAGTGAACTGATTCTGACCTGGGGCTTGTGAACCGAGACAAAGAAAGACGACCTCAGGCCAGTCCATTACAGACTGCAGCGGGGTGACTCAGCTCAAGGAAGAACAATTATGATCGTTTCTTCATGGAAATACAATCAGACCGAGACGATAATGCAGAAGAACTATCGCGTCTGCAGAGCAAAATGATTAATATGGTGATTATTACTTCAAGGAAATGATAAAGTAATGATCATAAATGTTCTTCCTTGAGCTGAGTCACCCCGCTGTAGTCCATAATAGACTGGCCCGAGGTCTCTGTACAAACAAGCGGCTGCTGGAAGCGAGTAGGTTTGTCATAGGTGTCGTTGCTGATTGTGTTTTGTTAAGCTGCTCTAAGTCAGTTTCAAGTGTTAAATCTGCCCTTTTTGGACTTTGGTTCTGAACACTTCTGGATTTTTCACACGCTCATAAACTTCTTTGGCACCCTGCAGTTGCATTCACAGCCAAGTTTCCGCACATACCCAAAAAGCTACCAAAGTGACATTCAATCACATCTCATCTCTAAACTATGACATGAAGAATCTTATTTGCATAGAGTTGCGTCTGTTATCATTCTTTGATAGTTAGGAAGTTGTTTTTCTGGAAAATCTGCGCCGGGACAAAGTGGTGACAAGTTTTAAGAGCTTTGTTGTAGAGAGCTGATGAGTAGATTTCGACTGTAGCTACACAGTCGACCGCACGGCTCCTAATGTTTCCCGAAGCTCTCTCAGATTCGCCTCAATAATTATCCGCAGAAATAAGCGAGAAATGACAGTCTGGTTTGTCTCCGTCCTTCAACTGGGATGATTGTGTCACGACAAGGTCAGCTCAAAGACGTGTTTACAAAGAAAGACAAAGATAACTCGTCCTCCTCTCTCAGATGTTCCTTGTGAGCCCAGATTACTATGACCCAGACATCCTTATCTGTGTGTAACCCAAACGTGTCACGTCTCCTTGGTAACCAGGGAACAGGCAGGATTTCTCCGCGGTGGCGAGGGACCGTATCATGGAGGTGATGAACACGGCCCACGTGAGGCAGCAGCTCCTGAACCGCTTGGAGGACTCGGAGGACGAGGGGGAGGAGGACACCTGGGTGTTCCCTCTGGTCCAGATGAAACCTTTGGGAATCCAGGTGGACGAGCAGGTCACACAGGTGAGGCGCCAAAACGAGGTCGCTATCAGTTTAAGGTCATTCAGATAAGAAGAAGAATATCTTTATTTGAATTAAGGGTTTACAAAGATGTATTATGAGTCTAATTTCTAAGGTTTGCACTGAGGTGCATGTAAGACTTTTATATTAGCAACCGTCCAAAACCCTATAACGTATTTTCCGGAGTATAAGTCGCACCAGCCAAAAAATGCATCATGAAGTAGGAAATACAGATGGAAGTTGCATTTTTTGGGGTAAATTTGTTTTACAAAATCCAAAACCAAGAACAGTCATTTCATCTTGAAAGGCAGGTTATAATAACGATAGAATAGAGAACAGGCTGAATAGGTGTACGGTATGCTAACGTAACACGTTGATGGTTATTTAGCTTTAACGTAACATATTAACAGTTATTCAGATAACTTAAGTGTATAAAGAACGTAACAAAACAAGTTTACCAAACTCTCGATCTCACTCCAAATCACGTAATCCAACGAATTCTTCATCCTCCGTGTCACTTCTGAACAACTAGAGTGCCCTCTAGTGGCTGGTAGTGTGAAAATGACAGATGCATCAGCGTATAAGACGCGAACCCAGCCAAACTACGAAAAAAAGTGCAACTTATAATACGGAAAATACGGTAACCAAAAACAGCTTCATCAACCTGTGACAACTTCAGGACTAAAAACTGGTTTGTCTGTTCTTGCGCCCCCTGTTGACAAAGCAGCACCTCATATCTGCAGCTGCAGCTCGGTGGTGAGTTCTTTAAGTGTTCAATTCCAGGTCCTGCTGCCCACATATGAGAGTGTCCTCAGGCAAGAAACCGAACCCCAAACTGCACAGACGACTGTCAGAACCTTCTTAACCACCAGCTAAAAACTACCTACAGGAGCTTTAAATGTACAGCGTGTAGAAATAGGAATATTTTGTGACATCTTCAGGTCATATTCTGGTTAAAAGCTCCCTTACTCACCCCCCTGTAGATAAAGGGATGGTGGCCTAAAAAGATAAGACACGCCTTTCACGCATGATAGGTGTGATCCTCAATGAGTCAGGTTCTCCTCACAGCCGTTAAATTCTGTGAACTGCACCTTTAAGTTGAAAATATCAGACTAAAGAAACATCACTCACTAATTAAAATTCACCTTCTCTGTAAATCATTTTTCTTCACTTCCTCTCAAACCCGCAGCGCCTGCTGACTGACGCCGGCCCGGACTCTACTGTGTTTCTAACATCGGGTTACTTCAACCTGACGCGGGCGTACATGCGGTTGGTGCTCGGGGCCGGGGCCAGCTACCGCATCCTCACGGCCTCCCCCGAGGTCAACGGCTTCTTCGGAGCCAAGGGCGTCGCCGGCGCGATCCCGGCGGCTTACATCCACATCGCCAGGCAGTTTTACAACCAGGTGTGCCGGCTGGGCCAGCAGGAGAGGATACACCTGCACGAGTACCACCGGTCCCAGTGGACTTTTCACGCCAAAGGTGGGGAGAAAGATCGAACTCTGGCTTCAGCGAATAATATCGTGGATGATTAGAGGCCCAAGTTTCCTTTGCTCAGAGTGAAAGTTTCTCAGTACTTTTATCTTTTATTTCAACACGAGAGAGTTATTACGTCTGAGAAGCAAAGAAAGGAGAATATTTGTAACATTAACTCATAAATCATCACAGTGTCTGAGAGCTGACAGTCCCAGAGCTCGGTGTCCAGACTAGTTTAGTTCTGCTTGTTGAAAATGTTCAAACGCGTCACTCCGGCTGCTCGGCTCCCTCGCTCCGCTGCTCTTGTTGTGGTCTCTGAGGAATTCAGCGTGAGAGACGAGGGCCTGTACAGTCACTGTGTCATAGCCTCAGGACGAGGATGTACACTCACTCTCTCTCATACTTTGGTTTTGGATCCAGGCGGGGGATTTCTGCATGTGCTTCCTCTTAGTTGTGGTCTGAGCCGACAGAAATCCCTGCTGGAACCGTTACCTCCTCACCGGCTCACTCCGGTTTTTCCTCTCCTGCAGGTCTGTGGTATTACCTCCAGGGGCAGGACCGGCCGTGCCTCACTCTAATCGGCTCTCCTAATTTTGGATACCGCTCGGTTCATCGTGACCTGGAGGCCCAGATCGCCATAGTAACAGACAATGAGGAGCTGCAGAGTCAGCTACAGGAGGTCAGCTGTTTTTTCCTCTAACCACAGCCACAGATGATGATGGATGACTCCTGGATTCACACCTGTGTGTTTTTTAACCCTCAGGAGCAGGAGATGTTGTACCGACGCTCCTCAGAGGTGTCCGACTCCACGTTTGAGAGGCCAGACCGCCACGTCAAGCTGTGGGTCAAACTGGTCACTCCCCTCATCAAGAACTTCTTTTGAGACGCTACACGGTAAAAAACACACGTGCGTTCAAGAGCGCCACCCACTCAGTTCCCCTTAAAGTTATTAGGGAATTAACCCTTAAAACTCCCAGCTATATTTTGCTATTTTTGGTCCGCCTGTATGAACAAACACACAACAGAAACTATTTACATATTTACACTAATTCTTCCAGGTGTTTTTTACTATTTAATAATAATAATAATAATAATAATGCATCAGATTTCATATAGCACCTTATCAGAGACCCTCAAAGCGCTTTACATTGGATACATCATTCATTCGCTCACACAACACTCACAATCACACACCAGTGGAGGACACACACTGGGAGCAAGGTGGGTTAAGTGTCTTGCCCAAGGACACAACGGACAGACTTGGATTAGGGGGGAATCGAACCGCCAACCTTCCGGTCATTGGACGACCGCTCTACCTCCTGAGCTACTGCCGCCCCCATTTACAGTTGTTTATGCCACTCCTTGAAGCAGTTCCTGTCAGAGGGCCACATCTTACTGCTCAGAATCTCTCCTTTGCTTGTTCTCAAACATTGAGGACCATTATTTCTTATTTTGCAGACAAGCAGGGAACTTTCTTATCTCTTGTTGATCTTTGGTTGCCTCTTATTGGGCACTACCATCAAAGGGAAGAATATGAGACCATGTAATTGGTTGAAAGTTTGACAGAAAAAGACGTCATCTAAACAGCTTGTCAAACCCAGCTTGTCACTTTTTGTTATGTATTCACATAACAACCTGAAAGTTACACCTCTACAGAAAACGTCTCAGGCTCTTGGGTTTTCAGTGACAACTAAGCTGCCAAATGAGCACACGTTAGATATTGTAAAATTACCTGCTGTTGTGATGAAGTCACAGCATCTGGTTAGGAGCCTTCATAGATGAAACAGCTTCAGTACAGCTCACACTGGCCTTCGTTGACAAAGGAGTCGATAATGAAGTGGCGTAAAGCCTTCCCAATGTTTCCCTGTGCGAGAAAATAGACTGATGAGAAACTTTCTGAGAAATACTAAATCAACAAAGTAGAGAGTGGAGGAGAGGGGAATGCTCTCCCAGAGGTGAGGGTTTGAACGTGCTGCCAGGTGTGTGCGTGTCCTCAAACATCCTTCTACTTGGACGGCAGAGTCTGACGTCAGGTTCAGGGCAAATCTTTCAAAGCCAATCAGGGAGTGTCAGACTACAATTCACCTCATTATTCTGGAACTTTTAAGAGTTTAAAGGTTGGGTGGGATGGATCTGAGGAAGTGCCAGTTTTGGGGAGAAATCTTGAATGCAAACTCTACCCCTCCCACTAACAGACGCTCCTGCTCGCTCGTATTAAATTCGTATTAAATTATTAAATTCAGATATAATGCAGATAAATACTTAAGATAATTACAAATGGGGCCCAGTCAAGGTGAAAGTAAAAACCACTGGTGCTACTGTAGATGCCAACAGACTACCAGCAAACACAACAGTTTAGCGATGGCGCTACAACACGCTACAGCAGGTCCCGTTTGACAAGAAACACTTCTGTTACAGACACTTGTCTTACTTTGTTAAAGCGGTTTACCTGTCCAGTAGAAAGGCTACAGGGTCACGAAGATCCAGAAGCGTCCGCCATCTTGTCCGGTCTACCTCCGTTTTAAGCGCCCGTTATTCCGTCAGAGTCTCCGGTATTTACTTCGTTTTCTTGCTTGTATTAGCAGTCGTGGCTAAATGAGGATTCAGACCATTTTCTGTGCTCTCCCGTTGTTTTCTACTGTCTGATATTGTAGCACGCTAACTTTGTTTGAGCTCGTGAACGTTATCGAAGGACGTGGAGCGTGCCTCACAACTAATCAGCATTAATAAGCAACGTCCGCCTCACAACCAATCAGGTCGGGAAGGTGACCGTTAAAAATGTTAAAAATGTTGACTAAACAGATGTAAGAGAACACAGCGATATCGTGATATTACCAAATTTAATCAATAACTAATAACTATTGACTGATATTAAAAGCTTTTTTTGTATGTAGGGGAGAGTGGGGTAAGTTGAACCACCCCCTGTTGCTTGGAAACGGTAAAAATTGATCATGTGACCAAATATTTAGGAGATGGGCATCAATTCATTTTTCACTCTTGAAAGTGAATTTATTCTGTCATAAGTTTTATTAGAATTGTGTTCAGACCAAAAAAGATCATTTTAAATTTGTTTTATACATCAGTTGTGGTATCTATGAGCTACAACATGAGGTCAAAAACTGAGCATAAAAGTCCACCATTTTAGATTAGAGGACTAATAAAGTCATCATAGTAGTTCTCATGTTAAAATGACTTTTTAGCAGTTATATACAATATTAATAAAAATAATTATTGTACCTGTTGAATTGTGTATAATAGATAAAAATACACATGAATGTGAAGAAGTGACTGTTATTCAGGTAGAGAGAAGGTGAGGGAGGGCTGGGGTGGAGAGTTGGAGGGTAGTAGGGATACGGGTCAACTTACCCCGCTCCTATGGTCAACTTACCCCATACACGGGGTAAGTTGACCATAGGAGACCTTTTTTTTTATCAAGACAGTTCTGTTTACACTCATTCTGTTGGTTTGCAGGGATGAACAACATCTTGAAATATATGCAGATACACGAGTTAGAGACAAAACTATGAAACGGCTCATCTTACCCCACTCTCCCCTATAACATTTTATGTAGGTTTTAAAATATAAATCAGTATAATAGACCCCCTTTAATATAAAGACGAGCAGCAAATCTAAACATCTGGAGGTTCAAAACCACCACTGTTTGAATGTTTGGGGTTTTTACTTACTAGTTTAACAGCCAAATCACACTAAAATAGAAACTGTTGACCTGTTAAGATCAGAGCAAGTGTCACATATTTCTGCACATATGGAGTGTGTCTGTTTTTTGGTTCAGATTTTTTCGTCTGTGATGTGTCTGTGTAACAAACACACACACTCACACACACTCACACATATATAGACACGTAGTGAAGCAGGCTGTGGTTTCTTAGAAATGCCTGCAGTCATTGTGGTGGGTCCTAAAATCACGGGGCCCGTCCTCGCCTTCCCAGCATCAGAATCAGCAGAGAGCGAGCGGGGACGGCGAGTCGGCTGATTCACCCCGGAGTTGCAGTGAGTCAGCGCGGTGTTGTGGTGATGATTTGACTCTGCGGTCCCTGCGTTTTAACCTGAGACCTGTTTGGACCTGAAGAAGCGCTCTCACACTGATCTGAAACTACAGAGAAAGAGGATTTGAGGAGATGTTTCAGTGTTTGGACAGAAAACACTCAGCAGGTTTTTTGTATGTGTGTTTCTCAGAACAGGAAGTGTCACAGGCGAGGTAATGATGGTAAATGGGTGGCGTCTTATCACTACCTGGACTTAGTCATGGAAGAAATAAAAGTGTGTGATCAGCTGCCAAGAGGAAACAGATCTTCTTTTAGCTCTCCAGTATCGCAAACCACAGATATCTGTGAGAAGACGTAAAAATACCTCAGAGACAAAGACTCGAACTGGAGCTCGTTCAGGTCCTTTTTGTTTGGATAACTATAAAGAGACTTGTGTTACCGGCACGATTACACAACAACATCAACAAAGAGAGGTTGACCTCGGGCTTAAAGATCAAGTTCAGCCATCATGACAGTAACTGGAGTGATTAAAAGTCAGTAATTAGAGGTGTTACTTAACATCAGAGCAGATCTGAATAATTAATTGTTAATTACAAAACAACGGGACAGAGAGAGACATTAGCACAGCCATTAATGCTGCAAAGTCTTTGACATGGACTGAAAATCAATAAAACAATCAAAACCTCAATTAACATGCGAGGTTAAACAAACAAGACTCAATAAAACATGGACTGAGGACACTCAAACTCAAGTGTACGATAAGGAAACACGTACAACTTTAAAGCCAAGATAGCGAAAAGAGAGACAAGATAATAAAACACTAAAAAAATCATAAAAATTAACTGGATTAGGATGAAAGACTAAGAGATCCAATCCAGGTTTATTTATAAAGCACATTTAAAAACAACAAAACGCCGACCAGTGCTGCACAGTAAAAATTAAAAACAATAAAAACAGACAATTAACACAAACAATAAAACAAAGACGATGGTTCAGTAAAAACATGATTAAAAGGCCAAATTCTCAGGAGTTAAAAGGGTTTTAAAAGGTTTGAGAGATAAAAAGTAAGATTGAAGATTTTTATAAGTTGATGACAAAATTTTAAAATCAATCCTAAAACGCACAGGAAGCCCGTGAAGAGAGGCTAAAATAGGGGAAATGTGATCATATTTACGGCGACCAGATAAAAGACGAGGTTTGGCTGGTACCAAAATAAAGTGCATTGCAATGATCAAGACGAGTTGTGATAAAAACATGCATAACCTTCTTAAAAATCACTAAAAGATAAAAAAAAAGACGACCTTGTTTAAAAGATGAAGATGATAAAAACTGATTTTAACTTCAATAAAACAAAATAATAGTGATATACAACTCAAAACAAGAGACTAAAATGTAAAATAGAGGTGTCTAGAGTGGACTAGTCTTGATTTTGCTTGTGATAAATTGATTTTGGGTTACAGTTTTTGTTTTTTTTAGTGTGTACTCATACCTGTCATTAAGTGGACCCGTACCTGAGAAAGCGGCTCAACACAAAACACACAAATACTTAAGTAGAATGCTAATATAGAGTACAGAATATTTATAAATACAGTATTTATTCAGAGACATTTATAAGAAGTATTAGATTAAATTCTGGTTCCTGAGCTGTTTGAAGGAGTTATACTCTCTTGTCCTCGAACGCTTAAACTCTGCAGCCTCATTTTTTAGTTTGTTATTTATCTGGTAAAATACTGATAATCACTTTTTCACTGAAGCTGCAGACATGATGAGTTAAATTTAAGGAGGACATCTGAGGTTGAGCGGTTTTATTCCAACTTTCACAATCAGGTTAAAACAACAAAGACGAGTTTCAGCTCGGCCTCTTTCACAGACAGACACTAACAAAAATAACAGTCGTACATCAAGCGTATACATTTCTATCATTTCTTAAATTCTTGTATTTTTTCCAGTCACACTCGCCCTGTCAGTACTTTATTTTTCTGGATTTTAAGGACCGTGCGCTCGCACACGTGTTCCACAACCATCTGTTTTTGTCTTCGGTGGACCTAATCACTCATGCCTTTGTTTTCTTTTTCCTGACAGAGGAAAAAACAAACACGTCCCTCTAACAATAGCTCTGCCGGGTAAAAGGATAAAAACACACGTCCTGATTGGCAGGGCAGACGCTCTATTGTTAGAAACCAGTGACAAACTGTTTACATCGACGTGTTGAGCGGGCTCGTGTGAGGGTCAGGGAGGTTAAAACTTCGTCTCCAGTTTGGTCCAGACTGTCACGATGGACCAGTACGCCCTCTAGTGGTGAACATGGGAATCAAAACTGAAAACGTAAAGAGGTCCAACTTGAGATATTCAGAAATAACCGACTGAGCTTTCTTTCTTCTTTCTGTGTTTGTGTCTCGTGCAGGACGCTGGAGGGTCCAGTTTCTTCGTTCCTGAGGTCGGAGCTTCTCGTAGAGGTCGCTGAGCTCCTACAGACGGGTCGGTCAGACACAGTGGCATGCTGGGAGTCTTTCCAACTCCACCTCACTCACTGGTGCGGTGCAGGGAGTGACTCTCACACACAGACAGACGGGTTGTGGTGCATTCAGGGGGTGAAACGTCGTTTTTTTTTATGATCCTTGGGTTTATCTGTTAACCTGTTAAGATTATTTACGGTGAACGCCATCGCACTGTGGACTTTTGTTTTTTTCTAAGTGTTACTAACAGAAAAACACAACAACACTCGTCAAGAGATACATGTCGCATGTTTTCAATAGCAATAGAGACTTCAGTGACCCTGAAGTTCACAGACAGGTGAGGAGGAGAAAACCTGGAGGAGCCTTAATGACGGTTTAAGAGCTCGGACAGGAAGTTTACAACAGAACATACTTCTAACTGTACAGTGTCTATGTCTTACTACCTTTGTAAATTAAAGGACTGTGAAATTAATTTTTAAACACGACTTTGGATGAGTCTTTTTTGTCATTTGCTAAGTTAAAAAAAAAAGCATTTACAGTTGACTTTCCTCGCAGAAGTCGATCAAAACTGAGAAAATGCATCTTCTTCACGTACAAAAGCAACTTTTTAGAGGAAGGTTTGCTCTGACCACTTTTGAGAGTGAATTACATCTGTGTTGTGTGTGTTTTTACTGCCACCTGGTGGCCAAAAAATGTTCTAAATTTCAAACCAGAAATTGATATTGCTCTCCATGAAACAATGGCTTTTAAAAATATTAATAAGTTGTTAAATCAGATCGATGTGAGAGAATAACCAAAGTTGACAGGATCTGATTCAGTGTGATTTATGTTCAAAGATAAAAAAAAAGGGTTTAACTCACAAATAGAGCAGGTTTATCCAGTTTAATCGCCTCAGACTTCAATTCCTAATCTTCAGTCCCTGACATCTCCTGAACTGAACAGATGATCAAGAACAAGGAGGAGAGAATCAAAGTTTCACAAACTGTGCAGCTCAGTTCATTGATCACCAAAATAAGAGCGCATTAGTGAAAACAAACGACAGCTGAGTTTTGATCTGCAAACCTTTAATGAGACAAAAAAACTTGAAACAATAAATTACAAGAAATCTGGATAAATAAATATTTTGCTTTTTAAGCGTCGTGTTTAAATTCAGTAACATTTCTTCGACTAAAGACGAACAGCAGTAAGAAACAGGTTTAGAAAAAAGGAATTTAGTTCGGAGGATGAGCCTCGAGTCTCAGACCAGACGAGTCCTGCGGTTTTCCAGTCGATTCCTTCATCAAGTATCTGAATGAATATGTTTCATTTCAAGTCGAGAAGAACAGACCTCGACTGATCAAAGACTGATAATTTTGTTGATTAAAATGTTTTAGGCCCACACTCCTGTAGAGGATCTCAGCTCCCTTCATGTTGATCCACATCAGGCTGAAAGTGTTCAGTCTGTGAGTGTGACGGTGTGTATCACTGAGACTCACAGTTCAACAGTCATTACAGCAGATTGAAGGAGAACAGAGAGGACTGCAGTGATACAGGAGTGAGTTCAGATCGAGTCAAACCTGCAGAGAAACAGAAGCAGAGCTCCTCTGCGGCAGCTCCAGGAGTTTCCAGGTCCATTTAAAGTCAGTGTTTGATCCTCAGCAGCTCTACAGACCCTTCAGAGTCGACACCTTCTTCTTCCGAGCCGCGAGCATCTCGTAGAACGGGTCTTTGCTGATGGCGGCTCTGCAGGTCGGAGATAGAGGAGAGTTAGGAAACGAGACTTACGTGAAATCTGCAACATTTTCTTACCGTGAGAGTTAAAACGTTTCTCACTTGATGCTGTTGATCCACTCGTCCTTCTCTTCCACGGTGGGGGCGGAGATCCTGTAGTAAGTGTGGTTTCCCTCGACGACGCGGCCGTCTGCCTCCGTCTTACAGGCTTTGATCACCTGATCTTTGTGGTCGGAGATGAAGAGCTCGAAGCAGTTCTGAGAGAAAAAGAGAGGGAGGGAGTTAGGAGGAAGCCTGGTAACTGAGTACAGCTGCTATCAGCTGGTCTGAGAGGGAGTATAACCCCCAATTTCCACCGCATCTGGAACAGCTACGAAAAGGCCGTATTCGCCGATTGTAGCTGACACAAAATAAAACATCTGGCAACGAACAAGAGAAAGGTTTTTAGACAGCGTTTCATCCTAATGACACCATGAATGAGGAGATGCTGATTCTAGAAGTCTAGAAGTAGATTTCCTCCTCTGGAAGGACACAATCTACTGCTTTTATGGTTAGCCTCTGTGGCTAAAGACAACTTGTTATCGCACGATTGAACGTGACTCTGCGGGTTCTTGTGAGTTCTTGCGATTCCTGCTGTCCGTAATTCACCTCACTAACGGATCCGATAGGAATTGGCGTACGGCGAAAATCTTTGCCGTTCCAGATGCGGTGGGAATCCCGGGTAAGAGGATCGATTGTATACGGAGGGACCTGATCATGCAGAGCTTTAGAGATTATTGATGAACATTTATTAACATATGCAGAGGTTAAAAGGTGTTTCACAGAGTGATACAGCCTTAAAGAAAAACCGTCAGTAAAAGGCAACAGATTTTCCAACAGTCTTTAAACGTTTTAGAATAAATTTCTGCTGTTCAGGTTCTTGTTTGAAACGTTTATTCTGCGGTTTAGTTGGTGGTTTTGGGAAACTCTTGGTTGGGTTTGGGTTTGGTGGGTTTTTGCCTCCAGGTTGGCTCCTATTTTGCAGCACGTCTGGAAAGTTTCTGTAATATTTCAGCTGTTTTTGTCTTTTTCTTATTTCTCAGCTGTTCTAAACACTTGAGTCTGACTGGTGAAAACTCCCTAAGGAAGGTGGTTTTGTTTGCCTGTTTCGCCTGTTGACACTGTGGCAAAAATGTTTGGTACATTAAACACAGACCTGCTCACTATTCCTTACCCCTCACTCATTTGATGGTTGCTGTTGTTATATTTACTCTGTCTTCTTTAGATGTTTTCTTTTGAAGTCAACCTAACTACTCCTTTCCCGTCTTTTTTTATAACACAAAACTAAGTTTGTCAGGGAAAAACTGCAGAAATGATCAGTTATGACAAACTGTGGCAGACGGAGGAGGAGGAGGAAGAGGAGGAAGAGTTTACCGGTTTCTTTGAGTCATCCACTTCTCGGATACTCAGATTCTCCAGCGGGATGATCCCTCGAGGTTCTTTATCCTTGTGAACACAGGAAAGAAGAAACCAAAGTACAAGGTAAGAGATGAAATGAAGTACTTTCGCCCTTCATGGGGTATTTCTAGATACACAGGAGTACTCACAGTGGTGTATTCAAAGTAGTAGAGGCAGTTATCTGTGAGGATGAACCAGCGTCTCTTCCAGGTTTTTACTCGTCCACCTGAGGAGAGGGTACAGGTGAGACTTCAGTCTGAGAGAGAGAGACTAAAAACTGGTCTTAATATGACAGCAGCGACACTGAAGCCACACAGACACACAGATTTATCAGCAGGTTAAACAGAGCGACTGATCACAGAGACCAAAGCGGACGTTAAACACAAACAGATGTGAAACAGCTTCTCTGTTTTTTTTTCACATCTGGGCTTTGAAGCGAACAGCAGAGGGTAGAAGCAGATACTGATATTTCTGCAAAGAGCCAGCGAGAGTAAAGCAGCAGTGCGGGAGAGAAAGAAGCGAAGCAGTGAGTTAAAGCTGGAGACTTTAAAAGGTACATACCTCCTGGAGTCAAAAACATAAAACACAAACAAAAAAAAGATACAAGTCAACAAAAGAGAGTGATAAAAATTCATTTAATTTAATTTCAGATAAGTTTGAGCTTCTTATGTTTTGATGGTGGTGATGCAGGGTCTGTCCTCTAGAGGGGGACAGTGAAGAGCAGATCCACACTGAGTGAAATAAGTCATGAAGACGAACGTACCGAGTTTGAGCAGCCATCCCTCTCTGTCGGGGTTGAAGAAGGTGTGTGTGAGGTCGTTCCCATCATCCTCTGGGATCTTAAAGGGTTCATTCTTGATGCTGTCGTACAGGTTCTGCAGAGACGGTCAGGATGAGACCAATGAGGGGGGAGAAAAGTGTTAATACAGGTGGGTGTTAACAAAGACTTACGGGACTTGAAATTGGACAGTTCAGACTTATTCTTTTTTTCCCCAGGTTTTTAATAGGGCCCGACCGATATGGATTTTTTGGGGCCGATACTGATATTAGGGGGGGAAAAATCTGATTACCAATTAATCGGCCAATTTTTAAAATTTTTATGAAGTTGTAAAAAAATTATATATATACTGTAGGCTACTGCTCTTCACGACCGACTGATCAAACTCAGACCAGAGAAGGGTTTTAAACACCTCCCCCCGACCGATCGGTGCCTCCGCATCTTAACTCATGTTACACATTTTCGGTCCGGTCTCATCTGGAGACATGAAGATTGTCATGAAGTCGCTGCGCCATCTACAGGATAAGTCGGGGAACTTTTTTAAATGGCGGAACATTTTCGAAGTGAAACCGAATCTTACTCTCCGCATTTTATTTCTGAAAATATTGGGGAAAATCTGCGAGTTTTGGCCGATTACTGATTACTCTCAAATGGACTAAAATTGGCCGATTTAATCAGCTCGCCAATAAATCGGCTGGGCCCTACTTTTTAGTAAAAGGTCCTAACACTGTATCCAGTTTGAGTCGGTCTGTCTCTTGTTCTTCCCCTTCGTACAGTTGTTTCTCACCCTGAGTAGCTCCTCTGGTAGATCCCCTCCGTCGTTGATCCCTCGGTTCATTGCGGTGAATCTCTGAACCGTGGGTTTGTCTTTCACGTTGGGGTTGTGGAGACTGGTGTTCAACATGATCACGGCGAAGGACAACACGTAACAGGTATCTGTAACGGAAGAGCTCCATGACTCCCACTTCGACTGCAGCTTTGTTTTATTCATGCTCTCACTGGGTCTGACTGCCGTACCTGTGCTCTGAAACACTCCCGGGTTGCAGCGGCAGTATCTCTGAGCGAACGCCTCCATCATGCGGTCGATCTTCTGAGCCTCGCCCGGCAGCCTGAAGCTCCACAGAAACTGCCGCAGGGCCTGGACCAGGTTCAGGTCTGTGAACTCGTGTAGGTCCAGGAAGGCGTGCAGAACCTCGATGTTAAAGTCATCTCTACACACCCACATGAACACGCACACAAGAGGGAGGAAACATGGAACAGGATCACTGACTGAAGGCAGCTGAAACATTTGAGCATGACTCAGATTAACACTCAAAACTTCACTGGATCACCTTCGCTGAAGAGCCAACGTGACATTATTAATATTCTTTAAAGTTTCTCAGGAACTATACCGCGCATCTCTATGGGATAAAAAGTGTTCAAAAGCGTACCCTTTTGGCGATCTATCGAAGGTTACCAGACATTTCTACATTTGCAACAAGGTTCACAATCCAGCCACAAAAACAGGTGTTTGATCAGAGATGTTTGATGGTAAATCCGCAGTGAAAACATGATTATTTATCATATTCTTGTGATAAAAATAGATCCCTATCGCTAAATGCCGCTAATGTCTTCCGGGTTTGACAAGCTGTTTTGATTACGTCTTTTTCTGTCAAACTTTCGACCGATTACATGGTCTCATATTCTTCCCTTTGACGGTACAGTCCAATAAGAGGCAACCAAAGATCAACAAGAGACAAGAAAGTTCCCTGCTTGTCTGCAAAATAAGAAATAATGGTCCTCAATGTTTGGAAACAAGCAAAGAAGAGATTATGATCAGTATGATGTGGTCCTCTGTCTCATCCCAGACAGGAACTGCTTCAAGGAGTGGCATAAACAACTGGAAGTAGTCAAAAACGCCTGGAAGAATTAGTGTAAATATGTAAATAGTTTCTGTTGTGTGTTTGTTCCAATCCCAATATTTCTTCTCCTGATAGCCAAGACTTGAGAGAATGATGTGCAGGTGAGAGAAGTCTTGGTCACTGTAGATTTATGTGTTTTTTGAGCAAAGTACTGTTGGTATCAATTTCAGTTTGACTTTGATGGTTCTGAATCTAATGTCACATTCATTTTACATTAATTTTTGCTCCATAAACTGATAGCTGAGAAAAAAAAAAGATGTGTATTTATTTGCTGTGCTTGAAAGGATCGAGTTGCAACATACAGGCAGACCAAAAATAGCAAAATATAGCTGGGAGTTCTAAGGGTTAAAACACCTTATAAGACGCCCCAAACTCAAGCTCAGAGGCTGTACTTTTTATATTAATGTTACAGCGATGAGAAGTGATTTGTTCTTGAAGCTGTACATGTATAAACAAATCTGGAAATTTAATCTTCAAAACCTTCATGCAGGTTTTGTTAAAGCGTGATGATTAAGGTCATTCAGTTTGAAGGATCATCACGAGGGTCCACTCACCTCTCCCCCAGGTAGTCGCCGATAGCTGTCTTGTTAAGCCCCTCCCCCTTGTAGAGGAACTGGGCGATGTCATCGCTGGTGTTTTTCAGGAGGGAGCTGTCGATTAAGAAGCGAATCCCCTGAGAGAGAGACAACCATAAACACGGCTTTTAGATTCACAGTATTCGTTCAGTTTTATCAGGGGGATGCTACAGCTAGCTGGTTAGCAGTCTGCTACTTCTTCTTCGTCCCCACTCTTTTTTATGACAACATAGGAGACCACTACTGTGAAGTCATGCTTATTTTCAGCACAATATCAATATTTTCTTTTTTTAGATACAGTCTTGGTTTGTAACAGCTCTGGTCTTATCACAGTCTGTGAGTCCCACAGAGTCTGGTTTCTTCTCACCTTCTTTGGGTCCATGTTGAATTTCTTTCGGCCCATGGCCATCTGTTTGTTCCTCTGCATACTTTTCCTTTGAAACACAAGAAACACGAGAACACTCAGACACACAGTCACTGGTTCTAGTCATCCACAAGCAAATATGCCAATAAGTCACTTGTACTGTCTTTTAAATCGAGGATTTCTGTCTCACTGGAGTCTGAACTTACGATCCTGACTTCAGAGAGACAAATCCTGACCTGCAGTGTTTTGTGGATCATAGTTCAACATTTCTTGTTCGTTTCAGATCCAGTTAAAAGATGTTTTACTCTAATATGGACACACCAGATGGAGCTTTTGTTTGAGCTGAGTCTCTCTAGAAAATGTCAGGCCTCTAAAAACTGTTTTCTCTCTTTTTCAGATATTTCATAAATCAAACAACAGACTCTGAAGTTTCATCATCATCAGTGTTAACCATTGTTAATATCTGGCTTTGTTCGGGGTGTTGAGGAGTTTTTTTTTTCACGTCATTTTTTGTCTTCCACTTGAACAAGAGCTGAGTGGACCACAGCTGCCCACACAGACACAGAGGAGCTGGCAGAAAGATACTTCACCTCTCTTCAGTCTGGCCCAGGCTTTCAATCTCTATGGTCACCTCTGCTATCTCATCCTTCAGCCGCTGAGAGCAGAGAACAAAACCAGGAGAGGGGGATGAAGCAGAAAGACAGGAGAATAAGAGAGAAGACTGAGTCAGATGTTTTTTTTTTTGTTGGAGCACAGAAACTACAATGAAACGACAGCAGACGCACACATGTGCTTCTCCTGGGATGTCTCACTCTTCACATAAACCTCTGCAGACGCTTCAGTCTCAGAGTCAGCGTCTTGCTTTACACATGGTCGTCTACGTCTCTGACAAGATGACCCAGACAGAAACCCTAAAAGTGCCGATGTGATTCACTCCCTCAGTCCGTCTCTTTTGTTCTCTCTGCAGGAGTTTTGTGGAACAGCCGCCCTCTGCAGAAAATCCTCTCTGGGAGCCGCCGCACCTGTTCTGGGGTCAGCGCTGACCACCCTTTCCTCCGACTCTCTCTCTCCCCTGTGCTGACCCAGATTTACCCAGCCTCCCCCCCCGTGACTCCCTACCCCGGTCTGTTGAGGGGCGACGGGCGCACGTAGGATCAAAGACTTTGACTGGCTTAGCAGAGCTGCTCCACAGAGCTCCGAGGTTATGAGTGGAAAGAGTGGAGGAGAGAAACAGATGGAGAGAAAGAGACCGAGGTCAGCAGAAAAGATAATGAAGGGAGATAATTATAGAAGAGGAGGAGACGCAGACGAGGCCCTGAGTCTCCGAGTGGAGTTATAATCATCACAGCTCACAGTCGGCGAGTGGAAGTGTGCGTTTAAACAGGTAAACAAGGTAAATAGCTGAACTTGTCTGGATTCCTCCATGTAGGTTTCCATGGTTACCCTCCCACATAAAAAAAGCAGCGTCGTCTGTCTCCATTACTGGAATATTTCACGGCTCATTACCCATCAACCCCCAAGGGCGAGACCTGACGGGGTTTAGAGGAGAGAAGCGCAGACTGGGAGTCGACCTCGGTAATGAACTCTATCAATCCGCTCACACGGCGCCGCTGTCCTGAAGGCACGCTTGTGTCGGTACAGTTTTTCTTTTCTCTTTGTCTTTGTGTACTCTGGACGTCCAGCTTGTTCCATAACATTTTCATCAGATCTGAATAATTACATCTTCAGTTTCATGAGCCTCTTGTCAGATTGTTGGTAATTTTAAAACATGATGAAGTCGAATAAGTTTGATGCTACCAAGAAATTAGGGCCCGACCAATATGGATTTTTTGGGGCTGATGCCGATACAGATTATTAGGGGGGGAAAAATCTGATGACCGATTAATCGGCCGATTTTTACAATTTTTTATAAAGTTATAAAAAAAAAATATATATATATACTGTAGATATACTGTAGGCTACGAACAATCAATTATAGTATATTAAGGGTATTGTAAGGTATTTTAACTAGGGCCTGACCGATATGGATTTTTTTGGGGCTGATACCGATTATTGTGGGGGGGGGCGTCCAATTACCGATTAATCGGACGATTTTTGCAATTTTTTATAGTTATAAAAAATAAAATATATATATATATATATATATACAGTATACTATATACTGTAGATATACTGTAGGCTACTGTAAGTCGGGGAACTTTTCAAGTTGGCGGAAAACCAATTTTTTCTTGTTCTCCCCATTTTATTTCTGAAAATATCTGCAAAAATCTGCGAGTTTTGGCCGATTACCGTTTAGTCTCTAACGGGCTAAAATTGGCCGATTTAATCAGCTCGGGGATAAATCGGTCGGGCCCTAAAAGAAATATAACCTAAGAATGAAACTCTACCAAGTGTATAAGTATCAAGCTACCAAAGAGAACCAACAATAATTCTACTTCAATATCCAGCAGGTATAAACTCATCATGCTGTATTATTTTCGTGCATGTAGGACGCACTCAAGCTGAAGTGAAGTTGTTCTGTCCCTGAGGGTCACAGAACCTGACGGATTATGAGATACAGGTGAACACAGGAGAGTTATTCATGCAGAGTTTCTCATTAAAGGAGCTTTTCTGCTCATCTAACAAAACAAATGTACCCCCGATAAAGTGCTGACGCTGAGAGTCCTGCTCGTTTACTAAAGGTTTGAGGGGGTGAACCCGTCCCCACAGGCAAAGAACCAGAAACACACAGGCGAGAATGAGGCCCAACCCCCTTATACATCCTGCATCCCACACAAAGAGGTTACCATCCATCGTGACTGTGTACAGTAACGCTCCAGTGGTCATATGCCCATACCCCCCTAGCCTTCCCAACACACACATATACACACACACACACCCCTGGACACAATAGTCTAGACGTAGAGGTACGAGATCCACTCAAGGACACAGAGAGCAGAGAGAGCAGGCTGAACAATGAGAGGGTCAGACAAAGAGGAGGACAGACGGCGTACAATGCACCGCAAGATTCAGTCATTTCTGCTGCTTCCTGAAACAACTTCGGTACACTGATGTTAACAAAGACAAGACGCTGAAGCTGCTTCTTCTTGATTTCATTCCCTTTCAAAATAAAAGTCTGAAACCTTCCAGCTAAAAAATTGAAATCATAGACATTCAGCTCCATGATTTCAAACAAACAAAACAAAGTCTTAAAAAATGTGCGTGAGTGTGATTTTTTTGTTTGTTTTTTTACTTGTATGTCGTGCAGCAGCTCTTGTTTTCTGCGGCGGATGCTCTCCAGCTCCTGTCTCTCCTCTGGACTCAGGTCATCGGGCACTGAAGAGAGAGAGAAACACACACTGCACTCAGATACAAAGATCAAATAAGCTCTCCCACACACACACACACACACACACACACACACACACACACACACACACACACACACACACACACACACACACACACACACACACACACAATAGATATGCTGCATAACAACACACACACATAGAAATAAGAGGGGTGACCTGAGAGTCCCACTGCTCTGGGTCACTATGGCAACACAAAATTTGATCATCCAGAGTACCCCCAGCATCCAAAGCCCAAAGTGGAGGATGAAATTAAACCCCGCTTGTCTCATACACACATTCACACACATTCAGACACACACGCGTGCATATTTACAAGCTGAAACGTGATTATTTCAGTCATGATCTCAGGAAGAGAGAGAGGAATAAAAACTAAAAATACTTTCTTAATTTTCGTTACATCATAAAACTGCTACAAGGTCACATTTGCTCAAAAAAACTAAATGAATTTTGATGAAGGTTACCATGCCAACAGAGCAAAACATTATTATGGAATGAGACTAATATAAGACAGACTAGTGCTGGGCGATAGGACGATAGATATCGTGGGCACGATAGAAAATGTCTATCGTGCCATTTTTATTTTTATCGTTTCGGGCGATAGGCTGTATTTTATCCATAGGGCTTGTGCCATCAGATGATTCATAGTAACAACAACAATAATTGCACATTCAGTAAGTGTATTTGGTGTCAAACGGAAAAGAAAACAATATTTTCTAACAAAGAAAAGGATGCGTTGACATGTAAGCTTGCATTTCTCTTTCGATTTTGCGACATGACGCCGCTTTACGTGCCCTCTTCGTGTCCAGCGTCTCCCGCCGTTGCGGGTTACCTGGGTTACACACGTGAGGGGATCATTGTAAGCAGTGCTTAAATTGTGCCGGAGCAAGTCGGAGCGCGCTCCTGGACCTCTTTTGATCGGATCCGGGACCTATTTCAGCCGCTCCGGCACCTGTTTCATCTGCTCCGGGACCTTCCCTGTAGAGGATGACATTTTTCGGGAATTCCCGTGGGCCACGTGATTCCCGCGGGAATCCCACGGGATGGGAGTCATTTTTAAATAACCCCTTTCCGACGGGACGGGAAAAAAAGCAACGGGAGTGGGCAGGAGCGGGAACAACATTAAAAGATGATCATTTTCAGCCGTGTTAAACAACCAGATGAACAGGTGCGTCCATTTTTGTAGTCATCTCTCAGTGAGAGCCAAAACTCTTGACCGCGCTAGCAACACAAAAGAACTACAACAGTGGTTTGACTTCCTGTCAGCTGGGAGCACAGCTGCGCATTTCTACCCTTCAAGCCAGCAGCGAGGAAACGTAATTTTGTGACATTCTGTAGTTTTTCAATCATTTCTGGAGTCATGGCGAATCAAATCACCTTACCTGTCTGCCCCTGATAGGCGAATAAAGCGCTCGGATTCATGCTCGGGTCTTCCTACGTGCTTCAAGAGTAAAGTAAACAATGATGGAGGCAGAGAGCAGCTTTGGAGGAGAAACATCTAGCAGTGTGAACAACCTCTTCAAAAGAGCCCTAAAGACCTACCTTTTTAATAAAGCCTTAGGTTAGCTATCCTTTATGCTTTTACTACCTTGCCTCTTACATTGCAACTCTATATTCTTTATTTATTTTATTCTTTTATGCTTTTTTTATGCCAATCTGTGACTGTCATTCTATTGCTTTTTTATTGTTGCTGCTCTTTTTTTACTGTGTACTGTAGCACTTTATTTTTTTATTTTTGTATACTTTATTTTTTGTAAATGTTAAGTGCATTACAAATTAAATTTATTATTATTATTATTATGGAGTGCTTCGGCTCACACTATCGGCGTTTTCTGTGAGTGTTGCATAACTTTGGGTGAGCACAGACATGAACGCACTTCAGCCACATATTTATTTATTCATTTTTCTAGTTTTAAGTGTTGGTCTTGTACTGGCACTGTACTAGGGCAGCTGTATACACTTTAATTTTTCATAGAACTGAAAGCATACCATAGCTATATCGTGATATATATCGTTATCGTGATATAAAATGATCCATATCGTGATATACATTTTTTTCCATATCGCCCAGCACTAAGACAGACTAACATATACATATATATCTTAGGCTTAAAATGAATAAAGATAACAGAAGACGTGTTGAAAATACACAGAGCTTCTTTTCAGCAGGTACTAAAGTAATTCATGAATCAAAACTTCTTTCAAAGTAAAAAACAAAGGAGTGTTAACGTTTTAACTTACTGTAAGCCGAGCCCACCTTCCATTTATTACCAACTCTTCAGCGAGTTTGTGCTCTGATAGAACAGAGGCTTACAGACACATAAGCTCTGCAGAGGAGTGATAAGACGAGTGGTTTAATATCGACGTGTTCATCACAGACTTGTGGCTTTCTCGAGAAAACTTGCGCAAGAAAAGAGGAAAAGAAGAGAGTTTATTTAAGGTGAGCGAAAGAGCACAGGAGGAAAGTTTCTGTGCTGATCTGGACAATTTTTATGTCATGATTTTCCACATGTTTGTTAAAAAAAGGTGTATTTTCTCACAGACTGTACAACAATGATTTTATTTGCAACTCTATCAAATTATTAATGTACAAAACACAAAAGTGATACGTCAAGTCCCGCCTCCAAAAGTTTCTCTACGTTTGGGTGCAGTACCTTTTCAAGCAGGGATTTTTTCAGACGGTAAAACAAGGTAACTGGAGCTTGATTGAGACTCAGTTCTCAGTAGTGAAGTCACACTGAGTTTTTCTACAGAATCAAAGTCTTTTAGGGAAGTTCCTGTGATGGAAACGTGGCTGGAGAAGACTAAACACAGCCAGAGTTTGTGTTGATGTTCAAAGCAGCTTCAACTTTTGATCAGCTCTCTGTTTAAGAAGTTAAATACTGAGTGTTTCTGACTGTATAAACCAATCCAAGCCTGCATCTTCAACTACAATCCAGGGTTGTGAGTGAATTTAGTCAGTAATTTACTCAATGATTTTATGTTGAATTGTTGAGTTAAAATGACAGCATTAAAAGAGTCATATCACTCTCTTGTTGGCTGTACATCAGTAGAATTTTTACATAACTTTCCCACTTACTAACCAAGGTAGAAGTTTATCAGAAAATAATTTAGGTTTTTTGTTTACATACTTATTTGATTTCATGTATATTAGAGAAATAGTACGGTATTGGGTTGAAACGAAGGAAAGACTACACCAGAGAAAATGCGAGTGAGATGACTTCAAATGATCAATAATAGCTACAAAGACCTCATAGACTAACCCTCTAATATTCACAGATTTGATTTATAGTCGGGTTAGCCACATTCCTTCTTTTTATAGACGATTGTATGTGTGCATCAGTACGCAGTGTCGTTCACTTTCTATCTCTGTCAGCTTAACCCCTACGAGCACCGACATGCAGACAGCAGAGGAGCAGGAGTTCTAATATCGATGGTTCACTTTTTAAGCTTTTATCAGTAAATACCAATATTATGCCAATACTAATGCTAATACTGTCAGGACTTTAGTAGAACTGTTTGGGTGCTCCAGAAAAATGACGTCTCAGTCAGTCTGCTGTTGTGTCAGTCTTCTCGCTTCCACACGGGACGCATCTTTTTTCCCCGCCGGAGCGTTGCAAAATCGCATCGGGCTTGATGTGTATAGTCAGGCACGTCAAAATTTGCCTCCAAATATTTCGGAATTTTGCGTCGTTCCTGGTGTGTAAGGACCTTTCCTGTTAGCAAGCGCAGACAACTACACCCTGACTCAGAGAGACACAGCGGACATCTGCTCTCTCTCTCTCCGGTATAGCAAAATTTCTAACCGTAGTCACTTTTATACCGTTACACGCTATATACCGTCATACTGCCCAACACTAGTGTGACAGGTGCAACAGCCTCTGATGTATTCATGTACTTACAGTAGACACACACACAGGGTCCCATTCACCCATCACACACAAACACACCCCTCTGCCTATAGAGACAGGTTAAAGTAGGGCAGAGCAGCGGCTCTTTTTAGAAACCTGAGGACGAGAATAAACTCCCATTGTGAACAGAGCAGCAGTGAAACTGGCATTCAGGCTCACTTCCTCTCTCTTTGTCTTTTATCAAGAGGAAATAAGAAGAGGAGAAGATGCAGTCCATCTCTCCAAACATCACCAGAACACACACATTCTGACGTAAATAACAGCATGCCTCTGTGAGCCCCTGAACCAGCTGCTCTGCATAGTCACAGACTCTGTGTTTGTGTTGGCGCGTAACGGGACACCTTGCTGTAGCATTGCTGCGGATGACCAACTGCTATAGACGGCCAACGCGCTCATGCCCAAAGTTCATTCTCTCTCCTGACACTTCCACTCTCCGGTTCGAAGTTATGCAACACAATACATCCTGCACAGACAGAATGACACAGAAAGACACCAAAACCACACGTACGTGGTGCCGGTGTTTCCTGCTTTCTCGAGAAGACGTGACAACACACTGTCATTCAGATAAGTTTCTGAAAAACGACTCAAATGCAGAAGTTCTGATGACGCACAGAACACCTACACACTTGTGTCATAGCTCTCTACTCGCACTAGAAAAAGCTTTTGTGTGACGAGTGCTCTCACCTCTGGTCTCAATGGTCCCTCAGCAGCTAAAATCTCCCAGCTCTTAAGTGTTTTTAAGCTGCTTGACCCAGCAATCTTTACAACTCTGGCTTCATTCAGCAATTCCAGTTCAGAGAAGCCTCTTTACTGCGGTCCGGTCTGGAGTCTCCAAGTACTCAAAAATAATCCAATCCTGCCCAAGCCCTTCAATCCCAATCCTGTGGTCCCCTGGTCCAGCTTCCCTGCTTGGTAATCCTTAGGCGCTCATTCCAACAGAGGGGAGACAGGAGGGGAGCAGCTAAATGAGGACTAGAGAGCGTGTGTGTGTGTGTGTGTGTGTGTGTGTGTGTGAGGGGAAAACCCTTGAACTCTCTCTCATCTCTCTCCCCCTCAGCCCCCTAGTCCATCTTGACTCCTCCCTCTCTATAAGACTACATCACAAGCACAGGCTCCCCCACGTGGCCACCAGTGTCCGAGAGGGGAAGCAAAGTAGACAGCAGACATTGGGTTGGCTTACTTCTGCTGGACGGCAGACACAACCAGACGGAAGAGAAGAAGAAACTTGGGGATGACATTTTGAGCACTGGCTGTCTAACTCTATAAGTTAAAGGCATGGTTGACGATTGGAGAGATTGGTAATTATTATGAACCTCGTTTCTATGGCGATCATGGTCCTATGGTGCGATCTCCACCAAGTAAAGAGAAAAAAGAATGGAAAAAATCTGTTCACCCTAGCAGGTGCAGGGCAGCAAAAACATTGAGCAATGGGAGCCATCCGTCCTGTACGCGAATTTTTTTTTGTAGAATGGTAAGGGAAGGTCCCGCCCTCCTTCGCCTCTGATTGGCTATAAGTGCTGTGCTCTGATTGGTTATTCCTTATGACTGTGAAACATCATTGTCTGTCAGGTTAGGGTAAGGGTAAGGGTTAGGGTTAGGGTTAGGATTAGGATTAGGGTTAGGGTTCGGAGATTCAGAAGTGCGATAATCATCTGTAATGTTCTGTTTGATGTACAGAGCCGACAGCCCGTGTTTGGCTTGATGACGTTTCCAGCTTTTCTAGCCAATCAGAGGCAAAGGAGGCGGGACTTTCCCCAACCATCCAACAAAAAAAATAAATAAATCGCATCCCGGACAGCTCCTATTGATCGATCTCCTGCTCCGCCTCTCCATCCAATCACCTTGCTGTATTTGACACACCCCTCTCCTGTAGTTCCGACTTGTCCCCTCCCACTCTCCGGGCCCTCCTCGGAGCTCTGATCGGCAAAAAGTAGCATAGCAGCTTAGCTACAGAAGCTGTGATGGAGAAGGACGCAAAAAAACACTTCTGCTCTCCTCACCGCTAAAAGAAAATGCAAGCCGACAGAAGAGGGGGCAGAGTCGAAGAAGAAATGTGACCAGGCGAGGAATCTAACCCGAATAAACATCGGGTCATCCTTCGAGCGGAGGAGAAAGCTCAGCTGAGTTTTTGTTGAACAAGTAATTTTTGCCTTTTATCGTGGCAAATGTTACATAAATAACTTATTACTCTCTGCAATGTCAACACGGTAGCTGTCCAGGCAGCTGCAGACGGCACGCGCTAGCAGAGCTGGCGTTTACTGCCGCTAATCACTAGCAATCCGACATGGTGAATCCTATTTGAAGCTAGCGTAGGATCTTCTGCCAGCCGGCTTCTTGATCTGCCAGAGGGGGTGTGTCATGGGGAGGGTGATACAGGTTCAGGGGGGGAGTTATTGTGGAGCACAGAGGGGAGAGGTTTGTGTGTGGGGGGCGGGACGCTTTGACTCTATAAAGCACCAGAACAGGTCCTTTGGGTTGCTGCTGCCATGGATCTCGGTACTGTAACTGTTAATGCTAATGTGGACTTTAATGAGAACTCCTATCACTACTTTGTTATCACCATGAACCTGTAGTGCTTTACAAATTATCAGAGAGGAAACAAAAATAAGCAAAAAGAGAAGGATAAAAAACATACAAAAGACCAGAGTAAAACCACTTCACTCAACCAGAGGAGTAGAAAAACAGGAAACTGTGATTGGGTTGGTGCATCTGCCACCGATGGGAAAACATTCAGAGTTGCCACCTCAGCCAAATAGATTAGAAGTGAATTTGTTGGATAAATGAAAACAAACTGCTGTCCTCATATCAACCAAGAAGCACATGCTGACAAAAACCACAAACTACAAGTCGGGGCCAATCCAGTACCCACACTGCCAATATCGCAGTATAACAGAGAAAGACTTGAGGACACAGCTCTCTTAAAGGAAACTTCTGTCTAATGTGGGATACTGTCTAACCACCAGTGCGGCAGCTGACCCAGGACCTGGAGCAAAGTTGTTTGGTTATGTCAAATAAATAATCTTTGTTTTCCAGATGGAGAGATTCAGTGTTGGGCGCTGACTAATCGGGCAGCCATTCCATCGCTCACAAGGCGATAATTGTCTGTTTAAATATCCCTTGGCCCGAGGAGAACAAGCTCAACTGAGTGATATAATCAGGCGGTTCTGGTAAAATCCCTGGTGACTGATCGTATTCACACAAGAACAAGCTGTGCCTTTGGACAGTAAAAATGCCTTCAAATGAAAAAGAGACAGAGTGGGGAAGTTTGAGAGAACATGAGCTGTTCTTTCGGGCAAATTGAAGAAGAGGAACAGATCATCCTGTTTGCAACTAAGTTTGGAAATATGATTACAGTTACTCTGTCAAGTGTGAAAAGGCTTCAAAAACGATACTATTGGTGGTTCTACTTGACACCACCTATCATACATCTATGCTATACTTACTATCACACCTCTGAACTCGTGGTGACAGAGTTTTTCAGGACAAATTTTTGAAGTACACAGATTAAATAACCTTCATATTTTAAAAGCTACAGATAGGAAATTTTAGTTTGTGTTAATGTTGGTGCCCCTTGTGGACAAAATAATACCTGCAACCTATAGCTTCCTACATGTGAAAGAAGTGTTTTCTGACAAAAATTGTTCAAAAAAAAAAAGACAAATATAAATTTGTGAGACACTTTCACCTTTCATAAATATGTATATATATATATATAAATATGTTATGGCCCTTTTTTGAGTTTTATAAAATATTTTTGCATTTTTTGTGATTTATTTTGTGATTTTTTTGTGTGTTTTAGTATTATTTTTTAATTTGATTGAATGTTTTTTTTTTTGTTTGTTTGTTTTCTGGTTTTCTAAATGTGTTTTGAGAAGTCCTGTCATGTTTGTTTAGTTGGCCTTGAGGGCCACCATAGCAGTTGCTCATGAGTGATTATAACAGAATTATAAACACACTGAAACAGGGCCATTATGCCATTTCACTCTCTTTATCAATCATTTAAAACGACCGCAGTGAAAACAAATATACTTGCTGCTGAAGGTTGTGTTTGATTTTGACGGTCACATGAAGGATTTTAGTCTGTTTCTCAACCAGTTAAAACTAGGGCCCAACCGATTTATTGGCGAGCCAATTAAATCAGCCAATTTTAGCCCGTCTGAGAGTAATCGGTAATCGGCCAAAACTCGCTGATTTTCGATGATATTTTCAGAAATAAAATGCGGAGAATAGGTTTCGGTGTCACTTCGAAAATGTTCCGCCATTTGAAAAGTCCCCCGACTTATCCTGTAGATGGCGCAGCGACCTCATGACAATCTTCATCCACTAACTACCTCACAGCACAGCAGAGTGACGGATCTGAAGCAGGCAGCTCAGGGACGCATGGAGGAGAGTGGTCCGCCTCAACATTAAATAAACCAGTTTGTGAAAAACACAATAAGTCAACAAGTTTCAATTCAACCCACTTCATCATGTTCCCCGCTGTGCTGGTCTCGGTCACGCCGAGTTAATGGTGAAGCATCATGTAATGTGCAAGCTAAAGTTAGAGTTAGCCATCTGCTATTAGCCTTGCTACACCGTTAGCCGTGCCAGTAACGGTAGAATAAACAACAGTACACATAACGTGATCGAGCTACTTCTCTTACTGAGGCAGCTGCATGTCTCCAGATGAGACCAGATCAGAAATGTTTAACGTGAGTAAAGACGCGGTTAAAACACCTTACAGTACCTTTAACATACTATTATTGATTATTTGTTCTATCCAAAATACCGTTCAACCGTTAATGCATGTATGTCTAGATTTTATCACGACTCCTCTTATGTTGCCTTCATGTTTTAATTTACTAATTTTTCAGGATGTTCTCTTTATGAAAAGCACTTTCTGCCTTTTGTCTGTGTAAACAGTTGTGAAGATAAACTTGACCCACTTCGTCAAAACAATATGTGTCTGCGTTATTACTGTTCCCCCTCCTGACAGAGGGGGTCATCTTATTTTGAACACTTTGTAACAATGCTTTTACAGGTTTTTCCTTCCTGAAATAATAAAGCACATCCTGTAGGGTTGGCTCAATCTGTCAGAGGAAATAGCACAGCTATCAAGAAAATGATTTACGCTCTAAGGTTGATTGTTATGAAGTTTAACAGCAATCTCTCCCTTTCTGTGGAGGCTTTTTGTAGTTTTTCCAAACCATGTTCTCCAGACTTTGTCCAGTGTTTGAGTCACAAGCATGCAGCCAAAGTTAACCAGTAATTTGAGGGCAATCCCTAAATTTCACTCCAATAAAGGGCGTATTGACTGTATTTATAGACACATGCACTATAAAGTGCTGCCCAGTAAGCACAAACCCCCCATGAGGTCTGGCCTCAATCCAGATTAATAATAATGGATCTTTTGTGCCAGTTCATACAGCCTCCCAGAGAGCATTAACAACAGTCAGATAAGGACTTGTTGCTTTCTCTGCAGGTTCAATAGAGGCCAAACAAACTCGACACCGAGTTATGAAGCAGACAGATCAGTCCTAGACAACGTTAGCTAAAGTTACGTCAGTTGACCAGCTAACCTGGTTAGCCTCTAGTTCAGCTCTGTTCACTGTGAACACACAAAGCGGCTGAAACTCAAGACAACTCACCAACTCCGTCTTCTGACTTCAAAACCATGTCTGCGCTGCCGGTAAACGTCGGTTTACGAGACTTTTTTCACTTTAAAGTTCCTCCAAAAGACGAAAAGTGGCGAAAATTCTCACTCCGTAGTTGATGTTGATGACAACTGTCTGCGGAGAGAGACAGCAGCCGGTGTTGGAGCAGGAGGACGTGGGCGTGGCTTTAACAACAGCAGCCAATCAGAGAGCGAATAAGAGCAGACAACGTTCTATCTATCTATCTATCTATCTATCTATCTATCTATCTATCTATCTATCTATCTATCTATCTATCTATCTGTCTATCTATCTATCTATTTGTTGACTGAGGTACGTTAACAAAAACCTCGAGTACGGTGGCCCTTTGGGTCAATAGAACAAACATTTAAAAAGAAAAAACAAACATGTATTTCACAGAGCCACCCAAAATTTTATGAAATTATTTTATCAAACAAAAGAATGATTCATGAAAGGAAAATGAATTGTTCTTTTATTGTTGAAATATTTTTAACTTTTATGAAATATTTTACGTTTTGAATTATCATTATTATTATTGTGGAATATGTCTGGACATTTTGAAATATTTTTTTTGTATATTTGTTGCTTTTTATATATATATATATTTTGTTTTGTTTTTCATGAAACATAGGCCTAAATTAGTTTTATAAAATCTTCTGCATTATTAATATGTTTTATGTCCTGAAAAGTTTGATTACATAATCTTAGCATTTTGTAAAATGTTTTTGGTGATATCGGAAATGATTTTTTATTCTATTTTTATTTTTATTTTTTTGCATTTTCAAAGTCAAATGTAATGTTTTAATTTTGTCAAATGTAATTTTTAAATTTTTATTTATTTTTTTCATTTATTTATGTATTTATTTTTGCATTTTCAAAGTGTTTTTTTGTTTTGTTAAAGTTTTAAGTTAAATTTCATATAATGTGAATTTTTCAGATGTTCTTAAGTAGTTGTCTATTTAAGTGGTTCTCAACTTTTAGGTCCCAACCCAAAAGTGGGTCGCAAACCTGTTCTGGATGGGTCGCGAACAGCTGGTTTCCTGCGCATCTGATATTTGACATGTCTTTTATTTTGAAAAATAGATTATTTTTTAAAAGGCAGGCATTATGAGAACCACTGGTCTATTTGACCTTGAGGGCCAATCAAATTATAAGCTACTTAAGTAGTAGCTTATCATTTTCCCCTGTACTGACTGTAGTTGATAACCCAAAATAATCATGGAAAAGGGGGAAAAAAAGCATCACATGTCTTAATAGGTCTGATTCCTCATCTTTGTCTTAATATTACAGCATTATAATTCTGACTTTGCATTCCTCTTTTGATTCAGCTTTGTAAGTGATAAAGTATAATGTGAGCCAGCCCGTCCTGTTGTTTTGGCATAGAAGATTATTATATAACTTTCAATGCCTCTGATTCCCCGGGGAGAAATGATTAGAACAAAAGATTTAGTGTCTGTCTCTAAATGGGTGTAACTGCATGCTTCTGAATCACTTTTAATGACTTTGGCCTTGGGATGTGCGAAAATGTTCTTTTTTTAAGCCTCACATCTCCACCCAGAGCGCATACCCTATTTGTGTTGGTGCAAAGTGATGAAAGTTTTGGCAGAAGGACAAACTTCTCCTCCTCCTCCCAGCATGAAAAAGATTCATGACTCAGCCAGAAATGAAGAAAATAGTTACTTTTGAAGTGATGTGCTGGAGAGGAGAGACATATCTCATGTAAATGGTTATGAGGACTGAGGGAGCAGGACTGATCTGAAGATGGATGGCTTTTGTGTGAGGCAAAGAGGAAGGGAGAGGAGAGGATGTAGGGAAGGATAGAGGAAAAGAGGGCAGAGGATTGCAGCTGTGAGCTTGAATCAGTGCTTTATTCAGAGTTTGGACACACCAAAAACAGGATATGCTGAGGAGGGGCGGGGGAACAACTGCTGCAATGTAGCTGTTTAAAGGGTCAGTTCACCCAAACACAGATGACATTTTCTTATGTCATGAATATAGAGCTGTGAACAGTTTTGATTGGGATTTTATTGGGTAGAAACCAGTTATGTAAAGAGAGAGAGAGAGGTGATGTTTTCTTAGATTGAAGGGCATCCTAAAAGACATGTTTTTAAGCTCAAAGGTAACTCTGGGTGATACTTTTCCAAGTTTTCTCTACTTGAGGAGCGCCCTGGTAGAGTACATAGTGTGGGATATGGTATGGCACATCATGGTTTTATTCTGGATGAAAGCTTGGCGTCGTGTTTTCTCTGATGAGACGGCAGCCGGGAAGGTCTAACCTTGTTCTCTTCTCTGTGGAGAGGCACCCGAATAGCACTCCCAAGATTTTCCAGGCTAAGGAGCACTCTAGAGGACACTTTACACTTCTTACCCACAGTTATGGCACTCTGGAAGAAATTACAAAAACCTTCTCCACTGAAAAGGCACCTTAGTGGCTTCTTGTCACAATTTCTGTATCACGTTTGCGAGCACATTTTCTGGATGGGCATTTTCAAAATCACTCACAAGTTATTCACTTCAGCGGGGAGTTTTTAGCTGGTTGTGAAACAGAAGAAAATTTATATTGTTGTCTTTTTATGACTGGAAATATTCAAACGCTTAACTTCCTCTCTGACGTCATAATTTTTAGGGGTACCTGACCTTTCTTCAGGTACCCAGTTCCGCTGAATCACTCTGCTCTGAAAGCCGCATACTGAACACAAACACTGCCATGAAGAGCCACTTTGGGGGTCCGAAGAGCCAGTTCTTGTTGAGCCAAATGATCTGAATTCCCAACACTAGCAGCATTTACATGGAGTTTGTTAACCTGAGGATCTTAAAGCTTGTCTTACATGGTAAGATGGATCACAGACAACTTGAGCAAGACCATTCAGTCTGAGTAGATCTGAATGACAAAAGGGTCTAGATGGATATAAATTGTTTGGAATAATATTTCACTGAGCTTGGATTGTGGGGGGCGTCTTTGTTGACACTAACGTTTCTGTTAACTTCGGTTTTACGAAAATTAATGGATTACCTTTCTAGTTAAGGCCTTAATTAACAAACATGTGGTCCTTTGAGGTTCAGTTTACACTCCAAAATAATCAGCAAAGAGAGAGGAAGTACTGCTTTGTTCTGATTGAAGTTTTTGGTGTACATTTGATCGCGTTTTCTCTACTAAGACCCTAGAAACTAAAACCATTACACTAAACTGAAATATCCCTACTTACTGTAAAGCGTATCCTCTCATAATTTCGTTCCCTGGATGGGCGCCCTTGGGGGCACTCAGTCATGATTTCTCTGCTAAAAGTAAACATAGAGGGCAAGTTTTCCCCACTGCCAAAGGACATGTCAGCATATTTTCTCCACTAAGTCAAGGAGAGATGCAGTTCTGTTTTACACCAGAAATTCAATATAATTAAATTTTCGCCACTAGTTCAAAACCTTGTAGGTGTCCTATAAAGTTTTCTCCACTAGGTCAAGAAGGGATGCAATGCTGTTTATTTTAATACAGTAAAATTTTCTCCACTAGTTCAAAACCTTGTAGGTGTCTCATAAAGGTTTCTCCACTTGGATGGTAATGTGGTTGACTCTTCATCCCATTTTCTCCAATAAAAGGAACAAGGCATGTACTTTCTCATGTTTCTCCTTGAGAAGAGACTCCTTTTCTGAGCCTTTAGGGTGACTGTATGTCAGCCTTAGATGACTGTGAATAAGTGTAACTGTAAACTCCTTCATGGGAAAGAACACTATGGCCTGTTGGGAGAATCATCTGCCTCACAGCTGAAAGGTTCCTCAGTGAAAACATCACTAGAGGCCAAAGGCACAGAAATAATCAAGTGGAGAGCAGAAGGAAATCACAAGGAAATAGAGGAGGGAATCCACAGTAAGTGGAACTAACCTGGATGACAGTGTGCTGCCTTCACTGAGTCAGTTTGGCTTTTGAATAAGAACATGTGCACAGATGAAGAGCAGAGATGGAGATTATGTTGGTACATGCAGCAATCAAAAGACAAAACGGTGGAGAGAGGGACTCTGGATTAAGGGATGATAGGTGTGTGTTATGTTCTCCACACAAGCTCGCCATAATACACAGTTTGTCCGTGTCCGCCTAAAACAAAAATGTCAAAAACATGGCATGGCACGCACACACTAACACACACCTCGGAGCGCTGTGTGTCTTGAAAACCTAACAGAGAATCACCAAGGCAACTGAATACCTCCAGCATTTTTTGTCAGGCTTATGCTCACCATGTTTTACTGTGTTTTGGTCTTTTTTTCTCTGTCAAGAGTCACAAAATCCCAACTGACAACACAGCTGTAACGACGACAAGTTATCCCGAAGGTAATTTTTATGATTAAACACCAGAGAAGTTCTAACCAATCCCTAATTTATGGTCAAGTTACACAACAAATACTCATTAGCTCATACATACTTCACTTCGTATTTTGTTTTTTTACAAACTTCACAGACACGATTTTATAAAAACACTTACCTGTGGCTGCAGCAGGTGCCCCCAGCCCCACAGATGGACAGAGAAATGCCTGAAAACTGGAGGCGCACAGCTCACTCACAGTCCCCATCACAACACAGTGTGTATCTGGAAGCCAAACAGGGTTAAAAGATATCAATATCCTCTCCACATCTCTTTGCCTTCTTCCCTGTTTTGTCAAACTAAAATAAAACCAAATCAGCAACAGGTTCCTGAAAAAGTCGTGCTTTCTCTCCTGACTGCCACCAGACTCTGTCAGACTCTCAGAAAAACACACTCACACTCTCTCTCTCTTTCTCTTTCTCTCCTCCCTCCTCGCTCTCGATCACACTCTTGACCTCTCTCCTGAATCTGCACTCACGCACTCCTAACTTCGACTAGTGCTCACTCAGAAACCTCTCACTTTATGATACATCTATACAGAATTTAAACAACAGTCCTAAATGCATAAAAAAGGAGGTATGTATCAGCTACATCGACACCCGCCCACTGCTGTGTCACTTTGAACAGTTGTTGAGTATTCTTGGAAGTGATGACAAATGTACACACACATGCTCACAACCTCCTATCCTCCTGTTTCACTCCCACACACACATTTGACTCCTGCATAGTTTAGTCAGAGCTGAACAAACACACACACACTCTTACTTACATATATTAGGTTATATATAGGCGGTGAAAGAGGCACTGAGAGCAAAGAAGCACAGCGCTTTTTGGGTAAACAACAGAAGTGAGTTAATTCAGAGTAAGGTTAACATATGGTAGCTGTCTTTTATGTATGTAGAACCTCAACCAAAACACCACTCTATAGCCACAAATAATGCTCAGAACAGCACCTAACTTCATCAACAGGACATATAGGGTCCCAGCCATAGTAATAGCCACCAAACATCTTTTTAACTTTAATTTCTTTAGCAAAGAGACTAAACACAACTCACCTACTCTCTTCCAGCAGCCACTTGTTTGTAGCAAGACCTTGGGCCAGTCCATTATGGACTATAATGGGGTGATGCAGCTCAAGGAAGAACATTTACGATCACTGCGTCTGCAGTGCAAAATGATTAATATGGTGATTATTACTTCAAGATAATGATAAAGAAATTATTATAAATGTTCTTCCTTGAGCTGCGGCACCCCGCTGCAGTCCGTAATGGACTAGTCAAGGTCTTGCTGCAAACAAGCTGCTGCTGGAAGAGAGTAGGTGAGTTTAGTTTAGTCTGCTTGCGAAAGAAATCAGGCAAAGCTAAAAGGATGTTTGGTGGCTAGTACTAGTACCCTAGGCTAGTACCCTATATCAAATCAAATCAGATTTTTATTTATATAGTGCCAATTCACAACAGTCGTCATCTCAAGACGCTTTTCAAAGAACAAGAGCAGGTCTAGACCACGCTCATTGTTTGATGATCAAGAACCAACCTAAGATGGGTTTTGGCCCATCTCAACTAACATGAGTAGCAGTGGCAAGGAAAACTTCCTTTTAACAGGCAGAAACCTTGGGCAGGACCAGCCTCATGTTAGACAGCCACCATGCTGCTGCTGGGTTGGGGAGGAATGTAGAGAGATGGAGGGATATGTACTGTTGATGAAGTTAGGTGCTGTTCTGAACATTATTTGTGGCTGTAGAGTGACGCTTTGGTTGAGGTTTGTTTATGGTTCCACAGACCGCTGTATATCGCTATCGTCTGACACCTACCTCCTCACAGAGTTTACAGGCATTAAAATAAAGTGAAAATATGATGTGAAACTGTTCAGTCATGTTGCTAGTAGTCTGTATTGCTTCTCAAAGTCATCTAGGTGCAATGCCATTAGTTTTTAAGTCCATTTCACAACCAGTTGAAAATTCCTCACAGGAGCTTTAATATTTGGATTTTTAATCTTTCTGTTGAAATCAATAAATCAAATGTTCCTCCTTGACCTGTCGGATGCTCTCAAAATCTAGCCATTTTTAGTCGTTTCTCTGAGGTTGCCCACTCCACATTTCTATGGCTTTTATTAGCAGGTAACTGCAAATACTGAAGGTTAGAAAAACGTTGACAGCTGCCATATCTGTATCAAGAACTGTGCCTCATTATGTTACATCTATTATAGCTATTCATACTCGAGGTCCATTATAAAGGAGCAGCGGTGCTACTATTTAGGTAAACTCAGCGTGAGTGTGATATTATTGACCTTGCAGGCTGCCCTTGAACTTTAATTTTGCCTTTTTTACTCACTTTTCTCCACAGCTCCCACTCCTCCTCTTGCACTACATTTACTCTCAACATCCCTCCATTTCTCTCTTTCTCTCATTAAATCTCCTTTCCTCCTTCTCCTCTGTGGAGCTGACCTCTTTCTGTGGCACCCAATCTCATCACCTCCACTCATCCCTGAACTTTCTCTCCTTACATCAATTGTTCCACAGTGTTTGTGACCTTTCCTTTTTTTTCCAGGATCTCCTATTTCTGCAGTTTTTGACAGGATTCCTGACAGCCGGGTTTTGTTTTGTATAAAAACTCATAATCTTTGACTGCATATCGAGGCGCTGTAACAATAGGGCTCATTAAATAAAGTATATACATGCACGTCGAAAATCCAGACATCACAGCTGGCAGGTTGTGCTGATAAGTGAGACAGAGTGGGTGGTGTGACGTAAGCAGCCCCAGTGAACTTCAGCATTTAAAATATATAAATAAAGATAAATGTAGAGCGTTAAAAATGCGTCAGGTTTAATCAGATGGGCCTTTCTATATTTAGATGATGTATGCAGCTGGATTTAACTTCTTTGTGTTGCTGTGTGCAACAACTCATCTTGGAAATATGTTGCAAATGTACAAAACATTATAAATATTTATCCTACAATGCGGTAAAATACAAAACAACACAAAAGTCAAACATGATTGGATATATGATGATTGGATATTATGTGACTCGAAACAGATTTATTTATTCAGTTTCTCACTAAAAACCCGAAATAATACGAAAAGTGACAAAATAAAATTTATCATGTTGGCATGTGATTGAGTTTGTCTGTTTATTCTCATTTCAATTTTAACATCTTAACCAACAAAACCTGAACTGACAAAAACTAAAAAAACAAGCTGTGAAAAGTAGGAAACCGAATGAACAGGATTAAGTTATCAATGGTTCCAGATGCTTCTTTTGCATCGTCTTGATCTACTCCATGAGCAAGTGTTCAGGCGGACGAAAAGAAAACATAATAAAGCACCACCAATCTCAGGTATAATCACCTTATTCCCCCATCGTTTCTCCTCCAGCTCTCTCTCTCTTATGTCTATCAGGTTACTATGACAACCACAAAAAGCTCAGCATGTAAGAGAGCATGAAATTGCAGAGACTGTCTTTCATCCCCCTCAAAAGAAACGGTGAAAACATTTTCATCTTACGCAAAGAAAAACTAGCCGCGCTTTGTGAGCAGCCTGCAGCTCTTGAGGTTTCTGTTTTTGAACATCAAATAAGCTTACTTTTTTTTGGTAATTTGTTCAAAAGCGAACATTACAGCTTTAATTTCATGTAAAGGACCAGGTCTCCCTGTGTTAAACTGACGTAGCCTGATGATTAGCTTGATGTTTGCACTTATTTTGGAAAGATCCACAATGAAAACATAGAGTCCAGGTTAAAAAAAATCTTATTTTGTTTGTCTGACTGTAATACACCTTTTAAGATTTAACAATATTGTTAAATCTTACGTCATGCTGCTCTCCAAGATGCTGCCAATCCAGGTTCCATAAAAAACGATTAAAATTGAGTCCACTGGGAAATAAAAACCGAAGAATATGAAAAAAAGAGCCGGCATTAATAAGACTTGAGTCCAAAATGAGATAAAGAATATTCTCTATGGGCGTAAATGATGAAGAGCTAAAATATTACTGCAAAATAAATTACATTTTTAAGCTCGTTTGTAAAAATCAAAGATTAATTCCAGGAATCTTTAATTTGGACTAAGTAACTTGAGCTAGAGCTGAAAAGCATAATCTTTCAGGACTCCGTTTGTATAGCATACACACAGTAATATGTTTATTAGTGATGCCATGAATATTTTTGGAAAGTGTGTGTTTACGCAGATCTTTCAATAAAATGGGGAATTTTTTAATGCATTTGGGGATTTTTTAAAAATCATTTTCTGTCTAGACCACATTCAGAAACTCTCATCATTTTGAATCAGCACCCTCCTCTTCTAGTTGTTTTCTTTTTTAATATATATTTCTGTGATGTTTTATAACCATTCAATTTAAATTATTATCTCTTTTATGGATTTTTTCAGTTTTCAGCGACTTGTCTACATTTGTATTTCTCTTAACATACAGTAGTTTATTTAACTTTTATTCCTCAACATCTTATGTATTTCAAGATCTACAAAACCCGAATTCCAGGACTTGTATTTCTTTTTATTTATTTCTTTTTTATTATTTTTGTTATAGCTCCAGAATTTGTTATTAAAGCACAGTCATAGGAACATCCAGCAGTGGACGGGTTTTGAGGGAAAGGGGGTGTTTGAGCTGTGTTTCCTTTGTATAATCTGGATAAAAATAATAAAAATATTGTTGAAAAAAAATCATTTTCTGTTGTGTTTGCTTCCTTTTAGAGAAGATCTGTCATATTTGAGCTTCATGTTTTCTTAACTTCTCCATATAGAAAGTATTTGATCAGTAGAAGTGTATGTAGTATGTATGCAGAGGACTGAGGCTGCTATGTTACCCAGCGGCCACTGGATGGCATCACAACTACAAGAAACACCCTAAACACAGAGTATGAATAATACTGTACTGCCCACCTTGGTGCAGTTTTAATGATTTAAAGAAATGCTAATTCTGAATTGGTTGTACTTACTTGATTTGAATTCATTAGATAATAAAAGTTACTGACTGGTTTGTATCTGGAGTGGGAAAATCTATGAAATAATTCAGGGGGTGTGGTGGGGTTTATTTTGAATGGCGGGCCAAGAAGTTTGCAATAAAGTATTTCAGCAATGTAACTGAATCCATTCCTGTCTTTTTATAAGGTTTATCCTTTTACATCCACTCTGCTTTCTGAAAATATTAAGATCCCCATCCAATAACCTTTATTGATGTAGGAGAAAACTCGGGTATCACAATTTAATAAGAAAACTATTTTAGGGTGTGGGGGTTTAGAGACTCTAAGCTGTATTTGATTAACAGTATGAAATACGGTCTATTCACGATTCACACGCCTGTATGTTCTGTCTGAGTTGGCTAGGTTTGCAAATCATCAATTAAAACAAAAATCTATATCAATAAAGTACTCAAATACAAAAAGAGGCTTCAGATTTAGGGGTGACACAGAAGCTTTCCTCGATGTAATCTAAATTAATTTGTAAAAGAAAATTCACCGTCCCTTGGAAACACTGACCCCTGACTGTCCCATTAAAAGCTCAGTGTGGGAAGAAGTGAAATCCCCTCTGTCACTGGATGATTATTACAATCCTGTTTGACATTTGTGTGGAGAGAATGAACAGAGATGACAAAACCGCCCAGTCTGGGCTCTGCCTGCACATTTCTCAAATACTTTCCTAGTGGAGTCGATCACCACATCTATTTGAGTGTATTTGTCTGCCCTTCTCCCGACACAGCCTTCACACTCTGCTCTCATGCCTCCGCGTCCCAAACACACCTACTTCTGTCAGTAATGAGGATGTTATTGCAGCTGAAATAAAGGCTAAGCTTGAGTAACGCACCAACATTACAGACACTTGTGCATGAAAACAGAACCTGATTCAAATTCAAACCAATGATAGAAGATAGAGAATGCAAACTGATCACCCTTGTCAAAAAAATGAATGTACGGTGTAAAAAAAACAGAAATTTGTCCATATTGGATATTGAATTATGTGATGACTTTTTATCTGCAGTCTTGTCAGTATAGTCACTTCATTATATTGAGGTTAGCTATGAAGCTTCTGAAGGTTATCTGAAGGGAAATTCCGCCGTAAAATTAAGTTAAGGTCAAACACACCGTAACACCGAGTTAGACACCCAGTCAAGAGATGATTGTTCCTGACCGCTTGCTTCTCTAGTTATACCAACTTTAATAATGACCGCACAATAGCAATACAGAGAGCCACGCACTCAACCAAATCGCCACTCTATAGCCACAAATAATGCTCAGAACAGCACCTAACTTCATCAACAGGACATATAGGGTCCCAGCCATAGCACTAGCCACCAAACATCTTTTTAACTTTGCCTGATTTCTTTAGTAAAGAGACTAAACACAACTCACCTACTCTCTTCCAGCAGCTGCTTGTTTGTACAGAGACCTCCAGGCGAGTCATCAACTGCAGCGGGGTGACGCAGCTCAAGGAAGAACATTTACGATCATGACCAGCCAATAGTGTAAATCACAAACGCTATAAGCAGTGTTTACTTTCCACCTTGCTAGATTGAGATATAGCTCAATGTCAATTTACTCATTTATCAAACAATCAGTGGGGAAAATAAATGTTTGGAGCTTTGAATCAAGCCAATATCAAGTTATTAGAGCTTTTTGCCCTGGGTGATTAAGATTTTAGCCATGCTAGCAGCACGGCTCAAAATGTAGCTTTGTTAAAAGTGCTAGCCGCACACAAGTACTTAAGTTGAACACTTGGAAAGTTTTTCATGAGTTTAAGATTAATTTTGACAACTGTGACGATCTTTAGCCCCCCTCTCCAGAGACATAACCGGTACAATTTGTGCTCTTCTTTATTTTAGCTAACATTAGCATGCTAGCTAAAATTCGCTCTGCTCCAGCAAGCCCCGCCCACAAACGGACGCTCCTGCTCGCTCGTATCGTTTTAATTAAATTCAGATGTAATGTAGATAAATACTTCGGATAATTACAAATGGGGCCCAGTCAACATGAAAGTAAAAAGCATTGGTGCTACTAGAGATGCCAACAGACTACCAGCAAACACAATGTTTTCAGGACTTCTACAACTAGGATAAAGTGACATAGTCCAGAGGCCTGTACTACGAAGCTGGATTAACAAATCCAGGATAACTCTGCGACAACTCGCTCAACTTCACCGGATCTCCGCGATCCCGATCAGCTGTACTACGAAGCAGGATATCAACTCGATAACTGAATCCAGTTCAGATCTGTGCGCGCACACGTAAAGGGGGTCGGGTCAGTGCCACCGGACCAATCTCCACAGTGGAGAAGGCTGCACGTCATTTTTCACAGGTGAAGAACAGAGCTTTATTTAAACAGTGAGACAGACACAGCCGATAAAAGCCGGAGGGACTGCCGGCAAAAAAAATCACCGGTTGTGTAAATTACATTTGTGCGTTCATAAATTTATGGCCCACTAATATATTGTCATGCAGCGTGTGTGATCACCACCATCACTGACCTCATTATTTAAGATACAACAGCAGTGGGGAAAAGAGTACGTGGGAGCAAATAAAAATAAATCTAAAAACATCCTTTAAAGTAGTTTGTAAGTTTATTGGAAGATTTTATTTGTACATATTTCAACGCGTAAACAGTGATTTCCTCACACTGCCTTTTTTTTTTCTCCATCATCTGATGGTCACGTCATCTGCAGACACATTTGGGGTTAAGAGTTTTCTTATCTGCTTCAATGAATTCTGAAAGATGACTAACAAATTTGAACCTGGAGCTGAGCAAATATTAGTGTATTGCTTAGACTTTTTGCTACCTGAATATTGAGGCCGTCCGAGGAAAACCTGTAACGTTCATAGAGAACGTCATCAGGTAAATCAAACGGATTTGAACGATCATGAATATAACGCTCTCGGCGGAGCGCTCCTCTCACTATCCGTGCAACGATGTCCCCGGGATCCGGCAAAAGTGGGCAAGCCATTTTCCAAGAGATCCGATCGGTCATCGGGCGGTTTTTTATACCTGCTGAGATCTTATCCTGAAACATAACCTGCTCCGGAGCAGGTTTGGCGTTCCGCGTAAGTTACCGGGGCAACGGACCCGAATAAAAAGAGATCCACCTTCGTAGTACAGAAAACCCAGAAGTTATCCAGAAGTTATCTCGCTAAGACCAAATCCAGCTTCGTAGTACAGGCCTCAGGACCCGAGGTAAGCTACAACATGCAACAGGTCCCGTTTGACAAAAACACTTCTGTTACAGACACTTGTCTTACTTTGTTAAAGCGGTTTACCTGTCCAGCAGAAAGGCTACAGGGTCCGTAAGATCCCGAAGCGTCCCCTATCGTTTGTGCTTCATTATTGTTGACTCGGCTTCTTAGCTCTTTTCCGGTCTATCTCCATTTTAAACGCCCGTTATTCCACCAGAGTCTTTACTTTGTTTTCTTGCTTGTGTCGGCAGTCGTGACTAAAAGCGGATTTCTGTACTTTCTGGTTGGTTTCTACTGTCCGATATTGTTGCACGCTAACTTTGTTTGGGCTCGTGATAGAACGTTATTGGAGGACGTGTAGCGTGCCTCACAACCAATCAGGTCGAGGAGGTGGAGAATAGGTTTGTTTACTGTCAGAATAAGCGGACCGCTCAAAAATTTTAAATGTTGACTACATGGACATAAGAGCGTGATATTCCAAAATGTCATCAATAACTAACAGCCATTGCAGGGCTGCCAAGTTTCAGAAAATGACAAGAGTGAGACTTCGGAGGAGCAATTTTTTTTGCCTTTTTGTACGTCTTAGGACTGATGTCCTCACCGCCATGCCAGCTGCTCTCCCTAATGCTAGTCTTAATTAACCAGATATTAGAAATGAAAATTGTAACAAGAATTTTGACTCTGATTTTGCTTTCTTCTGACTTAGTAACTGAAACGCTCTGATATCTGACTTCAGAGGTAACTCAAACGCAGCATTAGGCACAAAGGACTGGTCTGTGATTGGTTATCTCGGTCAGTCAATCAGAGTTACTCGAACTTAGGCAAGCCGAGTTTATTATCATGAAAAAAATAAATACAGAGGTTTGAACAGGGAAAAATAAGCGTGAGAAATGTCAAGTGTGGCGTGTGGTGTGAGAATGAGTTGAATTGCGTGACTGTCACACTCAAAGCGCTACACTTGGCATCTCTCATAAAAGCTTTTTTGTACCACAAAAAAAGATGCTTCTTTAACAGATTCCTGCCCACCCCACCTTTAAACCAAAAACAACCACTGCAAATGAACGACACATGCGTTAGTCCTTTCAAACATGTTTTTATTTGATAATACTGGATATTTTGTCCTTTGCCTGGACTTACACAAAAGCATCAACACATGCACAGTCCTCTATTCACACAAAGTACCCATTCTCATTTCTCTACACCTCTCCAAAAAGGACTTATCTCTCTCACTCTCACGTTACCCCAGCGCAAGAGGACCTTCTCAACTTTACACGACAGCTAAATACATCTTAGACAAAAAAAAAAAAACAGCGAAAAACACACAAAAACCATGACAGGTATAATAATAACACTGAAAAAAAAACATAGTTATGAAAAACTGAAAGAGTTTACTTTTAAATTATGCCTCTAATACTCCATCATATATAGATTTGTAGTTAATGTAGCTTGAGGTGTATAAAACAGCACTGTAAACTTTGATTGAGTAACTTGCTTTCTATGACAGCAATAAAGCTTTTATTAATAACAGGAAGGAGCAGGAGACAAGTCAAAGCTAATATTAAGCATTTAAAGACCTAATTACTTATGAAATAAACTGTAAGAATATAACAGCAAATCATGAAACTGCTTTTGGCATTTACAGTTCACAGAAAATACAAAGACACTGAAAAAAAAAACAAAAAAAAAACAACATCCCACAAGCTCTGTTAGTTTCCCTTTCACACATGTAAGATCTGCTAAAAGATCTCTTGTATCCTGGACTCTGGGCGGTGCGCCCTTTATTTCCACTCACTGCAGGAACCGTTTATCTCTTATGACAAAAACAGCGAGATTGAGCTTGTGAATATGGATCACCAAAAGTACTAAAAATAGGCAAAATCTGCACCTGAGGCAGATCTCTCGGTCTGGGCGAACATCAGAGTTTTTTAGGCTCTTGTCTTTACTGGAACTCATCCTCAAAAAGTGCAAATCTAGTTCTAATGCAGTAAATAATCAAGTAACAACAAAAGTATATATGCATAGGAACTGTACAGCTACATAGTAGGGACAACGGGGGGACAGGGATGAAGATGAGATGAAGAAGACTGAGAAATTTGGGATATTTCTGACTTATTTGTGTCGTTAAGAGCAGGTTTAAATTTAGAGCACTCATCTTTACACAGCATAGACTGGTCCAGCGAGGCCTGTGGAGGTCACACGCTTTGGTTAAAAACAAAACATTTTCACCTGATGAAAAAAAGATCAGCTATGCAAGATGACTCATGTGCTTTTTAAAGAAAAGAGCTAAGCATGTTGTGGGTGTCTGACATCACCTGTGGCCGAATGGCTCCCAGCTGAGAAGACGAGAGAGAAGCGGTAAATAATAGAGTCGAGAAAGAGCAAGACAATCATTCAAAAAAAGGCAACTTGGAATTTGGCTTTGGAGTAAAAAGGAGAATGAGGTAATAAAAGTAGAAACAGGATGGGTAACAATGATCGTCAATAGATCTGGGATTGATTGGTAGATTTGGAGAGCAGAGCTTTAAAGAAAGAGCTTTACGGGGGCAGGAAGTGCTCTGTCTCATCTTAGGATTTATGTCCCCCTGACGCCAGCCTCAGGAGGAAGTGACAACATCACTCGACCAGTCTATGTCTCATGATGCTATTTTAGATGTTTTTACAGGCACTGTGTCCGAAAACAACCTCTGAGCCTCTTCTGAGTCAGTGACTTTAGCAATAATGAGCTTAAAGCAGCCTTATATTTAACTGTTCTGGCTTTACGGACAACAAATACAGAGAGAGGCCAAAGATTGTTTTCAGACCAGCTGGTAATTTCAGTCACGTCAACTTTCCTTTTTTTTAAAGATTTATCTCAAAAATCACTTTGCCTGATGTTGTTGTCTTAAATTTCAATGGAATCTTTTACATTTATTTGGCGTGTCACTCGACTAAGGGTCCTCTGTGTCCAGGAAGTCCTTCTTGGGTGGAGCCACGCCACGGTACCAGGAGCAGGAGCCATCTACCCTCTTGACGCAGGCGTAGTGGTTGGCCTGTCGTCCGTGCACCTGCTTCTCGATCATCAGGTCCGTCCACAGACACTCCTCAGGAGCTGAGATCTCGCAGGGCAACATGGTACAGCGCACAATCTGCAGAGACACACAAAATACTTACTTAAGGTCCTTTCACACTGAGAGCGTTTTTTTTGTGCGATTATTTCGGACATCAATATTTTTTTTCAAACCCGTATCCTGTCAATACAAGCATTCACATCAGCGACGTTTTCCCGTCCTGCGATACTGCGGCATTTATTTTTTCATATCACGGTCAAATTTTCTAAAGTTTCACATACTGTGTGTCCACTTCTGACCAATCAGATTTCATGTGGTTGCGACGTCTGATTCATTGGTATATCGTACATGGCCTACCGGCTGATTGTTTACGTGTTTTGTAATTTCCCGTCGTATATTTGCATCGGTCCCGGTGTGTAAGGACCTTTACTCTGTGTATATTCTGAAGCCAATACATTTAGATTTCCCACTGGTCACTGGCTGCAGTACAAGTTAACTGAATGCATTTAAAAAAAAATTGCATATTAGGGTCAATATTAGGGCCCGACCGATTTATCAGCGAGACGATTAAATCGGTCAATTTTAGCCCGTTTGAGACTAATTGGTAATCGGCCAAAACTCGACGATTTTCGCCGATATTTTCAGAAATAAAATGCAGAGAATAAGATTCGGTTTCACTTTGAAAATGTTCTGCCATTTGAAAAGTCCCCCGACTTATCCTGTAGATGGCGCAGCGACCTCATGACAATTTTCATCCACTAACTACCTCACAGGACAGCAGAGTGACGGATCTGAAGCAGGCAGCTCAGGGACGCACAGAGGAGAGTGGTCCGCCTCAGCGGTAAATAAACCAGTTTGTGAAAAACACAATAAGTCAACAAGCTTCAGTTCAACCCACTTCACCATGTTCCCCGCTGTGCTGGTCTCAGTCACGCTGAGTTAACGGTGAAGCACCATGTAATATGTAAGCTAAAGTTAGAGTTAGCCATCTGCTATTAGCCTTGCTACACTGTTAGCCGTGCCAGTAATGGTAGAATAAACAACAGTACACATTAGTGATCGAGCTACTTCTCTTACTGAGGCAGCTGCATGTCGAGTTTGATCAGTCGGTCTTCCGGTTAGCGTGAAGAGAAGTAGTAGGTATCTACAGTATATATATATATTCTGTAACTTCATAAAATGATTTTAAAATTGGCCAGTTAATCGATAATCAGAGTCCCCTACCCCTAATAATCGGTATCGGCATCGACCCCAAAAAATCGATATGGGTCTGGCCCTAGTCAATATGGTTCAATATTTTTTTTTAAATGTATGCAAATTCATTTTTTTGTCAAAAGTTAAGCTTAAACTGAAACAGCTCTTATAAAGCTGCAGCTGAGATTGAGTCACTTCAATGTAGCCCCAAAAACAGGAAAACAGCAAGCTCGGCTCAAACTAAAGATAACAATACATGCCTGCCAGTTCTTCTATTCAGGTCGATAAATTGTGTTTTTAATCCTAACAAAAGAAAAAGCAAAGAAACTCCTAAAAGAGCGGCAATTGAAGATAAAAAGCAGGAAAAAAAAAATCAATCCTTTCATGTGAGAAACTGAAATTCGGGACAATAGGCTCCTTTCTGAAGAAAAAATCATCAAAGTCTGCTCAGTCTTCGCTCTGATGTTTGTTGTTGCAGCTGTTGTTGTGGCGCTTCTCTCGTCTCGTTTGGTCGGTTAAGTCGGACTTTGTTCTCCAGGAGGAGAAGACACTCGCACACAGACTCGGTCCTCTGCTGCCTTACCTTGCATTCGCAGCCCATCTGGTAGCGCTGGCTGAGACCCTTCTTCTGGGTGTTGCTCAAGGAGTCCCAGGGCATAATGTAGTCACACAGCGTGACGTGCATGCTCCCGCCGGTGTCCGCTTTGCCTGTGAAAGATTAAAAAAGCTTTAAAATTGTGGACATGTGACAGAAAATTCAAGCAAACACAAACAATCAGCTCCTGAAACGTTCGTCAAAGTGTCAGATCACAGATTTACAGGAAGAAGTTGATTTATTTTTTCTCCTACGTCAACATGAACCACCTGTCCTTGAGAGTTTATGTTTTACGCTCGAGTGTCACCAGTCAAAACAAGAAAATACTTCAGGTCGAGTTTACAGATGTGCCGCGTCCTCCTCTGTTCACCCCTGCAGCTCTCGACATGTCGAAGTCTTTTTACAGCCTGTCCTCGCAGACGCCACTGACTCACGCCTCACTGTAACTCGTCGAACTGTTAACCCCTCAAACTGCAAAGAGGATGAATCATGTCAGAAGTTTCCCCAGTCAGCAGAAAGTTAACTGTCCTTCCCACTGTTTGAGTCCTACATCTTCAAAAAAAAAAAAAAGAGTCAGAGAGAGAAAAGCGCTGGCTTCAGCAGTTCCTCTCTCTTACAACTCTATGTAATTAGGGCGAGTGTTTGCGGGTGCATCTCTGTCTGCGATGGGGAAACCAGAGCATGTATGACATCATGTTTCTCTGTCTCCTCTCGATTTTACTATATTTCATCCTGCTGCTCACTGGCTTTTTGCTTTAAATCACTATACCAGTCAGATTCAGCGTATAGAAACTAAAGGAACATTTCAGGAAATGTGCTTTTTCACTTTAGTAGCCTGGCTATCGTCCTGACTGCATCTCTACAGCTCAGAGTCAAAATGATAATCTGAGTTTTTTAAAATTCATACAGGACTGAGCTGACTGGTTCCCTTGTTTCTCTATTTCTAGTTATTACAAAACTTAGCATATCTAAGCTAATCTCAGCTGCTGCTTCCTGTTTTTTTGCTTCTTTATTAGAAAAAGAAATGAGAGTATAAATCTCATCATTTCAGTCTGTGAAAAACAGGTTCATTTCCATAACGCTAGGCTTTGCGTCTAACTCGTTGCGAAAATAAGATTAAAAAATAACTGATAAAAGACTGTAATGTCACACAAAGTGCATAATGTTGCACGACCAATTATTTTGCTGTTACTTTGCGTCGTGTTACAGTACACGTGCGAATATTTCAAACATCAATATTTTTTTCGAACCCTGTCAATACAAGCGTTCACATCAGCGACGTTTTTTTAACCAATTTTAGAAAACATCCTTTTTACAGTGAAATATTTCGTTTCCGTTTCATCGTCATCTCACCTTCAGCTAAGAACTATGGAGTTTGAAAATTTACAGCTCTTAGGAGCTTAAGCTGGACCACAACAGACAAGGTGACTCTCAGGCTCCACAGGGTTTAATCTGCAGCGTATCATTACCCGTAATAACACAAACAGTAAACCTCCAGCTCAGTGAATGGGCTTTAGTCGTCATCCAATATCTGCCTGGGAGTTTACACCCAAAGGTCCATATCAGACTGTCTGATGTCTGTCCGTCTGTCTATTTACCCTCTTTTTAAATTTTACTGTCACTTTCAACTCTTAGCATATTAATATAAACCATACACTGTAAAAAAATTAATCCCATCCATGATATCGAGGAGTGTAAGTCCGACTATGAAAAGTTCAAATTTAGTTCCAATTTAGTTGGACTAATGTGTTTGCACTTTCAACTCTTAGCATATTAATATAAACCATACACTGTAAAAAAATTAATCCCATCCATGATATCGAACATGTAAACATACTGAGTATCAAAGTCATGTTCAAATAACAACCTGTGTGTTTTTACTGTGAAGCAAAGCTCGCCAACTTCTGGTCATCTGCTGCCACTAAAGTTTCAAACTAACCTGAAATCAAGTACTCCTTCTTGCCACTGGCATCCAGGGTAACACCACAGACAGCGGACACAGGAGCTGTAAACACAGCCTCGATGTCCTGGTTTGGCCCCTTGAACATCTGGAATAAAACCCCAACAGGAGGGACAAAGGTCAGATTAGAAAAAAGGCAAAATCTCATCAGACTCTTGATTTGTGCTCCAGATCTTCGTTTAGAAACGGCGACCCCTACCTTGATCTGTTTGACCTCATACTGGATCCTCTTGATGGGGTTCCCGTAGATGTCATTCCCAGAATCCACCTCTCTCTCGCCAACCACCTTTGCCCGAATCACTGTTGGGAGAAAAAGACAAACATGGCATCAGATCACATCAAAGTCGATGCAAAGGAAAACATGTGCGGTGAAACTTTGCAGGAAGGGCCTCCTGCTGCACGAAACCAGATATCTGTGTAAGAGTTTCTTTGGTAAACATAAAACCTAATGGGCTAAGAGTTTGTAGATTACATCAGTGAAGTTATATGGGCCCTCTGTATGTCAGCCAATAAATAACAAGAAGCAGAAGTGGAGGATTGCCAAAAAAGAGGAAACAATGTCATCATTCAGCTTCCTCCATCAGAGAGCCGTGAGAACTGTTACACGTCTGGATCACAACTTTTGTAAACATGAGATCTGATTTGAATCACAACCTTACATACTATCCCAACATCAGTAAGCTTTACAGTGGGACATTCTGTTTCTATAGCAACCATCACCAGGGCAGTTCTGTGGCAGCCTAAGGGCCTGTGTCCACCCAGGGCAACTTTTGTTACAACACCGTCCACATTGTTTCACAATGTTTCCTATCAGTGCTTACTGGCGGTATGTCACGAACGTTTTCTCAGGGCATGAGTGTTCCCATCAGTTCCCTAAAAAACCACAACGAGACATCTGCTTTACAAAACAAACAAATAAAGTGAAAAATAAAAATGGAAAGGAATCCTGTCCTGTCATTTCTTGCAACTCTAAACCTGATATTTCTATCTGTAAGTGTTGTCTTTATAAAACAACAATGTAAGCTCCAATATCCAGAAAAAGCGAGACATGGTGGTCCTTACAGTGAAAAAAAATGATACCCATTAAAACATGCTGTAAGTGGACACAGGCCCTAACTGATGTTTGGTCAGATTTACCATTATTTAGCAGTGTAAAGTACAAGAGTTTTGCTTTTCCATGACAACCTCATCGTGAGTTAAGCTAAAATCAGACATGACATATTGGTCTTTATACTGACAAGAATGATATGCACAAAAAAGAATGCTGGGAGTGGACACAGGCCCTAATTTATATTTAGTCAGATTTATCATTATCTAGCTGCATAAAGTACAAGAGGTCTGCTTCTCCATGACAACCTGATCATGAGTAAAAGTAACATCAGACACGATATGGTGTTCTTTACAGAGAGAGAATGATATTCAAAAAAATTTGCTGTTAGTAGACACAGGCCCTAACTGATGTTTGGTCACATTTGTCATTATGTAGCTGCATAAAGTACAAGAGTTTTGCTTTCCCATGACAACCTGATCCTGAGTAAAGCTAAAATTAGATGAGACTTGGTGGTCTTTACAGTGAAAAGAATGGTACACAAGAAAGAAATGCTGTTAGTGGACACGGGCCCTAACTGATGTTTGGTCAGATTTATCATTATTTAGCTGCGTACAGTACAAGAGTTTTGCTTTTCAATGACAACCTGGTCATGAGTAAAGCTAAAATCAGACAAAACATGGTGTTCTTTACAGTTAGAAGAATATGCTCAAAAATATGCTGTTAGTGGACACAGGCCCTAAATGATGTTTGGTCAGATTTATCGTTATTCAGTGTAAAGTACAGGAGTTTTGCTTTTTCATGACAACCTGATCATGAGTAAAGCTAAAATCAACACCGGCTTCTCTCGCCTGCAGAGTTACATGATGAGTTCATTGCAAAAATAAAAGATAAAGGAGGTCATTTAGAGTCATAAACTAAGAATCAGTACAGACAACGACACAACTCAACAAATACATACCTCAGTGGCACAAACCCAGTTTGAGCTTTAAAGTAATTGAAAACCAAATTCAGGGTTACAATCGTGTCTGAAACTGTGCCTCGTAAGTGAACTGCCTTCAGACCTGTTCAGGTGACCAACACAGGACCAGGTTTGGGTAATAAGAGAACAAATTGGAAGCTGATGTAAAAAGAAAGCGTAAGCCAGAGGCATGTTCCTTTTGTGTGTGTCTGTGTTGTGCGTTTTAACAGCCTGACTGACGACATCAGGCTTTAGCTATGCTTGAGGCATTTATTCAGAATGGAAAATATGAGCAATAGAGAAAAAAAGAACATAAAATAAGCAGGAACAGAGGACACATACACATAGATAAACACGCACACAGTAGACTGCTGTGGCTCTCACACCCCTGGGTTCAGTTTACGGCTTGGAGCAGACACAAATATGGGGGTTCAGAGTTAACAGCGTCTCCCTCCTTTCCCCATTTTTCATTTCCCCCTCTGGCCCTACACGCATGCTTTTCTCAACATGTCATTACAGCATGATGTGAACTGGCAATCATTTTTATTGTAGATTATTTAAGCAGGCTGTAAAGTGTCAGGAGTGAATTATCAAATTTACTCAAAGCCAAAGGTGACATCTCCATATCCCGCCAAATCATTCTCCAATGATGAAACTTTAGGCCATGAAGGTTTGTGTTTGATAAATGTCTGAAATGATTGATTATCTATCATGATATTTATGTATATAATCTGACCAGTGGCCATTACATAACTTTTTTTAATCAGTTTGTGCCAAACCACACATGACCCACATTTCAGGCCTTCTTTAATAAAATAATCTGTTTAACCAACTAGTAATTAATGGTGAGATTGAAAGTGTTCAATAGTGCACACCTCCTGTTAAAGCTGCAGTGTTTATAACATACTACTTTGCTCATGTATTAGTTATTACAAGTAACAAAATATGCATAAATACGGTAATACTTTAAAAGTAAAAACTTCAAGTGTGCAGGAATTGTTCGGCTTTCAGATTAAAGCTTCTATAAGGAGGTTTAGCTCGTCTGGGAACTAAACTGAAGGAAATACTGAACTCTTTAAAAGGAGCTACAAAAGCAGACAATCTACGAGAAACAATATCATACTGACGACTTCTTAACTGATGCTAATTATATGTAAATTGTGTTTAATGAACTAAACTGCAAGACAAAGAAGCTTTTGGTAATTCACAGTGACTAGATATGATAATATGATAATATAATAAGATAAGGGTTTAAGGGCCTGTGTCCAACACTCGCAGTAGGGCTGGGCGATATGGGAAAAAGTTTATCACAGTATATTTATTTCATATCAGTGGATATCGATATATATCACGGTATAAAAAATAGAATTTAACAGTATTTATTGGTAGCATGTCTTTTGCAATACAATAAGATACTGCGTCTGTGAGGTCTTTGTGTCTTTGTTGTTTTGTCGTAAAGCGTTGCACCAGAGAAAGCGGACTGAATGGTCGCCTGTTTCAGCTGCACAGGCGCCATGGGCTCCTTGCTCCACTTGGGGATGTAACCTTTTGTTTTGCGCGTACTCTCCCACGTGACACTGCTCCAGGTGGTGAAAAAGATTTGAGGTATTCCCCAACTTTGCGAGAACATGTACTCGACATAATTTGCGGTTCACATTACTCTGCTTCATGTCCGACCTTAAAAACTAAAATACCTCCACATCAACAACGTTTTCGTGCAAGTGTTGTCGACGATATTGTCATCTGCTGAGCCTTCATCTGCATTTCTGTCAGGAGTAGAACTCATTTTCTTTTTTTCTTACTGACAGTGCTGTCGGCTTCACGTTGCGTGTATCTGCAGCCTGCTACTACGCAGTTGTTTGCTACTTGGTTCTAATTCAGCACATGATTGGTTCAGCGTAAAGCGGACCTGGAGCGACTCCCCTTTTCTTTGGCTATTCGTATAGTCTACCAAAACATGGAGGATATTGACCATGTTTCATACTGATATTGAGGGAAATTAATTTTCGATATATATCATTATCGTTTTATCGCCCAGCCCTAACTGGCAGTGGTGGCAGCGCCCACACCCTTCAATTCACAACGTTTCGATATGATCCCCATACAACACCCAGTAATACACTTAAAATAAGGACAATATCACAATACATTGATTTGGTGAATTACAAGACAATCGTTTTATGTAACATTAAAAAAATCCAACAAACCAGGTAAAGCCCCCTAAAGGTTAATAATTTGGGTCTGTACTAGTAATTACTTTAATTAGAACATCCTTGTTCAGTCATGTTGGGATACCAAACATTGTTGTATTGATATTCTTCCTATACAGCACACAAAAACACAGATCACTTCTGGGAGTATAAATGTAGAGACAGAAGAATTGCAATCGAGAGACCACAACCACTTGCGACAGTTGTCTAAGATCAATATACCACTTCTCTCTTTACCCGATTATGTCGCACTTTTGATAGTTGCATCATGTTGCGTCAATACTAACAGTTGGACTGTTACACAGACCATCTCTATGGGAAGCAACATAAAGCTTGGTCCAATCAGACCATAGGTGGTTCACAAAGACCTACATTAGGACTCATGATTGGTCAGAAATGAACAAATTCTTTAATCTAATTTGTGGTGAAAACAAAATGAAGCTGGAATCAACACAGATAAACGGCTGTATCGGAGTAAGAGCTCAAACCAAAGCTTGAGAGAAACCAATCCCAGTTCATCACAAGCAAACTTCTGCATTTTATTTCCACACTGGTGTTTATGCAAACATGCGGCAGCAGCCAGAATACACACATAAACACACACACAGTAGTATACCTGGCTGGCACTCTTTGGTACATTCCTCACAGTTTTTCCGCTCTCATTTCCTGACCTCATTCTGAGCCCCAAACTAATGAGCAAAGAAACAGCAGCAGGACATAATACTGAGGGGAAATTATTCTGTTATTCACAACACATTGTTATTACGGCAGCTTCACCTCCGTTATTGCAGACTTGTTTACTTCTGCAGCAATGAAGCCAGAGCGGATAGTCCTGAGCGGTCTGAGCAGCGTGCTGCAGAGCCTGCAAACTGCACAATCTGGTACAAAAACAGTGCAACAACGGGGGGTCTGCAGGCGGCCAAGTCTCACCGCAGATTGATCTAGAAGTCACTGGATCACCAGCAGGAGCCCACCCCCCTATAAACCACCAGCTGACCCACATTTCGGCTGCTCCCCTTCTCCCAACCAGGACGACGTCTAATGACTTATACATGTGTATCAGTAGCACTACGCAATCTTTTCCATGCCCAGACCCCATCGGAGGAGCACACACACAGTGCCCCCCTTCAATCTATCACATGACTGTTTCTTTTTTCAAACTCCAGAGACCACCAGATCATCCCAGACTCCCCCTGATGTGGTCTGTTTGCTCCAGATGTATGTGGGCCTTCTGTTTAACCCATCATTTGACTCAAGACAGACAGCCCTCAAATACAATCCAGCTGTCCGCATGACCTCTGAACATCTGTGAGCCCTGGTTTCTTTTGTGAGGTCTCTACGATGAGCTGCACTACTGTCAGCACAGGTGGGAATGACTTTGAAGGTTCAAGAGAAAAGTCTCACTAATCATCAAGAAAACATACTAAGTTTTAGAGAACATGTGTTCCTTTATTTTCTTAATCCAGGTGTTTTTTATTATGCAGCTGGGAAGGTTTTCAATTCTCAATAAGCTATTTGGAGCCAAACACTTTAGGAAAATGTCAGATTATATCAAAACTGCAAGATGAGACGGCTTGTTTTACCAAGAAAAGTGATCTCTTCATTATATTGTGACAGGGTAAGAAAAAACAGAAGTGGCAAAACTAAAAAATGGCATTTTTGGCTCCTATGCAGTCAGAATTATTTTACTAATTTAATTATTTCACCAGTGGGTTTTGAGTAAAATACAAACAGCGGCAAAAAAAAAAGATTTTTCAGCCAATTAGTGCAGCAAACAAGATTCGAACACAAACTGATACACTCCTTTTTTTAAGTGCAAGCTCAAGTTCAGTCAAGCAATAAGTGCCCACGTTACAAATTCGACAATGTAGAATTACTAAAAACTGCAGTTCCTTGAGTGTCCACTTGAGGCAAGCTCCAAAAGCCTAAAAACTCCCATTTACACCCATGTTAAAATGTCAATTTTTAGCGTAGAGATAAATAAGCCAACAGCTTTGTACAAAAAACACTTTTGGTCCTAATAGTAGCCTTGAGTGTCAAAAATCAGTCCCAGATTTAAAAAATGTATAGATTAAAAAAAGCAACAAAATATTTCAAGGTTAAACTTGGCTGAGAATTAAACTTATCTGCGAGTACCTGCTGTGTTGATGTAACTATACTTGTGATGGGATGTTACGTCAACAGTTGTACGAAAAGACAACGGTGGGCTGCAGTGACTGAAAGTTTGGCTGAACTTCACTTAAAAAAATACCGCAGCAACGAAGGACACACGTGCCACTACTCTTGAGTATCCACTTCAACGGGTTGTCAATTTAAGAGACTGCACGAAAACACCCAGGCTATCGCTGTTCTGATTCTTCGTTACAATAAGAAACAAAACGTGGTCCAACAACAAAGAGACCCAGCAGTGTAGAAACTCTGTCGACCATTCTGACCATGAGGGGCAACATCAGCAAGAACATTAAAACTTCAGAGTCAGGCGCATGTTCATCACTAGAAAATCAAATTTCTTAAAGGTTCTTCTTTTTTAAAACCCGTCTAAAAACCCACTTTTGAGACAGCATTTGTTTTATTGCTTTTCATTATATTTTAAAACAACTTTTTATTGTTGTTCTATGTTTTACTGTTATTACGTACAGCACTTTGTGTCAGCTTTGGTTGTACTTAAAGTGCTCTATAAATAAAGTTGAGTTGAGTTTATGTTTCATGCAACTTTTTCATAAAAGAGCCTTGGCCAGTTATCGGGCCGATACTCTGCATTCGGCAAAATTCTCACTTTGGCAGGAAGTTTCTCAGTTTTACCATCAATACAGGTTTTGTCGTATGAACTACTAAAAATTGGTATCAGTATTAACCCTAAAATATTATATGGGTCGATCTCTAGTCCTTTAATGCCTGAAACCACAAATTATGGCCAGAAAATTCACATTTTTTTGGAGCTGAAATGTTTATTTCACTTTAAGTAATATATTTATTTATCTCTTTTGATACATTAATTGTTTTTGGAAACTGATAAACTGCAAGAGGACATTTTTATTATTTATCGGACTGTATTCAGGTGTTTTTCAGTAATTTGATGATCATATTAGTTTGATAGAAGTATATAAATGTATGTATTAAATAAAATCTGATCTCTCTGTCAAACTTTAGTTTTTAGACAGCCTTCCCTCTGAATTCTGATCAGAACATTTCACGAGGAAAACACGGATAAATACAGACTCGTGCAGTCAGTTTGTGTTGTTGCATGCCCTCTCCTGCCTGCAGACAGCAGCAGGGTGACTCTGGTCTTCGCTGGCGCCCAGCCTCAGGACAGACTGACTGGGCAGGGCTGCCGGGGAAGTTCCCCTTGTGGGCAACAGATTTATATGAAAGGAGGATGTTTGTCTGCGCACATCTTATAAGAGTATATGTGTGTGTGTGTGTGGTGAGTGCATGACACTGCTTGATCTTCATGGCTTGTGGTTTGACCTGGAGCATGGTTTAGCATGAAAACAGAGGGTGACACACAAAAACACACACTGGTACTTGTGCCTGCATGAACAGTGGGATCCCATTTTGCTAAAAAGACAAATATCAATTGTCCAACCACAAAACTTTTGACAATGTCACTTTGTTTTTTCCTACATGCACATTCTTGGAAACCAGACAACCAATTCTATTCTGATATTCAGCGCCGGTCTGTCCATTCAGCACAGTCCATTTCTGTCCTGCTTCTCCTCTCTTCCCTACGTCCCTGCAACAGATTGGGGTTTTCAGATCTGCCAGTCACATCCTCGGATCCACCCTGAAACCAACACCGGAAAACAATGACATAAACCATTGTTGGTTTAAGTGGTTTGCATGCCTTTAAACACGCACCCTATCTTTAAGAAAAAAAAAGCACACCCAAACACCCCCCACCTCTCTCTGAGACATCCTGTTTCCAAGACCTGCCAGCTCAGCGAAAGATTGAGTCACACCTGAAAATAGAGCGGTCATTTTGCTCTGTGAAATCACACAGATAAACATCCAAACCACAAGCACACCCGAGCATGAAGAAGTGTGTGAATAAGACGACATATGCAGGAAGACGGACTGAGCCAGAGTACGAATGCAGGCTTAAATCTGAAGGATAGATACCACACATACTCTGACTCTGAGCGGGACTTCTCCTCTGAAACACACCCTGAACTGACAACCAGATGTCTTCTGTGTGTGCATGAAAAAAAGCGCACCATCCTTGGCAGGCCTGCAGTTGTCTATTTGAGCTATGCAAGTGTGTGTGCATGTGTTACATCGGAGAAAAGTTGGGAAAACCCCAGCAGCATTCCTGTAATTCCTCCCTGCACCACCCCTCAACAGAAGAAAAAGGGCAGGAATGGAAACAAGACAAAAAAGAGACGAGGAAAGCTGCGAGTGTGACATATTCTGCGGTGGAGATTTAACCCTGTCCTCCTCCTCCCTTTCATTCCTCCATCCCTTGTCCTCCTCACTTCTCCTTTCTCCCCTTGTCTCTCTTTTGTGCCACGTTGCCCTGCACAAGCCAGGCGACGCCGCTGCTGCTGCTGCTTCATCCTCGAACTGCTGAGGGTGAAACCTTCCCCGGTGAACACACACTACTCTGCAGCAAACCTGAGACATGATGAGAAATCACCGGTCCTGCGTATGACATTGACCTACACAAACATGGTGCACGAAGATCAGACAGTACACTTCCATTATTGCGCGCTTGATAAAATGCAATGTCATTTTTGAGTATGATTGCAGTAAAGTTCAGTAAGGTCATCGTCGGTGACTGATTGGGGTCCTCCTTTCAAATGAAGTTCAAATGCTACACAACATGTTTATTCTTCTGCTCCTACTTTGGCATTTAAAGGGTGAATATAATCACAATGATGATGATGTGTGTTAGATTGACAGGGATCAGTGTGAGTCTGCAGTCTGAGTGCCAACTGTCAGGCCATGGCCTTGAAGAGCAACATCCTCCACACCGCCTCTCCAGGCTCTCCAGCGGCTTCCAACAGCCTCTGCCACCCCGGGAGCAAGCACCAGATGCGGGCAGAGCGGGCTGCTGACCGCCCCGAACCAGCCTGGTGCAACCTGAGCAGGGTAAACAACAACAACAACAACAACACGGACACAGTCCCCCCCCTACCCTGCTGCTGCTGTACTCACCTACATCGGCGTTGCAGAAAGCCTGTTGCGGATGCACCGGGGCGCAGCTGCACGCTTCCACGAGCTCATTCGCCCGCCACAGGACTAGCAGCGCGAGCGTGCAAAGGACGCCGTTAACTGAAAACGGCATTTTTTTTTACGAGCACTGCTGCGACGTGATTTCAGCCTCTTCGATGATGTGTGTGGCGCAGATGCGATAGTCTGGATCCAGTGGCTGGTAACAGAGTCCCCCCTCCTCCTTTTCTTTCTTTCTCCTCCTTTTTTTTTTAACCACAACAGACCGAGCGGCGTCAACAACACCGGGAAGCCCGCTCTCTGAGCACCGTTAGGAAGGTGAGGCTTCACTGTGGACTCGGAGTCTTCCGGAGGTGTCTCGGCTTGTGTCGGCAGATGTCTGTCTTCAGGGTGTGTTTTCGTTTACAGGATCGAGGCGGTTTTATAAAGCTGCACGAGCGGCTCCTCCCACCGGCGGGGGAACGATTTGACCAGCAGAGGGCGGTGTGACTTATGTCTACAGCAAGTAACCACAACTACAGAGCAATTTAAACATCAGCTAAACCAGGCATTTAAGGAGGAATAACATGATTTAAAGCTCCTGTGAGGAGTTTTTTACCTTTATGAAATACACAAACAGCCATATTGAAGCCCTCTTATTATATATCTTGTAATTTTCAATGTCTGAAACACAGGCTGTGTATACTATGGACAACTTAGTTCCGCCTTCCGCCAATATATGGATTTGAACATAAATATATACAAGAAAGGCTAGACAACTCGAGGCGGAGTCACAGGCGTCCCTACATGGCGGCCATCTTACTCCAGAATACCATTCTGGGACGCTCTATGGTAAGGTGACCAGACGTCCGATTTCCGGGGACAGTCCCCGAATTGGATGATCTGTCCCCGGAAAAAAACTGTCCCCGATTTCAGCGTTTCATGAATGAGAACAAAAATGTTGCATGTAGGCTAAAACAACGGTTATTACAGTAGCCGAATGGGTAGGAAGCACAAGTAAGCAGTCCTGAACAACAGTTTTTACGGGGGTTATTACAAGGGGCGTGTGCGTGCGCAGCTATAACTATTGCTCTACCTATCTGCTTATTTATGAAAATCCATGGTTAAAATTATTCTTGAGTACGCAGGAACATTACTAAAACTCTGAGGTTTGTTACAAACCAAAACGTTCAAAACTCGGTTTAAAATTAAGCAATCTATACTTATTTAAATGTCACATGCACCGTAGACTGTAATGTTATGAGTGGGCAAGTGTTCTGTAGCAAAATGGCTCAAAAAAAGCACTCAGTAATTCCATGTTTTTTCTCCACTTCCTGGAACCTGAGAAAACTGAGTCGCCGAGAGTCGCTGTGATGACGCTCGGCTCAAACAGCATATCCCCCGGGTGAGCTACGCAATCTTCGTACGCCCATAGGCTGTATCAAGTGTCAATCATAGAAAACATGAACCCCCTAATAACTTTTAAAAATGGAGCTTCACAGAAAAAAGAGGACTTGAGCACAAACCAGTCTGACAGTAAATACATGTCAACATCACAACCAGGGTGGAGAAAAATTTATATTCTGTGTAATTTATTGCTTAAGTTTGTCCACAGCCCCATAAGCTGTGCTGGCGGGGTCAGAACTGATGACCTATACTGCAGCCCGTCACCAGAGGGTGCTGTTCTCATGGTGGCTTCACCGAGCTAGGAGGCAGACAGCGTCCATGTTATATACAGTCTGGTCTAAAACCATAGTGAAAGCGTCACTGTCAGCCAAGAAGCTTAAAAAAAACCGCTCTGCTCTCATTAAACACGATAAATAAATGACCTGTTTAACTGTTAGAAGTCAGCTAGATGAGATTTGTTTAATTAAACGCTGAAACTGTAAGAAATAACCTAAGATTATATATTTCCTACTATAAAGTAATTGTTGTAATATGACCTTCATTGTTAAAAAAAAGGGCGCTTTATGCTCATTGATTGTCCCTCTAATCGTCTTACATGATTGACAGCTCAACAAAGTCTTAGTTTTATTTTGAAAACCTGAATTTCATTTTCTGTCTGAGGGGCTTCATTTGAGCTACTGTCCCTTTAAGGCCTCATCCACTGTTGCCATGTCACAAAGTTGTATTTCTTTCGATAAAATGACAAATCTCATAGTGATCTCACTGAATTCTTGTGTGTATCTTGGAACAAGTCATCCAGAGCATCTTGTGGTCCCATCTGGAGATCACTTTAACACATGTAAACCTTTTAATCTGAACCTTTGCTCATATATAGCGCTGACATCCAACATTTTAACTCAATGTTTGTTTTCAAAATACGTAAAAAGCATAATACCACCTCTGAAAAGATTTTGACTCAATCCAGGAGTGGGTTTTTGAATTTTTTTGCTGCATTTTTTGTCAGTTTTGCACTCAGTAGATGATCCTTACACACCTAAATAAAGACTTTTTGGCCAACTGTTAAAGCTCTGCATTCAACCTCAAACAATGAATGTGTCCCAAATACTTACTAAAGTTAATTTCCCTACTACTACCCTTTAATTACCCCGTAAAGAGACAACATTAGGAACTGTATCAGGTACTCGTGTCATTTTATTCCAGCACATACTGAGTTTTGTGGCACAAGTCTGAGTTGGCACAGTTGAAAGATTCATCTAGAAACTCAGGATGATAGTGCCAGTAAGTCATCAAACATTTACCTCAGTTTTGACAGTAGAGGGCAGTATCCTCCACCTTTATCATGCTGAATACCACTCTCTATGTTAACCCATGCATAGAACATACTCTCTGGTTTCACAGTGGAGACAATATTAGTTTTTAAAAAATAAAGAAAATCCAGCAGAGATGTTTCTCTGGCCACTTTGCAAAAGGCACAGATAGTAAGGAAGTTTGTTTTAAGAGCATTTTAAGACACAAAAGAACCACCAATGAGAAAAACTACAGAGGTCTCACACCGTCAAGGGCAAGGTAACAGAGTTATCAGTAAAAATAATGCCCTGTTCCTGAGGCGAGATCATTTGGTTTCTCAACAGGAGGACACAGCACCCCGTGAAAAGTAAGAGGATAGAGAGAATCTGAACCGAAGAAAGAGAAGCAGATAAAAAATTGGCAAGATTTATCAAAGTACTGATGAGAAGATAGACATTTCACCATGACTCTAGAAAAACTGAGGACAGACTACATAATAGCTTAACTAATGCGTCTTAAGTGTTGATTTGATAAAGCTATTCGGCTGTTTAAGGCTCACAAGCCTTTGTTGAAGTAGACGTGTTGTATTTTGTCTCCGTACTTGGACTTGATGGACTCTCTGAGCTCAGGTTCCAGCTTCGAGACGGCCATAGAGCTAAAAAAAAAAAAAAAAAGACAAGAAGAAAATGAGAGAGGGGTGGAAGAGGAGAATAAAGAATCATGGTTAAACAAACTACTCCTGGTTTGTTTGCTTGAGCTGAATACTTCAGACCAAACAAACGGTCTGGAACGTTACTGAGAGGTTGAAGAAACAGCGGACCACCATGGGACCTCATGGAGGAGTGTGAGCAGCAGTAAAGGAGCAAAATACACACTTTTAAAAACCTGTAGAAGTGACTCACTGTTTGCTATTGTCAGACTGTTTAGGTCATAGAAAATAAACATGAAATCATGTTCAATCAGATGCTGTTTTTTTAGAGAAAGAGGTTCTATTGTTACCCGTCTATTCTTACTGGTGTTCCTGTAAATATGGAGGTTTCCTAACTGCAATTTAACAAATAATCTAAAGGCAAAAAACAGTCATAGTTGAGCATAATTAAATCATTTTTTAAAGTCTTGATGTTGCATCTGTCTGCTAAGCGTGACTAACAGTATGGGTAAACGTCCACATGCCTGCGCTGGTTATACTTCACTCTGGTCCAGCAGTTAAATACCAGTTTATCCAGACACCAGTATCAGACTGCAGTATTTACTGATGAAAGTGTCTGTGGTTGCGACATCCTGCCTCCTATTTGTGTTAATCTAATAAGCAGCGATTTATCTCTGTAAACAGATATCTGCAGCTAACAGTTCTTTGATACAAGAGACAAATCTGTCAAGAAATACGATCAGAGTTTGGTAAACCAGAGGGACGACTGTCTGCTGTTAAAATGTGACCTGGAGAGAGGACTTCAGGACTGAGATATGATGGAGTTAAAGGGATATTCCGGCGTAAAATTAGTTTAGGGTCAAACACACCGTAACACCGCGTTAGACACTCCCTCCAGAGATGAATGTTGATGACCGCTTGCTTGTCTAGATAAACCAACTGAAGAAACGACCACAAGATAGCGATACACAGCAGTCTGAGGAGCCATAAACAAACCTCAACCAAAACGCCACTCTATAGCCACAAATAATGCTCAGAACAGCACCTAACTTCATCAACAGGACATATAGGGTCACAGACATCAAACATCTTTTCAACTTTAATTTCTTTAGCAAAGAGACTAAACACAACTCACCTACTCTCTTCCAGCAACAGCTTGTTTGTAGCAAGACCTCAGGCCAGTCCATTACAGACTGCAGCGGAGTTTCGCAGCTCAAGGAAGAACATTTATGATCATTTCTTCATGGAAATACAATCAGACTGAGACGCTAAGGAAGAAGAACTACTGTGTCTGCAGTGCAAAATGATTAATATGATGATTATTACTTCAAGGAAATGATAAAGAAATGATCATAAATGTTCTTCCTTGAGCTGCGTCACCCCGCTGCAGTCCGTTATGGTCTGGCTCCTCAGACCGCTGTGTATTGCTATCATGCGGTCATTACTAAAGTTGGTATAACTAGAGAAGCAAGCGGTCGGCAACATTCATCTCTCGAGGGGGTGTCATATACACAGTTTATGGAAAATGAGGCACGTATCATCAGTAGATAATGACAGACATCGGCTGCCAGTGGTTCCAAGACTGTATATCGATTTATAGTTAGAGTAAATATGATGTGGACAGTTTAAGCGAAGCCTTTGGAAATCATCTTGTCTCATGTTTAATTATGTTAAATAATTGTTATCCTGCTTTACAAACTGTCAATAGTGAGTGTGACAAAAACATTCAGGTGCAATAGATCAGCTTTATAATCAGCATGTGTTGAAGTTGGAAGTACTCAAACATGTTCGTACCATTTCTGAGGGAACAGGGAGCAGGCGGCGGGCACCATGAAGATCAAACTGTAAAAAAGGACAAAAAAACAACATTTTGATCCTCTGAACACTCCTGAGTTTGCAAACATGAATCCCTCTGCCTCTTTAGTACTTACAATCCTCCAACCAGCATCACTTGAATGGGTCCGTGCAGAAACGTGATCCTCTGTGGAGAAAAACCAAAAGAGCTTAATTATTTTTACGTTCGGGACTCATTCAGGAAGGTGGTTTTAGAGGTTCAAGAGTCTGACCTGCATGAATCTGTACTTCTCCAGCCTCTGCATGATGATGGGCAGGATGACTGAAGAGAAATTAAAAAGGCGTCAAAAGAAGAAGAGGAGGACTCAGTGTGATATTTATACAATGAGGATTGGCTGCGTACTCATTCCTGGTGCAGCCATCGTGATCCGAGAGATGACCACCTGAGTGATGCCTTTCACTGCTGCTCTCTGCAGGAAAAATAAAACACGATTGAAAGACTGTAGAAGAAGAAGAGAAGAAGAAGAAGAGGGAAGCTGCAGCGTCTGCAGTACTTACTGTGGAGTGACCCAGTTTGTTGCCGTTTTCATCTGTGACAGCGATACCGTTCAGAATCTCCCTGAAAAACAGAAACAAGATTGAGGTTCTGAAATCTGGATCCTCGGGGGGTGGGTGGTTTGTGTTTGGGGTAGTTATATTTTATTGTATTTTATATTATTTTATTTTATTTAACTTTATTTTATTTTATTTGTATATATTTTTTTACAGGTATGGGTATATGTGAATATATATTTTATCATTCTTTGCTGTAAAATTGACTTGTACGTTTCTACTTTTCTCAGTTTAATGAAATAAAAAGTTGATCAAAAAAAAAAAAAACAGAAACAGAAAATTTAATAAAAAAACAAATAAATCAGGGGTGTGAGTAGTATCAGATAAGAGTCAGAAAATCCCCCCAAAAAACTAGGATTTACACTAAATTTTTTTATACTTTGGTTAAAATATTTAAGATATTTCAATGACATTTTACCAACAATGAAGGTAAAAAGAAAAGACCCTTAAATAACCTCATTAAATCTCTTTAAATGTTCTTCCTTGAGCTGCGACACCCCGCAGCAGTCCATAATGGACTGGCCCGAGGTCTCGCTATTAACAAGTGGCTGCTGGAAGAGAGTAGGTGAGTTGTGTTTAGTCTCTTTGCTAAAGAAATAAGGCAAAGTCTTTGTCGATATGTTTTTATCTGAATTTGACCCTGATACACAACAGAGGCTCGACAAAATCATAAAGGTTGAAGCGCAGACACACCACCTTGTTCTCACCCAGAGAGTTTAGAAAGCTGCCTCAGCTTATAAAATAATCACAAACATATTTACTCTAAATTCATGCAGCAGCACAGTGGGACTTACTGCTGCCTCATCATGGGAATGTTCACACAGTTAGCTGCTGCCACCGCTGCGAAAGGGACCCAGCGAGCCACAAGAGGAGGAGCTTTCTGCAGACAAAAAGGGTAAATTATAGAAACAGAAACATTTCTCCAATCCAAACTTTAAATTCAGGATGTAAACACAATGAAGAAGGTGGACATAGTGAGTAAAACAGTCGGTTTTTGAGTCTCGACCTTTGTGTAGAGGTTGAGTCCGACTGCTGTAGCTAACGCTGTGCTGGTTGCTGTAACGTAGGCGACTCCGATCTGCCTGAGAGAAATGACACAGAGCCGTCAGACCTCCAACGACACAGAGGATGGATAATAAAAGTCCTTTTACATTCAGGGGATCAGGATTATGATCATATTAGTGTGACAGAAATAGAAAATATCTCCTGCTGGTCGTACTCTAAATGTTTAACATCCACACTGACGGGGGAGAACCGTGACATAAAACCCTAAAATATAAAACCTGTGAACTACAGCAGGTTCTGATCCCTGTGTCCTTTATTCATTAAAAAGCGACTTGCAGGTTGAATTTTTACATTAATTTGTAACTGTTTATATTCACAGTTAAGTCGAGCTGCAGGTCTAACTCGATTAGAGATTTAACTGGATTACTGTCGCAGTTTATGAGAACTCGGCAAGTATCCACTGACTGACTTTAGTCTGTCCACCTCTGCTACGGTAGGTGGTGATATTCCCCCTTTTCAGTTTGTCACTATTGGGCTGTGTTACATCACAAACCAAAACAATCAACAGACACGTTTCCATAAAGCTAACTGGTTGTACGCCCAATGAGAAAAACTACGACGGAGTATTTGGGCCACATTAAGAAAAAAAATTAAGACTTCGTAATTACTCACGAGAATAAAGTCGTGATAAAATAATTACTTATGAGAATAAAGTCGTAGCTAATAGCTATTCTCACCTGTTGTTAGTTGTTTAAATGAGCGCTGTGGAGCATTTAGATGAATTGAACTTTAGTAGCTAGGTTTCACAAACAAGGAGATAAATATTTCGGCTTTTCAGCATCATATTGTCATAAGTATCAGGACATAAGCAAGAAATGCAACTTTTCCACAAAAGCAGATTTAAGACTTTATTTACTTTACGACTTTATTCTCATTAGTAATGACTTGAATCTTGAAGTCCTATTTTTTTTCTTTCTTAATGTGGCCCTAATCCTCCGTCATAAAAAACACCCATAACTTCGCAGTCTGCCTGATTTTTTTCTCAAAATAACAAAAGCTCAGCAGGATTTTAGGTCCACACACAATCTACTCCAAAAACCTAACATTATCAGCAGCTTCTTACTTTGGAGTGATGGGGGAGGCGGCGTTTCGGTTTGTGTAGTTCACCAGAGCGTTGAAGGACTGATTGACCCACTGCCAGAACACCACAGCAGGAACGGTCCTACAAACACACAGTTATGAGACCTTCAGAGCGTCCCCTCGACACAGAGACGTTTCCTGCGTGCGAGCTCGTCTTCTGTACCTGTAGAACTGCAGCATGCAGCCCGTGATGGCCATGCCTCCGGGGACCTGGAACGACATGCGGCCGATCAGGTTCATACGGTCTCCTGTGTCCGGGTGGAAGGCCGAGTCGTACAGCTTTTTGGCGTAGTGGAGCTGCTCCTCTGTGGTGCCTGGAGGGATGGATCCCGCCCTGCAGAACACAATCACAGATATTACGTCCATCACAGTATGAGGAGTCTTAATGTAGGATCCAGTCCGTGTGTGACAGTGTCTACTCTTTGTTTTAACCTTTAGTGTTTCTTACCTGCAGCTTTCCACCAAAGCTTTGGCCTCGTCCAGGCGGGAGTCGGGTAAGAGCGCCGTTGTGCAGTCCGTGATGTTGAAGAAGTGTTTCAGTCGGCCCATAAACGTCGTCTGGTCCCATCGTGGGGCGTCGATGTCGAAGGAACTCAAAGCCATCTTGGGTGTTAAAAAGACAACCCTCTATGGCATTAAGAGTTGACTTAGTGGCTGCAGTCCAAACCTGGAGACAAAAGACAGAAAAACTTAGATTCACTGAGTAAAAAATACAGAAACTCACTTTTTTATCAGTAATTATAAAACCGTTTCTCGTCAGGTTTTTGCTGCCTGGTTCATGTTTGTCATCAGACCGGTCAAAGCTGGATTTCGTTGATGTAACACGGACAGGTTTGTAGCTCAGTGGGTCACAGAGCCTTTGAACTTTCATCCTCTCTGGGTGTCAACACGGCTGGTGGGTTTTTGTGTAGCTCACTATATCAGTCTGGGACACATGTAGAGAAGCTGAGCATGATTTGCAGCTTAAAAACCTTAATTATCTTGGGCTGGGGTCTGAGAAAACCCTCATTTCAGGACTGTGCACTCTCTGCCTGAAGTTGTTTTTTAGCTGCTTTTGAAGGGTGTTATTTTTGGCGCAGGTTGTCAGTGTTACTTTTTACACAGTTTCGTGGTTACAAATTGACCTGTAAGACTACAAGTAGACAAATATTTATATTAGATTGGATTTAATTCACTCCACTAACTGTCCTGGTTAGAAAATAAACAAAGTAGATAAAATGATGTTCAGTCTGTACTCTCTAACCCCCTCCTGAGCAGCTGGACTTAATGTTTCCCCCCCATGCGCCCTTGGATTGAACCCAGGAAAACCCTAATCAAACACAAACTCTTGTTCCTACCTAAAAAAACTCTCAAGAGTCAAACTTGTGCTAGAAAATCATTGACCACATCCTGGTAAATGGTTCCACGGTTTGTCGTTTTGGGTTTTTGCAGCTGCAGCATTCTGCGTCTTATTACACAACCAGAGGAACCCGAACCTGCTGACCGAAGCTCAAACTATCCAAACATCCCGCTGAGCGTCTTCAACATTACATTACTAATTATGTTCAGGAGGCATGTAGTGAAGTTTATAAGAGAATGGGTCCTGTGTGGTTTAATGTTTAGTAAGTAAAGGGCACATGAGGAGAGGAGGGTATCAGCGCTCGCTTTGAGCTGAAAGCTACGTCTGGATGAAACTGGATCATTTCTGCAGCTGTTTGTTCAGAGAGGAGGATAAGAGTCTGCTGAGCCTTGTGGGGAACCCTGAACGTGGTGACCTTACATACAATATCCTATCATGGAGATTATATAAACACACTGGCACTGGTGGCTGTGTTGGATGGGAACTAGGTCACTAGAGATTGCATAAGGACACACCGACTGTAATGAGACTAAAACAAATAAGACATATAATCAGAAAATTTATGAGCATGAAAGAAATTATCTTGAACTCAGTTTACCTTTGCAATATTTTCTGAACAAGTCTTTAACGTGTTTGGAACCACTTTAAAAAGGCCTGATATATTTTCCCAAAACCTGTTTTAGCAGGTACGGTCCTAAAAAGCATGTTTAGTTCATGAAATAGACTGAAATTCAAGTTGATGTCTTTTTATGATATCCAAAAGCAAACAAGATCATCAGTGATGAAGTTGATGATTGTCATATCCTCATTAAGTAAAATAAATACAAATACAAATACCAAAACCCACCCACTCTCCCAACACAGATGCACGCTCTGAAGACCGGGTAAGGACTGTTGAACTTGCCACAGATGACTGAGGAAACGCTATCTTGGGTTAAAAAAGGACTAGAACGATAAAACCATGATAAAATATAATAAAGGTGATGAAGCGTTAAAAGTGAATTAAATAAAACTGTCTTAAAATCAAACAATAAAAGAAAGTAAATTAAATACATTAAAATCTTTTACTGACTAAGAGAACATGAATATTTCATTTTAATCTGTGAAAACAATGGATTTACACATGAAATTTGAAGTTTTTATAGCAATATTTACTTTGAATTTGTATTTCCTTTTTAGTACTTATAGATGGCTGCACAGACACCCAAAACTCCTGTGGCAATATTTTTCCATCTTTCATTATTTAATTAAATGTTCAGTAACTTTATTTCTCATTTGTTAGTTTTTTTCATTTTGTCAAATGCAAAAAAAAACATATATATATATTTTTTTTAAATTGCATGGTTTGGCAACATCATATATCGGCCAATCTACACTCTCATTATCAGTAAAAAAAACTGCAATCAGTGAAGTAGTCTAGATTTTGAGAACATAAACGAAATACACGCATTACACTATCTTTGGGACTTGTTTTGACTTTCTTATTGACAAAACTACACAAAACAAAAGCAGTTCTTCCACTCTGTAAATATGTTTGTTAATCCTGAAAACAGGTGAAACAGGTGCAGACAGAGACAGAAGAGTGATTTGGACAGGCATGAGCAGGGCGACCTGAAAGCTTTGAGACTTGAGTAAGAACAGAGAACTTTTAAGGACTTGAAAAAAAAACCTCATTACAGGCTTGAAAAACTGGATCAGCAGCTCAAACACATCTGAATACATCTGGATCATTGAGAGATCAGCAGAAAACACGTGCAAGTCAGCAGCTCACAAACCTGTGCGTGCAGAAAACACGTTGAATAACACTTCCTCTATCAAAGACACCGACCTGAAGTGTGCACAAAGTGGGTTTTTGTGACTAGAGGAGCAGCCAAAACTGCAGTGAAAACAGTGAAGACATGTCAGCCGGGGAGTAGACTGATGCAACATTACTCGAGTTACAGCTGAGGTTTGACTTTATTACAGCAGAGAGAGAAACACAGACAACGAGCCGAAACACGGACAATACGAGGCACTTAGAAGTGACAAAAACAGAAAACATACCTTTGTTTTAGGATCCCCGAGCCGTCCAACACTGAAGAAACCTGTCAGGTAATCAAACGTGCTCGTATGGGATAGTAAAGATGTGTGCACGTGGCAGCCCGTCGACCAATCAGGAGTTGGGGCAGCTCCCTGCGTGAAAACCGGCGAAAACCAAACTTGACTCTGTTTCGATATTTAAAACAAACAAACACGGACTCTGAGGAACTAATCCTCCGACCTATAAACGTCCAAATAACCAGAATATGCCGCGTTTACTGTGGTGCTAACTAGACAGCTAGTTAGTTCCATATATGAGAGAGTAAACAGTCTGATAAGTAGATAATAAATTGGACCTTTAGTATCATAATTTTAAGTGTCTCTGTCAAAATAAACATCTTATAGGACTATACGTGTCCAACATTTAGAGCATGTAGGATAGCAAACCAAACACAGCTGCATTTCTTCTTCTGTTATACTACGGTGCCTGGGAACCTGCGTGAAGGTGTAATACCGCCCCCTGCTGTGTTGGAGGATGGAGTGTTGTGTCGTTGACGAACGATTCGTTCAAAGGAACCGAATCTTTTAAGTGAACGTTACTTCCTCGAGTGATTCATTCGTTTTTAACCAATTGAGCTGAAGTGAGAAACAGCATTGCCAGTAGAGCAGCCGACATTAACTGAATCCTGAACCGTTCAGCTATGTATCAGTTCAGGAGGTCAGAGTTGCATGCTTCTCCTGCCAAACGCTAGATGATTTGGTGATTTGGTGAACGAATCTTTAGAACAAATCTTTTTAGTGAACTGATTCTAGTGATTCAGTACATCTAAAAGAACTGCCGTGCCCATCACTAGGAGGATGAGCCAGAGCTACCACCCCCTACCAAAACAAAACAAAACAAAACAAAACATAAGATTGGAGATTTGTTTATTTGTCCTGTACTAATATGTGCAAGGCAACATTAAACATTTCATTGATAAAGTCTAACATTGTGAAAGACAGTGCTGCAGTAATGAGGAAATATATGTGATTATTTAACAGATTAATTTACATGAGGAGGCTTTGCATTGAATTTCACAGGCCTCCAAATTCATGTAAAGCAAGAACAAAACGTATAAACAATAAGTAAACAAGAATATTATATAGGGGAGAATGGGGTAAGTTGACCCAAAGGGTAAGTTGAGCCACCCCCTGTTGCTTGGAAATGGTCACAGAAATTGATCATGTGACCAAATATTTCGGAGATGGGCATCAATTCATGGAGGCTGTGAAGGTTAGAGGCACATGGGTGAAGGGATTAGACATTTATTTACAAAAAAAAACATTTTTCACTCTTGAAAGTAAATTTAGTCTGTCATAAGTTTTATTAGAATTGTGTTCAGACCAAAAAAAGATCATTTAAAATTAGTTTTATACATCAATTGTGGTATCTATGAGCTACAACATGAGGTCAAAAACCCACCCTCCCCTATAAAGATGTTGAACAGCGTGGTAAAATTATCCAAATCTCAGTCCCTCTCTACTCTCCCATTCGTTCTGGTGTTCTGTGCGTACCTTTGCGTCTGACGTCACCTCCCTTAGTAACCCTCGGCGGCGTCTCCAAGAGCGAAGGCAACAAGATGGTGAGTTGAATTTTTCGTATTAATTAGCTTTAAGTTGCGAAAAAACATATGAAGCCGTGCGTATATTTACATAACGCAGCGCACGCTTTTATATAGTCACGAGTCAACGACTTCGGCTCTCTGCAAAAAAGAGTAAACTTGTTGCGAAGCTTCCTTGTTGCTGCGTTCAGTTATCAGGGGAGATTAGCCTAGCACGTTAGCTCGCTTTAGCTCCCTCTGGGTGCCGTTAACTACAGCTGTATGCAAACAACGAGCCCGCGAGGCACCAGCAGAAGAAAGCAGATCTAATTAGCTACTTACAGGCTCTGTTGTCTTTAGTCATCGGCGCTGTTTGGAAATGACTTCATGAGAAAAGAAAAACACCTTCACGGCCTGTGAGTGAGGATGGAGGATGGGAGAAGGGGGGTGTATTTCCACTATGGTGGTTAGCAGTCACAGGGCTCCCCCTGTCCCCCTGGAAAAGTAACACCACATGGATGTTTTTGCGGATTTTTGCAGGGATTGCTGTCCATCCTTCGGAAGCTAAAAAGCACACCAGACCAGGAGGTGAGGATACTGCTGCTGGGTCTGGATAACGGAGGAAAAACCACCCTGCTCAAACAGCTGGCATCTGAGGACATCAGCCATATCACCCCCACACAGGTATAAGGAGAAACATGTAAACATCACCTGTTTTTAAGGTCAAGAGAGGAGGAGAAGCTGCTCTTCTATACATGTATAAACCTGAGTGATTCCTGTTTGTGCCCCGCTCAGGGATTCAACATCAAGAGTGTCCAGTCTCAGGGTTTTAAACTGAATGTTTGGGACATTGGAGGCCAGAGGAAGATCAGGCCTTACTGGAGAAACTACTTTGAAAACACAGATGTACTGGTGAGAGCACACAGCAAAGTTTTTGTTCAGTGTTGACATATTTCCAGTGAGTGAATTTATTGTGAATAATAAACACAAAAACATCATTTTGTTTCAGATTTATGTCATCGACAGTGCAGACAGAAAGAGATTTGAAGAAACTGGACAGGTATGAAATATCTACATTGATTTTTATCTGTGTGTACACAATGGAAGTAATTTAAATTTATTTTCTTATCAATTAATTGTAGAAATGAGGGGACTACATCATGACTTACAGTGGAAGATAAAATTTACAAGAATAAACCCCTGAGAACATCGAGACCTCTGTATTCAGGCTGTATTTTGTACTTTTCTCACTTAAGGTCCTTACACATCGGGGCCGACGCGAATACAGAACGTGAAATTACGAAATATTTGGAGGCGAATTTTGACTATACACATCAAGCCGATTTTGCGACTTTCGGGGGGAAAAAAACACATCCCGGGGAAGATTTTTCCCAGAGAAAGTCCCGCCTCCTTCGCCTCTGATTGGCTAGAAAAGCTGGAAACATTGTCACACTCTCAAGCCAAACGGTCAGTACTTATAGCCAATCAGAGGCGATAAGATAAGCACATGAAACTATGGTAACAACCGTTAGCTTACGTTAGCACAGATGAAAGTTAAAACAAAGATGTTTAGCAAACTGTTATGACTCTCCACAAGTTGTCCTTCAGGTCGTTATCTTTATTATATTTGTGTTTTTCATCAAAAAGCACGCTGTTCTCCGACACGTAAACAATCAGCTGGTCGGCCATGTTGGATAGTCATGACTCGGGAGTCGTCAGCTTTCCCCACACACGTGAAGATTTTTGGTCGTAAATCTTGAACAAGCTTAATATTTACGATTGTCGGCCCGACCCGTTTTGGACCCAATTAATGGGACAAATTCACTCTTAATATACGTCAGACCACAGGATAATCTTAGAAGACATAAGATAATCTTCCGATTGACGTGCTTGGTCGGGAGGGGGAAAATCGGGACAAAAACAGCCCGATTATTTTATTGTGTGTGACCTGCTTTAGTGTTATAACAGCTGTGATGGAAGGCAGAGCACAGAGACACACAGTTGGCAGGAAGAAGAAAGTCAAGTTTTCATTTTTGTAACTTATATCGTGAGAATCCAAGCTCTGCCTCTCAGTTTCATACTTACATGATTCGTTCCTTTTTTCTGTGCGTGTATTGTTCATTAAGCTGAACTGACCACTGGTGTTTGTTCTGCAGGAGCTGGCTGAGCTGCTGGATGAGGAGAAGCTGAGCGGCGTCCCTGTGTTGATCTTCGCAAACAAGCAGGACCTGCTGACAGCCGCCCCCGCCTCAGAGATCGCAGAGGGTCTCAATCTGCACACCATCCGGGATCGCATGTGGCAGATCCAGTCGTGCTCCGCCCTCACTGGTGAGGGGATTCAGGTGAGCTCTAAAGCTGGATGGTTTCTATTTTACTTTATTTTTTATTTTTAGTCTCTCTCTCTCAACATGCTGTTTTTATTCTGTCTCTCAGGAGGGCATGAACTGGGTCTGCAAGAGCGTCAACTCCAAGAAAAAGTAGCTTTGCTTTTAGTCTTTGACTATTTAGGAGCAGCAGCAGCAGCAGCAGCAGCAGTGGCAGCAGAACACACATACACTGACACACATTGCACCCTCCTGAGCCTTAGCACGATGGGATATACCTGTGAATGTAAACACTACTAATTCATCACGGACTCTGAGTTTTTAACCCTCTACATTCCTTTGTAATTCGGAGGGGGGGGTTGACCTCAAAGAGAACCCATGCCAGGAAATCAAACCCCCTCCACCCAGACTACCCACGTCAGCAACACCATCCTAGCCAACCCCAGCCACCACCCTCAGCCACTCACAACCTCAAACATTCCCATTAAACTGCTGTCTTTTCTTTCGACTCCAGCATCTTTAATCTTTCCCTCCCCATCTCGTTCTCACAGGTCGGTATCTGTTGTTTTTCGAGTATCATTCCACTACAGCTGTACGTGCTTTTCCTGCTATGGCTCTGTTTGAAGTGAGGTATATTTTTGTAATTGTTTTATTTATGGTGAAGTAGAGCGTTGAGTGCTTTCAAACAACTCTGGTTTGGTGTGTGTGGTTTTAAAGATGTTGGAGAAACGGTCCAACTCTCCCCATTTTAAGAAGAACATTTTACATGTTAATATGTATAAAAAAGAACAAGAAATAAAAACAAAGAAGAGGAAGAGGAACTACATTTTTGGATCAACTGTAAATAGTTCAGCCCTGTGTTTCTATGTTATGTTATGCACATGTTATAGAGTATACTGTATGTCACCGCGCTGTACTCTGTAGTCTATAATGTTTGCATATCTAATATACGCTGGCAGATTTTTAACCGAGGTACTGTACATCCTGATGCATTTCTTTGTGCTTCTTTGTTTAGTGAGGGAATTCACTCTCAGCGTTTCCTTTTGATATTCTTGAATGTAATCTGTCCAGAATTGAAGGTACTGTATGTGAATAAAGACATAAGAAAACCGTTGAAGGTATGGTTGAATCATTTCTGCTCAGTCATGCAGGGTTCTGTATATTTTCCAAGTCTGACCACCGAGCTCTAGTGGCCCCACACCCCAGCAGGTGGAGTCAGCTGTTCATGACAGCAGCCAGGCGTGTGTGGAGAGCCCTCTGTGGAGCTCATTACATTAATACACCGCTGACTTCAGTCTTCGGATGGGCTGGGTCATGATACAGTGGGGCCCAAAACTCATCATATCACATGTTTTTCCTTATCCTTTTGGCTGTTTTACTTTTTCCCCACCAACACTTCTAACCATGTGTCTGACTTAAGCTGTTTTCTCAATGGATATTTATGCAACACATGGTCATAATTAAAGGGAGAAATGATAGAAATTAAGCTGAACGAACACTACAAGCTGCTAAGAGGAGCTTTTTGTTTGTTTTGAGGATGTTGATTTTCTGACTTGACTGGTCTTATGTTGTGAGAACCATGGTTGTCTTGTCTGGCAAAAATAAGGATAATTTTGCTTCATTTTAGAAACTTTGCATGTCGGTTAAACACATATAACAAGTCTAAATACACCAAAAGACACCATATCGCATTCAGATGGCACTTTTTTTTTTGAAACCTTAATTTTACAATTTAGAGGTCACTGTATATGGTGGTCCTGTTCATGTTTCTTTTTGGATCCCATCTGTAGTTATTTTGACTTCTTTGTTACATAAGTAAAGGTTCTGGTCCAGAAGCAAAAGGCCCCTGACCTGTGCCCAGTGGGCCAGTCCGGTAATCCATCCAGGACTAGGAAAGTGGAACACAGGATGACATAGTTTCTGTATTATCAGGTCCAAAAGCTTGAAAACTGCTGACCTGTGAGAGTGTAAAGTTTGAAAAAAGCCTCCTCAGCCTCGAGAAGGACCACCATGGGTTAAATGACAGCATGGTCTTTATGATGAACAGATAGTTGTGAATTCTGCCTACGCAGAATTTAAATTCTTGTGTGTGGGTTGTGACAGACTCACTCTGCAGATGACTGAAGATGAAACCATATGTGGTCTGGTTTGTTCTTGCAGGCAGCAGTTTCAGACAGGTGGTGCTGTAACCACCTGGCTGGGTGAGTGCCTCATGGCCCGGGGCTGACAGTTATCTGCTCTGCACAAACCTGATCCCCCTCAGAGGCATTGGGGGGGGGCTGCTGGTGCACATGAGACAACCTGCATGTTAGAGAGGAGAGAGCTGAAGATGCATGACTGACATCTTTATCCTGAACCTCAAACTGCTAAAAGTAACTCAGAATATTTTATTTTATTGTCTTTGCACCATTTACGCCACAGAGCATTAGCTTACGAAATGATACCTTATCATATTTAGGACAGAAATCCAAAAGCCAATTTATCTATCTGAGCTATAATCAATGATAGAAAATAAATTAGATTATCAGATTATAGGACGTTTTAACCACAGTGTGGTAAATCCTCAAACTTATGACCATGATTGCATATTATTATTATTTTTTAAAAACTGACAAAAATATACACAAAACAAGAATTATTGTACCTAAAATTAGCATATGTTCATACCATGAGTTCATAGTAGTAGTCCGTTACCTAACAAAACAAAGTGATATTCCAGCGTAAAATCAATTTAGGGTCAAACATGCTGTAACACTGAGTACGACACCCCCTCGAGAGGTGAATGTTGACGACCGCTTGCTTCTCTAGTTATACCAACTTTAGTGATGACCACAGATAGCAATACACAGTGGAGCTACACACAAACGCCACTCTATAGCCACCAATCATCCTCAGAACAGCACCTAACTTCATCAACAGTATAGGGTCCCAGCCATAGCACTAGCCACCAAACATCTTTTTAACTTTGCCTAATTTTCCGAAGGTGAGTTGACCAAACACAACTCACCTACTTTCTTCCAGCAGCCACTTGTTTGCAGCAGACCTCGGGCCAGTCCATTACGGTCTATAGCGGGGTGGCGCAGCTCAAGGAAGAACATTTATGATAATTTCTTCATGGAAATGCAATCAGACCGAGACGCTAAGGCAGAAGAACTACCGCGTCTGCAGTGAAAAATGATTATTATGATGATTATTACTTCAAGGAAATGATAAAGAAATGATCATAAATGTTCTTCCTTGAGCTGCGTCACCCCGCTGTAGTCTGTAATGGACTGGCCTGAGGTCTCGCTACAAACAAGCGGCTGCTGGAAGAGAGAGGGTGAGTTGCTGTTCTGAGCATTATTTGTGGCTACAGAGTGGCGTTTTGGTTGAGTGTGTGGCTCTCTGTATTGCTATCTGCAGTTGTTACTAAAGCTGGTATAACTAGAGAAGCAAGCGGTCAGCAACATTCATCTCTCAACAGGGTGTCTAACTTGGTGTTACAGTGTGTTTGACCCTAACTTAATTTTACGCCGGAATATCCCTTTAATGAAAGTTAAACCACGTTATAGAATAAATTTTAGTGACAAATGTGAAAATTTACAAACCTATTTCGACTGTTTATTTTTATAGATTTTTTAAAGAAATCTGAAGTCAAACTCTCTGGATAAATCCACATTCCCAAATTGAAGCTGGATTCAGTCCAATCCTTCTACTTCTACTTCTTCTGGCCTCTAATTCCAGTTTCTTATAGCAAGAATTTCAAAGCCTTTCTAGACAGTGTGTTTTAGTACAGGATGTCATGTTACTGAAGGCTATCGACTGAACTCCAGACTTCATTCAGGTCATAAATAAATGCCATGAGTTGGATATTTGGAGGTGTAATGTGTCCTACAGTTTGTTCCCACTGTAGGAACAGAGCACAGACTGTTTGCCTCGTAAGTAACATTGTATGAGACTGATTCAGAGGGCCTCAGAGACTCTCAGACTGCCTCCTCTTCTCTCACAAAGGTTCCTTTTTCTCACACTCGCACAGACAGGATGTACTTGTATTGTTGGCTCATCTGGATTTTATCTCCCTGTTAAATTAGATTCACAGAAAGAACCTCAGAAAATACAGTAGGAGGCATCCAGAGAGTAACATTAAGAAACAAAGACATCCAAAGGAATGATAAGAAATGGTGGGGGATGTTTTTATTTGATATATGCATGAGACTACAGCGAGCAGCCAGTTATACTTTTCATTTCCTCAACATTTGATTTGTTGTCTTTCTGATCAAATATTGGGTTTTAATTATTTTCAAATCATCAGAATCTGTTTTTATTAACACTTTAGACAATAAAAGTAACTACTTTGTTTTATGAATGAGCCTTTAGCAACGACTCCTTATATAAAGTGTCATATTTTACATCTTCCCAGTTAGACCGAAGCTATGCATATGGGCTGCGGTGGTGCTTCAGACTGTCATTATGAGGTCTGCTATAGGCCGAGGTTTAAAAGCCACCAGATGTCACTGTGTTTACTGAGTTTAAAGCTTTGGATCTTTTTCAATGTTGATGAACGAGCTCGAACATATTTGTTGGTAAGTCTAAATGTTAAATCTGCATTTAGCCTGTCTTACTGTTTCCTGTCTTTAAGCCAAGCCGTGCTGCTTTTTCTTTCATCATGACTGATAGCATCCACAATCGCTGTACTGGCGCCAAGTACTCGTTTGAAACAGTTTTAGAGAGCAAACTAATGACATTTTCAAACCAAAGTGATCTCTTTCCAAGACATACTCTGCTCTATAACCCTGAGAAAACTATCTGGATTTGTCAAAGTTCTCCCATGAGTGTTTTATTCAGTTTTCCCTCAAAGATGTCCACACTGCCCAGAAAACCTTTTCACATCATTTTAATCCTTTCTGACTCCCGTTTTTATATCAGCTGCACAGTTAATAACCATGGGAATGAATGCCAGAAAGCGTTTTTGTCCATTCAGATCTGAGCTGCAGCTTTTTATTTAACAAACAGGCTTGAAAATATTAATCTTCTCATTTAATCTTCCCTTAAAATGCATTTTCCAAAATAGCAAGCTGGACCATGATGGACTTCATCGATGGTTGTGATATAAAAAGCACAACACACAAAGATATGGAAAAAAGTTGATTATCTGTTTCTTTTATAGTTATTTTCCATGTTTTATCTCCTGGTGTTCCCTGAGTGAAAGAACCAAAACTTTGCTGGTTGTTTTATCAGAGAATAAAAGCTTTTTTATACCCTCGCATTTTTGTGCGGGGGGCAATTTAAAGGGGGCAGACATGTGATAGAGATACATATCAGAGACGTAGGCGACCAAATCACTGCCTCTCCTTCTTTTCTCTGCTCGTGGATCAGCCAGCTGTTCAGCAGCTGTGTGCGCAAGTGTGAGAAACATGTGTGTCAGGAGACCGAGAGGGGGAGTGTTTGCTAGTGTGAGTGTGTGTCAGAGAGTGAAAGATAGAAAAGCAGCGCTGTAATTTATGCTGCACCTCCAACTCCACAGTTCTTGGCTGCCTGAGTCTCTGCTGAGGTTTGCTGACACAAGAAAAAGAGAAAAGGCATCAGACCTCCTCGTCCTCAGCCGGATCCAGAGAGGAGAGAGGCGGGAGGAAGAAGAGGATGGAGTGAGCCGAGGCACTACAATTATTATTATTATTAGTGATATTATTTTGTTTGTTTTCATGTGCCTGTAATATATAAATAATTAGGGGTATTTGTTAATTTGTCTTAGGTTTTCTCCATTTAGATGAAACTTAAGTCTTATTTTCTGCTTATTATTATCATGACTATTTTTGTTTTTTGCATTATTCATATCTTCTGCTTGTTTGGCAACATTACCAATGCTACATATGTAGTCTATGAGATGAACCCAGATATTATTTATTTGAGTTGGCCACTAGAGGTCACTATAAAATTCTTAGGCTACATTCGTACTGCAGGTTATGATGCACAATTCAGAATTTTTGTTAAATACGATCTTTTTGTGCGGTCGTTCACATCACAACGACGAATGCAGCATCGAATGTGAACGAAATGCGTCCGTGAAGTGACCCGCATGCGCACAAAGCACAAATTGCTTTCCGCGCCTGTTTGTGTTGTCGAACAATGCGTCCACACTGCAGTCACATCGGATACATATCTGATTTATATCCATATACAAAAGAGGCCTGGGTTGCATTTGAAAAAATCTGAAATGCACTGTTCACACTTACATGAAAAAATTGGAATTGACCTGCAGTGTGAACATAGCCTTACTGTATATGTACTATCATTCTTAACAGAAGTAATGTTTTTCAGCTGGAACGAGAATTAACTGCTAGTTACGTGTTACAAATCAGCGAACTTCATAACAATGGATGTATTTTTCATATTTCCGGGATAGCTGTTTTCTGTCCTTGTGCTCAGCTTGGCTAACCCTGTGCTAGCTTAAAATTGTAACTTTAAAAAGTACAAGTTATAATTTAGCATGTCACATCTTGTTCAGGATTTCTCTTCTTATTTACAGGCCAGCTCCGAAAAGCAAAGGTTTTTAAGTTATGTATTTTATCTCATCTGCAGAAGCATAATGTGTTCTCTTGAGAAAATAAATTCTGCTCCATGTTTTTGAATTAAGAAGATAGCCTAACTGTGAGAATTACGAGAAAACCTTTTAAAATACATTTTTTCATTCATTTTTCTGAATTGATACGAAAATTAATTCAGACTTTTTTTTATTCACAAGAAGTTGACTCATAATTCTAAAATAAATTCCTCAATAATTCACAAAAAAAGTTGAATAAAAAAATTTGTTGAATTCTCTTTCTTATGAATTTTAAAATCCAGCTTCTTTGGCCTGTGTCCAGTGTTGGTACTCTAGCTTGAAGCTAGAAACCCAGCATTGGAAACTTGAAGCATTTTGGTTAAAAATACACTCCATTCATTCCTTAGATTGATGTTTTTTCCTGTTTTCATGTTGCCTTTTCGTTCCGGTCCCTCTAAGTCTAACTGCTAGCTCAACATTGAATAACTTAAGGCCATGAAAAGACACTATCTGGCTGGTTCAAATCGACAAAAATACCCTCAAATCTTTCATCCAACTCTAACCTAAACGTATTAAAATGTTGATATGTTCCTTTGGGAAGCTGCTGTGAAGATTTAGTTTGCATTACATGGTTTCGTCAGATGGATTTACACCTTTTTCCTCCAAGTCTTCCTCCACAAACATAATTTTTACTCTCCAACATGTTTTTTTTTTCTATTTCCATTCCCTGTTCAGTCACTCAAACACACAAGTGGATCATCCCGGATGTCTGAATGGGGGTTTGAGGCTGAAAAGTGCTGTGTGGGGCAAGGCTGTAATGTAATGGACTAATCAGGCTAAAGGGAACAAACACTCTCTCTCTCTCTCTCTCTCTCTCTCTCTCTCACACACACACACACACTCTCTCTGGCTCACTACTCATCTCAAAACTCTATCTCTCCATCCTGTTTTCTCTCTGTGGGCCTCCACCCACACACGAGCTCCGTTTGTACTGGGTGGACACAGAGATGTTTAAAGTTTTTGTTTTAGTGGTTACATCCTTCTGTCAGTGTATCTTTGAAAATACACCAGCAGAAAAACAGAAAGGCAGGATAAGTATTTGCATGTATATGAAGTCAAAGCAGAGATTGCGTAATGTGATGGATGTAAGTGGGAGGGTGTTCTTTAAAGTCATATGATAAAGGTAGCAGAGGAGTGTTTCTGGATGACTGTGCAAAAATCGCAAACAACGGTGCATGGGATTCTGTAAAAAATACGAGAAATATGATAATATGGTGGTAAGTTACTCACCTTAACCATAGATTTAACTGTGACAGTGTTTCTTATAGCAAAACTAATTTATTCGTACACTCAAAGCTAAACAAGGATGTTTTTTTTTACCTGTACCTGGTCCAGGAGTCACAGCAAATTCAGCAAAACAAGGTTTTTTCAGTGAGCTTCAACAGGGGTTCAAAGAGAAGGAGCATCAGCAAAGACAATAGTGAAATCTGGAGGGAGACTAGTTCGAAAATAAAATAATAAGATTGCTCATTATCTAACATAGGAACTAGTTTTGGTTAGATGAACACCTTTAAAGCACAAATGTTTATGGTATCTATTCATATATTGTATTAAATCTCCAATATTACGACGTTAAGTACCTCACGGGCGGATGGTGTTACGTTTGAATGAGTGACCCTGCAAAGTGTAGACCTTTAGCCTGTTACTATGACAACCACGTACTCATTCGGCTAAAAGTCGCGAGCACACTGGGCAACTCTTTTAGCCACAACACCGGTAGTCTCGCAGGATGTACAGCTATATTAACATTATCCTTTAAAAGTGTTTAAGAGAATACAGCAGTTAGGTTGAGGCTAGTATCCCCTATGTCAACAGAAAGACACCCTTAAGTTATTGTGGCATACGGGTTTCTGAATGCTAACGTTAGCCGTGTTCGGGTGATTGCTAATATGTAGTCAAGTTTGTTTTTTAAGTTAAAATATGGCCCCATTTCTCTACTGACTCACCTCGTCTGTAGTCCATGGGGCTACTCATTTATCAGTGAGCTGCAAAATGACCACAGTTAATCGAAGTTTATGGGACTTACGACCTAAAAAAGCCAATAAAACAAAACAAAGGTTGTAGGAGTTGACCATATTGAGCGTGACGCAGCAACAAGATGGCCTCCGTAGCAGCGCCATGACAGTATTAGCCGCAATAGAAAAACGGCTAACTTTGGTAGTATAGACGTCGCAGCAGCAGTTTTAGGCCTTTGAAAGACTATAAGCGATTCAGAAAGGTTTTAGAGCTCAGTGAGACATCGGTTTGTTATAAAAACTGACATCAACTCCAGAGGTGAGTCCTAATGTCTCCCTTTCATCATTTTTAAGGAGTTGTACCTCCAAGAGTGACACTTCTACTCTGTAACAATGGGTTTCACACTCCTGGCCACTTTTACTTGTCCATAATTTGTTATTTAATCTCTAATTAATGGAGTCAACACTATTGTTAGATTTACAACATCAGCTCTAAAAAGACAACAGTACAATACAGAAAAAATACAGCAAAACCACTCCCTTTGGCAGCTTACACAAGATAAAAAGTGCATCTGTGACATTCAGGTCTTTCTGATCTTGTTAGCTGCACAGAGATGTCAGCTATGGCCCTCTCTAGTTTGCAACCACCTTTATGGCTGCCTATTTATTAGAATATTGAAATGAAAGTTTGTTAAACTCAAGAGTATATGTGACTATCTAAATGGACTAGCAGCTTCCCACCCTGAGCGTGATGACAAACGTAGATGGCCCAGATAGGAATATGGTCTACCATTACGGTTTTAAAGTAGGATCCTTGGAAAGACATCTGGAAGAAGTCCAGTATTCATCTGCTTAAATATTTAATAGTGGTTAGACATACAAAAACTATTGAAAAGTCAATAATGACTGCCCAGACCGACAGGATGACAGAGGATCTTCAAATACAGAGGTGACAGCAGAGACTGCTTTAAATTTGTTTATTTGGAACCCTTCTCCAAATCACGTCTTTATTTTTCCATTTCACAAAATATTTACAAAAAAAGATACTTTTATGTCTTTTTTTTCTATTTATGTTGACTGTTGTAACAGCTCCTTTTTAGGATGATGACAATTGCTTACATCTCGCAGTCCAGTCTGGTCTTTTAGAAAAAGTTCATGAAAAAAATTCCTCCCACCCACTGTATTTTTCTTTACACTCAATTTAAAACCGCATACATTTCCCTCCCATTGTTCTTCTTCTTCTTTTGAGTGCTTTAAAAACTCTTCCTTGCATGCTTTTAGCTGCAAACAGGAAGCCAAGAGCTCGTGTGCTTATTGAGAGGAAGTGACATCTTTGCCCTGCAGGAAGTACAATTACAGCATCATCAGATCCTCCAGGTGCTTGATTGGTTTGGTCTGTCCAGTCTTGTCCTGTTTTCTCTCTCAAATCAGAGTCTCTCTCGGACAATCATGACACTTACAGATGTACCAAATATCACAAAGTCATGTTAAGTACTAAATGGAAACAGTCTTCGTCGGGAGAAGAGCGTCTGTGTCCCGTGGAGAGCCTGGTAGCGGGAAAAACAGAGCGTTAGGAATCAGAACAACATCCCCATTTGAGCTCCAGTGTCCCTCTGCAGGTATGCAGTCCAGGCATAACAAGGCGTCCACAAGTGCATTGTGGGTGTTCCATGGAAGAGCGTTTTGTGTTCAAGCCGTACGATCAATCCCTGAACTCAGCAAAGAAAGGAAGTGTTGCAATGAAGATACAAATCAAGAGACATGAAGGGACTGCAGCCCCTTATTAAAGGATCTATCGAACAACGTGAGCTGGGCAGAGCAAAATATGACGCTAATAACATAAGGCAACTGACCTCAGCACGACTGGAGGGGTAATTATATCAGACGAAGCGCTAAACTGGAAAGGTCAAAACTGCCTGGTGTTATCTCTTTTCCCTTTAGCGTCAGTGAAGAGGCAGGAGAAGATCTTCTATTAAAGGTTCATTTTCTATCAATCCGTCTCCTGCTCCGGAAAGAAAGAGAAGCAGGATGTCTCCTCTCGCGCCTTGTGTTTGATGTTTGTGTGTGGAAAATGCTGAGCTAAGTTGTGCCAGAGTGATGCGGATGGCTGTTAACGTATAATACACTACATGAAACTGAAATTAAAGACAATAAGAAAAACAAACACACAAAGAGATCAACCCTGCCCCCGAATATGTTTACGTGTTCTCCATCTGTGTGTGTGTGTGGATATAAGTTCTAATATTTTACCGTGTTTCGAGTATAAATGTGTTTTTGTCCGGTTAATAAGTCGGTAATTGTGTGCCATTTTGGTGCCTGTCTCTACATCTGAGTGTGTGTGTCTGTGTATAATCGTGTTTGTGTGTTGGTGTGTGTCTACTCTGTTAACTGGTGACGTAGTGCTTTGTAGACGGCTGCCCATACAGCCCGTAAAAATCTGCATGTCTGTGCGTCTGTGAGGCGTCTATCCAGTCCCTCACTGCCAGGCCCTGCATGGACGGACCTCCAGAGGCCAGACCAGGAGGAGGAGGGTAGTCCTGGGCACTGACCCAGGGGAAGGAGCCCGAGCGTGGGTAAGGAGGGTGGCTACGGTGGCCTGAAACTGAGGGCACTCCGGAGCAGTAGCAGTTATCCATCGTGCACACCAGGATCTTGCGGCCGCCATATTGAGGCAGCACCGCCTGCTGGGAAGAGTGTGAGGAGCTGCTGCCTCCAGGAGGAAAGTGCGAGGAGCCGAACACGGAGCCTGAGTGATGGTTGCTCAGAGAGCCGCTTCCGCTTCCTGTCCCGCCGCTCTCGCTGATGTGAGGCGGGCCGCAGGGACCGAGGGGCTGCTGATTGGTAGACTGGCCTTCCCCGGAACTGGAGCCGGAGCCCAGGTAGGGCTGCTTGGCAAGAGATGAGGAAGAAGACGAGGAAGAGGAGGAGGAGGAGTCCTTGAAACCTGGAGCGGCGTTTTTTCCGACGTTGCTGTTGCCCTCTGGGAAGGCAGTGGAATGTTTCCGTTTCTCTGATCCGGAGCCAGAGCTCTGGCCGCTGGGATACGCAGGAACAGACTGCAGGAAGGTCGAAGGAGGGGTGATAGGAGCTGAGAGAAAAGAGAGGTGAGGAATAAGTGGAGATAAATGGTTATCAAAATAAAGCCCTCATTTAAGTTAAAGCCCAATGAGCATGTTTGAGGTCCTACCTTCAATCGTTCTCTTCAAGCTCTTCTCTCTTTTGGAGATTTCAGAGAGGAACAGCTTCGAGTTTAGATTCCCGACTTTATAAGGAGGGAGACTGCTGCCCACACATGCCTGAGACCTGCAACACGCGCCAAGAGACATGCAAAATTGAAGATAAGAGTCAGTTTAGGAGCAAAACTTGCATATGACAGACCCAGAGGCAGAAAAGGAAAATTTCTATTTTTTGATCCTCGGCTGGCGTGTTTCGCTCACCTGTCTGTGAGGATTTTAACAGGCTTGGTGTTTTTCATGAAGCTCAGCTCCTCCGCCTTGTTGAAGGCCGTCTGGATGGAGCTCAGCAGCTTCTGGGCTTCGTGGCGCTGCTCACCAAGAACCAAAACCTGTGCGGCGTTCTCCTGGCAGAAGCGAGCCTGAGCACGGTCCAGAGCCTCCAGTGTCCGACCGAGATCCTCCTCCAGGAGCTGGTGCATCCGCTGGTACTGCAGACGCACCTCCTCTTTCAGCTCACACACTCTGTCCTGTGGAGCAAACAAACAAAGAAACAAACAAACGTCAGTCCGCTCAAACAGGACTTTTCATTTCAGCTGCTTTAAATCAATAAAAACATGTGAATGCGCGTGTCCACAGCGCAGCGTGTTTACACTTACCTCCACCACACATTTGTCAGAGTCAAGTTTGCAGAGCTGTTCTTCGATCTCCTGCACTCGTTCCTCCACACGCTCCTGCTGTCTCAACAGGTTTTGCTGTAAAATGAGATCAAAAATAAACTCTTGAGCTTCAGGAAGTTGTGGCCTTAGCTAGCTGCAAGCATCCCCTCCCCGTGCCTGAAATATTAAGAATCCAGGAGACGGCTAATTTAGTCTCCATCCAACACACAATCCCTGCGGGGGAGGAAGGGAGGGTGTGCTGTCATGGCAACCAACAGCTATTTTGTGTTTGCATTAGTGAGTGAGGACTAATGTTGGGGGAGCTGGGGGCAGTGAGCAGAGATAAATAAATGGGCACACAGAGGCAGAAAAAGCTCCAGCAGCTCCTCTCAGAGCTTACGGTGGAAAAGATGCTCGTGTATTTACAGAGAGGAGGTCACCCAAAAAAAAAAAAGAAAACACCATAAAAAAAAATTATCATTTAAGTATTTTTAACAAAAAAACACCCAGATGGTTGCATGTGGAGAGCAGACTGACTGAGACCAGTGTCTGTTTTTCAGCTGCTGAAGTCCATCTGTATTAGAGCAGGTCGGCTAGCGGTGGATATATCAGTTGGCGATTACACTATTGCTCTCTTGCATTTGATGAAATACCACAACTTAGTAATAGGAATAATAATAAATGAGAGGCTAAATTGCTGAACTGGAGTGGACACCTGCCAGTCGCAGTTTCAGATTTAAGCTGAAGATAAGGATGAAAAAACATTAAATTGTTCAGAATCATTTAGATTTTTCAAGCTTTTGTGTAACGCCCTTTAAATTGTCAAGACTTAAGTCTGTATTTTTCCATAATTCAGAATTATATCTCTTACTTTTGAGCCTGGCAGTCGTGAAATCTCTACGGTGTCTTTCTCAAAGTGCTCATCCTGTCTCTTGGTTTTTCAGGTACACACCATTCCAACCCCCAACCCGCGCTTTATTCGACATTTTGAGCGAAAAAGGAGCTACGCAGCAGGCAGCACAATAATCATTCAGTCCGTGTTATCATATTTTTGTGACCAACATCGTCATTAGAATTAGAATATAATTACTTTCTCAGCTCTAGGCCAACTCCAACTATCTCAAAATGCCAATAACCAGCTTTATCATCAATCTACCGTTAGTCTTTCTAGTTACTCCATAGATGAGAGTTCAAAAGTTACTGACAAAGGTTAGTGAATATTTTTTTATAAATAAAGGTAGAGCATTTGATGTCATCCAGACTTAAACTGTGGTAAAGTTTGTAGTTAAGAGACAGCTTAAGCTCATTTTAATGCAGAGCATGTTGGCAAATCACATGATTTTGGTTTCAGGTTTCAGCATGGAGTTGAAGTTGTCCACTTGTGTCTAAGTGGGCTTTGTTTGTGGAAAAACCAGTCTGTTGTGGACTTTCTACATCCTCTTACGAATCCATCCTTATGTATGAGGTGTCCTACTTGCATGTGTGATGGTTTTAAACTCAGTTTATAAGTACGTATAGGAAGGTACAGTATATGTGCATTCAGCAGAAGAACAGAGTGTGTATTTAAATTAGCTTTTATGTATTTTTATGTTTTGATCATTCCTTGGTGTTTTTCCACTTTCTGCATTGTTATAAAAATATAATGTTGGACGTTTTTTAAGGGAGATGAAGCTGTTTTTTTTAGTATTAAAAAGCATTAAGAATCCAAAACAACAGCTGTAAAATCTTAGAATCTTAAAAGAAACAGAACAAAAAAACACAAAACAGGTGGTACGGGGAGTAGAAAGGGCAGACTGCAATGACTCTCATCTGTTAAAGACCTCATCCTCCACTCTTCCTTCTCAAGTTTCTCATCGGACTGAAAACAACGGCAATGAACGTCAACTTAAGCTTTGACTCAAAACTCCTGAAAGCCTTTTCTCAGTCTGATGATGGGTGGTGGGTCCCTGAAAACAACACTGAATGAACTAAGAGCGAACATCAACATGCTAACAGACTGGAATAACCACTTTTAGTCAACGAATGATTGATTGTTCTCATCGCACAGAATTCCTGATCGGATAAACTCATTCTTATTACCTGTAATATGTTAAAACTAAACTGTAGTGCCGCTGCCCACCACTAGAAGGGTCTATTGGTTTGGAGCTACTGCTTTACGGACCTCAACTACCCTGATGTAAACAAACACAGGTGGTGTGTTTTTGTTTTGTATTTAGACTCTGCCTGCTTAAACCCTTTAAAAGGAAGAACCAGCCCAGCCCAGCGATATTTTTTTTGTATGATGGTAGGGGAAGGTCCCGCCTCTGATTGGCTAGAAAAGCTGGGCTATGATTGGTTATTCCTTATGGCTGTGAAACGTCATCACACGCTCAAGCCGAGCGCGGGCTGTCTGCTCTGTACATCGAACAGAACATTATCGCAATCCTGAATCTCCAAACCCTAACCTGACAGAAGATGACGTTTCACAGCCATAAGGAATAACCAATCAGAGCCCAGCACATCTAGCCAATCAGAGGCGAAGGAGACGGGACCTTCCCCTACCATCCAACGGAAAAAAAATATCGCGCCCGGGCAGGTGAGGGCGGAGGCGCTCACTCTGCTGATGTTAGACACACTCAGCGAACCAACTGCATCTCATTTACTTGAAGACTGTCCATCTGTATCAAATAAACTGTTCAATATTGACTGTTATCTGAGTGTTTTCTTATCTTTGGATGGGTTGAAATTTAAAATCCTGTTCAAATGACTGAAAAATTAGCTGCTAACCTTAAGCGACAGTGTACTACTGTATTTGCTGGTCACACTCATGCACATTATGATAGTTAAAAAAGAAAAAAACGGTCCATTAAAAACTATTTTAGTCAAAAAGAAAAGAGAGAATGCATTCAAGGATGTTATTGCACTATAAATTTCACTGCACCATGAATTTTAGGGCAGATTTTACTGTTGAAGCATATGCTATAGCACGCTAATGCTACATCCTCATACTAGTAATTAAATTAAAGTGAGTAATGAGACTTCTGAGTCACTCTTCTCTTCTTTTCTAATTTTTATCATATTTACAGTTCAAGCTGGGGGAAATTACTTTAGTTCGATTGTATGTGTTGACTGATCAGGAACATGTTTCTTTGTGTTATTTCAATGAAGATCTAATTTTTTTTCTTGTACTAAAATTAGTAATCAAGGAAACAAACAGACTGCTGTAAAAACGTCCACTGTTTCACCGTTGTGTTTGATGTTTATGTCCTTTTTGACTGTAATTCTGTGTAAAAGGCTCTTCACACCACATATTCAGGGTCAGATTGAGGACGAGGTTCTGTATTTTGGAAAGAAAACCAGCTTGGAGTTGTCGATTATTGTTTTGTGTGTTTGGACTGTGTTGAAAAATGCTCCTTTCAGGGCGGACTCTCAGTAAACAACATTCTCTAATTCTTCCGGGGTCTACCGCTGATCAATAATCCGTTGTTTACAACAGGCTGAGGGCCGGCTCACATGTAATCATCATAATCATCATCATCATCATCATCATGGCATCCAGCCCCTCTACAAAACAACAGCTGATTTTATCATTAGTGATCAGCTGCTGCAGAGCCGGATAGGAATGAAAACCTGCACACTCTTGGGTCTCAGTGGCACATGGTTGGGAACCGCTGCCCTAGATATCTTTCACACACACCCACATACACCCACACACACACCCCCACACACACAGTTGGCATGGTTAGATCCAGGACTGTGACCTGGTTGTGCTGATTGATTGAGTTAGGCTCCGAGCAGCAGCCAGGGGAAAAACAGGGTGGAAGGAGCCGGAGCTCCTCCCCAGAGGGGGGGTTGCAGCTCGATGTATGGGATACCTTTGGGGAAGGGAGACAGGGGAGGGGGAGTAAGAGGGGAGGGTGCTCTTTAGCTGTCATCTCACCACAGTGTCTTCTCCATCAGAGCCACTAGAGCAGGAGAGCGGGGCCAGGGGGAAGGTCTGTCCTCGCCTGGAGAGGCTGCTGGATGGTGAGAGGGGGTGAGGTGAATTTGGCGGATGGGGTGGGGTTTAGAGCGGGGATGAGGAGGGGAGTGGGGCAGCTTTGTAGTGTGTCTGCCGAGGGGGTCCACTCTGCTTCCCTTAGTAGCATTAAACATGGAGGACGCCTTAATGATGGCGGTCAGAGGGGGGATTTATTTATGAGTCAGGGACATTTTGGCCAAAATCAACATCAGTGTGATAGTAAATATATTTCTAATCTTCATGCTCTTCACATTCTGACATTATCCAAAGCTACACACTTTAAACATGCAGTATTTTCTGTGTAAATCTAATGTAAACACCATCATTTCAGTGTTCACAGGTATGACTGGCAGCACTTTAGCAATGACCGACTGATTCACTCAGATTACAAACATCTAAGTATGACATTAATCATTTGGGAGTCACGATTGTTAGCACAATATCGACATCGGCAGATAAAGACCCCAATTTCCATCGCATCCGGAACGGCTACAAAAAGGCTGTATCCGCTGATGGTAGCTGATCGTAACCATTCAAGTTAATGTGACAATTTCCACCGGCTTCTTTCCGTTCCACGGCAGATTGCCGCTCTCCGCAGCTGATCGCAAGAGTTCTGTTTTTTCCGGACGCTGGAGCATGCTGGATAAATTCAGCACAGATTAACCCGTGCTGGAAAGGAAGGCGGGTACAGACAAAGAAATCATCCGTGTTTCAGTCGGATCGTATTTCACATCATACAAACAAGTGAAAGGTTTATAGACAGCATTTCATCCCGATGACACCATGGATGAGGAGATGCTGATTTTAAAGGTCTAGAAGTGGATTTCCTCCTCTGGAAGGACACAATCTACGGCTTATATGGTTAGCCTCTGTGGCTAAAGACAACTCATCGCGTGAATCACGTGAATCCGTGGATTCTTGTGAGTTCTCGTGATTCCTGCTGTCTGTAATCCGCCACAAAATTTGCCTCACAAACGGATCTGGTAGGACTAGGCATACGGTGAAAATGATCATTCCGGATGCGGTGGAAATCCTGGGTAAGGGTAAATATCGACACTGGGCAGTAGCAGCTCACGCGCGTTAACACTAAGCGCCTATAAATCGAATGTTCAGAATGATCTTTAAGTGTCGGGGACAGATTGCAAAATAGCCGCTTGTTATGTTTGTGAAGAAAAACACACGCAGTTTAATTCTACATCCAAAGAACATGAATGAGAACCGACACAGACAGGGATGAGTCGTCTTATCAGCCGCCCTGATGGAGGAAAATGACGTCAAGCTTTAAGTGTTTAGGACTTCAGTGCTAAAGCTTTCAGATCCAGACCAGGTCCCACCCATCGGTGGTTCCTGTGCCCCAGGCGACCAATTAACTATACATAAAGCTGAGTCATAGCGTTACCAGCAGGAAATACACCCAAGTATGTGACGGTGACACCTTAACAGGGTGTTGGGTGATCTGCATGAGTCAGTTGGTGGTGGAGCCTCCAATGTTCTCCTTCTGACTAAACTTACCCGTCATTTTAAAACACAGGGAAACCATGGGACCTTTGGCCCAATGGATGACAGCGAGCGCCAAACCCCCGGGAAGAGAAGAGGTTAATAAAAAAACCCTCAAGTAGGCCGCAGAATCAAGTGACAAATCACTTTAATCCCCCTTCCCCTTGTCCCCACTCCCGCCCCCTCTCACAACTGGCGATCCCTGAGCTAGGATGCACCTGTGCTGGGGAGATAAGGCCCTCTGAGGGCCCCCTCATTGTTCCACCCTTGACTGCATTGTTTGTCATTCCAACAGATGAGAATGGATGCTGGAGTAGATCACTACTGAAAAATGCGCAAGACTCTCAGACGGGGGCTGAAACACAATCAAAATGCAGTGGTCCTGTTAAAGGGGGAGTTCTGTTTTTGATGAAGTGGAGTGAATTATTAACTAGATTAACGACTGAGAGGAGATCACCGCTGCTTTGTTCCCAAAACCTTGACTAAATGTTCATCATCAGGTTGAAAAAGAAAACACAGAACAAGAATATGCTCCTTTTTCATGACGATGTTGAGTATGAAATGTGTGACCGTGACCTCAATGGCCGATTCACACCCTCATGAACACATACAGGCTTGATTTGGTGTTGACAGATCCAGACTAGTACAATAATTCAGTATCATTTCCTCTTCTGATATTGATCCCTGATCTTCCATAAATGAGGTGAGTCTAAGCACAAAGTTAATTCTTTTCTAATGATGTTGTTTATGACATGAACTGCTGGTGGCAGCCATATTACTGCCACTTTACTTGCTGTGGAGTTGACCATTTAGGAGCAGAGAGGTGAGAAGGCTTCAGGTGAATCAGTTCAGTTTCTTTTAAGCTGACATATTAGATCTAACCGCTGATGTCCGGTCAGTGTCAGAGCTGTTGGTGTTGAAATGAATCTAAACTCGATAACAAAGTCAAACTTAACATTAAAGCTCCTGTAGGGAGTTTTTTGACACTTACGAAACAGGCTGAAATTCATACTGGTGTCTGTCGACGACACAAAAAGCAAATAAAACCATCAGCGACTATGAAGATGACTGTTATGATGCTGTTTTTTATGTCTGAATCTGATACAAGGGGGGAGGTGCCTCTTTCTGTGTTTTCCACATGGTACATATTTACTATAATGGATATATTTGTCCATTAACAGTCAGCAAAAATTGTTTTTTTTTGTTACTTCAGCACAGGGGGCGCCAAATTGGACACAAAATGAAAATATCATTTACAGGAGCTTTAAATTAAAAATGAGAAACATACCAGATTTTTCGCACTATAAGGCGCACTTTAAATCCTTTTGGCTTGTCCGTAGCCTCGCTGAGTTATTGACTGTTTTGTTTGGCTAAATGCGCCTTATAATCCGGTGCGCCTTATGTATTAAAATCGACGCAAATAGACGCGTTCATTGATGATGCGCCTTATAATCAGGTGCGCCTTATAATGCGAAAAATACGGTATTTGTTAAAGAATAATAAATCTTTCTTACTCTGATGTCATTGCGTCTCAGCTCCACGTCAGTGACAGCGTGGCCGTGGCTGGGGTGGCAGCGGGCGAAGCAGCAGTACTGACACACGGCCGTCTGCTCGGCCTCGCAGTGGTACAGCCTGTATTCGTCGTGCTGCAGGCAGGTCCAGGCCTTCACCGCCTCGGCCTCCACCAACAGGTGCCCGAGGGCCGAGCACGGCTGCTGCAGGTGCGTTTGGACGTGAGACTGGCAGCAGGGGGCGTTGCAGCGTAGGCAGACTTTCACAGCAGGGAGCGGCGGGCCTCGACGGCACAGGATGCACTGCAGCGCCGGCGTGGTGGCCTTCTCCACGCTCAGAGCGTTGTACTTCTCCACTATGTTGGACAGTTTGTGGTTCTTCTCCAGGCTGGGCTTCTGTGTGTAAGCATGATTGCACTCAGGGCAGCGGGCCAGCGAGGAGTCTTTGGCCCAGGCCTCGCTGATGCAGCCCCGGCAGAAGTTGTGCTTGCAGGGCAGCTGGATGGGATCTGAGAACACGTGCAGGCAGATGGGGCAGATGAGCTCCTCCTCAAAACAGTTCCTCCATGTCTCAGCCATGTCAGAGGCCATAATGGTGCGGGCAGGCATACACTGACTGTTTTCCACTTCTACCACACCTCCAGGCCTCTGTGGAAACCTGACACTCTCGAAAAATGAGGCTCAAAATAAAATAAAAAAAGATACAAACAGACCTGAAGCAGTCCTGGCGGATCAGTCTGTGTGTTTTAACCCTTGTGACCAAATTCGACGAGTCTCCCTGACAGACGATGAGTATTGCTTATTGCTGCAGCATGAAGGCAAATTCCAGATATTTGACCGGAGAGGGCTCCAGGCGAGGATGACAACACCTTAATGATTTCAACACACACAGCAGGGGCTGACGTTTCACAGATTACAGTAAATGGTGCTTTCCTTTTCTCTAAATCACACACACACACACACATGCAGTGAGGACCTGCCTTTACGGCTTCTGTGTGTGTGTTTATAGGCCTACAGGAAGCTAAAATCCTGCCTGCTACAGGTAAACCATGAAATGCAAACAAGGCACAGAGAAACAAATATCTAAAATATTACATGTAAGATCACAGGGGTGAGTGAATCTCTGTTTAGCACATGAAAAAAGAAAAAAAGACACTTGATCCTTTCCTGCTGCCTGCTCAGGCCCTTCCTTACCTTGAGAGCTCCCTTTACTTCAGCGTCGGATTATGATTCAGACCAGCAAACCAAGCATGAAAACCACGAGAAAAAGACTGCTCTAGTCCAGTCCACACCCTGATTACTAAACACACACACACATACGAAGCTGTTTGTAAAAAACCTGAATCTGTTTTGTCAGGACCTCAAGGACGCTTGATTCCCTTCAATAATCACAAACGCAGCGCAATGCTTTTGTCCGCTGAATCATAAATAAGGATCCGAGGAGCCTCCACCTGCGATTGAATTATACATACACAACCTGGAGCAGAGAAATGCTGTTTTACAGGTCAGATACACAACAACAACAACAACACAGCTACCTTCAGCTCTTCAATCTGGCACAAAAAAGCGACATTTGTGTTGGATGAATAACGCCTGCTATGTGGCACAGCTCGCATATCTGTACACAAGGCCTCGGCTTTTCTAGCAGTTTACTGTCGACAACAAAGGCCTTATAATCTCATTAAACTGAAAATCATACCCGGGCCATCATTTCCAGTCTGTTTACTGCATAGTTAATCGTTTTAATAGTCGAGTCCAGCTCCTGCGCACAAAACAAAGGCTTTTCGGATCCGCAGGAATGTTGGCTGCTGTTGCAGAAGCTTTGGCTTCCCCCCCTCCGACACATCTATCAAATATCCCCTGATTTCAGGATGATTGGTTTCTAGATTCAAGCTCTGGCCTCTTTTTCATTACCGTGCTCTCCACCTTTATTCACATATCGTCGCCTCAGCCTTTAGCCAACAACATATTTTTCCACTTCCTTATCTCGAATAAATCGTGTAAATTACCTCAGACGTCACCTCACCATTTTCTACCAAAGCTCGGGTCCAAATAAACACTAACCTGGCATTATTTCCCGACAAGGACACTCATTATTTCAATAAAGCAGCCATATTTAGATATTTGACTAATAGAAATACACTAATATTCCCCGCTAATCTTAAAGGGGACGTCGCTTTTCTGTCCTTGTTAGGGGTAGCTGTCATCAGCCATCTTGCAAAACCTCAATTATAAGAAAAGAGAGAGGAAAAAAGAGAGATATCCGCCGTGGAAATGAGAGGAAAATGTCTTTTCAGTACCAATCTACGCAAAGTCCCGTCTTCAAAAAGGAGAAGCACGGCTTTTTCGTCGTTATTGTAAAGTCCAAACTGAGCCGTCTGGTCTCAGTCGAGGTTATTTTCCGTTTTTTTTCCGGTAGATGTGTCCGGTAAGAGTCGGTTCATAAAAAATCCAACACGGTTGTGAATAATAATTGGCCTTTTCTCCCCCCTCCTCTCTTCCTTTTCTTTCTCTGTCTCTATCGGTCAGGCTTTAGAGAGAGGAGGAATGCAGGCGAGCTGGACTAGAACTGAAAACCAGCGTCAAGACAAACCAGCACAGTCGAGCACTTCCGGTTACGCTTTCAAAATAAATCTATGCTTACGTCATCCTCTGAAAATCTGTGCAAAACGAGCAAAAAGTGAGACGTTGTTTCAAACCGATGAAAGGATATGACAAGTCAAGGTCCTTCCACACCGGGACTGTTTTTGTCGTGCGATTATTTCGGACGTCAATATTTTTTTTAGAACCTGTATCCTTTCAATACGAGCGTTCACCTCAGCGACGTTTTCCCGTTCTGCAATATTACGGCTTTTTTTTTTTCGGATCATGGTCCATTTTTCTAAAGTTTTGAATACTGTGTGTCCACTTCTGACCAATCAGATTTTGTGTTGTTGCGACATCAGATTCACTGGTATATCCAACATGGCCGACCGGCTGATTGTTTATGATCGTTTACACAAATATTACAAAGATAACGACCTGAAGGACAACTTGTGGAGAGTCATAGCGTCAGATTTCTGATATGACGATGTTTTGTGCGCTTTAACAGTTTGCTATATATCTTTGTTTTAACTTTCATCTGTGCTAAGTAACTTTAGCTCGTAAGCTAACCTGTTCAGATATAACATACCATATGTATTTTCACTGTCTCAAACTCAATCACAGTGTTGCTGTCACAGCACCATTAGGTCTCAGTTGTTACCTTACGTTTATGGATTATAGTTTAATGTGTTTATCTGGTACTGGCCCTGACTCAGTACGTGCTATCATGACAGACAGACATCTCAACACTAGTGTCTAATCAGAACAGAAAAACACTCAGTCTGCTGTTGTGTCAGTCTTTTCGCTTCCACCCGGGACGCGTCTTTTTTCCCCCTGAAAAGTCGCAAAATTGCATCGCTATATGTGTATAGTCAGGCGAGTCAAAATTCGTCTCTGAAAATTTCGTAATTTCGCATCGTATATTTGCGTCGTTTCCGGTGTGTAAGGAACTAATCGAATGTTCGGAATGATCTTTAAGTGTCAGGAACAGATTGCATCTGTGCTAACGTAAACTAACGGTTGTTACCATAGTTTCATGTGTTTATCTGGTACTGGCCCAGACTCAGTACATGCTATCATGACATAAAGCCATCTCAACACTAGTGTCTAGTATGTAGTCCTCTGCTTTTTCAAACTCGGAGCTAATTGTTTCATCAGAACTTCAAATTGTCCAACAGACATCTGAAAATAGGTTCTGAAGCAACCGTGGTCCAGTTCCAGCTCCTGAACGAAGCAGTGAAACTCAACAAATTCTCATCTTTTTTGTAATATTGGATCGCATCGGTCTTGATGTGTATAGTCAGATGCGGCCCGTGTAAGGACCTTCAGAGGCAAAACCTGGAGTCTGTGAGAGGTTTGAACCTCACATACTGTTTTCTGATTGGTTAATACTTCATAGCGATGGTCTGCTATTCCTCTTTGGAACACTGTTGCTATAGACAGGTTTCTTGTGTACAAACAATACTAGGTGAGCGTGCAACCATGGGGAAAAAGCCTGCTTTGGAGTGAACTGATATCAATGAAGATGCTGTATTGTTGGCAAGTTCTCCCTGACACAATTGCAATAAAATGTCATTTCATTGAAAAATTGTTTTGTCTTTCATTGCATCAAAATCAGAAAAACACTTGCTGAAATGTCCGTGAATTTCACTCAATTTACCAGGTTGTGACGTTGTTGTAGATGGTTCTAATATCAGGAGCAAAGTCGTGATGTTTGCCGATTGTTTGTTTTGCTGATCCGTGCAGTTTACAGCACAACAACCCCCTGTCATTTTCCTACTCTGTTGACTCGGCTAGTAAACAAATAAGAAATGCAAGTAAAAGATGATTTTAATGTTGATCAAAATTAAATCAGTGTTGTCATTTTCGGTTGTAAACAATGAGTGTAACAGATATCCTTTCAAGAAGATGGCATGTCTGCACTATGTAGGCTTTTATTTTGAAGCCATACCACCGAGCTTCCTGTATGATTCAGCCTACGTTTTGCTGACCTGATGCAGTTTCTCGGCAACATCAGCCTGCCTCCCTCCCCTTCTTCCCTCCCTCCTTCCGGATCAATGCTACGGCCGTCACGTGACCTGTCACACAACTGATGTGTGTCACGTTTTTACCGGGAGGAGCTGGGGGACGAACTGGGGGAGGAAGGGCAGGAAATCATATTTAAAGAGCTTACTGCATTTGTTAATGGCCTGGACACGCATGATGGTCCTCTGAAGCAGCACCGCACAGCCCCGTGTAAGTGTGTGTGTGAGTGCGTGTACGCGCTCTTGTGTGTATTTGTTTTCTGCGTGGTGGTGTTGCAGGAAAATACGATATGATATTGATATTTCTCTAATATTTCTTCAGAAAATAGAGCTACAGAGCGTGCCATTGAGGCTAGATTTCGCGTCATTCTGTAGCCTTATGACGTTAAAACTGGTTCAGTTTCGTAAAAATGAGACAACAAAGGCATGGCACACAAAAACAGAATCAAGTAAGTAAAAGTATCAAAAGTGCATATTTAAAAAACACTACTTTACGGCAAAATGCACAAAAATTTTAGATATACGTTTTTTGAAATTATTATTTTAATAGGAGATTGGTCCTTTAAGCAAATAACATACAGATATCAAATATTCCAGTTCCTTTAAAGGGATATTCCGGCGTACAACAAAGACGTTTAGCAAACTGTTAAAGCACACAAACCATCGTCATATCAGAAATCTGACGCTATGACTCTCCACAAGTTGTCCTTCAGATTGTTTGCTTTGTAATGTTTGTGTAAATGATCATAAACAATCAGCCGGTCGGCCATGTTGAATTTACCCGTGAATCTGACGTTGCAACAACACTCAATCTGATTGGTCAGAAGTGGACACACAGTATGCAAAACTGTAGAAAAATCGACCGTGATCCGAAAAAATGAATGTTGCAGTATCGCAGGAAAGGAAAAAGTCGCTGATGTGAACGCTTGTATTGAAAGGATACGGGTTCGAAAAAAATATTGACGTACGAAATGATGGCACGAACAAAACAGTCCCAGTGTGAAAGGACCTTTAGACACCCCCTCGAAAGATGAATGTTGCCGACCCCTTGCTTCCTAGTGATACCAACTTTAGTAACGACGGCACGATTGCAATACACAGCGGTCTATGGAACCACTTACAAACCTCAACCAAAACGCCACTCTATAGCCACAAATAATGCTCAGAACAGCACCTAACTTCATCAACAGTACACATAGGGTCCCAGCCATAGTATTAGCCATCAAACATCTTTTTTAGCTTTGCCTAATTTCTTTAGCAAAGAGACTAAACACAAGTCACCTACTCTCTTCCAGCAGCCGCTTGTTTGTAGCAAGACCTGTTCTGTGCTGTTCTGAGCATTATTTGTGGCTATAGAGTGGCATTTTGATTAAGGTTTGTAAGTGGTTCCATAGTCCGCTGTGTATTGCTATCATGCGGTCGTTACTGAAGTTGGTATGACTAAAGAAGCAAGCGGTCGGCAACATTCATCTCTCGAGGGGGCTGTCTAACTCGATGTTATAGTGTGTTTGACCCTAAATTGATTTTACACTGGAATATCCCTTTAATTTCTTCGATATCATATTGTTTTTTTCAATTGATCCTTAGTTATTAAATCTACCAGTTCCTTTAAGTTGCTGCATCAAGGTTTTTACTAATTATTAGAACAAAACCTCAAAATAACCTGGAGCCATGCAGGACAACTTTTTAAAGCTTACTGAGTTTTTAAAGCTCCTGTTAGGATCTTTTTTATTTACGTCAATGAATCAGACTAAAATTCATATTGATGCTTTTCTTAAGATATACAAAGGCAAACAGGACCATTGGTGTCACGATGCATTTTATAGTTATAATAATAACTTTATTTGTATAGCACTTTTAAAACAGAGGTTTACAAAGTGCTTTGACATATAGTCATAGAGCACATCAAAAAAGACAGATAAAAACAAAAAGCTCAGTTAAAATGGAATTGAAGGCCATTTTCACGTCATACATTACAAGAACCATGTAACATAAAATGAGACCATGAGGACCAAAATGGAAACATAAAATAGTTAAGAAAAACGTAAATGCCATTAAAAGGGAGGTCGAAAGTGGAAACAGGATAGTCAAAATAAAAGGCATTATCAACAGTGATTATAGAATAACAACAGGTAATACTGTTAATTATAGTAATGATAAAATAGAGCAACAGAAATGAGCAAGAGATAAAACAATAAAAGGCCTAAAAGGTTAATTAAGAAAAAAGTACAAGTAAAACAAAAGCTAAAAAGACGGTAAAAATAATGTAGTTTTAAAAGCCTAAAACTGGTGTGAGGGGGTAGGTGTTAGCCTAGACGCCAAAGACAGCCTCGTTTTTACATCATCTTCATAAAATATTCACAATGAACCCTACATTTGACCATGAAAACAGAGCAGGATAAGATGTTTGTCGATGGTTTCACCACCAATGGTTTTCTCAATGGTTTTCCCAATTTACACAATGTCTTACTGCTTTGTGGCTTCTTATTCTTAGTTCATGCGATTTTACTGACTGCTTTTATCTCTTAAAACTGCTATGTGTCATTCAGTCATAGCTTGTTTTTCTGTTTGGTTATGGTGTGTTTTTTGCAGGGGTCCCTTAGATTTTTTTCCTTTATGTCAAAGCACTTTGTAAACATTTGTGTTTAAAGATGCTTTAGGGATCCCATCCCATCGTCATCCGCTTGAGTGAAACAATTTGCAGCATTTAACCAAGTTATAGAGGGGAGGAGAAACGTCTTTTAACAGACAGAAACCTCGAGCAGAATTAGACTCATATTAGACAGTCATCTGCCACTACTGCACTGGGTTTAGAGAGGGGATATTATAGTCCTAGCCTGGCTGGGCCATCCTGTTGTGTGAATCACTTGCCGTTCCTTCCCACAACAGGAAACAGCAAGTGATTCACGCAACTGGATGGCCCAGCCAGGCTTTTATAGTCCAACTATAATACAGAAGTAAGAATATATAAGAGTTATGAAAGGGATATTTTGGCGTAAAATTAATTCAGTGTCAAACACAGCGTAACACTGAGGTAGACCCTTTTTTTTAACTTTGCCTTATTTCTTTAGCAAAGAGACTAAACACAACTCACCTACCCTCTTCCAGCAGCCGCTTGTTTGTAGCGAGACCTCGGGCTAGTCCATTAAGGACTGCTGCGGGGTGACGCAGCTCAAGGAAGAACATTTATGATAATTTCCTTATCATTTCCCTGAAGTAATAATCACCATATTAATCATTTTGCACTGCAGACATGGTAGTTCTTCTGCCTTAGCGTCTCGGTCTGATTGCATTTCCATGAAGAAATGATCATAAATGTTCTTCCTTGAGCTGCATCACCCCGCTGCAGTCTGTAGTGATCTGGACTGAAGTCTCACTACAAACAAGCCTCTGCTGGAAGAGAGTAGGTGAGTTGTGTTTGGTCTCTTTGCTAAAGAAATCAGTCAAAGTTAAAAAGATGTTTGGTGACTAGTACTATGGCTAGGACCCTATATGTCCTGTTGATGAAGTTAGGTGCTGTTCTGAGCATTATTTGTGGCTATAGAGTGGCGTTTTGGTTGAGCTTTGTTTCTGGCTTCTCAGACGGCTGTGTATTGCTATCCTGCGGTTGTTACTAAAGTTAGTTTATCTAGAGAAGCAAGCGGTCGACAACATTCATCTTTCGAGGGGGTGTCTAACTCGATGTTACAGTGTGTTTGACCCTAAATTAATTTTACACCGGAATGTCCCTTTAAGCTTAAGGACAGGACAAGTCAATCTATATGCGAACTGTTTAATACGGCTAACAGTGGGTATTAGAAGATGAGGATGAGGACTTATATTGATTTGGAGGTGTGGACTGCTGGTTTGACATACAGTATTGAAAAGATTAAACATTTGTAGTGGTGATTGTCAACCTGGAGATGGCGCCAGAGATCTAGAGGAAAGGGGGGGACAACAGAAACTGAGTGCGGTGAAAACACATATGAGAGAAAGTTTCTACACTAAAGTGTGGTTATTACGTTCTCCAATTATACATTGTGCAGTTTTTGGCCTGACTTTGAGAACTTCATGCAGGCTTGTGCGCTGGTCCAATTCATATTGTTTCATACATAAATTATCATGTACCGTTAAGACAATGATTAACTTTGTACAAATTAGGAAGCCCCGCTTTCGCAGGGCATCAAAAAATTGAGATATACTCTTGTTGTTCCTCTCCACGGAAATCTTTAGTAAAAGGCGAAAGATTTATACGATCTGAAGAGAAACAAGAGTGAACTGTCAATAATGAGGTTCTCACACGGACCCCATCGGCGCACATATATGTTTCAATTGCGGTTCTTTTTACGTTCACTTACGCAAACATCTTAAATAGTTCGTACAAAAACTACAAAAACCATAAAACACTAACACAAAATTGTGTCCTGAGAAGCAAACGTTAACTTTGCGTTAGACAGACGTTTGCGTACGCGCGCAAGGCATGATGGGACGTCGTTCTTCTTGTTTCCGGCGGGTCCGGAGTTATGAAGTCATTGTTGTTTGGCGCTACGAAATACAAAGGTTTCCGTTATGTTTCCTGTTGTTATTTGAGAGTTGTCCTAAAACACTACGAAAGTGTGAGGACTGCGGAGTTGGACGGGTAATTTTCCAATGAGAGTATAATTTTCGGTCTCAACGTCCGAGTCACCATCTTCCTGTCACAGCCTGGGTGTTTTTTCTACAGGGTTTAACAGTTAACACGAAATTACTTGCTTTCTTTTGTGAAAAAAGTGATTAAGAGTTTTATAAAAGTCGTTTTTATTTTAATGTTTAAACTATAAACACATAACTGAGTGTAAAACACGTAGAACGGATCCTATAATTTGATTCAACATAGGTGAGAGTGAGGTAAGTTGAGCCAAAGGGTAAGTTGAGCCACCCCCTGTTGCTTGGAAATGGTCAAAGAAATTGATCATGTGACCAAATATTTAGGAGATGGGCATCAATTCATGGAGTCTGTGAAGGTTAGAAGCACATGGGTGAAGAGGTTAGACATTTGTTTGCAAAAAAACCAACATTTTTCTCTCTTGAAAGTAAATTTAGTCTGTCACAAGTTTGATTAGAATTGTGTTCAGACCAAAAAAAGATAATTTTAAATTTGTTTTATACATCAATTGTGTTATCCATGACCTTTTACAAAACAGCTTTTTAGCAGTTTTATGCAATAATAATAATAATCAAAAGAATTATTGTACCAGTTGAATAGTGTATAATAGATAAAAATATACACGAATGTGAAGAAGTTACTGTTATTTAGGGAGAGAGAAGGTGAGGGAGGGCTGGGGTGGAGAGTGGAGGGGTGGTAGGGATACGACTCAATTTACCCCACTACTATGGTCAACTTACCCCATACCCCAGACCACTTTTTTTTGGCATGCTATATTATCAAGACAGTTATGTTTACACTCATTCTGTTAGTTTGCAGGGATGAACAACATCTTGAAATATCTGCAGATACACTAGTTAGAGACAAAACTATGATCTTACCCCACTCTCCCCTACTCTGGATTAATCACACAAAAAGTAAAATCCTCAAATTATCCCATGATCTCCGAAGATATAAAGAAACTCATTATGTGAAACATACTCATCATTTTAATGAGTTTCTTGAGGAGAGATTTACATTTAATCTTGATGAATGATTCTTTTTCACCTGTGTAATGATTAACATTTTGTGTTCGTACTTCATTTAGATCCAGATCCATAATTATAGACTTCTTTAGTAATAAGGTCTGATTTAGAATGCATTTACATCACTAGAGAAATTACTCAACACTTGCACAAGATTATAATCATGTCTGACCCCTTGAAGGAATCGTATCCCTTTACTAAATCCCATTTTTTCTCATAATGTTTATTTATTTATTTATTAATTTCTATTTTTAAAACAAAAATCAAATAACCAGTCAGTGTTCTATTTTTGACATCTGTTTCAAAACGTTATATCCAATTACTAAAAGAGACACTGACCCTTCGTCTGTGGTTTGGAGATAGTGGAGAAGCAGCTCACAAAAAATGTAAAAAAATAAAAAAAATCTTCCAGCTTTGTGGAATAGTCAATCTGGTTAATTTGTCGGTTCCATTTCCTCCGATATCTCCACTGCTAATTTTCAGTAATGATTTCCCTGTTTCCAACTGAAAAAATCCACACAGGTGTTCTTGGATGATTATACGTGTGTTGCTCAAGCTACGTACTATTACCCGCAGCTTTGCCACTCTTTCGATGTTTTTCTTTGGACATGATAGGAAGCCCCGCTTTCGCAGGGCATCAAAAAATTGAGATAAACTCTTGTTGTTCCTCTCCACGGAAATCTTTAGTAAAAGGCGAAAGATTTATACGATCTGAAGAGAAACAAGAGTGAACTGTCTTACGTAGAGTTCCCACACGGACCCCATCGGCGCACATATATGTTTCAATTGCGGTTCTTTTTACGTTCACTTACGCAAACATCTTAAACGGTTAATACAAAAACTACAAACACCACAAAACACTTACACAAATTTGTGTTCTGAGAAGCAAACGTTAACTTTGCGTAAGACAGACGTTAGCGTGAGCGCGCACGGCATGACGGGATTTCAACATGGCTTCCCCCTGAAGTGGATTTATTAGTAAATATTGCCGATGATATTACACACCGTTGCGTTAATGTGGCGTTGTTGTTTTTTTTTCAAAACGAGGTGGATTTCGGTGTTAGGTGGTTTACATAATCTTAGTTCAGAACGGTCGATAAAGACACTTCGACTGAACGTTCACGACGGTTGCTTAACTGCGGGTCCTCCGTTCGTTTAACTGCGATTATTCACTTCACTTGTTTCCCTTGTTTGCTTTGGCAACCCTCAAAGTCTAGGTCATTACTTCCACAGATATATATAAGAAGAGTATCTATATATATCTATAATTACTACACTCGTGAGAGTCCTTATTGTGTGTAGTACATTCAAGTAGAGCTTCGACAGATTTCCTGCAGAACAGCGACACCCTGTGGAAAACAGCAACCTCTTCCATTTGGTCTCATTTGTCAGATTTCTGTTTCACTTGATCCAAAACGTTTATATCCTGACTGTGAAACGCATTTTATTAACGGTGAATGGGCATTTACTGATCTGAGTATCCTTTATACAAAAAACCCTCCCATTTAAGAGGAAGACTTACATATTAACAGGGTAAACAGCGGAAGATTTGAGGAGGTATGGAGGCCACTCATTTTTTATGGTGAGGAATTAATTTAACTAACATAATAAAGTTACTGACAGTTTCTCTGAGGACATTGCAGTTTCCAAGTGACTTGATTTGATTTGATTTGATTTATTTGGGATCCCCATTTGCCTTGGTCAAGCCTCTGCTGTTCTTCCTGGGGTCTTTTAGCCAACTTACAATATATCAATGCAAATATCTCACATATGAAACGCTCCATGTAAAAATAAATAAATAGATAAATGAATAGAATAATAGTAATAATAAACCAATAATAATAATACCTAAAATAAACACAAACAAATACAGATTACAACAATACATAAACAATAACAGATAGCAGGGCACACGTTAAGCCTTACTTTTCTACCACCCTTTGATGCTATATATATGTATGTATTCTATTTTGATTTGCTATGAAACAAGTTTGGATCGGCTTTGTCAGCAAGAGTTCTAGAAGCTGTCTTAAAGCTGATGAACTTTGTAATAGTTGACTCTTCCATCCAGTCCAGTTAGGATACCAGATGGGTGTTGTAGACATTCAAGTGTCATTTGAGATAAACTGGTTTCTCTCTTAGGCCAGTACGGAGGTGCTGATGCATGCTTTCATCTCCTCTCGTTTAGATTATTGTAATGTCCTTCTCTTTGGCCTCCCCAAAAAGAACTTACATACCCCTCAGCTATTACAGAATTCAGCTGCAAGAGTGCTGACAAGGGCCAGAGGGCGAGAGCATATAACGCCAGTTTTAGCATCGCTGCATTGGCTCCCCGTCCGTTTCAGGATTGATTTCAAGGTTCTTTTATTAGTTTTTAGATGTATTAATGGTCTTGGCCCCTCCTATTTATCTAAATTAACTTTTACTATATCAACCCTCGCGGACCCTGAGGTCCTCTGGCAGAGGAGAGCCTCAGGGCCGCAGAGACTGTTGATATTTTTAAGAAGAGGCTCAAGACTCACTTTTTTAACCAGGCCTTTTACTAATTTCCGTTTTATATTTCTCTTATTGCAAATGTTCATTTTAATCGAAGTTCTTAATGTTTATTTTATGTCATTTCATTAATTATCTCTGTTTTAGTCTTTTTCTTAATTCCCGTCACAGGTTTTTACTTATCTGTTCATTTAATATTATTTTCTTGTTTAAGTCCATCAGGTTTTACTCTTTTCACCATTTTTATCTCCAGTGTTTCCCATAGGTGGCTCTTTCCTCAAGTAATGTCTTGGTGTCAGGCCATGTCTCTTCAGCAATATATATCTTAAATTCTCACACTGTGTGCGGTTGTGTGTATGTGTGTGTGGGTGAGTGAGGGTGGGTGCGTCTCTTTGTGTGCCAGCGTTTATGGGTGCGTGTGGATGGGAGGGTTGGGCTTTATCATTGTTGTCATTATTATTTTTAGCTTCTGTGAGGCAGTTTGAACTGCATTTTTTTGTATGAAAAGTGCCATGTAAATAAAAGTTGAATTTGAATTGGAACTTTGTGACATGGTGCATTATCCTGCTTGTAGTAGACCTCAGAAGATGAGTACACTGTGGTCATAAGGGGATGGACATGGTCAGCAACAATACGAACAACAAGAGTAGGGTGGAGAGCAGCACAGATTGCATCCTTGGCTCAGTATGTAAACTGGAATGGTTCCAAGGTGAAAGGGAAACATGACAAACCAGTCAAAGCACTTTATGACAGTAGGGTGCAACAGGGTTAGTTATTAAAGTAGGTTGGACTGAATTTCTTTGGCACAGGTATGATTGTGGTGGTTTTGGAGCACGATAGACAACAATGTGTTAAAGAGAGCACGCCACACACCCGAAGATTCTTTAAACCAGCAACCAGAGTCCCAACTTTAAAAACTTAATATCTTGCAAAATCTCTTAGAGGTGGTGTAGGCAGGTGCAACCACGCTCAACTGCCCTTAACAGCAACTAGCTGGTTCAATAAACCAATAAATAAAATAAAAGTGTACCAGAATAAATTAGATTCAGTTTATTTGTATGTACACTACAGGCTAAAAGTTTGGAAGCAAGATCAGATTTGTACAAAAAAAAATCCTAGTTTCATTAACATAATTTGCAACACAATAAACATGACTATTGTGTAAAGAGTAACTTATCAGAAGACATTTTGACTATAGTTATGAGGTATTTGAGTTATTGTTGCTTAGACTTTGCTTTCTGTAAAGTAACCTCCTCTGGCTTTAACAACAGCTTGGCATATACCAGGCACTCGTTTCACAAGTTTTCTAAGGTGTGTTCCAGGGATTGCATTCCAAGCTTTCGTAAGTTCATTAAAAAGAGACTGTTGATTCGTGGTTTTTCACGAATGATTCGACGTGTTTATCTGACTGATCGATCCAATTCATCCCGCACAAGCACTATTGGAGAGAGGTCAGGAGACTGAGGGGCCAAACCATTTTTTAAAGAACACCTTTCTCTTTTTTTTTGTCTAGGTAACCCTGACAGAGCTCGGCAGAGTGCTTAGGGTCATTGTCTTAATGAAAAACAAACTTTTGAGCCACAAGTCTGAGTCCAGATGGAGCAGCATGGTGCTGGAGGATGGAGTGGTACTGTTCCTTTTTCATGATACCTTTCATGATAACTTCAAAAAAATCTCCTTCTCCGTCACCTGCAAAACATCCCCATACCATGGAACTACCACCTCCATGCCGAATTGTGGGTGTAACACATGGTGCTTTCAGACGTTCACCAGTTTGTCTGCGGACATAGACTCTGGATTTTGAACCAAACAGTGCAAACTTGTTTCTAGTCATCACAAGTCAAATTTTTGTGAGCTTTTGCCCACTCATATCTATTTTTCTTATTCTGTGGACGAGGTAGTGTTTTTTTGCAGATACACAACCCTTCAGACCAGCCTTTCTCAAATGTCATTTCACCGTTGTCAGAGATATGGGTTTCGACTTTGTCATGTTGATTTCCTCCCTTGTTTTTGGCGCTGTCGTTCGTCGATCTCTCTTACTGGTGACAATGCTATGTTTATCCTCTGCTTTTGTAGTAACTCTGTTAAATCCCAAATTCTCACCTCACCATCTCCATACCTGACTCCCCTGTCACTCAATAAAAGCAGGCCTGCTCTCCCTTTGCATCCTGAACCAGAGCAGCACAGAACAAAGGGAGTCTGAATGTGATCGGACAAAGCCTTAACAAATGTTGTTGTATTCTCCTTATTTGTATTATTTCTAATATGGTTTATTCTCAAATATTATTTCTTTAGATTCCTGTCACCCTAAAACGCATATGTATTGATTTAAAACCCAAGTGGATGCATCTATGATGTAAGATTAGTTAACCAATTTACAATTCATTTGACTTTATCAGTCCCCCTTTTTGTAATATTTTATGTTGAGACATCTTGTTTCTATTCCTTTTGATTGTACAGAAAAATCATCCACTGAAGACGAAACCGTCAAACTGAATCCTGGATCCTGTGTTTTAATGTGCACTCAATATAGGATGTTCAATGAGCAAGCATCAGCAACTTCATAATCTTTTACAAACTCTCTTTCGTCCAGGTCTTTTTCTATCATCATAAATTCCAGGTTCCTCTAGTCTCTTCAGAGTGTAGTGGACTGAGTGGTAGGAGAGTAGAAATAGGAATTATTGAAAATAAACAAGAAGATAAGATAAACCTTTATTCATTCCACAGTGGGCAAAAAATTGCGACTGTTGGTAAAAAGTGCAGAATATTAGAAAGAAAGCTATTTACAAAGGGCAGAGTGTGTAAGAAACAAGCTGTGTACAAGCAAAAGAGCGTATACAAAAACTAGTTTGTTAAACGGTACAATACTCCGTGCAATATCCGACACTACAAAGTACTGCACAGTTAAACAGAATATCACACAGTTTAGCTTAGTAAACAATGCATTATTAGTATTGCACTCTTAGATATATACATTTTCAACGGTTTGCAAACAGATTGAACAGCAATAACTCATAAACAACCAACTGCAAAACAAGATATAATCAATGTTGGATTTGTAAACTACAGAGAGATAATTTGTGGACAGATATTTATTGATCATGAGCATCCAGAAGGTCCGTCACTGTCACAGATTTTGATAAAGTTTCATTATTTTGGTGTTGTGCAGTTTTTTCCAGGCATCCTTCTCCAAGTTGTAGTCATGGTTGCTATAGAAAATGACATGGGTTTTGGTGCCTTCATCATAGTAGTAGTTGTTGTACTCGCTGTAGTCGTCAGTTATGAACCCGTATGCAGACACCTGGGGATGACAAAAACAGATCTACCTTAAAAAAGTTTCACCTGACACATAAAAGAGTTTTTAGAACAACAACATTTAAAAGTGTATGAGGAGTAAAAAGAAATTAGAAATTGGAGATAACTTACGATGTCACATGTATGTAGAGCCACGAAGAGAGCAAAAGCCCCGTTGGTTGGTCTGACTATCCTCCAGAAACCCTTGTTCAGATTAGGAGACTTTAAAAATCTGTGGGCATTACAAACACAGAAAATAATGCATTTAATGTAGGGTACCTGATTAGTTTTGTTTGTTATTGAACTTTTTCAACTTATTTCACAAACACTGATTACTACAAACCATAAAAAAAGTTGAGTGTGATGATCAAGAACTTAACCTGTTTCGCACGTATCTGAGGAAGTCCGGGTGCAGAACGTAAAAGCGGCTTTCGTTGAATTGGTTGCTGTAGTACGTCCATGGCCTGGAGGGTTCGAAAACAAAAATCAAGAGATGTCTTTAATCTAATTTTATAAATGAGACATTCATGTCTCTGTGGAAAGGCACAGCCCTGAGTTCGTTTCATATATTATGTAAGAAGAACAAAGTAAAAATTCTGAATATGTGAGGTGACTCTTTGAGAGAGGGCGTATTACTTGAGGACCTGAGCGTGAGCAGACTGGCAAACCCTTATGTTCTTACTCAGTGGATAGAAGATTTCTACCTGAAGAAAGTGCAGCTATTTAACTTTTCCATAAACAAGATGACAACTTTAAAGCCCAATCCAATATGTCCCCAACATGAGAGACACGAAGCATGTTTTGGTGTGTGCACAATCTGATAATATTTTAAGAGCTGATACTCACCTATCGTTACGATACGGTCCAGCAGCAACCCTCTCTCTTTTCATAAGACCGGTGAGCCAATGAAAATCCCTCATCGCCTCAGGAATCATCACATATTTTATTCCCTGCCAAAATAAAATGATGAAGGATGAGTGCAGGAGTTCAGACAATTTAAGTATTTTGCTGTTTTCATCAAAGTTTGGATACCTTGTCAGCAGGGGGTTTTCCGTCCTTGCTCAGTAAATAACTAGATGCAATGATGGCGTGAGCTGTGTGAACATACACAGAAGTTCTGTTTCCTACATCCTCCTCATGATTCTTAGTGAGCGCACCATTCATCCTGAAACAGAAACACGTTTAAATATAAGAGCTTTCCCCACAGATCAACATTTCAAGTATCATCAGCTTCAATTGGAGATTTTCTGAGCGGTTTACTCTGTTGTACTTCCAGGAGAGTAAAGATGACACAGTGCAATCGAGGGAGGCAAAAAAAAAACAAACAGTACCATACCAGCCTACTTCATAGTTGACTTCTACATTCTGATAAGTTTTTCCACCCCATGTAGTTGCCACTGATAGCTGTCAAATGTGAATGAGTTCTTTGTTATGGTTTGTGAATAACATAACCGCAAGCACTTTCTTATAGAGTGTCTTGAGATAATATCTCTCACAGACTGGCACTATACCAACAAAAACTGATCCAAATAATAAAATGGTTTGAAGCCTGTTTTCAGCAAAATAGCCCCTAATAAGCAGAAATGATTCTCTTCTCATTACTTACCGGATAACATAATCATGATCATCGATTTCTTTCCCCTTTTTGGAGCCGTTCAGGATTCCCCCAGTGGCCACCACAGCACATCGCACACACCCATCACCTCCTAGCTTTGGGGGGAATAGTGGCTCTTTTGGTTCTGGAATCAACTTAATCGCCTCTATCACATCTGCAAACCAAAACAGGAACAAAAACAGACACAATAATGACCCAATAATAATTATTATAATAATGATATTAAAAATAATAACATATTAATAATGAGTTAAATCATTGTGTGATGATTGCAAGATTTAAAAAGAAAAAGGAATATTAAAAACATATCACACCAGGAGACAGGTCATTTAGGAAAGGTCAGATGGTTGTACCAATACAATTCTGACAAAAAATCTCTGAAGATGGCCAGTCAGGAAGCGAGCTGACGGGAAGCTCAACAAATGCAACCATAGCAAGAATAGTAAACAAAAAATAAAAATTTAGAGGGACGTCTAAAACATAGCTAGAATACACATTGACTGTCATCCGCCGTGTTTCTTCACTCTATAACCACGTTTGACTAGATTTCCAACTGACACAATAAATCAAAATAACAAACAAGTCACTGTTCAGAGAGAGAGAGAGAGAGAGAGAGAGAGAGAGAGAGAGAGAGAGAGAGCAGCACACACTTTATCAAAACATTGCGTTGAATGAGAGAACCATTTCAAAATAAAACTTTGTAAAAAAAAAAAAAAAAAAAGATAAAAAACATCAGTCTGAGACTCAGACCATAAATCAACCAGTAATGTTCAGAACATGTAAAAAAAAAAAAAACAAGACAAACATGATTTTTATCGGAGTGGGTCTTTAAGAGTGTGTATGTAACACAAACTCTTACCTTTATAATGGAAACCCATGAAACCAAATGGACTGTTAAAGTGTGAGAGCCGGTTCCACTCGCTCATGTTGAAGTTGTCTTTGTGGAGATACAGTCGAATGTTGGGAAGGAAAGCCTTCTTGAAGCTCTCATCCTGGGAGTTTCGCACAGACTGGGCACAGGTCTGAGAGTGTGGGACAAAATATCAGTTGATGAAACAAAATTCTAACCGTGTACATCTGTCTGAAACTTTTAATTCAGAGGACATTTGAAGCAGGGGAAGAAACAGCCCATAAATCCTGGAAAATACATAGGCTAGATTAAGACAGTGTTGAAGTATTTGTAATCAGAAAATCCATGCAAGTAATCATGTTATTAATACACTTGATTCAGTAAAAGGCTCAAGGATGAGTTTTAGTTCAGGTTTAGAGAGAGATTAAGACTTGGAGACATCAGTACTGCTGGTCTTTAGTGGGATATATAGCTGAGTGTCATCAGCATAGCAATCGAATATTGTATTGACCAATCTGACCCAGTGGGAGTGGAGTCAGATTATTCTGCAGTGAGTCATAAAAACATGAACTTTGAGATTGGTCTGAAATGACTTCAAACATTCAGATCACAGGGAGGTTTACTTAATAAAGGGGGGTTGACAGTAGCATTATATAAACAGAGGGAAAGACACCGGGGATTAAAGATTGACAATCACCAAAATATTCGTGCAAACTGTCTGTAGAACAAGTTTTAACAACCATGAAGGAAGACTACCGAACGCTGTGTAAATAAGCAGCAGCTATGATTATCCACTCCCACACTGTTAAACCCTTTAAAACAACTCAGTCCTTGTTCATCATGCTTACTGTCTTTCTGGGGGGAGCATCCTGGTTATAGATGTCCTCAAAATCCCAAACAGGATACTTCTTGAATGACTCGATGTCGAGAGGAGGCATGGGAGTCTCAGCATCAGGTGAGGTGGCTCCGACTGTCGTTGCAGCAAACCCGTCAAGTTGTGATACTAAGTTGAATCTTGTATTCCACGACTTCAATAGACCCCCGAAATTGAAGCCTTTGCCTCTGTACTTGTATCCTAGGAAGGAAGGCCAGCTGAACAAGACAGTAAGACAATGTGGGTTAAAATACCCTTAAATCTGCTTACACAGACATTTATCTGGTAGAAAGTGCAGTAAACATGCTAGAAAAGATCACAAATGAAAAAAGCACATTCTCTGAATATAAAAATAACTTACTACAAGTTTCCTGAGAAAACTGCCCAAGACATACCGATAATTATAAGGGCCCATATGATCAAACAAATAAATTTCAAAATCTCTGAGCTACTGTGCGCCATCACTGAAAACCTGAGGCTGAGTTGCATGCAGGGTGTGGTGGCAGTTTTCTCTCCTCTCGCATTTTATACCGTGAGGATATTGAACCACCTGCCACATACCTGCCACCAACAACTATTCCGGTTTTTCTGCTCATGTTTATTTGTGCTGAGTATGTGTGGACAAATATGCTCCTTTTATCAGTGCAGTTCTGGAGAGTATCATCTCATATCACAGCTTAAATTCAGAAATCAGTCATGTAAAGAAAATAGCTATGAAAGAAAAGCGGTCCCTTCAATTATGTAGGATTGATTTCCAGACTTTCCAGGCAAATTAAAATGACATGAGGCCCCTCAAACATGCTGTATCTTGAGTATGACCACTTGCTGTCAGGCAAAAGGAAAAGCATGTCTATGTCTAGCAACGGGTTTAAAGGAGTAAAAAGTAACACCTTTAACTGTGTCTAACTTTACATCACTGGAATACCAGCCCAAAAGGTTAATAAAATGCTAAAAACAACAAAAACAAAAAAAAACAAAAAAAAAAAAAACAATTTCAATGAAACTGGAATGTTGTGTAAAACAACAATAAAAACAGAATACAATGATTTGCAAATCCTTTTCCACCTATTTTATTTAATATATTACAGAGACAAGACATTCAATTTATTCAGTCTATCAATGTTGAAACTGATAATATTTATTTCTTTTTTTAAAAGATTCATTCATTTTGAGTTTGATGCCTGCAACGTGTTTCCAAAAAGTTGGGACAGGTCAACTAAAGACTGGGATATCCTAAACACCTAACATCCCGAGTGTCAGCTAAGATAAAGGTTTGTGAAATAGGTGGCCTGATGATTCTTTCTTTGCGTCTATATACCATTGAAGTTGAGCAGTTTCATATTTTTGTCTGTTTAAATTAACTTAAATTGCAGTTGAACTTTCAGGGCTGGTACATGGGACAGTGTGAGCTGAGCAGTTAAGACATTAAACGATTTGAATAAAAAGGTTCACAGGGTTTTCATAAATGGACAATAACCTTCTGGCGTGGTTTGACACCCTGTCAATCATTCTAACAATGATGCTGTCCTTGTGTGAATGTCCTTATCTACTGTCAACTCCACCTCTCAGCTCATTATATAGAACTAGTTAGGTTGTATGAGGTTTGCTACCTTATCAACTTGTTTAACCTTTGCCATGTGTCATGATTGTTGTAATGTTTCTCACTTCTTCTTAACTTTAATTCTTGCACTTACTCCGACAGTCATCACACTCTTTAATAACTTCTCTTCCCTCTTCCATACGTGTCACGTACTCTGATGTCATCACGCATAGTTGCACGCGTACTCACAATTTGAGTTGCCAGACACTACAATTGTATATTACTCTGTTTGCTTTTACTGCCTGTACAGCAATTTTATGGAAAGCACTTCGTTGTTGTTGGTTGGTGTTGTTAGTTGTTGTCGGTGGTTGTTGGTTGGTGGTGGTTGTTGGTTTTGATTGTTGGTGGTTGTTGGTTGTTATTGTTGATTGTTGTTGGTTGTTGTTGATTGTTAGTGGTTGTTGTTGGTGATTGTTGTTGGTTGTCGGTTGTTGTCGGTTGTTGTTGGTTGTTAGTGGTTGTTGTTGATTGGTGTTATCATATGTGGTGGGTAAGGACAGGGCCAACACAGCACACCACACACCAACAGCCAGAGTACTGACTATAACAACTGGAAATTGAACCAGTGTGTCATCACACTGTCAAAGATGATGTTACGTGTCCCACCGTGAAACATGGACATTTTTCATCTCCTTTGGACACGGTTTACACACAAACCCATTTTAGCTCATAGTAAAACTGTGCCCTTCATTGTTCTCTTCTCTTTCTTTCTCAGGAGAAACGTCTTTTTTCTAAATACTCAACACTGTGCTTTCAATGTTACAGGGTTGATGGTTGTTGTCAGAAACTGGTCCATTACTATAAGCTTTTTAAGAGTAATAGTGCCACCTACTGGTTGAACACTCCTTTGCTCTCCTTTTGAAAGTGCATCACACATTCCTGCATCTTAGATAAACCTTCATAGCTCTAATTATGCAGCAGATTTTTCTCTTTAAATTCAGGTATTGTGAAGAATACAAGAGTTGCAGTTAGTAGTTTTTTTAAACACTAAACACCAATTAATTTAAAAATTCAAAGTTTTTCATTTCCATCAAAGATTTAGACATCAGTGGGGTTACATAATATGATAAATACAAAAGAACATGAAACCAAAATAAAGAAAAAAATCACAAATGTCAACAGATGACCCTCACATAATCAAACTTAAATTTCCCTTCTTGTTTTTGTTGTAATACACAGGCACATAGCCAAAGCTTCAAAACTCCCACATCCTAAAAAAAATCCCCAAAGTCTGTTAAAAATCCAGATTCAGAGTCACACAGTAAAAAGTGAATTCACTTATTTAGATTTATAAGGCACAAACGATTAAAACGGAGCTTATATGTATATATACACACACATTTATATATATGTCACTGATTTTGATAAAGTTTCATTATTTTGGTGTTGTGCAGCTTTTTCCAGGTATCCTTCTCCAAGTTGTAGTCATGGTTGCTGTAGAAAATGACATGGGTTTTGGTGCCTTTATCATAGTAGTAGTTGTTGTACTTGCTGTGGTCGTCAGTTATGAACCCGTACGCAGACACCTGGGGATGACAAAAACAGATCTACCTTAAAAAAGTTTCATCTGACACATAAAAAACAGAGTTTTTAGAGCAACAATTCAAATTTCAACAGGAACAAATCAAGACTAGAAAATTCCCTTTAGGAGATTTTGAAAGGGCCACTGGGACCACTGCCGCGGTGTGTACATTATGATAAGAGTCTTCAGAGATTATAATAATTAATACTAGTAGCCTTGTGATATTATATACAGGGAGAAGACCTACAAAAAGAGTCCTTTTTCAAGTTATTATTTATACAATAAAAAAATGGAACAGTATACGTTTGAAAAACTCCAATAATTGCTCTCTTTTTTGGCTTGTACCATGACCTTAATGCAAAATTTTTCATAGTTTTATACAAAAGAGAAAAGTGATAGCACACCTGGATCTGGATCAAACCACATGTTTTGTTGTATAATTTGTCCTACAGGTTTGGACAAAGGGCTTTAACCTGAGGCCCTAATTACTGGAGAATGAGTACATCTGAACATCTTGTTTTATACACATTTTTTTTTTTTTACTTAAACGAAATATTAAAGCTCCTGTGAGGAACTTTTGGTTTGTGTAAACTATAGTGCTCTTTCTGTACAAGGCAGTCTAAGTAGTGTCCAATGACAAAAAAATCTCATCCTATCCTGACTTTTGATGATGTCCAATGTATGATTTACTGTGATTATTTATGTGGAAAGTGTAAAAACGAGATTGTTGCTCCAGCTAGTAGCTGACACCTACCTCTCTTGTAACAGTTTCAGGTATTAAAAATTGTACAGAAACAGTCAATCTTGTTTCTAATCGTCTTGTTAGCTTTTAGATTTCAGGAAAAAGCATTATAACAGATTTCATTTTATTTTATTTATGTCCAAAAACTCCTCATGGTAGCTTTAAATGTATTGGTAGTCTTCTACGGGGTTGTTGGGTGTTCACACCAGACACTAATAAAATCATGTTTTTACTTAATTCACATGTATCTGGATGCCTCAATGTTATGTGCTCACTGGCAAGGTAGCCAGATACTGTGATCAGTTAATCCTCAGTTTTCCAGATGCATGAATCCGCTGTTGACGTGTAACCAAAGAATCTTCATGCTGATTGGCCATCGCACCCCGAATGATTTGCTTGAGTTCAGAATTTTCTACTCCCCCAATTCACAGTATCACTTCTTTCACCCCACTTATCAAGAAAGTAAATTTTTAATTTGTGGAGTAAAAGTTTAAATGAGTTATTATTTACAGATGATATGGTTGATGGCATTTTGAAGACTTTTAAGAATTGGAGATAACTTACGATGTCACATGTATGTACAGCCACGAAAAGAGCAAAAGCCCCGTTGGTTGGTCTGACTATTCTCCAGTAACCCCTATTCAAGGCAGGAGACTTCAAAAATCTGTGGGCATTAAAAACACAGAAAATAATGCATTTAATGTAGGATACTTGATTAGTTTTGTTTGTTATCTTTTTCAACTTCTTACACTAACACTAATACAAACCATAAAAAAAAGGTGAGTGTGATGATCAAGAACTTAACCTGTTTCGCACGTATCTGAGGAAGTCCGGGTGCAGAACGTAAAAGCGGCTTTCGTTGAATTGGTTGCTGTAGTACGTCCATGGCCTGGAGGGTTCAAAAACAAAAATCAAGAGATGTCTTTAAACTATTTTTAGAAATGAGACATTCATGTCTCTGTGGAAAGGCACAGCCCTGAGTTTGTTGCATATATTATGTAAGAAGAACAAAGTAAAAATTCTGAATATGTGAGGTGACTCTTTGAGAGAGGGCGTATTACTTGAGGACCTGAGCGTGAGCAGACTGCCAAACCCTTATGTTCTTACTCAGTGGATAGAAGATTTCTACCTGAAGAAAGTGCAGCTATTTAACTTTTCCATAAACAAGATGACAACTTTAAAGCCCAATCCAATAAGTCCCCAACATGAGAGACACGAAGCATGTTTTAATGTGTGATACTCACCTATAGTTACGATACTGTCCAGCAGCAACCCTCTCTCTTTTAAGAAGACCGACGAGCCACTGAAAATCCCTCATCCCCTCAGGAATCATCACATATTTTATTCCCTGCCAAAGTAAAATGATGAAGGATGAGTGCAGGAGTTAAGACAATTACAGTGTTAATCTGTTTTCATCAAAGTTTGGATACCTTGTCAGCAGGGGGATTTGTATATCCGTCCTTGCGCAGTAAATACCTAGATGTGGTGATGGCGTGAGCTGTGTGAACATACACAGAAGTTCTGTTTCCTACATCCTCCTCATGATTCTTAGTGAGTGCACCGTTCATCCTGAAACAGAAACACGTTTAAATATAAGAGCTTTCCCCACAGATCAACATTTCAAGTATCATCAGCTTCAATTGGAGATTTTCTGAGCGGTTTACTTTGTTGTACTTCCAGGAGAGTAAAGATGACACAGTGCAATCGAGGGAGGCAAAAAACAAACAAACAGTACCATACCAGCCTACTTCATAGTTGACTTCTACATTCTGATAAGTTTTTCCACTGCATGCAGTTGCCACTGATAGCTGTCAAATGTGAATGAGTTCTTTGTTATGGTTTGTGAATAACAAACAAAAGTGTCTTGAGATAATATCACTCACAGACTGGCACTATACCAACAAAAACTGATCCAAATAATAAAATGGTTTGAAGCCTTTTTTCAGCAAAATAGCCCCTAATAAGCAGAAATGATTCTCTTTTCATTACTTACCGGATAACATAATCATGATCATCGATTTCTTTCCCCTTTTTGGAGCCGTTCAGGATTCCCCCTGTGCCCACCACAGCACATCGCACACACCCATCACCTCCTAGCTTTGGGGGGAATAGTGGCTCTTTTGGTTCTGGAATCAACTTAATCGCCTCTATCACATCTGCAAACCAAAACAGGAACAAAAACATGCTAAATGAAGACACAATAATCAAACAACAAGAGCCTTAATGACCTCCATGGATCTTGTTAGCACTTGACAGCTTATGTCTCATGAAATTTTCTGAAAATATCTGTAAAGATGAAGTTAAGGTTATAATACAAACAAAGTTATATTACCTTTATATTCGTAACTCATAAAACCAAATGGATTGTTAAAATGTGAGAGTCGGTTCCACTCGCTCATGTTGAAGTTGTCTTTGTGGAGATACAGCCGAATGTTGGGAAGGAAAGCCTTCTTGAAGCTCTCATCCTGGGAGTTTCGCAGAGACTGGGCACAGGTCTGAGATGTAAAATAACATATTAATTTATAAAACAAAAAGCAAAGTTGAAGATTTGATTCTAACCATGTACATCAGAACTTGCTAAAAACATGAACTTTGAGATTGGTCTGAGATGACTTATTCAGATCAAGGGAAGGTTTACTTATTAAAGGGGGGTTGACAGTAGCATTATCAAAACAGAGGGAAAGACACCAGGGATTAAAGATTGACAATCACCAAAATATTTGTGCAAACTGTCTGTAGAACAAGTTTTAACAACCATGAAGGAAGACAACTGAACACTGTGTAAATAAGCAGCAGCTATGATTATCCACTCCCACACTGTTAAACCCTTTAAAACAACTCAGTCCTTGTTCATCATGCTTACTGTCTTTCTGGGGGGAGCATCCTGGTTATAGATGTCCTCAAAATCCCAAACAGGATACTTCTTGAATGACTTGATGTCGAGAGGAGGCATGGGAGTCTCAGCATCAGGTGAGGTGACTCCGACTGTTGTTGCATTAAACCCGTCAAGTTGTGATATCAAGTTGACTCTTGCATTCAACGCCTTCAATAGATCTTTGTACTCGTATCCTAGGAAGGGAGGCCAGCTGAACAAGACAGCAAGACAATGTGGGTTAAAATACCCTCGGAGAGGTAACATCACACATCTATAATTTGCCTGATGAAGGTCTAGTAAGTTGCAAATAAATTATTCCTCTCTCTGCAAGTTGAACAGTGTGAGGGTGTTTCCCTTTGGTTAAAAACCCTTAAATCTGCTTACACAGAGGTTTATCTGGCAGAAAGTGCAATAAACATGCTAGAAAATATCATAGATAGAATAAGCACATTCTCTGATTATAAAAAGAACTTACCTCAAGTTTTCTGAGAAAACTCCCCATAAAATGACGACAAATATAATGGTCCATGTGATCAAACAAATAAATTTCAGAATCTCTAAACTTTTGTGCACCATCACTGAAAACCTGAGGCTTAGACACTGAGTTGCATGCAGGGTGTGGTGGCAGTTTTCTCTCCTCCTGCTTTTTATACTGTGAGAATGTTGAACCACCTGCCACATACCTGCCTCGAACAACTATTCCGGTTTTTCTGCTTACGTTAATTTGTGCTGAGTAGATGTGGACAAATATGCTCCTTTTATTAGTGCAGTTCTGAGAGTATCATCTCATATCACATATCATATCTCATATATCAAGTATAAAAGATACAAAAGGGGAAAGAGAGATGAAGTAACACAAGTGTAATACTTCTAAAACATCAAATCTAAGGGTTGCGTCTACAGATCTGCTGCTTCTGCCAAAAACTCAGTGTTTATCCAACATTTTTAAAGTTGTAAATGTCAATACTGACCATTGCTGTGAGACTTAATGAGGTAATGTGAACATAATTTGTGAAATGTGATTTAAAAATGGTTGAGAAGCACTGTGTATGTTATTAACCTCTGTGAGAACAGCACCCCCTGGTGACTGGTTGCAGTATAGGTCATAAACCCTGCCTCCTCCAGCAATCCTTATGGAGTTGTAGACAAACTTGAGAAATTAATTACACAGACTACAAATTGTTCTCCTCCCTGGTTGCGATATTGACATTAAGTGATTGTAAGACTGGTTTGTGCTCAAGTCCTCTTTTTCTTGTGCAGCTCCATTTTTATAAGTTATTAGGGGTTCATGTTTTGTATGATTGACACTCGATTTAGCCTATGGGCGAGCAAGAGCATTTTGGATTAAAATTCGCATAGTGACGGAAGGCGGAGCAAAGTTGTCCATGATACATACAGTCTATGGTACATAAAGGTTTAGGAGCAACATGTGCTGCCATCCAGACCACGTCTTTTTCAGGGAGGTGGGCTCAGTGGGTGCTAACAGCTAGCCCCAAACATTTTTTATAAAGGCACAACTTTCAGGTCATTTCGTGTCGGCCTAGCTGAGTAAGAAGTAACACCTTTTACTGTGTCTAACTTTACATCACTGGAATACCAGCCCAAAAGGGTCATAAAATGCTAAAAAAAACAACAAAAAATTCCAATGAAGCTGGAATGTTGTGCAAAACAAGAATAAAAACAGAATACAATGATTTGCAAATCCTTTTCCACCTATTTTCTATTTAATATATTACAGAGACAAGACATTCAATTTATTCAATCTATCAATGTTGAAACTGATAATCTTTATTTCTTTTTTTAAAAAGTCATTCATTTTGAGTTTGATGCCTGCAACGTGTTCCCAAAAAGTTGGGACAGGTCAACTAAAGACTGGGATATCCTAAACACCTAACAACCCGAGTGTCAGCTAAGATAAAGGTTTGTGAAATAGGTGGCCTGATGATTCTTTCTTTGCGTCTATATACCATTGAAGTTGAGCAGTTTCATATTTTTGTCTGTTTAAATTAACTTAAATTGCAGTTGAACTTTCAGGGCTGGTACATGGGACAGTGTGAGCTGAGCAGTTAAGACATTAAACGATTTGAATAAAAAGGTTCACAGGGTTTTCATAAATGGACAAAAACCTTCTGGCGTGGTTTGACACCCTGTCAATCATTCTAACAATGATGCTGTCCTTGTGTGAATGTCCTTATCTACTGTCAACTCCACCTCTCAGCTAATTATATAGAACTAGTTAGGTTGTATGAGGTTTGCTACCTTATCTAACAGGGCTGTACAGTGCAACATATATTGTATGTCACACATGCTACATATGCTCTGACTTATAAAACTGTTCATGGAATTGTACCTTCTAATCTAGAAGATCTTTTCACCATTTATACACCTTCCTGTATCCTCAGATCTCAGGGACTGGCCTTTTGGTTGTTCCTAAGGTCAAGGAAAGGACTGTTGTTGAGTGAGCTTCTTTTCTGGCACCAAAGCTGTGCAATAATTTTCCTGTGGAAATAAGCCTAGAATGTTCTGTGGATGCTTTTAAAGCAAAGCTCAAGATCCACTTGTTTAACCTTTGCCATGTGTCATGATTGTTGTAATGTTTCTCACTTCTTCTTAACATTAATTCTTGTACTCACTCCAACAGTCATCACACTCTTTAATAACTTCTCTTCCCTCTTCCATACCTGTCACGTACTCTGACGTCATCACGCATAGTTGCACGCGTACTCACAATTTGAGTTGCCAGGCACTACAATTGTATTTTACTCTGTTTGATTTTACTGCCTGTACAGCAATTTTATGGAAAGCACTTCGTTGTTGTTGGTTGGTGTTGTTAGTTGTTGTCGGTTGTCGGTGGTTGTTGGTTGGTGGTGGTTGTTGGTTGTTGTCTTTGATTGTTGGCGGTTGTTGTTTGTTTTTGTTGGTTGTTATTGTTGATTGTTGTTGATTGTTAGTGGTTGTTGGTAATGGTTGTTGTTGGTGGTTGTTGGTGGTTGTTGGTTGTTGTTGGTGATTGTTGTTGGTGATTGTTGTTGTTGTGGTTGTTAGTGGTTGTTGTTGTTGTTGTTGGTTGGTTGGTTGGTGTTATCATATGTGGTGGGTAAGGACAGGGCCAACACAGCACACCACACACCAACAGCCAGAGTACTGACTATAACAACTGGAAATTGAACCAGTGTGTCATCACACTGTCAAAGATGATGTTACGTGTCCCACCGTGAAACATGGGCATTTTTCATCTCCTTTGGACACGGTTTACACACAAACCCATTTTAGCTCACAGTAAAACTGTGCCCTTCATTGTTCTCTTCTCTTTCTTTCTCAGGAGAAACGTCTTTTTTCTAAATACTCAACACTGTGCTTTCAATGTTACAGGGTTGGTGGTTGTTGTCAGAAACTGGTCCATTACTATAAGCTTTTTAAGAGTAATAGTGCCACCTACTGGTTGAACACTGTTTTCCTCTCCTTTTGAAAGTGCATCAAACATTCCTGCATCTTAGATAAACCTTCATAGCTCTAATTATGCAGCAGATTTTTCTCCTTAAATTCAGGTATTGTGAAGAAAACAAGAGTTGCAGTTAGTAGTTTTTTAAAACACTAAACACCAATTAATTAAAAAATTCAAAGTTTTTCATTTCCATCAAAGATTTAGACATCAGCGGGGTTACATAATATGGTAAATACAAAAGAACATGAAACCAGAATAAAGAAAAAAATCACAAATGTCAACAGATGACCCTCACATAATCAAACTTAAATTTCCCTTCTTGCTTTTGTTGTAATACACAGGCACATAGCCAAAGCTTCAAAACTCCCACATCCTAAAAAAAATCCCCAAAGTCTGTTGAAAATCCAGATTCAAAGTCACACAGTAAAAAGTGAATACACTTATTTAGATTTATAAGGCACAAACGATTAAAACGGAGCTTATATGTACATATACACACACATTTATATATATGTCACTGATTTTGATAAAGTTTCATTATTTTGGTGTTGTGCAGCTTTTTCCAGGTATCCTTCTCCAAGTTGTAGTCATGGTTGCTGTAGAAAATGACATGGGTTTTGGTGCCTTTATCATAGTAGTAGTTGTTGTACTTGCTGTGGTCGTCAGTTATGAACCCGTATGCGGACACCTGGGGATGACAAAAACAGATCTACCTTAAAAAAGTTTCATCTGACACATAAAAAACAGAGTTTTTAGAGCAACAATTCAAATTTCAACAGGAACAAATCAAGACTAGAAAATTCCCTTTAGGAGATTTTGAAAGGGCCACTGGGACCACTGCCGCGGTGTGTACATTATGATAAGAGTCTTCAGAGATTATAATAATTAATAATTATTAATACTAGTACCCTACAATAAAAAAATGGAACAGTATACATTTGAAAAACTCCAATAATTGCTCTCTTCTTTTGGCTTGTACCATGACCTTAATGAAAAAGTTTTTATAGTTTTATACAAAAGAGAAAAGTGATAGCACACCTGCATCTGGATCAAAACCTGTTTTATTGTATCTTTCACCCCACTTATCAAGAAAGTAAACTTTTAATTTGTGGAGTAAAAGTTTAAATGAGTTATTATTTACAGATGATATGGTTGATGGCGTTTTGAAGACCTTAAAGAATTGGAGATAACTTACGATGTCACATGTATGTAGAGCCACGAAAAGAGCAAAAGCCCCGTTGGTTGGTCTGACTAACCTCCAGAAACCCTTGTTCAGATTGGGAGACTTCAAAAATCTGTGGGCATTAAACACACAGAAAATAATGCATTTAATGTAGGATACTTGATTAGTTTTGTTTGTTATCTTTTTCAACTTCTTACACTAACTGTAGGAGCCAGATTGGGCTTTTGCAGTTTGTTGCTGTGTGTTTTTTGTGCCAACAGATGGTGCTGTCGTGCCTGTCTATTTAATAGGTGGGTTGATTGGGACAGGTGCGCACACCTGGGAAGCCAAACAGTTTTTGACCGTGTGGAGTGGTCTTGTGTCTTTGTCTTGCGTGAAATGATGAATGAGTAAATAAAACAAAACAACAGAAGATATGGACATGTGACATTATTTCACCTACGGGCACGCGTCAACTGAAGCAAAAGGTGTTCGCCACAACTAACAGCATAGGAAAGCTGTTACACTAACACTGATACAAACCATAAAAAAAAGTTGAGTGTGATGATCAAGAACTTAACCTGTTTCGCACGTATCTGAGGAAGTCCTGGTGCAGAACGTAAAAGCGGCTTTCGTTGAATTGGTTGCTGTAGTATGTCCATGGCCTGGAGGGTTCGAAAACAAAAATCAAGAGACGTCTTTAAACTAATTTTAGAAATTAGACATTCATGTCTCTGTGGAAAGGCACAGCCCTGAGTTTGTTGCATTTATTATGTAAGAAAAACAAAGTAAAAATTCTGAATATGTGAGGTGACTCTTTGAGACAGGGCGTATTACTTGAAGACCTGAGCGTGAGCAGACTGCCAAACCCTTATGTTCTTACTCAGTGGATAGAAGATTTCTACCTGAAGAAAGTGCAGCTATTTAACTTTTCCATAAACAAGATGACAACTTTAAAGCCCAATCCAATAAGTCCCCAACATGAGATACACGAAGCATGTTTTGGTGTGTGCACAATCTGATAATACTGTAAGAGCTGATACTCACCTATTGTTACGATACTGTCCAGCAGCAACCCTCTCTCTTTTAAGAAGACCGACGAGCCACTGAAAATCCCTCATCGCCTCAGGAATCATCACATATTTTATTCCCTGCCAAAGTAAAATGATGAAGGATGAGTGCAGGAGTTAAGACAATTACAGTGTTATTCTGTTTTCATCAAAGTTTGGATACCTTGTCAGCAGGGGGATTTGTATACCCGTACTTTCGCAGTAAATACCTAGATGTGGTGATGGCGTGAGCTGTGTGAACATACACAGAAGTTCTGTTTCCTACATCCTCCTCATGATTCTTAGTGAGCGCACCGTTCATCCTGAAACAGAAACACATTCAAATGAGTGTTGTTTTGTTTTAATTTTAGTTTTAGTCTAGTCTTTGTCAAACTTTCATTTTAAGTTTATTTTTGTTTTAGTCACGTCCAAACTCATTTTTGTTCAGTCAAGTTTTAGTCGACTAAAACTGAGCGCTTTAGTCAGAATAACCTCTGACTATTTTATGCCTAGTTTTAGTCGACAAAAACTGATGACATCTCAGTCTAGTTTCAGTCTCCTTTTAGTAATGTAATTCTGTTTAACCCAGTTTGGAATTACCTAGTATAGTATACAATAGATAAAACCATACCACAAATCAAACATGGTTATCTTGTCATTATATTATTGTTACCTCACAAACTTAATTTACCTCGAGTTCAGCATGGAAGGCCTTGAGATAGCTATTTTATGGCCGCATTTCTCCCCATCTTTCTCCACGACACATTCCGTTTTGTTTCTTTTGTAATTGAAGTGTGTCCAACCGGCCATGACTCCAACTCACCCAAAAACGTCTTTGTCCACTGCGTCTCAAACTACCGCGAGTCTGAGCAGGGCGATTCACAGCCGAGGAAACAGAAAACAACAGCGACGCGGCTAAACAATTTCCTCTCGACTCGTTTCAGTTTTTATTTTGAGAACCATTGTAAGTCTTGTTTTTAGAGGTCAACAATATTGCATCATATGTTTAGTTATAGTTATCATAGACATAATAAAAGGATAGACCCCGCTGGGGGTGCTGCGCAGCGAGAAATGCGGCCGCCATCTTGGTCAGGTCAAGCTTCCCATACGCTCCGGTCAATCATATTCATTCATTCATTCATTCAGCGATGCCGGAGCACTGTGCGGCGTATTCCTGTGCCAACAGACGGACAGCAGAGAACAGGGCTCAAGGAATAACTTCTCACAGGTATGATTAAACGTTTTTTCAACATTACACTTGACTGTAGAGTCATTTGTAGGCCAAAGTGGAAGACTATCGGTCAACTCCAAAAAGGAAACAGCATTTGTGAACAGCTAGCTTACTCACAATAATAGCAACTTTGCTCTATTATCAACAGATTTGCATTAGATTGAAAAACTTTTGTTTGAGAGAGGTTCTAAGAAACGTTAAGAAATAAAATAGAAAGAAGAAGGAAGAAAGTGAGCTCTGTTTTATTAAAGATTTCTTTGTGGTGATCTCCTGTTTCATTTTGAAGATTTCCTAAGGACAAAAACTTAAGGAAGAAGTGGGAGATTGCTGTTAGAGGGAGAAATTCGCAGCAAGTGATTCCTCTGTGCTGTGTAGGCAACAAGCAAATTGATATGTAGTTTAGACGCTGTCCTGTCATGCTGTTCTTGTGTTTAAATCTTTTTTATATGTAGACTATATATTTGTGTGTATTTCTTTGTGTGTATTTTCCAGTTATTAAAATAGTGCTTCTATATGACATTATTTGTGTGTGTCTACAAATGGATAAATAAAATTAAACTAAATAAAATATAATCAAATCAATATATATTGAATTGGCCTATTAAAACCGCCAGTTATTAAATTATTGAGACATAGCAGGAACCTAGCTCTAAACCTAGATATATCCTTGATTAATTGTTATACTATAATACAGCCACTGCTGCCATGTTCTAAAATATCATTTTATTCATTCTGAGTATTTGAAAACACCAAAAAAAAAAGGCCTCTATCATGCCTCTTTGAATGGCGTTTGCAGAGAAGAAAATTACGTAGTATTGAGCGAACTATGATTCATTTTATGCGCTCAGACTTCATTCCGCCGGTTAAACAGCGGTGCAGAGTGAGGCGGATGACCGGACCAAGATGGCGGCCGCATTTCTCGACAGCGCCCATTCGTGGTAGCGGCCGATGTGGGGTCTATCTTTTATTATGTCTGTGATAGTTATCGTCACAAGGCCACCATTTACGTTTTGTCTCGTTTTCGTCACGTGATAAAGGTTCGTTGAAGAAAGCAACATTAAGCGCTTCCCCCAAGATCAACGTTCTAAGCGTCATCAGCCTCAATTGTATGGAAGCAAATTTGTATCATAATTCAGATGAAAATAGATTAACAGAAATGCATTTGCATTTTCAGAATGTACCTGCACTTCTTGACTCATAATTAAAATTAAAAACAATACGAACTGCAATTGCTTTTCCTTTTTAAAAATCGAACATGCTATGACTTATGGTGCATTTGAGTTACCTTGGAAGTCAGAAGTCTGAGCTGAAATTTACGTCACACCCGATTTCCCAGCGTTTCAGTTACCAAGTCGGAAAAAAACAAGTTGGAGGTGGAAACAAGATGGTTATATCTACGAAAGTTATTTTAGCACTTGCCTTTCTGAATATGAGGCAAGCGCTAAAATAATTTCGTAGATGTCGCCAGCTTGTTTCAAGCCTGCGATTTTACTTTTTTTGTACTTGGTAACTGAAACGCTGGGAACTCGGGTGTGACGTCATTTTCAGCTCCGACATCTGACTACCGAGGTAACTCGGACGCACCATTAATTCAAGTGATTGCAGAATATGTAGCCAAGTCTCCAGTATTTCCTCACATCTGTCACGGGCGTCCGGTTCAGAAATAGTTTGCAACTCCAACTGGGAACCTAAACTTATTAAAGCTCGAGCAATGGTTTCAGGAAGAGCCACTGTATTGTTGATCAAGCTCGAAAATAAAGCAACGCAGTACCATGGAAACACAGTATTAATGACATTTTTTTGTGCGCCACTTGGGATTACGAAGCCGATTTGAGTTTTGGTACTTTTTTTGCACGTGGACATAAAAATGAAAAAGTAATGGCCCGTTTAGTTTCTCTTTTGAATTGTGTTACGAAATGCACGATTAGCATAAGAAAATGAAAATGCAGTTCGTATTATTTATTCTTCATTTTATTTTTGGGTCAAAAAATGCAGTTCTGACTTTGGAACGAAAAAAGCCATACTGCGAATGCATTTGAATTTTCAGATTTGACTTTTCGAATTGAATGTTGGAACATATTTGCTGAGGCATATTTTGAAAATTAAATCTCAAATGGATTTTTCTTTTACATTTGAAATAAGTTACAGAATGATCAGTTTTGAAAAAGCAATTGCAGTTTGGATTATTTTTTTTTAAATCTTATTTATGAGTCAAGAAGTGCAGGTACATTCTGAAAATGCAATTGCATTTCTGTTCATCTATTTTCATTTGACTTATTATACAAATTTGCTTCCATATAATTGGAGATTTTCTGAGCGGTTTACTCTGTTGTACTTCCAGGAGAGTTAAGATGACACAGTGCAGCCGAGGGAGGCAAAAAAAACAAACAGTACCATACTGGCCTACTTCATAGTTGACTTCTACATTCTGATAAGTTTTTCCACCGCATGTAGTTGCCACTGATAGCTGTCAAATGTGAATGAGTTCTTTGTTATGGTTTGTGAATAACAAAACTGCAACGACTTCCTTATAAAGTGTCTTGAGATAATATTTCTCACAGACTGGCACTATACCAACAAAAACTGATCCAAATAATAAAATGGTTTGAAGCCTTTTTTCAGCAAAATAGCCCCTAATAAGCAGAAATGATTCTCTTTTCATTACTTACCGGATAACATAATCATGATCATCGATTTCTTTCCCCTTTTTGGAGCCGTTCAGGATTCCCCCTGTGCCCACCACAGCACATCGCACACACCCATCACCTCCTAGCTTTGGGGGGAATAGTGGCTCTTTTGGTTCTGGAATCAACTTAATCGCCTCTATCACATCTGCAAACCAAAACAGGAACAAAAACATGCTAAATGAAGACACAATAATCAAACAACTTACAACAAGAACCTTCATGACCTCCATGGATCTTGTTAGCACTTGACAGCTTATGTCTCATGAAATTTTCTGAAAATATCTGTAAAGATGAAGTTAAGGTTATAATACAAACAAGGTTATATTACCTTTATATTCATAACTCATGAAACCAAATGGATTGTTAAAATGTGAGAGCCGGTTCCACTCGCTCATGTTGAAGTTGTCTTTGTGGAGATACAGCCGAATGTTGGGAAGGAAAGCCTTCTTGAAGCTCTCATCCTGGGAGTTTCGCAGAGACTGGGCACAGGTCTGAGATGTAAACAACATAACATTAATTATGAAACAAAAACTAAAGTTTAAGATTTGATTCTAACCGTGTACATCCGTCTGAAACTTTAAATTCAGAGGACATTTGAAGCAGGGGAAGAAACAGCCCATAAATCCTGGAAAATACATAGGCTACATTAAGACAGTGTTGAAGTATTTGTAATCAGAAAATCCATGTAAGTAATCATGTTATTGATAAACTTGATTTAACGCCTTTCAAAAGTAAGGTGCTATATGGCAGGACATTAAAATAGAGGCAAAAAGTTTAATAACAAGATGTTAAAAATAAAATTAAGTCGCACAGCAATCAGTAAAAGGCTCAAGGATGAGTTTTTAGTTCAGATTTAGAGAGGTATAAAGACTATAGAGACATCAGTATTGCTGGTCTTTAGTGGGATATATAGCTGAGTGTCATCAGCATAGCAATCGAATACTGTATTGACCAATCTGACCCAGTGGGAGTGGAGTCAGATTATTCTGCAGTGAGTCATAAAAACATGAACTTTGAGATTGGTCTGAAATGACTTCAAACATTCAGATCACAGGGAGGTTTACTTAATAAAGGGGGTTGACAGTAGCATGATCAAAACAGAGGGAAAGACACCAGAGGCCTGTCCCACGAAGCTGGATTAACACACCCAGGATAACTCTGCCACAACTCGCTTAACTTCACCAGATCTCCGTGATCCCGATCAGCTTTACTACGAGGCAGGATATCAACTCGATAACTGTATCCAGTCTAGATCTGTCTGTGCACACGTAGGGCGGGAGTCAGTGCCACCGGACCAATCTCCACAACGGAGAAGCCGAGGAACAGAGCATTATTTTACGCAAATACGAGGAAAACCGTGACATGATAACAAGACTGCTGCAGCTGCTAGAAGCCAAAGGGACTGCTGGCAAAAAAAAAATCGCAGATCGTGTAAATTACATTTGTGCGTTCATGAATGTATGGTCCCCTAATACATTATCGTACAGTTTGTGTGATCACCATCATTACTGACCTCATTTCAGATGCAACAGCAGCGGGGAAAAGAGTAGCCTACGTGGGAGCAAATACAAAATAAATATAAAAATATCCTATAAAATGGTTAGTAGGTTTATTGGAAGATTTTAATTGTACATATTTCAACATGTAAACAGTTTCCTCACACTGCCTTGGTGAAGAGCTTTTTTATTATTTCTCCATCATCTAATGGTCACACTTTGATGGGATATATAGCTGGGGTTAAGAGGAGTTTTCTAATCTGCTTCAATAAATTCTGAATGATGACTGATATGCCACATGAAGCTGGAACTTGGAGCTTGGCAAATATTAGTGCATTGCTTAGACTTCATGCTACCTGAATATTGAGGTTGCCTGAGGAAAATGTGTAACGCTCATAGAGAACGTCATCAGGTATATCAAATTAATTTGAGCGATCATGAATATATCGTCTCACTATTCGTGCACCGACGTCCACGGGATTCTGCAAAAGTGTGCAAGCCATTTTCCCCAAGAGATCTGATTGGTCAGTGGGCGGTCTTTTATACCCGCTGAGATCTTATCCTGAAACATAACCTGCTCTGGAGCAGGTTTGGCGTTTGTAAGTTACCGGGGCAACAGACCCAGGTAAAAGGAAATTCAAATTCAAATTCAAATTTATTATATTTGTATAGCACTTTTCATACATGGGAGTAGCACAAAGTGCTTTACAGAATGATAAGATAAAAATAAGAATAAAAACCCCTCCCTCCCAGGCCCACACACAGATACACGATCACTTAGACACAAACACCCACCCACCTACCCACACACAAACATACACACACAGGACAGTGCTTGGTTGTTTTGTTTTGCATTTCGTCATGGCTTTTGTACCGAGGGTCCCGGTGAGGAAGAATGCATGAGGAGACACTGGAGCTAGGAACTAAAAGGTTAAAACGCATAAAATAATATTTTAAATAAAATCAGTTAAACGCTATGAACTAAAAAATTAAAACAACTAAAAATTATGTATTAAGTAAAATCAGTTAAACGCCAGACTAAAAAGGTGTGTCTTTAGCCTCTTTTTAAAAATATCCACCCTCGTAGTACAGAAAACCCAGGAGTTATCCAGAAGTTATCTCACTAAGATCGAAATCAGCTTCGTAGTACAGGCCTCAGGGGTTAAAGATTGACAATCACCAAAATATTCGTGCAAACTGTCTGTAGAACAAGTTTTAACAACCAGGAAGGAAGACAACTGAACACTGTGCTAAAGAGCAGCAGCTATGATTATCCACTCCCACACTGTTAAACCCTTTAAAACAACTCAGTCCTTGTTCATCATGCTTACTGTCTTTCTGGGGGGAGCATCCTGGTTATAGATGTCCTCAAAATCCCAAACAGGATACTTCTTGAATGACTTGATGTCGAGAGGAGGCATGGGAGTCTCAGCATCAGGTGAGGTGACTCCGACTGTTGTTGCGTTAAACCCGTCAAGTTGTGATATCAAGTTGACTCTTGCATTCAACGCCTTCAATAGATCTTTGTACTCGTATTCTGGGAAGGAAGGGCAGCTGAACAAGACAGCAAGACAATGTGAGTTAAAATACCCTCGGAGAGGTAACATCACACATCTATAATTTGTATAAGTTCCTCTCTCTGCAAGTTGAACAGTGTGAGGGTGTTTCCCTTTGGTTAAAAACCCTTAAATCTGCTTACACAGAGGTTTATCTGGCAGAAAGTGAAATAAACATGCTAGAAAAGATCATAGATGAAAAAAGCACATTCTCTGATTATAAAAAGAACTTACCTCAAATTTTCTGAGAAAACTCCCCATAAAACGACGACAAATATAATGGTCCATGTGATCAAACAAATAAATTTCAGAATCTCTAAACTTTTGTGCACCATCACTGAAAACCTGAGGCTTAGACACTGAGTTGCATGCAGGGTGTGGTGGCAGTTTTCTCTCCTCCTGCTTTTTATACTGTGAGGATGTTGAACCACCTGCCACATACCTGCCTCGAACAACTATTCCGGTTTTTCTGCTTATGTTAATTTGTGCTGAGTAGATGTGGACAAATATGCTCCTTTTATCAGAGAGTATCATCTCATATCACATATCATGTCTCATATATCAAGTATAAAAGATACAAAAGGGGAAAGAGAGATGAAGTAACACAAGTGTAAAACTTCTAAAACATCAAATCTAAGGGTTGCGTCTACAGATCTGCTGCTTCTGCCAAAAACTCAGTGTTTATCCAACATCTTTAAAGTTGTAAATGTCAATACTGACCATTGTTGTGAGACTTAATGAGGTAATGTGAAAGTTTTGTATTGAGTAATCTGTGAAAATTTTGATAGAAATGTGCTGAAAATCAGGTTTTGGTATGTGCGTTCATTTGTAAGTGTTAATTTGTGAACTGTGATTTAAAAATGAGCACTGAGCACTGTGTATGTTATTAACCTCTGTGAGAACAGCACCCCCTGGTGACTGGTTGCAGTAAGGGTCATAAACCCCGCCTCCTCCAGCAATCCTTATGGAGTTGTAGACAAATTTGAGAAATTAATTACACAGACTACAAATTGTTCTCCTCCCTGGTTGCGATATTGACATTAAGTGATTGTAAGACTGGTTTGTGCTCAAGTCCTCTTTTTCCTGTACAGCTCCATTTTTAAAAGTTATTAGGGGTTCATGTTTTGTATGATTGACACTCGATTTAGCCTATGGGCGAGCAAGAGCATCGCATAGTGACGGAAGGCGGAGCAAAGTTGTCCATGATACATACAGTCTATGGTACATAAAGGTTTAGGAGCAACACGTGCTGCCATCCAGACCACGTCTTTTTCAGGGACGCCCTTGCTGATTTCAATGAGACGATGCAAGAACACGCTCTGCACGTGTTACAACAGCATGGCAAACTGACCTGCCTTTAATTTGAGGGACTTACATTACAGTTGACTTTTAGGGCCGGTACATGAGACGGTGTGAACTGAGCAGATTAGCTATTAAATGCTTTGTATAAATAGAACAGCCTCTGGTGTGGTTTAACATCCTGTTAATTGCGTAACATCAAACAATGATTCTATCCTCATGTAAATGTCTTCATTTAGAGTCAACCCCACTTCTCAGTTGATGACATCAGTGCTAGTTAGGTTAGATAAGGAAACTTAGGAGTCAGATTTTGTGTTTAAGCTCAAGAAAATACTGAAGAGGTGAGTTTTTAAAGGACATCAAGTTGTCTAATTATGGATCTAATTTATTTTAATATTTTTCTGTCAATTACTTTAAGCAAAAGCTTAATTGTATAGATTAATTGTCACAAAACAGTCCCCATAAAACTGAATAAAATAGACACACAAGGTGGGGACACACCTGATATTTGTAATTAAAACCTCACCAGAACTAAATTAGGATGTGTTGAAAAGCCTCTGATAGTCTCCATGTCATGAAACAGGATTCAGAATGTGTGGAAACAAATGCAAACACCGAAGGGAGGTCAATGCGGGTAAAATATTTGATTGAAACAAGCAGGAGTCGGTACATGGGAAGGCAGTCAGATTCAGCAGAGGTATCCAAAAGAGATGAGGCAAAAAGCAAAGCAAGGTCTGAGACACAACAAGACCGGGGGCCTGTTCTACGAAGCAAGTTCCACGCATGTAAGGTGGAGCCCGTCGCATCTGACCCATCGAGAACATGGACCAGTCTGGAGCGTCTGAGCAGTTTGTACTTTACAAATGAGGAGCAGGAGACTATCCCTCCCTCCCTCCCTCTCAGTATCAGCTTTTTGAGTGTAATAGTGCCGCCAGCTGGTTGGTTATGATCGTTTACACAAACATTACAAAGACAACGACCTGAAGAACAACTTGCGGTGAGTCATAGCGTCAGATTTCTCATATGACGATGGTTTGTGGGCTTTAACAGTTTGCTAAACGTCAGAATGACAGAAAGCCATCTCAACACTAGTGTGTAGTCTTCTGCTTCTTCAAACTTGGAGCCAATTGTTTCAGCAGGACTTCAAATTGTCCAACGGACATCCGAAAATAGGTTCTGAAGCGACAGTGGTGCAGTTCCAGCTCCTGAACGAAGCAGTGAAACTCAGCAAGTTCTCTTCTTTTTTTTTACTATTAGATGCACCCATGTGCTACGTTTCTTTTTCTTTTGAGAAAGCAAAAGCAGTACCAATTTGCCATCACGTGACGTTGAAGTAGAAGATTCCATTTTTGTCTTCTCGCTTCCACCTGGGACGCTGACGGATGGCAAGGGAAGGTCCCGCCCTCCTGCGCCTCTGATTGGCTATAAGTGCTGACCGTTTGGCTTGAGCGTGTAAGGACGTTTCAAGCTTTCCCGTGATGCGTCTTTTTCCCCGAGGAAAGTCGCAAAATAGCATCAGGCTTGATGTGTACAGTCAGGCGCGTCAAAATTCGCCTCTGACTATTTCTTAATTTAGCGTTCTATATTCGTGTCAACGCCGGCGTGTAAGGACCTTTAGACTTAATAAATAAGAAATAGGCTGTAGGACAAAAAAATTAAAATCTCGATTGTGGTCTCGGCCTTGACAACTCACGCAAGTGACTCAAAAGTTAGCCTTTGCTCGCAAATAGCTGTGAAACAACTGTTCGTCTTTTTTTTTCTTAAAGAAAATCTGCCATTTCAATATGTCCAAGCATCCCGACTCATAGTCACGTTATTAAATTCTTTAATAAACAAAACTGTTTGTAAATCTGTCAAGATTTCAGCGAGTATTTTTGATCATGCAGATTACTCACCTCCCGGTAACTACCATAGAGCGTACCAGATTGGTACACTGGAGTAAGATGGCCGCCATGTAGGGACGCCGGTGACTCCATCTCAGGTCATCTAGCCTTTCTTAAATATCTTTGGGTGAATTCTGGTTTAGCTCGCCATCAAGGGTCAAAATCCGGTGGGAAAAACCTGTCCTGGATAACAAGGTCAGAACTAGGTTTCAGACTTAACAAAAGACACTTTACCTTAAAACACGCAATGCCATCAATCAGCGATGATGATTAACAGGTGGGTAATATTACTCACCAATTCGCGCTCCATACAGTCTGATGTTATTCGTGTCCGGGTTTTATCAGTCCTCCTAGTTCCGGTTGTTTAAACGGCAGTTTCAGCAGTTTTGTTCAGTTTTTACTAACTTAATGTGAAAAATTGTGCTGCGTTATCCTTTCCAGTCAGCGTTTCAGACTTACTCATCTTCTACCGTTGGCTGCTCGCACTCACGCAAGATTTAGACATGACTTGATAAAACTGCGGTATCATGGCATTTGATTGTGTCACGATTTAATTACAAAAACAAAATTACAAAAAAATAATTACACCACAACATATTTTAATATCTTTTCATCCTTCTTACCCTTTAAGTCTTTTTCTTCATGATATTAATCCAGTCATTTTCTATGACCTGGGTTACACAAGAGTTGCAGTTAGTAGAGCTTTTTTATTTAACAGTACCAAATGCCAGTGAATTTAAAAATACTGAGTTTTTCATTTCCATCAGTGGGGTTACATAACATGATAAATACAAAAGAAAATGACACCAAAATATAGAAAAAAATCACAAATGTAAACAGATGACCCTCACATAATCAAACTTGAGTTGCACTTTTTGTTTTTGTTGTAATACTCAGGCGCATAGCTGCAGCTTAAATGCTCCTACATCCTGAAAAATCCCCAAAGTATGTTAAAAATCCATAATTCAAAGTCACACAGTGAAAGGGGAATACACTTATTTAGATTTATAAGGCACAAACGATTAAAACAGAGCTTGTTCCAAAGAACAGAGGACCTCTTCATTTCAAAGACCTTTGTGGACACTTCTTATGTAAAGTCAAACAGAGGCACTCCTGAGTTTTTAGTTCTTAGTAAACTGAAGGTAGAATTGTAAAATATCTATAAATATATCAATATATATGCCATCAGCAGCCATATCATAAGGTACAACTGTCTAACTGTTTGTTAAGAGATAATCATTGTTGTATCTTTTGCCATCCAGGTGAGGGTAGGTGGGTCAAGTGACATCACGCACAAGAGCTCAGAAACCAAACGTCCCACAGAGACCGACTTTCCATCGTAAAAGTATTAGAGCTTCTTTTTGTCTCTGTCACTGATTTTGATAAAGCTTCATTATTTTGGTGTTGTGCAAGTTTTTCCAGGTATCCTTCTCCAAGTTGTAGTCATGGTTGCTATAGAAAATGACACGTGTTTTTTTGTCGGTTTCATAGTAGTAGTTGTTGTACTTGTTGTAGTCGTCAGTCATGAACCCGTATGCTGACACCTGGGGGTGACAAAAAACAGATCGAACATTTCATCTGACACTTAGGCCACTTTTAGACGGAAACGGTCTCCAAAGAAAACGGAAAAGTGCCGTTTCGTTTTCCGTTTTTATGCTGTGTTTACTCAAAAACGCAATGTGGTTGAAAACGCTGTAATGTGCATGCCAGGTCGCTAGGTGGCGCATGTCGGTGTGACCGCGCTCCCATATAGACCAGCAACGCATACGTAGAACAACTTATTTGATGCAAATAATTCAGACGCCTCCTCTGCTGAGCAGTATGATCCGTGAGGATTCTGAGCTCCTGCCCGTTCAATAATAACGACAGCGCGACTCGAATGTCTAGCATGGTTGAGCCAGGATGTCACAGGTTTGACTGTTTTCAGCGGTTTTGAACTTTAGACGAAAGCGGGATTAGCAGAGCGTTTACAACATTCCCACTCTGGAGGGGGTTTTCACTTTGTTAAGTTTTCATCTCCTGAAAACGCAGCTGCCGTCTAAACGGACGCCCCTAAACGAAACTAAATTTTTCCGTTTTCTAAGGAGACCGTTTCCGTCTAAAAGTGGCCTTAAAAAAAACAGCAATTAAAAGTTTGACAGGAGTAAAAAGAAATTAGAAATTCGCGAAAACTTACGATGTCACATGTATGTAGAGCCACGAAGAGAGCAAAAGCCCCGTTGGTTGGTCTGACTATCCTCCAGAAACCCTTGTTCAGATTAGGAGACTTTAAAAATCTGTGGGCATTAAACACACAGAAAATTATGCATTTAATGTAGGGTACCTGATTAGTTTTGTTTACCATAAATAAAGTTAAGCGTGAAAATGATCAAGAACTTAACCTGTTTCGCACGTATCTGAGGAAGTCCTGGTGCAGAACGTAAAAGTGGCTTTCGTTGAATTGGTTACTGTAGTATGTCCATGGCCTGGAGGGTTCAAACAAAAATCAAGAGACGTCTTTAAACTAATTTTAGAAATGAGACATTCATATCTTGTTGTTGCATATATTTTGTAAGAAGAAAGTAAAAACTCTGGATATGTGAGGTGCATTTGGTAAAAACAAACTAAAAGTCCTTTGATAGTCTGATATTTGAGGTTGAATATAATGGCAAATATTATTGGAGGAGGAGAACAGATTAACCGTCTTTAAAAAGTTAATGTTGTTTTACTTGAAGTATTTCAAAGAGGGGGTTTAAATCACTTCATGCTCACAAAGAGTGGCAGTGTGAGAGTTCATTACTTATGTCTCATTGCTATGATGAAAGACTAGTTCATCAGCTCCTATCATCAGAATGAAAACAATAATCCCTGCAGACTGAGTTAAAGCAGAAAATCCACTGTTTTATGTGTTCATTTAGTGTTGCAAGGACGGGTGCAGTCCTGTCCCAGGGGAGAGACATGTGAGTGGGAGTGTTTGCAGACTTAAGCTGGGTCTTAAGTGTCCTGAAGCAGTTACTATGTGACAAGCATGTTGTTGGGAGTGGTCCTGGTTCTTCGTCATTCCCTACCTTATTGTAAGTACGTGTGTTTTCTACCTGAAGAAAGTGCAACGTTATGACATTTCTATAACCATGGTGACAACTTTAAAGCCCAATCTAATAAGTCCCCAACATGAGAGACACGAAGCATGTTTTGATGTGTGATGCTCACCTATTGTTACGATACTGTCCAGCAGCAACCCTCTCTCTTTTAAGAAGACCGATGAGCCATTGAAAATCCCTCATCCCCTCAGGAATCATCACGTATTTTATTCCCTGCCAAAGCAAAATGATGAAGGATGAGTGCAGGAGTTAAGACAATTTAAGTATTTTGCTGTTTTCATCAAAGTTTGGATACCTCGTCAGCAGGGGCATTTGTATATCCGTACTTCCGCAGTAAATACCTCGATGTGGTGATGGAGTGAGCTGTGTGAACATACACAGAAGTTCTGTTTCCTACATCCTCCTCATGATTCTTAATGAGCGCGCCGTTCATCCTGAAACAGAAACACATTCAACTGTAAGAGTTTCCCCTCAAGATCAACATTTAAAGTATCATCAGCTTCCACTAGAGATTTTCTGAGTGGTTCAGGGCCAATCCCAATTGTACCCCTTAGCCCTTCTCTTACCCATTAGCCCTCGGTTTTGCACGTCCACGTCAAGCAAAGAAGTGTCCCAGTTCTCCGTGAGGGGAAGGGGAAGAGCATGGGGTACACACCATAGACTGTTTACACTATGGACAACTTGGCTCTGCCTTTCTTCAGTATACAAATTTGAAGCCAAATCGCTTTTGGTATTTCCAGGATTTTCTCCACTTTCTGGAACCACCACCTGCGCTGTAGCATCGTCAGTAACTACATGTCAACATCGCAAACAAGAGGGTTGAAAAAAAATGTATATTCTGTGTAATTAATTTCTTAAGTTTGTCTACAACTCCATAGGGATTGCTGGAGGAGGAAGGGTTTATGACCTATTCCACAGCAAGTCACCAGAGGGTGCTGTTCTCACAGTGGCTTCAGCGTCCATTCTATATACAGTCTATAGTTCACACCCCTTGAAACGTAGACAAACCAGGACCAAATTTTCATTATCAGATATTCAACGTTTGCTACGCCACGTAAATATTAGCAATGTTTTGACCTGTTTGCGTGTTATGAGGAGCTCGCTAACGACACTATTGCTGTTGATAGCTACACTGATGTCGGACTCGGGTGACAAATTCACTGCAAATGGAGAGGCGTGATGTCGTAGCGGGAGACTCGAGGAGTAGGGCAAAGATTGACAGTTGAGATTGGCCTTTACCCTGCTGTACTCTCGGAGAGTAAAGATGACAGTGCAGTCAGGGGGGGAGGTGACCTTCAGGAGGCAGAAATATGAAGCAGTACCATACTGCCCTACCTAATAGTTAACTTCTTCATGCTAATACTGATTCTCCCACAATTCTTTTGAATACTACTGGGAACAGGAGTGTGCTATCATCAGCCAAGGGTTTGGGTGTTTGCCCAGAAAACAAGGTCAGGTCCGTAAGGCATAAAAAAATAAAATAATAAAAACAGGACAAAGGCACACCGAAAATATCTTTTTTGGCAGGCTTATAAAATAAAGGACACCTACTCGATATCAACTAAGCCTTGATTGGATTTGAACTTTGTTTATTGGCATTATCTAGTAATCAACGGTTAGGGTCAAAGTACTAACTCATGCTTTTTCCTATTGCATTAAAATGGAAGAAATCTTGGTACATTCATTTAAAATTTTCAGTGATAGTTTTTTGACAACTTAAAGCCTTACAAAAGGAGCCTCAAGCTATCTTAAGTAACTCTTAAAGCTTTCTTGTTTATCTTAGTTTGATGGAGAAGTTTAAAGTTGTCTGGGCAGCAAAGAACACATTCATGATGCCTAAAATAACAAAGAGTCGTTTAAAGAAACATGTCTTCCAGTCCATGTCTGTTCACTAGTTTCTAAATACTAGTAGTTTATCTTATTGGCCACAAGCCATGTGTTTATGGCCACCCCACCAAAGCCTAATATTACCTGAGCAAACACAGGAGATAAATGTCCTCATGACCATGCCCTGAGACGGATGTGCAAAGACATTAAAATACGACACAGTGACCCGGGGTTGACAAGATTTAAAAGGATATAAAAAAACATCCAGCCCAAGTTTTCCACAGTAATAAGGAGCCACAATTCCAACAACTTGTTTTAAGATTTCTCTAGACGTGGCTGTGCTGTTGACAGAACAATTCAGGTCTGGGGGATTTCATCTCTCATGGCTCATGTTGAAAAATTCAGAGGAACAGGAGAAATCTCAGAACAAAATGCGGAAAACCAACCGGATGGCTGAGATCGTTTGACTATCAGGAGGCACGGCATTGGAACAGACATGACTGCAGTGAAAATCACTGTATCAGTTAAATGAATTTCTTCCAACTTCCTGGTTAATTTCAGCAGGTTGGACCTCACTGTGCAGATATTACAACAGCGTGGCTCTGTAGTAGAAGGGTGCAGGTAGTAAACCGGCAACAGGTGAGTACGGGCTGATTCCAAAGACAAGAAATAATCTACAAATAAAACCAGAACCTCGAGTGATTCCTCATTGACACACTTGGAATGGGACATTATATTTAAAATGGGGGTATATTTTCATAAAACTGTTTTTTTTTTTTTACCAGCATCTGATATTTTTTATTAATTTTTAGCCGAATTAATGATTTTAAATTCCGTTTTAATGAAAATTTTACACAGTGCACCAATTTTGGGGGAACTGGGGTGACTTGCACAGAAATAAAGAGTTATTAAAGCTCCTGTGAGGAGATTTGGATTGGTAATTTAAGAAGACTGATATAATCTACTAAGGCCCGGACTACATGTATATAGATATTTATTTATCCGGATATTTTTGTACTCCTGTCTAAATAAATGTATCTGTCCACACGTGTTAGTTCTCAAAAATATCTGCGTCCACACGTAGGCTTCAAACTCAATCCTATCTGGTTCCACTTAAAAAAAAATTCAGGAACAAAGCTACCTGATTGGCCGATGAATCTGAAGTTTAGCTTCCATTCATCTGCAGGCACAGCCCCTCTAACAAAGTTGTCCCACCACTTGCTGGTCCGACCGGGTTTGACCCAAAACTTACACTTCTGTCAAACTTTGAAACGCCTAACGTTAACGTTACGATTGCTCTCCAATAAAAGTATTGGGTGCAGCAGACGCCTCTGTGAGCTGGCTGACTGGTGGATGTAATTGTATAAAACAAGGTTCACTTGCAAGGCTGAAATTAGCCCCAAAAGGGCAAAACAAACGTAAAGAATACCCTGTATGTCCGCCATTGTTGTTGTTGTTGTTTTTCTTTTTAATTCGCATGCGCGAGCTGCGGTTTGACGTCATCGTTCCGTAAAAGTTCAACCACACGAATCCACTTATACGGATATTTTTTTATTTCTCCACTTGTTTTATCAGATTCAGATTTATCCGGTTTGAGTGTTCCAAACTCCCGTTTTGGTGTGGTAGGGAGGCCTAATCGGACATAAATATGTGCACTTTGAAATATATCCGCATTCGTGTAGTTGGGGCCGAAGTCATTTCCAACTACTGTGGTTGGGGGAGGTACACTGAGGAGACAGCCGCTGTGACTTTTTCAACCTAGATGCACTAATTTCAGAATATACATGGTTGTAATTTTTACACACACCCAGTACAAGAGTTTTTCTTGTTAAACAAACTGTCATATTAGTTTGGGGCGGTCGACAGCTGAGTACACAAAATAAACTTCTGTATCTTTTCAGTTCATTTGTGGACATATGAAGTTTAAAAAAAACGGGCTGTTAACATTACAACGTAATATTGCCCACTAATTAGCCTAAGCATTATACTGCCCGAGCAAACACAGGGTATGAATGGGGCCCGTCATATCTGCTCCTTGGGACAGATGTGAAGCACAAAGATGACACAAAGACAAAGAGTTGACATCGTAAAAAAAAAGGTTGTGTTGGACTTCCTCTTTCTTGTCCTTTAGAAAAATTCACAGTCCAACCTGGGCATGAGCAACATGTTTATTTTTGAATGTAAGTGTTGAAAAGCAGAAATTATTCACTTTTCATTACTTACCGGATAACATAATCATGATCATCGATTTCTTTCCCCTTTTTGGAGCCGTTCAGGATTCCCCCTGTGCCCACCACAGCGCATCGCACACACCCATCACCTCCTAGCTTTGGGGGGAATAGTGGCTCTTTTGGTTCTGGAATCAACTTAATCGCCTCTATCACATCTGCAAACCAAAACAGGAACAAAAACATGCTAAATGAAGACACAATAATATTAAAAAATAATGATGAATTAAATCAAAAAGTGCTTTACAGGGATTCAAATAAAAAGAAATAAGAAAAGTAAAAATACTTAAAACATAATACACCCTGAAACATGACATCTAGGAAAAAACAGAAGCCTGACAACAATAATCTAATCCCATCAAGAGCATAAATAAGAACCAGAGCATCATCAAATCAGAGAATCGATATTTTCAATGTTTTTGAAGCGCAGAACGCAGTCAAACAATGAAAGAGTACAGTAATTGTATAGGTGGCTCATTTTTGCTCATCCTATCACCATCATTATTGTTTTCACCAAAGTGTGCAGGCGACCAGCCTTTCATAGCAGCCAGACAAGCCTAAATCTGGAGTATAACCGATCCGTTTACTGGAACATTTCTCTGGTAACATCGTTGAAAATTTGTCCCAAGAACCCCAGCACAGACCCCTGAGAGACCCCGTGCTTAACGGAACTTGAGCTCGAGATGAATCAAGAAGCTTAGGTATCAAGCATGTTCAACATCTAGGAAATATAAAAGTACACATTGAATGTCGTCTGCTGTGTTTCTTTACTCTACAACCACATTTGACCACAAGAGATTTCCAACTTACACAATAAATCGAAGCTATGAACAAGTAAATATTCACACAGACAGACAGACAGACAGACAGACAGACAGACAGACAGACAGACAGAGAGAGAGAGAGAGAGAGACAGAGAGAGAGAGAGAGAGAGAGAGAGGCACACCCTTTATCAAAACACTGAGTTGGATGAGGCTTGAACAAACAAGGAATTAAACAAAGCGCCAATTCAGATTTTTTCAGCAAACCATTTTATTTGGGTTTAACACTTGGAGCAACTTCATTCAACAGCCAAGGTTTCTACATGTGTGAAAGTTTGTAGATCTATTTTTTTTCTGTCAAGTCATCCTTTTCTCCAAAAAAAAAAAAAAAAAATTAAGACAAAATTAAAGTGAACAAAAAGGAGGAGCAGCAAAAATCATAAAACCCATCAATTATCTAGCTTATGCAACCGAGATACAATGTTTTTGAGTGTGTGTTTAACTCAAACGGACGCTCACAAACTCTTACCTTTATAATGGAAACCCATGAAACCAAATGGATTGTTAAAATGTGAGAGCCGGTTCCACTCGCTCATGTTGAAGTTGTCTTTGTGGAGATACAGCCGGATGTTGGGAAGGAAAGCCTTCTTGAAGCTCTCATCCTGGGAGTTTCGCAGAGACTGGGCACAGGTCTGAGAGTGTGGGAAAACAAACCTGATTGTTTTTCGCGTAGGTTTTAAGGTTTCAAGTTTAAGCCACGGTGTGAAGTATAAGAGAAAAGCAAAAAGGCAATCCAAGCAAGTCAAACCCGAGACAAACAGCTGAAGATCTCTCTGCTCATTTGCAGCCATAATTACCCACTCTGCTAAGACTTTTATTTTCCTTCTACGTACTTACTGTCTGTCTGGGCTTGGCATCCTGGTTATAAACGTCCTCAAAATCCCAGGTAGGATACTTCTTGTATAAACTCGAGTTCAGAGGAGGCATGGGAGTCTCAGCGGCAGGTGTGGAGGCTCTTGTTTGATCACTTTTTGTCACTGCTGCTCGGTGTGCAGCTGTGGAATTAGTGGGTCGTGTCGTGTTTAACACATCAGATGGCGGAGTCCACTTCCCTTTCATATTCGACAACTTAACCATAGCCTCGATGACACAGCCTTTCACAGAGAGGCTGTCTTCTGGGGAGTTTCGCCAACTGAGTTGCGGATTACAAAAAAGATGAAACATTTGAGAATGAGCGAAACACTTCAGATTAAAAAACTCACCTTATTTATTCACATGTCTCAGATCGTTGTATGTGTGTACTCGGTATAAAGACAACTTACCTGGTGCTGTCTGATACAAGTTCCCAAGATGTAAGAAAAAACACAAGAGTAAGTCCTATCAGACACAGCAACAAGGAGATCAGGGATTTGAGCGCCATCCCTGCCAACCTGAGGCTTAGATGTTCAATGAGACTCTGAGTTTGTTTGCAGTTTACTTTCCCTCCTGCGTTTCATGCCCGGGTGATTAAGTCACCTGACCTCTACCTGTCGCCCAGAGTGATTGTAGATAGACAGGGCTTCAGTGACATTAGCTCAGGCATGTCCAAACTAACACAAAAGGGCTGCAGGTTTTTCTTCCAACCAATCAAGAGCACGCAGTCTGACCAATCAGCTGTGTGAAGACTGAGATCAGCTGATGAAATGAATCAAGTCTGGTGTGCAGCTGCTCGGTTGGAGGAAAAACCTTCAGCCACACCGGCCCTTTGTGGAATAGATCAGCTCAAGAAAGAGGCACTTCACAAATACACACGCAGGCGCACTTTCACAATAGTGTTCTTTATTACACAATAAAGAAGTGATGCACAAGGATTGTCTAGGGATTACACACTAGGGATGGGATTAAGAAAAACACGTTTTATTACAAATAAACACTTAATCCTGTAAGAACAAAGAATAATAGTCCTTTCAGTCCTTCATGTAAAAGTTGAAGCTGCTTTGATTAATGAAAAAGTTTGTCATCTTTAAACATGGATAAGAGTCGTAGAGCTGTGTGGAATACTGAGCAGACATGAAGTGAAGTCTTTGGTGTATTGAATCAGTCCTTGAGCAGCGCCGCCAGGTTAAAGCAGTCAAACATCTGGAGCCGGAGAAGGGTTTCAGATGGAGTACAGTCGAAGCTGCTCCTCCATGTCTCCCTCTGAAACCTCCCCGAACGTCTCCTTGTTGTCCTTCAGCAGTTTGAAGATGGCTGCCAGTTGTTCACGCTGCACCCTTGGAAGACAATTGAAGATAATGTTTGTCAGGTCTCATCATGAGTCTGTTAAGCCTTTGCTTGTTTTGGCAAATTTCCTATCTGGATTTAAAACTGATATTAGCTCTTACGAGAAACGCATCTCAGTTCTCCCTGTGAACCATGTCTATAAAAGTCAATAAAAACCAGCAGATAAAAAAGATGGACAACATATCAGCTAGATTTTCGTGATAAACTTTGAACGTAGTATAACCTTTTGCAGTTTAAAGCTTCCTTCTAAACGTCTACGTGTGCTGGCCCCTAATTTGTTTCCAGACATCAGGATGCGAGTTGAGTCGACACATCCCATAACTAGAAAAGCACTCAGAGTGCAGACCTCCACCAAGCAGCTCATGTCTCCCTTTAAACAAAAAATGCCCTGACCTGCAACCTTCTGGTAGCGAGGCAACAATGCTAACCACTACACCACTGTGCCGCCCATTGGTTATCTTTCAGCATTGAAAATTCCAACAACACCCTTATTTTTGTGTGTTCTGGATCACAGTATCCAGAATTTTGTCCGGATCACCGCCGAAATTTAATGGGATCCTCCTCGGGCTGAGATGCACCCCTTGTGAAAATTTCAGGTCAATCCGTCTGTTACTTTCTCCGTAAAGTTGCTAACAGACAAACAAACCGACGCTACCGAAAACATAACCTCCTTGGCGGAGGTAACAATGTGCAAAACCTCATTTAGGCAGACGCTCTGGTCTGTTTGAAAACTGGGAGCTGAGCTGAAACGACAACTTTAACGCCAAAGGTGTTAAATCCTGGGTGAGAGAGAAACGACGCTGTTCGCACGCCTGTAACGCGAGGGGAAACATCAGTGCACATTACACTGTGGACGGTTATTACTTTTCTTGTGTTCTTGATTTTAACACTTCAACACAGGCAGTTTAAAAGACATAGACTAAAAACGTTCCTGCTGAAGGAAACTGTGGATCGATACAAGACAGACAGATTAGCTTTTATCAAAGTCTAAGTCCCGTAAAGAATCCTGCGGTTTCAGTTTTTGATCTCACGCAATTCCTGTCAAAATCTCTGCTGAGTCAGATCTCTGCCGTCATGATCAGACGGGCTGAGGAAACTGTACTTTTCATCATACTGGAGGAGAAAGTAAATAAAGGAGCGGCCAGAGAGGATGATAAACTCACAGAATTTGTTGTAAGTCCTTCACCGTGTGCAGACAGAACAATCACACACCCTCTCATCAACAGGGGCCGCCCTGCAAACCATAACAGCGGCAGGAAATCAATCAGAGCTGACGTTCCAGGTAATCATCGTGAGCCTGAGTGAGATTTAGTGTGGGAAATATTACAGTGCTACAAGAACAGAGAGTCATAAAGAATATAGTAGTAATGTCAGGGGGTCATTTTGGAAGTGATCTTTAAACCATGCGGTGGTTTCCACATAAGTGTCATCTGTTTTAAATGCAGAACCCCAGCCCACTGGTATTGTTTCACAGCTTTGTCCCTTTTTTCATGGAAATACAATCAGACCGAAGAACGACCGCGTCTGCAGTGAAAAATGATTAATATATTGATTATTAATTCAAGGAAATTATAAAGTAATGATCATAAATGTTCTTCCTTGAGCTGTGTCACCCCGCAGCAGACCGTAATGGACTGGCCTGAGGTCTCGCTACAAACAAGCAGCTGTTTGAAGAGAGTAGGTGAGTTGTGTTTAGTCTCTTCGCTAAAGAAATCAGGCAAAGTTAAAAAGATGTTTGGTGTCTAGTACTATGGCTGTGACCCTATATGTACTGTTGATGAAGTTAGGTGCTGTTCTGAGTATTATTTGTGGCGTTTTGGTTGAAGTTTGTTTATGGTTCCTTGGACCGCTGTGTATTGCTATCGTGCGGTCGTTTCTTGAGTTGGTAAAACTAGAGAAGCAAGCGGTCGGCAACATTCATCTCTCGCCGGCATGTCTAACTCTGTGTTACGGTGTGTTTGACCTTAAATTAATTTTATGCCAGAATATCCCTTTAATTCTTAAAATGAATAACAGACGACATCAAACTCGAGACAAGAGAACCCAGACAGTCAAATAAAATAATGTTGTTCTTCCTATCTTATCTTATCTTATTTACTCAGACTGTCTCTCACAGAGTGGTGAAGGACCTCATATCTTTACAAATGACAGCTTCAGCCTCTTCAGAACGCCGATTTTAATTCATTTTAAAACCATCAAAATCTGCTTTTTTCTGCAGTTTACACAGCATCCCTGCACCCTCATTATTCGTGGCTGTATATATATAACGTAAAAACAGGTTGTTAGTCTCTGTGGCACAGTCAGTCAGACAGTTTGGCCTTTTTTTGAACAAATGATCAAAACTTTGCTGCATTAATCTGACCAAAATATCAGACCAGACTATCTACTATTTAGAAATAAGCTCCTCAATTTAGTCCAATCATGAATAATATCCCGGCTGTTTCTCCTCTTGGCCTCACTTTTCTGGGTGACATGCTCCTCCTATTGAAGCCAACCTCCAGTTAACCCTTCACTGTGTAAATGCAGTGATTTTGAAGATCACCGTCCTGTGCTACACTGGCTCCCTCTTGTGGTGGGGCAGAGCAGAGGCCTCAGAGGATTAACGAACACCCCCCCTGTGGGACATAATGACCCGCAGGCCCTAATCAACACCTGCTGCGCTGCCTGTAAGTCACACATCTAAAGTGGGCTAATGGAGGCAGCAGGGGGGGTTGGGATCAGGTCAGTGACACCGCGCTGTTATATCACGGCCACCTGAGGAGAGCTGAGGAGGCGCAAAATGCTGCTGATGATGCAAAAAGTTTGTCTTCTCAAATTGGTGTGAGGAAAGGCGTGAGAAGAGTTTGTTCCGAGCAATAACTGAACTTCTTTGTTTCTTCGTTTACGCGCTAAAAAGAATCAAACAGTCAAGTGTGAGCTGTTTCTAAGTCTCATGTTGCTCCTGGCAGAGACTTAATCTGGACTTATTCAGACCAACCCAAAGAGGACTGAGTAACATGACGGCTAAACGTGGGCGAGAAGCCACGCATACACAAACACACGTGAAGACAGCGAAGAGGAGATTTGAAAGAGGGAAGAAGAGAGAAAGTGGAGCAGAAACATGAAGAACGGGACCTGAATCATACCGGAGCAAGGATTTTCAGTTGTTTCTAAGTTTGTGTGTGAGACATTTGAGCACCAAATTCTGATGAGAAACCTGCAGATTGTGTTCGATCAATATGTCTTTTAAAGGTACTGTGAGGAGTTTTTATCTACATGATTAATTAACTGACTGAAACTGATACGAGCGTGTCTTTATGACCTTCAAAAGCAGCAACACGGCTGAAATTTCCTCTGTTCTCATTTCCAGTGTCTGAAACCTCTGTGAGGAGGTAGGTGTCGGACCAGGTGATTGACAGCACAATGAGGAAACTAACTGAGGCTGGAGCTTTGTTTAAAGTTTTCTTCACTTTAGACCAGTCGGAGTTTAGATTTCAATGTGAATGACAAAGACTATTGTTGTTTACCTCCGCCACGGAGGTTATGTTTTCGGTAGCGTTGGTTGGTTTGTTTGTTTGTTTGTCTGTTAGCAACTTTACGGAGAAAGTAACAGACAGATTGACCTGAAATTTTCACCAGAGGTGCGTCTCAGCCATTAAATTTTGGTGGTGATCCGGACAAAATTCAGGATACTGTGATCCAGAACACACAAAAATAAGGGTGTTGTTGGAATTTTCAATGCTGAAAGATAACCAATGGTCGGCGCAGTGGTGTAGATAGGTGGCACCGTGGTGTAGTGGTTAGCACTGTCGCCTCACAACCAGAAAGACCTGGGTTTGAATCCTGGTCAGGGCATTTCTTGTTTAAGGGGGGACACTCCGAGTGCTTTTCTAGTACCAGATAGGCCAGAAAGACGGGAAATGAGAAGAGTAGATAGGGAAGGAAGACGAGCAGCAAATGGTCATAGCTGGGAGCTGAACTAGTGATCCCTGTGATGAGAACTATAGTCTGAATGTGGGCCCAATGTCTGTAGGTTTTACTGACCTCTGTTCCTCCTCTAGCTCCTCCGTGGACATCATCATTTGCAGGTGGTGGGATCTCGCCTTCCCAGGGACGTATTTCAAGGAATCGAGTTCACTTGACTCCAGTTCATCTGATTGAAGGATCCAAACAGATGCCGGTTAGATTTGCGTGAGAAACTTTCATTACGAACAGACTGTGTTGCGTATAAAGGAGCTCACCGTCGATGTCTGGGCTCTCGGTGGCTTCTTCAGTCTGTGGGTGAAAGAGGACACATGTTAGGAGCTCAGTTTTCAGGTGCACCTGCAGCTTCTCCCTGATAGGGCCTCAGATGACGAGTTTACCTCTAAGCTCATGGAGATGGAGCAAAGAAGCTCAGCTGGTGGTGCCAGCTCTGCAATGTGAGCTTGGTGGTGTGTCTCCTTATGTTTGATGTGTAACACGCTATCATTTCTGTCAGACTGGAGGGACGTGTGTGTCTCTCCAGCAAGGTTAGGATTAAAAAACTGCTGCCCAAGCAATCATCTCAAGAGACGGCTCCAAACAAATCAGTTCACCTGCTTGTGCTGTTTGTTTTTCTCACCTCACCTGGACGCTGATCTGATCTCACAGGTGTGAGGGATTTTAAACCCTAGGTATTTGTTTCATAGCTTGCTCTCTTGGGAGCTAATTCCACCTCTAACACTTCTCTGTTTGGTCTAATTTAATGATCCACCAACAGACACCCAGGTATCCAGAACAGCTACCAGAGTGCTGAGAGAAGACCCCAAATCCTCCCAGTTATCCTTCAACACTTGGTGGCCTTTTTTTAAATCAAAAACAAGATTAAAACTGGTTTCTTTGTTTTACTTATTGACAGCAATTTAGCCCAACTTGAGAACAAAGTATCTTTGCAACTTTTAGAGAATTGCACATCTCAGTTTGGAGCTTTTTGCTCAACTAAAAGGGGATTACTGAATATTTTGCTCCATTCTATTTTCATTATATCATCAATTGGTGTCAGAGCCTTCTCCGTTGCCGCCCCCACCCTCTGAAATTCACTCCCCAAACCCATCCGAGACTGAACAGACCCCCACACTTTAAAAACACACCTTTTTAAAATGGCTTTTAACCTGTGAACTGTTCGTTATTGTTTTCTCATATCTCATGTCTTTTTTTTCTTAACCTTTTACATCATGGGTTTAATTTTCAAAATTTTCTATATTTTAAATTGTTTTTTTTTATTTTTTATTCTCTTCTTTTTCTTTATAAGGCGTCTTTGAGCACCTGTAAAAGCACATTATATAAAAAATGTATTATTATTATTATTATTATTATTAATTGTTTTATATTTTGTCAACAAATGGCAATTTTTCCAAAGGTAAACCGGACTTGTGTCATCTAACCAACTTAAACCTGCAGGTTTTCTCTTTTGCTGAAGTTTCATTTGGACTTATAACGAAATGCAGAACTTCCCCCAGAGCCTGTACAGCTGAAGCTTAAGGTCTAAATTATAACATTTCTCATCTGGCTGCAGCCATCCCTGGTTAGTTCAAAGGTTAATGCATGCATTCATGCTGTTTACATGGACGTTACTACTTACAATGCTGTGGCACATTATAACAAGTAACTTAAACACCATATGAACACCCTGAACCAGTGTAGCATTCATGTCTCGTGTTAATTACACTGTTTTAACTGAATCTAATCAGAGTCACATCTGTCTGAGAAGGTCTGGGGGGACCACATCTGCCATAACAGACTTCAGTGTTGTCTTTTTCATGGTATAAAACTGTAACCATCTTATAATAAAACAATGAAATATCACCGATTAAGCAGTTTATAACAGTTGCAGCACATTAATGCAAAACGATAATTAAATGGCTGATATTTATTTAGCAGAGTAGACTATTTTAACTTCACCTCACATGTCTTTGTTAAAATGAAATGTTAAACTCTAAACCAGGGGTTTAAAGTTTCATTATTTCCTCCAGGGTCCCCTTTTTAATCTTGATTTCATGAGTTTATCAGATAAGTTCATAAGCATCTGACTTTAGTTTGATCCATTTCATCAGGGCAGTGTTTACAGTGTTTGGATGAAGAGTTTTAGAGGGTCATTTCAACAGATTGGGGTTATTAAGCAGCCTAATTAAAAACAAAAACAAACACACAAACGACCCCTCATGTGTACATGGAGTATAGGAGGCAGGTGACTTACTGAAAGCACTGATTTCACTACATCCCAGTGATCGTGGGAGCTCCCACTGATGTCACACCAGTCCTCCTCCACCGACTCCGTCTTCTCCTCCTTCTCCGGTATGTGGCCGTTCTGCTTCGGCTCTGGTTGATCTAATCCTCCGGTTGAACCTTGTCCTGAACATCGCCGCGGGTTTGCAGAGTTGACTTTGGACGAGGAGCCTTTCAGAAACGACGTCGCGATCACAAGTGCGAGGAGCGTGAAAATAGCAGCGAATATCACAGAAGTTAAATCCATGCTTGTTTCTAGTGTTTTTAAGACAATGTGGCACCTCTGAGTCTCACTGTCGGCTTCTGTCCATTCCGCTACTTGCTGTAATCCTCCACGAACATCAACACTAACGAGCAGCCTGTACGGGATATGGTACAATCTCCTGTCCAGGGAGGACGTCACATCCTTCGGTCACGCCTCCACAGCTACCGACTGTCCCTCGGTGCAACATCCCTGCTGCACGAGTTATGGGCATTTCGGCTCTTTTCAGTGAACCGGACAATTTTACTCGAATCGAAAGAAACGATCGGTTCATTTGGTTAGAGGAACATTCAGTGCATTTCCATGTTCAAAAAGAATGGTGGATTGCCATATTTTTCTAACAATAACCCATAAATTCACAATTTGGCCTATTTAAACAAAATCAAATCACAACTACCAACAGTCATAGTCCTTAAACTCTGAGCTCATATGTTGTCACATGTCAGATAGTCAAAGTTAGAAAAATGACAGGATCATTCCCTGACAAGCTACGATAAGCATTATAGGAACAGTTGCGTTCACTAACATTGTAGCATTCCATAAAATAATGTGACGAAGCAGGATACAAGACGGCTAGTCCATCCCTGTTTGTAATCCGTGAGGTTACATACCCCTCCTACTTTGTCCAATCGACGAGCGCTCCTTTCAACCACGTGATGCTGCTCGGAAAGTTTGGTGCACTTCAGAAATCACAGTGTGAAAGCAGAACTGAAACAAGTGATAAATGCAACATTGTTGCGACTTTAAGCTCCCCAATCGAACCGAGTCTGCTTGGTCAGGTGTAAACTTTCCTAGCATAGAAAACAGTGTACAGAACTGTAAAATTTAGGGTGTTTTCATTGAAAGCCCCTTGCTGACATGTTTCGCTGACTGTTTTAATACATAAGATGTCAGCTGGGAGATGACGCAGTTGCTATAAGCTTCTAAAAGTGTATCTAGATGATACGCAGTAGGATATCTTGGGAATTTTGATGGCTAATGAGACAAAATGGCTGCTTATGTGTAATTTCAGCTCTTTGTTCCTAAAAACCAAACCAAACCAAACCCAACTGAACAAAAATGAGTCGGTTCTTTGTACCGACTCATTCTTGATCAACACATCACTGTTACTGAACAGCTCAGGTGTTGCTGGCAGGGTTTGTTGCAACGTGCTCAGCTCTCCATTTACTAATCCCATCAACTGCAAGAGCCTCGCGCTCACCAAGAGATGCTAATGGTTTGTGACAGGACTCGTGTTCTGTAGGCGAATGAACGCTGCATTCAGTAACCCTTGGATAGTCCCGATTTCTGAATCAGACCCCCAACTGTGGTGAAGAGCTTTGGCACTTGCTCCTCTTGCTCTTGACACCGTGGAAATGTAGATCACTCAGTTTTGCAGGGAGGTATTCATTACTAAGTCTGGAAGGCCTATTTGTAAAGATGCCAGAACAGTTCTGTGCTGTCTTTTTTAATGGAAAATTTACTTATTTTTACATTCTTTCATCTGTCAAGATTACGTTGACAGATGAAAAGATGTACCCGGCTTCCTAGCAACATATCTTCCCGCTTAAACCCTGGCGTGTGAACACCGGGGCATGAGCAATACGCCTTGGCCAGTTTCAGTTCAATTGAGCCGTTCATACAACAGAAAATCCACCCAAACTGCCTTATACAGGTATGCTAGTCTGACAATGAGAAGTACTATTAGACTTTTTTAAGTTCAGTTTAGATTTTTAAACATCCAGTTTAAGCCAGACATGTAAACATACTGACTACCGGGCTCGGAACTACCGGAACGGGCTCAGTTAATTCACGTATTTGTTCTTTAGAGGAGTTTCAATTCAAAATTTTACAGCTAAATATTACTACTTCAGTTTGTGTTGAGTCTTTTGTTTTTGGTGGTGAACAGTTCACATGAATCGGGGTTTTGATTGTTTCTGTTACTGTAAATTGTGTGCAAAATTTTCTTAAATTGAAAGCACTGTACAAATTATATACTGTAGCTTAAAAACATGTTCCAGATATCTAGATCAAGCAAATATATGTTTGCCACAGATCCTACAGGATCCCCCGAAATTTAATTGTAAATTTGATCATATTGCAAAATAATCTATAAAACTTCATATCGAGGTGCGACATATTCTTTTTTAACATTTACCGTTATGCCTGAAACCATTAATGGGAAGTTTAGGATTAAATATTTGACAAAATTCACACTTTTGCTTAATTTTAAGACAAAGATGTTTATTTGCATTCACCTGAAGCAATTACAAGACAATTGAGAGGTTCACAGAGGAATGCAATACATAAATGATTTATCAGGCAGCCTGGACTGCCCTTTAAACCCTTCACCTGGAGTCACAACGGACTCATTGAAATAAAAGGAGCAAAAAACAAGTTATTAACAGTGGGTAAAAACCACAGAGGGAGGACAAAGGAGAGAAGGAAGCACAGAGAAAAAAGGAAGGAGAGAATCTGTACAGCACATGGAGGGAAGAAGAAGTCACAAGACAGGAGAAGATGGTTGATCTGTCACACCTGTGAGCTTACAAACCGGCAAACAGCAGCGGAGGGTCGAGCCCCGGTACAGCGCCGGGCACTCAGCACCGCAACACGCCACACCATGTCACCACCGCACTGCACCGCATCTTAACAGCTAACCAGCATTACTCAACTGCTACACAACTGCGCCTAGTGCACAAAAGATACACAAGAAAGAGGGTTAGAGTCATAGGAAAGCAACTTTAACCAGACAGAAAAAAAGTGATGCGACAAAGAGAATGCTTTCCTGCTGGATTGGAAAGTCACAAACTGAGTGGAGCTGAGATTTGTTATGTTTTACTGTACAGCAAGCCATTTTTTTTTCACGAGTGGTATAACATAGCACTAAAGGCTGTAAACATCCAAACATGACAACCCTTCCTGCATCAATTCTGCAAATTACCCTCATATCCATCTAGAAAACATACAGAACAAAAGATCTGATGAAAGAAGTCTATGTTCATCAAAAAATGATTTATTAACAAGTACAAATATGATTAAAATGAAAAAGAAAAGAAAAGAAAAAAAAAGTTCAATGGGAGAAAAACCTTTCATATCCCTTTCAATATAATGAACTTTACAAATGATGATTACATCAAAACTTACAGAATTTGTTCAGGAAAATTTAATCAAATGAAACATTTAAAACATTTTTAGACCAAGCTTCAATAACCTTTCAGTCTGCATTCAGGTGTTATTGTGGAGTCCACTCTCTCAATGTGGGACTCTTCTTGATGTCCTCAGTAAGGTTCAAATCACCGAGATCTGGAAGGAAAGACAGAGCTGAATTAACAACAGCAAAACAAAACAGTCGTCTCATCCCCTGCAGCTGACTTCTTTATCATTTAAGCAGTACTTGGCTGAACTCTTTGCTCCCTGACTCGACATTTTGAAAACCTGCCTTGACTGGACATCCATCTTTTGTATTCTACCTAACATTTCTATCTACTGTCACATTTGTTAACAAGTTTTTTGGCCCCTTCTCCTAAAACAGTAACCTTAATAAAACTATGACACTCGGGCATATTTGAAAAACAAACCTCGGGGGTCCGTTCCCTTTGTGAGAGGCGGAGGGAAACCACAGGCACGGGAACAGAGCTCAGTGCATCTGCCTGTGATTCCTGAGAACGTACCTCACCACACCACCTCAAACACCAACTGACAGCCCGAACCACCGCCATGACGACCTGCTCCATAGCAACCACCGTTGCCTTGGTGACCTGCTCCTTAGCAACTGCCATCGCTCTCAGCAACAGGCAGGTCACATGGGCGGGTCACACACTAACTGCTCTCACACTGCCACACCCCCATCTCCTCCTCCTCCTCCTCTCTTTGAAAACAGGACTCAGCAGCTTGGAGGAAAGAATTCCACATTTAGGTGAACGTTTCGAGTAAAGCAGCCAACGTCACAACCACCCCTCCCTCCCAGAACTACACATTTAATTATTACCCTCATTTAGAAACAGACATCTAGTTATAACAACCCAAATCTCCCCTTGCCTGTGTGTGCTTTAGATTGGCTGAACACAGGAGCAATTTAAAGCAAACACAGCGTCAGGACTGTGGACTACATCAGTACAAAAGTACATGATAACATCTCAAGACATACAGGATTCTGCAGACTTTGATGCTTGTGAACAATAACTGTAATGAAGCATCAAGACTGGAGAATGTCAAAGAGAGTTATGGCTTACAGCCACGAGACAAAGATCATATCGTGACCCCCCTTCTCCCTTAAATACCGTCATGTTGTGTCCAAGTTTGGGTTAAGACTCTTCTCCGTTGTCCTCTGGAGATTTAGGCCTACACTTGGAGTTGGACCTGGACCTGGACCTTGATTTGGATCCTCTATTGGAAGGTGGGGTTCGGCTCCTCGACTTGGACCTGGAGCGGGACCGAGACCTGGAAGGAGACTTCGACTTGCTGCGCCTGGGGGTTCTGGACTTTGACTTCGACTTGGAACGGGATCTTGAGTAGGAGCGGGACCTGGAGCGGCTGTAGTGGTGACGGCTCCTGGATCGGCTGCGGCTTCTGCTCCTGGAACGGCTGCGGCTGCGTCTCCCCCTTCGGCGGGGACTCGCTGACCGGCTGTAGAAAGGGACACAAAAAATTGCATTGGCTCCCTGTGTGTTTTAGGATTGATTTGAAGGTTCTTTTACTAGTTGTCTTATGTCTTAATGATCTTGGTCCTCCCTCGTCTATGGTACAGCCTACCAGAGGGCCTCAGGGCCACAGAGAACTTTCATCTTTTTAAGAGCAGGCTCAAGACCCACCATTTTTAGCTTAGCTTTTAATTGATATTTGTTTTATCTTCATGTATTCTAGTTAGCCTAGGTGTATTTTAGGTATTCATTTTTTAGTTTACTTGTTTTTATCCTTTTTTTATTTTTAGGAACCCTGGTGCTTCGTCTAAAGGAGCCCTCAGCACAGGGAGCAGTGGCTGCTAGCGGCTGCAGGGGTCTTGGTGTCCTGTGGCTGCAGGCGGCTCTCTGCTCCTGGTGCTGACGGCGCTTTCTCAAAGGGTTCATCTGTACTCAGCCTCATGTCCCATTATCTTGATGTTTGTATGTGCGGGTGTATTGGCGTGTGGGGGGAGGGCATCTAGAATTAGGGATGCACCAATCTGCTTTTTTTCACCTCCGATATAGATATCTACAGTTTGGTACTGGCCGATACCCATCCAATTCCAATACAGAAAAGCCGCGCTGAATTACATTTTGTTGTAACCTTAAGTTTTACCACTGCCCCTCAGAACGTTTACTTCACAGGTGTTGCAAATGGCCGTCAAGATTGTAAACTGAGGTATTGTGATAAAAATTCGAGATAACAGACCCCTTTTGCGCGCTCCATTTTGGGAAAAAAAAGGGCATAGCATAGCGTTAGACTGAATAGATCGGCCGTATGTATCGGGCCCATTGTCACGATACCCGATCCAGAATTTTCGTCAGTATCGGACAATGCCGATATCAGATATCGGATCAGTCGACCCTATCTGGGATAGTTTTTTTTTGTTTGTTTTAAACATGACTTGTAGGAAAAGCGCTTAATAAATCAAGTTTGATTGATTGAACACAAGAACCATAAGACAACAGCAAAACAAAGTACAAAATGAGTGTAAATTAAAAGGTTGTTTTTGCAGGAAAGTTTGCCGGAAGTTAATAGTTCACCACGTGCTCGTCCTCTTTTCAGTTTCTGAGCTGGGTCTTAACCCCCGGCTTTACCTTCTGCTTCTGCGACCGTACCCTCCGTATCTGCGTGGCGGAGCCCCTCTCCGGCCGTACATGGAGTCGGGGGGTCTTCCGTACCGGGCCATCTGCACCCTCAGCTCCCTCCCGTCCAGCAGCGCTCCGTCCATCGCGTCCATGGCGTCCTCTGCGTCGCGCTTATCGAGGAACCGCACGAAGGCAAACCCACGGCTCTCCTTGGTGTACCTGTCCCGGGGGATATATACGTCTCCAACGCGGCCGTATTTCTCAAAAACTCTCCTCAGAGTCTCCGGTGAGGTCCGGTATGTCAGGTTGTCCACTTTCAGGGAGGTCATCCCCTCCACGTCCGGCGGCGGCCTTCCGTAGCTCATTTTCTTCGCCTACACGCAACAAAGCAGGACAATTAACACGGAAATTCGGCCCCTACCTCAGTCACGTCGGTACCCTAAGGCGTTTGAACACCCAACTGGCCTTTAAAGCTGAAATTCGCGGACTTAACTGTCGTGGTTTCGTCTTGAGCAGCGACCCTGCCGCGCTGCTTTCACGTGAAATGGCGGCAATAAAGCGTCTCCTTCTCCCTAGCTTAGCGCCCGTGTTGGCCTGCTCTGATTGGATGATTCTTTTCCTTCGTGTTTAATGGCGGATGGCAACTAGTGGTTTGTTTGCATTACCGCCACCTACCGCCAATGGCTGGAGTATGGGCTTGAGCACCATTGATTACATTTACTCACATCACCGTGATTAAATAAAAGCTATTACTTGAGTTTTTGAGCAGGTTGGTTGGTCGAAAACACATCTGTAGATATGCAAAAGAGAGACAAAGATAGCAGCTTAAACTGACACATTTGTGGCACAGATATTTCCACTGTGGTGCGTCACTTAAACCTGACTGGCTCTGCATTCAAAAATCTACATATAAAAGTCTAATGAGTGCCATCCAACATTAAAGAGCCCATTGCTAAACTTACTTAACACCTTAACATTATTATGCCTGTTTATAGCTGAATAGACCGGTTAAAGCAAAGTTACAGTTACCTGTTATATTGTATATATTTAAGAGCAAATAAGTCACTTTTTATGTTATTTTGTATATGTAGAGGAGACTATAACAGTGCTGCCATTGCTCTCCCTAAAATTTAATACTTTTTGAAATTTTGTTGCCTTTATTTATCCATTTATATATTTTCATAATTGCTTTGGCAGTGTTGTTGTTGCTGGTAAATTTACAATTCTTAATGTGAAACTTGGCAATAAGCATATTTAGACACAGCCTAATTAGGAAGACCATATTTATCACTTTAATCATCACAAGCAAAAATAATGCAGTGAAGAGTAAAATCTGAGAGAATGTACCTTTCAATCAAACTATAAAAATCTAACATTTGTTTGTACTTTTTGAAATTGTTTTGCCTTTATTTATTTATATTTTACCACTTGCTTTGGCAGTGTAAACGTGTACTTTATGATGTATTAGATAAATACGGTGCCTTTTCTTATGTTTATTTATAAGCACAGCAAAAATAGCTTTTTTTTTTGTTGGTAAATTTACATTACTGATTCACTCCTGATTAGGACGATCGTGTTAATCACTTTAATCATTTCAAACAAAAATAATGCATTAAAGAGTAAAATCTGAGAGAATGTACCTGCCAATCAAATTATAAAAAATACTGCCTTTGTTTGTAAACTCACAAGGCTAAGCGGCTTATGTGTGTTTTTCCTTCCTCATAGGTGACCGTTACATCGCCCCCTGCTGTCAGGGAGGCGCTAGTATCGTTAACGTTTGACCACTATTCCCCCTTTGTTCTGTCTAGTCATTTTAGGGACTATATTACTCGTTTTTTGTCGTAAATAAATGGTTATTTCTGTATTTTTTAAGTCTTGTAGTAAATTCAGATTCAGTATAGTGGGATAACAGCCACAGTTTGATGAATGTGACCCTACTTGTTGCGATAACACCGTCAGTACCATCTTAATGAGGGGCTTTGTTGTGCCAAGAGATAAATAGTGTGGGGTTTTGCTCTTGTATTGACGGTTAAAGTTATTCCTACTCCACAGGACCGTCCTCTGCACTGCAGTCAGTCGCACATTTGGCGTAGGAAGGTCACGTTACAGAGCGGGTCGACACTACAGTCTTGCTGGAGAGACGAGGACTGCGCAAAAACCACGGCCCGGATTTGAGCCTATCTGACGTCATGTGGAGCCACAGATTCCTGTGACAGGATCCAGCAACGAAAAGCACCGGCTGTTTATGATCGACATCAAGTTGGACCGAGGGATGTCGTCGAGCACCTCAGCGGAGTAACCCCCAATTTCCACCGCATCCGGAACGGCTACGAAAAAAAGGCCGAATCCGCCGATCGTAGCTGATCGTAACCGTTCGAGTTAATGTGTCAATTTCCACCGGCTTCTTTCCGTTCCGCTGCGGATGGCCGGACTCCGCAGCTGATCGCAAGAGTTCTATTTTTTTCCGTAAGGTGGGGGCCAGACACGGTGCAAATCTCCACTTTGCGCGAATGTGCGACTGCGGCGCATCATACGAGCGCGTTTACCCGTTATTAAAGGGACTCCAACGGCTGTTTTTCACCTCAGAACGAGCCGTAACGTTCAACCGGGAGGGATAAGCGGCAAGAGACCAACTCTAATCCCCGGGACGGTCGGTTCACATTCACGGACCCGACAGAAAATGGTCAGGACAGCACGAACTGGATTAAATGACCGGGAATAAAGGACACGCCGCAAACAAAAGCGACCCATTTACAGTGTTATGATCGTCAAGCCGTGTGGTCTTTATTTGACTGGAAATGGGAGCTTTAACGAGCAGACAAAACATAGGCGTGGAAGAAGTGGACATTCCGTCCAATTCGGTGTACCGTTATCCACCGAAATCTGGTAAGTCACAAAACAACAGGTCAGACCGGGTAAGGGTACCAGTAACAGAGGGTAAACCCCCCTGCAGAGGATTTACCTTTTGATTTATCAGGGTGGCCATGACATCACTACCACAAACATGACCATCTTACCTTGTAGCTGACAGGCCTACAGGGCATCTGAGCCTCAACCTGGAGCTGCTACCTGTGGAGAGAGGGAAGGGCCAACACCTCACATCTCAATTTTACCTTTATTTTTACCATAACCGTGCCTCACATCATATCTTACAGCCTTATTCATTTCTTGGCACCATACCAATGTATTGTCCTTGAAGCAAAAGCAACAGCAGATCAGGGATTTACTTATTTCTTAATCTGAATTATCCATTGAAGTTAACTCTGTGTCTTTGGCCATAGGCAGAGATGTTTCGTTGGTGCATTTAAGAGCGTCTAGCAGGGTGTTGGTTGGACTTGTATCAGTCTGTAAAATAAATAAGTCATGATCGCTCTCAGGGAGACACAACAAAAACAGCACTGTAAGCAGTAGGGAAGTCTCATTTCTCAGGTGGGCCACTTCAATCGGATTGTAAAACGAGACAGCATCAGCAGAAAAATAAATCACACTTTAACCAGCACTTTTTATGTCTGGATAATGACATTCACATTCTCCAAGGGTTATGGCGACTCATGTAACAGTCAAGGAGGCAAAAAATAAACATAGTGAAATAAAACAGACTCTGTTAAGTTTTAAAGCTCCTGTGAGCGCTTGTTTGACATTTATGAAATAGAGGAAAATTCATATAGGTGTCTTTTTATAATATCCAAAGGCAAGCACGGCTTTGTGGAACAGGATTGGCAGTTTGTATATCATTTCTAATGTCTGAGACCGGTGTGAGCCGGTGGGTGTCAGCTGAGCAGCTTAAGGCCACCTCCATAGAAAACGGAAAAATATAGTTTCGTTTAGGGGTGTCTGGTTTAGATGGCAACTGCGTTTCCAGGAGATGAAAACGTAACAAAGTGAAAACCCCCTCCAGAGTGGAAATGTTGTAAACGCTCTGCTAGTCCCACTTTCGTCTAAAGTACAAAAACGCTGAAAACAGTCAAACCTGTGACATCCTGGCTCAAGTCGGCTCACGTTTATGACATCATAGCCGTGCGCAGCTTCCTTGAAAATAACAACAACAACCATGCTAGACATTCGAGTCGCGCTGTCGTTATTATTGAACGGGCAGGAGCTCAATTTCGACCTGGAGCCGTCTGAATTATTTGCATCAAATAATTAATGTGCCTATTGGTCGGCGGAGGGGAACAAGGGGACGGTCTATATGGGAGCGCGGTCACACTGACACGCGCCACCTAGCGACCTGGCATGCACATTACAGCGTTTTCAACTACATTGCGTTTTTGTGTAAACGCAGCATAAAAACTGAAAACGAAACGGCACTTTTCCGTTTTCTATAGAGACCGTTTCTGTCTAAAAGTGTCCCTAAGAAACAGCTGTGTTTACAATTTCAACACAGCATATTCAAAAATTTAGCAGAATGAGATTTCTTCATGTAAAGGATAAGCTCATCAAGGACTGCTTTGTCCACAAGGGGCGCCAAAGTTGGCACAAACCAAAATTTCCTCACAGGAGCTTTAAACAAGAAGATAAAAACAGAAGAGAAGATTTTAAATGTTTATTTTTTTTAGATTTTGGACAAAAAAGTCAAAGTTTTAGTCATTAGACATAAAATTTTCTTACAATATCATGAAATCATATCAAATCAATGAATTGAAACCTTTGTTAACCAAGACCACAAGAGCAAATGAAGGATGAAGACATATAATCTATGTTACAGTCATTAGAAAGCACATCGTTATGGCATGAGGTGGGAATTTATGAGGAATATTAAATGCTAAATCCAATAAAGCGCATTGTGCGATGTGCAATAACATCATAGATGAGATATTGTGCAGTTTTAAAGCCGAGCTCTTCTAGATACTTTATTAATCCCTTGCAGGAAATTGCGCCATGACAGCGGCTACAATCACAGTCAGGACACAGCGTCAAATAACAGACACAGAGACGTATTCAGAGACTCAACCAGAAATATAAAACAAAGACATAGAAATGTATTAATAGATAAAACAGATTGAAAAAAGAAACATTGAATTTTAAAAAGAAAGATATTTTTGATATAAAATCTACCATAATTAAAATTGATGTGAAGATTCATACTGGTGTTGCTTCAGCATCTGTGTCAGAAATCTTCTTCCCTCTCTAACCGACTCATAACTTTCCTCTCGGCCTCAGACTGACCCGTGTGTTCAGTCCGTCATGGTTCTTATGTGATGTTTTTGATTGAAGTGTAGAGTTCAGCTCCCATTCAGGGCTCAGCTTTAATCCAGTTTACCGTAAGAAAAAACAACAGCTTTTCAGTCCTATCAGACACTTGGCCAGTTTGAATCTACAGCAAAATAGGACATGAGACGAAAAGGAATAACTTGTATTTATAGAGACATTTTGCACTCTAGGAAGGACAAAAAAAGTCTAACTGTGGCTGCCTTTAATGGCCCTCTCATGTCAGTGTAGCTGAATTAGTAACAGGCTGTTTAAAGTTGGGAAGTAAGAGCGCTGGTTTTAGCCTGTGAGAGTCATGGTGGTGGGAGGGGAGAGGAGGTGGCTACGATGGCTGCTGGTGAAACCTATCCCTCAGCTCTAGTTCCTGTTTCTGGTGACACAGCTTTGGCTCAGTTCTTCTCTCCTACCTGCTGTAAATAATAAGAAGCGAGGGGGGGTCCTGTTATGTTTAGTTTTTACCGTCTTTGGCGTCAGATTTTGTTGAACTGTCAGTTAAAGGTGAGCATCCACCCTCCTCCTCCTCCTCCTCCTCTTCAACACTTACAAAGACGCCTTTTTCAGATCAGTGATGCCAGACTGTACGTCCTCTGAGCTTATATTTAAAGACTCCAAACCGCCATTACAGTCTTAGGATAACACCTCACCCTGTGATTAAAAAGCTAAAAGTCTGTCTTGTGTAGTTGTCTGTATCAGGAGCTCTCAGTAAACAGGAGGAGCAGCTGCAGCTCGATAAAAACGTACTTTTCAAGGCTTTTAATGTCGCCTGAAAATATAAAAATCAAAACATCTTCACAGTCTGGTTGCACCTGTCTGAAAGCATCTGGAGACAAAGCTTCATGGTTCAGATATTCAGTGAGGTTATGTCGATCTTTTGCAGTGTGGTATATTTTGAAATCATAATCGAGTCTCTCTTGTGCGCAGGGAGTTACTTCGCCAGCCATTTCATCATGGGAGGAGAGAAGTTTGACTCCACTCATCCGGAGGGTTACCTGTTTGGGGAAAACACAGACCTTAACTTCCTGGGGACCAGACCTGTGGCGGTGGGTATTCTCTCACACACTCGCAGCTGTAAAAGCATAAAAGCCGAGGATGAAAGAAGAGCTTGACTGGTTTCGTTTCTTTGGCTGCATGATCCGACTTACAGATGAAAATGAGACCCATTCAAAACACAGTAAAACCTTCTCCCCTTGTATACATAACAGGAGGGAGGCTCTCAAAAGGCACCCTGAGATTCTACGATGGCGGTTTTTGCCTTTTTCTTGATGCTACATGCAACAGCATTAGCAAAAGAGTAGAAGTGAGCAGGGGGACTTTGGCACAGCTCCATCGTCGATTATCAGCTCCCCATTTGTGCACTGAAGTGGATCAAAACTTGCCCGTGGTTAATTTTCCTGCGTATTATTTGATGGGTTCATAAATCAGCTTCTTGACAGAGTTTAACCAGAAAAAAAAGTGATTATTTTTGACGTTTTTTTCATGCATTTCATTCTGAAAATGATGGAAACGGAGATTAAGATGAAAAGACTCAGACTTGAAGCTTTTACCGTTGAGACGTTTTCTGCAGAGCGTTTGAAGGGAAACTTCTCGACAAGTTTTATCACTTTTTTTGGTCTCGTAATTTTGCTGGAGATGTTATAAAAACAGGTCAAAGTAAAGAGAGGCTTTCAGGTGTGGTGCTAAAGGCTAAACTCGAAGCCTAAACGGTTGATAAGTATCTTTGAACACTTTTTTTTCTCTTTTAACTGGCAGCTTTTCTCCACAAGATTTCATCAGGAGTCCAAAAGAGTGAGAAATCTCCATCTCAGAGCTGAATGTGACTTTTCAAAAAGCTTTTATCACTTGACAGACAGATGTTTCATTTGCTGTGGCACAACACAGAGAAAAGCAACAAATCCTCACAGCGAAAAGCAGATTTTTTCTTGATAGATTGTTAAAAAAAAGTGTCTCCTCTGACTAATACTGTCTCAGACATCCTTTAGTTCTGGCGTCCAAAGGTGAAGCTGTCTCCTCTCCGTTAAACGGGAGCTGATAGGTTTTAGCAGCCGTGTCTTCAGCGGTACCAATTAACCGTCTCTCGGGCTGTGACCACTTGAAATTCATTTTAATGTCAGACTAATTCAAAGTGAAGCGACAGTCTGTTGGCTCTCAGCACGGAGCAGCTGATAGCTGATGCTCCTCCTGAGGCGTCGTTCAGCCTCCTAATGAACCTGAAGGTCAATCTAATGAGAGCTGCGGATAAAAAGGAGCTCAGGTCCACGGAGCGAGGAACAAATTGAAAAAGACCTGAAAGTCTTCGACTAAGTGAAGCTGATATGTAAAGTCCGAGAGCTGTTTCTGTCTAGACCGCGGCTAAAATTAGGAGTGCGTTTTTTTCCTCCTGATTATGTGGGAGATTATAATCCTCCTGTGGGCAGAGAATTCAGCCAGTGAAGCCATGTTTTTTCTTTTTTTTTTTATTCTCGTATGTGCGACTGAAGCTTTACCAGCATTATATAATGTTTGTGGTTTCTGAGCAGATGGTGCTTGGAATCATAAAACCAACCGCAGTTGTTGTGTTCTCGGTCTCCTGCTACCATTCGACAAATATGATAATGGACCGGGCTATTTTTAGAGCTCCTCTGAAACTCCAGCGTGGATATCCAAAACGGGTTTTTAGCTCGGCTGCTTGTGGCAATATTTCATCTATTTATTCAGAAATAACCGGGTGGATAACGATGAATGTTTTTGGATTATCAAAAGAGTCTTCAAACTCTCAAGATCAGTCTGACATGTTGTAGTTTTTAAATGTAACAGAGGTGGGGGAAAGTCCCCATGTTGCAAGTCCAAGTTGAGTCTCAAGTCCTTTGCTCTCAAGTCTCAAGTCAAGTCCAAGTCCTGAACTTTTTGTTTCGAGTCCCAACCAAGTCTTTACCGTTTCTTTCAAGTCAAAAACAAGTCATATCAAAGCCATAAACCATTTGTTATATGTAAAGATTTACATCAATCATGAGCATTTTTCACTATTTGCATTTATTATTAAACAAGGGTTCTTGTTTGTGTAAAGTTACATAGTGCAGCTTTAACCAAACTATTTTACATGTCATACAAAAAATAATCAGATCAACTTCAATAATTGGAAACTTAGACAAAAATAAGGAAGACTCAAATACAATTAAACATTAAACTGATACTCTAATTCACTGTTCCACGTGGAAACAGGCGGGCAATACTAGCGAGCGATTTATGTTCAGTCCTCCCGGTGTTGTTGTTATGAGGGAGGCTAGAGTTTGAGACAGAATTGCCAAGTTTCGTGAGAGAAATAAGGAAACAGACCTCCAGAAACAAGCAATTTTTTGTGGGAAATAAGCAGACCTGGCAACACAACAGGGTGTTACCAACGGCCGTAATTCCTGACTATAGTTGATGCGACACTTTTTAAATGGTTTGGGCTTGCTGTAAGGTATTAAGTGACTTGAAAAGACTTGACTTGACTTTTCAAGTCACTGGGCTCAAGTCAAGTCAAGTCTCAAGTCTTTAGCAATCAAGTCCCAAGCAAGTCCAAGTCATTTCTTGATTTCATCAAGCAAGTCAAAAACGGGACTCAAGTCCAAGTCGAGTCTCGAGTCGTCAAGCCCCCACCTCTGAAATGTTAAGTTTGGACTCCTAACTTTCATGTTATTCACAGAGCTTAATTCTATATCTGCCGCAGACATGATGGAAAATGTCGCCGTGTGGATCGGATGACTGAGACCTACAGTGCTGCCTGTATGTTTGCGAATGAATGGCTCCTTTCTGGTGTGCGTGTTTGTTTGTGTAGTTTACAGGCGTGACTCCCGCTGAGCCCAGATGTGTAATAGCGCTGGAAATGGAGCCTCTCGAACACCCTTATACACACACACACACAGTCCAACAGATGAGGGGTTGTAGTGTGGGGGGTATCTGACCACATCCTGCGTGTTTCTCCTCCAGTGATCCTCAAACCGCCTCCACTCTCCCTTTACACCCAGTCAGCAGCTTCTGGCTTCAAACACACACAGCCGAAGAGTGCTGATGAAGGGACCGCAGGCTGGGTCAGGTTAAAGGTTTCGTGTTCGTTTGTTTGGATTTGAATGACTTCATGCTAACGATTAAAAATCACTTAACGGAGGTGTGGACGTCTTTTATCTGTTATCTCTTTTTTATGACGTTAACTTTCCTCGTCCATAAAAACACAGACGCTCTTTGACCCTCGACTCTCTCACACTCCTGTGGTCCCTGTGCGCAGAAAACACTGTCTGAAATGTCAGTCTCGTCCCTGGAAAGTCACAATCTGAGCGTTTTTGTTTTTTTGCTTTGGCTCAGCACTTGTCAGCGCGCATCCTGTGGTGCTGACCAGCTGAAACTCATGTGTCTAAAGGTTAAACCAGGAGCAGCGGCGGCCACTGTATAACCCTGACTTCCCTGTGGTGAAGAGAGGAATGCCAGGGTGGTTTAGGAGAGATGGACGCTTCTTTCCTCTCGTCCAACAACATGTGTTTTATTTTCATGCATATATAATTTGGATTTCTCTCTCTCTTTCTCTCTCTCTGTGTTTTCAGTTCCCGTACGCAGCCCCTCCACCTCAGGAACCAGTAAAGACGCTACGAAGCCTTATAAACATCCGCAAGGACACACTGCGGCTTGTACGGTACGCACTGTTACGCGCTGAACCACATGCGCAACCTTTTATTACACAAGTGTTATCTCGGAGATATTTTTAGCAAACAAGTCACAACAGCTTATCTAAAGCACAGTGTCTGTCCACGGTCATTTAAAATTCAGTAATCCTCAAAAAAAGAACAAAACAAAGGGATCAGAGGAGAAAACAGTCGACAGTAAAGTAAAAGCTGAAAACCTTTACCACAGAAGAGGAGAACTGCAGCAGAATCAGGCCATCTTAATACTACAGTACATGTAATTTTATCAGCAGGTAAAGCGAAGAAGCTTAAAAAGTCTCTAACACGAACAAAAGAAGATTTCACAGACCTGTTTCACACTTAGACGATTAAATCACAATAAAACCGACAGAAATGAGGTTTTAGTTTTGTTCATTATTCTGCTTCTTTGTTAGTTAAATCAGGACTTTGTTATAATTAAAGGTGCTGTAGGCATAGTGAAGTATAACTCGATTCCTTGTTTTCACTCATGCAGCCTCCTCATGACCTCAACCCGTGATTATGTAGTTGATGTCACAGACACGTTTCTGAACCTCCGCCTCATCCTCGCTCTCTGCAGGTGCAGCGAGGACCTGAAGCTGCCTGGAGACGATGCGGCGGGGAAAAACAGAGCCTGCTATAACATCGAGTTCACCTTCGACGCTGACACACAGGTGGCCATAACCATCTACTACCAGGCCATCGAAGAGTTTCACAACGGAGTGCCAGTGTGAGTTAAAGTCAAGATTTTCCAGCAGCGTCTTTAAAACTATAGACGAGTTTCTTGTGTACAAACAATAATAATAATAAAAAAATCGCTTTGTCTTCCATTGCATCAAAATAAAAAAACACTTGTGAATTTTACTCAATTTACCAGGTTGTGACGTTGTTTTAGATGTCTCTAATATCAGGAGCAGGGTCCTAATGTTTGCCGATTGTTTGTTTTGCCGATTCGTGTCGTTTTCTTTCTCCGTTGACTCCGCTAGTTAACAAATAAGAAATGTCCCGCTGTCTGCCCCAAAGCTGCGCGCGCATACCTGCGATGACGTTGCACAGAAACCCGTCTATAGAAATCCCAAATGAGCAGATGAAGACTCTCCTCCATTTCACCTTAAAAAAACAGACGATATATTTAACTTCAGTTATGTCTCATTTAAAGGAAGTGTTGTGATTTTGGCGCCCCCTGTGGTCAAACCATCCACTGCATGTGTACACCCTGACACCTACCCCCTATCAGGAGTTGTAGACATTATCAATAACTATACAGGAACGATCAATCCTGTCACTGAAGGCCTGGTTCACAAAGAGGCATCACTCAGGACGTTTACATGACAGTCAAGAAACTCGAATTATCGCCTTACTCCGATTAAGACTGGACAACTGAAGTGCACGTAAACACTTTAGCCCGACTATAATCAGAGTCGTAGAATTCTGGTTAAGACACCGAGGTAATACAATTGGAATTCAATTTTCTCTACCATGTACCCAGCGTAGTTGTAGTATGATAGGACTATGTATTTATGCGTGCGCCACACCCCCGTAATCCTGGAACAAAAACACCTGAGAAGAGGAGTAGCGTGCGTCTCATCTGCAAAAAAGTAGCGGGTACATCATGTACGACAAAAACAACGCTGTACTGATGCTCCATCTTCTTGCTCGAAAATACCCAGCAGCAGTTGGAGACACTTCTGATGTCTGGCACAGACCTGCTGTTGTTGTTGACGGTTGTATGGGGTCAGAAACAGCGCTGCTGAAAAGACCCATATCGCCCCCTAGTTTTGGGGAGAAGGACACGTTCACATTGATAATAATTAAATTTTCTCAGCTGCATGTATACGCGGTCCCATTAAGCTGTGCATGTAAACCCACTGAGCGATAATTTCAGTCGCATTCATGACTGGGAAAACAAAACAAAAAAACTCCTTACTGGAGCTTTAATTGGAGGAACACGTATGGATTAATTTAAGTGTGCAGTCATCACGTAGCTGCGCTCTGCTGCCGAAGCGCTGAAGAGCCGGCTGCAGTATTTCTTGTTGCTGATGAGCGGACAAACTGGAGCTCTCGATTTCACTGATTGACAGTTTTTGTGTTTGCTGCAGTTACCTGCCTCAGGACAGCTCCCTGCAGTCTGAGACGGTGCACTTCAAGAGAGGAGTGTGCCAGCAGTTCTGTCTGCCATCACACACTGTTAACCTCAGCGAGTGGGCGGATGAGGAGGTAGGCCGCTTGCGTTCATGTGTGTGTGTGTGTTATCTTAACACTAAAACTGAGCCTGTTTCACGTCCTTGCTTCCTCTGCAGCTGCTGTTTGACATGGACAAAGAGGTTTTCCCCATGGTGGTGCAGGCGACCGTAGACGAGGGGGAAGGTGAGCTATTGTGTGTTTAACAAACAGGAAAAGCTGCAGAATCACAATTAAAGACACGTCCACTGTCTGTTTTTTTTCTTCTTCTCGCAGAACATTTGGGTCACTCTCACATACTGCTGGCAACGTTTGAGAAGGTAAGAGAGGCGGGTTTTATACCAGCCTGAGAAAAACTTGTGAAGATGGAGTAAAAGCTCCAATAATGCTTGAATGCAGAGTTAAATACGCCGCATTTTTGGCTACAACTTCACTCATCATTCTTAATTTACGTTTGTTTATATTTTGGATGATAACCACCACTCTGATGCGCCAAATATGTACTGAACAGAGACATTTTATTTAACTTAAGAAGAAAAGTTATCAAGCAGGCGCATCCATCTTCTGTTGACCTGAAGGAGTCATTTATTTCTACACGCCCTTTATAAACCTGATAATTCTGTACCTTCTTATAAATATCTGGGGTTTATGATGATGACTCTCTGTCTTCTAAGCTTCATATTGAGCAGCTTGTAAAGAAGCGTAGGTTGCAGCTGGGCTTTTACTTCAGAAATAAGTCTTGTTTTTCTCTTGCTGCAGAAAAGTGTCTTGTTGCTGCTACTTTCATGATGTTTCATACGTGCGTGCACCTGCTCAAAGCTTTAAATTGTTTATGTCTGTAACTTTGTAAATGTACAGCTGCCTGTCTTGGTCAGGACACTCTTGCAAATAAGAATTTTAATCTCAATGAGGCTTGTGTAAAACATGAAGCATAACTTCAAAAATACTGAATCCTCTGCTGTGATTTTTCCTCTTTTTTTACCTGATAAATCTCCTCAGATAAACTACAAACCAGACCATAATATTTAACTCTCTACAACAGCTCTCTGTTGCTCCGCCGTCTGTCTCGCTCTCTTGTTTGAGGCCTCTGTTTCCTTCTTCCTCGTCTTGAAACTATTCCTCCTCCTCACCAGCGAGGCGCTTGATCCCTCATTACTTAATCAAAAACAGCAGCAGAGGCCAACCTGCTTTCTCTCTCTCTCTCTTTCTTTCTTTCTTTTTCTTTCTGAACATGAATATTTAAAAGAACTCAGGTGTCGGTCTGTGTAAATGAATGAAAACTGTTGCTTGCCTCCTCAGCACATGGACGGGAGTTACTGCGTGAAGCCTCTGAAGCAGAAACAAGTGGTGAGTTCTGACGCCTTTCTTCCCTCCTCTCTTTTTGTCTAACTTTGTTTTCAGCTTTTGAAAAGATAAATCAAAGCGGTGTTTCCCCGTCGCACATCACACCTGGCCCATGAGACCCGCCGCCTTTTAATCTCCTCTATGTTCCCGTTCCCAGGTGGATGGAGTGAGTTATCTTCTGCAGGAGATCTATGGGATAGAGAACAAATACAACAGCCAAGAATCAAAGGTAAACATCAGAATCCGTGAGTTTTTTTTTTTCCTGTTTGAATGCATCAGAAGTGACGTGGCGGCGTGGAGAAATAAATTAGAGTATCTGTCTGTCTGCGGCGCTCGGCGGAGGACTTGAAAGTTCTCTTTCTTCCTAACTCTGACGTGATTTTATCTGCAGGTTGCTGACGATGAGATCAGTGACAACAGCGCCGAGTGTGTGGTGTGTTTATCAGATGTACGAGACACGCTCATCCTGCCGTGCAGACACCTGTGTCTCTGCAACGCCTGTGCTGACACGCTGCGCTACCAGGCGAACTGCTGCCCCATCTGCAGACTGCGTGAGTCCTCAACAAACCTGATGAACGTTTGACCCAAACGTGTCAAATGTTGAGACTTGAAGGTTTCATTTCTTTATGAAAAATATTTGCCAGCGACATGTTTTTGAACAAGTTGGGACAGGGAGAACAAAACCTTGAAAAAGTCGTAATGCTGGACAATTAGGTCGATCTGCAACAGGTTGGTAACATGACTGCGTTTAAAAGGGGCAATTCAGAGAGACTGAATCTGTGAGGGTCCTTACACACCGGGGCCGACACGAATATAGAACACGAAATTACGAAATATTTGGAGGAGAATTTTGACTCGCCTGACTATACACATAAAAAGCCTGATGCGATTTTGCGACTTTCCAGGGGGAAAAAAGAGTTTTCCCGGGGAAAGTCCCGCCTCCTTCGCCTCTGATTGACTAGAAAAGCTGGAAGCATCATCAGACGCTCAAGCCAAACGGTCAGCACTTATAGCCAATCAGAGGCCATAAGATAAGCACATGAAACTATGGTAACAACTAGGCCTGAACGATATATCGTTTGACTATCGTCATCGCGATGTACGTGTGTGCGATAGTCACATCGCAGAGCCTGCGATATTGGAGGTGAATGAACTCATTTAATTTCAAGGGTAACCGACTGAGATACACTCCATGTGACTCTGCATGTGCTGTGCAGCGATCCACCAATCGCCTTCGTCCTTAACTCAGTTGCCAATCAGACTCAGTTCTCAGTTGCCAATCAGACTACCCTGCCAGCTGTCAATCAAATTCAGGGAGGAGAAAACCCACCCCTGCACATGTTCTGCACATGGAGGGAGACGTGTGTCCGCTGAGAATAACTTTCGGAACTTTACTCATGACTATTAAGCCCAACAAATAAGAACTGTATGGGTTTTAAATTGTACATTTCCGTGGACCACTCTACTATAAGCAGTGCGCGTTTTGCGAGGTGCATGCAATTCTCGGAGGACATGCGTTTCTCGGTACAGCACCGCTAACAACAACAACAACGATCGCAAAATGAACAACGAACAAGCGAAAACCACCGAAAATGAAGATTTGTTGCCAAAAAGAAAAGGAAAGTCAGTTATCTGGAATTATTTCGGTTAAAAGAAGGATGATGTCGACCAAAACACGTCTTCTGTGTTCATCTGTTGCCACAATAACGTCCCAGAACAATAAAAGCTAAAAATATCTCTGAGACAGACAGAAGCCGTTCTACTAACATTCACAAAAAGAGGTAAGATCAGTGCAGGTTAACTGTCCTCAAGATTTCAGCAGTGCAGCATAACATTAAGTGCTATTCAGGTCATCTGGTGAAAATACTGTATTTTTAATATCGCAATATATATCGCAGGGTTGAAAAAATCGCAATATTATTTTTTACCAATATCGTGCAGTCTTAGTAACAACCCTTAGCTTACGTTAGCGCAGATGAAAGTTAAAACAAAGACGTTTAGCAAACTGTTACAGCTCACAAACCATCGTCATATCAGAAATCTGACCCTATGACTCTCCACAAGTTGTCCTTCAGGTCGTTATCTTTGTAATATTTGTGTTTTTTATCAAAAAACACTCTGTTCTCCGACACGTAAACAATCAGCCGGTCGGCCATGTTGGATATACCGGTGAATCTGACGTCGCAACAACACGGAATCTGATCGGTCAGAAGTGGACACACAGTATGAGAAACTTTAGAAAAATCCACTGTGATCTGAAAAAATAAAAGCTGCAATATCGCAGGACGGGAAAACGAAATAATCGCACGACAAAAACGGTCCTGGTGTGTAAGGACCTTAAAGTGTAAAAACAGGAAGAAGTTCATAATCCAGTGAGAGACTGCGTGAGCGAATAGTTCAACAACTTTATAATAACGTCTTTCAGCATTAAGTCGCAAAAAACTTCGGGAGTTTCATCAGAACAGAAGTGACAAGGCTGGAAACCAGTTCATGACCACTCTGATCTTTAGGAGGCCGTAAAAACAGGCAGGACTCTGTAGTGGAAATCATTGCATGGGCTCATAATCGCCTCCACCGACTGTGAAAACTGCTTGTCAGGGCATCCACAAACACAGATTTAAGCTGTACTGCTCATGTTTTAAAAGTACCACTAATGCTCACCTGTACGCACAGGTTTTGGAGCAACACGGTAAGCAAGATGATGCCAAACCAAATTCTGCAGCAGCATGGCTCTGCAGTCTAATTAATTTGCAAACCATCAAATTATGCTTCTATCGACATTTCAAGTAACATCTGAGTCTTTTTAGGAGCAGAGATTGTGTTTGATATCTGCTGAGAGGGTTTTAGAGTTTGCTTTTGTTACTCCTGAGCTGATTAGATCATGTCATCAACTTTTCTGATTGACAAATACATGTTTCTGGTGACACAATAAATTCGTCTTCAGATCTAAATGACACACTCTGTTCACTTCTCTTTCGTCACTTTAGCATTTAGAGCTCTGCTGCAGATCCGAGCCATGAGGAAGAAGCTCAGTCCTCTGACACCCACCAGCTTTAACCCCGTCATCACGTCACAGACCTCTGACTCAGAGGAGCACTCAGTGAGTCACAAACACAAGACAAATGTCACGTGACGATGTTCGTCGCAGGTCCGCTCATAGCCTCGGTGTCCTCTCCTGGTCCGCAGGCGTCAGAGCACATCCCTCCAGGTTACGAGGCCGTCTCTCTCCTGGAGGCGCTGAACGGGCCCCTCAACACCTCCTCGGTGGTTCCTCCTCCTCTGCACTCCGGCCCCAGCCACGTCTCAGGAGCTCTGCCGCCCTACAGCAGTGAGCCTCACCCGGCGCCCGCCCGCTCCCTCTCCCCTCTCGACCACTCCAACTCCAGTCAGGGACTCAAACTCAAGAAGAGTGGATCAAAGTGAGTCTGGGCGGGTTAAACTAACAGTTGTGTTTGTTTTTTAATTTAAGTATCTCATCAAAGGAAAGTATTAAGAAATCTGATGCTAATCGTCACATAAATTGAAACTTTGTCCACAGGAGGGCGCCAGAGTCGACACAAACAGAAAGTTCCTCACAGGAGCTTTAAGTTATTTCTGTTTTTCAATGTGTTTCAATGGTAGAAACAAACCAAACTCACTCCTCTTGATTAATTTTTTGTTTAAATCTATTTTAGGTCGCTTTCCCAGAATTCCTCTGTGCTTCCTGAGGAGGAGGACGAGAAGTCTTGCAGCGAATCAGAGGCCTGTCGACACAAACTGGCCGTGGACCAGCAAGAGGCGAGTCTGAAGATCAATCTAGATGACGCGTGTGTGTGTGTGTGTGTGTGTGTGTGTGTGTGTGTGTTTGTGTTGTGAGCTCCTCTCTCATTGTTTTTATTGTCTGAACAGAACGGAGTGACTCCAGACAGTGAGAACCTGACTCTCTCCTCATCCGGAGCCATAGATCATTCCTCCTGCACCGGGACCCCGCTCTCTTCCACCATCACCTCCCCTGAAGGTACACAAACAAACACACAAACAAACACACACATGCATGCTTTACATATCAGGACCCTATTCTTGCCACAAACCTGATCTTTCTCCTCTGGGATATTTTAGTTGAGAGTTTTACAAAAATCTGCACAGAGGAGATCCAGCCCTCGCCCCTTTCACTCTCTATTTAATCTTATCCATTCCTGTCTATCCTGTCTGTTTGACAACCTGAACTTTCAAAAGAGACGCTGTTACAGGAACTCAGCAGACGTCTTACTGCCAAATGGATTTAAAATGTTCAAATCTCATAAAGTCAGAGTAAATCAAATCAGACTTGACTGTTGTTTTACAGAGCAGGGCTGCACACGGCAGAATGAGAAAGTGTTTTCTAGAGGATCTAATAACTTATAAAAATAATGACTAACTAATAAATCTAATAAATAAAGGCCACCCTGAGAAGGAAACCCATTTCGGCCGCTTGTATCCGTGATCTTGCTCTTTCGGTCATTACCCAAAGTTCATGATCAGAGGTGAGAGTCGGCACGAAGATCGACCGGTAAATCGAGAGTTTCGGCCCCAATCTGCCTGTTGATCTCCCACTCCATCCTACCCTCACTCATGAACAAGATGTTGAGATACTTGAACTCCTCATCTTGAGGCAGGACCGCCCCTCCGACCCAGAGAAGGCAATCTACCTTTTTCCGACTGAGGACCACGGCCTCCGACTTGGAGGTGCTGATTCGCATCCCAGCCGCTTCACACTCGGCCGCAAACCGCCTCAGCAAGAGCTGGAGGTCACTGCTCGACGATACTAGAAGAACCACATCATCCTCAAGTAGCGACCCAATCCTCGGCCTGGTACTCCCAGAGCACCCCCCACAGGATTCCCCTCAGGACACGGTCGTAGGCCTTCCCTAAGTCCACAAAACACATAACCAAATATTGATGAACTCAAAATAGGACCAAGGCTCCTACAGACGGAGTTAAACTTCTTAGTTGCTGTTACATGACAGGGGAGACACATCAGTGCTGCACATGACGACACTTTGGTCCCTCAACTTGTCAATCAAGTCTGATTCTGAATAAAACGCTGCAGCAACTCAAAGTGAAACACACGGAGCGGGGAGAGAAGTTTTTTCTCCTTTTATGCACAAAGAATAAAAATAAGAAAAATAGAGCAGATAGAAAAAAAAACTCTTCACTAAAGTGGCAGATCCAGGTCCTGAAATATCAGCATGAAGACACCGGGCTGTTCTCTGCATTTGTTTATTTTTGTGTGTTGCTGCGTTTATATCTGTGTATTTCTTTGTTGTCCTGGCTGTGAAATGTTTCTCCCCTCTGCGACGGATAAATCTGAAGCTTTACAATAAAACACACAAGGACCCATAGAAAGAATTTCCCTTTTTTTTTAATTATCTTAATTTTTAGAAATGAAATGATGTTGATAAAAGTCCTCAGAGTGATGTTCAGTCTCTCTAAATTTAGCAGGAAGCTAAAAGCAAAGAGCTGAGGGGTGTGCGCGGAGCCTTTTAACATTAATAAATAAAAAGCTGGAGCCGCTGCAGCGTTTAACGTTGGTGCCATTACATCAGCTTTAATGGGAAATGTGCTCAGTGGCTTTTTGGAAGAGACGACTGTCGGAGCTGGAACGAAAAACCTCGATAAAGTAATAACCTTGAACCTGTTTTTCTCCACAAAGCCGATCCATCTGTCGCTTTAAAAGCTCTTATTCAAAGGAGACCTTTTGTGCTTATTTCCACTCCTCATTATGTCAGTCTGGGACTCCTTCAGAGTGGCTCTCAAGATTTGCAGCTCAAAAAAAAAAACAGCTTATTTATCCGACGCTGGCGCCTGTGAAAACCCTCATTTCGGCTCCATTCAGCCTCAGAGAGCAGACAAACTAACAGCAGACGTGTTTTTGTTTGTTGAGAGGCTGCCTGATACAAATCGGATAGAAGAAGTGAAGAATATTTTTCACTGAGAGACATTTTCGATGGTAAAATTTTAACAAATGGAGGATCACAGGAGCTTTTTCTAGATTTTGGCGGTCATGAAGAAGCAGAAACTCCTCACCTGAGATTGAAACTTAGATAAAAGTTTAACATTTCCCTTCGCTCACTGTTATTCAAAAAGATAATCTGCTTCTGCTGTTGGTAGTCCAGTGAATTAGGGGTTCCTCCTCTTAAATAAATCCGAAGAAATAATAAAAAAAACACAAATAAACCATCAGACCCCGACCCCAACCGTGATGTGTGTCTCCGTCTGTGTGCCAGACCCCGTGAGCAGCAGCCTGGTCCAGTCAGTGATGTCGATGGCCTCGTCCCACTCGCAGCACTCCCACATCAGCATTGACACCATGTCCTCCATGTCAGGGTCCTACCTGGCCGGGGCGGAGGGCGAGCCCGGGGGGGACGACGGGAGAGACGTGGAGGCCGAGGAGAACCAGGACGCCCCCATGGAGAGCCGAGGACCGTCGCAGCAGGACGGGGTGAGGAATCGAGAGGAGAGGAGAGAGGAGAAATGAGCTTCTAACTCGTCGTCTCTTCACTGGACTGTCTGTTTTTGTACCTTTTAGGAGTTTTCCCAGGAGCCAAAGGAACAGAACTACTCTCTGGCTGTGGAGGAGCAGGACTCAGAGGTGACTGTGACACACATGTCCAGAGCAGAGAGCTGCCATCAAGTCTTTGTATGAGTCTTTAAAAGAGCTTTTCTCTGTCTTCTCCAGGGAAACGATGTCACTGAGGAGGACTGCTCCTCTCCATCTAATGGCAAAGGTAACTATGGCGACCATTCTTCACATTTAACCCCCTGACCCCTCACCTCCCCTTGCATCTGTTGCTCTCAGGTCATGTGAAAACACTCTTTTCATACAAACGTTATGATAGACTCAACAGTCGATCCGATCTATTGTTACTTTTGAAATCATGGCTGAGCAGGAAACTTCCTTTCAACACGAAGGGAATACATGTCACACATTGTCCTCTAGATGGCGCAGTCCCTTTTCCAAATGCATGCGACGCTGGCTGGAAACACCACAACATTCAGAGAATGGCTCCTCATATGGTGTGTGTGCACCAGAACCTTCATCTACTGAGCAGTTAAGACTGACACTTTACTGAAACACAAAATCAGGACATTTAAGGGGAATTAAACGAAGCTAATTAGAATAAACGACTTCTGTACAGATCGTGCAAAGACAGATATTTGGAAAATTGGGATGTACAAACTCATTTTAGCTGAAATAACGTTTTATTTACAAGAATGCACAGTTTCTATCAGACCATAATTAACCTGTCACTCGCACCCCTAAAGCTAAAACATACAGGACACGTATTTGGAGCAGCGTCACATATCACGCAGCAAATAGGTTGCCATCTAATCAACGCAGCAAAGCATGCAGGACGCTTATTAGCTCCGTCGCAGCATCGTATCGAGAGCAGCACTGCTAAAGATACACGGAGAGTCTATTTTTGCTGCTCTACGCTAGAGTTGGGAAGTTCGCGAACGATTCGTTCAAAAGAACCGAATCTTTTGAAGTGAACGTACTGAACCGAATCACTTCCTCAAGTGATTCGTTCGTTTCTCACTTTAGTTGAGTGTCAGCAGCTTCGCTGATATGGCACGCATCATTGCTGGGCGAGCAGTCGGTGAACGAGGGACCGCATGCACCAACGCTTGAATCGCTTGGTAAACGAATCACACATTGAACTACACTCTCTGTAATCATTATTGTTGGCCAAAACAATTGCCACCACAACAGCTTTCATACAATAGGACACAGCATGTAACAGGTAGTGCGTAAAACCCGCTGCATCGTATCATTGCAGCGGTTTGTGAGGGAACGGTGAATGTTCAGTGTGAATTCTTCTAAATGTTCAGTGAACGAATCACTCACTGACCCCAATTTACTGAGTAGATATATGGCATATTATAGGACAGTACACTTAAAACACCATGACTTTTACACAAGTTCATTTTAACAAACCTGTTTGTCAAAGTAACACAGACAAACACTCTCGTCTTCCAGACCCAGAAGCCGTGAACTGAACTGAATCCTGAACTTTCAGCTGTGTATCAGTTCAGGACGTCAGGGTCACAGGCTTCTCCCGCCAAGTGCTGAATGATTTGGTGAACGAATCTTTTGAACGAATCTTTTTAGTGAACTGATTCTAGTGATTCAGTATATCTAAAAGAACTGCCGTGCCCATCACTGCTCCATGCTTCCAATGCTTGTCAATCCACACAGAGAAGATTGTTCTAGACAGGAAGTCAAGCATGAGAACCGCACGTCTTCTGGTATTTCAAAATAAAACAGCATATGCGGACTCCCAACTGTGTATCAGTTCATGTAGATGAGAAGTACTTCCTGGTAAACCTCTCTTCCAGCAGCCGCTTGTTTGTAGCAAGACCTCGGGTCTAATCAGGTCGTTTGTGATAAATATGGACCGATGATGCACAGCAGGAGACAAACTCTTACAAGCGCTCCGTGTTGTTCAGATGAGGTTCTGCTGCACACCAGGCTCCTGGCTTGGATTTGCATGACGTGCACCTTTAACAAAAATCAGTGTGTGTGTAGATGTGTGTGTGCTTGTGTATTTAACGTGCATGAGAAGTGCCATTTACATGTAATCGCTCTGAAAGCTCTGCACTGTGCTTTTGCTTCTTCTTTTTTTTTTTAGCAGCTGCATCATGAAGGGAAAGCTTTTTTGTCATGCTCCATTTGTGTGTCTGTGTGAGAGAGGGAGTGTGTGTATCTTGTGTCTGTGTGTGGGAAAGGGAGGGTGGTCTGGTTGTGCAGAAAAAGTGTCATGTTGTGGGAGTCAATGAGCAGAAGGCTTGAAGTGAAACAAGGTCACCTTCATTAGAGAAGAGTTTGAAACATGTTGATGTAAACGAGTCTCTCTGTGGATTGTTTGTGTGTCTGTGTCTGTGTTTGTGTGTACATGTGTGTGTGTGTGTGTGTTCGGACACCTCGGGCCAGACTGAAACTATCTCTGAGTACATTGTGAGTTACTGAATGACCTTTCAGTCCTTTAGGAGACGCGCGGACCTGTGCTGCCTGACAGACTGTGAATGTGCACACGCACGCTCTGCAGGATGTATGTTTGCACGCAACATGTGTGTGCATCTGCACCGGCGCTGCCAGACAGCTTCTGTATGTGCCCTGTCTGTGTCTCTGTGCTGAGCTGCCAATCATCCTGCCATCTCTGCCAGTTTCTCCTCATTATCAAGCACACACACACACACACAGACACACACACACACACACACAGGCTTGCTGCGGGCATGAGGCACTCACACATATTTAACATTGTCAGTATCTGATATCTGGCCATGCTGGAAATTGCAGAAGAATCAGATCAATCGAGAAAAAACTGTCTCACATTTTCAGCTAACCTAATAAACCAGAACTAGACACTGAGATGCAGAGGACACTCAGCTCCTGTGCATCCCGCTAATGTTTTCTACGATAATATGGCAGTTAAATAATAAAAGTCTGCTGGTTTTATGTTTCACACAAAAGAGGAGAAAATACAGAAAATGCGCCATAAATCTATTTCCTGTTGGCTGACGGCTTCAGTCCGTGACGTGTAAAGCACTGCGAACAAAGAAAGTGAACATAAACTTTAACGTTTATTTAAACAGAAGTATTTTAGTCTTAAACAGCTTTTACCAGTGAAGGTGTAAACTGAAAATTAAATGACTTGCATATCCTCGGTTCACAGCTTAATGATCGTCCAGTTTTTAAAAGTACAAATGCTCGTTAACAAAGGGTCTTTACTCACAAAATTAAGTAAAAAAAACATAAAAACGTCCAAAACAATAAATGAACATTAAAGTAAATCATCATATCAAAGTTCCTGATAAACTGCATGACTTCCAACCTGTAAAAGTAGGATTATGCAACTAACAGCTGCCACAATATAAACAGCAGAAGGATGTTTACTGTTATTAATACACATTAAAGCTCCAGTAGGGAGTTCTAAGACGATTAGCGTAAAAACTAGTTATCTGTTTATAGTCACTTTTGATGCCTCAAAGTGACGCTTCATGTCAGATGATCATTAACTTTTCATTCTTTTAATAAAAAACAAACTCCCCACGTTTCTTAAAGGTCAAGATCAGCTAAGAAATAAAGTCCTGATTCGACCACAGGGGGCGCCAAAGTGGACAGAAACCAAAAGTTCCTTACAGGAGCTTTAATTCTGTTACGGACTTTGTATTAAGATAGTTAATTTTTTTGCCGATCTTGGCTGACTTTTAAAATGCGTCATCACAACGGTCGTCTAACAGTTTCAGACAAAAAGACTCAAACGTCTTCAGTGTGATTTAAGAGAAACCGACTGGGCCGGAGACGCTGCTGTGTCGGTCTGTCTCCAAAAGTTATTCCCTTTTTGAGTCAGATTCTTTAATTCCACCATGCTGACCCTGATCATGAGTCCATCCCGGGTCATATACGAACACTTTGATTCGAAGTGGCGAAATATGGCGAAAATATTAGTTCGCTATTTCAATCAATGCCGTTCCAGCATGGCCGACCTCACCCCTCCGCCTCTGACACCCTCCCTCCCTCCCTTACCCCGCCTGCCCCACTCTCCCCCCCCTCCCTCCCCGCTGTGCCTGGCTGCTCTTGTTTGACCTTTGCCCTCGCTTGCAGGTGGGCGGAGCAGGTGTCCAGAGTTGGCCAATAACAATCAGGGCGTCGCCCTCTGTGACACGCCCTCTTTGGGGTTGGATAATGAGCAGGCTTCCGACAGCCGATTCGCCGGTGAGTGGCAACCTCTCGAACATGGACCAATGAGAGCTGAGGACTGGTCGTGGGTGGTTGGGTGGGGATGCAGGAGGAGAGGAAGACAGAGGGAGTGAAAGGGGAGAAAGAGTGCATGACTTATCTGTCAGAAGAGATTTTGGCGCACTAGCTGCCATGCTTTTTAAAAACCCAGCTATAGAAAAACAAAAACACAAACTAGATCTTTTCCTTTCGGGAGATTTAGCCAGAAAAGACGAGTTTTTTTTAGCATCTGTACCCAGCATGAAGATCTGGAGCCTCCCTTCTCTTCTTCATCCCTCCCTTTGGTGTCGTGGTGCTTCATTGCTTTTTCTGTACTGGTTAGCTATGCACTCTCTCCCTCCTCCCCCTCCTTAGCTACAGCCCCCGGTGTGTGAGTTTAACTGGGTTTGTGTGTGTCTGTGTGTGTGTGTGCGTCTCTTTCTAAGTCTGATGTCTGCATGCTGTACCTCCTGTTTGTCTCGAGTGCGAGAGACGGAGAGAAAGAGAGAAAAAGTCGGGTCCATCCCAGAGTTGAAGTTCATGTTCAGCGTCTGCCAGCTCCGAGCCGCTTTGCCAAACATCTGCAACTCCCTCTCACACCCGTCCATCTCCCCCTCCATCTCCTCCTTGCTTTAACACTCGGAGGGTAACTGTGATGAGAGCTAAAGGTGTTGATTTTATTCTTGATTCACGATTTTTTTTCTCAATTTCTCTCTGGAGTGAAACAGCTGAGTCACGTTCAGCCTTTAGCTCGGCATCCTCCTCCTCCTTCCCTCTCTAACCCTGAACTCATCTCCTCAAACCTTCATCCCCACATTTGCTCTTTTTATGGTGAATGGTGTGACATGTTTTCTCTTTCCGTGTCGTAAAAGTGTTCTGTTATCTCTCTTCTGTTTCTCTCCTTTTTATCCCCCTCCGTCATTCTTCACATCTTCTCCTGTCTTTTCCCCGGACATTTTCCTCCCTCTCTTTCTTCTCTCTGCCTTTCCTCTCTGTGTCTCTCGTCCCTTCCTTTCGCCTTCTTTCGGATGGACAGATGAGGAGTCGTGCCCAGTGCACATTGAGGAATAGGTATGGAGTGATGAAGCTGGATGCTAGAACAGACACAAGGATCATGTGTTTTTGTTTGCCTTTTCCTTCATTAAAGCTCCTATAAGGAGTTTTCGACAGTTTGGCAATCAATCTTTATTTATAGAGCGCTAACTCATACCAAATATTACAAGATGCCAAAAAAAAGAACCGATCCAGACCACATGCTTAGTTATATTCACAGGAAGACTCGCCTTGAAGATGAGATCAGACTGAGCCCCGTCTTGTAAGATCAGACTCACTCCTGTCCCATCTTCAACCACAGGAGTGATGAGGAAAAGCTTCCTTTAAAGGGATATTCCAGCGTAAAATTAATTTAGGGTCAAACACCAAGTTAGACACCCCCTCGAGAGATGAATGTTGCCGACCGCTTGCTTCTCTACTTATACCAACTTTAGTAACGACCGCAGGATAGCAATACACAGCCGTCTGAGGAGCCACACACAAACCTCAACCAAAACGCCACTCTACAGCCACAAATAATGTTCAGAACAGCACCTAACTTCATCAACAGGACATATAGGGTCCCAGCCACCAAACATCTTTTTAACTTTACCAGATTTCTTAAACAAAGAGACTAAACACAACTCACCTACTCTCTTCCAGCAGCCGCTTGTTTGTATGGAGACCTCTGGGCGAGTCCTCTGGGCGCACCAGGGTGTCACAGCTCATGAAGAAATGATCATAAATGTTCTTCCTTGAGCTGCGTCACCCCGCTGTAGTCCGTAATGGACTTACCTGAGGTTTCACTACAAACAAGTGGCTGCTGGAAGAGAGTAGGCGAGTTGTGTTTAGTCTCTTTGTTTAAGAAATTAAAAAGTTAAAAAGATGTTTGGTGTCTAGTACTATAGCTGGGACCCTATATGTCCTGTTGATGAAGTTAGGTGCTGTTCTGAGCATTATTTGTGGCTATAGAGTGGCGTTTTGGTTGAGGTTTGTTTATGGCTCCTCAGACCGCTGTGTATTGCTATCGTGCGGTCGTTACTAAAGTTGGTATAAGTAGAGAAGCAAGCGGTCGGCAACATTCATCTCTCGAGGGGGTGTCTAACTCGGTGTTATGGTGTGTTTGACCCTAAACTTATCTCTTTGACAGGCAGAAACCTCGAGCAGGACCAGACTTATGGTAGACAGTCATCTGCTGAGACTGAGCTGGGTTTAAAGAGGGGATAGAAGGAGATAGAGAAAGAGAGAGATGGACAGAGATCCAGAGGAGGGAGCTCAGGAACGCCCAGAAAAGACTGAGGTTCACATCAAACAGACAGATAGAGGACAGAGAAGGAGAGACAGGTGCCCTGGTAGCTCTTCGTCCTGCTTCTTTAGGTATCATAAAATTCACCAGGAATGTGTTTTAAAGGCAAAAAGTAAAATGAAGGAGTTTCTTTCTTTTCTTTTGACTTTTCTGTTCCTGTAAAATCCTGCCTAAATGCCGTTTGTAATTGTTATCTACCTCATGGTCTGTCTTCAAGCAGCTGAGATGAACATCGTTGATGTTATTTACTGTCATCAGTGGTTTCTGCGGTTCAGGTTGAAATCCATCAATAATTAACAGCATCATAACTTTTTACTGTAAGTCTCTTGGAGTCAGGAATATGTCGGTCAAATGATGTGACTTTTATAGCCTACTTATAACTAGTAATGGAGATCAAAACCTGATGCTATTAAAGGGGCAGTTTGTTTTTTTATTAAGGGGGGTTATGTGAGCTAACAGTCCGAGGATGAGGTCAGAGGTCAGCTCAGCCTGGAAGCTAGTGGCAGTCAGAGTTAGCACAAGGTGGGACCAGGTTTTTTAGTTTCCTGAAGCACTCACCTCTGTTTCAAATCTATACGAGTCTGAGAAAGATGTTCGTCTGTCTGGAGAAGCCTTTTTTCTGCAGCGTGACCCTCCCTCCTCTCTGTCTTTGTTTCATGTTCAGGTCTGATGTACCTCGGGGGCTACAGGCCTGTTTTGGAGCCCCGCCCCCACCACACCTCCACCAGCAACATCAACCTGGAGGAGCAGGGGGCGGAGAACCGGGACGGCCAGAGTCCTAAACATCCCCGCCGCGGACCACTCATTGTGTAACACACTAAAACAAGCCTTCACACACACACACACACACACACACACACACACACACACACACACACACACACACACACACACACACAGACTTGTACGTCCAGAGTCAGCTCTTCTTACCCTGCCATAGTGCTGCATCGCTGGATACTCTCCTCACTGACCAGGGAAACACCTCCCCTTATCCAGACCTTGACTCCGCCCACTTCTTTATCAGTGTGAACACTTCCTGGATCGATCGTCGCGACTGTCGTTAAAACTCCTCTCGATTGGGAAAGAGGAGGGAAGAGGATCAGAGAGACTTCACCCCATCTGTCGTCTGTGCACTTTGAACTCACAGGAGTTTGTTTTTGTTTTTTCGTCTGTGACTTCACTCGTCGCTGCGTCGTTATTTATTACCCGTAGGTCGGATAAACCAGAGCTTTGTATCGTGACACTATCTTTAGGGAAACACATGCTGCTCCTCTCCTCCCCTTTCCTCTCCTCTATTACCAGCCAAACAGTCAGGGGCTACTGTGATCGGCAATCGGATTTCTTACCAGTGTGTTTCTTCTTCTTCTTCTTCTTCTTCTTCTTCTTCTTCTCCGTTATAAACTGTCGAATGAGAGGTCGGAAAAAACAAAACAAAAACAAAAACACGCTGACTCCTCTCCTCGGATCAGGGAGCTCCCGTCTCGACTTCGCATGCAGCTTCTTCGGCTCTTCTGCTGATGTTTTTTCCCTCTCATTCCCGCCACGACCTCCACACGCCTCCGCTGAATGTGAACACTGACTTGTAAGGTGGAGGACGAGCCAAGGAATGGCGGCCAAATTACGAACAGAAATGGACTGAAAAATGAAAACGTCTCACACAGAATGTAGGACAACGAAGAAGGGGAATGTACGTGACATCTGAACTGGATTAAAAACCTGAACTTTGAACCTCGGAGTGGTTCACACACGCTCACCACAGCATCCTCTCCTTCTGCAGCTCCATCTTAGCATGTCAGTATTATCGTAGTGCAACTGGAAAACAACAACTATCACCAAGCAATAAAGATGACGAAGCTGCATCTCCTCTTTCCTCCTGCAGGGGGACGCTCACTCTCCAAACTGAACTGTGTTTGCACTGGCCTGTTGTATTCAAATCCAGACATTTCAGTGTGTTTAAATGTTGTTTTTTTATTTGATTTTGCCACGTGGAGGGATCTTCACACCCAATGTGAGTTGAAGCCAACACTGCAGCTAGCCGGTTTCGTTTCCACCCTCGTCGTGTTCCCTCGTTATTATCATCTCCTCCTCCTCCTCCTCCTCTGTGAAGCTCTCAGTTCTTTTCGTTTTTTTGTATGACGTTAACGTGTTGCTCACCCGTCGTTGATGCCCTCTCTCTTTCTGTGTTTTATTTGTTGCAATACACTGTGTCGTTTATTAGAATGTGGATGAAAATATGTGAAAAATTTGTAAAGGTTTACACACTTTTCGGCGCGCACTCGGGCGCTCGCATAACCAGTAACTCAAAGGGACGATAACAACGTTAAATGCACTATTTGCTGTTTCCTAGACGACACACTTTGCGGTGCATGAGGCGATAGTAGAGTAAGCATGTTAGTCTAGGTCAGCCTGCACCCTCCTGTAGAGTACTTGATGATGGATCACTGCACACACACACACAGACACACACACATGAGTAACACACCATATCCTTCTGCAGTGTTATATATCAGTTGCTGGCTCGATATTCCCTTGACCTGAAGTGTTAAGGTCAAGAGTTCTGCACTATTATATCCAAGCTGCAAACAAGTCATGTGATCACAGTCCGAATGTGAAGCCAACAGTCTGGGTATGATATCAACGGAGTGGATCCTGACCCCACTTTTCTAGAACTAAGAGTGAAAATGTCAAAGAAAACTTCAAACGGACAATAAAGTTTTTTGCATCGAAAATGTCGCAGAGTGATTCGCTGTTTATTCATTCGTCCCCGGATGTTTTGGTTGTGAAGAACTCTGCTCTGGATGTTTCCTAACATGGTCACTCTGACTAAAACGATCCTTGTTGCTCTAAACAATCTTTTTTTTTCCCACCAAAGAACTCGATTTGTCTCCTGTCACCGGTAAAAATAAACAGACGAGGAGTGAAGCAGAAAGGAGATGAATCAGTCCTTGAATAAGAATTGAGCAGAACCCGCCAAAACAATCTGTCTGTGAAATGTTCCCAGTCTTATTTGGTGCAATTTTTCTACGTTTTATAACTACCTACTTTTAATAATGTTTGAAAACTATCAGCAGATACTGTAAGAAATGATCATAAATGTTCTTCCTTGAGCTGTGTCACCCCGCTGTAGTCCGTAATGGACTGGCCCGAGGTCTCACTACAAACAAGCAGCTGCTGGAAGAGAGTAGGTGAGTTGTGTTTAGTCTCTTTGCCACACACTCAACAAAAAATTCACTCTACAGCCACAAATAATGTTCAGAACAGCACCTAAATTCATCAACAGGACATATAGGGTCACAGCCACCAAACATCTTTTTAACTTTGCCTAATTTCTTAAGCAAAGAGATTAAACACAACTCACCTACTCTCCTCCAGCAGTCGCTTGTTTGTAGAAAGACTTTGGGCTAATCTATTGCGGACTGCTCTGGGGTTACGCAGCTCAAGGAAGAATATATATGATCATAGAATATCCCTTTAATTCTGCAGGAAAAGACATTTTTGAATATGGAGGTTTATGGAAATGCACTTACTTGTGAAGTACCCCTCTACTGGGCATCGGAGGAACTGCAGCTTTTGGCTCTTAAACTTTAATTTGTCAGTGTAAAAGGCTGCAGCTCGGACAAAAACTGAAATTTTAAGTCGCAAACAAACACATTTATTTTCCAGTGTTTGTAAAAACATGAAATAAATCATGAAACGTTCATTGTCTTGTTTAAAGGAAGCTGTTTACTGTGTTCGATAAATGAAGACTGCAGCGTTGAAGTAATTTCCTCTTGAAAAAATAATAATTTTCTTGTCTACTCACCTAATAAATCATGCTAATTGCTCAGAGTTCAGCTCTCAGACTCGCAGCACAGGACAGTGAGTGAGCTCTAATGGTCCCTGTGTACACAGAATCATTATCACGTAACAAAAGTGCCACTTAATTTGATTTTTGCCCTGTTTGCTCTCTTATGTCTCAGTCTCTTTTTTCACTGGTGTCAGAAAGATGAAGAAACAACATCAGCTGTCTGCCCTTGAAGATAAATCCTCCCCACCTGCCTTTTCTTCTGTGTTTGCTTCTGTTACTGAATCATCTCCAGTCCCACCTGCCCCCCTGAGTCCGATCGTTCAGTGGTTATTCTGTTATCACGTCCCAGTCCTCGGTTAAAATCATTACATCTGTCCACGCTGTCTGCAGGGAGGGGTTTCATTTCAGCCGTGCTGCCTGAGTTCAGCATCACAGAGAGGGGATTTAACTTACAGCAGGGACACACACGCTCAACTGGAAGCTACACACAAACACACACTTTTAGATATGAAGCCTTTGGTTTTATTCCTCCTGATCATCTTCACAGGTAAGATATTTGATGTGTTTACGTTGTGAAATAGTGAGCTGTTTCTCCAATTTCAAACTCTACAAAGTATAAGAGAAGCTTAACCTGTAATGCTGATATTTATCATGCGGACAATGTTTATTACAGGGTTAAAAAATAAGATCAGGACGTGTTTGAGGGTTTACAAAGTGGAAGAGTTTAAGATTGATGTTTCGACCGAGAACCAGGTTGAATCGAGTTAAAGTAACAGATGAAGAGCGTTTGTGGTCGACATTTCTAACACAAAAAAGTTAGCTCGTCTGTAATCACATGGGTTTTTTTGTGCTCGGGTTGTATCTTGTCTTGCACTGGAGTGGTAATGTTTGTTATAATCAGACAAGTAACATAGGTGAGCATGATTTATATAACTATTACCTCATATCCAGAGAAAACTAAATAAGTGAAACTGAACAAACTGATAAAAAAAAAACAAAGAAAAGCATTGTGATATTTTGTCATTTAAAGCTCCTGTGATGAGTTTTTGACTTTTATGAAATTGACACGTTGAGGACGAGATGTACAAAGACTGATTTGTCCACTAGGGGCCGCCAAATCTGACACAAAGTTCCCCACAGGAGCTTTAAGTTTGAAAATAACCGTTCGATTATTCCAGATGAGGTTTTCTCTAAGAAGGTGTGCAGCTACATGGAGGTCCTGGACTACCTGAACCTGACCAAAGACAACAGCGCCTTCAAACTGACCCGACCTGTTCTGGACCACACGCAACCGACCATCGTGGAGCTGAACATCATCCTCTATGCCATACTGGCTGTGGTAGGTTCTCCGTATGAGAGTCGACTCGTAAACGCGGCGACGCTCTGGGTTAGTTTAGACATGTTTGTGTTTTTGTATTCGTCCACAGATCGAGAAAACTCAAACTTTCATTCCTTTCATTTGGGCGACTTTGGTGAGTGAACGTTTTAACCTTCGATATCTCACATGTTACTTTAAGATAAGCTAGCAGTTTATTTTAAACGGAACATTTCCACATCGTAGCAGGATAGCTCTCAGGGTTTGAGTTGATTTGCATCCTTTGCTTTGTTTAAAACCCAATCGTGATAAAGACAATAATCCAAATCCATCAATTAGAAGAAGATATCTCGTCCGAACATCCACACTGTGCTGCTCTGTCTGCTGTTTGTCTTTCTGGTGTTTCACTGTCATCATCTACAGTCGTGGAATCATGACCTTATCTCATGGGATCCTGAGGAGTTTTGTGGGATCTCTCAGGTTGCAATTCCCAGAGAAATGCTGTGGAGACCCGACCTCTTCATCTATGAGATGTGAGACTGCACACTGAGACACAAAGATGAGACGATATGAGAAAAAAAAAAACTATTTTGATTTCAGTAAAATGAGATTTGTTGGCATAAATACACATTGACAATGTCGCTAAAGTATTTACATATCTATAACTTATATTATAATGACATTTATGATGAGTGTTAAAGCTCCTCTAAGGAGTTTTTTTAATGCTTATGAAATAAACTCAGATTTATATATCACATAAAGAAAAGCAGACCATCAGGTGACAAGATTTAGACTAATTTTAAATGTATGAAACTGGTTTAAGGCGGTAGGTGCCCTGTTTTTGCATATTCTTTATACAGTAACTATAACAAATCAAACACATGACTGTAAAAAGTCAGGAGGATGAGATTTTTGACTATTTTATCCACAGGAGGGCGCCAAATCTGACACAGATTAAAAGTTCTTAGCAGGAGCTTTAAACATAAATATACTCTTATCTACCTGAAGACACAGAGCCAGTTTTTTTGTTGTCTTTTAAAATGAGATAAAATAAATAATGTTACTAAACCTGGAAAAAAAATCAAAGAGAGTGTAAGGTAGTAATAATAATAATGATGATAATGATAATAATAATAATGATAATAATAATGACAATAATGATAATAATAATAATAATAATAATAATAATAATAATAATAATGATGATAATAATGAAAATAATAATAATAATGATGATGATAATAATGATCATAATAATAATGATAATAATAATAATAATAATAATAATAATAATAATAATAATAATGATGATGATAATAATAATGATAATAATGATAATAATAATAATGATAATAATAATAATAATGATGATGATAATAATAATGATAATAATAATAATAATAATGATAATAATAATAATGATAATATAATAATAATGATGATGATAATAATAATGATAATAATGATAATAATAATAATGATGATGATAATAATAATGATAATAATGAAAATAATAATAATAATGATGATGATAATAATGATAATAATGATCATAATAATAATAATAATAATAATAATAATAATGATAATAATAACAATCATAATAATAATAATAATAATAATAATAATAATAATAATAATAATAATACATCAGATTCCATATAGCACTTTATCAGAGACACTCAAAGTCCTTTACATTGGATACATCATTCATTCGCTCACACAGTCACACGTCGGTGACTGTTGTCTGACATGAACAGACATATCACAGGTTTGCAACACTTTATACTCCGATTAACTGTTTGTTTAAAGGGTTAAGAGTTCACTGTGCGCTGATGTTTAAGTACAAACACCAGTGAAATTACGATTGTGAGAAATGAGTCGAGCAGGCTCATGACCCCGTCAGAGAGACACAGAGAACTCCATCATCCTCCGAGCTCCTCTGTGTTTCCTGTCAAACAGCGTGAGTCTGAAATCTTTTGCAAACACACCTGATGAATGAAACGTTTGTGTGTTTCATCAGGATAGAGAAGGATGCATCCCCCGCGAACCCTTACGTGCTCGTGTCCTACAACGGCACAGTCCAGTCTGAAGATGACATAAAGGTGGTCAGCACCTGTAAAATGGACGTCCACAAGTTCCCCTTTGACACGCAGAAATGCAACATCACCATTGGATCTGCAATACACCACGGTGAGGGGCGCGTTGAGAGTACGGTGTGTGTGTGTGAACGCCAGAGTTACAGCGTTTTTTTTAATCTGTCTTCCTCAGTTGACGAAGTACGGCTGTTTCCTCGCTCCAACACGTCTCGGGCGACGCAGTTTTCACGAGAGATTATGAAGACGCAGGGAGAGTGGGAGTTCCTGCAGCTATCAGTGACCACCTCCAATATCAGCTTCAACGACAGGAACTGGGAAAACCTCATATACACGGTACACAAAATGAAAAATACTCATCGAATTATTCAACCTCTGCTTTATAATCACTAGTTTCTGTTTGCACTGTATCCTGTCCTGCAATCCAGGCAACAGCAGCAAATACAGAGAGTTAGAAGCAGAGGCGGTGGTGATACTGGCAATAGTGTTAAAATTAAATGTTTACACACTTTATATCTGTAATCCCAGTTCAGCATGAAGAGAAGACCTCTCCTTCATGTCATCAACTTCCTGTTGCCCATCCTGTTCTTCCTGATTCTGGACCTCGCCTCCTTCTTCATCGCAGACCACCGAGGGGAAAAACTGGGCTTCAAAGTCACAGTGCTGTTGGCCATCTCCGTCCTGCTGCTCATCCTGAACGACATCCTGCCCTCCATGTCCAACAACACTCCCCTCATTGGTACAGATCTGAGCTTTTCATGATTGATTGACTTTAAACAGTTTCTTATTGTATTTTTGTCTTTCTCAGCGACCTACTGTATCGTGATCTTTGCGCTGATGCTGCTCAGTCTGCTGGAGACGATCCTGGTCACGTATCTTCTGGAAAGGGACTCTCCTTCCCATGAGACGTTGAGGCTGGAGGAGGACTGTGTGGCCAGAAAGGAAAAGATGACAAAAACTCACAACTGTGACACAGGTGAGATCCAGACCATGGACCAGGACCAGCAGGTTTCAAGTGTTTGAGGAAGTGTTCCAGTCATTGTGATAAACCTGCTGTTTTGTTTCCAGAGGAGAAGAGACAGACCTGCTGTTCCTGCATTTGTAAAAAATCGTCTGGTGAGAAACAACATGAACTTCTGCCTGTGGCTGAGGAGGTACAGCTTCATCGATTCATCAATCTCTCGTCCTGAGGGTTTTAATTCAGAACCATGAAATTAGGAATAAAGGTCACAACAGTGTTCTAGGATAAAGACTTTTACAGTTATTATTACAGTCAGCAATGTGCAGTTTCCATGCAGACGTGTAGCTCTCTCTATTATCGCCTGTAAGGTAGTTGAGAGTCCTTTTCTGGGTAAATTACCTAAACATAATCATCTATATGTCCCTCAACATTGTCTTTTTTTCTAAGCAGCCATGTAGAATACTTGTTTCTTATTGGTCAAAGCCGCCCGACAACGCCCTGATACAGTTATTAACTCTGCAAAGTCAGAAACGTTCAGATCAGACACATTATATCAAGGATTTCATTTTCTGTTAGCATGCTAAGCTGTTTGGTTGAAACGCATGGGTATATATATTATACTGGATTCTGTCCTGCAATCCAGGCAACAGCTGCAGAGCTAGAGTTCGTATTTCTTAGTTATCAATCACCACAATGAAGCTTAAACCTCATGTGGTATTGGTGATAGCAACGATGTTAAGAGTCGAGACTTTTGCCTGATTCTGGTAAAGGTGCGTCAACAGCTCTGAGAACAAGAGGAGGTAAATGAGGACGAACGACAACATTTATAATCTCACATTAGACCCTTTTTTGTTCCTTAAGAATCAACTTGTCTTAAGGATACATTCGATTAAACTATAATTATATAAGCATGCTAATGTTTTAACCTGGCTGTTAATCCAATTTCCATTTTTTATGCTTATTCGTGCCGCCTAATGAGGGATTGTAGGACAGAATCTGCAGCTATAGATTTGAAGAGCACAAAACTCAAAAACCAGAGAAGCCCCCTCTGTCAGGAGATGGAGATGTTGTGCTGATGTGCTAACTCTACCACCCCTCTCTCTCTCTGTGTAGGTGAACTGCTGCAGTCAGTCTGGAGACTCCCCGGTGTTGCTGTTGATCCTGCAGGAGCTGAGGGAGATGCAGAAAACGGTGAATCTGCATCTAAACAGCAGAGCGAAAGGAGGGAAGTCTGTCCTCTTGGCTGCAAAAATCAACCGAGTTTTCTTTATTTTCTACGTCACCACAGCGTCTCTGTTTCTACCTCTGATCTTCATTGAATGGCACAGTTAGGAATAAAATAGTGGCTTGTAATACCTCTCTTTCTTTACGGCAAGTAGAGTGCCAAACTTTAAATGTTTATGTGTTACAGAGGTCTTTTGGTGTTTTGGTGACTTTTTATTAAAGACAAAGTTACAGGTTCATCTGAACATACAGATCATTACAGATAAATAAAAGGTTAATGTGGTGAGAATGGACTTTTTCTTTATTTCATTGGGCTGGAGTTTGGCCTTGAGGCGGGATTGTCTTGCTGTCCATCACCTGCTTTCAGAGGCTGCTCCCTTCCCCTCTGACGCTGATTACGCACACCTGTGTTCTAACGCTGATTACACGCACCTGTGCTCTGAGGCTGATTACGTACACCTGTGTTCTGATGCTGATAACGCACACCTGTGTTTCTACAATCAAGCCAGCTTTAAGACCACTACAGACCCAAGCCTCAGCACCAGAGTATTTTCACCTCTACGCAGAGGTACTTGGCTCCAGAGCTCGTTCTTGAGATCTCTAAAACTACATTGAAGATTTTTCTAGTGCCTGCTAATTTTTTGATTACTAACCCTCACTTTCGTCTGTTTTTTTTCTCCAGTGCCTCCCCTCCGTTCCTCTTGCCAGCCCACCACCCAGCACTCACCTAGACCTCTCCTCTCATCCCGGACCCCCATCTCCTTCCCCTAGAACTACACAAACTTTAATTAAACCTGTTGAACCCTTCTCCCATCTGGTTTTGTATTCTGGTTCCATCTCAACGGTTAATATGGTTTCACCTCCATTCTTGTTAAAATCTGCTTCCACCTCACGGATCATCCGTCACTCTGACTCTAAACCAATCAGGTCTGCCGCCTCTAACCTGAAACCACCTTTGTAACCAAATCATCAGAACAGGAGCAGACGATTATTTTTTTTCCCCTAACAAATAATTATTTAGATGTTTTTAAAATAAATGAATCAGCAACTAGAGGGATATACACTTAAGCTGAATAAACTCTAATTTAAATTAAAACTAATAACAGGTCTGTTAATCGCTAAAATAATTTCAGTTAGTGCTTTGTGGGAGGCTTAAAAACAATATTTTTATCAATGTTGATAATTATCTATACTATATTTATACTTTTTTATACCATAACATGCATTAACATCTTTACAAGTGTGCAACAAGCTATTAACTAGGGCCTCGCTGGGGCACTGGCGGGCCCGAGCTGTGTCGTGCCGCCCCCAACACGACCGCCTCTACCTCCCGATCGCGTCACACTCAAGGTCCAAAGATGATGTGCGCACTTGTCTGTGGTCATTTGCCATTATAATGAATGCGAGGCGCAGTTTCTACCAAAACGCTCGCTGCAGACAAACTACATGTCCTATTTGAAAAAAGTCTGGACCATGAGTGAGGGCACAAACACAGCTAGGATATATCCAAATGGCAAGTTGCTTTTGGTTTTGCCGAGAGGGCGATGTGTTTGAGCCATTGAGCGATGGGCAGGAAAAACTTGACTTTTTCTCCTGCCATGGGGGGGGGGCACTCTTTTAGGGAGTAAAAATTCCTTCACAAATGTGTTGATGGCTAGACATTGCATCATCCTAGAAAACTTGGAAGCCAGTGAGGACAAAAATGAAAAGTTATAAGACTTTTAAGAATGTGGATTTTTAGGTTATCTTGGGCGCTCCCTAGAACGTAAACCGTGGGGTGCAGCGTCATGATTTGTACAACTTTTTATGGCCATGGGGTGTAGATTGGCCTGAGCAAATTTGGTGCCGGTGGAACTAAAGCTTTAGGAGGAGTTAGCCACATTTCAATGTATGCGAATCGACCAAAAATGCGTAATAGCCCTTTAACCGTGCATTTTACAGATATGTGCGCATTGACTTTTTCGTAGATCTTATTGAGATACACGTGATTGTCAAATTTTGTGTCAATATGACAAAGCGTATAGGCGTGACACTCAACAATATGTATTTTCACCTTAGGAGACAAGAAAAAATGGACTTTTTTCTCCTGCCATGGGGGGGCGCTCTTTTGGGGAGTAAAAATTCCTTCACAAATGTGTTGATGGCTGGACATTGCATCATCTTAGAAAACTTGGAGGCCAGTGAGGACAAAAATAAAAAGTTATAAGACTTTTAAGAATGTGGATTTTTGGGTTATCTTTGGCGCCCCCTAGAACCTAAACCGTGGGGTGCAGCGTCATGATTTGTATGATTTTTAATGGCCATGGGGTGTAGATTGGCCTGAGCAAATGTGGTGCCGGTGGAACGAAAGCCTTCGGAGGAGTTAGCGAAATTCCAATGTGTGCGGATCGGCAAAAAATGCGAAATAGCCCTTTAACCGTACATTTGACAGATACGCCCGCGCTGACACAAAGGGGCAGAAAAATAATAAGAATAAGAAAGAAGAATCTATCAGGAACAACAGGGCTCTCGCAGCTGCTTAGCAGCTACGCTCGGGCCCTAATGAGTGTTCATTAACTTTAACAAACTCTTATTAGTGTCAATAAACAGCCTGTTAATGTTTTAGCAAATAAACTTTTATCTATTAGAATCCTATAAGCTATAATAAATGTATTAATTATGCTTTGGTTAACACGTATTGATACTTAAACATGTTTATAATCATCTTATAAGGTCTTGTAACGATTTCATTCAATATTTTCTTATGCTAATTAAAAGGACTTTAATGGAAAGTGTTACCATGCGTACAGTGATAATAATAAAGGGACACCTGTAGTTAGAGGCACCGGTTAAGAATCAAGCCGTTGTGTTATTTCAGAGGTTGTGGATAAAAAAGAGGCTGTAACTACATCTATAAATAAAACGTTTTTATCAAAGAAGCTGATACACTTATAACACCCGAAAGCATAGCCTGGCTGGGCCATCCTGTTGCGTGAATCACTTGCCGTTCTTGTTGTGGGAAGGAACGGCAAGTGATTCACGCAACAGGATGGCCCAGCCAGGCTACCAAAAGCATCCCAGAGATGGAAAAATGTACATAAATAGAGTCAAAATTCATGTATTAATAGTTTTACTCATCTGTGAATTAATTTCCTGTTTTTCAATACGAATGAAACTGAAGTTCTTGGGCCATCGGAGAGTACGACACCCTGAGCGGGGACCTTTTAAGGGGTCAATGCAGACCAAAAGTTAGACCCTAGTTAGTTTGATCGAAAAGCACAAAATCTGATGTCTCTGTGCAGACACAAGGTGGCGTTCTTAACACCGACAGAATCAGCTCTGAGCTTCATCCCTAAGATTACAGAAACAATTTAAAGACGTGATTAAATTTTAAAATCACCTCATGAATGTTGGTCTCTATGTAAAAGACAATAAAGTGAGTTTCAGGATGTGCAATTATCTCATATATTATTCTATATAATGTATGAACTACTCTGTAAAGTCCAATGAGTAAATTTTACTCAGAAAATTTGAGCTTAAACAAAGTAAATACATAAACAAGAACTTAAATAATGCAATATAACATACATGCAATACTTGATTAATAATGTTGGATGTACGCGTGACAGTAAAAGTGATCATAAGTTACTATTTCAAACAACTTAATGGTTTGTAAAAAAACTAAAAAAAAGTAATTTTTGTTTTTGTTTTTGATCTCATAACTTTCATTTTTCTTGTTTTTTCCCCCCAGTGTTGTTTTTTACGCTCATGCAGCTGTCACATCTTGACTGTCCTCACTCGACTTCAATAAAAGCTTTTCTTACCCGGCTCTATTACAGCATATTGACAGTCTCCATCGTGGCTTTTTCCTGAATGTGTGTGAACTTCTGGTCCAACTGTTCGGCGGCTGCATTTACTGTACTTATTTGTACCACCAAGAAGCCATTACAGCCCATCCACTGTCCACTGGGGACCGTCATGGCTCTTGTTTCCCCCCCCGAAGACCACTGAGAGCCGCTGTGATTACCACTGTGGGAGTGACCGCCAACCTCGGATGACCAGAACTAATTACATAATTCAAAAATACATAAATGTTCTGTCATGTGGTTTGCCCGTCCCTCTTTTAGGACAGGAGAGGTGGGATTATCACAGACAGACTTGGAGCGGTTCACATTGACTTTGGACTTACACAGAGTTTGGAGTCATGCTTTGGACCGCTTTCCTCTTTCTGCTCTTCTTCACAGGTAAGTTTGGCGTAATGCATTCAGGTCTTTCGCATTTCAGTATCTTTTATGTGTGTTGAATAAGTTTGACTTTAAACTTGGAAAACTTGGAGGATGAAAAACTGAAACATTCTCCCATTGGTTGGTTTTCTGTCCTTATTTGCACGAGTCTTTTTAAAAGGATTGGATCGATACGAAGGGGTTTAGTGCTTTCAATCTGCTTTGAGTGTTTCCTGTTGACAAGAATAAAAGATTTCCAGACACCAGCCTGTTCAAATGTAAAAAAAAGGAAAATCGAGGCAAAATCAAGACCAAAACTTCCAAAACAGCAGCAGTCAAAGGACGAAATCGTTTTCTTGTTTATTTGATTTGAGTAATGCTCTCATTTAAAAATCATCACTGAACTGATGAGATAAACCCAAATGTTCAGCCAGCGCCCATCTCCTAATGTCCTTCCTGTGACCACAATGACCTATAAGTATCTACCCAAAGAGGTTAATGCGTCCGGTTTCTCTCCAATGATAAGTCATCCAGTGCTTGGAGAAATCAGACTCTCATTCAGCGGATCAGAATGAATTCTTATCCTGTCCTCTGTTGTTTCTTTTCTCTGCATAGATGAAGTCTGTCCTGAGAAAAACTGCAGTTATCAGGATGTGTTAAGCTTCCTGAAGTTGACTAAAAAGAACGAGCTGTTCTCCATGACCCGGCCTGTTCAGAACTACAAACACCCCACCTACGTTTCCCTGGAGGTCCTTCTCTACGCCATCCTGGACGTGGTAAGTCTCGAGGCTTTTATTTTGAAATTCTAAAGTGTCATTTAATACTAACTACTATCTAACTGCAAGAACACTTTCTACATATTTTTTAGTCTTGTTTAAAGTTTTATTGGTGAAATGACCAGACTGACCAAACTGTCCAGACTCAAACAGTTATAATGTCTCAAAAATGTTCATTTTTTTCCCACAATTCAGTTCAAACTAAAAAACTTCCAAATATTTTAAGTCGTAATTATCAAGAATTAAACAAAAAAGTCTTGTGATATTTCACTTTTGCGTGTGATGAATCTGGGATAAATGAAAGTTTCAATTTTTGAACTGAATTAAAGGAAAAATGTGAACATTTTTGGGGCAGTTGCACATCTCTTCTTTTTTTGCCTTAAATATCTTTTCCTTCTTAAAGGGATATTCCAGCGTAAAATAAATTTAGGGTCAGAGTCAGACACCCCCTGAGAGATGAATGTTGCCGACCGCTTGCTTCTCTAATTAGTCCAACTTTAGTAACGACCGCACGATAGCAATAAACAGCAGTCTGAAGGGCTATAAACAAACCTCGACCAAAACGCCACTCTATAGCCCAAACTAATGCTCAGAACAGCACCTAACTTCATCAACAAATCCGGGGTGGATTTTCATCTTTTCTCTTTTTGTAAACAGGTTGAAAAGGAGCAGAAATTCATCCCGTATGTTTGGACGGTCATGGTGAGTTCTGTTGGATTACGATGGAAACTCAAGTCTCTGATATTGTTCCAAAAATGTCAGATCGATTGACCGATTGGCTCTTCCATTTATCTCCACCCTTGTGTTAACGGTCTATCCTCCTGTTTTTGACCCTCTGTTCTTCTTAGTAGAGGTGGCACAATGAATACATTTACTGGGATCCCAATCATTTCTGTGGAATTGATAACGTCTCTCTTCCTGCTGACACTCTGTGGAAACCAGATCTCACCATTGAGGAAATGTAAGCCTCTGAATTTCAAACAGGAGACCTTTTACATGGATGTTTAACAAAATTCAGAACTCACATCAAAATATCTCCTGAGACACTAACCCACTGGGGTGTACCGATTTGGAAAATCTGGTATTGGGTTGTTACTGTTGTGTCCCCTTGTTTGCTTGTAGGACCGAGAAGGACAAAGCCCCTCCGAGTCCTTACCTCACCATCAACAATAAAGGTTATGTGGAAGTCCAGGACGACATGGTGCTGGTGAGCACCTGCAGGATGCATATTTACCAATTCCCCTTCGACATACAGAAATGCAACCTCACCTTCAAGTCCATCATACACACAGGTGAGTCTGTCTGAGTTTAACCTCATAAATCCGAGATTAAAGTTAGAACTCTGAGATCCTGGTCGCAATAATGACCGTGCCGCTCTTTGAGTGAAGCAGTCCAGCCACAATATAAGTAGGGTCTTTGGTATTTTAACAGGCTAAAATAAGAAAACCTTATTACTGATATGAAAGCCTGACTGGACACTGTACTTGGGACCTCAGTTTAAATTATCTGATACATTTGTCTCATTTTGAGGAATAATTTTGCTAAGACCTCAGATTTCCCATTTACCACCATTCGATTCTGATGAGTCGCGCTCATCTACTGAAGTTGAAGTCCTGAGATTACAGTCATAATCCTGACATTAATGCTGGGATACTGACTGAAGTACTTATTTTAAGAGCTTAAGTCAAAATCCTGAAAATAAAGTTTTAATTATAAGAAAAAAAGTCTGAATTAAGAGAATAATTTAGGATTCTGAAAAAGTCAGAATTATGCGTCTAAATTGTAAGATTTAACACAACATTCAGACTTCTTTCCCCAAAATTCTGACACAAAACTAATTCTAACCAAAATGTGAAAATTCTGAAATTAAAGTTGGAATTCTTATAAAAATGTTGTTTTGTGAGATTTTAGTCAGATCTGCTTTTCTCGCTGAATTTTGGGATTAAATTAGAAAAGAAAAAAACTCTTTGATTGAAATTAAATCTCTGAGTATAAAGTTTGAATTTTTATTTTCTGATTTTATTCCATTTATTTAAAAAGCTACGCAAAACTATTTCAAAGAAATACCACTGACTCCATAATCTATCTTTTTCCTCTGGGGTTTTACCATTTATTATTTATTCCTTTCTGTTACCCCCATCCTCATCAATGAAGCCAAGGACATCCGACTCCTGGCAAGTGACAACTCCTCTGAGGCCACAGAGTGGTCTCGTGAGGTGATGAGGACTCAGTATGAATGGCTCTTCCTCAACATGGGTGTAACCACCATCAACGCCACTGATTCGGTCAGCCAAGACTTCATCGTTTACACTGTGAGTACAGCTCGTACAGGTAGGGTGACCTTACGTCCCCTTTACCCGGACATGTCCTCTTTTTGGGGGACTGTCCGGCCTTGTCTGGGGAAGTTTATAAAATCCTTTAAATGTCTGAACGGAAGTTTCGAGTTTGTGTCACGCGGACTTACTGAGTTAGAAGTGTTTAAAAGACATTCGATCCGACCTGAAAAACTCATAAAATTAACCTTGTAACCTTCTTTTTGGGGATCCAGACTATAGTCACCCCACATAAAGGTGAACTCAGAGGTGACCTGAAGCACCAACATTTCAATTTTCAGTCGTGAGAGACTTGGTTAAAAGAGTCAGTTGGGAGTTTGGAGCTGGCCTATAGACAGTGAGGGACGAGTTAGCCCTGGTTGGGATGGCCAAAATGGACTAAATGTAGACAAGTCTGGTAGACACAGGGAACCTGAGGGAGGGCGGTGCAGATAGCACTCTCTATCCACCACTCATCAGTCACCTGACTGGCCACTGACACCAAGAATTCATGTCATCTCTGTCGCATGAGTACCTCCAGTCTCAGAGCCTCCGTTTGCACAAATGTCCTCTGGTGTCAGAGTTATCAGTTGCTTCACTCTCTGACTCGATTTCACAGATCACCATGAAGAGGCGATCTATTCTCTACATCGTGAACTTCTTGCTCCCCGTCCTGTTCTTCTTGTGTCTGGATTTGGCCTCTTTCATGGTCTCGGACAGCGGGGGCGAGAAGCTCAGTTTCCAGGTCACTGTGCTGCTGGCTGTCACAGTGTTACAACTGATCCTGAATGAAATCCTGCCAGCCTCGTCAAACAAGATTCCACTTATCGGTAACAGAGTTCAGACTTAAATGATCTGCTTATACAACTTTTTCCCCCCGATCTAACGTCTTAATCTGCCTTTCTCAGCGGTCTACTGCATTGGGGTTTTTGCTCTGATGCTGCTCAGCCTCTTGGAGACCATCTTGGTGATGTATTTGATGGAAAAGGACTCAGTTTCCAAAGACAGCTCATCAGACAGAAAGGAAAGCTCGAGTGAGGAATTTAATAAACACGTGATCTTCCACAATCATCACAGAGGTGAGACCATGACACAGCACTAAACCTTAGACACATATACTGTATATTCACTTTGTTACATAATCTGATTTGTTTGGACACGCCTGTGCTTAAACAGTGTCACAAGGAAGGATTTCGTACCTGTTGGTGGTGATAGATTAGCCAAGGGATATTCTGGCATAAAATTAAGTTAGGGTCAAACACACCATAACACTCTATAGCCACAAATAATGCTCAGAACAGCACCTAACTTCATCAACAGTACATATAGGCTTGTTTGTACAGAGACCTCAGGTCAGTTCATTATGGACTGCTGCGGGGTGACACAGCTCAAGGAAGAACATTTATGATCATTTCTTAATCATTTCCTTGAAGTAATAATCATCATATTAATCATTTTGCACTGCAGACTCGGTAGTGTTTTGGCCTTAGTGTCTCGGTCTGATTGTATTTCCATGAAGAAATGATCATAAATGTTTTTCCTTGAGCTGAGTCACTCCGCTGTAGTCCGTAATGGACTGGCCTGAGGTCTTGCTACAAACAAGCGGCTGCTGGAAGAGAGTAGGTGAGTTGTCTTTAGTCTCTTTGCTGAAGAAATTAGGCAAAGTTAAAAAGACGTTTGGTGTCTAGTGCTGTGGCCGGGACCCTATATGTCCTGTTGATGAAGTTAGGTGCTGTTCTGAGCATTATTTGTGGCTATAAAGTGGCGTTTTGGTTGAGCATGGCTCTCTGTATTGCTATCGTGCAGTCATCTCTAAAGTTGTTATAACTAGAGAAGCAAGCGGTCGGCAACATTCATCTCTAGACGGGGTGTGTTTGACCCTAACTTAATTTTACACCGGAATATCCCTTTAAGGCTGCTAATCTATGATGTTTTTATTTCTTTGACTATAAATAATATTCTTGTTCATTCAGCTGAACCTATATTTGGTTAAAAACTGCATTTTCAGACATGAACAAATGGAATCAGTGTGGCTGTATCCATGATGGATCGACTGGTGAAACCCCATCTGAGCTCCTGCCTGTGGCCAAAGAGGTAAAAAAATATTGATGCAAACTAACTGTCGTAATATTTAAATTTTGGCAGCCAATATCTTAATCCATTGTTGTAAGTCATAGCCATGTTTGCAGGGCAACAGCAGCAAACTGATGGAGGAGTTTCTTGCCTTGGAGAAGCTCTCAGAGGAGCTGAGGAAGATCGAGAAAACTCTGTCCCTGCTTCTCCAAAACATAAAGAAAGAGGAGACGCCCGGCTACTGGACCAGAGTCGCTCAAAGACTCAACAAATTTTTCTTTGTTTTCTATGTCACATTGGTCAGTCTGTTTTTAATTGTTTTATTCTCAAAATGGAACAGTGCATAGAGATTAATGCTGCTTTAAGAGGAAAATACAGATTAGAGACCATTATCTGTGTTGTAACTACTGCACCCATAGATACTAACTGAACTCTGAACAGTATTCTGCTGGAAGATGAGCACTTATAACAGCAATGTTTCCTACACAGTGGTTTGTTTCAAGGCTAATGGGACGTGTGTACCCAGCTTTTTAAATATGTATGCAGTGGTACTATAGATTGGTATCATTGCTTGTATATTTTACATGTAATTCATATAAGGCACAAAATTAGTTTATGATATTGGTGCAACTGTATCATCATAATCTTCAACACTGGCTTATTTCAGGTTCATATCTATTGTATTTTTCCAGTAACATGATGTATATGCTTTCACTTGTTTATCAGATTCTTTAAAAGAAAAAAAAATCATTTAAATATATATCTGTCAAGTTGTGTTTCTTTCTGTGTCAATACTAGGAAGTATATGGTGGTCAGTGGTCTTGACTTTCGCCTTCAGTGCACCAGGATAACCTTATATGACAAACAATCCTCCAAATGACGTTGTATTGCATTTTCACTCTTTCACATACAATTTTGTTTTTTGCACATTGTGGGGACCATGTATTTTCTGGTCCCCTGTGAGGACCTACTTTTGTAAATTTGAATCTATATCAATTCATAGTTTGATTTATAATTAATTTAAACTGATTTCATCTCCCATTTTGACGCTGTATGATTAAAGTAAACAAGTAGATCAAAACCATCATATGCGTCCTCTCCGGATGAGTCCTCGGTGAGAACAGCACCCCCTGGTGAGTGGTTGTGGTATAGGTCATAAACCCTGCCTTCTTCAGAAAAATGAATGGAGCTGCGGACAAACTTTAAAATCTTAATACAAGTCATACAATTTTTTTCGCCCCTGGTTGCGAAAACATGTAGTTATTTTTAGACTGGTTTGTGCTCCAGTTCTCTTTTTTTTCTGTGCAGTCCCATTTATTAAAGTTATTAGGGGGTTATAAAAACAGGATATGACATCATATTTCCTATGATTGACACTTGGATACAGTCAATGGGCGTAAGAAGGTTGCGTAGGACATCCAGGGGTACGCTATTTGAGCAGAGCATCATCACAGCGATTCTCCCGCCGAATACTACCATGCAAATGCCGGTTTCAGGAAATGAAGAAAGTTTACGTACAAAGAGCAATTTGGCCTCAAAATGATGGGAGGTGGAGTTGTTTTGTTTTTGTCCAATGTAGGTGTGGCAGGTAGGATTCAGAGGCTGCATGCCAGCGCAGTTCATGTGTGTTGGGTAAATTTACTCCTGGGACACGTCCTTTGGTAGACTGCCTCCCACTCACTGCCCCCTTCCCTTTTTGTTAATTTTAACTATCTGAAAAGTGTTTTATTGATTAATTGTTAAAAAGAATTAACTGTAATACACTTTTCTTATCAATTTATCCAATTACAGACTCAAACTTTCATTACCAATTCATCGCTAACTCCTTTTTGTTTCTTTCAGCAGATACTTCAGCATTTTTACATTTAATATCATGAATTTTTATTTTCGCTTTAAACCACATTTCTGTCTCGTAGACTTTCTCGAATCTGTGTTTGCCTTTTTTAAATGGTTGGGTAAGTTCCTTGGGTGAAAGTCCCTAGGTGGCGTTGTTGCATTACCTTTAGCATAAGTCTGACATTACCCCCTCTCCCACATAGGGACCATCTATTTTTTTAAAGTCTCATGCATGGTCTATTTCTATAAGTGGACCTTCAATTTTACTGTCACTTTCAAATTTGGTTGTACGTTTATTTTATTCCTCATGGTCATTTTATTATTTATAACTTTATGTTCATTCAAGCTCTCTTAAGGAATTTTCAGCTGGTTATGAAACAGACTGGAATTATACATTAAAATCTTTGTCTACCTTTTAAGATGTTATATGAATTTTAAAAATCCGATTTGTCATCACTTCAAGACATTAAATTAGTAAAGTAGCTTACTTTCAAGAAGAGAATAACACACAAAAAAGTAAATGTGAATGTTTAAACACTGATTTCTTCATCAAACTACTTTGCCTGGGAGGCGAACTGCTTTGGTTTCATAACATATTAACTGCGGGGGATGGTACTTACTGGCAGATTCATTGCATTAGGCACATCCCTCATTGGAGTGATTCGATAAATAGTGGTCAGTGATGAAAACAACTTGGCTTTCTGTGGGGCAGTGATATTGAAACACTCTAAGGACTGACTCTTTGGCTGTCCAGACCTTCATACATCAGGATGTTTGCAGGATTACTCTTTCTGCTCATCACAGGTAAGATAACATTTTGTATGGTGCATAGGGAATATAGTGCACAGGTCTACAACTTGGCTACAGTTACTTTTAGGATTCTTGTGTTTTTTTCAAATATATTACAACAAGACTGCTGATGAGGGGGTTATTACAGGTCAGTGAAAACCAGCAGAGGATGGCTTTTCTCTCTACCATAGGATTCCTGGTGTACTGACTCTATTTATAATATTTTTGAAATGTCAAGTCAAAGCTAGAATAATTAACATTTAAACAAAGGCTACATATTTAGAAAACAATGTGTTAAACTTCATACTGTAAAGTTAGACTACTTTGATAATCAAATGTTTTCGTCAGTGTCAGTTGTGTCCAGATTCTCTGGTTTGAGAGCTTGCAGACAGAATCTTTCAGCTTCAATACGTAATTTTCTCTAAAATCAAACTATAAACAGAGAGTTTATTACTTTTCCAAATACACTGACATTTAATGAACTAGTGCTCTTTTTTTTTTTGGTCAGCTGGCAATGCATCAAATGACACAGAATCAACAGAGTTTACTGATCAACAGATGGACAACCAAGGCTCTGGTGATGGTATGTTACTGTAAAATGTGCAAAAAGTTATAGCTCTGAGTGTTTATCTTCACAGTTTTTTGAAGGCTGTTGGAATTAACTTGTATATTTTTGTTACATTTAAAATGAGTACTTTCAATCAATCAATGAATAAATAAATGCATCAAATTAGAGAATGTGGTGGAGCAAAGAAGGGTGTGGTTGGAAAAGTGTTTTTATGCTAATATGTTATTATGAATACAACATCTACCCTCTGTTTTAGTAAAGTTTACCTTTTAAAAAGGGGGTTTATTGTTTGCTTTAAAGTTGCAGTAAAACTTAAAACCTGTGTCCTTTTTTTTCCAGACAGAATTCCCCCCCGGGGAGAAGCACCACCATTTTTCTTTAATAATCCCAATATCAGGAAACCAAACATGGATAAAAGTAAGTACCTGAAACAAACTTTTAATAATCCAAGCTCAGGGTGTGTAAGAATTTAATTTTTGTAGTTTTCAGTGAAGAAAAATATTTTTTCAGATGCAGCCTTTTTAGCACTCTGTGGTTTAGGATGTGCCTTACTGAATCAGATCAACAAAAACAGGGAGGTCAGAGTTACACTAATTAACTTAAGAATAGGGGCTATAGATTTAGAAAATGAATTCTTACTATTGTCTCTAAAATCAAAACTTATTTTGACATCTAATTAACCTTTTTTTTTTTTTTTTTTTTTGGTCAGCTGGCGATGCATCAAATGGCACAGAATCAACAGAGTTTACTGATCAACAGATGGACAACCAAGGCTCTGGTGATGGTATGTTACTGTAAAATGCGCAAATTAGAGAAATGTGCTGGAGCAAAGAAGGGTGTGGTTGGGAAAGTGTTTTTATGCTATTATGTTATTATGAATACAACATCTACCCTCTATTTTAGTAAAGTTTACCTTTTAAAAAGGGGGTTTATTGTTTGCTTTAAAGTTGCAGTAAAACTTAAAACCTGCGTGCTTTTTTTTTCCAGACAGAAGTCCCCCCAGGGGAGAAGCACCACCATTTTTCTTTAATAATCCCAATATCAGGAAACCAAACGTGGATAAAAGTATGTACCTAGAATCAACTGTTAATAATCCAAGTTTGGGTGTGTAAGAATTTGATTTTTGTAGTTTTCAGTGAAGATAAATCTGTTTTCAGATGCAGCCTTTTTAGCACTCTGTGGTTTAGGATGTGCCTTACTGAATCAAATCATCAAAAACAGGGAGGTCAGAGTTATACTTATTAACTTAAAAATAGGGGCTATAGATTCAGAAAAATGATGTCTTACCCTTGCCTCTAAAATCAAAGTGATGAAAAAAGATCAAACATATTTTGACATCTAATTAACCTTTGTTTTATTATTATTTTTTGGTCATCTGGCGATGCATCAAATGACACAGGAAACAGGAATTGATACAGGAAATCTTTCCTGCCACAAGCTATTGCACTATTTAATAACTCACATCTGTCAGACAGGGACTCACAGCTGTCTGCTGTATAGTCCATTTTTAAAACTCCTACCACATCACAATACTGAGCACCTTAAATTGTTCGTTTATTTATCATCCCATCTGTAATATTTCGCATTTCATACTTATTACTCATTTCAATAGCCCACGTTCTTCATATCTCACTTTTACCTCTTAGGATGTTTAGTATATTAAGTTGGTATTTATTGTATATACTTAGTATTTTTAGTCTGCACGGTACATACTTCTTATATTTAATTTTATTTTATTTTGTATTTTTTTGCTGCTGTAACAAGAGAATTTCCCTCATCAACCGATGGACAACCTGGGCTCTGGTGCAGGTATGTTACTGTAAAACTTGCAAAAGAATAATAGTTCTGAATGTGTATACACATGATTATCTGTTTTATTCAAGATAAGATAAGATATATACCTTTATTTGTCCCACAGCAGGACATTCCAACTTTTTTCTTTTTTTTTTTTTTGTTTCTGCTAAATTTAAAAAAGTATTTTCAACATGGTGTGGTCTGAGAATATAAAATTTTGTTACTATGGACAGGTTTTGTTATAGTGTGAACGTTTTCCTGTGAATATCAGTGTGACATTTACCCTCGATGTTGGTTAAAAATTGAGACCTGTGCACTCTGTTTTTAGATGTAGGTACCTCTGATATTGCAGCACCACCATCCTTTCATCAGGACCGAATCAGGGATAAATGTTTGTACTTTAACTGTCAAGAGTGTGAGTAAGAACTTTATTTTTATAGTTTTTAATAAAGAAAACAAATCTGATTGAACCACTAGAGTAACAAGAATAAAAAAAACTAACTAAATAACTAAAACTTGTAGCAACCCTTGCTACAGACACTTTACTGCGTTGCACAGGGCATGACTTCTTTCTTCTCTCTTTCGATACTTGCAGATGGAGAGCCTCTAGAGTGTAATAAAAACCACTGGGATGTTATAAATCACATAAATCTCCTCAAGAATAAGGAACAGTTCTCCTTTATCAGGCCTACCATGAACCCCAAAAAGGCAACAGTAGTGGACATAGATTTTCTTCTCTATGCCATTCTGGATGTGGTAAGTGGCTGATTTTAAAAGAGCAAAGGTTGCTGCTTGATCATTACTGGTGTTATAAATATAAACCATCTTTTGACTGTCCGTCTTTGTTGCATATGATTTTAAAGTGAATTCTATTAACACATTTTTCCCCACAGAAAGAGAAGGAACAAACATTTGTTTCATATGTTTGGGTTGATATGGTGAGTTCTCTCTGGGTGGGAAAGTCTTTCAATAAATTACCATTCGTCAGGATATTAAAAGGCTTCAATACTTTTGAGTAAATGTCCCCCTTTCCCGCTCTTGTTTTACTTTGTAGCTTTGGGATAATGATTTTATTAGGTGGGACCCTGATGACTTCTGTAATATCAAAACAGTGGCTCTGCCAACAAAACTACTGTGGCAGCCTGATATAACTATTGAAGAAAGGTAAGTTCTATGCCAAGTACACACTTCTACTCCCTGATATTTTGTGAGGAACTTGTATCAGTTTTGGTGTCCCCTATGGACCAAGGTATACCTCTTATCTCCTTGCTGCTCTTGGTATTTGACATCCTACATATGACCACAGATAACATAGTCTTGGGCACTAGGCAAACTTTGAATAAGTGTAATCTTGTCCGTTGCTTCTTGCCAATGTTTGACCAGGACGGAGAAGGATAAAGCCACTCAGAGTCCTTTCCTCCACCTCCGTCATGATGGTTTAGTACTTCTAAGGAATGACATGGTGCTGGTCACCACCTGCAAGATGCGAGTTTACAAATTCCCCTTTGACACACAGAAATGCAACCTGTCCTTTAAGTCCATCATATCTGAGGGTAAGAGTATGATGAGGTGTTCTATTTTGGAAATAGTGTTTCTTCATTTAGTGCTTGTGTAAGAGTACCTGTTTGTGGTCTACTAATCTTTTTGTTGCCTGAATAAATATATGAAACAATTTTTCTTTGTAAGGGAGCAGTGAAATACTTTAGTTTTAATTTGCTGTTTTTCTCTACAGATAAGGAATTAGTGCTTGTTCACGGTGGTGACAAAAACAGAACCAAAAAGTGGTCTCAAGAGATGATGCGGACCCAGTCAGACTGGCTTTTCATCGACATTGAATTAACCAACAAAACTGTTAACAATTTTGAGATATCTCAAAGCATGCTTGTTTACACTGTAAGTACTTCTGCATTTTTCCTTTCAGATGGTAGAGATGGCTGTCTAAAAACCTTTCACATATTTCTCTCCGCCCATTTGCATGGTGTGAAATACAATCTGCCTGAAACACGTAGTGTTTTATTTTGAAAAGAAGCCAGATGTTTTATTTGCGTCTGTGCCCAACTTCCTTTCCAGCACGGACTAATCTGTGCTGAATTCATGGGGCATACTGTGGCGTCCGGAAAAAATAGAACTCTTGTGATTGGCTGTGGAGTCCGCTGATCCGCAGTGAAACAGAACATTGGAAATTGAGAAATTAAATTTAATGGAAATGACCAGCTGTGATCGGCACATTCAGCCTTTTGCAGCCATTCAGGATGCGGTGGAAATTGGGGTTAAGAATATGAATCAACTGTTCCCAATCCCTAATTGGAACAGCCTGAGCCGAGCCTTGCTCTGTCATCTTGAGTTGATTGCAAAATTACCCTTGAGGCTGACCAAAAGTCCCCCTCAGTAGCTTCCCCAAGCAGACAGGTTTTTGCTTTCGCAACTACCAAAGTCACGACCCTCAAAGTCACCCTGTCCCCATCTGCTGCGACTGGAAACCCCTTTGCCCTCTTTCAGCTAGACCGTTTCCTTCACAACCAGCATCCACCAACAGGCCAGTCTTCTGGCCACTGGTCCTGGCAGCTGCCTCCACTATGGAGGTTATGAACATGGACCACTTGGACTCCAATAGTTCTTCCTGAGGTGGTAGTTGGGGACTTTGCAGACAAGGGCCTCTCCCCAGAATACCCTTACTTAATTATTAGGCTTACCAAGTCCGTGCTGATAGTTGGTGATAACCGTGCCCCATGTTAGGAATTCTAAAGCTCTCACATGGTCTATATGGGACACCAAACAGTAGAGGGTGGCAGTAGCTCAGGAGGTAGTGCAGTCATCCAATAATCAAAAGGTTGGTGGTTCGATCCCTCCCTATCCCGAGTTTGTTCGTTGTGTCCTTGGGCAAGACACTTAACCCACCCCGTCCCGGTGCGTGTCCTCCACTGGTGTATGATTGTGAGCGTTGTGTGGTCAGAGAGGCTGTAGGTGCAAACTGGCAGTCATGTTTCTGCCAGCCTGCCCCAGGGCAGCTGTGACTAAGGTAGTTTACCGTAGTTTACCATCATGACTGTGTGAGCAAATGAATGATATATCCAATGTAAAGCGCTTTGAGGGTCTCTGATAAAGCACTATATGAAATATAATGCATTATTGTTATTATAAGAGAATCAGGGGCTTGTTTATTTACATTGAGGGAGGGGATGGTCTCCAGAAAGACAGACTGTGAAAGGGATCGGTGAGGACGTGACGTCAGGCAGCATTGCGCAAAATTTTAAGGGGTCGAGGAGCCAGGAAAACCATGACTACAAAGACTACAGTGACACAGACGAATAAAAAGACAAAAGCAGAGACACAACCAAACCCTTTGGAGTGAAGACAGTGAGACAGGATTGGTTACAACTGTGATACTATACGGTCAAAATGAATCACAAACCCTTGACCCTTAAACATCATTTCACAGATCACCATGAAGAGGCGCTCAGTGCTCTACATCGTCAACTTCATATTACCTGTCCTGTTGTTCTTGGGATTGGATTTGGCCTCCTTCATGATCTCAGACAGAGGTGGTGAGAAGCTCGGCTTCAAGGTTACAGTACTGCTCGCCGTCACAGTGATGCAGCTTATTCTGAATGAAATCTTGCCGTCCTCTTCAGACAGGATCCCACTTATAGGTAAATGAAAGCAGTTACTCTTGCATTTTTGATTGCTTCTCAATGATGAAATGTTAGCAACGATTTGTAAGTATCTTCTTTTCATTCTTAGCGGTCTACTGTATCGGGATCTTTGGCTTGATGATGCTGAGCCTCCTGGAGACGATTTTGGTGATGTATCTGATTGAGAAAGACTCAGAACCCCAAGATGAGATGGATAAAGTCAAATGCACGAGTGAGAAACTCAAGGATAAGCGATGCAAAGCCTGCATTCGTAGCTGTTTCAGAGGTGAGAGTCACAGCTGTATTCCACAGGATACGGAACGGCTGCGCTCCTCTGCAGAATGGCATCCTGATCAAATACGCAAGCATTATAATCAATGTGCGTGATTCCGCTGCAGATCCACTCTGGCGGTCAGATCAGATACGCAAGGTTTCTATTTTTGCCAGCATGAGCGGCAGCAGAAGTTGTATGTGGTTACAGAGTAAAATATCCAGTAAATTTTCAAAATAAGAAAGTCAATACTTTGAACTGTTCTTCATGTGATAATGGGAGGGGCCCGGGTTGTGGGATGTGGGTGTTTACATACACTGCCGATCTCATTCAATATCTCATGGTGAAACATGCGAGATCTTGTGAGATCTCGTCCAGTCTTGCGAGAAGTATCTGTAATATTGCAAGCACTTCTCCTCCAGAGATCGGATCTGGCGCTGTACGCTTGCGTTTTTGACCCGCCTGCCGTTCCAGGGCAGATCTTCATGCGGTGGAATACCGGCGTCACGAGTACAAACGTTTTTATACATACCTTTGGGGGTCAAATCTTTTTTTGGCACAATTCTCACAAATTTTTTGCCTCAGTTACTTTTTTAATCCCTTAAATAACTCACCTGTTGGTTGTAGTAAGTGTTTTAGTCGCACTAATCTGCCTGATGAATTGTTCCAGACATGAAGACATTTCTTCACTGTGATTTTTCTTCTGATGAACCGCCATCAAAACTGCTTCAAATGGCAAAGCAGGTCAGGATGAAGAGCTGTATTTTAAAAAATGCACTCATAAAATTAGTCCATGTATATAACGATACCTTATTCAACGACTTTTTCAGGAAAGCCACGGCCAGCTGACGGAGGAGACTCGTGAGTTCGAAAAGGAGGTGTTGAAAGCTTTATCTCTGCTCCTCAGCATGAAAAAGGAAGAAGAGAAGCCCAGATACTGGACCAGGATGACCAGAAGAATCAACAAAGCTTTCTTCATCTTTTATGTCGTTACTGCTGTTGTGTTTTTAGCTTTCATGTTTCACAAGTGGAATCAAGAAGATGCAGTTTAGTTCAATAATGGATAACTCACAGAAAACGGGTTTGTCTACTCTGAACTGTAGTCTCAGGAAGCCCAAAATGAGCCCTCAGGATTATCATTGAAAAAAATGCTGGATTATCAATCGAGATCTGGAAACCAAACAGCTGTTATTTTATTTTTGTCCCAAAACCAGAAACAGGGTAAACGTTGACCCTTTGGTCATTTCTTTCCTCCTTTTGCCAATTTTGAATTAAACACTGAAAAGGTCTCATGGTTTTCATTTAATGGTTTCAAATAAAAAACAAAGTCACCCTTAATCACAGTTGGTAAAAAAAACCAATGCTACCCCAACCAAAATGTAAGTAAAGTTGGACAAAAACCTGGGTATAATAAAACAAAACTGTCCTTTACATGTATTCAGTAGTATTGTGTTGTTTGCGGTGGTGTTCTTTGGTATCTCTGTTTGCATTACTCAGATTCAAGAACTGTTCATTCCAAAGTTCACACATGTATTCATATAGACATTGTTGATATTTGCTGTCTTTGTTGGCTCTGCAGAAATGTGTAAAAAATAAACAATGGAAAAGCATTCTGATTTTAGTCGTTTCTACACAGGGGAATGAAGACAGCTTTGCAGGACTGATTAAACAAAGAGGGGGGTTCCTACACAGTTGGAATTTCCATACTTTTCCATACCCTACTTTTTAGAATTATTTTTGGAAATACCTACTTTTCAATTTTTGGAAAACAGTGTTTTAGAACTGGGGTTATAGTCTGGAAACAGATATTTTTCCATACTCTATTTCTCATTTTTCATACTTGGGGGCGGCAGTAGCTCAGGAGGTAGAGCGGTCCGCCAGTAACTGGAAGGTTGGTGGTTCAAAGCCGGCCCTATCCCTAGTCTGTCTGTTGCATCCTTGGGCAAGACACTTAACCCACCTTGCTCCCAGTGTGTGTCCTCCACTGGTGAATGATATTGAGTGTTGTGTGGTGGTGTTTGGAGAGTAGTGACTACTAAGGTAGTTTATCACCACCACCAAGGTGTGACTGTGTGAGCGAATGAATGATGTATCCATTGTAAAGCGCTTTGAGGTCTCTGACAAAAAAGCACTATAAAATCTGATGCATTATTATTATTACTTTCAAGACCTGGAAATTGATCAATTTACTTCCATACTTTCCATACTTGCGTAGGAACCCTAAAAGATGCTGAAATGTTCCTCAGAGCTGAAAAGAACAGCAAAGTAGTGTTCCCCTCACAAGTGACCAATCACTGCAAAGCTGCACCACCCTGTCTACCATTCGTCCATGTCAATCTGTGTCTGATGTGAACTTGGTTCCAGGACTCACCACATCCTGTATACTTCACCACAGCTAATGTCTGCATTCATAAATGATATGAAGGCACATAATGGTTTCACATTATTTTTTAATGGGCTGTGTGAGTAGATGGTGCACTAAGAAAGCATACATGAGTGTTTTATGCAAGCACTCATTCTTAAAAATGGAATACATAGATGTATTTCTGAACATGACAGTGGACAGTTTTGGACCACTGATCCCATCAGACATGTATACAAAATTAAACATGGTTATGATTATGGTTATGGTTTTCTAACAACAATGCTCTGGGTTGTTTGGAGGAAGAAGTCAGAGTCAGTAGTTCACGTATTGAGCTTGGTATTTGGTTCCAGGTCTAGGATGCACGAAATGAGAATCAGAGGCGCTTTTTTGAAATGGTACAACGCAGTCACCTCTGAGGCCTGCTCTGGTTGTTGATCTACTGGAGTTTCTTTTAACAAACACTTGAAGTGGAGGCGCTCATGCTTATCCAAGATCAAGCAGTGGTGTTATGATCTAGGTTTCTAACCCTAACTATTAAAAGGCGTCTCTGGATTCATGATGGATTGATCATCTGTAAGGCAGTGAGGCGTGTTAAATTGCAGCTCACTTGGTTGTTATTAGTCAGAGAGAGAATATCTTACTACATTTCAACACCTGCGCACATGGCCACTTTTGAGGGTGCAGGTGTCATAGCCCTGTCTCTAAAATACCTATCTCTTTAGTCAAAAATTACTATTCAAGTGTGCAGAATAGTTAAGAAGACAAAGAGTTCATCACGGGAGCTTTAACAGAGCCAGATTGTTTTTCTTTATTGTTTTCAGATCAGGTGGTGGCCTTTAGTTAAACTCCTTTTAAGCCCTTAAGTTTTGAGAGCAGTACGTGGTTAAGGAATGAACTAACATTTTAAAAGCCTCAGATGTAAATTGAATCTTTGATTTCTTCTCGACACAAAACCGCCCCCGGATGCATCTCCTTATTTTACTGGAAAACTTTGCAGCCACAACAACGAGATGAAATGGAGAAGGGAACTGCCTTTGACTTTGAGAGGTAAATAGTGTACCGCAGATCAATAAATCCTCAATTGCTCTGATGCATTAAGTGTATTTTACCGGATTAAACGGGGATTCGAAACATTTGCTCTGCCCACTTTTAGTTTAGTTTATAAGGCAGAGATATAACCACTGAAGCAAACATTGGCAGTAACACAGAAGAGACCGGGTTGCTTACTGCTTACACAGAACTTCAGTTGGGATGCTCGCAGGTTTATTCTTTCTCCTCATGCTCACAGGTAAGCAGTATAATGCATGCAGGTTATTTATGCCTCTAGGCTGTGATTTCTGAGTTTGTACTTTACTTTAAGACTGTCACAGAAACTGTCAGTGCAGGGAGCAGGACAGCTGCTGGGATGCTCTTTCTTGCGAATAGCAGCTTGAAGCTTCATGTGACAAGTTTTTTTTAAGTCAAGGTTTTACATGTTGAACTCCGTATTGTGGTGCTCAAGTCCACGGCTCAGGCTTCAGTCAGACTTCGGTCATGATTTTCAGGACTGCATCCTTTTCTACACTTCACTTTGTCCTGTTTTTACTTCAGATGGGGCATTATCTGTGTGCAGTTATCGGGATGTTGTCGAGTATCTGAACTTCACCAAAAACAAAGACATAATGACCATGACGCTGCCTCTCAAAAACTCTGAGAATTCAACAGAAGTTTTTCTAGATGTCCTAATCTATGCAATCCTGGATGTGGTAAGTACTCGCTCCTGTCGCCTTTTTTCTTCACAGAATGTCGCAAAATCATTTGGTTTGTTTTGGATAGTCAGGTTGCTGGCCTGCTACTTGAGGTTTAATGTGAAGAGCAATTTAAACAAACCTGGCTTACATCAGAGCTCATCAGTAAGTCTGGGAGAACTCCTAATGGCTCTCATGGGTGAGTGAGAGTATAAAACCTTTAAAGGTGGCTCCTCTTCATTGGTTTTGTCATTCGCTTTCATTAACTCATTGGAAATACAGGAATAAGTTATTCGGAGTGACGAATTTTTAGATCAGGAGTGGGGGAAATATTGTGCATTTTTAACATCCTGCATTCTACCTTAACAATTTTGTAGAATCATTGTTTCACTAACCAAAACAAAAACGGTATTTGTCAAATGTTAAATCATTTGTGATGTATCGCAGTTCGTCATTGTCCTGTCTGGTCAAGGAGAAACAGTCGTCAACAAACATTATGTTAAAGGTGGGGTAGGCAGGATCTGAGGAAGTGCAAGTTTTTGGGAGAAATCTTGAGTGTAAACGCAACCCCTCCGCAGCTCTTCCTCTCCCCTCCCCACTTCAGATGATTACAAATGGGGCCCAGTCAACGTAAAAGTAAAAACCATTGGTGCTACTGTAGATGTCAACGGACAACAAGCAAACACAATGTTTGCACAGCAGCATCCTGACTTTGTATTAACACCTGATATAAAATCATTAATACCTCTTTTTCTTTGCTCTAGAGAGAGAAGGACCAGCAGTTTGTCACTTACCTTTGGGTTGATATGGTGAGTGTTGGAAAAATCATCACCCTTCACTCCAATGAAAGATGAAATTCAACTTGAAAAAATTAACTTTGTTTCTCTTTTTACCTGCACAGTCTTGGTTTGATGAGTATTTATCTTGGAATTCTTCTCATTTTTGTGATATCGACTCAATTTATGTTCCTACTAAATCGGTGTGGACGCCTGATATAGAAATCAAAGAAATGTAAGTTTGAGTTCTCTCACGCTCATAAATCTACATACACTAAACTTTGAATAATGTGTAAAAAGTCAAAGCAGTTCATTCCAATAATAATTTACACAGTACAATTACAGGTCAGTGCACAACTTCAGTAAAACTTAAGGTTTCAGGTGTGATATCTTTAGTGGTGGAAATGTGTACAACAACACAGGATGTGAACAGGTTTAGAGCACATATCCAGAGGATAGGCATGAACAAGACTATTCACACAAAGCTATGAATGGTATTGTGAGGCACTGGGTGTAAAACCTTAAAGTGGGTGTTTGTTCCCATGCAGGACAGGGAGGGATAAGTCCGCTCAGAACCCTTTTCTCATCATTAAGAGCAATGGTGTAATAGGGTTGAGAAATGACATGGTTGTTGTCAGCAGCTGCAAGTTGCGCGTTTACAAATTTCCCTTCGACACTCAGATATGCAACCTCACCTTCAAGTCTGTCATTCACTCTGGTAAGCCCCTCAGCTGCTTTCTCAAAGTCCTTATGAAGTTTTTTTGGTGACCTGAACACAAATATGACACACTCTTCTCTGAATGAGGTAAACTCACAGTTTTTTTTTTTTCTTATCCTATACAACAGAAAAGCACTTAAAGCTTGTTGCGTTATCCTCTGCTGACGGTATGACAGAATGGTCTCTGAAGATGATGCAGTACCAGTCTGAGTGGATTCTCCTCAACATGACGTTCTCCGGTGAAACTGCCGATAATTTCGGTGTCAACCAAAGCATGGTTGTTTACACTGTAAGTATTTGTGAATTCAAACCAACATGGATAGCAGAAAGTACACACTTTGTATCAAAGCCAGCCTCTACTGGGTAAAGGTCCTTACATACCGGGACCAGCGCAAGTATACGACGCGAAATTACGAAATATTTGGAGGCGAATTTTGACGCGCCTGACTATACACATCAAGCGTGATGCAATTTTGCGACATTCTGGGGGGAAAAGGCGGTGGAGTGGTCATATGTATCATTTAATGTGAGAATTTACATTAAACTGTAAAAACACAGCTGTTTCTTGTAGTGTTCTGCTGACACCTACCGCCTGGCGCTTGTTCGCAGCCTCCCTGTTTGAGCCTACGAGTTTGTAAAGTTACTACTGTACACTCTTACAGATCACCATGAAGAGGCGCTCAGTACTCTACATCGTCAACTTCCTTTTACCTGTCCTGTTGTTCTTGGGTCTGGATTTGGCCTCCTTCATGATCTCTGACAGAGGGGGCGAAAAGCTCAGCTTCAAAGTTACTGTATTGCTCGCCGTCACAGTGATGCAGCTTATTCTGAATGAAATCCTGCCGGCCTCTTCAGACAGGATCCCACTTATAGGTGAAGTAGCTCATATTCCTGAATGTTAAATGTTCAATCTGAACTTTGTACTCATTTTTTCCCTTTCATTATGCTTCTGTTTCTCTTAAGCGACCTACTGTATTGGTATTTTTGGTTTTATGATGTTGAGCCTCCTGGAGACGATTTTGAGTATGTATCTGATGGAGAAAGACTCAGAGTCCCAAGATAACAAGGCAATTAGAGACCAGAACCTGAGAACAGACTGCGGGGAAAAACGAGGCAATGCTAAATTATGTAGCTGCTTTAGAGGTGAGAGTCGAGTTTGTTGTTTTTATGGAATCTCTGATTACTTTTTTAATTCTCTAATACAAGGATATGTGTCGTCCTGTGTCGTTTTTCAGATGTTAAACAGATCCCCTGTGATTTAGCTTGTGATGTGTCTTCTGGTGAAACAACATCTGAGCTGCTGCAGGTTGCAGCTAAGGTCAGGATTACATTATGTTGCTCCTATACTTGAACTGATATCCATGGATTCTTAAACAAGACTCCTGAAATTTTAAGATAAAATAATGAATGAAAAATGTAATCTTAATGTTCTCTAACCCCATATGGTTGAAAAACTATTTCAGACAAGCCACAGTCCACTGTCAGCGGAGTCCCATGACTTTGAAAAGGAGTTGACGAAAATGTTGTCTCTGCTCTTGGACAGCAGAACAAAAGAGGAGAAGCACGGCTACTGGACCAGAATGGCCCAAAAGATCAACACAGTTTTCTTCATTTTCTACATCACAACTATCAGCATGTTTTTCGTCTTCATGTATTATAAATGGAACACAGAGGGATAGGCATAGGGATGAAGCTTAAACACAAAGCAACAAAGTAAAACCACTGACACAAATTGGTTTTAGTTCTATCTCTAAATATAAAACATAAACAATTATTTCTTCTGAAGGTCATTTCAAGGAAAAAAAGTTCCCTCTGGATGTCCTCTTGATCGCCTTCCAGTTTATGAGAAGCGGGTGGGATGCTTTTCCAGTTAAGGAAATATTCTTTTCAAAAAGTGCCCTGTGAATGTCTGTCCAAAAAGAACAAAAAACAAGTGCCCCCTGGTTGCCCTTCCAGTATACAAAAAGTGCTTTTCAGATGTCCGTCCAATAATTACAAAACACACTCTGGATGCCTTTCCAGTACAGGCAATAAGTCCACTCTTCATGCATCACTGTGCCTTGTGGATGCCCCTTTGTTTCACAAAACGTCATCTAGATGCCCTTTTATTATTTAAAAATGAGTCCTTTTGGATGGCTTTTCCATTTTCTAAAATAATGCATTCTGGATGTCTTTCCAGGATATCAGCTTGTGCCCTTTGCATCCTACTCTGTCAGGTTTAATCTAAAAATAAATATATTGATAAAAGTGCCTCTGGATGCTTTAAAAACGAGAAAATGTAAAAAAAAATGAGGCCACTGGATGCCCTTTTAATAATAATTTATCCTTGTGATTTTTTTGTTTACATTAGATTTTTAGCACAATATGTTGAACAGATATTCACTAAAATCTAAATTGCAACTTTTGAACAGTTCCAAGGACAGACGGAAAGTTCTGAAGTTCTTAGTTTGCATAATGTACAGAAAGCACAGTTATGAATGTTTACCTCTCTGCATGTTACTTCCTCAGTAATTTGGATGATATTGGATCATATCAGTTCTTGCTTAATATGTATTTTATATGTGATACATTTGAATTCAACAGGTAATAAACACGGTGTTGCACAGAATATCACATGCTACTGTTAGTAAACTTTACTGCTGATTGGTGCTGACATCCTGACTGTGTTGTTAGTGTATAATGAGATGGGATAGATTATTTCCATCTCCACTAAACAAGTATAAGCATGCATAGGCCACATGTAGAGCACTTTAACAACTGTTCAAATTCAGCTTAACTTTTGCTTTTCTCCCTCTCATTGTATGACACTGTATCGTATTGTACATTTATGAGTGTTTGTGTGCACGTGTTGTAAACTGGTATAACTGGTCCAAAATCTTCCACATTTTAACACATTTCTGTTTGGCAAACTCTGAATAAAGTGAGTCTTAATTCCTGTTGAAATATGAGAAAAATGACTTGTTCTCATCATTTGTAACAACAGAGTCCTAAAACAGTTTTAAAAATTCTAACAAGAACACAGGTTCCCAAACTTTTCTGGCCAGAACTCCATAAAATAATAAAGTCATCAACGGGCGACCTAGGCTGACCCTTGAGGTGATCTTGAGCTCCCCTTTTAGGTACTTGATACACTCTCTAATAGGTGGGTTGGAGATTGAACTGCCTATAAAAGGAGAGGAGAATTGCTGCCAAGGGAGGAAGATGTGCTCTTGTGTAACCTCACTTTCATTTCGTTTTGACTCTGTGTGGCTGTATTTTAATCAGACCCAGGTTAGTTGAATTTTAAAGTCTATTGTCTGGAGAGGAGAGTGAAAGAGGAAATAAACAGAATACTCCAGTGTGTCCACCTGGTTTTGAGGAAACTTACCCCATACACGAGGTAAGTTGACCATAGGAGACCAGTTTTTTGGCATGCTATATTATCAAGACAGTTATGTTTACACTCATTCTGTTGGTTTGCACCATAGACTGTATACACTATGGACAACTGGGTCCCGCCTCCCGCCTGTATACGGATTTGAAGCCAAAAAAGCTCTCGGTATTTCGATATATATCGGTATATCGGTATATACAGTCTATGGTTTGCAGGGATTAACAACATCTTGAAATAGCTGCATATACACTAGTTTGAGACAAAACTATGATTGTCTTGATGTAGTGATCCGATTTATGAAAAATAGCTCATCTTACCCCACTCTCCTGTATCTCCTCGTCATGTTTCACTCGTAAGATCTCAATTCCCGCCCAAATCTCCTCTTGTTGCGCTGCTTCCTCCGGGGCTGCAGGTGGCGCTGTTCGCTACAACGTCACCGCGCCGGTGCTCAAATCAGTGACGTGGATTTTCATTGAGGCAGTCTGTGCTTCCAAAATAACAGATTGACCAACGTGTCAGGGCTGATCCACTAACTTTCTTCACATTTACGAGCAGGACGACTCTCTTTTCCGCTTCGTGTGTAATATTTAATCCCACAAGAGTCACAGCTTTCCTATCAGGTGAGTAAACGATGTGAAAAGATGGAGTTAGAGCTGGTTTCCTGCTCTCTGTTTGTGTCAAAAGTACACTCTGTTAAACTGTGAGGTTAATTTGACGTTTTTTAACTCCTTCTCTGTCACATTAACTTTACAGGGTGTTTCCAGAATGAGTAAAAACAGTAAAGTATTGAACCTGAAGGATAAAATCAGTGGAAATGAACTGGACCTGAGCCTGTGTAACCTCACTGAGGTGCCAGTCAGAGAGCTGGTGAGTCACCAATCTTATGAAAGTCTCCATTTGAAAAGGAAATAAACCCTATATTTATAGTATTATACAGGTTTACTTTAACTCTCAACCTCAAGCTGCAGTATTGTGTTTGTAATAGTCGTTGTCATGGTGGTTACATGTTAAAAAAAGTGGTTGTGTACTGTGATTCATCACTACAGGCGTTTTTCACCAAAGCAACAGTTCTGGACTTGTCCTGCAACAACATCACCTCCCTTCCTGTAAGTACAAATCAATCCTGTTTTACCGAACACAACCTTTGGATTCTTTCATGTTTGCCTTTGTTAAAAGTGTCCTGATAAAAATAAAGTTTGCCTCTTTGACTTAAAGACATGATGTGTATTGACCTTTAAAGTGAGAAAATAGAAATCTCTCTGAAAGTGAAAGTAAAAACTTATTTTTGGTTTGTTGCTTAAATCACACAAAATGCAAATATGCACACGCTTCTAAAAAATTAAGCTCATGGATCTGAAGCATGACCTTAAACTGCTAATCTCAGAGCATAATCCCATCATTTTGAATCATAGTTCTGCAAATCTCTAAACACAAATCATATCTTAAAGCCCACTTTGTTGCTCAAAAAGAACTGGTTTTCAAAATAAAACACCCTGATTGCTGAAATTTATGCCATTGAGCTGAAATTCTACCAGACACTATCCCTCCCTCCCACGAATACCAGAAAATACGTCAACATTTCTCTTCTTTTACTTCCTTAATGTAGCCAGAGTTCTGCAACTTGACCCACCTGGTGAAGATAGATCTGAGTAAAAACCAGCTGACCGGTCTTCCAGATGACCTGGGGAACCTGGACAACCTGCAACATCTGGATCTGTACAACAACAAGCTGACTGAGCTTCCTGTCAGCTTCTCTCAGCTCAAGGTTGGTGCCAAACAGAGGAGCAAGTTATTCTTTATTTTTCATTTCTTTCCATGACATCGATAAGAAAGTAAATGCATCTCAAATCTTTATTTGAAATAGAAGGGAAACACTGAGTTTAACTCTGTCTAAAGGTGAAATACCTGAATGTAAATGCTTACCTTTTTACACGTTAGCCCTCAGGGGTCATTTTGAAAAAGTTATGTTTAGGTCCTTAGATGGACTAAAATGTCCTTCTCCTAAAAGTGCTCTAAAAAAATTATACAGTGATATTTTTTTCAAATATTTTTTGCTTAAATCTTTTAATCAACTTCATTCCTGATCATATTGATCAAATATTAACTCATTTTCATGATTTTTAACCCTTTAAATGCCAGTTTGACTACATGATGTCACTGTTATTTTTAATGGGGGAAAAAAATGGAATTTGGAGTTATTTTCCATATATTAGATGCCTGGCGGGAATTTCTTTGTTTTTTTTTGTTTTGTTGTTTTTTTTATTAAGGTCTATGATGTGTCAATAATTAACAACAACAATAATTTTTTTTAGATTAGAAGCAAAAAAAAAAAAGTCGTAAAAAAAGAATATATAATATTTTCATAGCACTTTTAGGAGATGGACATTTTTGTCCATCGAAGGACCTAAATGTTTAGTGTTTTTGTCACACAGTGAATATTGACCTGATTTAATAATGGGAGGCCACATTTTAAAATTTGGAAAGAAAAAAAAATCATCCCATTTGCATTATCACAGCCAAAATGATCAACAACTGAAAGGTAAAAAATCACCAAAATGGACAAAAATAATTCATAAAATAAGCAGCTGTGAGAAACTTTCTGTCTGTGTTGAATTTGGCGCCCCCTGTGGTCACCAAGGGTTTACAAAAGGCTTTGACTGACAAGCAAATACAAAGATTGAAAAAAAGCAACTAACAAACAACATAATTAACCAAATATATCATAAAAAAACATCATTAAGGAAGAAAAACTGAGCAATAACGAGAGAGAAGTGACCTGTTGAAAAGGAGTTTAGACAGCAATGGAATAAAAATGGATAGAATTATTTTTTATATCAAAGCACTTAAGTGTTTTTCCATGTGTTATTAGAGTCTGAAGTGGTTGGATCTGAAGGATAACCCTCTGGAGCCCGGTCTGGCCAAGGCAGCGGGAGACTGTCTGGATGAGAAACAGTGCAAACAGTGCGCCACCAAGGTGAGAGAACGAGCAGGAGCAGGTAATCAGCGTGAGGAGGTCAGATACGGGGTCTGCAGAGTCTGTCACTGACAGTGTTTTTCTTTCAGGTTCTGCAGCACATGAGAGGGATCCAAGAGGAGGTCGATCGAGCAAGAGAGAAACGCCTGCTGAGAGAAAAAGGTAAAAGCACGTATTTTTATAAAAGCTTCACTTTCTCTCCACCTAAACTGTCTTTGATCAGATATTTCCTCCTTAAAAAAGTAAAAACAAAGCACCCAACCTTTACTTTAGAGTTACTTTAATGTCCCGTCTTCAATGTGACTGTGATTTAGAGCTGGAGAAGAAGAGGGAGGCCAAGCAGAGGGAGCGGGAGGCCAGAGTGAAGGAGGCTCGTAAACGGGAGAAAGCCGAGGAGAAGGAGAAGAGGAGGAAAGAGTACAACGCTCAGGTGGCGGCTGCAGCTGCGCGGGAACAACAGAAGAAGAAGAATGAAGAGAAGAAGAAGAAGAACGGACAGGTTGCAGGTGGGACTGAAGCTCTGGAGGTTTTTTTTTTTGTTTCCTCTGGAGTCGTTCTTACGTTTTCTTCTCTCTCTTTATCACAGCGGATAAAAAAGTCGTCATATCAGCGCCTAAACCTCAACGCTCCCTGGTTGGCCTCATCTTTAAGCTCCTCCTCCTGCTGTGTCTTGGATTGGCCGGAGTCGCCGCTGCATGCCGACTGACTGACCTACAGAAAGAAGCCATGTGTGTGCCGGTTAACCTCGCCGTTAATGACGGTCTGTCCTGGGCTAAAGAGCAGGAGGTCGTGGTCAGACAGCTGCTGTCAAATCTGTCCTCTGCAGCGAGGGAGTTTTTTGAATCCGCACGAGCGTCAGAGAATTAAAACGATCACCCGTCTCCTTCGGCTTCAGGAGCTGCACGTTTCCCTCTCTAACCTGTGAATCCTGGGGTTTGTCTTTTTTTAAATCTGTTGAAATCATGAGTGTCATTCAGACGGGCATTCCTGCGCCCCCTCACCCTGAACGTGGTGCTGGAGTCTGTGCAGAAAAGTGAAGAGGGGTGGACTGATGTGTTGAAATCACCTTTTAAATTCCTATGGAATTGTTGTCGCTCTTGTACCCTCTTTGTACTACAGCCTGTTTTTCAAAAATAAACTCGTCTTGAACGCCTCCTCACCCACCATGTTCTGCACTTTGACCTCCACCCTGAGTTGGTGCGTGTTTCCGTGCACTACATGGCAGCTGGGGGGGGGGAGTGTTTGAGCGATGTGGCCCTGTCCGTGCTGCACAGGAGTGTCGAGTCACATGTTAACTGCCTGTCCGTGTCGTGCATGAGCTGGTTGCGGATGTGGCATTCTGAGCATGTGCAGTGAAGGCTGCGTGAATGTAGAGCTCAGTCGTCTGTGATCTCCTCCCTTAAAGTCTTAAAACAGTGAAACCAGCTAAATCCCACTGCTAGTCTGCACCCTGAATCATCCAAACTGAGACATGAATTAATCGACACGCGTGTTTTATTTCTGCTGCAAAGAGATGCCAAAGATATTCAAAACAAAAATCAGAAACCATCAGTCCTGTTATGATCTACTGACTCAGAAATAAAGGTGCTAATGATCTTTCTGCTCACTCGCCGATCCATGAACTTCAACCTTCTGCTCTTATCTGTCTTGAAAGAAACAAGAAAGGCAAAAAAATGGCATCAGATTTTGTTTAAACTCCAAAAAAGGAAATATTTTTATTCGCCTTAACAATCTGGTGACACTAAGGCTCTAATGTTCACAACTAAAAGGACTAAACTCACAGTCCTTTTGCCCTCGGAGTGTGCAGCAGCTGTTTTATCAAAGTATAACTACTTTAACATTCCTCCTGTGTTAGCTTTTACTATGCATCCACCATGTTATGGGTTGGTTTTGACCTGTGTCTTAAATCAGCTGTAAATTACACTAAAAACATTCCTCTATCACACAATTTGGTTCTCATCTCTAGGTTACCTTGTTAGGCTTCATTATCCATGAAAATATTGCTTATACTATTTTTCATTGAGGGCTTCTGGACATCTATACTGACGTTGTTTTTTGTGCAGGGAAAACCAGGCAAAATGAGAATTTCCTAAATCTCACATGATTGGAAGAGACCCTAACACAGGAGAAGAGAAGGGTTAATGAGATTATTCTGTGCATGAAATACTAAACAGGCTGAGGTGGATGGATGAAGCTCCTGTAAGAGTTTAAAAGTTGTGATTTTAAAGATACAGTGTGGAGTATTTATCTGAACAGACCTGGTGGAAATAAAAGATATTGATAAATGAAGCCTCCTGATAAAAACTGAACATGACTGAATATTAAACCGGACTTAAAAGACATCCTTAAGAGCAATCATTTCAATGCTCGTTAAGTTTTTAAGCGTACAACTTCCTTAGTTTCCATCAGGTGTCATAGTGCTGATATGGATCTTGTAAAGCAGGTTTAAGGACGATAAAACTCCACCAATGATCAAAAAACTATCAGTGACTTCTTCTTTGATTAAATGAATTAAAAGGAAAAAAATTAGATATTTCATTTTGTCAGGGCCATCATAATTTAGACAGTTTATCATTTTAGAGGTTTTCGAACAACAGACTTGGGCAAGTTTATATCAGTGTAGATTCAATTTTGTAAACTTTTATAATTGACATCAGGCGGCCCCCTCCAGAGGCTGCCATGTTGCTACAGTGGCACAGAGTGGACAAACCTGTAACGTGCATTTTGACTGCATGTAAAACATAGTTGGAAGACGACAAAGAATTGTTGTCGTGCAACAAGACAGGCAGACAGGAGAGGTGAGCAAAGGAGGATTTCAGTTTAGATCTGACCACCAACTGTCACTAAATACTGCCAAATATTACCATTTTGACGCTCTGTACCTTAAAATGCGCAGAACTGAAAGAAGTGAATGAGAAAGTAAATGAACACAGATGCAAATTTTGAGTATTTGTTTTATATGTTTTGTTTTTTTCAGGTGATCTGTCATCTTAACACAAGCAGGGTTATAACGCTTCTCTTTAAAACACTGACACAGCACCAGATGTTAAATTCAGCTTTAATTCCTGGTATTTGCACATCTCAACCGTCTTTTTTTTCCTGCCGAAATTAATTTATAAAACAAATTCACACCCTAAAAATGAGACCGGCTTGTTTTAAAGTTCTTTCACTGGTGGCTGTTGAATTTAAAACGTATTTTCATTTGTTTTTTGGGTGTTTTTGCAGAAAGCTCTCTTTGCTGCTCTTTTACAGCTTTTGTTCATGCTCAATAAATGGCGATGCATTGCAAGATATGCACTGTTAACTCTCTGGGTCTGCTCTCTTATCACAGGGATAAGACTTTGGATCCAAAACCAGCATGAGTCAATTACAAAAACATGCTTAGAAATAAACACACCCAAAAGTTAACGTTAACTCAAACCCAGTTACTTCACATTTCTTCGTTCTGGACAATCACTGCGTCTCTCCAATCTTTCATCCCTCTGGCGCTGTAGTTGTGAGCGGCAGCGGGTCTCGATAACTCAGCAGGTAAGAGTCACAGTCCACTGTTGGGATATTCAAAAGTCCAGACCCTGAATAAAAAGATAATTCTACTTTTTTAGATGTACAAAAAAAGTCTAAAAATCAAATCCTCTTATTTAGATTTATACAGCTGGATGACACACTGGGAGTTGTGTATAAATGCCCATTTTTCAGCCCTAAATGTTCTGAAATCACATAATGGGAAGAGGAGGAAACAGCACATTGTGGTTGATGAGGATAGGAGCAGAATTATGAACTTCCTTTTCATATGAGAGGCGTTCAATTAAGCTCCTACATTTGTTTCTGCCCGTAAACTAGAGCATTATGAGAAATGAGGCGGACTAATGTGGCAATTACAAGAAACATGAGACATTTCTGCTCGATGAAATGCACCAGAGATGAGCTTCACTCAGATTATGGAGCAATTGTAGAAGATGTGCCGCCAAATGGAAACAGATTTCTGCACTTAGATCTCAAAGATGGAATTTCCTCACCCAACAAGTGCTCCGTTTTTATGCTCTGAAATGATGTTACAACTCTGAGTAAACAAGATGATATCCAGAACCACAGCTCACTCACAGCCGTGTCTCTAGCGTACTCAACATAGCAACAGTCTGTTATTCCTAGATAACAACGGTCTGTTATCTAGGAATAACACCACATGATAAGAGTGATGAAATGTTGCTACAGTCGCAGATATCAAACACACACGCCGGCTTCAGGATCCTGGTTTCCTTCCTTCTCGTGTATGCAGAGTGATCTCCTCCATAGATGAAGTCTGAACATGAGTGCTCCTCACGGTGAGAGTCCTCCCTGTCTGCTGCTGCAGCTCTGTCTGTAGTCCCTCTCCTTCATGTCGGTCGTGTGCTCCAGCAGCCTCTTTCTGACGGACTCGTCCACCGTCAGCTCCAGAGTCACCTCTTTGAACACCTTACACACAGACACCTGCGGGAGACGACGCACAATACGGCGGTTAGATTCAGCTTTAAATCCAGTCATCTCGCACACTGAGGTCATGTGATCGTCACCTCCTGGAAGTGGAGTTTCTTGAACATGGCGATGCTGATCTCGTTGTCCAGCCCGATTTTCACCTGGAACTTTTTCACCCCGAGTTTGGTGACTCCTGGCGGACAAATACAGAGGAGTCAGTACTACATCTAGACAAAAGGTCACAAACTATATCAGAGTTTGATGCTCTGAAGACAATTACAAAGTCAGCCTACTACTACCTGAGGAATGCAGAGGATTAAAGGGTTAATGTCCCAGCAGGACCTCGAAAAACTGGTCCATGCATTCATCTTCAGTCGACTTGACTACTTTGAAAATCAACCAGAAAGCTCTGGACCACATCAGTCCAGATCTGAGGTCTTTACACTGGCTCCCTGACGGTCAGAGGATAGAATTTAAAATCCTGCTGCCTTTATTTCAACGGCTTGTTTTGATGATTTAAACTGCTGTCTTTCCATATAGTTTGTATAACCTTTATAATAATGAGTCTAATGAGCACTTTGAACTGAGCAGGGTGTGTAAATGTAATGCATACATACTTCCTGTTTAACCCTTGAACATAATCGCCGGGTGATTTCACCCGACCAAACATGTTTACGTGATTTTCATTATGTTGCGTTTGTCTGAGTATCATGGGTCCCTGGGTCGCTTCAGCATCATCTTTGACATCTTTGAAGGCATATTCGTTTCCCTGATCCCAAACCCATTTATCACCCGGCGATAGTGATGGTGTTACTAATTTTAGCGGCAGTGATCTAGGGTTAATGCAGGTCAAAATTAAAATCCTAGAGTTATCTTTTCCAGTAAAATGTTTAAGATGGATAGTGAACAAATTCATCGTATAGAAAAATGTATTTAAAAAAAAACATCTTAAGCCGTGCTACAGATTTCGGAACATGACAGGAAGTAACTTTAGATATCGATCGATCATAAAAGTTTCTTACCGTAGCTCATCATCATGCAGGTCACCTCTTTCCCAATGCCCTTACCTCTGTAACTGGGCTCTGTGAAAACAAGAGATTTAGAGAGTCAGGATCAGACAATGTAATGAAAAGATGAGGAACATGTTTAACGTAACAGCTGCAGTTACTATTTAAACATGATAAAGCATGAAAACCCCATCAGGAAGTTCCTACACTGTGAGGAATATAACACCCCCATCACCACTTTCTAATAATAGAAGAGTTATGTTAGAAGTGCAGTATACCCCACACAATTTAAATCTACACACTGTGTTAAAAATTAACATTGTTTTCTGATGTTGTTGTTCTCCACCTGCGATCATGATCTCCAGCTCAGCCAAAGACGGGTCTGTGGGGTCAGTGAGGAAGATGTTGACATCTCCCACCATGCATTGCTCCTCTTCCACACGGCTGTCCGCCCACCGCTGCTTGTCCAAAATGATGAAGGTGCACTCTGAAACATTGAGAATGGAAACAAGATTGGAAAACAACTCAGGGGTCCGGAGTGTTATTTTTGTGTTCACACTGATAACTCCTTACTGTCATCATCTTCCCTCCAGCTCCTCGCCATGTCGTACTCTTGCTCCAGGGTCAGCGGCTCTGAGGCCGTAAGCTGCTGCAGCTCAGGAGACTTCATCCACTCATGATACCTGACACAGGAGGAGAAACAGGCAGAGGAATAATAAGAGCTCTGACTGATTTATGGGGTTAAGAGGTCAAATGGAAAAACACAAATGACTTGAAAAATATCTCAAAAGAGGTGATTTCATTGTTAATTGTAGTCCAGTGAATCACTGGAATCAGTTCACTAAAACGAATCGTTCTGGGAGACAGTATATTGAAACTTAAACTAAGATCCTTATTTCTATCTGGGCTTTTATTTTGAAAAAATACATATTTTGTACCGTCTTTTTTTTCGTGTTTATAAATAAAACTTTTCTCTGATATTTATTTGATTTTTTTTTTCTCTGATAGTAATTTTGTTTTCTTTAATTTATAAAGAGGCCGGACTGTGATGCTCACGTGCCAAACTACAGCTGTTAGTTCACCACACACACAATTACAGTTGTTACCTTGGCACGTGCTCTTCCGTGTAAGGCACCAAGACGACTTTGTTTCCGTCCAATAAAGTGTTCTCGTTTATCTTCATGGCTTAAAAAAATATAGTAAAAACCGCTATAAAAGATATAAAAACATTTTAACAGAGCTCAACGTTTGTGTTCATGATGTGAACTCCTCACTCACTTCCGCTTCACATCCGGAGAGTCAAACTGCGGCTGCGTCAACTGACTGAAAGGCGGAGGGCGCCATCTTCTGGATCAAAATGGCCGGTGAACTGCAGTTTAAAACGCTTTAAAAATGTTTATGATTTATGATATTACGACTAAGTATTAGGGCCACATTCAATAATTAAAGAATAAATAAATAAAAGGTTTTAATTTTTTTTGAAGATTTATAATATTCTTGCTGAAAAGAGGGACGTGAGGGGTCTCCTGAAATTGTTTTGTCACTTTAGTATGACGATAGGCTATTTGTGGCGCACCAAAAATACCTTCATACTTCAGCACCTCATTGTTTTGAGTATCAGGACCCCGAAAAAGAGTGTAAAAAGCTGTCATCATGTGTGGCCTCCCCCTTAAAAACAGTGTTAAGCTTGTTACAGATGGAGGTAGTCTGTGACCTCCAACACACCCAACGAGCCTCTCACTCAGCTCACCTGTCCTCATTGCACTCAGCTGGCGCTCATCAGCCTGGGTAGTCTATTAAAGGAGGTTCTTTAACTCAGTTAGGCGTGTGACACCAAAGATGCCAACACCTTCAGTTGGTGTCGCTTGGTTTGTGTGATAAATGTGTGCGAGAGTGGTTGTGTTTTGAGGGAAGGAGGGTAAATTCTAGACTTTTTGTGAGGTTTCGATCCATAAGGAGACTTTTACTACCTCTATTTGAGGCCTTTTACTTTGGCTTGCCTACTTTTGGGCAGAATTAGTGGGTGGCTGTGGGGAAGTATAACCCCACGCCATCTTTTAGAACCCAAAGGCTTTATTTTTTGTTTTGTTTGAAGGTGCAGTTTTTCTTTTTGTTACTTTCCCTGTCAATGACCCCTGTCCTTAACAAGCTGCTTGTTGCTGACCAAATTAACAATCTTGCAAATGTTTTTCTGACTTTATTCTTGAGTGACTAAAAACTAAAATTTAGACTAAACTTGGTCTAAATTTAGACGTCTAAATAACTCCTTTTTTAGACCTGCAGTAGCCTGATTTTAGACAGGTCATCTAGGCTACATTTAGACCTCTTTTAGACCTAAACATGTTCAGTGGATTTTTACAACAGTGTCAGATAACACACAGGAGTAAAAGTTAGCTGGATTTCAAGTTGGACTCCAACCATTAAATTGTTTCATGTCTTTTAAAGTCCTAAAATCTCTCTCAGGACTTCCTTTAAAAGCTTGAACAAAGTTTGATTGTGTTTTTATTGTATTCTTTCTTTTATTATTTCAACATTTCAATCATAGTCACATCATAACTGTGCTTTTTTGTATGTTATGCAGCCCTGCTCAGTCTGTGCCACAGCTTAATGGTCTCCTGCGGCGTGTTGACCATGTCCATCCAGTGCTGCAGCTGCTGGCCTCTGGCATACATGAAGGGACCCAACACGAGCACGCCGAGCAGGGCAGGAGGCTCTGGGAGAAAAAATACAGAAAGCGATGACCTGATCACAGGTGCTGAAAAGCTAAGAGACATTTTATAAGACAGCAGAAGATTCGGCGATGACCTTCACACCTGAGCGGTCGTCATTCGGCTCCTGCAGCTCAAACCTGAGACAAGCCTCGTCTAAGTGCTGAGGGCGGAGTTTAAAGGTCATCCTGTGGTTGAAATGAGGGTTCACACCTTTGACCACGCAGCTGCGCTTTATTTTCACCACCTGGGTGTGTATCTGTAAGCTCACCTGGACACACACACCTGGAGACACACATATATGATGAAATATATATAGACTGTGGACTAAATTTGTATCATTCATCAACTTTTATCGTGATCACACCTGCTTCTGTGAGCAGGTGAAGCCCCCGGGCCCTCAGGATGACCACAGAGAGGCGCTGCAGAGCCGGACTGTAGCTGAGAGATATCTGCACATCACCCAGCTCTGAACACTGACACAGATTCAACATGACAGATCATCAAACCTTTGTGTTCATGTGTGAATAATGTGCGTGCTACAGGGAGTACCTGTGTGTCGTCCTCTGACTCCAGGTCCCTCCACAGCACCCTGCCCGCCTGACCGAGCTCCCCCTCCAGAGGAAACAGCACCCTCCCCACAGCGTGGCGTTTTCCATCTCGCTCCACGCTCAGCACACACAGACTCAGAGTGCCCTGAGGTACGCACAGACCGGACACCTGCAGAGGCAAACGTTTGTTTTCACAACCCTCAAAGCTTACACTCCTTAGATGTGTTATAAGTCTAAACCTCACCTGGAAAATGAAGCAGTCGTTGAACTCAGGGTCGGGCCCCGTGCCCCGGGCTTTCGCCTGACGGGGCCGCCGGTCATCAGGGAGAAGCCTGAGCTCCACCAGCGTGGCATTGCCATGGAAACGAGGAGGGAGGTTGCCGAGGCGGATTAGGGAAACCATGAGCTGCTCGCTGCCGTGCCGGTACTCCACAGAGAAGCAGAGACGGGTGGCCATGCCGGGGGGAGGGGCCACCACCTCATTCAGAGGAGGGACAGAGTAGAGACCGGCCAGGACCGTTCCCACGGGGTACCATCCTGAAAGACACACGAACTGAAATCAAATTGTTTCTACAAAACCGCAGAAAAAATACAGACGCATGGAGAGTGGGGACAGAGAGTTTCTCCTCTGGTGCTCTTCAGGGTGGGGGTCCAAGTCCAAACGTCTTCCAAGATCTTAAGTCCTCAGAAGGTCGCTCAGCTTTCTAGACTGAATAAAAACTAATTGACTGCTCAGCTACTTCCAGAAGACAACTGACTAATAATCACAAAGTACCAAAGTAGATAAAGACGACAATAACTAGTGAATCTAAAACCAGGATTGTGCACGAGAAAAGGACAAAGACGATTCAAGAAAAGGAGGAAAGAAGTCCCCTGTTCAGACCAGGATGTGATGTTGCTTTTAACTGTAAATTATTCTCATTGAAAGAGTCTTTTTAACCTGTTTCCACCTGAGTTTTTAGTGGGTTTAACATCTGATGTCTAAGGAAAGTTGCAGCTCTCATGATCAGCCTCTTGACAACGCTGAGCCATAAGATACAGCGGGTTATTTTTTCTTTAATTTTCTTTTTTATTGATTTCACATATCAATATCCCATCAACATTTTACATATATTGAACAAATTTCCAACTGTATATAATATTTCTCTACCGCGGAGCAGAGACATAGTCAGACATAAACTTTAAAAAAAATAAAAAATAAATAAATAAATAAAATAAAAAATATAAATATATAATATATAAATAAATAATATAAATAAATATATAATATATAAATAAATAAAAATAAATAAAAATAATAAAGTTACAGTAGAATAACTGTGTAGTAAAATGAAACACTTTTTACTCATGTCCTTATTTTCACACCTCTCTTGCATTGTCTCCTTTCTCCTGTTGGAGGGTAAACATAATAAACATATGAACAATGAACACGTTTGTAGCCTGAACCAAGGGGATCAGTCGTCTACAATACACATAGTCTTTACTGCACAAAGTCTGCTATCAACTGAGACACAAAATCAACCCAGTTTTTCCAGTAGTTTTTCAAAGTATCTGTTTTTAGTCTAGATGAGAAAGTCAGCTTCTCCATTATATATATATCGATCATTACCTCTACCCAATCCTCGATTTTTGGCGCATCTGTTTTCAGCCAATTTCTGGTGATGGCCTTTTTAGCCGCCACCAACATTGTTCAACATTATTATCAACTCCTGTTTCTCTTTTCCCAAATATAAAACTTCAGATGTAAGTGGAAGCTGCACTTTCAACATTTTTTCCATACTCTTCTTTACCTCCTGCCAATAAGGTTTAATACCAGAGCATCCCTACAAAATATAAAAATGATCGGCCTGATTCTCCCCACACAGTCTCCAACAATGTGTGTCTCCAGATTTCTGTTGTATTAGTGTAATAAAGTATCTTACAATATTCTTCCAACCATATCTTGCTGAACTGCCGTATCAATTTTTAAGTTGTTGTTTATTAGATATTTACAATGCTGATGCTAGTTTTATTGTTTTAATAGGACACCTTGAAAACTATGTCTGCATGTGCTCCAGTGCTGTTAGTGATGACCTACTGCTCACTGACAGAGATCCACGATGGTCCAGTATGCTCCTGGGGACGTCCAACTTCACCTCTTCAACTTCTTTCTCCTGCTGGTTTTTCACATCTGCGTCGTTCTGTGTCATGAAGCGAGGAGGTAAGGTGAAAGGGATCTCACGGGGCCTTAAACACAGGAGAGAAAACACAAAACATTACGATGAAAGTAAAGATGATTCACATGTTAAATGTCAACTCACTGCTCTGACATTTAGTCTTAAAATACCATGCATTATCCCTAGAATAAACATCAGATTGTATGGTACCAACGTGGTCCAAAAGCCCTGAGACACCAGGATCAGCGGAGGAGAGCATGCCGGTACTGACGGCACCGTAGAGAGCAGCTCCTCATACTGACTCTGACCCTTCTTCCTCCTCCACAGACAGTAAACCATCAGAGCCAGCAGCAGCATAAACAGGAGACCCACCGACACACCAACCGCCAAAGACACCTGATCTGAACAAAAACTCTCATTAACAATGAAATTAGGAAGGTGAGGCATGGAGGGAAATACAGCGGACTGCTCACCTGTCATTGTTGTTCAGTAACAGCAGTCAGAGGAACCTTTATGTTTCACTCAGATGGTTTGAAGCTAAATTCCTGAGAGTGTCATGTGGTGTGTAGTGAACACGGACGGTCCAACACAGGTGGCTGATTCTCACATCCCACTCTGTTATCTTGATTTTGCAGCTTAAAGGCACACACGGCCAATTTTACCTTCACTAACACATCTGCTGTACTTCAGTTATTGACCCAAACTGGAACATAAGAATAAGAATAAGAACTTTATTGATCCCTGAAGGGAAACTAAATTGTCTGTCGTCTCATTTCTCATGTAACAGAAGAGTTGTAAAGTCTGATGGCTGTTGGTACAAAAGATCTTCTGAATCTTTCTGTCCTGCAGCGAAGAGAGCGAAGCCGTCCACCACCATTGGCCCTTTTTGTCCATTAAGGTGTTGTGAAATTAGAATTAAATTAGAATTAAATTAAATTTAGAATTCATCTGAACATCTATCTAAAGGATTATCATCAGTCCTCGTTCTGGTTTTCCTGGTACCAGAAGATGATTCCTAAAAGCTCATGCAATAAGATGATGTGTATGTGGATTTAAGGCCCTTTCAGACAGCCCCAAGTGGACACTTGAGGTACTGCAGTTTTAGCACTTCCACTCTGAGGTTGCCCTTTTTTGCCACAGTGTCAACAGGCAGAGGTGATATAATGTCAGACTCATTTCCTCTGAATGATTTTTTGTGTGTGATGAGGTCATCCCTGGTGTCGCAATTGTTGTTGAGAATTATGCAGCGTTCGAGTTACCTCGGAACGCACTTTTTTCCGACTTGGCAACTGAAACGCTGGTAACTCGGGTGTGACGTCATTTTCAGCTCCGACATCTGACTTCCGAGGTAATTCGAACTCAGCATTAATTACTCAGGATAAAGTATTTAACACAGCTGGATCACAACCAATGTTAAAAATACAGTGTGATACAGTCAACAAAGCTAGCATGCACTCAGAGCACCTGTTAGCTTTCGTTACAATGCGGCCTTGTTTCACAGTCATCCGCTGCTCTAAATAGTCCCGTCTGATCCGCCTGACAAACAAGCCCAGCATGTAAATAACTTAATATAAACGCCTACTGGCTGTCCTGACCTCTGACCTGCTCTTAAATCAGAATCAAAAGGCTCATTAGCCACTCAGCCACCAGCCCTTGTTTCACTCACACACATGCACACACACACTCCGACTGTTTGAGGATTGGACGGCAGCTAATGGGATGACCGCTAATCCTCAGAGCTAAAGGTAGAGTAATGGCTCTCTCTTTCACACACACACGCATATGCACACATCACTCAGCACCGTCCCGGAGGAAGAAACAAAAATCCCCATATTTAGAGCCATGCCAAGTTCACACTGGGTCCGGTAATGAGGAAAGAGACAGCGGAGAAGATCAAAGTGGAGACAGGTGACAACGAAGCAGAGCGAACTGTGTGAGGGTGTGAGGGCACCTGGGAAAAGGGAAGGTGATTTTCTTAAGATGTGAGGAAAGACGCTCGGCGGGAATGAGAGGCGGAGAGAGGGACGCCATTTAGTGCTTCCTGCTCTGTGGCAGGGCAGAGGGCAAAACAGGGCAAAAAAAGGTGTGAAATTCAAGGTAAGAGTCTGTCTTTTATTTGGTGTTATCATGTATTTTTCTGCACAAAGTACTCATTCGTGTCGGTTATATTGGTGTTAAATTTAGGGGAGGTTTAGTATCAGCAGGCGGCTTGTTGTGAAACACTTCTCAGTTAGTTGGGACAAGCGTTGGTGTAAATATTATTTCCAAGATGTTGCAACTAAATACCACAAATTAATGATTATTTTTAATAAGTTAATGCCAAAAATATTGAAGCTGTGTGTTTACTGAAAGCACAAAAACATAATAGACTCAGCTGTATGGTTCAAAAAAAGCACATTTATCATAATTTCTCACAACCCCTGAGGCCCAGTCTTTTTGTTTTTCTTCCTTTGTCTCTTTCCCGTCTTTGTCATCCGCTAATTGGAGTTCAAATACTCCCTTGAACTGCCTCGATTAATCTGAGTCCGTCCCAATGATCAAATAATCTGGATTGTGTAATCCCATTAGGCTAATCTGAGACTGCCTGTGAGTTTGTTGGCATGAGTGTGAGCTCCAGCAGGGTTACGGCAGTGTTTTGAAGTCAGAATAGATAACAAATGAACATTTATCATGCTGGAAATGTTTTCTGCTTTTGAAGCTGTACAGAAATTATGAACCTTGACTTTGTTAACTTGGTTTAATGTAATTTATAAATAAGAAGAGGAGAGAAACAGTTGGTCCAGCTCTGTTTAAAAGTGACAAATCTGCCTCAGAAAGCTCATTAGATCATTTTTAACAGTGAGGAGTTTTTTACATGACTTTGGGTCTTTTCTGGTAGCAGTAACAGGACCATCTGAGCTTTTCTTAGCAATGTTTCAGGGACGTCAAGAGCAGGATGCTTTCACTTTTCTCACATTTTACACTGAGCCAAACTAACCTGCCAAGATTGGTGCAGATTTAATTCAACACTCACAAACACATCACTAAAAAGCATTTTATAAATGTATCAAAACACTCTCAAACTAGTGGAGCTATACTTCCCAGTCTGAATGCAACCATCTTATTTACAAACCCAGGGTCCTGAAAGTCCAGACATCCATCTATAAAACACTAATATGTCTCAGCTATGGACCATCCTTGTCTTGGTTTCCGCCAACTGGAATAGCAAAATAATACACCATGCTTGCTTTGATTAGACATTTTATTGTAAATTAAAATATATGCCATAAGTGTTTACTGACTGTGACGCCAAAAGATTAAGAGCTCCCTCTGCTGACTGGGTGCAGAACAGGTCATAAAACCCACCTTTACCATTCAAACAGGTTGAACTTGGATCATACAGTAAAATTAAAATATGCATCAAGTCTTCTCCAACATGGTTTTTGTTGTTATAGTGAGTTCTTATTACGGCAATTTAGGTTTATGTTGTTTTTTTTAAATATATATTTAGCTTAAAATGCTCAAAATAAAAGAGGATTTGTGGACAAATGGGGCTCCAGTGGAGTTAACAGTGTAGAGGTGGAATATCAAGAGAAAACATAAGAAATACCAGGTGTAAGAGTCACTGAACTTTCCATCAATGTGAGTTAAGTTAACGGTGACTACTTCCCAACAAATTTACAGTCAACTTTTTTGGGTGATGATTTGATAATTTTCTGACCTGAACTTGTTTTTAGTGGACCCATCTGGCCGAAAACATCAACTCTCAAAGGTTTAAGGATGACAAGTAATTAAACCCCCCAAATGTGTCTTTCTTCTCAGATTTGAGCTGCTACCATGGCGAGGCAAGGTCGGCCTGCGTCTGAGAGCTACCAGTCAGTCTGCTATTCAGGAAGTCCGTCTGTCTCTTTATCCAGCGGATCTGAGATTGTCGGACTGGACGATGAGGATGATCAGGCGCCCATCTTCTCCCTCTCAAAGAGCTCCATGGATGTGGTCATGGCTTCAGGCCTGCCGCACAAGCGTGATCCAGCCTGGGCCAGAACGGACCTGAGACGCAGCTCCAGCACCAACACCCACTCTGAGCAGAACTCTGTGACGCTCCAGCAGCTTCACCCTCAGATGTGGCAGCACATCAACGCCGCCAACAGCCAACAGTTGTGTCTCTCAACCCAAAATGTGGACATGCACAGCCCTCCGGTCCTCAGCGAGCGCTGGATCACTAACATGCAGCGCTGGAGCGGATGCAGCACACAGAGCCGCAGCAGTACCCCAGATACAATCGTATGGAAAGAGGGGAACTCGTGCCCGTCTGGTCTTACCCAAGAAACTGCTTGCTCAGCTGTAATCGAGTCCCCTGTATTCAAACCTATGTCCTCACCAACCACGCCCTCCGCCTTCACATCCCCCCTGCTCACACAGACTTTAGCTATTTCTTCTTCTTCACTACTTAGTGCTCATCAGCAGAAAGACGTACCTGAGACTTTGCTGACTTCCACCTCCTCCCCTTTGCCACCCAACTCCCCAAATCTCCACTACCTCACCAGCACACAGGACGAGAGATCCCTGGAGAATAGCATGCTTGCTTTTACATTCCCCTCCCCGGTGCCGTCATATGTCAGCATATCAGAAGAGGGAGGCGCCCCATCAGATGCTGGAAGCTTTGTTGATGATGTGATAGAGACACTGCGAAGTCCTGGAGCCACACAGTCATTGGAGTGTGGAGGAGTGAGGAGTCCAGTGCAAGTGCTAAGCCACCTCAGGCACGATTCCTGTCTCTCTTCAGGGCTACGCAGTCCTGGAAGCTCAAGGTTATCAGACGGTGGAGAAATGAGAAGCCCAATGCAAACTGGTTACCTACTACCCAATTCTTGTCCTCCCTCAGAGGCACAGAGTCCCAGAGGCACACTTTTATCAGAGGGCGAAGAGATGAGAAGCCCAATGCAAAGGTTTGGCCACCCCACCCCTGACTCTTGTTCTTCTCCCGAACTACAAAGTCCTGGAGGAACACAGTTTAGCTTTCCAAAGCCAATCTCCCCAATGGAGAGGCAAGAATCAGGAAGTGGGACATTAGTTTGCCATCTTGAGCTGCCGTGCCCACCAGCTGAGAGTTTGTCTCCAGGCCAAAGCAGGAGGTTACCTCTGGTTTATTCCTTGAGCGACTCCCAGTTGGGTGAAAGCTGCAGGTGCAGCTCGAACCTGAGAGAAGGCATCACGAATGCTCCAAAGGTCAATGTCTTTCGCCGGGGGGGTGCAATGACTCCAAATCTGGGGATGGTGGATGCGGCTGTGCAGACAGTCTTTCCACTCAGCTCTTTCTGGGGTATGAGGAACACTTCCAACTCCAACATGGGCTCTCACTCTCTCTTGGGTTCACCACCAGGATCAAGACTAAACCTTAAATCCTCAGTGGGGTCAAACTCTAATCTGGTGTCCCCATCTTCTAGCATGTTCCCAGTTAGCAGCGAAGAGGAGGGGGAGGGACATGAGGATGACCCAACATGGGAGACTGACTCTCCCATGCACAATCCAGAGAGAAGGAGGTCATGTCTGAAGATTCAGGGTGAAATAAGGGACAAACTTCGTAGAAGGAGCAGCATGAAGCAGGTTCAGTGGGACGAGGAAGGGATGACGTGGGACATTCATGGAGCATCTGTGGACCCTGTGGTGCTGAGCACAGCCATCCAGAAGCACCTGGATCTCAAGAACAGCCCCCAACCCGCCAAGAGTCCATCAAAGAAGAAGAGGAGAGCACCAAAGCCTCCTCTCATATCCAACGTAGTGAAGGCCATGACCCCAGAACTTAATCCACCTGGGTTGATCATTTCATCGGCTTGTATGGTGGAGCCAGAGAGCGAAGACCCACCAGAGACTGAGAAAGAGGGCCGGGTGCTGGGGAAAGGATCAGGCACAAAGGAGGACAGCACAGAAATAGTACGAAGAGCAAGCAAGGCAGAAGCATTTGACGGAGAGGAGGAGGAGGGGTGCGGAGAGGACAGCTCCAGCCATGCCAAGTCACCCACACACGGGAACGGACAAGGTCGCAAGAAGAGCGTGATCAGGTCGCTGAGGCCCGGGTGGTGTGGAGGCTCGAGAAAAGTAGATGACTGATCATGGACACTAATCCAACGACTTTGATGAGCTTATTGACTTTATTTAGCTGATTCAGTCTTCAGTTTGCACCAGAGCACTACATGAAAACTCTGAGGGACACTCAGAGCGTTTGACGCTCTTTCTCTTGTTTGGTTCTAGACTTCAGTTTCTTTAAGAAGTTACAAAGAACAGATCTAACTTCAGGAACAGTTGCCTCTCTCATTGAATTCAGCTTTAATGCCTGGTTTCCACTGTTGTTTGTGACTGGTGTCTGTAAATAAACAGATGATTCCCCCTAGTGTCCAATGCAAGCAAATGTACTTCTCTACACGTGAACGGAAACCTCAGAAAGTACCAGGAAGAGGCTAGTTTTGTCTGATAACTGATAGATCTGATCGTATTTTGTATCAAAGTGACAATAAATCAGATCATTTTAATACAGTGGTTCCAAGTGTGAAGTCCAAGACCCCGTGGGAGTTGGTTTTTATCCAGTTAAGAGCAGCCAATCGTACAAGGATTTCTATTTTGAGTTAAGTTATTGTCATCTGGCCTAGATGTGATGCTGGGTAATTGTCAGTCATATGGTAGCTTCGACCAATCAGGGAAATGTTTACTACTGTGCTAAATCAAGGCAGAAGTATATTCATTTTTCATAGACGCTTATAGAGTCACACTAATCAATTAAATTGAGCTCCAGATTTGCTCTTTAAATGTGCAATATTTATGGACTTGCCTGTTAGTTAAGAGAAAGTTAGAGAAAGCACCGACCTGAATGTTTTAAATTTGCAGTTCCTAAAATGGCCACTAGAGGCTGGCTTCAAAAGTGAGTCAATCCCCATAAACCATCATGTTAAAATGCCCAAGTTGTCAGCTGAGATTTACTATTTTCAAAGCCTGTTATCAAAAATAATTGTGTCTCTATAACTTATCTCTGTGATTTTAAAACGTAAAGTTATGAATGATTAAAACTCAGATGAGGAACTTTTAATTTGTGATGATTATGGCGCCCCCTGTGGACAAAGGAGGACCTGCTTCTTCCTAGCTGATTTTGGCAGACATTTTACCGTACTGACAGAGATATTCTTTGCAAGTGGTCTTGTTTGTTTGGTAACAATGACAAATTTTTCCTGACAGGAGTTTCAAAGTAATCCCTCGCTGTATTAGCTGCAAAATGTCACTTCACACATACACACACATACACACACATACACACACACACACACCTCTGCAATTGTCATTTCTGGTTTGGAAAACAGGAGATCCAGTCAGACACATTTAAGGTATTTCTGGCGAAGTTTTCATGGAATTCAACCTTGGGAATTTTTTTGCACGACAAGTACAAAACAATTTTTTTTTTTTTACTTGTAGATATTTAATAAAAAATATATTTGTCTTTGTATCCTCTTACTGTAGAGCTTGGTGCTTTTTGGAGTAAAAAAGTAAAAAATGATTATGACGACAGTTTTCGAAAGACCTAAAGTGTGAAATAGACAAAAACTCTCTGAAAAACAGGTGTTAATGATCATGAAACTGTGATTACCACAATGAAGTATTATGTAAATAAACTGTGGTTCAATCTCACAGCTGACAAACGAGCAGAGCTTACTCTCATAGTTTGTTTACATGTCAACACACGGGCGTAAACGAAGAAAACACTGAAACACAGCCGCTCATCTTTCCCTCCCTCTGCTCCTGCGTTCATTCACGGTGGAAAACATACACAAAGTTGAGTTGTGTGTAAACTTGGTGAACCTCGGCGGGGACGTTTGACCATTCAGGCCCTGCTGTTCAGATGAGCGGGCACATTCTCTTTCATTCACTGCGGAAAAAAGCTCGACACACCAGTGGCTTCCACTACAGTTATTGTTGTCTTATTTTTACAGATCTGTGTGTGGAGCAGGTAGAAGGCTCTTTGAGCTGCTTCTATTAGATTTAATCTTATTTTCTTAGTTAAAGGTGAAAAAAACATCTGAACTTCTTTATCTTTATCTGAACTTTATCCTTCTATCCAATAATAATAATACATCAGATTTTATATAGCGCTTTATCAGAGACCCTCAAAGTGCTTTACATTGGATACATCATCCATTCCCTCACACAGTCACACCTCGGTGGTGGTAAACTATCTTAGTAGTCACAGCTGCCCTGGGGCAGGCTGACGGAAACGTGGCTGCCATTTTGCGCCTATGGCCTCTCCGACCACCACCACACAACACTCACAATCATACACCAGTGGAGGACACACACTGGGAGTAAGGTGGGTCAAGTGTCTTGCCCAAGGACACAACAGACAGACTTGGAATAGACAAAAAAGCTCCAACCTGGTCAAATTTGGGTTCCCATGAGGAAAAAGAGGGATATGGTATCTTGAGGGTATCTAACGTAACTTTGTGGGGTCCAAACAGGTAAAAAAGCTCAGATGTTGGGACAACACGCCATCGCCCTGGCATCCATTTTGGCTCAGCGGTGTAATGTTGATCATAGGAAATATCTACCTTAGTATTCAGCACGCCGTCACTTCCTAATCTGTGTATAAACACGTGACAGTAACTTCAACTGAGGCTGATAAAGACAGAATAGTTTCCCAGAGTTAAATCTATCTCAAACAGATCTGGATATCAGATATAAAAGGTCATCTTCAGGTCACTATGTCACTGCACCAGGTCATGTGACATGATGTGATGTTCGCTGTTGTCCAGTACAGTATTGTCTCTGTCCTGTGTGCATGTTGTCAAACTGTGAGCATACTATATGTATGTGAAAGTGCTGATGAGACTCCCTGAAATCCCCTTTTTCTCAGCGGCAGTGGAAACTCATGGCTACAGGAGAACAATCCAGCGCTGAGCTTTTGTTGTGACACAGCACATTGTCCCTGGAGGTGTGCTGCTGTGAGTGTGTGTGTGTGTGTATGTCTGTGTGTGTGTGTACTGTATGTGTACCTGTGCATGTGCATCTACATGTGTTTGCTGCCTGGTATAAATAGCGTGAGATGTGTGCCGGCCACTGATTCTGTGGATGAAGATGGCTGTGCCTGGACCTCCTCTGCTTCTCTTTCTGTCTGTGCTGCTGCCGCTGCTCTTGAGCAAGGCGTCTCTGCCTGCAGCTGCATACACACTCAGCCCTGGACGGCAGCCTCAGCCCAAGATCCTCCATCTGGGTGAGGATACACACCACGGTGCAAAAGTCCAAAACCTAAGTCAAACTTTAAAATCTTCGACTTAAATGTGCTTCATCTTGTTTTTGTTTCCTGTTAGACTGGCCGAAGGATTGTGGTATGGCGCACTTCAAACCAAACACGGCGGAGAGAATCGTGTCTGGGAATGAGGCGAGACCTCACTCCTGGCCTTGGCAGGTCTCACTGCAGGTAAATCTATCTTAGGGTTGATATTTTTGAGTATCTGAAGGGAGAAATATCAACACCACGATTACCAAATAACTGATAAACTCGTACAAATCAATTAGTCTTGACCAAACCCCTTTTTGAGGTTACAATTTATGACTTTTTAATCATCACTTCATGAGTTTGCTTTTTTGTAATTATCTGGATATGATAGTTCACAATAAACACACTATAAAAGGTCTGAATTTACTGTAATATATAAAAAATCTGATTTTATACAAGCCAGTGTTTCCCAGTGCGCATGTGGACATTTTACCTCTTGGATGGAGGTCTGGGTATGACGTCCACGACCCAAATGAGCATACTTTCACACTGTTGTGGTACATTTAAATTAGGCTCCAGCCGTCTGTCAGCCTCCGTCAGGTAAATTGGTGAAAATCTGATAATAAAAAAAATGTAAATAGAGTTATTTTGGATTTAGGGGAAACATGCAGCAAACACAACTACTGTTCAAGACACTGAGTCAGCGTGGTATAGCTGATATGCAACATGTGCAATCTTTTATTCTTCTTAATCATAACTTCATTAGCTGAAAATCTGCTTATAGCACCCTCTAGTGGACGAACCATCCACATATATCAGACATATTGTATTTCAGCATTTTAGGACTGAATGCAGTTGATTTCCAAAAGCTTATATTTGGCGCAATTTTGGCATACATTTTTTTTAAATTTGTTGGATTGTCTAAAGTGGGTAAAATTATGTATTAAAACATATTAAATCATGGCCAATTTTTTATATTTTCTTAATTGTGTACTAATATTACACAACAGCTCAGAGCTAAAAACATTAAGGCCATGACACGACTTGCAAACACGACTTCTCTCACCGACTCTTCACTGTTGTTCCCCATGAGAGGAGATTCAGAGTCCTAATATGCAAAAGAGCCTATCTCAGAAAAAGTCTCATTTCCTCAGCTAAATTAACCATAAATATGAAGCTGGTACAATAAACTAACTTACTTACTAATCCCACCTTTAATCCAACCTCTTTGATAGCAGTGAAGACATTATTTGGCATTATTTACCTAATTAAAATCTTTACCAGGAGAGCTATGTTACCATATTTTTCGCACTATAAGGCGCACTTAAAATCCTTTTGGCTTGTCGGAACACTGCAGCTACCGTAGCCTTGCGGAGTTATTAAATGAGTTTAACAAAGTTTAACTTATCTGACTGTTTTGTCAGATGAGTGCGCTTTATAACCCGGTGCGCCTTATAGTGGGAAAAATACGGTAATCTTTTTTAGTATTTTTTAAAAATCTCACCTCACAGTGGAAGCTGTCTGGATGTCTCCTGTAGGTTCGTCCCAGGGGGAGCAAACATTACATTCATGTCTGTGGAGGAACTCTCATCCACAAGAACTGGGTCCTTACTGCGGCCCACTGCTTCCAAAAGTAAGTCACATACTGTCCCTTTAATACAGCAAAAAACAAAATGTTCAAAAATAGGAAATGAAATTTGAGCTTCAAAAACCTGACAGCAGTTGTTTTTGGTCTCTCAGAGGTAAAGCCGAGGATGCTGGGAGCTGGAGGATCGTCCTGGGGAAGCACCAGCTGAAGCGCTCAGAGACAGCCGAGCGAATCTTCCCCGTGAAGAGGATCTACCGACATGAGAACTTCCGGTACCCGGCTCACAGCGAGCTGGACTACGACATCGCCCTGGTGAAGGCTGGCACGGACATCATCCCCTCAAACTTCATCCGCTACGCCTGCCTGCCGCGCAAGCAGACCAGCCTGAAACCGGGACACTACTGCTGGGTGACGGGCTGGGGGGACACCCGGGGTGAGGAGAGAACTGAATGTAGAAAAAAAAGAATAGAGCTTTGATTACAATTCAGAAACAAGAGCAAAGGCAGTCATAGGGTTTTTAGAAAACATTTATTCTTAGGGCATGAGACCAAGAACCGATATTTGGTATCGATATGCAATCACAGCAAAAATTCCTGTCAAAATCCAGGGTGTGGGATAAAACAAACTATTACAGTTAACTTTTCTCCACTGCTGAATATCAGCCCTAAGCTAATCAATCCACCTCTATCTTCCATCTTTAACTACCATAACCTAAAGATACTAAACCCCAAATTTGAAATGTAAACCTTGGGCTGGTTGCAAGCTCAATTGATCGTCAAATCCAGCAAGGTTCTTCCTCTGGGGAGCAAGAAAAAACAAACTTTTATGAACCCAATTGCAGTTAAATGAATATTATTTTCCTTTCATGTATTTCAGGTGGGAAGGAGAACGTTTCTCTGGCTGAGGCCCTGAACCAAGCCCGCCTGCCCATCATCGACTTCAAGACCTGCCGGCAGAAGAAATTCTGGGGCGATAGGGTCCGAGACTCGATGATCTGTGCCGGGTTCAGAGACACTGAGGACCCTCCTGCTGCATGCCAGGTACCGCTGAAATTTAGACGTTCTTACTCAGCTGGTTTGGTTTAGTTAGTGGAGCAGGCGCCTGATTTACAGAGGCTACAGTGTTGGTCATAGGATCAGGAGCGTGCAAGTCAAGGATCTGGAACCCTTGAAATCTGATAAACCGTCCAAGCTATGATTGGCTACCTGCCTTTTTTAGAGGCGGGGCTTACATTCACATTAACTATTTGGTGTGTGTTAAAGGTAGGGCCTGACTGATATGGATTTTTTGGCGCCAATGCCGATACCGATTATTAGGGGGGAAAAAATCGGATTACGCATTAGTCGGCCAATTTTCTAAATTTTTAATGAAGTTTTAAAATTTTGTTAATTTAAGTAACATATCTACATTTATACTTATTTTTAACAAATGGCTGCTTTTAAGCCTTTCAAACACTTCCCCAAAGAATTAAAGGCAGAAAACTCATTTCAAAAACTGAAACTGAAACTTGTTGACTTATTGTGTATTTCACAAACTGGTTTATTTACCGTTGAGGCGGACCACTCTCCTCCGTGCGTCCCTGAGCTGCCTGCTTCAGATCCGTCACTCTGCTGTGCTGTGAGGTAGTTAGTGGATGAAGATTGTCATGAGGTCGCTGCGCCATCTACAGGATAAGTCAGGGAACTTTTCAAATGGCAGAACATTTTCGAAGTCTTGGCCGATTACCGATTAGTCTCAAACGGGCCCTAGTTAAAAGGCTGGCAGTAGCTTTGTTTTTAAAAGTCTATTTTTATTCGACTACTATGGCCACCCCATGACCCGGTTTAAGCCACCCCAGTCAAAAAAGTCTGGACACACACCTGCAAAGGATTGAAACCCCAGTTTTGAGAGATTTAGTGCACACTTTCCTCCTTATTTTCCAGAAACCAAGATAATACTCTTCGATAATAACTCAACACTCACTTTTATTCCCCCTCTTCAGGGTGACTCTGGCGGTCCTCTGCTGTGCCAGCTGGGGCGCGACCGCTGGGAGGTGCACGGCGTGGTGAGCTTCGGCCCTATCGGCTGCACCGTGGAGAACAAACCCAGCGTCTTCACCCGCACCGCCGCCTACATCCCCTGGATCGAGGCGACGCGCATCAGGGACTTCTTCCTGCACTAAGCGGACCACCTGACTGACAGCAAACATAAGCTCTGCTCTGTTTAACGTCTCACGTCCGAACACGACTACATCCTTTCTCTCACAGTTCTATGAAGACGCGTTCACCACTTTTTCAACTTAGAACCGCTTACAGATGTAAAAACATGTTTTTTATGTCTACTGACTGTTTTCAAACACTTATCTTAGAGTCTCAAAGATGAACTTTTGTGGTACCAAACAGCTGAAAAATGTAAACGACTCATTACATTTCACTCCCACTCAACATTTGTACAATAAAACTGGTAAAAAGCAAAATCTTTGGCAACGTTTCCCATTTTTTATTACAGTTTTTCTTACAGCGGGTTTCGATGGCGTACATGAACATCCAGAACTGCTTTCAGGGATTTCTTCTCGCGCAGTAAAACATTAACCCACCGCAGATTCACTTCAATAAATACAAGAGAAAAGACCGTAAGGCTTAGCTCTGAGTTAAGTCGAAAACCTTTTTGCTCTTCTCCAACAAGGAAGAGTCCTTCAGTCCAAAACCAGAGAGGAGATCATCTACAGACAAGCATCAGACATCACATTGGCTCATATGATCCACATCAGAGCTTCACTGATTTCCAAAGAAGCATAAAAGAAGACCTGAAGAAGTCCTCCACTAACATTGATAAAATACATGACACACCTCCTCACAGCGTCCTGGTTTTACTGATCTGATCAGCAGCAAGAGGACCTCCGAGGATAAAGACAAATGTTGCTCTTGGATGGTCCAAGTCTTGATTTTATGTGGAATAAGTCCCGTTTTTTCACATCTTCAACATCGTAAAACAATTCTTCAGTTTCCCAGGATGGTCCAGAAAAGGGAGGTCGCAATGAGGGAGGAGAAACCAGTGACCCGGGACCGACTCGCACTTTCCTGAGAGCACACTGCATTTGACCAGAGTCTAATTCCTCTTAGCGCTGTGGTTAAAGGCGGTGTCCTGGAGGAGAAGTTTGGCCCTAGAGTGGAGGTGGATGAGTGTGGTAGAGGTTAATAAAGCCGGGACGATGATGATGATGAAGAACCTGTGAGGTGGTCCCAGTTGTTGTAGAGAGCGTAGGCACCGGACAGAGCTAGACCAGCCAGACCTCCTCGGGCTGCACCCTTAAGACCACCTGCAAAGACAGAGGAGACGAAGACTCAGCGATGAAACCGTTTACACATTTTAATTTTAACATTTGAGGGAGGCGACAGATGGACTGATGGATGATAAGATAAGGTCCTTGTAACTTACAATAACACATGAGAAAAACAGAGAGGACACTTACTGCCTGATTTGAAGAGCACCCCCGTTAGCGTCCCTGCAGCGACTGTGTTGATGTCATCTTCAGCTCCTCTGGCTTTTTCGATCACCACACCGAACGCACTGTACAACAAGGCTGCAATGACACAGATCAACAAAGTGATTCAGAAGAGCTTCATGCTACATATTTGTGTTTAACTATGAAATAAGTTGATATGTTCAAGATCATTATGGGTAAAGGTCTTACCAACGGAGCCCAGAGCGTTGGCCCATGAGGCACCCTGTCTGGTTACCATGTTGAGGATCCTGCGGGAAAGAAAAACACATTCTAAGTATGATTCCAGTGAAGAATAAAGAGTATCACCTCTTTAACACATGACTTTGTCTTCATACTTACTGTACATTACGAGGTTTGGACCAGGCCATGTCTCTGGTCTCCTTCAGGCCCATCCTGAGCCCATTTACAGCTCCAAGTGCCGCCCCTGTAGCCAAAAGAACACACAAGAAACACATAAGACTGACATGCTCCATTTCAAGTCTGTTAAAGGGATATTCCGGCGTAAAATTAATTTAGGGTCAAACACACCGTAACACCGAGTTAGACACCCCGTCTAGAGATGAATGTTGCCGACCGCTTGTTTCTCTAGTTTCACCAACTCAGTGTTTCGGTGTGTTTGACCCTTACTTAAATAAACGCCGAAATATCCCTTTAAAGATTTTGGTTCCTGAAAGTATTTTCTCTGATTCAGTTAGACTAGAGGATCCCAGGTTCGAACTCTGAGACGTCTTACCTGTCATACAGGATCCTCCGATGGTAAAGAAAGCCAGTTCAAACCTCCCTCTGGTTTTGTTGGCGCCTGTGGGCAGGATAAACTCATCTGTGTCCTGAAAGAAAACAACCACATGTGTATTTACTGTCACAGAGTCACCTGTTCAAACGAGAAATTAGCCGTTAACAGGATTATTTTTTCGTCGGATGGTAGGGGAAGGTCCCGCCCTCCTTCGCCTCTGATTGGCTAGAAGAGCTGCCCGGTCGTTACTCACCTGAACAAGGTAACGAGGGTCCACATTGAGGTACGGAGAGAGGGGACTCATTCCGGTCACTAAAACGACAAAAACAGCACTATTTCCACACTTTTCACATAATGTCCCACTTTAAAACATTAAATTAGTGTTTTTAGGCAGTAAGGCAAGTGTAGTTAGCTTCATGCTACAGTTACATCACACTCACAGGGAACACCGGACAGCTCCGTGTTCGAGTATTCCGGCGCACCGCCTCCAAACAGACTCCCGAAGCCTCCTTTCGCTCCCCCGGATCCTTGAGAGTTGTTGTCCATGTCTGTAAGGGTTTTTGAGGGTCACCTGGAGAAGACCGGAGCCAGGTGGGAAGAGCTAGCCGACCGTTAGCAACCGTGAGCCGAGCAACCGAACTCCAAACCGGAGCAGCCGGATTCACAACGAGTGGGAAAAAACACGGTCCTGCGAGGTCGCCGGTGAGTTTTAAAGCGAGTTTTTCGGTTTAGAAAACAGTCTTTATCGGTAGAGATGACTGAGCTCGAGCTGTCGTCATGTCCCTGACCTCCAGCAGCAGCACGCTCTGCCGTAAAATGGCCGCTGACGTACTACTGTCGTAACGTCAAGACGTGACAGTGAAGGGTAAGAAGAAACTCAAATGAGACAAAACTCAAAATTTACAAGCAGAACTACCTCTTTAGTAAAATTACTGCGATAAGATATAGCCTATTATAGATTAAACATCGAAAGATACCCTCTCTGATGCTGTTTCAGTGATAAATTTGTGACAAAATGTCCTTTTAGCAGCTAAACTCAGTGTAGTGCCCTTTGGATGCCCTTCTGTAGTCTTTTTAAATAGATGTTTTCTTGTCATGAAATGTTTTTGAGTTACGTTTTATACTCTAGAAACCTTTTTTTTGTACAAGTGTAGGGGAGAGTGGGGTAAGTTGAGCCACCCCCTGTTGCTTGGAAACTGTAAAAGAAATTGATGTTGTGACCAAATATTTAGGAGATGAGCATCAATTCATGGAGTCTGTGAAGGTTAAAACATGGCAGAGGTCTGTATAAAGGAGAAATTAGGAAGACTCAATTTTCAGAGGACAACATCTCCAGATCTAGAGGTGCTGCTGGTGCTATAGTGAGATTTTTACAATTACTTTTACGTTTCCATTGATTATACACAAATATGAAGCATTCACATTAACCAGTGGAAGCTCTGCAAGCACAACTTACACGACTTGGTGATAGTTAATGTCTTTAGAAGTTCTCTGATATTGAGGTTAGTGCAAAAACAAAGCTGTAAGTGCACACAGGCCCTTAGAGATTTTCATCCTTAAAAGCTGACCATGATTTTGATAGAAAAAGTCAGTAATTATGCACCAGTATCATGAAAATTTGACATTATTCTGAGAAAACAAAGTCTTATTTTGAGTCTTTGTTTTCAAAAAGGTGCAAACATTTCATCACCTTACCTGTTCATCGTCTAATATCCTTTAGCGACTGGCTTTGTCACCCAGGATGCATCACAGAGAGGCATTGCAGGCCTTCTCTTAGCAGACCAAGACCACCAACAAAAATAAAAGTGCAATACTACACCCCTAATTATTTATTAATCATGTGCAAAATCAATTTAATCATCACCACATCCATACCTGTTTTTTTTTTGTTGGCACTGATCTTTATTTTGTTTCTCTTTTATATTTATACTGTTCTTCCATTGCACTGCTCTTTCTTTGTTTACATTAGTTCTTTTATCTTATTTATTTGTTTTTTGTACCCGGTATGAATGTGTATGTTGTGTGTACCGCTGCTGTTAACATTTTAATTTCCCCACTGAGGGACAAATAAAGGAAAATCTAATCTAATCTATTGTGTCCGCTCACCTGTTGCAGTACCGCCTTTGGAGTTCCTGTGATGTGCCAGAAGAGGGCAGCAGAGCGCCGACAGCTGAGGCTGACCAGCTGGAGAAAGGTCAGACTTGTTGCTTCTGCTCCAACCTGGGAGTATCTCTATATTTGTCTGAACTTCTTTCTCACCGATTTAATCAAAAAGACGTTCAAAGTCACGATCCAGACATGTCGAATCTGGATGATGTTATTCGAATTACGGTACAAACGGGTAAAACAACTCCCATGTGGCACCTGTCAGGCCCTTTTAAAAGCAGGATTTCCCACATTTCAATGTGACTTCTTACTTACCCATGATGCAACACAGGAGCAAGACCACACGCACGCACACGTACGCGCACATTTTCTCAGCTCGGGCCCCGGCCATCTGCTGCCGGTCAAAAGGACAGAGGCAGTGAAGGAATTTAGTGTGTTGAATTTCCCGAATAACAGAGCATCTTATTTGGATTCTGCCATTGTATGTGTGTATTCAGAAGGGGCCAAGTGGAGCGATGAAGTTTGCCATTGTCGCCCAGTGTGGGTGTTTTCAGACTCTCTGGCATGATCTGTGAGTTAGTGTTCTCTGTGTTACTGCCCAGTGTGCCCACTGTCTTTCCCACAATGCCCCATTCAGCCCTGGGCCTCTCTCTCTCCCTCTCTCTCTCTCTCTCTCTCTCTCTTTCTCAGACTGAGCTGCCACCCATTTTGTGCCTCTGGCTAATCATCATCATCATCATCATTACCATCATCGGGCTACCGACCAAATTCTCACTTGTGGGGATAAAAAAAAATTACCTGTGATGTCATCTTTGTTATCTTTTTTCAGCCGCTCTTCTCCTTCATTTCCTCTCTTCTTCCTCTCTCTCTCTCTCTCTTTCTCTCTCTCTTTCTTTCTTTCTTTCTGTCCCTCTGAGCTCCCAAACACAAAAGACAGAGAGGCCACGACAGGACCCCAGTGTATGCTGGTTGTCAGGGAGACAAGGAGACAGTGTTGGGTCTTTAAACTGCCTCAGAGGGGTGTGTGTGAAGTTAGGGGGGAGTTGGCCTTATTTACATGGGAAGAGGACAAGAGAGAGAGAGAGAGAGAGAGAGAGAGAGACGGCAAGAGGTTTGAAATACAACTTTTCCTCCCTGCAGCTCATAAGACTGCGTTGTTATTCAGCTAAAATCATTCAGTCATCAAATATTTACCAAGCAGACGAAATCTGGAGCCTGTTCATTATGTGGAGAATGCCGTGCATACATAGTAATGTAAATCAACCTGTCTGTGTCTCCCACTCTCTCACACACACACACACTCATTCCTGCACACTCACACACTTTGATTGTAAGCGCTGGGAGCTCTGGGCCCCACAGTGTTGGCAATGCTGAGAAGCTGACTGCAGAATACATTACCAGATGCTTTAAGAGTGTTTCAGAGCAGACTGGAAGAACAAGAAGGAGAGAGAGAGAGAAAAAAAAAAGAAAAGAAAAGAGACTCAAACTCGAGTGAAAACAGGAAAAACAGAGAGAGGAGCACACACCCATCCAAACATACATGCACCCCCACCCATGCATATCCACTCTCTTTTATTTCCCCCTCTTTGCTATCTCCACTCTGCTTCCTCCTGTCCCGAGGATTGTCTGCGGCGGTCACACCGTGTCCCCTCTCTCTCTCTCTCTCTCTTTCTCTCTCTCTCCCTTTTTGTGTGATCGGGGGGTCTGGGGGTTGTGGCCGCAGAGCAGGCTCAACTCCAAGCCTGAAGTTCAATATCAAGCCCTCAACTCCACAATGAAAGCAGGAAGGGCAGGGAGAGGACGGATGAGCCACCCACTGCTGCATTCACAACAGAAGAAACATGTGATTTGCTTTTTTTTTTCTCGTGTGGGGAAGTTCGCCTTTAACTCCCAGAGCTGATTTTTTTTTCTCTCCACCCTTTACGGCTCTTTTTTTTGTTTTATCATTTTTAATAAGCGCACCCTTTGAGAAAACAGGAGTCTAATTAGAACAAATGAAGCCGCTGCGACACATGTATCGGTTAGCTTTCGGATACTTCAGGGACCGAGTGCGATCCCGCGCAATATTTACTCTGCAGATGTTTGAGGGCGAGTTTGCACAATCAATTTCCCTTTAATTCCCCTGCTGTATAGTCCTCCAAAAACCTGCACCCCCTTTCTCTTCTTCTTCTTTTTTTTTCTGTTATACATGTGCATGCCTCTGAGAAACCATGGTGAGCAGGGTGTGTTTTCTTCTCTCCTATTACACACATCCATGTATGAAGAAGGAGAACAACATGGAGAAAAAGGAGAAGTTGGGGGGGGAGGACAATGTGGTGGCCTTTTCCCTGCATTTTGTCCAAAGTGTTTGCTGGGTTTTTTCCGCCCCTTGTCCGTTTCTAAGGAGTGTTTGGTGATTAGTATGCAGAAAGGAAGCTGATTTGCATAATTAAGTGCTACAGAGAAAAAGCAACAAAGTTTTGTTAGTTCAACAACTATGAGTTTAATAGTGTACAAAGAGTTATTCCTGCTCAGAAAACTTTTAAAAGTTAAAACGTTCATTTTCCAACACAGATCTTCATTTCTTTTAGACACACATATTTCTTATTTAAAAGAAATCCAAAGCTGAGACAGAAACCATTAAAGTGGTTAATAATCACAGAAGTGGTAACAGTTAGTAACCTACACTTGGCACTGAAGAGTAGATTAATGTTGTACTACACTGTTAATTCTCACACTTATAGTATACAAAAGGCACAGAGGGCAAGCAATGCTGATCTTAAAGGCTCAAGTTAATACAGAGAACTCCAGTATATCAGGACATGATTACTTTAGACACATGAATGATCGTTAAACTCATCAAATTACTCTCCATAATAAGGCATAATGTTCTTATCTGAAAAGGTCATTTAATGTTATTTTCAGGTACAAAATAGAATATAAAAATACATTATAAACTCGTTACAGATGTTACGCTCCATGATTCTTTTGCTTTTTGTTACGTCAAGGCATCGGTTGGTTTTGTTTTGTTTAATCTTGTGTCTGCGTGTAAAACTGTACCCTCTGGAAAAAAGCGAGTACACATGCAAAAATATATATATGGACGACTTCATCTCCAACGAAACAAACAAACAAACAAAAAAAACAAACAGAAGATAAAGTAAAACACTGTTCTTCCGAGGCGGTCAAGCCTCACATAAACATCTCAGACTTCTAGCTGCTGTTTTAATACTGCATTTGCACTTCAAATGTGTTTTTTTTTTTATCTTTTTTTTTTGCACCAAAATCTGAATTGCATGGAGATACGGTTGACGGTCATTACGCTGCGACACATTCCCTGCAGCCTGAACCCAAATGTCGTAATCACGCTGTAGCGGTAGAAAGATTGAGGCTACGTTCACACCGCAGGTTATGATGCACAATTCCGATTTTTTTGTCAAATCCGATCTTTTTGTGCGGTCGTTCACATTACAACAACAACAAATGCGTCTAATGTGAACGGAACGCGTCCGTGAAGTGACCTGCATGCGCACAACTGGCTGTTCTCTGTTGCTTTCCGCGCCTGTTTGGTGACGTTTGTCCATAGACTGTTTATAGAATAGACGACGTCTGCCTCCTCGCTGGGTGAAGCCACTCCGAGAACAGCACCCTCTGCTGTTTGGCTGCAGTATAGCTCATAAATCCCGCCTCCGCCAGTAAAACTTATGGAGCTGTGGACAAACTTTACGAATTTATTACACAGAATATAAATTTTTCTCTCCCTGGTTACGATGTTGACATGTAGTTACTGTCAGACTGGTTTGTGTTCAAGTCCTCTTTTTTCTGTGAAGCTCAGTTTTTAAAAGTTATTAGGGGGTTCATGTTTTCTATGATTGACACCTGATACAGCCTATGGGCGTTCAGGGATTGCATAGCTCTCCGGGGGGATACGCTGTTTGAGCCGAGCGTCATCACGGGGACTCTGCGCAGCTCTGGTTTCAGGAAATGAAGAAAAACCCCGGAAATACCGAGAGCTTTTTGGCTTTAAGTTGTCCATCGTATATACAGTCTATGCGTTTGTCACATATTGATGACGTTTAGGTCACGTATAGGTATAGTCGCCTCGTATCCGATTTATATCCACATACAAAAGAGGCCTGGGTCGGCTTTGTAAAAATCAGAATTCCACTATTCACACTTGCATGAAAAACTCAGATATGTGCTACATATGGTTAAAAAATCGGAATCGACCTGCAGTGTGAACGTAGCCTTAGGTGTAGCGTTGGCTGGATGCTCTTAATAAATAAAGGCACTGCTGTTCAAGCTGGTACGACACTGTAGTGTGAAAAAAGCAAAGGCATCGCTGTGTAAGTCAAACAAAAAGAGGTGCAACCCTCACTTGGCGTTGCATACTGTAAGTACTTGGGATGATTTTTCTGTCGTTAATATTCCATGAAGAGAAACTTTGGCATTTTCAGTTTCCATTTTTTTTTTCCTCACGGAGCACCTGTTGCTTAAAAAGATTCAGCGCTGGCATTTCATTTCCTGTTTTTTTTGTTTCGAATGTGTCGAAATTTCTCAGGCGGCATTTAAACACGTCATTTCAATCACATGTTGGTGTTACATTTCTGAGGAGAAGCTTGTTAATGTATTAATGTTTTTAACACCAATTATAACGTGTTATCATGAAATTAATGAATGCGATCCCTTTTATTTGTGCGAGTGGGGGGAAAAAATATGAGGTGCCCGATGAGGAAAGATTCGATAAATTGTCATTGCATCTCATTAAAACTGGGTTTCATGGAGATTTTTCTCTGCTGGATGAGTAATAGATATCTTCATTACCTTTTAGAGCATTAATAGAGTCATTATTATTATTATTGCATCAAATGGAGTGAGGGCAGGGCAGCTCAGAGACAGTTTGGCACAGTCAGGGATGGTTTAAGAGCCCTTCACTTGTTTGGAGCCCATCCCCAGTGACATGAGCTGGTGATAATGGCGGCTACAGATGATCTAGTGGTTTCAAAACATTCTCAGACTGGCTTTGAACTCTTTATGAGAAGGCACGTTTGGTAAAGTTTAGGTTAGGACTCAGAGGTGGGCGGGGTCCTGAGGTCTATTCCTGTGATCGCTGTCGTCTGGTTGGCTGGTTAGACAGAAGCAGCCGGGGTTGTTCCCAATGTGCTGGTCTGGTTGGCTGAGCTGCGGGGAAGTGGCGGGGCCGTGGGCCAATGAGCACGCCAGCGGGGCAGAGATGGGTGGGTCATCAGTGGGCGGAAAGGTCAGAAGGTCAAGGGGTCATGGGTTAGTTGCCGTGGCAGCTAGAGTTAGACAGACAGAGACGGACGGAGGGACGAGGAAAGGAAACAAAAAAGGGCACATAAAAGGGGACATAAAAAGAAAAAAGATAGAAGAGAGATTAGTGTCAGCTAGTGGCGTCAGGATGACAACAAGGCAGATCTACTGCAGACACACAGCGTGAGGGGAGCTGGGCTACACCTTCATGAGCCCTGCATGACCATTCAGAGTGACTTACACCAACCACCGGGTGGTGACATAAGGAATGGCGGGTTAGCGATGCTCATAAGCGCTCATGAAGGTGTTTTGCAGGAAGAAGGAGCCCCTCCCGCTGTGCGACCGCTGCTATAGTGATACTACTCATGCTAGCTGGGCTACAACTCGCACAGACAGACAGTGAAACCATGGACAGAGAGGGAGACAGCATGGTTTCGTGTGGGTGAGAGAGTGACCTTTATGCTCAAAGAAAAGTGTCTGGGCCTCACAGAAACTCGCAACAACTGACAAGTAGAGCTATTGTTTAGCAGCAGGCATAAGATCTCAAAGATTAACAGTCATGATTATTGATTATTGTTGGATTTTCTTTTACAACCCCAATTCCCAACCAGCTGGGAGGCTGTGCGAAATGCAGACGAAGACAGAATCTGATGGTTTGGGATTTATTTAAACCTCATTTTTGATTGAAAAAAGTGCAAAGACAAGAGTTTAACTAAAGATACTCGATTGTTTTGTGAAAGAATGGGCTCAATTTGTTTTTAAAAAGTCTGAAAAAGTTATATAATACGACAAAAAACAACTATCTCTCGACTAATTTGGTGAATTTGCACGGTTAGTGGCATGACTGGGTATAAAAAGGGTATTTGAAAGAAGCAGAGTGTCCCTGAAGTGTAAGAGACTGTGAACAAAGAGTTCAACAATCTTCCTAAAATCACAAACAGCTCTGAGATTTCGTCATCTACAGTTCTTGATATCATAAAAAGGGACAAGTCTGAAAGCCAGTAAAGGATGGATGTGATTTCCAGACCCCTATGAGACACGGCAACAAAAACAGAGACGACTCTGTAGTGGAAATCACCACATGAGTTCAGATTTACTGCTATAATGCATGGTCTATGAATCATGGACTCTGCATCCTCAGGTTACAGCATCTGTGACACACATGTGCCAACGATGGAGTCGTTTACACATCTGTGAAGGCTCCATTAATGCTGAACAACATATACAGGTTCTGGGGTAAACACGCTGCCATCCAGACAACGACTGTTTTCAGGGAAAAACCTTCATAATTCAGCGAGACGAAGCCAGACCACATTCTGCATGTATTACAACAGCATGGCTCTGTGGTAAGAGAGGCTCTGCAGTCTCCGCTCGTCACTATTTGGAAACATTTGGCACAAAATGAAATAAAAATATGACCGGGGGGCGAAAATGGGGCAACACTTCCCTTTTAAAAAACATTTACAGTGTTGTTTGGAGGAGAGGTGATGCAAAACAGGAGCAAACAGGATCGATTTTCTCTAAACGTGTCGCTAGCATTACTTCTAAAATAAGTTGTCTTTGCACTTGTATCAGGTTTAGATGATTTGCAAACCGCCGAATTCTGCTTTAATCCACATTTCACTCAGCGTCCGCACTTCTCTCGGAGCTGGGGTTGTACTATGAAGTATTAGAAGAGCACCTAATGACTAGAGTAAGCAAAGAGGCACCATAAGAGATAGTGATGAGAGGTTAAGAGATGGTGATTTTAGAGGGACTTAAGACACAATTCAACAATAGACAGACTAACTACAAGAATTTCGAGGCTTTGGTTTCCTTTAGAGATGTTTTCAATAGTCATCTTTATTGCCTTTTAGTGTTTTCTTGTCCATCGCGTACAACAAGAGCTCCACCGCTCACATACACACATATATTGTAGCTAGCTAGTCCATTTTCTATTGCATAAAACAGTCTCGAGGCCTGTGAATCGAGAAGGGTCACCTCATCTTAAATAGACAGAGCAAACACACTGCCTTCATTGCCACCTTTTTTTTTTTTTCTCTTTTCTTTTTTTTCTTGTTTTTTTCTTCCTCACGGTGACTAAAACAGTAGTAGCTACACACCTCGAATAAAGTTTGAAGTTTTACATGGAGACACTTCATCTATAAAAAGCATATCGTAGAAACAAAAATAAAAATTTACAAACTAAAAAAAAAAACTAAAACAAAACAAAAAAAAAATACTACAAGTATTTCAAAGCGATCTTGTTCCATAAGCTTCATATAAGCACTTTAAAATCCCTATATACAAATTTATTTTGCAGCTAAATACATGGCAACAGCACCACTCTGGCTAGGAAATATATGAAAGATGTAAACAGCCCCAATGATAAAGTCCAGTGGGCGACTGATAAGACCACAAACAACAGTATTTCATACAAAAGAGCTTGTAACACAGACTTCAGTAGTTATCACACGCTGTGTTTTAGTAGTAGAGACCAAAGATCATGTTGAATTGAATGATCTCCAGAAAAAAAGACAATCACTGTTACTTGAAATGTCATATAGTCATTGGGAATAACACAGGATTTCATTAATAATAATAATATAATAATAATAATAATAAAAAGGAACATTTGTGGAATGAAGTTGGGTATAAATAAAAACTTCCCACAGATATTTGCAGGGTCAGAAGTAGTACTGAAGAGATAAACAACAACAAAAAAAAAAAGTTTCTGAGAGGAGGAAGGACTCTGAATCCAGAGTCACAAGGACCGAGTCACATGAACGGAGCGATCCACTCTAATTGAGAGGGTCCCGGCCTGCAAGCCGTCCAGTTTATCTACCAGGCGAGTGAAAGATAACCGCCGCAGCTGTCACCCTTAACGTGGTTCCTCCCAAATTTTCTCACTTATTTCACTTTCACTGCGACGAACACTGTTTCACATTTTGACACTGACGCTGCTCCCGCCTGACGCAGTTATTTTCTTTTTAAGGCATGCCGTATTACAGACACATGTAAACTGAGATTGGTCCATTGGTCTGCATGCACGCACGCTTTCAAACACACACACACACGAGAACACGCGCACACGCTCACACACGTATACACATAAAGTGGCTGGTGAGCTAACTAACCTCTGTCTGGGGTCACTACCCTTTGGTAAGGATGGATTCTCTTGTCGTGGCGTCGTACCTTAGTGGTCATGGCACCTGCTTACAGCCATTGACATTCGCCAAAACAGAACACAGAAGGTTACTCATCAGAAAGACATCAAACAGTCCACCCATGGCACCAACATCAGTGAAACCAGGAATTTAAAAAAAAGGTTTAAACTGAGGGTGAAAATAAATCTATGAGACAGAATTTTTCGTTGTTTCGTGGTCTTCTGCTCGCTAAGGTAAATATTAATCCAAACTGCTAGAATTTAACTCTAAGCTTCACTAGTAGATTCAACATCAGCTGTAAGCAAAGTCACTCTATAGCTCTGTGATTAAAACAAGCTTTAACATATATTAAATCACAAACAGCGGCGCTAAAATATCTACGGGTTCACTACAAATGTGTTAAAGTTACAAGCAGAAGCTGGTCTATTATAAAAAGTTAAAACAGCCGTCACACCACAACACTAGTCTGCTAATACAAAGAGGAAATTAACAGGAATGGACACTTGACTACAGAATGACTGTCGAGGAATCTGTCATCCTAGAGTATGAGCAAACTTTGACTGTTTGCTCTGCGGGACAAGTATGTAAAGGGGGGTAAAACAGAGAGAGAGAGAGAGAGAAGGGGGGAGGGAGGGAGGCAAAGGGGAAGGGAAGGGGAGGGGGGGGGGGTCTCTGCAAGCCAGTCCGTGTGTGTGCTAGGAGGGGTTGCTATCGCTTAGCCTTTGGTTGGGAAAGCCATACCTGCAAAAACACAGGGAGAGGGGACTGTTAGCCCAGCAATGAGCTTCAGCATGCACGTGCAAATGTGGAGGATGTATTACAAGAGCTGGATACGGCTGCCAGTCTGAACTAAGACGCTGAAACCCACTTTAAATATCGCTGTATGAGTTAAAGTCTGATTTTGGTGTCACGTATTCACATAATCGAGTTTTAATCAGCAGATAACGGGTTAAAAAGTCAATTATAGGTGTCCAAACGTCTGCTGATTTACTTACTGGCCTTAAAGTTGATGCATGAGTCATGTGCCTAGTCCACCTCCACCGCACTAGGCAGCGACATGCCTCCTTTGACGTATCGTCCATCTGATGTATTACATATCAACGCTTAGGCCAGTTTCAGTCCCATTCAGCTGTAAACACGCAGGAGAAAACTGATCCTCGACCGCATTATCCAGGTATGTTAATCCAAGTCCGGTTCCAGTCCAACTTACTTGTTTACAAGTTTCAGTAGAACTAAATCTGATATCGTGCATCCCTATCAGAAACTCTTAACAGTCAAAAACATAAAGATTAGAGCAGGAACTCACTCTATGAGGAGCTCACTGTGAGTCCATCTCTGTGTTTGGTTGGGTCTCTTGTTAATTTGGCTGCAAATGAAACCAACTAGGATGTACATTAATGCCTTTTAATGAGCTATGAAAGTAAACGAGACGATCAGAGACAGAGCCGGTTATTTCTAAATCGAGGGTTTCAACATATTAAATCACCGCAAACAAGGCGGATGTCTGCCAATCTGCTGCAAACGATGTAATATGTCTAATTGTCAAAGAAATGGATGAGTAATTGTTGTTTTTTTTTAGTGGATGTGGAAAGGCATGTCCTATAATCACATAATAAAACTTAATGTAGCTTTATCGTGGGTAGATTCGGCTCTAAAATGCAGCGGTATCGGGGCGAGTTCAGTGTGTAGACTGAGTGATTAGGTTGGGTCAAGTCTTGCTGTGAACTTTAATAGGAGGTCAGGCAAAATTTCAGAGGCCGTGCAATCGCATACAAAAACAGAAATTCATTCAGGGGGGCGGTGCAAATTGATGCAAAGGTGCCTTCATGCAAGTTCAAACTGAAAACAAGCATTTTTTTTTTCCAGGCGCTTTATGCTTCATTATAACAGAGATGAGGAGAAAAAAAAAGAGGGAGGTAGTCAGGCAGAGGTCTACATAAAACACAGAGAAACACAAACGTGTAGGTGATGATGATGACACTTTAAATCTACTCTTAAAAGTGGAACTTCCTTTGCTTTCAGACCAAACAAATCTGCAATCTCTGAGTTAAAGATGCTGGAAGTGCAAAAATAATGCAGTTCCACAAGTGTCCACTAGGGGCTGGTTTCAAAAGTTAATGAAACAGCTATGTTTGAAATGCCTGTTTTTACAGCCCGGTCAGAATAGCTGATATCTTTATTTAAAAAATTTTGCACAGGCTCAACTTTTTTTAGGAACTGTTTTTTACGGATATAAAGTCAAAAAGTTAAGGTTGTGACTAGATTGGGTTACATGGGGGCACTTTGTAGCTGTTCGCCAGGAGTCTGAACTCTAGCAAGGTTGAGACTAATGCTGTGTTCGAGTTACCTCGGAAGTGAGATGTTGGAGCTGAAAATGACGTCACACCTGAGTTTCCAGCGTTTCAGTTACCAAGTCAGAAAAAGGAAAATCGCAGGCCTGAAACAAGATGGCTACATCTACGAAAGTTCTTTTAGCGCTTGCCTTATATTCAGACAAGGCAAGTGCTAAAATACCTTTCGCCATCTTGAGGCCTGCGATTTTTTTCCCCAGATTTGGTAACTGTAACGCTGGTAACTCAGATGTGACGTCATTTTCAGCTCCGACATCTGACTTCCGAGGTAACTTGAACCGCCAAAGTCCGGTCCAAAAAGCCTCGACAGGATCCATTGAGTGACTACACAGAGATTGCATCCATGTTTAGATCCAAAGACACTTACAGACGGGGTCTAAGTTTTGTTTAAGTCCTCAAACTGATCGATCCAAATTTATGACCTTGAAGATTTGGGATTTGAGTCCAGTAATACTGTTTTTTGCGTGCGTAATCTTAATATAAAGTGTCTAATTTAAGGTTTTTACGGGGAGGGAGTTCTACTGGCGTCCAGTATCCAGTTCTCATAATACATCCATTGACCATGTAGGACAGTGAGGAACTTTCGGGTCATAAATACCTAATACTCCAGTTGAGTCAATCGGGTATTCCAATATGGAGGGCGTGAGTGTGTACGGGTACTCGTAAGGCGTGTAGATGATCCCAGACTCGGGCCCTTGCTGCACAAGCGCCGGGTGCGGGTTTCCTCCCGGCACGAGGGCCGAGCTCTGGATCTGGCGAATCAGTGGCATGAGGGTCGGCGTGTTGACAGGGGCGGGGTTGCGCAGGGTGGGAGGCAGGACGGGCGTGGGGCCTGTGATGATCCGAGGCGCCTGAGGGGTCGCTAGAGGGAAGGCGGCGGTGGCTGCGCGGCACACGAACACAGGATAATGCAAGTATGCGCACACCCACACGCGAGCACACACGTACAATAGACAGGGAGGAAGGAGAGACAAACAGACCATTTAACAGCAGGAACAAAAGCATTGTTCATATGTACAGTGGAGTCCTGTACCCAGACCCCTCCTCTGTCACCCACCAACCCTCCTCCACATGCTAAACTATGATGTCAGCCTTACGCGTCTTGACATTGGCGTCTCTGTAGGTCCCATTGAGAATGGCCAGCTCCATCAACTGCATTTTCTTCAGGTTGTCCTCCCCCTCGGCCTACAACAACACACACACACACAGACAGACAAGCAGAGAGACACAATCGGCTTATTTAGGGAGTCGGTCGACGAGTCAGCAAAGGTTACAGAGAGCAGAGAGGAGTCTGGGCTCTGTTTAAATATTTGCTGACGGACAAAAGGCGGTTTTTGAGTTTGCACAATGAATCCCATCTTTATCATGAGCATGTTCTATCTGAATCAGGTGTGATCGCTGCGTTGGTTATATTTTCACACCAGCATGGCGCCGTCATATGAGGCTGGAAATAACTGTCAGCTCGCTCAGATTATTAGTTTTCATGTAGAGGTGATGAAACCGTCTTTTTAGACTTAGGAAATACATACATGCAAACATATGCATTCTGGAAAACACAAGGAACACCAGATAAAGTATAGAATTGTTAATGCTGTTTGTATGAGCCATTTTATCTACATTATTTGTTGGGTTTTGTTTTGTTATTTGCACAATCACCATAAGGGGCATAAATGCTACAAAAGGGACACAGGTGAAGCAGTGATCTGGGGAACGGGAAGAGCACACGATTTTTACCGCCAATCTCCGACACCACTCTCACCCTCATCACGTACATCACCATTGTCATAATTTGGACATATCTATCTTTTTTATTGTTTGTTTTTCATTTAATCAATACATGGCAAAAATATAATTCAACAACAACTTTGGACTGGACATTGGATTGTACTAGAAGCGCATCAAAAACACCTCACTCCCACACCAAGACAGTGACTAAAATACAGGTCAGCATAGTCACTAGAATGTTGTCATATTAGCTCATGGTGCACTAAAATGTCTCTAAAAATATGGTTCGATTACCACCTGTGGGGTCTTTCCTGCTCTGATCTCCATATGTCATTTAAGGCCACAATAGCCCAAAGATAAATCTTTAAAAAAATCCATATAAACCTTAAATAAATAAATAAACACCACTAACAGTATTCTCCATGTTGGAAATGCTGACTCAATCTAACTTTGGTCGACCTAACATGAGGCAGAGGTGCAGAGCTGAGGACGGCCTTTAACCTCTTAGCTGACAGCTGCAGCCAAGTTGACCCCACCCCCTAATAACACGGATCTAACGGGTTGTAAACATGTTTATTTTTGCTGTAAAGACGGGCTTTTTTTGAATGGGTGTGTATGTGGCTCCTTGTACTTTTGTAGCCAGCCTCTAGTGGACACTCAAGGAACTGCAGATTGTAACACTTACGGTTTATTTCTCAAGACTGGAAGTTGAATGGTGATTATTACTTCAAGGAAATGATAAGGAAATGATCATAAATGTTCTTCCTTGAGCTGCGTCACCCCGCTGTAGTCCGTAATGGACTGGCCTGAGGTCTCACTACAAACAAGCGGCTGCTGGAAGAGAGTAGGTGAGTTGTGTTTAGCCCCTTTGCGAAAGAAATCAGGCAAAATTAAAAAGATGTTTGGTGGCTAGAACTATGGCTGGGACCCTATATGTCCTGTTGATGAAGTTAGGTGCTGTTCTGAGCATTATTTGTGGCTATAGAGTGGCGTTTTGGTCAGGGTTTGTTTATGGCTCCTCAGACCGCTGTATATTGCTATCGTGCGGTCGTTATTAAAGTTGGTCTAACTAGAGAAGCAAGCGGCCGGCAATATTAATGTCTCAACGGGGTGTATCTTGAGAACTTTTTTTTTTACTTACTGGTATCATTAATCATACACTGATTCTTTAATACTTGATTATTTATAAGTTAAATCATGATCACAGCATTGGACTGCGTGATCCTGTGTCGCATATGTTCCTCACAGACCTTGTTTGCATTGTCTGGAATGGATCGGACCACCAGACCTTGAACACGCCGCTCATGGAGGATATATTCGGTGTCAAACTCGCTCGCTTCTTAGCTCCAGTTACAGCCTGGTGAAAAGCCCGACTGATTTACAGTCGGACAGCAAGGTCGACTGGGTTAAACCAACACCTATCATTAACTTCACCCTCTGCCCACACACTCGCACACACTCACACACACTCACAAACACAGATTAACAGGTGTTCAGCTCCTGATTGCCCGTGGTTGTTCTCACATCTTTTTACTTTTAGGGTGGGCTGATAACCGTGCTGTGATTGGAGCGGAAGTAGCGGCTGATTGCTGCAATAGAATCCCCCCGCTGGTCCTTTCAGGCTGTTTTCTATTGTCGCGAATAATGCCGAGGAAGAAAAAGAAAGCAGCCTTGTGATTTCAAAACATGTGCTTTTGTGACTGTGAGTCAATTTAAAGAATGTGTGTCTCTACATAACCATATCTGAGTGATGTGCATGTGTTCCTCCTCTGCGGTCATGTTTGTGGATGGTTATGCATGTGCGTCCGTAGAGAGAGAGAGAGAGAGAGAGCGGGGGGAGTAGGTGGGCCGGGGAATGTGAGAAATGTTGAGGAGTGCAATCAAAATGTCCTCTTGTGTGGACAACAAAAAAAAAGGAGTGAAAAAGGAATACTGTAGCCAGTAGTTTGGGAATGAAGTGAGTTGTGAACGAGTGAAAGGAGTGATGGAGTGGGGAGAACAAGTGAACAGACTCTCCATTCATTCCCTCAGCCTTTCAAACAACCCGGGGTTACCATGGATACCCCTTTATGCGTGTTCCCTAATTACCCTAACCCCTTACACATACTCTCTCACACACACAAAAACACAAAAAAGACACAAACACACACTTTTTGGACTGACAATCCCCTTCCCCCTTCCATGCATACCAACACAGCGAACCCTCATCCAGTCACACACCACGGATTTTTCCATCAAACCCAGTCTGAGATGTTTGACGCCGTCGACGGGTTTCGGGCTCATACTCACAGCGGGCACGAGAAGTTTCTTGACCTCGTTGATGGCCCGCTGGAGCTTGATCTTGGCGCGGTTGTGTGTGTCCTCCACTGTGATCAGGACGTGGAGGTCCTCGCTGAGGTGCTCCCAGTTGGGCTTCCCTCGGTTCATCTCCTCCTGCAACACAAAAAACACATTTTAAAGGGTCCGTTTGAATGCAGCACACATGCTCGGGCAATCACTGCAGAGAGGGAACAGGATGTCTTCTTGTTTGGCTCGTTTTTTCTCTTTTTTTTTTTTGGATTGGGCCTGAGCTACACACACAAACACTCCTGAAGCTCAAGGTCATTTGAATATGTTCGCTAAGTCCCGTTGCTCCACATATGTGATGTTGCATTTTTCTGTAACTTCCCCTCAAAACAAAAGCTGGAACGATTATCCCACAGCTCCACATTCAGGATTTAAACCGTCTTTAAAAGTCGTAGTAGTACCCGGTAAATGATCACTGTGGTCCGTTTAAATATAGACATTCAGTAATGCATCTCCTCTCTGCTACTTTTATACAGCTGACATGTCTGCACGCCAAAGCTGTCATCCCGTGCACGCAATTTTTGGCTGATAATTATATTGGCAGAAATTTACATCACCGCCTATTATTATAATTAACTTTTTAAGCTGTCATCTGCCAACACCGAGATATCGAGCCAGTAATTTTGCGCATCCCCAGTCGTCCTCTCCTCTGTTTGGCAGCTACAACAAAAAATGGGGAAAAGGATACGAGCGAGATCTTGATTGAAAAGAGGGTCTGGGCGCAGCTTACGGTTTCAGTTGTCCTTAAATTTGCCACCATGTTTGCAAACTTCCCAGCTTGTTCCTCTGACTGGTTACTGCAGGTAGAGGTTATTGGAGGCGGTCATAGAAATCAAACACCTCAGGTTCAGTTTAGGGCAGTGAAGAGTATTCAGATATAGGATCAGTTAACGTGAGCCTCGAATTAGACCACGCCCCCTTGGCGAATCAGGCCTTAATCATTAAGTGTGTGGCCAGTCTTCAAAGTGGGCGCCCTGTTTCTTCTCTATTCGGAATAAAAGCTGAAAAATAAAACTCTGAATAGAAATTAAAGCTCCTGTGAGGAACTTCAGGTTTGTGTTGAGGTTGGCGCCCCCTGTGGACATAGTGTGGAAGACGCTGTTTTGGTAGTTTGTCACTATCCTGTTGTAGCAGGTTTAAATGACAAAATAGAAACAATCAGTCCTTATGCTGATAACACTGTTCGCTCTTTTTTTTAGCTTGTAAACTAGGGCCCGACCGATTTATCGGTGAGCTGATTAAATCGGCCAATTTTAGCCCGTTTGAGACTAATCGGTAATCGGTCAAAATGCGGAGAATAAGTTTCGGTGTCACTTCGAAAATGTTCCGCCATTTGAAAAGACCCCCCGACTTATCCTGTAGATGGTGCAGCGACCTCATTACAATCTTCACCCACTAACTAGGATGCACGGAGGAGAGTGGTCCGCCTCAACGGTAAATAAACCAGTTTGTGAAAAACACAATAAGTCAACAAGTTTCAGTTCAACCCACTTCACCATGTTCCCCGCTGCGCTGGTCTCGGTCACGCCGAGTTAACGGTGAAGCACCATGTAATATACGAGCTAAAGTTAGAGTTAGCATCTGCTATTAGCCTTGCTACACTGTTAGCCGTGGCAGTAACGGTAGAATAAACAACAGTACACATTAGTGATCGAGCTACTTCTCTTACTGAGGCAGCTGCAGATGAGACTGGACCGGAAATGAGGAACGTGAGTTAAGACGTGGAGGCACCGATCAGTGCGGGAGGGAGTTGAAAATGCTTTTCTGGTCCGAGTTTGATCAGTCGGTCTTCCTGTCGGTATGAAGAGCAGTAGCCTACAGTATGTAGTATACTGGAGATATCTACAGTATATATATTTTTTATAACTTAATAAAATATTTACAAAATTGGTAAATTAATCGGTATTCAGATTTTTTCAGTCTGGCCCTAGTAAAAAGTCATTTTCATTGAGGAGAGGGTGTATGATTGGCTAATGCCTGATTTCTTTATTATAAAATATAAGCTTTAAGTCATTAAAAGTTCCTCTCACAGTAAATTAAATGGTTAAAATTAGTTTGTTTGGGTTTTTTATGCCATCTTGTTTTGATGATTTCGTTGCCTGTCGTCTTTTCATCAAACCAGGTGCACAGAGTGTGAGTTAGACCAGAGGTTCCCGGACTTTTGACCCCCACAAAAATAACACCAGAGACTTTTAACCCCTGCTGTCCTTCAAGGTGGTTCAACATTACTCACAGCTGCATGTAAGCCCTATTAGGCCGATCCAAAAACAAACATTACAACAACACGCAAGACCACAACAGCCTTTAAAAAAAGGGCGAGAAGGAATGCAAATTATCGTCATGTTTGGACCTTAGCAGTGAAAGGACATGGAAACTCAATAAGCAGACACACAGGTGAGTCTGTGTGTCTGTGAGTTTTATTCTGGCTTAATGACTTTAGCTGCTCTGAAGAAAATTAGCCTACCTATGTGCACATGTTTGCAGAGTTTCCTGCTGCTGCTGAGGCTGTCGCTAAACTGTCCTAATCACTTTGGAGGTCAAAATAAAGACGTAATCTGATCTGTCTACAATAACGGACAAAATATATATCATATCATATCAGTTTTCATGAACCCCTGAAGTGATTTTCTACTTTTATTTCGGTCTTGTAGCTTTATGTTTTATCACAGAAGAAAGAAAGGAAATACTAAAGACACACAAAAAAAGGACCCAGGTTTGGAGTTTATCAAGCGGTCATGGACTTTGCTTCCGTACATACAGTAGGAGAGCTTACACTTCTTCATTTCTTTTATCACACGGTCATCCAACGAGCCAAAATCACAGCTGAATTAAAAAGCTTTTTTTTTTATTCCTCTAGAAAGCGTCTTTAAAGCCTAGCAGCTGTTGACAACAAAGCCATAAAGGGACCTGTGGTTGCTGCAGGACTGCTCTGAGACAGTCTGATGATTTCTAAGTGCCTGCATGAGGGTGAAGTCGTTCTGGTGCAGCATATGGGCTGGAGGAGAAACGGTTAGCTATGAAAGTCTCATGCTGTTACGTCTTGCTGTTTATGCTGTTTTCGCTATTTTGCATTTTGTCCGTTGGACGCTTTAAAATTTGGTTCAATGTCTCATTGGCTTAAAAGTCATCCACCTAACCACTCTCAGTATGGCGCTTAAGCGTTTTGAGGTGGTTGTGGCCCAGTTGTAGAGCGGCTCGCCTCTTAATTGGAAGGTTGACGGTTCGAATCCCAGCTTAGAGGTTATGAAGGTTCTGGACATTTTCTTTAGTGTCATTTTTATTTAGTTTTGGCTGTTTTCAGTGTCTGTATAGTTAGCTGATTCATTTTTAAGGCTGGGTATTTAGTTTCATTTCCCAAAAATGTTCATTTCAGTTTAGTTCAAGTGTCAGTTTTAGTCTTTTGAAACTACTTGTCAGTGGAAAGACTTGTTCAAATTAACTCTACAGCTACAGTTGCAATAATGAATCGTTTTTTATCAGCGTGTTGACTCACATACAGCAGCGTCAGTGCCGAGGTCGGGGCCACCCCGGTCAAAAAGGTCTGACACGCCCCTGCTTGTTAGTGTACCTCGCCCCAAGTATGTTGTTTTAGCAGCAGATGGATCCTGAACAGAGGCCTCTGTAGACAGATCAGAGGGGACTACAACAATTGATACCCAGATCATCAAAAATAGATTTCTTTCATGGAATCAGAATAATGCTGCGTTCGAGTCGCCTTGTCCTTGTTATGTTCAGACAAGGCAAGCGCAAAAATAACTCAGATTTTGCTTTTTTCTGACTTGGTAACTGAAACGCTGGTATTTCCTTCACCATCTACAGAAAAATATGAAGAGGAGAGTATTTAAAAAGCAGCAGCTGCTTTCAGAATATTGCATCGTTAATGTTTAGAGAGACCTTAAATGATCTCTGTTAAAGACATCTATATTATATAGAGTAATAAACAAGTTTAAATCAACATGTCCCATTAGATTGACTAATACAGTCTCTTCTGAGAGTCCCTGAGCTCCATCATGTCGTAGCTTCCTCTGGATCACTGCTGCAGATGTTTGGCTGCTGTGGACCTGCTGCTTTCCAGCTGCTTCAACTACATGCATCACTCTCACCATCTGCATCTCCCTCTATCCCCTCTCTAAACCCGGTTCAGTCTCAGCAGATGACACGAGTCTGGTTCTGCTCTCTACTGTAACTTCATTAACGCTGCAAATGTGTCTGTAGATAGGATGGGAATGGGTCTGATCTTGCAAGATGGAAGTCGGTCTGGATACTGGGTCTAGACCAGCGTCGTGTTAGGCATCTTAGTACAACACGTGTCGTGAATTGGTGCTGTACAAATAAAGATTGATTGATCGATCAATTGAAACAGAAATGGTTTCAGTTTAACTCCTGGCGCTGCTCCAGGGTGTTTCTGTGAGTCACAGACAAAAAGCGTATTCTCTCCACGGTTTTAGTTCGTTTTTTAAGACACACAACAAAGCTTTAGTTGGTTATCTTGCTTATGTAAAGTCTCATTTTTATTTTTAATTCAGTTAAAATGTTTTTTGTAATTTTGTTAGTTCTCGTGAACGAGAATAACCTCGGCTGGGTGAATCCAGGCAGCCGTTTCCAGCTGTTTCTGGTCTTAAAACTAAGAAACACGAACTAACTCCTAGATTAATTGGTATTGAAATTGGTATTGTGAAGAAAGCAGGCACGTGTATGTCTTGAATGCTGCATCCCTTTAATATGTTTCATAGCTCGGACTCTCACTTAATGAGATAAAATGAGCTGTAATGAAAATAACAGCCTGTTTCAAGCCCCGGTTAAAGCGGAGATTTCGAAGCCTTGAGAGCGGCGAGATTGTATCCTCTGGGAATGTTTTGTCAAGTGAGATGTATCATTTTGAAAAACACCAAAAGTCAACATCTTTCTCTCGTCTCCCCCTGTTGCCTCCCACTGTGTCTCTGTTTTCCTTCCTCTCTTTCTCTCCCTGTGCATCTCTCTCTCTCTCTCTTTCTCTCTGAGGGGCGTGCGGGGTAGGGAACGTTCTGGAGAGAGAGAGAGGGTGGGCTGGAATGCTGGACTTGCTCCACCTGCCGTTTGGAAAGCTGGAGCCGAGTCCGTCCAACAGCAAACACCAGGGGAGAGGAAGAGGGAACAGATGGAGAGAACACCAGGAGAGGAAAACCGAGCACCAAAAAACTTGTTTTCGAGACAGACGGATAGACGGATAGAGTGAGTGTTACTTTGCAGTCATCTCTGAAGTATCTCGAGCATCAAGACTCTTATCGTTTCTGGATCAATGGGAAACATTAAGTATTTCACATCTGAACACCCTGTCCTGGTTTTATGAGCCGGTTTTATCATCCCTGAGTTTCTATGTGACTCAGAATGAGAGCGGTTTGAGGCACATTAAGGTTAATTTCACAATAATAACAATAATGAAAGTACACAATACACGCTGATTACCTGACTCTCCTGATGTTCCTCCGAGTTGATTTCTCAAACCGCGCAAAATCAGAGACTCACGAGATGTCACACGGGGTGATGAAAGGTTTTTAGAGGCCATAAATGAATTTCATCCGACTCACTTATTTCCCTTTTTGCAGACAGCGTGATGAGAGGACTTACACCTTCCTTTTTCATAACCTCGAAGTGCACGAGAGGTTGTTCAGCTTTGCATAAAGGCCTCGAAAAAAAAGAGGAAACAGCTGGTTTGGCTCTGTCTGGATTTAATAAACAAGCCTCCAGCGCCTCGAAAACTTACACGTTTAGCAGATAAACACAGAAAATATCATTACTTTTACGTTTACGAGAACTGCGGAGTAAAAATATGACATTGCAGATTTACAGAGGGAGTTTGGGGGAGTCTTTCTCAGCCTGATGCGGTGACTTCCTGGAGTCTTTGGTTGCAACATGACTGAGTATTTGTGAATCATCTGAAAGAGCCGGGCGAGCTGTTCCCCCTGTTTTCAGTCTCTATGCTGAGCTACACAAAATCCCCCCCGGTGCTGGACCTTAAAGCTCCTGTGAGGAGTTTTCTGACATTAATAAATCAAACTACAATTCATACTGACATCTTTTTATGTTATACAAGAGTAAACAAGAACATTAACGATAAGATTAAGGTTTTAAGATCGGAGTTTTTAATGCCTGAAACTGGTGCAGGAGGGTAGGTGTCAGCTGAGGAGACAGCCCAGTTTTTATGATTTCCATACAAAATATTCACAATAAATGATAAACTTGACTGTTAAAAGACTGACTGATGAGATTTAAACATACATAAGACAAGATGAGCAAAGTTTGCTTTGTCCACAGGGGGCGCCAAACCAAAAGTTCCTCACAGGAGCTTTAAACTAACACAATCTTCTCATTTGGAGGCTCATTCATGCTTCATTAGCGTATAAGAAATGTAAATTATGCATCTGTCACTACTATTGGCTGTAAACTTAGATGGACAACATCTCCTCCCATTGTTCAAATTAAAGCTGCAATAAGCAAGCGCAAAAACGATCTGAGAGAAAAACGTCACACTCCCTCTGATAACAAAAACACAATATCGACTTACAAGTTAAACGTCAACAATCCCTCAACCTGCTACGGTTCACGGCAAAATAGATTTTTGTGTTCCATCTGTTATGATGAAGGAGGCGGGTGTAAGACCTATAATATAGCCAGTCACCAGGGGGAGCTCTAAAACGTCTGGCCTCACATGTCCGTGTTTTAAACAGCCTGTGGTCGATACAAACAAACTCCAATCTGCACTTTGCATCGAGGTGGACGCTTAACAATGCATCCACCAGGGGGAGCCACTCAAAGTCAAAAGTTAGTGGTAATGAAGGCGGTGTTGTTTAAGTTCCTGTTAAGAATGAGGCCCGCCCACCTTTGCCACGTCACTTGTAAACTTGAATATAAGACTCCCTTCTACCAAACTACCTCTTCATTATGCTTATTCACTTCCTGGTATACCACCGTTCGCTTTGAATGCGTACCAAAACAATCGACAAAACGCATTAGCAAGAGGCTGACAGCTACGTCACTTCTACTGCTCTGTGCTGTTTGTTTAAGCTTTGTCTTTTTTTTTCTTGCTTTCTTTGTCTGTCGCGGTTTAGTGTACTGTCTGAATTACGACATTTTGAGATACGTTAGTCCGACAGTGAGGATTATAAGAGAGAGTGATTTCAGTCAAACTAACGTGTTAACATGTTTTTTTAAAAGTTCAGTATCAGTAAACATGCGACTACTGAGTATTTCCCTCAAAAGTTCTGCCATTTTCTAAAGTATTTTTTATTGTGGATTGCTACATCGCTCAATGCTGCCCCCTGTGGTTTCTGTTGGTACTGCGATGTTTGATTTCTATCTAAAAGCCTCCACAAACATGCAGATGTGAACAAAATTAAAGCAAAGTACAGGCAGGGGACTCCATCCAAGTTCTGTACGTTGGTCTCAGATGTTGCGCATAAATGAGCCTTAACTTTCGTAATGAGATCGAGATAAAATATCAAACAATCGATTCAAATGAATCTGAACAAACACAGGAATTCATCCCTTTGATCTGTTGTAAAGCCGTGGGAAAGAAAACAGCTCAGAAGAAAATGAAAGTGTGTGTTCGTGTGAGCGTGCGAGTGTGTCTACCTTCTTCTTGTCTCTCATGGAGCCCTTTCCTCGCACCATAATCTTGCAGCCGGTCTCTGCCTCCAGTTGTTTGGCCGTCAGCCCACGTGGGCCCAGAATCCTCCCTACGAAGTTAAACTGCACAGAAGAGCGAAAAACACACAGATAGTGAGTGAAACTTGACGGTAAGAAGAGTCAGACAGTCAGACTATCTCTTTACAATGTGTGTGAGTGCGTGTTTGGCTTTTGGAGTTTGTGCGTGTGTGATGTGTTTGTGTTACTAACAGGGACAAAAATAGCTCATTATAGGGGTGCTGGCTGCTGCTGGTGGCAGCGTCGTTCTCTTAACCTTATCTGTCACTAAGACTGAGTGATTAACTAGACAGCTGCCCCTCTGTCTGTCTGTGTGTGTGTGTGTGTGTCTGCGTGTGTGTGTTTGTCTCCCTGCCACGATCCCTCTGTCTCTCCCTGCTTCTCTCGTAACACTCGTCCGGCCTCTTCCTACTTTTTTAACCTAATGTCCACTTCGGCAACAGTTGCAACACACCCGCTCTGGCCTCAAATCCAGATAGAGGAACTGCTCTCTAAATTTAACCTTGATCTCAACCGTTTCGCCTGTCTGCTTGTGTGTCCTGTTAGTCCTCCGTCATGTGAGTGAGGACAGCCTGTCATTGTATTCGCTGATTGGCGAGCTGATGCACGGTGAAAAATCATGTGAGCCACTCAATCTGGATCAACGCAACTCATATTGAAGTGCTTAACTGTACTTGGCGGGAGCGCCGGATCAAATCTCTTCGCTGCGTTTGTCTTTTATATTTGCGGGAAAGACTTTGAGCTCTTATAAATATTGATGCTGAAAACTTACGTTTGAAAGCGAGGGAAGTGAAATCAGGGTTTTTTCGGAAAACAAAAGCTGTAAATTATTAATTTTTATCTCATCAGAGACTCCGGCCAGGGTTCATTATTGATCTATTTAAAGTCTGGGTTACATCAGAGGGTGTGAGCAGAGATGATCTCAGAGTGAAATCAGCTTTTGGACAAAATGTAAAGCAAAAAAAAAACTCCCTGTGGTTGAAAGCCTCGCTCGCTTTCTGGCAGCACTCGAGGAGATAAAGTGACAAAAAGTTAACAGTGGAGTCTTTGTAAAGGTCAGAGGTCGGGGACTTGGCCACTCACGTCGGGGAACTCTTTGACGGGCACGTATAGCTTCTCCTGCAGCTGAGCCACGGGGCCGATGGCTTCGGGAAGCTCCTCCATGTCCCGCCCGTTGAACATGCCGCCGTTCACCGTGTCGTTGTACATGTCTTTGCGTACCCTGCCGATTTCTGGGAAACAGAGTAAGAGTGAGAGAGAGAGAGAGAGAGAGAGAGAGGGGGAGTTAATTTGAGTCAATTTCTCCAAGGACGTCCTGGAAAGTGTCAACAAGGGTCAACAAGTGTCATGTTCCCTCAGACCGCCCGTTTTTTCGGATGATGACTCACTGTCACAGAATTACAGGAGGCTCTGAATGTGACAGCAGGCGGTGAGACAATCAGACAGACGGTCAGAGAAGCAGTGAGACGGTCACAAACATTCAGCACCACGATGTAGAATCTGACCGCTCAATGTGTTTCAATCAGGACTCCCCTATGACACATCAGGTCTCTCCTTTTTACGTCTTTCCCCAACAGAAATCAACACACACAAACTCACTCAGCTCCCACCCACATTTCGTGTTATTTGGGGTCACACTGACCTGCTCCCCACCTGTGTTTATGCAGCTCTGAAACTCCTCTGTTACTGAATAACTAAACAAAGAGAAAACTATAGGTTGGAGAGGAAAAAAAGCAAGCAAAAGGACATAACTTTAGTCCGGCCTCCTTTAGAAAACTTAGATCAAACAATTTTTTCATCAAGAACACAAAATATTCAGGTTACAGTGATTTGAAAGCAAAAAACTGCTTTAAACTTTTAAGGTACAGTTTATCACTTGTTTCATGATAAACTTATAATTAGTCAAAGTATTTTTAGACTCTACCTTAAGGATTTTAATGTCATTGTATTAGATTTTCTTGACGTTCCTGTGACCTGTGTACGGTGGCCCTGAAGGTCAGCTGCAAAGACATTTCTATTACATCAGGCATGTCATTTAGCTACAAAAAATATGTCATAAATCAAACATATTTTATGAAATCCAAAAACAATTCATGTTTCACTTTATTGAATTAATGCAAAAATATTTTTAATACTTCAAAAATATTTCCTACAGTGGAAAATTGATTTAAAAAGCATAAAAATGTTGAAAAAAACAAAGATTTTATCAACACAAAAATATTCCACATACATAATATGTAGCAAAGTGCAAAAACAATTCACAAAACACAGAAAAATTCCGTACACATGTAAAATATTGATGTTTTATTCATTTTATATGATTAAAAACTTCATAAAACATTCACTACAGTCAAAAATATTTCAGAAAATGCAAAAACTATTCCAAATAATCAAAAAGCAAAATCTCAAAAAGCAAAATCTTAAAAAGTGTTTTTTTTTTTGGGAAAATGTTTTGCATCACATAAAATATTTATTCATCTTGAAAATCAGTTTTGTATTACAAGTAGTACTTTTCTTTTTTACATTAACTTTTTTGTAAAAAAATTTTTAGAAGTTCACTGAGTTTTTTGAAATCATTTAAAGTTCAAACTATAGACCTTCGGGGCCACCGTACATGTTTGATTAAATTTAATGTTCTTTTGTTGCATTAAAAACAAAACAATAACATCTTGAAGGAAAAGTTATCAACATTTTAACATTAAAAATGTTTTCTGTTCTTTAGATACTAAATGCATCATTAATCAACGCGGATTATTTTAAAGTTCAATAATGAATAAGAAAAATGTTTGTTACAGGCTGTAATCTGAAGACTATTTCGCAGATTGATAAACGTGTCTTTATCGTTTCAGCAAAGGTTGAAAAAGTCTGTGACATTTTCCTTTTTAAATGTCCTTAAATGACTTTTTTATCTCACAATCAGTCTAAAACCTGACAGTATCAGGTACAAAAGTTAAAAAGAGGGAAAAATTCCCACTTTCAGGAAGATTTGGTGGATTTCTGCTTAAACAAACACTGTAATACCAAATTTAGGGCTTAAGATTCGGTGCAGGGAAACCATCATAATTGAGACTGTTTGTCAGCCTGTCTGCTTGTTGAGTGTCGTCTCAATGACCGATGCTACCCTCTGATGCCTTTGTAATGACACGCTAGCACAATAATAACTGACTGCTGCACCACACAAACACATACGCAGCACAGACACACTCAGATACCCCCCCTCCTCCTCCCTGCTCTAACCCACTCAGACACACACACACACACACAGCAGAATAACTGCCTTGAGGCACAAATATCATCTGACCTAAGCAGGCTGACAGGCATGTCTCCCTGCACTCTGAGTGATAAGTCCGTCCGACCGTAATAACTACAGTAGGACGCTATAATTACAGCCGCAGCTTCAGTGACAATGATGATCCTCTAATAACCCATTCGGACCTGTTACAAGCCAAAAGTGACTATTAAAAACACGCACAAACACAAACAAATCTGCGCAGACAGGCAGGGCTTTGGTCACCCGCTCAGTGGAAACAGGGAGCGACTTGGAGGGGGAAAAACGAGAAGTGAAAGAAGAACAAGAGCAGAACAAGTGAAAGATAAAGAGGGGGAGCTGTGGCAGCCTTTATCTACACACTTCAACCTGTCATTGGTTTATATATAGACAGGACTCCGCCACAGTGCTTCCAAATATGCCACAAACATGCGACCTGATGATATGACTGACTGGCAGGCGTACATATTACCCTGCACAAACTTTTTAGTCCTCTGTCGCTGTCCGCATAACTCAGGCAGAAGATACCACCAGGCTGGAAATGGGCTCGGTACAATGCCTTTCATTCTAGCCGGGGGTGTCATTTTATCATGTGTGAGGGATGAGTGCGCTCAGCTGTCAAGTCTTCAACATTAACACGGCTAGAGATGTTAAGTTGACCTATTTGTCAGGCTCTGGAGGTCGTCCGGTGTGCGGACAACCTTGCTGCGTCATGAGACTTGTCACAAAAGTCTGGACCTTGGTGATCCTGATGTGCAATAACAGTGGCGGCATCAACAACAGGCCTTAGCAGCTGGTTGCAACCGGTAGAGAATGAATATCAATCCGGCAGAAGTAAAAATAAGTTTTTGAAGTCATGGCGAAGTTTTTACTGCAACTACAAACAGTATAAAGTTAATTTAAATGTTCTTATAACAAAGCGGATAAATCCCTGATACAACCTTCAATAGGGGACCCAATACAGCTATCAATGCGCCAATCTAATACCTCAATCTGTTCGCTACAAAAACACAACATCTCCTCTGGGGTAACAAATACAGCTATAAACTTTTTCAACTCGACTGATAAAATCTACAACTTTCCAGGATATCAAATAAAGCTCAGTTTTGTTCGAGCGAGGTCAGCGGAGGTTTGTTAGTCAAAACCATGAATGGTATAAATAATTGACTCAGCCAACCTGACGCCGCCTTTAAAAGTAGGGACGACGCACACATGATAAAATGACACCCCCCGCTAGAATGAAAGGCATTGTACCGAGCCCGTTTCCAGCCTGGTGGCATCTTCTGTTTGAGCCAGCGACAGAGGGCTAACAAGTTTGTGTACGGCGACTTCTTGTTGCTAGTCAGCACCAGGATTACCAGTTGGTTGAACAAAAATGAAGGTCGAACATTTTTGCTAATGTTAGCTGCATCAGCAAAGTCGAGACTCTACAATCCAGCTTTTCGCCATGATAAATCGTTCCAAATTGCGACTCTTTTCTGAGCATTTCCCAATCTTTGGTCCAATCAGTTAGCTAGAATTTAACTTTCTGCTGAAACTGCCATGATATTAGTCATTTTGGGACACTCCTAGATCCAGAAGTCACCCTTTTAAATGAGATGGTGATGATGGAGATATTGGTTGGTGAACACCAGGTAATCAAAGCTTAACTGTGTCAACTACTTTATCAGCTGGCGAATAATCTAATAAGCAAGGAGTGACTGTGTTTGTATTGATTGCTAATTGGAGTTATAAACTATGAGATTAAAGATGCTATATGAGCATCTGCTTGCTAGTTTGGCTGTAAAAGCCAACACAGTTCTGACCCACAGCTGTGTCAAAAGTAGCACCCATCTTTTCACCCAAAGGGCCCGCACCCCTACATATTCATATAAAGGTCAGTTATATTTGTCTTGCATTGCTACCAAAAAAAAAATTTAGCTACAGAAAGCAAAATTTTTATGTATCAAGCAGTCGATATGTTCAATTGTGCGATAAAGACAGGCATTTTAATACAGAGCTCTATTAGGATTGATGGGCCTTTGGGACCAGCCTCTAGTGGCCACTGGAGGAACTGCAGTTTTTGGGACTGCCTTGTTGGCTTCATTTGTCAACATTTTGAAGGTTGTAACTTTGGTCATAAAAAGGAAGTAGAATTATTGTGTGATTGTAAGTTAACAGTAATGAACTTGCAGAAACTGAGGTAATGTGTAGAATTTTTGTACACAGTGTACTTTTCTGTTAAAAGTTCACTCAAGACAAAACTAAAGTTGACATAACCGGGGACTTAATTGACCACTAAAAAGCTAAGAAATAGTTAAAGATGATATTGAATCTCAAGTTGCATATTTGAGATGATATCACATATTGTTTGGGCACTCACATATCGTGATATGTGGTATCACAATATCACATTCTGACATGTATTGTTAAAATATTACTTTTTGACAATAACATACTTGACTTAAATATTAAAACTTAAGTATCATGAAAATACTGGATCGCCACTTAAGTAGTGTGGTATCGCAGTTTTATTCAAGTTTCATGCCAACATTTTGTTGTGCATATATTGTGATATATCAAGTATCATGAAGCGTAAAAATTGCCATCCAAGTACAGATATCGTGATAGTATGCAAGTTTGGTGACGACATCATTTGGCAACATAAATGATGTTAAGTACTGTGATATCGTAATCACATCGTAATCGTGCCATATCATGTCAAATTGTATCATATTTAAATTTCATGACATTTGCTTACGACATACTGCGATATGTTCGCGATTTAGGTATCATCATGTCTGATTACTCAAATATCGTGATATGAAGTATCAGAGTGAGACTCAAGTGCTGGGATATTGTAATCTGATTCAAATTAATAGTTTCTCAAAGACAGTAAGACGTGTATTTTGAAAGAGTTGCACTGAGTACTACGACATTGTTTCCAGATTGAAACTTAGTGACAGTACTGTTTGGGAATTCAAGTGTTGTGACAATATCGTGATGTCAGGTCTCTGGTGATTCCCACCTCTGTGAGAAAATGAAGCAAAAGGAAACTGTGAGACTTGTTGCTCTGCTCTAAAAACTTCTAGAGATCTTTGGCAAAAAATGTAAATTACCAGCATCTGAACTGAATGGATTGGCTGTACAAGCAGCGTGTCTCAAATCAAATATTTTACTCAGTGACATGCTGTCGCTCCTGCTCAGGGATGGGCTGCAGCATTCACATAAGCCTGCGCATTAGGTCACTGAGAAAGACTAACAACTGTCTGTTTGTTCCCATCACCAACTGCCCCAACGTGTGTGCATGAGAGTGTGTGTGTGTCCCTGTGAGTGTGTGTGACAGAGAGAGCTTATCTGCTTCTTTCAACCAAGTCAAAATGTGACTTAAAGTGAGGACATAACCCATTCACTATTTAGTTTTTTTTAAGCAGTGGTGAATCAAGTTTCTGTGGGAAATTTCTCCAAACTGTTATGGGAGATTTCACTGAGGCGAAACACAACTATGTTTCTGTTTTATGATTAATCTTTGGCATCTTTCAGAGCTGGATGGAGGACGTTAGAAATGTTTCCTAGGAGACAATCAGGAATTCCTGGAGTTAATGACTTTTCAATACTGGGAGGCAAACGCAGGGTCTTCTGTGAGCAGCTCTGGTTTCAAACAGGGTGGACTAATTGCATCTGTGGTGTGACAAGTGGAGGAACAGAAGCCGGGTTACCTTCATCCAGCAGCCGCTCCAGATGCGTGAAGATGCCGCTGAAGTTGGGCAGGGAGCTCATCACCTTCCTGTCGTTCATCAGCTGCATTAAATAGTCCGGATTGGACTTGGGTCTCTCCTTCACCTCTGTCTCCCCAACCATGGCTTATGTTTCAACAATAAAAGTGACTATAGATAGCTTACTCGATAAACTTTTTAGGGGGAATAAAAAAAAAAGACACGCCCCAACAAGCGATGCGAGGACCCAGAGGGGATAGTACCGACCGTGACCCGCTCTCCGCCTCTCTTTTTCGGCTGATAAACCCAAATCTCAGCGCTGCTTGACTCGACTGCCCCTCGGTTAACGTTGGGTGTGTGTGTCCTCTCTTCTTCAAAGCTGGTCCCCTCTCTGTCCGACTGTCTCCAGAGTTTCAAAAAGTTCCTTTTCGGAGGGGAGGTTAGTTTTGCTTCACGCCCCACGCGGCTCTTTTCACCGACACTTCTTCTTCAGCTTCAAACCTGCCGTGAACTCGTCTCCTCCGCCCCGGCTCCGACGCCCGGTGTGTCGGTATTCTGCAGCGGGGATCGACTCCCTATCATATGATTACAGTACAGCAGCAGCACGAGTGGGCTGTCGGGAGCGCGCCGCGCGACGCCGCAATCAGAGGGGAGGGGGCGCTCGTGCTCGTCCAGCCTCCCGTTGCCCCCGCCTTTCTCTCACGCGCAGAAGCACGCACATACACACAATCCACACCCGCTGTATAACAATATAACAGCTCCACAAAGGTATGCGCACCTGTTCTGCAACCGTCACTGTCCATCACTGGTCCTGTGGAGACTGTGTGTGTGTCCAGGTTCAACTTTGAGGTACTTTTACTGCAATTAAGTACTTCCATTTTAACTTAAATTAAATATCTACTTATACTATGATTTCTCTCCACATTCACACAACTAAACCTGTCTACCTGTTTTTAAGTTAGTCTATAGAAACAGGCCCGTTTAAAGCTCCAGTAAGGAACTTTACGTTTGTGTCAGTTTGGTGCCCCCTGTTGATGAAGCAGTCTTACCTATCCTTTCCTTTACATGGTTAAAGGGATATTCCGGCGTAAAATTAATTTAACATCTAACATCGAGTTAGACACCCCCCCGAGAGATGAATATTGCCGACCACTTGCTTCTTTAGTTTAGCAACACCCACATGATAGCAATACACAGCGGTCTGAGGAGCCATAAACAAACCTCAACCAAAACGCCACAAATAATGCTCAGAACAGCACCTAACTTCATCAACAGTACTTAGAGGGTCCCAGCTATAGTACTAGCCACCAAACATCTTTTTAACTTTGCCTAATTTCTTTTACAAAGAGACTAAACACAACTCACCTACTCTCCTCCAGCAGCCGCTTGTTTGTAACCAGACCTCAGGCGAGTCCATTAGGGGTTATACAGCTCAAGGAAGAATGTTTATGATAATGTCTTTACCATTTCCCTGAAGTAATAACCATCATAATAATAATTTTGCACTGCAGACGCGGTATTTCTTCTACCTTAGCGTCTCGGTCTGATTGCATTTCCATGAGGAAATGATCATAAATGTTCTTCCTTGAGCTGCGTCACTCCGCTGTAGTCCATAATGGACTGGCCCGTATGGTACTATGGCTGGGACCCTATATGTGCTGTTGATGAAGTTAGGTGCTGTTCTGAGCATTATTTGTGGCTATAGAGTGGCGTTTTGTTTGAGGTTTGTTTATGGCTCCTCAGACCGCTGTGTATTGCTATCGTGCGGTCGTTACTAAAGTTGGTATAACTAGAGAAGCAAGCGGTCGACAACATTCATCTCTCGAGGGGGTATCTAACTCGGTATGTTGGTGTGTTTGACCCTAAATTAATTTTACGCCGGAATATCCCTTTACATAATGTCTTCTTACCAAAAATCTTATCCCGCTGACTTTCAAGAGCCAAATGTATAACCCACTGTGAGTATTTTATGAAAAACAAAGATGTCACCTACCCCCTTGCACTCAGTTGAGGCTTTAGAAATTCCAATAGGAAAATCGTCACCTTGTCACTGATGGTTTTCAAAAAAACAACATTGATATAAGTTTCAGTCTATTTAATGAAAGTCAAAAACTTCTCACAGGAGCTTTAAGTACGGCTGAAACTCCAGTTTTCAAATTTTGTTTTTAATTAAAGCTCCTATAAGGAACTTTTTTGACATGTATGAGGCTGGAATTCACATTGATGCTTTTTATGATACACAAAGGCAAATAAGACAAACAAGACTGACGGTTTCTCATTCATTTTACTGTTAAAATAAAACAGAATTACTTTTATGTTAGAAAATACAGCCTCAGTTCCTTACAGGAGCTTAACGTTGTGGTTCATGACCAAAGACTAAACAGGTATCCAGAATACATTAATATATCTACAGATGGAGACAAAAAGACCAAAGTGGACCTTAAAAACTTAGTACTGTAGCTGTACGATCATTTTTCATGATTTTTCAAGTCAGATCTTGGAGATCTTGATGACTTCAGGACCTAAACTGTCCATTTATTTCTCCAAATGTTTTCGATTCAGTTTCTGTTTGTTGACACCCTTCTCCAAAATGATCAAACTGATGATCTCCACTAATTTGACTCGCTCAAATAATCAGTTATTGCTTAATGACGTTCCCCAGGGAGGAGCCACTCTGCACGATAAAAGCTTTTAATACCTGATGCTCATCTCTCTTTTGGATTTGACACACACACAGAGTCGATGTGTAATAGATTAAGTTGGTGTGATGTCCTCCAGCCTGTCACACATCAGGGTCCTCTCCACTCCTGTCCACGCCCTCCAGGTTCAGGACTTTTGTGAAGGATCCTGAAATAATAAGAAGGTGTGATGTGTGCGTGGCTTCTCTCTGGGACGGCCGCTGAAATGTTGTTACTGCGGGAACAGATAGGTGCGAGGGTCTAAACTTAACTTGCTGTAAATCACACACATGTGCACCAACACACACACACACACACACACTCAGAGGCCAGACTGCATGTGTGATAGTGCATGCCTTTACTCAGGCCTGCTGTTGGCCTCCCACCTGGCTTCTCCCCTCTGCCCTCTGTTTAAGTGTTTTTTTTTTTCTCCTTGTGAGACCAAATTTAAGATTGAAAGTGTGTGTGTTGTGTGTGTTCTTGTGTGTGTGTGTGTGTTCTTGTGTGTGTGCGTCAGAGCAGCAGGGATTGTAACGGTGCAGCAGCAGCGGTGTTGGTAATGGCTGGTCAGCTGGTATGGCGAGTATTCAGGGCGGGGGCAGTGCATTGTCCTCTCATACTTCCAACAATGCCCCTCTGAGCAGACCACACATCTACCAGTCACGGGCCTCTCTCTCTCTCTCTCTCTCTCTCTCTCTCTCTCTCTGTCTCTGCTTTTCTTTCTGTCTGCCATATTTATTCAGCCCACAGCGAAGTGAGATGTGATAGCATAATGTCTCCACGACCTCTGCCTGAAACGTCACGGTCAAACCTCAGTGAATATCAGAGCAGGTGTCAATCATGTTGTCGCCGTAGAGACATCACACCTCACATGTTTATTGCCGCTTTGAATGATTCATAAATGTTGCATGAATTCATCACCGCGGCTCTGTGATGAATTATCAATACTCCACGTTAATTAATTAACCTCACTCTGAGTGTAAAGGTGAATATTTGATTAAGTCTCCTATTTTTGACATCAGTGAATACGTGATGAAAATATGCAGCTGATGGGCCGAATAATAAACTAGCAAACTGATTGAGCATTATGGAGCGAAATTTAAATAAAATCCTAATTTCAAGTCATCATCATGTCATCATTGATCGTTTCTGATGCAGTTATTAGTTGATTGATCGGTTGATCAAAATGAACTGATGCTTATATTGATCTTCAGTTAATTGTTAAAGTTATTTTTTCAAACATACAAATCAGATTCTCTCTATTTCACTTGTTTTCACTCTGTTTTACACTTGAGACTCTAATTATTTAGATGCAACAATTAATCGATTAATCTTTTAGTTGATTAATCACTTATGTTTGATCAATTATTGGGGTAATTTCTACAAGCTAAAAGTCATAAACTGTCTCTTGACTTGCATGCTTTATTTGCTGTGTTCATTTTTGTGAGATTAAAAGTTTTTCAGTGGAGCTTTGATGATTAATCACTATATTAGTGATTAATCATGAGCTGTATTGATTAATCGTTTACCTGTCAGAGAAAAATAGGAAATATTTTTTTGATCAAACAAATAAAATTTCAGAATTTGCTGCATATTTGTCATATATTATAAAGTTAGATTATATGGTGATTAATCTATTAGTCAGTGAACGAACAATAGTCACTTTTACGATCAAATAATCATTTGAGTCTTTTATTAAAGCATAAGGGCCAAATATTGTCTTGTTGCAGATTTTATTTAATGAGTTTAGCTGCTTTTTCTATTTTAAATTTTGGATACTTTGTTGAAGGTCATTCTGTCATCTTTATTTACTGGATGATTAATCATTAAGTTGAAATAAATTAGAAACAAAGTCAATTCTTCAGTCGGGTCTGAAGCAGAAACGTCACAACCATGAGGTTTTGTCCTCCCAGCAGTAAAATTATAGCTTTCTATTGTTCAAATCATGTTAATTTAAAGACTTCCGCCGAGCTCTGTCAAGTCTAGACAGTCTTAAAATAAAGTTCAGTTTATTAATTGATTACTTCTACAATCATTCATCATTTTGATAGATAATTGATCGCCTCAGTCCTTTATAAAGAATTATTGTCAAATTGTGTCTGTATCTGGAATCTTAATTATGAGCATGTGCTGCCTTAGTCATATCCTTGCATATTGAATATATTAGTTGAGTGTCGGTGTGATAACAGGCTGCTAAAAATTTTGCATGGATTATGAGACACTGTAACAGACTTTTTCACTATTTTCTTTAACAGCTTTATAGAAACAAGGAAGAGAATCAAAAGGACAAGGACAGAAAGTAAAGGGTCTGTGCAGCCTATATCCTATATTAATGTTCATTTATGGAGAAAGCATTAATACTGTAACTAACCTTTAAATTGCTTTTGACATCATGCAGAATTCAATAGATTATAATCTGAGTCTTTACATCTGGTTGTTTGGATAAGAATGAAATCTAATGCCATCGTCAGTCATTGTGGAGACAGAGCAGACGCAGGAGAGACGCAGTCCTGTTGTCTACTGTGCTTTACATCATGATAAATTGAACATCTTTTGCTTTTTCCTGCAAAAATAAAAACAAAAACAGGAACTGAAACTGAAACCAGAGCTCTTGAAACCCAGCGTTTGTATAACTCTTTTCTTTATGAACTTCATCCCCAAACTATTGAAGATTCAATCAATCGGAGGGATTAATCCTTGGTGAAAATTATGCTTTTATCTGCTTTGCTTCTTTCCATTTTGTCCAGAGTTGAAAAGGATGAACTCTGAGCTCTACTTCCATTATCAGTGAAGCTAAAATTGGTCTTACCAGTGCAATAACTTCACACCCTTTTCTGTCTGGGATTTCTTTTAACAAGCACCAACCTTCAGTGTAACATCTTCTTCACTTTAAAAGTTACCCTGCCTCATGAATGGAGTCAGAATTGTTTGATCGCTTATGGAAAGATACCCTCTTGTGGGCTTTTTGTGCAACTGCAGCCAATAGGTCCAAAGTGTAAATACATGCTGGCACATTTTAAAACAAGAGAGGAAGATTTCAATTCCTTCGCAGTCCAGATAAACGGCTTAACTGTAAATTATGCTGAGGACAAAAATAGCAGGAGTGTTGGTAAGACAGAGGTCCTGAGGTACACACAGTAGAGGGTGTAACAGACCTTAATCAGACTCTCAGTGTGTGATTTGTTTACCTGCTGTCACCAACAGGGAGCAGCAGATTAAAGAAAACACACATGCTGCCTTTTGTGGACAGCCAACCTCTATGGGAGAGCACAGTTTCTGAAAAGACAAAGAATTACCTGGATGCATCATCAGGTACAACATTTGATTGGGTTAACAATAAGTCTGAAAATAGTTCATACGAATCAAATCAGCCCAAACATCAACATATTCATTACTAAAGCACTTTTATATTATATAAATAAAAGTATAAGGCGTGCAGAGACAGTGGCTTCTTTTAAGTTACATTTAAAAACTCACTTTTACAGACTTGCTTTTATGTGATGCAGTCTTTTCTCTTTTTCCTTTTATCTCTTTAACCTCTATCTTATTTAGACGTATTGTCCTTTTAGCCTTTGTTTTACTTATAATCTTTTCTTATTTAACCTTTTAGGCCTTTTATTGATTTTATTGTTTTTTTTTTCCTGCTCATTTATGTTATTCCATTTTATCATTAATATTACCATCATTATTATTTAATTATTATTATGAATATCGTATTTTTATATTTAATATCCTGTTTCCTGCTTTCTACCCCCCTTTTTTATTACATTTCTTCTTCTTACCTATTTTATGTTTTTATTTTGGTCCTCATGGTCTCATTTTATGTTGTAGGGTTCTTGTATTGTCTGGGTTTCTTATGACAAATGAAATTACACTAGCACTTTGTAAACTTCTGTTTTTAAAAGTGCTATAAAAATAAAATTATTATTATTATTATTATTATTATTATTATTATTATTATTTAAAATAATGTAAGTAAAATAGCATAACTCAAATGCTTGAAGTATTTACAGTATTCTCAAACAAAGCTAACATGCTGCTAACAACTTTAACTATTTATTTTGAATTTTCTGTCATTTCAAATGCAGTAATAACTAAATAAATACATAAAACATTAATATGGTTGTAACGTGACGTCCTTAACGGTTGTCAGACGTTATACATTGAGGTTTGATAAGTAGCATATTGCCAGCAAGTTAGCTAGCTAGCTAGCAGACGATGCCATCTTCAGAGAGATGATTTAGCACTTTAAAACCGATTTCCAGTATTTACTGTGAATCCAAAAACAACGTTAGAGCTTTAGCCTCTTCGGTTTACTAACTAATCGGACATTTGACTGCTCTTCAACCGTTTTTATTCAGCTTTTTAACCTACGATCCAGTGAATAGTACTATAGAAGCTGGGTTTATACTTCAAAATAAAAGCACAATTCGACAATCTTGACACAAGACTGTAAAAATATCATTAAAAAGGCACTAAAAACAATCCTTTAATTAGGCAATGTCTTCTAAAAAGTTTTTTAAAAAATCAATGATTGCTAAATTAAAGAAAAATATTAGAAATAGATGACAAAGTTTAAGTTAATTGCATTTATTAGTGGGATTTATTAAGTAATGCTCCACCTTTTTAGGTGAACGTCTGATATTGCGTCCCTTACGTCCCTTATTTTAACGTTTTCACGCTGATCTTTACTTTCTCTTGTTTGTCCTCCTCATCTCTGTTTCTCTCCGTACACCTGTGACGTGAGTGCTGCAGCAGGACATCACCTGCTCACCTGGTTTGAGGGGCTCATGCTAATCTAAAGCTGCTTAGGCCTCTTATCTGCTCAGTGCAGGTTATGTGCTTTGGTCCAACAAAAATACCACACCAAGTTGGCTTCTTTACTTTTCATGTTGACTCCTAACAGCACCCCCACATCCCCAACCCCCACAGCTATCCCCATCTGCATTAACCAAGACACACTGGCCTCATTACCATGTCTTATAAATATACGGATCTCCGTTGTTTCGGAGAGGACTGTGGTTAAGACAATGGAGAAACAGATCTGTCCTAGTTGCTATTTATTGATTCATGAGCTGAGGGGATCAGTGGATTTGTTACTTGCTTCCTCGGAAGTCAAGGTCAACGTGGAGCTGATTTAAGGCACAAAAATCAGGATGTGAGTGAAATCAAAATGAAAATATGCAACAAGAGAGAAACTTTCACCTAGACTTGCTCACAGCAGCACACACAGACTTAATCGTGCACACATACACACTCTCATGTGGACATGTGAAGAGTCATCCCATGTCCATGTGAAAGCAGTAATGCCTTAATAGCCCTTATCCTATTGACTTAATCAGGAGCCCTGTAGCACTCACAGCATGCCTTTACTTCTTGATCTCAGGTTTGTGCGACTCAAGGTCGACTCAACGCCACGTCTTCAATTCACTGTCAGACCACGTCCTCTAAAATCCTTTATTTGTTTTCATACAATCAGAAAAATATCTTTTTTTTTTCTACACAGAAGCCGAAAAAATATGGAAAACAAACTTTACATGATTAAATAAAAGATTTAGCTTAATTACATTATTTAAAAAATATTTTTTGTCATTTCTACACTATGTACAAAGACAGCAACCCGGTTGTTTAGAATATACTTACATGTGTGTCGATTAACAGAAACTGGATGAAAAAGGGAGACTTGAATTTATAACTTGATGTAATAGTGGAGGGGTGAAGAGCTGAGATTTAGCTGCCAATTTCTGTCGTCTTCATGTGTTTGGAGTTTACCCTCCTTCTTTCATGTCCAGTTTTAAATGCCTAACCTTTCAACCATTCATTCACAACCCATACTGGCTCATTGGATTCATATTTTTACTCCATCTCAGGAGCTTGTTCAGCCATCACTGTGGGCAAAGTTGGACAGAGGTATGAAAAGAGTTAGATTTAAGTTGGTAAATCTGTTATTTTGATTAAGTTTGACTCACTACAGAACCAGATACTAGCCAAAGCACTACAGACGGATCACCAAAAATAAAACACAGAGTTTCCTGGGTTGTCTTTCACATGCACCACTGGCGTTCATAACTCTTATCAGTAAATATCACATTCAACTTGTCTTTTTTTTTTGGTATCAGGAAATACCCAAATGGATGGAAACAAAATCTCTTTAAAAGTGTGAGATTGACTTGTTTGGTTGGGAAAAACCAAAAGAAAAAACCATGACATAACTCATCCTATAATCTCTCTCTATGTATGAATACACAGCTTATAATTATCAATGCAAGGAGTTCATTTGTATGAAGGAGTCCATTCAAAAAGGGCTTCATAGTAGAATACGTGTGCTGTGTCTACATAATAAACGTTGGTAGAAAAATGTAGCATTCTCACACATCCCTGTCCTCTCCTCTTCAGGTGGGAGCGATGTCAGTTTTTGTTGCAGGATTGGGGGGTCAGCTCAGCTCACTGTTGCAACCGCCTCGCCCCCCTCCTCCACCTTGCTGCCTTTGCCCATGGCCTTCATTTTGGCCATGATGTCAGTGAACGTCTCCTTCACCGTCTTCTCCAGGATCCAGCCCTCGCTCTCGCTCTCCGGGTCGTCAGGGTTAGCCAGGGTGGACAGGGAGGAGTCCACGTACTGCAGGCCGATGGTTACGCCAATCTGAAATGGACAGGGACCGAGATAAGGTACAGCTGAAAACACAGTATCAACCCCTGAGGAGCAAAAAATATGTCTGCTACTAATGGGCAAAAAGACACTTAAAAAAACTTAAATTTATCTGAAGTTCTCAAGAATTTGCTTGACTCAAAGAAACTGCCATCATCAAGATAAGTCAATTAAAAATAAGTATCATCAATTCAACTGGTGAATCTTAGAATCTGATGTGCCACCCAACATCCTAAAAAATTGACCCATTGCATTAGTTTAACTGAACCTTGAATTTAAAATTATAAGTAAATATGTTCGTCTGATTAAAATAGCACTAAATCAAATGTATATAGATGCCATGTATATGCAACGGGCTTAGGCCCAAGCTATTCAGTTTACACACAAACAGGCTTTGACCCAGATGTCAACATTAGTACTTACACACACATAAGTGTGTTTAAGTGTGTTTAACACGCATAAGTATGTTTAAGTAAGCTGGAGAGTAGCACAGCAAAGCATAGTGTTGTGTGCTGTATCGTATAGTATCCCTTCATGTGATACAGTATTGTATCGTATCATATCTTATCACATCAGTGTTGTGTATTGTAATGTATCCTATCATACCATATAATATTGTATTGTATTGTTTCATGTCGTGTCGTGTTGTGCAGTATACCAAGGGTACAGAGCTGATATGTTTTCCATGTATCAGAATCAGAATCAGAAATACTTTATTAATCCTCAGGGGGAAATTGCTAACACTTTTCAATATAAAACTAACTAGTCACTTGTTTCAGTATATGACATAAAGGTGGGTCCAATATTAACGAGCTGAAAGGGGGTCATTTTGCCACCTATTTTTTTTCGGCATTTATTGTTTCTTACAAGGTACTTGTTTAGTGGGTACAAGTACACCAGTCCAATAAAATAGTGTAATTGAGCTACTGTAGCTTGAATTAATGGTTCATACAAATGTACTTAATGACTGGCTATTTGTCATGTCAGCGTCAGTGCTAAAGTTAGAATAAACCGTGGGCTGTTTTTCTACAGGTTGCTAGGAGCTTTCTTTGTTCTAATTATGACTCTAGACAGGGATCTTCTTGTTTAACCTAATAGATTAAAGCTAAAAAGATTTAAACGTTTCCACTTTATGTATAAGATATCTTTCATTTTCATTCAAACACGATGAGTACTTACAGAAGAGGTGAACAATTACCTTTCATTGTATATTTGCGCACACATCCTGAATATGTCATTAGCTCAGTCTGGACACCCCAGTCATAAAAAGTCTGTCTCTGCCCTTGGTGACGGTGGATTATATGCTCTTACAATAAGTCTGTGAGTGCAAAACAACAATTCTTGCCAAAACTTTGAATACTTTGTGATTTCAGCCTCTAAAATGAGAGATTTTACTGCTTTATGGAGTTTGTTACTTGATTTGACTGCTTTTTAAACAAACAACATACAGTTTGACAATTCCTTTGGCAAATTGCACTTAGCATTTATACTTCGTTGAATAAGCAACTAATTGATAAAGAGTAAAGCTTGATGATTAACCAATAATACATATAGCTGTTTGTTTCTCTCTCATGAGAACTCCAAAATATAAAGTCTGTAAATGGGCAAAGTCAGACTACAATATCTACCAAAGCGTGTGTCTTTGCGTACAGGAAAATGGGAACATGTGGGTATGTGTAGAGGAGTTTAAAAAATGACCAAAAAATGTATAAATATATACAAATAAGTTCTCAAAAGACCTTTTTACCTCTGTAGGAATGTGGAGAGCTAATTTAAGATTATTAGCACTGATCCAAAATCAGACCGAGAGCTCAATATCCAGGAAGTGGGTCTGTCCTCGTCACCTCTCTTAGATTAGCCCATTACTCACTATCTGTGTCAGAGGAGCTTGCATAACTCGTCTCAAATCTTATTGCAACATTCAGGGTCCTGCTTGGAGCTGAGATTTCTGAAGGGTTTGCCTGCCTGGTTTCATAGGTGTCTGGGTTGATCTATAGGACGATATTTACTGCCACCAGAGGCGCTAATGAAGCGATCACGACGGAGGTCATCAAGTTCTACGGATTTGTCTGTTCATGTCCTGGTTCTTGGAAATGGATTGCAGGTTCTTGGACATGAACAACAACAACAGATTTGAGTTTGGGCTGGGGCGACATGCCAGTTGGCTGCTGGATTAACATTTAGGTTTAAAGGAGTAGGTGAGACTCTCCAGGTAAGCTGCAGGCAAAGGTGGCGTAGGGATACCTGGCAGTGTGGCAGGAGGAGAGCTGACTTGTTTGGTGAGGAGTAATTGCACGCAGATGATGCTGGAGGTGAGGTGTAAAAAAGGAAGTGCCAACTGGGTCAGCGTTCTATCCTGCAAGTGTTTACACAGGCTTGTCCTCTCACTTGAACCATCTGGCCATACATATCCTCACTTGACTTTCGAATAATCTAGACATTTGGATCCTGGAGGATGATGTATGGGCAGAGTCAGACAGTCGGAGGCTGTGTCCACATTTAACTGCTTAATTGGGAAAGTTACTTAGTGATCACATTAAATTTGGAGCCAATCATGGCTCACTGTGTAAACTGGATACAAGAGATGAAGAAGCTCAAAACCATCTGTACATATACCACGATAATGCTCTTTACAGCAAAGTTACATATTTCTAAACACAAGTGTTATATTAATGAATAGTGTTTGAAGTTAAGGAGTACAATCAATAATACTGTTGTAAATATTCCACCTTTGACTTGTCTGAAACCTGAGGTTGTTTTAAGGGGTGGAAATAAACATCCATTCCTACAAATGTTCAGAAACATTAGGGGTCGTTGGGTGTTTTAGATTCTCCAGTCTCAAGGGGCAGTAATAAGCCTATTGTAACTCAGTTTAACAATTTATAGTGAGGCCCCAAGAGGTAGTCTCATTTTCTAGCAGAAGAAGCTCATGCTTTTAATGCAACTATCTGCAGTTCCTAAAGTGTCCACTTGAGACTGGTTCTAAAAGCATAGGAAACCTGATACACCCCAATAAAAACATTCACAGCGAGGTTCAAAATTAGGTTTTAGTTGCTCATTACTTTGTGTGTATAAATGTAGGGGAGTTGAAATTGTTTCAACTTATCCATCTTGGTCATATCAGAGCGATGAGTTACGTGTTGCATAATCAGGTGCGTGGTTAGTTTGACTGAGAGGTGGGTGCACTTGATCTGTTTGCCAGACAGCTAAAGGCCCACCTAAATCCCTCTTTGCCCCTGTTTATAATCTCCTCCATTTGACCTCAGAAGTCAGGAAGAACCCAAGTTGCCTGTTGAAGATGTCATTGGGTGTGCTGCTTAATATTAAATTCCTATTATCTCAAAAGCATTTCAAAAGTTCTGTCTGTAGACTATCATTTGTTTTTGCATGTAAACAGTCATACAGATAGTAAATGCCATCAACTTGAATGTAACACTATTTCCAGCTCCAACATCCAACTTTTTAGAGGTAATCAGACCGCACCATTAGATTGATAAAAGTTACACTGAGTCCACATTTCCAATATGGCGACCACCAATAATGGCTTCGCAAAAACCAAGGGGAAACGTCTGACTACAACCAACTTAGATAACCATTTGATATCTGTTAAAACCCAGTATTTAAAAATTCTACTTGTACACTTATACATCAATATACATAAGGAAAAGCTTCACAGTGAGAACTTATTGCTTGGCTACCAAATCTGGGTTTTGGTAACTTCCACCCTCCAATGATTGGAAAAATAATGAACAGAGCTGAATTATAGTGCGCTCCATTTGATCTCGCCTTCAGAGAAACTTCAGGTACCCTGAACTAGAATTTCAAGATCTGCTGCATCGATAACCGCTGTAGATTTAGTAGTGGTTATTTGCAAGTAACAAAATCGATCAAAAGTACTGTCCAAGTTCTATCTGTAGAAATGTTGTTATGATGCATTCTGCTGCTAGCTATCCTTTGGCGTATTATAACCTACTCAACTATTTCATTTAGTGCTATTTTGATCTGGCAGACCCTCCAGTTTAGACAAACTTCCATTAGACCAAGTTCAGACTGAGCCAATCATAAATGTTTGTCTTATATGGGACAGAGTTGAAACAAAAACTGACAGTGAAGAGAAGTGCTCCTGAGGCATAAAGCCAAATGTTGATGGTTGACATTAGCCAGGTAGCTCAGCAGCCTGGACTGCTTCTTGTGTCAGAGCTCTGTGATTGCTTTTTTTAAGCTCTTTGGTTTGGGCTGGTCGATCCACTTTATAGGAATGGATGAATAAAACAACAAATTCGAGACCCATTTATGACTATAACTGGTGATTCCATGTTACACATGTTGTTTGAGTTTTCATTTTGTGTATTTGTGTTTTTGTGTTGATGCCCTGACCTCCAGCAGAGTGACCAGCAGCACCAGCGCCCCGATGGTGTTCAGCATGCCTCCATAGTAGGACAGTAGAGCTTCACTGCAGCCGCGGCTCCAAACGTTGAGCTCCTCTGTGTAGTGATCATAGCTGTAGTGGGCAGTGTTGTTGGTCATCTGGATCTGGATGCAGGGTCTTGGGGAGCTGGGGTTACAGCAGCTGAATGGGACTCCATCCATCAGGTACTGTCCATCCACATTGCTCCCAATACGGCTAAGAGGATGAGGGGAGAGTGACATGTCAGTGTCACGTTATGTGAAGTTGAAGGTGAGATTAAAGGTGAGGGACTATATCTGTGGCGTGTGCAGGCTAAAATTAGCAAAGTTGGGCACGCATTAAGCCAAAACATAAAGTTGTGCTATATAGGAAGTATCTCTCCAGCTGTGCAATGCAACCAAGTTAAATAAAGTTCTGCCACAAAGCATAACAGAAACTTTTTTTCAAGCAAACCTCAATATTATATACCTGAAAACAACAAAAGGGATTTTATTATTTTGTAATAATGTAAGTGGGGGGTAGGAAGGGTAAACTGAACATCTAGTGAGCTGATTGAATGGCTTGTGTTGCATCTAACATTTAGAAATCTTTTTTTCCATCTAGACCACCTGTAGACCCAGAAGAAGACAGCAACTGGTGAACAAACACCAAAAAAGTAGGAAAAGTTTTACATTGTTCATGCATTTGGACCTGACACAAAAGTGTAAATGACAATGAGCATATAAGTGTGAGTGCTCAGCTGTGATTGACGGTTGTAGGCCAACAGAAAGACCTTATAATTGGATCACTGACACCACAGAAGGTCAGATATGAATGGATGATTTTAACACCCAGTCAAACCCCATGAAAACCCAAGAAACCTCTTTGATCCATATCCATAGTATAGGCTGTGTTGAATACTATTCAAGATGCTGATAATAATAAAGATGACCAGTACCAGTTTGTATAATGTTTAAGAGTGTTGGGACATTTCCAAGTTTAATCCAAAAGGCAAATGGACTTGGTTTGGCCAGTTGCCTTTTGGATTAGACCTCAATGACCTGAATGGTTGAGAACCTTCACAACCACCAACGGGCCATAACTAAAAGTCTTCTTTTCTAAGTTCAGGTATTAGATTTTCAGTCCCACGATGCAGTCCATTACCATTAAAGTTTTCATTTGAGAACTTTTACTTGGTCATGCTGTCTTTGGAATGTTCCTCAGTATTTTGCTGATTGGAAACGTCGGACACTTAAAGGACATGGACACTGTAATCCCTGAGATTAAACACTAATTAAGCGCCAGTGCTCAAACTTCTCTGCAGTATTCCTCACAGAGCTAATGCACGCCTGTTGCACCAATAGAGATCAAGTCTGTATAAATTAAAGGTTTGTAAGTGAGTATGTTCATCACATTTTACTGGACTAGAACAATGCCCTCTAATCCGTGCCTTTTTGACCTCATATCTTTTTCTGTTGCTAATCGCTCAAGCCCCTCCCCTCGCCTTATCCATAAAACTGCCTAGTAACCTCTTCCACCCTGGGAGTCCTAAAGGCCGCCATTTCAGTGATGCTAATCTTCAGTGAACGAAAGTGAATAATGCACCTGCCCTGACCTACCTTCACCTCAAATCCACTTACGCTCCCACCTTGATACTTTCAGGTTCAATGACAATCTCTTTGAGCCAAAAACACCCACTGCACCATCACCAAGCAGATCTGAGACCCTTAACTTTCCAAAGTGATGATGGGAGTTATAATTTTAGATCTTTGACACTTACTCTTTGACTTCCTTTGCGCTGAAGTCCAGGTAGCGGTTGCTAACCCACTGAATCTCAAACCAATCTCTGTAGTTGTCATTCCCACAGCAACGAAAATCCATCTGCATCTGATCCAGAGTCCTCTTCATGTAGCAGCGACCTGGTGTGTCCGTGTCCTTGTAGAACCTCATGCCGTTCCTCAGCCCTTCAGCAAGGGTGAACTGCAAAGGGATCCTCATCAGGAAACACAACAGTGCCGTTACAAATAGCAGAGCGTTGAAGCCCACGCAGAATACCAAGAAGTTCTTCAACATTGGCTTCCACTTGGCAAACTTGACAGGGTCCAATGAGTCGTAGCAGACTTTGCCTCCAAAGGCATTGATGCCACAGGCTATTAGACCCATGAGTATGAGCAGGTTCGGTAAGAAGTGGCTTTCATTGTTGTCCATGAGTTCTGATCGTTTCCGTAGCTCTATCTTAAAGAAAAGGCCCATGCTGAAGACCAGCACGCCGGCCATTACAGCAAACCAGTACATGAACCAGACAGTCTGAGCGAGCTTTACTCGCTTCTTCAGATCAAACTTTACCAGCATCAGCGCCATAGTTCAACCTGCAGTGCGTCCCTACCTGTGAAGACGAATCAAATGATAATCTAGAACAACAGGAGCACCAGGATTTCCAGAAAGCTCCTTGGTTTAGTGTCCTTGACTGCGCCAACCTGCAGTTCCCTGTCTGTTTGCTGTCAGGGTCTCCTTTAGCTGGTCCACCAATACAGGACAGGAATCAGCTCAACCTGTAATCCATCCCACAGCAAAAGAGCAGAGAAGAAGAACCCAGGAGGACCCGGGGACAGCACTGGAATGTTATTCCTCCAAAGATATCTCCTCTCCCATTGTGACAAAAAAAAACTTAACAAAGCTTTGATTCACTAACTTTTACAGGTTTTCCTCCCTTAACACTCAGGTGAAGCTAATTGCGATGCTCTGTTCTCCTTGAGAGATGGAGGATTGCCGAGGATCCTCATGATTAAACTCAAAGTTGCAGTACGTCATGGTAAGCCCCTGTAAGAAGCCTGATCCAATTTGCAGAAATCCCTCTGCACAAGATGAGCCTGATCGTAAGCCTCTGCCAGGGGCCATAATTGGTTTGAGCGTTCACGTGGTCATGGTTGCGTTGATCAAACAAACCCGGGGCAGTGAAGGCATCAGCTGAAGGCTGACAAAGACCACAGGCAAGAAAGAAAGAGGAGCCGATAATGGAGCATACCCATTCACAGGAAGGGGTCCACAAGTTCAGCACAAACAGGATGTCCTATCTGTAGTGCAAATACCCTGTGCTGATCAAGCCCCAGTAACCCATTCACAGAAACAAAAGAGCTTTCAGGCTCACATTGAAACTCTGCACTACCACTGAAAATTTTGATATTTAACTGCATTTAAAAAAACTGAACTGAATAAAACTTAAAACATGAAAAAGGTACGCAAAAATTAGTCTTGCAAACTCATTGACACAGGTCAGATCTCTTAGCTCTCTTACTGTCTTTCGCTAATTATGCAAATTAAAATGAACTCTGTTCCCGGTACGAACCCGAGCCAGACACTCTCACCGACTACAGCTGCCTAAATCCCTAAATGGCTTTTGTTTTGACCCCTTCAAACTTGACATTTGTTTAATCTGGAGGCAGCAGTGACACTTACGATTAACATCTCTGTAGAAGGGTTATTGTCCCGGTCAAAAGGAAATGCATTTATGTTTTCAAGCAAAATTATGTCACCTGTTCCTGTCTGTTCCCCAGTGCTTGTCTTGTTTAGTAATTAAAGATTTTTTTTGGACTGAAGGTCTTTCTTTTCTTTTTAATTTGGGACCACGCAATTTATGTGTAACTAACTCTACAAAAATTCAAAACAAAAAAAAGAACTAGATGTGCATGTTAAAGAATATTATGCCAGTCAGAATATTTGTAATGAGTAATGGTTCATTTTCCCCCCAATTTAAACCAAAAACAAAATAATATTGCTTTAACGGCCTTGCAGTGGCATTTCTTTTTGAACTGATTTTAAGATTTTACTCATCACTTTGAAAACACTTCATGGTTTGGCCCCAGAACACTTGTCCCCTTACCAGCCTGTGCACAGCCTCAGATCCTCAGGCAAGGACCCTCATAATCCCACCTAGAACTAAAAAACTAAAGGTAACTGAGCTTTGCTGTTTGGACTCCTCAGCTGTGAAACGACCTGTCTGAGTGTCTTTGACGAGCTACACTAGTGTCTTCTTTTAAATCCCTCCTGAAAATGTCCTTTTAAAGATTGATTGATCTAATTAAGAGGTGACCCACTTTGACTCTGATGACTACACATCGTATTGCATACTTTTAAACCGGAGCTACATTTAAGACCACTCAAATAATAAAGCCCAATCTTTATCTGAGAGGTGCTTTTAAGCTAAAGCTTTTCTCTAAACTAGAATAACATGCTTGTTTTAAGTTATCAGATTCTTGTTATTAGCATGACTGTATCCTCTCTGATACAAATCTGCTTAATTTAATCGAACAATACCAGATAAGCACAATGATTTTGCCTTTTTAGCTGCAGTCACTACTTAAAAATGAACGTAAAACCCATCTTTTGACATTTGTAGATTTACATCAGAATATCATTTTAAAGTACTTATTTATTCAGAGTAGCTCTGAATGAGTAAAATTATCGAAAATATAATATTCTGAGACTTTGAGATATTGTTTTAAAATTTCACAGCCACAGTTATCAGAACTAAAAATGAACATACATTAAACATTTTAGTTTCTGTCATAAATCCATTCTTTACAAGGAATTACTTTCTTAAATAAGTCGCAGAAAATATTGCTTTTATAGGATATTTTGAGTTTTCATGATGCTAGAGTTGATGCATTTTATCAGAAACCTTATCAAAATGAAACAGATTTTACATCACAACCAAGCTCAGTTTATCAGGTACATTTTCATTACTTTATGTAGTCTAATAAAATAGTCTTGTAATACATAATAATGGGTCAAAAACATTTTTATTTTATTTTTCAAATATCATAGAAGCATAAGTGCTCAGTCATACATGGACATGATGGCATTTTTGTTTTGATTTGGCCTTTTACTGCAAGTTTTCAGGGATTTATATTTGCTCTGCTGCTGAGTGTGTGCAAAAAAACATAAGCCATAATTAAAGCACAAGTTTCATGCACACAGCCTCTAGGATTTAGTTGGCCAAACTGTTACATTCTTTAAATACAGGAGTGCAGTGTTAATCATGTCCTTAAGCAGGGTGGATGATTGCAGCCGCAGAAACAATCAGACAATCAGAGGATTGTAGTGTAACACAGACAGGACTATGTGTGTGTGAGTTAAGGCTTATACATTAATGTCATGGGTAAGAGTCTTTCTCTAGGGGTCCCAGCTGGTTCTCCTGTCTCCTTCTGGGATCACAGTCCAGTTTGGCGAAGGTGTCCCCGCAGCAAGCCAGTTGAAGTCATCCACTTGGCTCCAGTTGTTCAGGTTCTGGTCCAGTCCTGACACAGCAAAGTCCTCCTCCAGTGTGGGATAAGACCAGGAAAATGGTGCAAAGCTCACCCCACGACAGTCCTCTATGATGGCCCGACTCGTGACGTGCAGGTACACCTGAGTGTCTGTAGTGTTGTGGGTCCGCAGCTGTTGACAAGGGAAGGCGAGGGTGCTATTTTTACACTGGTCAATGAAAACCGAGCTGGAAACAGGACCACACAAGATCTCACAGCTGTCGATGTGCTTCAGGTGCAGCGTGCTCGGTGCACCAAACAGATGGACTTTACAGTTCGTCAGGTGAGACAACAGCACATCTTGTTTCTGGATCTCCTCAGCTGTCTTTGTCAGACACTGGTTGTCCATGTTGGATATGCCACACTGCACAGATGCTGCAGATCCATCCACCTCAGAGGTACCTGACTCTGCAGGTGTGACAGCATCTGGTGATGTGTCTGCCTCCGGGGCTGAGGATTTATCTTTTGCTTTAGTGCGAGTTCTGAAAGCAAACTTCTTCTTAGGCAGACCCTCCTCTCTGGTCTCAGTGAGGGAGGTCTGGAGTTTCTGGAGAGCAGCCTGGGCTTGTCTCAGGTCGTAGGGCTTCAGAAACATGGTGCTATCACTCAGGAACTTCTGCAGCTGGAGTAGTTTGGCCGTCGCCTCTTCTAATTTCTGGGTTAACACAGCTCGGTCAGCCCCAGAGCAGCTGGACAGTATGTCCTCGATGGATTCTCGCTCCTTGTTAAAAGTACCGAAGAAGTAGTCCCCCTTTTCCTCCGCCACAGACCGAGACTCTTTGGCTTCCTTCCTCCGCTCAGCATCATCTATCCTCTCCTGGTGCCGCTTTTGGAGACGCTCTTGAATCCTGGCGGCTCCGCTTTCGCCGGTGAACCCGCTTTCCTGGCTGATTTCAGCAGCAGCATCCATGCTTTTCTCTCTGTCAAATGTTGCGGAAGTGAAGGCGTTATTCGTTCTTGTTCGTTGGTATTACGAGCCGACGTTGTGGAGACACAGCGCCACCTGTTGTAATGGAGACCACCAGGGTAGCACAAGCCTTCAAATTCAGCTTTATTTTTGTGGCACTTTTCAGACAAAAAAATGCAGTTTAAAGTGCGTCACAGAGGCTTAAACAACAATAAAACCCGACCCACTCACCCACACACACACCCATGGACCCACACACCCACCCTCATTCACTCACACATATACACACACAAGCGCACACTGTATGAATTTAAGATATATTGTTAGAGACATGGCCTGACACCGAGACATTACATGAGGAAAGAGCTACCTTCGGGAAACACTGGAGATAAAAGATAAAAAATTGCAAAAAGAAAGAGTAAAACCTGATGGAAAATAATATTAAAAGTAAAAGGGGTAAAAAAAAGTAAAAACCTATGACAGGAATTAAGAAAAAGACTAAGAACAGAGATAATGAATAAAATGACATAAAATAAACATAAAGAACACACACACACACACGCATATCACCATAAAGTCAAACAAAACCACTATAAGGCTACTTCAAAGAAAAACAGGTGCATTACAGCTTATTTTAAAACATACTCAACAATTGACCATTTATAGCTTGATTTAGAACCATCATAATAAAGGAACTTTGATATATGGATACTATGCACTTGGTTGCTTTTGTTCATCTTAAAAAGGCATCAATATTAATTTCAGTCTGTTTCAAAAAAGTCATAAAACACTTCAAATGAGCTTTCAGATAAACTAAATCTAAAAGAAAATATAACTCTGTCTTCCCAAAGAGAACACGACTTGCTCTTGACCCTTGAGAAAGTAAATTAAAGCACATATTGTTATGTTGTTCTATTTAGGGAGTTTCTATACGTGTGGACAAGAGCAAGAAATAAGTTGGTTTTTAATATTAAACCTGAATTTAATGCAGTGCAGATAAATTTCATGACACAAGGTGCATTATTGTTTTTGGAAACATCTTGATGCATTTTGATCACTGTGAGGGTGTGAACTGTATTTTATCTGTATTTCTGTTCTCCCGACATTGAACTTTCTGTTTGTGCTAATATTGGCTTACTGGTCTGAAATAAATATAAGGTAAAGTGAATAAGACAACCACATTGTTATTGTTTCTTCAAAATGTATTTATTGTACGTTTGTTCAACTAAATTAAATAGTCTGTTTTTATACAGTATAAGGTGGGATTTCAATGGAAAAGTGATACAAAGAAGGACTTTAACTATATTAAAAAACTATTCTTAAAACTTTGAAAGTGAGCGAAATATGTTACCCATAAATTCAAAATAAGTGATATGACTTCTTGATTACCACTCTTGAGGCTCGCGCTCCTAAACTGTAACCATGGTGATACCTGACAAACGTTAAGGTGTGACAGACTCTACGGAGGCCCGCCCTCTACCGTTGGCAATGATTAATTCAAATAATAACATTTATCTGCAAATTATGAAGGCAGTTAAGCGTGGCATTAAAATCGAGATCGATTTTAAATTGCGCCATAACTAATGAACCGTTACAGTTTGAAGATTTCCTATTCAAATTTTAACGGTCGCCTGCTCTCGGTGTGGAATGATGATTTGGGTTGCCTTGTTCTGTGCACTACCCCTACTACCCGTGCGGTGATGGCGAGGAAACCCCGTTGACAAGGCACTGCTTTTTCATGACGGTGAGTTTCCCTTTGAGTGTATTATAATTTTGTGATAAAAATTTCAAGGAAAAAACACACACAACCTCCTTCCTCCCTTCCTTCAGGGAGGGAAGAGAGTTTGAGCGGAGAGAAAAATCTATCCGAGACAGAACAGGGACAGCGAGAAAAATATATGAGTGGGAGAGGGAGAAGGAGGAGGAGGAGAAGGAGGGGGGAGCAAATTAAAAGTTGCCAAATGGAGATATTGGGTTTCAAGAGGAGTGAGACAGGAGTAAAGGGTTTGCCTCTTTGAGTCGTCTTTATGTTTTGCTAATCGGGATTAATATGTATGCCTCGACACGGTTTGGTCCTGTAGGTTTTTTCGACGGATTCTCGCCGACGTTTCCCACATAGGCGTCGTCTCCACCGCGGCTAGCTAACCAGAACAGGCCGGTGTTTACCGTTAAAAATGTGGCGGAGTCTGGAGATCTCCCCGACCAGAACACGACTACGGGTCCAGAAACCTCCGATTGAAACGCGTCGATTCGACATATCGAGACAAATGTGACGTTTCTCATGCTGGCAGATGAGCCACATAGTAGAGGACAAATGAAAGCCTCCCCAACAGAGAAAGAAAGATCACGTCAGCGACGACCAGTCACAGGCTGGACGACGGGCGTTTTTGTGCTGCTTGAATGCGATTATCATTCTGTCGATTCAGTCTATTTTTGGAAATAAAACTTGCTTGCTGTACATTAGCTGACTTTCAACGGCAATGGCGACACCATACCGTACCAGTGACAGGAGTAGATCAGGGGGTAGCTTGGTATGCGTCGAGCCATGCATGCTAGGGCGGATTCGGACAACGAATTCCAGCCTTAAATTCAACAAACTATTCAATCTTTCCGCTTTATATCGCCTCGATTTGACGACCCCAATCCAGAAAAGTGAAAATATTCGCTAAAGCTGGGTTTTTAGGTCACCGAAATGACTTGTTTTTGTCGGCATGAGGGTGTTTTAGTTGTAATGTTTTTCTGAATCTTTCTACCGTTGTGCTTCGGCTTGAATTTGTAACTGCGAAATTAGTAACATGTCTGTTGTTCGTGTCCGTTGAGTTATGTGTGACTTCGTGTTTAGTTTTGACTATTTGGAAAGAAAATTGGACAGTTGCATCGTAAATTCGTTGAAAATCACAGTCTAGACTCGGGTCGGTCAGAATAATATCTACTTTCTTAATAGTGTGATATCTGTTATTGTTTTGAAAGTTGAAATCACAGGTTAATGCAGTTTTTCTTACATTGTGTACACATTTGAAGGACAAAGGAGCCTCACTGCCTGTTGTTGCCTTCCTTTCTGGCGACACAATCTGTTTTATTTTTAACTGTTATCAAAGAAAGTACTGATATAACGTAATGTAAGCGACTGAAGCATTATTCTTGGCGTTTTATTTCAGTTTAGCGAGAATATGTGAAGCACTTTTTGACATTCAGCCCTCTCGTTCTTTGTTCTCCCCCGGACTAAAGATGGAGGCTAAACGTGGTTCAGTTGTAAAGACAACCCATGTCATGGTAACAGCCATTTTGTAGCATTGCAGTAGTAAAGTTAACATATCCGTAGGACCACTATACAGTGGGGTCCATTACTTTCTCAACACACAATTAACTCAGTTCACTACTGTGTTATGACAAAAATGCTGGATTTGTAACTGTCAATTTTATCACGTTTTCTTACTGTCAAATTAATAAACTATGTCAGAGATCCCAACTTGACAAATATCCAAGCACTCATTGCACACAATACTCATATCACATTATCAAATAACTCTTAATAACCTCACATCTGTTCCTTTATTTGTCGGGGCCACGGTAGTTCCATGCACAGGCTGGCTGTCACAACATAAAGCCAACACCTCTTGCAATGTAGGAACTCAAACAACCATTCAAGATATAAATGGAGCAGGGTGGAGTTATTTACACTCAAATGCCCATTTTCACTCTGTGTAGGCTACAGGCAACCAATGTGGGACAGCAGAGCAGGGTAATGGGTGGGAGTTTGTGTCAGAGACAAACATCTGTAGGAGGGGATGAGGGTCATCCTGCCTTCTACTTACATAGGTCTCCCATACTAAATAACATGATTGTCCCCCTCTTTCCTCCCAACCCACATTTCACACATCCATCTGTTTTTTTTCTCTGTCACCCACTCCACTTTCCCAACACTCCCACACCCTGTATCTCACGTGTTTTCTTTTATCGTACTAAATGTAGTTTCTTATCCTGCAGCTTGGGAAACAAAGGTGTTAAATGACTGAATCCATGCTTCCTGCTGGAGATCTGTGAGTGAGATTGTACTGTAATGCATGTACTTTAAAAAGCCATTACATTACACATACAAGCACCCCAGGATAAAACCTGTATATTCCTGATAAATAAAGCCAGATTATCATGATTATTTATTCTGACATAAGTAAATCACAAATACTTAAAGATACACCAACACTCTTCTTTTTCATTCAATCCCTTTATCGCACCATATTCTTTCAGGTGTCATGGATGATGAGGACGATCGCCGTCTTCTGGATATTTTAGGGTAAAAAAAAAACTCAACAAAACAGGCCACTCAACATCTATCTTTGAGATCTGCTTTTACAGTCCTTGAGTTTAAGTAGGCCATATCTTTGGCATCAAAAACACAAGTATGTGCAAAGGTGTTTTGGCCTGTAGTTGAATTAAGAGAGAGAATGATAAGATATTTCTTGTGAACTATATTCTGCCCAGATTCTAATAAAAGTTGAGGTATATGCTAGCTAAAGTTACTTTTTAGTTTTAGAACTTTTTCATGGATCAGGAGCTTAAAAAAAATCTCCTCTTCGCTCCTTCTAGAGATGTGGATGCATTGAATGACTATCTCCATGGCAGCAACAGCAAGTCTGTGAGTGACTCTTCAACAATGTGTTCACAGTCATTCCTTACAAAGTTGGTCTGAATAGCTTCCAACTTCCTTTAGCGCAGCCCAATTATTCTCTGTCTGCTCTGTTTTGTTTCTGCAGATTGAAGAGGAGGATGTGAGAAATGCAGCTTATGGCTCGGATGGATCCCTCTTTGCCAGTGACACAGTGAGTTTATCTGTCAGTATACAGAGCCAACACATAATCAGGAGCTTGGCAGGTGACCTCATCTTACATTGATGTAGGATAAAAAGACATTTAGCTGTAAAGGTAGACTTTGTGCAGAAGTAAACAAGTTGGGACTCTAAGTTGTTGTTTTTTTCCCTGGTGGTAAAAAGCATCATGGATGTGTGAGATGGTCCTACAGGGAGGTCTGTCTTGTATGCAGCTCACATGCAAACAGCTCTCCGGTTTCTGCTCATTTTCTCTTTGCTTCATTCAGACTGGCTCCAACTCTGGTCTCAAGGATGGCTCCTCTTCAATGGCTGAGTTTGGAGAGGATTCAGCAGGGGCAGGACTCCAGCTTTCCAGCAGCCTCTCATTTATTGAGGATGAATTGGGACCGGAGACGTCTCCAGGAGGGGTGGACCTCGGGGGCGAGGACCAGCCCTTTGACATCCTACAAAAATCTCTCATGGAGGCTGACATCACAGAGCAGACTTTGGCCCAGGAGGCCTTACTGGACTCCCAGCCAGCTCCCACTCTAGTGCAAGCTCCTGTTCCCTTCCAGTCCCAGCTGGTTCCTGGGAGTTATGGAGGGGGAGTGGGTGTGGTTACCACGGCGACCGCCGCATTCCCTGCAGGCCAGTTCCTGCAAGGGGTGTCCCAGCTACCCAACGGCTCCGCCCAGCACATCCAGGTGTTGGGCTCATTTGGAGCAGGCGGTGGTGTGATGACCTTGAGCAGCTTGGAAAGGACTCCTCAGATTGTGTTGAGGCAGGGGGCGCCTGCAAGTGCAACAGGGACCACAACAAGTGGGCAGGTGTTTGCCCCAACCCAAGGGCAGGTAGGCCAAGTGGGCTTACCTTTCAAAAACATCCCCCTCCAGAATATTATCATCCAGAGAGGCCCAGGAGGCACTCAGACTCTTGTCAGACCTATCCAGCCCAAACCCCTCCAAGCTGGGGCCCAGACCATCTACAGCCTGGGCCCCACCACCATAGCTAATGTAGTTAACGCTAACACTGCTACACCTGGGGGTCAGTACACAGCCAACGGCTCCATAGTGGTGCAGCCGCCCATGGAACAGCAACAGGGGCAGACAAACATAACTCCTGGACAGTTTCTGCTGCCCAATTCTTTGGCGCTCACTCCAGCCAGCACCATCCACAACGGTCCTGCAGATCCAAACTCAAACACCCTCATATCCAGTCAGAATACGGTGCAGATCATCGCGGGGCAGAACTTCACCACTCAACCAGCAGGCCAGCTCATTCTGAATCAGGGGGTGGTTGGCGGGGGACAGGTTGGAGGGAATGTGACCCAAACATGGACAGGAGTTTCTTGCGCTAGCTCTGCCCCTGTGCAGACGACATGCGCTCCAGGGCGGCTGACCCTGGTTGGTCCAGCAACTGCGGGGATCGGAGGTCAAGGCCAAGTATCTGCTAGTCCAGTTCAGCGCCTTCTGGTCACTCAGACACAGAATTGCACTTCTCTGTCACCTTTACCTGGTACTGCTGAACAACAGGACTACAGACAGGTGTGAACACAAACCACTGCTGACATTTCACTCACACTTACCTGCGCCTTTTCTGTCTTTGTGGGTCTGACTGGACTCTCATTACATTTCAGAACGCCTCATCGCCTGCTCTCAAACAGGCTCAGATCAGCAACATCCAAGGTAACAATTGCTCACATCCGATTTTTAACTTGATCTTTGCACGTCTGATCTGACTCACTTAAGATGTTGTGTCGCTTGTACAACCTCTCTCAGGTGTTACAACCATGGCCCAAGATTCAACGCTCAACTCTCAGGTACTAGTCATTTCTTCCCTCATTTGTTTTGCACTCCTGATGCAGTTTATTCAAGGTTAATAGTGATTATATTAGTAATGTTATCAAGCGTTTATCTTTGCAGGTCAGTGCTCAGAAGAGACCTGCCCTTCCAACGCTGACAAGAGCAGGAATGTGAGTTTTTCTTTGTCTTCTTTCTTTAGTTTTTGCTCATTTTCCTCATGCTTAATTGATTTCCATTCAGAATCATCTCTAGAACCACATTATTAACCCAAAATAAGGGAAAAGGGGGTGCTTAAGTTGCTCCAACACACAATGCAACCAAAATATAAGATAAAAGACAACCTGTGAAATATGAAAATTCATATATGCACAACTAAGTGTTTTCAGTATGATACACATCTGCTGTATGATGCATTAAAGGAGCATTTCCCCTTTTTTCCCTCCTCTGTAGGATTTTACAGCAGTTGAGGAAGGACCACGCTGGAGTCCAGTCTTCAGACCGGCGCAGATTCACTTCAGTGGAAGACGCCCTGCAGAGACTTCTTCCCTACCATGTGTTCCAGGGGGCTCCACCCAGCAAGGAAGAGTTCTCCCAGGGTACAGCTCTACTCTAAATCTGAGGAAGAATCACAGAGTGTGATACATGTACACCTGAGGAAATAACTCAGAAACTTGTCATTGTGTTCACAGTGGATGAAGAGTTCGAGGTGGTTGCAGCTCAGGTGTTGATGAGGACCCAGTCCATGGTGAACAAATACAGGCGGCTGCTAATGGTGGAGGCAGAGGTAGTTAAACTGTTGCACGCATGCAGTGTTTCAGGTTACCACATGAACAGGACTGACAGGCTGCCTCTCCTTTCCCTGCAGCGATTCAGCCCCTCGTCAGAAATGGTGATGATTGACAGGACCTTCAACCAAGAGGAACGCGGCAACCTGACGCAAGACAAACGGATGGTACTGGTGGATCCAGGTAAAGGAAGGAACCACGAAATATTGTTTTCTTTTACTGCGAACTTGGAAGTCGGCCAGAGAGGGAGGCAGGGGAATTCACAGAGCATGACAACACCTGCAGATAATGGTTACTCTATAAAAGCAAAACTGAAACATAACATCGCCTAATGGCAGCGTGACAGACGACAAGTGTTACTGGAAGCCAAAGGGTTCAAGTATGGTTTCATCTGTACAGGTGATACAGTGTGAACGAGAATGACAAGTTAGCCTGAGGACACACCTCGGCTTTGTTCACACTGCAAGTCAAGTCAGATTTTTTAACCATATGTGACACATACATGATTTTTTCATGTCAGTGTGAACAGTGCAATTCTGATTTTTTCAAATCCGACCCAGACCTCTTTTGTATGGGGAAACAAATCAGATATGTATCCCATGTGACTGCAGTGTGGACGCTCAGGTCCCGTTCATCCGACCTATACGTCATCAATATTGGTCGACAACACAAACAGGCGCCGAAAGCGATGGCGGACAAGGTAATGGAGAACAGCCAGTTGTGCGCATGCGGGTCACTTCACGGACGCATTCCGTTCACATTAGATGCTGCAAAGATCAGATATAACAAAAAGTCTTAATGTGCATCATAAGGCTACGTTCACACTGCAGGTTATGATGCACAATTCAGATTTTTTGTTAAATCCAATCTTTCTGTGCGGTCGGTAACATTACAACAACGAATGCGGCATCTAATGTGAACGGAATGCGTCCGTGAAGTGACCCGCATGCGGACAACTGGCTGATCTCCGTTCCCAAGTCCGCCGTTGCTTTCCGCGCCTGTTTTGGTGACGTTGATGACGTATAGGTCGGATGAGCGCAACCTGAGCGTCCACGCTGCAGTCACATCAGATCTGATTTATATCCACATACAAGGGAGGCCTGGGTCTGATTTGAAAAAATCAGAATTGCACTGTTCACACTTACATGAAAAAATCAGATATGTGTCACATATAAAAAATCAGAATTGACCTGCAGTGTGAACGTAGCCCTTGATACTCTTCACGCCACTCTTTACACATGAGCTAAATCTTTGTTTTGGTGACGGCAGAGCTGTGTCCTCAAAGATGATGAGTGAGCGTCTTCTCTGCTCCTCACCATAACAGACACACACGACACAAAACTGATCGTGACTGAAAAAAAAAAAAAAACTCAGTGTGTCTTGTGGTGATTCTTCGAAAAAGCGAGAACGCTGAAAACTTCTCGGTGGTCTACAACAGAAGCAGCACATGTTGTGTGTGACGTGCGTCTGTGTTCCTGTCAGTGTGGGGACCTTTGGTTTGGTTTGCACCACACACCGCACTGTGTACCTGCGTCAAACTGAAAGTGCTGTACTAAAAACAGTTTGGGTGCGAACGCTATCACCTTTACTCCCCTGTTCTCTTCACTTCCTGTTTTACAGACACCTTCATGGAGGACTTCTGCTGTGGGATCAAATCCAAACTTTTCCAAGACCCCCTCCCCTCTCAGTCGTCGCCCAGCTGTAGTAGGAATCAGTCAGACTTGGGCTCCTCAGAGCCGCCGTACAGGACAGACTCCCAGCCCGCATATGGAGACCCAGGAGGGGGCGGGGCTTCAGTCGCAGGTGCGGCAGACAGACTCCAGCCCTCCTCGCACTTAGACAACAAGCGACTCCTCGAACTGAAGAGATCCCAGCAACACTACGGGCCGAGCAACGTCAGCAACAACAGCCTCACAGTTAACAGTTATCCCCACGGCGGTAACCCCTCGCCTTTCGCAGCTACAGCGGGAGGGCAGACGCACTACCAGGGGTCCCACCATGTGGTCACCCAGCCGCAGTACCCGCCTCAGCTCAGCTCGCCGGCTCCCCCCGACACAGACTCTGCTTTAGAGGCGGCGGTCAACAGCATCCTGGAATGTTAAGGCTGATGCAGTTCATCCTTAGAGCCTGACTTCACTTCCATGTGTGTGTGTGTGTGTGTGTGTGTGTGTGCGTGTGCGTTCTTACGTTTGTTGTAGTGCTCCCAAACCCTGTGTGAAGAGAGGTTCACCCTCCTTTCAGGTCTGTTTTCTCTGTGTTACCATCTCCGGCCATGTAGATGTGTTCAGGTCTAATATGTTGAGTATGTCAAGGGTTCGAGTAACGACGTAGGAGTCAATGTGCACTTACAAAAAACCTACAAAGATCCGGGAACGTGTGCAATGCAACAGACTAACAGATGGATAACGTTGAGTTTATTTCCATGTTTTTTTGAAAGAGGTTTGGTTTGGGGCGTGTGTAGCGTGAGTACAAGAGCGCCCCCTCTCTTCACACACACACAAACACACACACTTTTGATATATTTTGTGCCAGTTGATCACCCCCCACTACCTATGCTAAAACGAGGGATGAGAAGGAGGAACAAATTACGACTCTGTGCCTAATTCTAGGTTTTATTTTGAAGTGTTTACATGAAGAAGCTCTATTCAAAAATGTCCCAGCGCTCCGCTCCTTCCTGCTTTTACATACATGCACAGCGCACACAGACGCGCTTTAGGTAGATCAGCGGTTTCGAGGTTTTTCTTTCAAGTGAGCCAAGTAGAGACGAATTGCACTAATCGTACCGTCGCTCATTTCAGGAACTACATGTCGATGTTATTCAGCGCTAAAAACGCTCGGCTAAACAGAATGTGAACCAAAATCTATTCGCCTGCTTTCAGCTGCCTGCAACGGGATAACCTCTTACTCACACAGACATATTTAGAGTCAGCAGCCACGCTTGTTTTCCACGCTCGAGTCACATTTTCTTTGGCGTTTTTTTCTTCTTCTCTTGTACCTTAAAGGTATGCAAGCCCCGACACAGACGAGACGCAGGACAAATCTCAATTTAAACCACTTCTAACATTTCACAGCCAGTTTGTGTCACGGGCGCTCAGTCCTCAGATTGAGGAAGATATGTTACAATATCTTTTTTTAATTTAAATTTTTTTATTTCCTCACTTTTTTTTTTTAGAAGTAACGTAAGAAAATACGACTGTTTTCGTTGGTTGTGATGTTTCCTCCCCGGCTCTGTGAACACGACGATATCGTTGGGGTCTTTGATTGTATGTTTGTCTGCCTTCTGAAAATACCGAACATATCTATCAGTCTATCTATGCTTTACTACCCTTATGTGTCTCTCTGCGTGCGTGTGTGTTCATTTACACAAACACACATAAACACGCCGTTTTAAGGTCCGAGTTTTCATGTACTTCAGTTGTCCGTTTTTTCTCCTTAATGTTCTTTTTTTTTAAAAGTGTTTCTTTTCAAGTTTCCTCTCTAAGCAGCGCAACCAAAATACAAAACAGGAGAGAGCGTGATCTTGTCCAGAATCCCTTTGGATCTCAGCAGCACACGTGCAGCTGTTCCAGAAAGAAGCTGGAGTGTTTCCTCTGCAGCTGTGCCCCGAAAATAACCTCCAAAATGCAACTTTTCAATGAGAGCTACACAACATCTTTACATTTCATGCAAACAACTCAGAGAAATCTCCTTTTTCTTGTGCACAAGAATAGGCGAATTCATGCAAATTCACGCAGGACCAAAGCTGTATTAATGCGTCAAACAGGGTTGATTCTGGACAGCGTCACCTCCCTCCTGTTCCTGTGTCTGTGAAATATGCTTGCCAATGTGCTACAGGGCAGACTGAAGGCCTTTTCTACGTGATATTAGGTTTTGTGTTCGTCTGCCAGCAGCCGTCGCAGCCCGCCTGCATCTCTCTCTCTCTCTCTGCCTATAGACCTCTTCTTCTATCGACCAGTGCGCGCTCAAGAGTCAAGTGAGCGCTCAGCTTTTGGTAACAAATCTAAACACGACATGTAAAAGCCAAGGGAGATTTCTTCTTCGCTCATTTAAGTGGTTGCTGCAAGACTTTGTGCCTCTTTAGCACTTATATATCCACGAGAAAGTGAGTCTCAGACATGCACAAAGACAAAGCGGGGTTGTGTGCAGCGTCGGTGAGACATTGTGATATCTTGATGCATATCAGCGTCTGAGGGCCTGCGAGGGACAAACTGTGCTTTCTCTCTCTCTCTCTCTCTCTCTCCTCTTCTCAATGCAGAGATGTGTGTTCTTTCTGCCTACATTTTCACTGTCGTTTTGTCTCACTTGATTTGTAAAGTTTGTTTTTTGTATAAAAATGAAAAGTGAAACACAAAATATTTATAATTTTTGTATGGAGAAAAAAAAAATAGAAGAATGTACAAGAAAAATGAGAAAATGCTAATTATTTTTTATTGTGTTGGCTGAAAAGGGCGGCGTCAGGAAAAAGGTCGTTACAAAAATACTGTCATTTCTTCATTTGTAGCTCGTGTGTGTTCACTACAGCAGCAGGAGAGTCGACAATAAATTCATTTTGAATACAATCACAAACGGGTCCAGTCCAGCTGAAAAACCTCCTTCAGCGTCTCTACATTACTATTCTGAGAGTGCTCACATACTGGCACCGACAGACTCAGCATGCATAATAACGTCATGTGACAGAGGGCGCATTCGGAAAAGAAAACAGGGTCTTTAACCCTCTGCTTACACTGATATCATCTTTTCCCCACATTCTCTGATGTTTGGACAAATTAAGATTACATTCTTCTCCACATCTGGACAGAAAGAAAAACATTTTTATTAAATTTAAAGTCTGTTAGTTCCCCTTTAATCCCCACATGGACCCCAGTGCCAGAGCCTCAGCACAAAGGAGCAAAGAAAACTCTGCATAGCAAACGTTTAACTGACCGACCCCTTTGATGGCGGTAACACGACAAAACAGTGACACCTAGTGGAGGCTTTGGGGAACAGCAGGACTGTCACACCTGCCTCTGAAGGCCAAATAATCTATAACAGTCATGTTAAATGGCTCCCTTTGATACACGACACAGCAAACTAATAAAATAAACACATTTGAATGAATAAATAATACGATGTTAAACACAAGACAGAATGAGTTCATCACAAATGCCCTAAATGGCAGCAGTACTTCAACTGCATACACAAAGATATGTACATTAAAGGGATAACCCTGTGTAAAATTAAGTTAGGGGTCAAATATCTGACACGGAGTTAGACACCCAGTCGAGAGATGAATGTTGCTGACCGCTTGCTTCTCTAGTTATGCCAACTTTAGTAGAGAGTGGCTTTTTGGTTGAGCGTGTGGCTCTCTGTATTGGTATCTGCGGTCGTTACTAAAGTTGGTATAACTAGAGAAGCAAGCGGTCAGCAACATTCATCTCTCGATGGGGTGTCTAACTAGGTGTTACGATTTTTGACCCTGACTCAGTTTGACTTCGATATATGCCGGCTTCATAGATAGAATTAAAACTTCTGCGAGGAACTTTCAATTTGTGTCGGTTTGTGGTGTAATCTTAATCTCATCCTCGACATGCTTTAGTGGTGAATTCTGACAAAAATAAACCACATCCCGCCAACTCAAATCTATTATTTTGTGATATTTGATGCTACAAATGTAAAAATCAGGGCTTTTTTCAGCATCTCCACTGATACCTACAGCCTTTCGTCAATTTCAGGCATTAACTTTTACGATATAAGAAGTCCTTATCATGTCAAGGCTGGTCTTGTTTGCTTTTGTAAGTTATAAAAAAGGCCTCAATATTAATTTCAGTCTATTTCATTACTGTCAGAAAACTCTTCACAGGAGTTTTAATATAAGACAACTCTCATTAAACTGGCTCTTTAAAACAAAGTGTAGCTGTCAGCTTCTCGCCAGTTACACTGAGAGGTACGTGCTGCAGGTTTTTTTACACCTTGTTTGTCCCTTCTGTGCTTCGGTAGAAACTATATTTATTTATTTAATGTTTATTTAACAAGGACAATACATACATTTCCACAAAAAGTGAAAATGCGATGCACACAAGATGTCTGTCTTCAACTTATTTGCACTCTTTGTCCCTGGTTATTCACATTCTGTTCCGCTGATAAATTCTTCATATTGTCCCTTTAACAGACACAGTTATGTCTGTTTATTGTTTCTACTTCAATAATTAATGTGCTATTTTACCTGCACCTGTGCTGTGAATATCTGACATATTAAATTATAAAGAAATGCTACCTTAACCTGTTTAAAAGCTCACATTGTTTTAACATACTGTTGTCCTGAAGGTCCAGAAATCTCTGTTTTCTGCTGTTTTCTTCACATTCACAGTCGCTCTTGTTCAGTCATCACCTGTCGGCCTCAGTGGTACCTCCTCCATCGATCCTTTTCTAGAAAAAAAAACATGGATCATTACACCGAGTTATCTCCAAATCCGTGTAGCAACGCAGAGTAATGCACACTTACTGATATGAGGGTAACTCCAGATGTAGCTGAGCACACAGTATCCTGCTAACAGCATGCCCACTCCACCTACACCACCTTTCTTCACATCGATATACCGCTTGTAATACCACTGCCAGCCTGGGAGTTATAGAGAAGAGACAAGAAGGAGGAATATCAATGTAAATCTTCATTTTTCCATCAAACAAACAACCAAAATAGAACAACAACAACTACTGATGATGGGAGGACTTTAAAGCAGCTGCTGGAAGAGAGTAGGTGAGTTGTGTTTAGTCTCTTTGCTAAAGAAATCAGGCAAAGTTAAAAAGATGTTTGGTGGCTAGTACTATGGCTGGGACCCTATATGTCCTGTTGATGAAGTTAGGTGCTGTTCTGAGCATTATTTGTGGCTATAGAGTGGCGTTTTGGTTGAGGTTTGTTTATGGCGCTGTGTATTGCTATCGTGCGGTCGTTACTAAAGTTGGTATAACTAGAGAAGCAAGCGGTCGACAACATTCATCTCTCAAGGGGGCGTCTAATTCAGTGTTTCGGTGTGTATGACCCTAAATTAATTTTACACCAGAATATCCCTTTTACACATTTGCACATGTTGAAGATGTTTGCAGCATTCACCTCTTTGCACCATTTCCACCACATCTCTCGGATGGCTGGGAGCTTTGCAGACGAGCCACTCAGGTAGCTCCCTCAGTCTCACCTGTCCAAGACTTCGCTCTGCCAGAGAACCTAAAAAGGAACCCATGAATCAATCATCAATATAAAGGGGGATGGTAACAAGCTGGGTGGCTCCACTTTGGAGATGATGCATGATCTACACTGCGTTTCAAATTATTATGCAAATTGTATTTAAGTGTCATAAAGGTTCAGGTTTTTGTTTTGGATGGTGTTGTGTCTCAGGGCTCTTGGGATCACTGAAATCAATCTCAGACAGCTGTGATAATTAGTTTGCCAGGTGAGCTCAATGAAGCAGACCAACATTTTCAAGCAATATGGGAAAGAAGAAGGATCTCTCTGCTGCTACAAAGCGTGAAATAGTTGGATGCCTTAGACAAGGTATGAAAACCTTAGATATTGACCTCCTAATGCTGCAAATGCAACAAATGACCATTTTCAGTTCTTTAAAACCTATAAAATATTTTGAAACTCTGTTGTGCAAAATCATTTGAAACAGTATATTGTAAGTTTTTTTATTTTTGAGAAAAGATACTGTTATCATCGGGAGGTTTGTGCAATAACATTTAAATTATACTCTAACAGATAATGACTTGACAATTATGCTGACTGTCATTTGCGTTGGCTGTTTAGTAAATCTGAGAAAAACATCATTTGCATAATAATTTGGTGTACTTTTCATTTCATGTACTGACCTTTCGTCGCTTCATTACAGGCTCTCAGCGTCTCCGCCCTCGCTGGATAAATGTGTGGATGAGGGCTGGAAAACTGGACCAGCGTCTGTGATATGGTGAGGAGTCCTGTCTTATTCGAACTTTTGTTTATACTGAGTGTTGGTGGAAGGGGAGGAGGGGGCGTGGCTTGGTTCACCTGTGGCAGATATTCAGGTGAGGTTATCACAGCCTGGAGGGAAACATCCTGTTTAAAGGGGATTAAAGCTGCTTGTTTGGACTTTACACCTTTTCTTCTAACTGACTGTAGCTCTGTTTGTGGTGGACTCTGTCTGTGCAGCTGCTCTGACAGAGTTTCATCTCTTATCACGCTGCTCCCTTGAGTCCCTGTTGAAAGTGCGGGTCTGTTCAGTGAAACATCAGTAGTTTGAATCTGGCTCAGGATGCTCTGTCTGTTGGTTTGGCGCGCACCATTAGCCCGACCCAGCGTGGTTTTAACATCCTGGAGTGTAATCCTGGCCTGGTGACCACTTCCTGATTTAGAGAACATCTTATTCACAGAAAAATCTGCAGCTTCCTCCTCGCTCTCGAAAAGGAAGCCGTCTCTCAAACGTTCAGCAGTTTCTTTTGCTTTAGAGTTCAGAGAGCTGGAGGTACCTTTGGTTTGAAGAGAAGACTCTGCAGCCTTTCTGGCCTTCCTGTTAGACACACCTTTGAGTTTGGAGTCTGCAGATAGAAATCCAGAGTCCTTCACTGTGCCTTTGTCAAGATTAGTTCTGGTTTCTGTCTTCATTCTGGTCCTGGACTCAGTCACATTTGAAGCTGAACTTAAATGAAGGTCTTCTGGTGCAGATCTGGTCCCTTCCACTGGTTCTGCAGGAGCCTGTTTGGGTTTTGCAGCCTGTATTAAATCACGAAGACTCTTCTTTTTGGGCTCAGATATGTCAGGAGAAAGTGACGGGGAGGAGATGATTGAGGTAGAGGAGGCCGTCTTTGCTGCTTTGATTCTCTCCGACAGCTTTGGTTTCTTCTTCTTAGTTGTTGCTGGAGGAAATACAGAAGTCTGGGATGTCTGCTGTGATGGAGAGGATGGATTCGCTGGTACTGCTGATACCACAGACGTCTTTTTACTCCTCTTTGATTGTGAACTTGTTACCGGCAGCGTCTGTGTCGAGTTTTTCTCCTCCGCTTTTGGTTCGGATGAGTACGCAGCCAGCTGTGAGGAAAATGAAGTCTGATTGGCCGAGGCATCGTGTTTGGTTGGAGGTGTTTTAGAGCTCGCTGCCGCCTTGCAGTGTGGCAGGTGACTCTTGAGCCGTTTGAATGTTTTCCCGCAGAAAGGGCAAACCTCTGAGGAGAGAAAAAAAAAAAGGGGTTCACCTGTGGCTAAAAAAGTACGATAAAACACTAGGATGTCAATGTTTAGATGTGTAAGTTCCCCCTAGATGCTCTTTCAATTGTCAAAAATGTAAAATAGTGCTTCTTGGATGTCTTTTCAGTATATGAAACACAAAAGCGCTTTGCCTGATTTCTTTAGCAAAGAGACTTAACACAACTTACCTACTCCCTTCCAACAGCCACTTGTTTGTAGCAAGACCTCGGCCAGTCTATTACAGACTGCTATGGGGTGCCGCAGCTCAAGGAAGAACATTTATGATAATTTCTTTATCATTTCCTTGAAGTAATAATCACCATATTAATCACTTTGCACCGCAGACTCGGTAGTTCTTCTGCCATAGCATCTCAGTTTGATTGCATTTCCATGAAGAAGTGATCGTAAATGTTCTTCCTTGAGCTGAGTCACCCCGCAGCAGTCAATGATGGACTAGCCTGAGGTCTCCCTACAAACAAGCAGCTGCTGCAAGAGAGTAGGTAAGTAAGTAGGTAAGTTATTTTTAGTGTCTTTATTCAAGAAATTAGACAAAGTTAAAAAGATGTTTGGTGGCTAGTACTACGGCTGGGACCCTATATGTCCTGTTGATGAAGTTAGGTGCTGTTCTGAGCATTATTTGTGGCTATAGAGTGGCGTTTGGTTTAGCACGTGGCTCTCAGTATTGCTATCCTGCGGTCGTTACTAAAGTTGGTATAACTAGAGAAGCAAGCGGTTGGCAACATTTATCTCTCAAGGGGGTGTCTAACTCAGTGTTACAGTGTGTTTGACCCTAAATTAATTTTACGCCGGAATATCCCTTTAAATAGATGAATAGCGATAAATGGTCCTATTGGGGACTTCATCCTTACAACTTTACTTAGTTATCATTCAAGCTCTGTAAGTTTATTTTAGTAGTCTTTCAAATTCAGCATTATGTTGACTCTAACAGTTGTGTTACATTAACTCATGCTGCGTGAATTTTCACCAGAATGCAGAAGATGCAGAAGAACAAGTGTGGTGTGCTGAAAATATCCAAACTATTCCAACTCTTTAACCTCCAGGATCCTCTCTGCCTAAGTTACTCTGGGTTATAACAGGTTCGCACTGTCAGCAGTGAAAACTACACTGATGAGAACTTGCATTGACCTGCATTTAACCATTATAAGCAGCTCAGTTTGCCAACATAAACAAACAGACACTTATAATAATCTTGGCTGTCAGTGTGTCACGTGGTGTCTCAAGGTAGATCATATTAAAACACTTACCAGAGCTCATTCTGTTCGTGATTGTTAAAACTGCCAGTCAGCGTGAATCATCATCCGAAAGTCATAAAACAGGAAGTTAAATGAGTGACATCAACTATTTCAGTGCACAGATTCACACGCTTCAACTTTAAAAAGACTTAGTTAGTCACGTTTTCACATTCAGGGTCGTTGTTATCCTCTGTTACTGTACACACGGAAAGACCCCGAAGGTAGCGAGGAAGACGCCTGAACATAAATAGTTCAACTTACTGTTTCAGCTTTGGCTGGTTCACCGTTTTTATTTATTTTACAATATAAGCGGCAGTTTTGGGACTATTATCCAAAAAGACATGGAATAAAAGAGCTATCTAGAGCTTACAAAGAGTTAATGATAGATGTAACACTGAAGTAATCCGCTTAGTGGGTGTGGCGCTTCGAAGTTGGAGATGGTTCACCGGCGACTACTTCCGGTTTTGCAATAAACACTAAACATGCCGCCAATTTTATTTTTTTATTTTTCGGTTAAAGTCGATTAAATGTTCCTGAAAAGTGATAACGCTTGTAAATTTAATATTAGAGAAGAGTATGTTGATATTTTAAACCCTTTAATGCCTTTTGTATCATATTTGAAAATTAAGTTATATTTTAAGAATTAAGTTAGAAAATTAAGTTACATTTTAAAAATTAAGTTTAATTTGAATCATCAACTTATACCGATACGTTTAATCGATGAAAATGTAATTCGATCATTATCCAAATTAACAAATTTCACAAATATCAACACTTGATACGGAATCTCTGTCTTTGTATCTCTAAATTAAAAAGTACACAAACTGACTGTACCTGTATGTCCAAAAGACTAATAATGTGATAGTTTAATCTGTTATAATACTCTAATATGTCTTTCTCTTGGGTAAGGACTGTGTATAATGGCGTGCAAATGACAGTCAAATAAAAGAACCCCCTTTCATTAGAAAAGTGTATTTTATTATTGATAGGGTTAGAGTGGCATGAGACTTGGCACAGGAATGATTTTCAACAAGGTGATGGAAAAAATTACACAAAATACATCTACATCAAAAAGTCATCTTCATTGGAAAAAGCACTGATTCGAAACATTCAGAATGGGGAAGATGCCGTTTCTACAACCATTTACATATATGGAGTTAAACCTGGATATTATTTACATGACAACAGATTACAGTATGTACAAAGCCAGGGATGGAAGCAAACTGAAGCTCTCGTGAGCTTTATTTTTGGAGAGAACTACAGGCTGTCGGTGTGAACGGTTCCAAGAAAGCATGGGGCGATTTGGCAGAGAAACACAGATTTTAACAGTGCCTGGAAGTTGTCCTCTAACAAAGATTGGCCCCCCCACAGAAAACACACAAGTATTCAACTCCAGTGGTTTTTGTCGTCAAGATTTTCTGACAAAGTTTTATATTTTTCTTTTTAAAGGGAACTCCTAAACAGAACAGGTTTGCATTTTCAGAGGCACCTGGAGTTCTAACTCAGGGCGGACACAGCTATTCTCACAGGACAGGTTACATGTCACCATAACGTAGTTGGTTACAGTATATTCAGACAATCTACAGCAAATCTCTGTACATCTATAAACAGACATTCATCATTCAGGCAAACAGGGGGGGAGGTGTGTCCCTTTACGAGGCATCTATCTAATCAGAGATGAAAACTAAGAGGAGAGAAGGGGATTCTGGGAGTCAAAGCCGGGAGGATACAGTACCACACCCCGCCCAGCTGACTGTACTGAACCTTGACTGCGTCTCGCCGCTCTGACACCCAGAGAAAGATCAGATTATTCAGTTATTTCACCAACAATGACATCAGCGTTAACGCCGGTTTGGATTCAACCCTGAGAAAACAGTGGACTGCATGTTCACGTGCGGGCACACCTGCCTAATGTGCCAACAAAGGTTAAGTATTTCCTATAAACAACCGAACATAAAATAAAGGACAACTTGCATATTAATTTACTGTTAAAGGCAGCTAAGATCGACAGAGGCACAAACGCAGGATAGAAACAGTGATTAGGTCTCCTTAAGACGTCGTATGGAAAGGCGTTGTGGGTTCAGTCTGGTGGTTGTGCCCTATTTATTTTCCGCAAACAAGGTGCCAGTGCTGGAGCTGTTCTCCGCACCGAATCTTTAAAAGGTCGTGAGGAGGATCAGCGTTTTTTTCACCTGTCCAGACGTTTAAACCCGCTGATCTGAAACCAGTAAAATCGATGACTTTGATTGAAAGAGGCAGAAGCTGTGTGCAATATGAGAGGAAAACAACAAACACTTGTGCAGTCTCTGGATAATCGATGAATGAGGAACCCTTCCTTAAAGTACAGGGGCTTTAAAACGAAGGGTGCAGAGAGAATGAAGTGATTTGAGACTAAATGAATTCAGTGCTTTGACACAGACTGGCAACTTTAAGTCACTCGGACTCTTTACCTTTGTTGTTTGCTGACACGCATTAACAAAGTACTTTCCTTTATTTGCTGTAGATCTGGTTCAGAAACCGTATGCCCCCTTTGTAAAATGTTCTGCTGGTTTCCACAGCCAGATACTGGCGTTGCTGCCAGCACCGGCACCTTGTGAGTTGAAATGCCTGGTGTGTCTCGGTGCTCAGGCCAGAGGAGAGAGTCTCAAGACGGAGCAGCAGAGATCAGATGTTTTCCAACATCCAAACGGCCCGCGTGTCTTTCTTTGTAACCGCGGACAGTCTGTCCTACCGACTCGTCCCCCTACCAAACCCTGGACTAACAAGAAGGCCAACTCTTCAAAGAGGAGAGTAAAAACTAATATAAAAACGGCTGGAGAAGAATGCTGACGCCGATCGGATTCTTCTGAGGCTGGTCTCTCCCAAGTCCTCGTCAGGAGCGAGGGGGTGGTTTGTCCCCGTTCAGGTCCTCTACGTTCACAGGTGGACAGGGGTCATTGGAGCATGAGCTGTTTGAGGTTGTCGTGCAGGATGGTGTCCTTGACGTCCCGGAACACCAGCCGGATGTTCTCCGTGTTGATGGCGGTGGTGAAGTGGTGGTACAGGGGCTTCTGGGTGGCGTCGCGTCTCTTTGTCCGGAAACACTCCACCATGAACGCCTGGATGTCGGGCAGGCTGTGCTCGGGCCCCGAGTATTCGGGGAAGTAGTCCTTGAGCGGAACGCTCTTCACCTTCTCCTCCAGCAGGTCCGTCTTGTTGAGGAAGAGGATGATGGAGACGTTGACGAAGACGCGGTTGTTGACAATGGTCTCAAAGATGTCGAGGGACTCGCGCAGACGGTTGGTCAGCCTGTCCTCCATCAGCACCTGATAAAGACAGCAGAAGCATTAATCATCTGTTCAGTCAGTATGTTTACATCACACTCGAGAAAACTGAATTATTGCCTTAATCAGATTAAGACCGGACAACTGAAGTGCATGAAAACACCTTACAGGCAAAACCCACAGGATTCAGAACGGCTCCGCTCTGCTCCAGCACGGCAGGCGGATCAAATATGCAAGTATCATAATCAATGTATGTGATTCCACAGAATCCGTCCACCGCCCGGTTCCGCTGCGGATCGGCTCTGGCGGGCGGATCAGATACGCAAGGTTTCTATTTTTGCACAGCGCATCAATTCAGTGCAGCGCAGCACGAGCAGCAGCGGAAGTTTTATGCGGTTACAGAGTAAAATATCTGGGCAAAAATATCTGGGCAAAATTTTATTACAAAATAAAATTAAGTCAATACGTTTAACTGTTCTTAACTTGTTAATAGGAGAGGCCTTGTGGGTTGTGGGATGTGGGTGTTAATTTACGCCGTCATTTGTATACACTGATCGGCGGATCTCATTCTATGACTCCTGGGCAAACACGCAAACACTCTGATTATAGTCGAAGAAATCTGGTTAAGACACCCAGATAATGCGACTGGAATACGATTTTCTCTACCATGAGACCAGCGTAGTCGGAGTATGATTGGACTACTCGTGTGCGCCACGCCCCCGTAACAAAAACACCTGAATAGATGAGTAGCGTGCATCTCATCTACAGAAAAAGTAGCGCGTAAATCATGTACGACAAAAACATCGCTGTATGATGCTCCATGTTTTAACTTGAAAATGTCCAGCAGCAGTTGTAGACACTTCTGACGTCTGTCACGGACCTGCTGTTGTTGTTGACGGTTGTATGGGGTCAGAAACAGAACTGCTGAAAAGACCCATATCGCCCCCTAGTAATTTTCTCAGCTGCTTGTTTATGTTGACATCGCGGGAAAAAAAAACAAAAAAACAAATTATGAGCTTAGTCCGATTCAACTGTGCATGTAAACGCACTGACTGCTGCTCATACTGGTCCTGTTAGAACTGTCGATGTAATCAGACAAAAACACCTCAAGGAGACCCTTTTTACAGGATACACACCCAAAGGTGGGGCGGCCTCCTTTGGGCGTGTATTAGTTGAATCCAATTTTGAGATGAGCTGAAACAGAAACCTGTGAACTACTGTTATTATTGTAAACCTGAATGCAAATCCTCCAATCCAGCAAAACTGTGTTAGTAGACCACCACCATGAGCGTAGTGAGGCTCGTCTAACAGCTACTCTATGTTGGGTCAGGCCAGCATAAACAAACATGATTTATAAACTGGTTCTTCCAGCAGGGACAGTCACATAATAAGGGCGACACTCGGCCAGATCAAAGTGAAATTGACTTTCTGAACACAACAAAAAAAAAACTGTTACTCCGTGGATGATCTTTGAATAATGAGTCCTAGAAATTCACCTGGTCGTATTCAGAGGAGGAGACGAGGAAGAGGATGGAGGTGACAGAATCGAAACACTCGAACCAGCGCCTCCGCTCCGACCGCTGCCCCCCTACGTCCACCATCTTGAAGGGGACGTTCTTGATCTCAAAGTCATACTCGTGGATGCCTTTGGTGGGTTTTCGGGCGAGCAGGATGTCCTGCTGAGTGGGGAGATAACTCTGCAGGAGGAAAAAAAAAAGACATGAAGAAGTAGAATTTGTTTGTAATCAAGAGAAATATAAAAACACAGTGAGCTCTTATGATACTGGATAAGAAATGATCAAAATCAGCAACATGTCTTCTCCATTTAGTACAAATCTATGGGATACCTTGAGATTTAATGTTGACTTTTGTGGTTCAGGGAAATAAAGGCTCATGTTTAGTTTAGCAAAACACTCAAACACTTTTTTAAATATTGGTGAACACTGAGTTTTATTCATCCTGCTAAAAAAGATTTTAAAAACAGTTTAACGTTAGTGGTTTATAACTAAAATCTGGTTATTCTGAAGTCTTAGAGTCTATTAATTAAGGTCTGGGCTCATCCAAAGATGCATTTTTTCAGGCAAAAGATGAAAGTTATAGAAAAGATCAGCGGAGATTAAGTTTATATTGACTCTGCTGTGTTAACTGACTTTTGTTTATTACCATTTTTCAATACATCCAGGTGATTTAGAGAAGACACAAACATAAAGAAGTGGGATGAAACTGAAAGATTGATTCTCAAATCAAAGCGATTAATACTGATCCCGTTAGTTGACGCTTCATTTTAATTCACTTTTATTTAACCAGGTGAGTCCCACAGAGATCAGAAATCTTGATTCTGAAGGAGACTCGTTAAAATGTGCAAATAACACAAAGTTTCAACGAACTATCGAACTCACTCAGGGCTTGGAACTAACTTTTTTCACGAGGGGAACATGTGCTCATAAGTTAAAAAAAGTAAGGAGCACACAAAGAACTTTAGGGTCACTATGAAAATTGATCAAATAATGTTTGTCTTATTGTTCAACGTTAGTACTATTATTTGAAATCAATTTTAGGTCAGTTAGTCACATGATATGAACGTTATTGAAGAAAATGTTCAAAATTTAGCTTTAAATTCAACACAAAAATTTTTAGAGGACAAATTAGGGAAATAAAGAGGTGTGTCTTATCGTCCGACCTTATTACTTTTATTTGAAATCAATTTTAGGTCAAATATTATGGGTTAAATATTCCACCAATCAGACTGAGGCCACACCAGTCCTGAGTACAAAGCTAACAGGAGATCCCTAACCAAAGATGAACAATGGTTTCAGTTTCTCGTCAGTTAACCTTAAATTGTCTGAACACGTTGAGGTCTTAACTATAACATGTACACATCTGTTTTGAACAGTCGGTGTGGGCAGAAACAACTTACCGGCTCGCCGAGCTTATCCAGATTATCCAAGAAATACTTCACTGACTCACCCTGCGACAGGACAGAGGAGGAATTTCAGTTCATTCTGCACAATTCATCACATCCACTCACTTTTCATCAGTTTAGACGCACTCTTCATTCATTCATCAACATCTTTTTCCCCTTCAGTGGAAAACTCCTGTTGTTGTTTTCCGTCACTGAGGCCTGGAGTTTGCCACAGGACGAAATCTGTCTTTAGCTTAACAATCGTAATCTGTTTGTTTTCTCCTCCGAAAAGTGCGTGTGTGCTGGAGCGAGATGCAAAGTGTTTGTTTCTGCAGGAGACACGTGCTCGAAAGTGTCTTTTGATGTACAGCGTATAGAAGAAGTGTGGCTGCATGACTCTGTGTGTAGAGGGGAGTTTTTTTTTTTTTTTTTTTTGCACCTTTCAGTCGCTCTTCATGTGCAAGCCCGGACATGAGGCTGCGAGGACCGAGAAGCATTCCTTTATCTGTGTGTGTGAGCGTGTGTGTGTGTCCTCTACTCGACAAAACCAAAAAGCAAACTACAAAAAACTGAAAGAGATTTACCCTCCTAAGAAATCTGCGATCTGTCGTCGCACAATGCGCCTGTACAGAGGAGTGTTTGCATGTATTTTGCATTGATGACACAGTAAAGCCGCACCCTGGGTATAAAATTCAAACTCCGACTCTAGCAGAGATCGTTTGGTTTGTATCTCCTCCACTGCGAGCTCCTGTACTCACCTTTTGATCTTTTTAAAAAAAAACCAACCTGACCTGAAAAACCTGAGTGTGTGTGTGTGTGTTTGTGTGCACGTGGGGAGTGTGTGTGTGTGTATAGCTAAGATTACAGAAGGGAGGGGTAGAATGGCGTGGCACTTCGCCGCAGCCGAAAGACACAAAAGCGAACTGTCTGTGAGGCTGATTTTTATTCCGGCTGCGCTCGATTAAAGAAGTTAAAATCAGCGAGGAGGAGGAGGAGGAGGAGGAGAGGCGCTTTTTTGACTTTGAGAAAAAAAAAAAAAGAGGAAGAGAAAGAGAGAGAGGGGAATTCAGTGAGCATGACGACGCCTGAAGTTAATGGGCATGCTGTGAAATCAAAACTGAAACAGAGCATTACATCACGGCAGCATGTCGCTGATTTAGCTTATCATTGGTAGATTGTGTGTTAAAGAGGAAAAAAAGAGACGAGGATAGACAGGAAGTATTTACGGCTGATTTACCGGACTAACTACGTGAACTTTGAACAAAGCCAAAAGGTCCACGTGGGGTTTTATCTGTACAGGTGTTATAATACGATTTACAAGTCAGCCCGAGGACACGTATGATTTGTAATGCAAACACACACACACACACACACACACACAGGATATCATCAGAAAGACAACAGATGTAACTGCAGGGACGAGCCAAGAAGAGCTCCCAAAAGACCTCCTCTGTTTCTGCGTCTGAAAGTCTGTTTTAGTCGTTTGGTTAATGTGGAAGTTTCAACTTTAATCATTATTTTAAATATTGAATAATCACAGAATCATTTTTGACTAATAAAAGTCAGGAAAAACTAAAAAAGTTCAGTTTAAAATGAGACGAATCAGAACATTTGAGGAACTGGAGATGTGAGATGTTTGGAATATTTCCTCCCTCTGTGACACGCGCGACTGTTTTGGATTTATTTATGACTCTTGTTGTTCAGTTATTTCTTAGTCCAAGTTGTGAGAAGAAGCGCAGAGGAAACAGCATCTGAAATGGGAATAATGGGGTGCTGCTGGCCGATACGAAGAGGCTTCATTGTAATGATCGCTGGTTCGACTCCCAGCCACGACCCTTTGCTGCTTTTCTTCCTCTGCTCTCTACTCTCTACGTTTCCTGCCTCTCTCCAGGAGTCAAACGGGTGTCAAAGTTGGCCGATTTAATCGATTTGCCGATACATCTGTCGGCCCTACTACTTAATTGATAACATTTAATGAAAAAATATAAACTTTAAGATGATTTGGTCTGGAGTAATCTCCTTTAATACACTATCATGCAAGATTGTGTCTCCTATTCACTTTTTACCTCTTTAACATGATCGTATCTACATTAAAGCTACTGTGAGGAACTTTCAGTTTGTGTCCATTCTGGCGCCCCCTATGGATAAAGTATTCATTGCTAATTTTGTCTTCTTCACATCTTTTATCAAAAGTACCTCATTCTGCCGACTCATGACACTCAAATGCTTCATTTATCATGAATATTTCACGTGGAGATCATAAAAACAGGGCCGCTCAGCTGTCAACATTAAACATTACGATATAAAGGTCCTTACACACCGACGGGACTGACGCAAATATCCGACACGGAATTACGAAATATTTGGAGGTGAATTTTGACACGCCTGATATGGTAATTTGTATCTGAACAGGTTAGCTTACGAGCTATAGTTACTTAGCACAGATGAAAGTAAAAACAAAGACGTTTCGCAAACTGTTAAAGCACACAAACCATCGTCAAATCAGAAATCCGACGCTATGACTCTCCACAAGTTGTCCTTCAGGTCGTTATCTTTATAATATTTGTGTTAACGATCGTAAACAATCAGCCGGTCGGCCATGTTGGATATACCGGTGAATCTGACGTCGCAACAACACGCAATCTGATTGGTCAGAAGTGGACACACAGTATGCGAAACTTAAGAAAAATCGACCGTCATAAAAAATATGTATATATAAAAACGAAAAAATGTCGCTGATGTGAATGCTTGTATTGACAGGATACAAGTTCGAAAAAAAAATATCGACGTCTGAAATAATCTCACGGAAAAAAACGGTCCCGGTGTGAAAGGACCTTAAAAGTCAACAATCATGTGGCTGATGGTCTCGTTTATAAAAATAGGCATCAGTATGAATTTCAGTCCATTTCACAGATATTCAAAAACCCCTCCCAGGAGCTTTAAGTAACATGAAACTGAAAAAGCGGCTCATTTACACCGTCATAGTAATCTCGATTTGAATCAGCCAATGAGCCAATTTGTTACACAGTGTTTCTGCACAACCAGATGATATCAGTCAAGCCTCTGCTGACAACTTCAGAGGGTGCGACCACACACTAATCAGTGTCTCAACAATTCATATGTCATGATTTCTAGGCCGATAAAAAAATCTCACTGACTTACGGGAATCTGTTACCAACTCACACTGATCTCAGACCAGAGAATTTAGTCGATTCAATATCATACGACAGGCGACTTTGAGTGACACTAGCAAAAATCATATCATATCGTTCTGATTTTGAGATCTACCACTCTGAATAATCTGTATTTTTCCAACCAGTACTGCACGTTTATAAATTATCCTTCGAGAAATACTCTGCTGCCTTATTGTGCTTTTGGGGTGCTGTCGTTGATTTGACAGAACGTTCCTTCTACATGAGAATAAAAGTAAGCTGCAGCCCTCTCTGAAAGTATCCATGTGTCCCTGCGCTTGTGTAACTTGAGGTGTGAGTGTTTGTGCACCAAACGGGAGAGCCAGGGCTCTGTTTGTAAGCATAAAGCTGTTTAACTACAGATCAACATTCCAGCTCTGATCACCCTTTATTCCCCTTTTCTGTCTGCATAACCTGCTCACACCAGCGAGTGTGTGAGAGGGGCTAACAAAACGCCATTGAGAACCCTCTGGCCTTATGCAAGTCTCGAGAAAACTTTGAGAAACTTGCAGAAGTGTGTCCTTGACTGTCTGCTCAGAGGGGGCCCCTCGACTGCTGGACAATGTATAAAGTTTGTCACATGATCTGACAGCTCGCATAAAATCAAACTCGAAAAAAGGCTGTAAAAATCTCAGCAGGTTGCGAAATTAGTGCCCATCAAAATAAGAGCGCAAGAAAAGTCCCAGAAAGAGACGTGCGAACAGCCCAGCTGTCGATCTGGGGTAAACGTCAGTGTGTTAAAACACGCACGCTGACAGCCAAGACATAAGGAGCGGGAGAGGTATAAACAGGAAGCTGACTCAATCACATGTCTGACCACTCGACAGAGAGAGAGAGAGAGAGGGAGAGAGAGCCAGAGCAAGAGATACAGGGAGAGAGGAAAGGAGGGATGAATTTAGAAGTTTCACTTTCTTTTTTCAATAAAGTTTCCCTCACCTCAATTCTCAAAATAACAAAAAGTACGACCAGAAATCCCCCGAACGGTGGGTAGAGATTTGTGAACAAAAACCACATAAAGAGAAGTTTCTGTCGACAGTGAACTTTTCCAGAACTACACCACAGTTCAGTAAAACTTTGAGTCAGGGTTTTTTTTGTGGTCTTTTTTACGTTCGTCCACCTACCAGCTGGAACTCCCTGCGGCGATCATACGCGTTCTGTATCCCCGAGTCCGCCCACAGAGCTTTGATGGCCGGCAGGTACCGCAAGAAGACGGGCGTCTCCAGCTGCCCGCTCACCATCTTAGCCGATCGTGTGTCGAACGCCATCAGGCTGTCCCCGTGCGGCTGGTTGTCCGGGTCACCCCAGGGGATGTGCAGCTTCTCCCGGGCGTCGACCAGCACTCGTATACCTGAAGAGGAAGTGAGAGAAATCAGAGTGAAATGTGAAGATGAAACCCAAAGTGGAAGAGAGACTAGAGAGAGAGGCACGAGAACGCTTTTTCAGCCGAAAATAAAGGAACAAACATTTCTTTTCAGCTGGTTTCTTCTGGTGTTGAGTGTTTTTGTTTTGACTATAAAGGAGAATTAAGATTTAAATATTTAAACTTTTACACTGTGAATATTTCTGACTTTGAAATAGGAATAAAACGCCAACAACAGGCCAAAACTCAGCATAACCTAAAATTATGGAGGCCCTAAGCAGACTTGCATCCTTACATTTTTTATTCCCATAAGAGTTTATTTCTGCTTCTTACTCCAAATAATCTTTACTCCTTTTCCCAGAGTTACAAAAGCACAAAACCAATGTAGGAAATAAACTTGTTGTGCTCAGACCATCCCTTAGTTTTATTTCATAGATCACAATTAAATCAGCTTCTTATTGCAAGATAATGAGCTTTGCCGCCTCAAGATTAGACAAATAAATCCCCAGAAACAGGAAGAGCAGCTTTGATTCAAGATAACAAAAAAACAGGTGAAAACATCAAGGAAACCACTGAGATTATCTCCTTATCACTGGAGAATCAGCATTTTACCTACATAATAAACAAACAAGTCAAGAAACTGGAAGTAACTCGATATTACACAAAAATTGGGTTTATAAAACACATGGATTTAAGTCCACATACGCTGTATAAGTTTGGGTGGATGGCTACAAAAAGACTGCGACTATTTTCTGTTGTTTACTTTCTCCTAGACTTTTTCTATTCAATCTGAGATTATCAGAGGAAAGAAGTGATTTTAAAATGTGACTAATATCTATTTTGATCATGAACCAATACCAAAGTTTCGACACACTAAAATTAATATCTTTTAAATGTTTTTGATAATTTAAAAAGGACTTTTTATTTATCTTCAGAACTGATCACATCACAAGGTTTCAGTTTAGTCTATTTATTCATCAGCCTGCTATAAGTCTCATTTCATATTTCTACTCTTATGTCTGAAATGAATTTGACTGAATGCTGTTGATACCATCTATGTGACATTTTACTCCAAGAGTTGTCTTATTATCAGCCAGGCCGGATATTGGGGGCCAATATTCAGCAATCTGTTGATCATCACTCTCTAGATCTGTTCTCATTCGCCATTCTGTCTCAGCTTATGTCCTACTTTTAACAAAGTGGGACATCTGAGCACTTGTACGACTAGTTAATAGCAAAGACTCTAAGATTCTAACTCAACTTAACATTCGGTTGGACTAGAGCAGGCCTTGAGCTTCATTGCTAACAGCTACAGTGTGCCCCTTTGTCAGTAAAGTCAGCTATTCCTGTTTGTATCCAAAATTCCTGACATTTAAATATATTTGAAGCTACTTGATTATCTAAAACGAGCATGATTTTTTTAAGCTGTAAAATTTGGCGGATTTGATTGGGTGTGTAAGTGGCTTTCTGCGCTTTTGGTGCCAGCCTCAAGTGGAAATCTGAGAAACTTCAGTCAGTTTTGTTTCTCAAGACTGTTGACCATTTCTCACTTTTATTTTGACAGTTGGGGTTCTCATGGCAGTTATGCTCACACGAATGTTGTACTGTGTTATAAGAAACTCCCACAGAGGAACATGTATTAATTGGTCTGAATGATTTACAATTATCGGTCCAAAATACCAATACTGGTTGACCGATATTTACGCTTTTTTTTAGATTTTTTTGAGACTGTGATTGTTTCTTCCATCAAATATACATACAGTACAATTTTAGACAAGAATTCCCCAATATTTTGGAGATCGAACAGGAGTAGGTAGAAGCTATTTAGCTCATGTATACCTACCCTCATTCCTTTCTATTCGTTCACCCTTTACATGTCTCTAGAATCTTAGAATTTCTGATGCCACCAAAAAGTAACCAAAGCTCCAACATCTAACATGAACATGTAACTAAGCATTAATACTGAAACAAAGACCTATATACACGTATACACACACAATTATGCACTTTATATACCTAGAATACTTCAAATCTCTCATTTGTACCATACCCATATACAATATAACAAGTGTAGCAAAACGAAAATCCCTTTTGTAAGTATCTTTCAATCATACTTCGCTTTTATTTACTTTTAAACTGTGCTATAGTTTTGCTCACAACAGAAAGACACATGCTTTTTAGTGCTGTACGATCACCTGGTTGTTTTAAATTGCGTTCCCCTCTCTTCCACCAAACATTTTCTGTATATTACTCGGGAGTAGATTATTACTAGCTTTGCACATTGTCTGTGCAGCTCTAAATTCAACTGGATTGGCAAATTTTAATACTCTTAATGTCAGAAACAGTTCATAAGTATGATGGAAGAATCCTACCTTGTTAAAGATCTGTATTGTTCTCTTTTGCATAAGATATAGGGGTTGTAAATTCGTTGTGCACTTCTATGCAGTATAAGTGTATTGTATAGTAAGTATAAAGTTTTATGGTTTAATATGTGTCTTATCCTACCTAAAATGCCAATACTTCTAGCCAGCTTCGACTTAAAATAGTTTATTTGAGGTTTCAAACTGAGATTATGGTCCATTTTCACCCCTAAAATGTGACAAGTTAGGGTCCTTTGAGTAGTTTTGCTCACAAAGATGTAGTTCTGTATTGTAAAAAGAAAACAAAAATGCCTGTTATTTGGTGTTCTCCTCCCAGCACATACAAAGAGTGGTCAAACAGGAACACCTTACAGCAGACTGCACTGGTGGGTTCACCCTCCATTAGCAGGCTTAGTTATTGAGCAACAAAACCAGCCCTTAGCTATTTGAAAACGCTGGCTTATATCCAATGAGAATGATAAACTTTTAAAATGTTGAATTAAATGTAGCTGTAGAGCCCTGTAGAGTCTTAAAAGTGAGTTGTAAGCAGAAACAGGGTTGATATGGGTGTGCCGACAGCAGATGTAGTCTGTTTATGTCCTCTCAGCCCAGAGCTGCAACACAGATGTGGAAACTTTCCCATCCATTTAAACGCCGTTTACTCGCATTTACACCCCACACACTACCCCCTACAGCACCCGAAGTTTAAAGAGAAGTTACCTTTGATAATATTGCTGTAAATAGTGGCTCTAAATTCCTCCCGGGCTTGCTGGTCGAAGTCCTGGCCGTGGATGATCCGCATTTGTTTGAGGAAAGTCGACTTGCCGCTCTCGCCAGCCCCGAGCAGCAGGATCTTCACCAGCCGTTTCACGTACGTTTTCTCCCGGGAGAGACATCTGTCGATCTCCTTGGACTTTCGCAGTTGTTCGACCTCGCCGCTGTTAAGCAGGCAGACGGGTAGACAAACTTTTAACACGGACCTGGTCGGCAGGAAATCCGCCATGTTCGCACAAACTTCATCGATGCTAATTTGATGCGCGTTCGTGAGGCGCAGGCACGCGACCAAGCCCCTTCCCTAAACTCAGGAAGTAGAGCCGATGACTGTTTACCATCAAGCTTTAGTGAATTATCGAGACTGTTTAACTGAGCCGTTGACTCACCAAAACTCACGGTAACATTTTTACACTAAGATATGTTAGTCTCGACACACTTATAATATAGTCACACAAGAAAAAGTCAATAGAGGAATCAGTAGTAACGGTCCTAACGGCTCATTTTCACAACGATAACTGAAATACTCGCTTATTTGAAGATGTGTAACTAAACTAAAGACGACAAACGACCATGAACTGATTAAATACTTAAAACACCAAAGTTTATATCGAAAAAACCCATAAATTTGTACTTTAATAGCGATACTTTGTCGCCATCTGCTGCTTCTGTGCGTACATTGCGTAACACGGTTTGTCTCGTACAAAGAAGCTGCATGCTGATTGGTTCGTCCCCCTTTCCATGATGCCTTCCTTGCTATCGGAAATATGAATGGTACAACTTGAACGCGCCATAACAGAGGCATAAAATCCAAATTCTAGATAGTGTGGTTGAGGTTTCCCGATATATATGTGGTATGTGATATTTGGTGGTTGTAAAACAGTCATTTAATTTGAGGTTGTTTTTTGTTCGTGTATGTTTGTTTGTTTGTTTTTTTGTCTTTGTCTTTGCAATTGTATATCAGACACTTACAAATTGATCGGCACGATTTTACACAGGCTTGCCAATACAATAATTTAACATATATTTATTTAATTGTGGAATTTAATCAGAAACCGTAGAAATAGTATTTAATTCGATGCGTATAGATGAGAATTCACAGGTGTGTTCACAGTTTCCAACCGTCGAGTTTGAGTTTATTCTAGCACATGAACGCAGCATCGGTATTGATTATTGCACTTCCCATCAAGCATCTCCACACGACACAGGGGCTCAGCGGCGTCAGTAACAGTGTTTGAATGTCGGTGAGTGAGTGAGAAGCGGCAGCAGCAGTCAACATGACCATCAGAAACACTCTTCGTGATCACGGACAGAGGTATCGACCTCGAATGGCTTGTCTCAAAAAGGTAGGCTTTCCTTTTCCATCAGAGATGCTGGTCACAGCCGTGCACAGGTTTGTGGACAATACCTGCAGACGCACCTACTGATAGGTCAGTTATATGGGGTTTCCAAGCTAAATGGTTTGGATGTTTGCTATCTCACGAATCTAACTTCCAATGGCATTTTAATAGACACTGCATTTCATTCAATCCTGGTTTATTTATGTTTCAATAATTAATTTGGTTAGATATTTGCAAAAAATAACAAACTGTGCAGGTAATATTAGGACCAAACAACAGTTTCATGCAAACCTCTTGAAAATGCAACATGCATTCAGATCTGTGAATTACCAAACAAGCTCACATTTACAAATAAATGCAAAGTAAGTCACCGACACACCTGTAATCAGTTGTCATATTGATTTTATTGCAGGCTGTCAAACTAAAAGTTAGATTCTGTTTTGCTGCAACCTTTCTACGGTGATAATAAGGTCGTTCTGTTTAATAAGCATTAAGCCTGGATCAGTATCAGTGTGTCCAACCATACCAACCAGTCGCTGCAGCCAAGTTAATCCAGACACTGTGTATTGCAAACAACAGAACAGGACCTGATTAGTCATCTAATTTAGATTTAATCACTGAGAGGTAACTAAGAAACATTACACAGGAAGTAACTGAGACAATAGCCCCATTATTTATAAAAATCACAGAATCTGTTCTCAGATATAGATGCTTAAAGTCCCACTTTCCAAGGGAATTCTCTCAGAGAGTCAATTTCCAGAAGAACTCCATGTTATGGTCCATGAAAGCCCACTTTGGTCCGTCTCAGCCTGGAGCTTATGGCCTCTCCAGGTTGACTTCAAAGCACAAAGCCACTTCAAACAGGCCCGGGAGTCATCTGCGCACACAGGTCGCCATTCCCCTCACACACACACACACACACACAAACTGAATTAATGCCCTTTCTTGCTTCCCAGAGCACACCTGAGCAGAGCACTGGATCTGCTGTGGGGGCTGTGGGATTAGATGGTATGATAACTAAAAAAAAACAGTTTACAGGGCTGTGACTCACCACACACCACCCACACGAGCTGAACAAAAGCTGAGAGATCAGGGCATAACACAAACGATTCATGTAACCTGTTACCTTTCACAAACGCGGTATTCAAGCTGGATTTAATGTAGTTCTGACCTGTGAAAGCTGAACTCTTAATGTCTAACATTATCAAATGGGAGATATTAATTACAAGGTTTGATAGGGAGCCTTAATTATCCACACTTTGTCTCATACTGTCAGCTCTTAGGGAAGTTATTAATTATTCTTCGCCATTTTTCTCTGTCATCGTGCTCAGAGCTAAAACGCTAACAATGATGTACATGAGAATCTTAGTTAAAAGCAGATTGAAGGTTTATGTTATCAATTAAATTCTTCCAGATTTTTCAACAAACTATCAAAAATGTAAAAGAAAGTGTGGTCATAATTCAAGTTGAAGGTATATTTGCTGACCCTTTAGCTTAGACCAGAGCATGTCCTGTGTCAGCACAGCCATAAACAACATTAAAAGCTAGTTTTAAATGTCCTAATTTTAGACGCTACAAATAGAAAACACAGCCAATTTATTAAATGAAATTATGTTATGTTAGCTTGAAACTAATACCTGGTTGACTTAAAAACTAGCTTACATGCAAGCGAGTCTTCCTGTTTGCGATTTTTTTTTCTGTAGGTTGGTAGGGGAAGGTCCCGCCCTCCTTCGCCTCTGATTGGCTAGATGTGCTGGGCTCTGATTGGTTATTCCTGATGGCTATGAAACGTCATCAGTAAGGGTTAGGGTTAGGAGATTCAGAAGTACGATAATGTTCTGTTGCTGTACAGAGCCGACAGCCTGCATTTTGGTTGAGCATGTGATGACGTTTCCAGCTTTTCTTTGCTTAGCTGGTGCCTAAACATAGCTAACTTTACAAAATGATAGTTTGGAGCAAAGAACTTGCAAGAGTTTAGCTTGTGAAATGTTAGCATATTATGTTTCCAAGCTAGCAATTACTGGAGAGTTTGTATTAGTTTTTAATCATAATTTGTAATGGAAATATAGGTTAAATTGCACAATTTGATGTGTCAGAGTTTGCTCAGCTAAGCTAATTAGCCTTAAATTCTTTGCAAACACAATGCTAACTTAAAAACAACTAGCCATTGAACCTGCTAGCTAACTGTAAGTGTAAGCTACAATATACCAGAATTGGCTGTGCTGGTGCTACCTGTCAACTTTAAAGGTAACAAAGTGAAAACTCTTAGCTAACGGAAGAACTAACTAGCTACTTGTTAGCTAATATAATGTTAGCTTTTGTAATGTTGTCAAGTAGCAAAGGAAAAAAAAAAAACAAGCTTACACTTACTTTTCAGAGTGATGTTAGCTTCCAAATTTGTTGTTGTCCAAAAACAACTAAGCACGATATTGGCTTCAATTTCTAAATCGCAAAACAAAATGTTAGCTTTGAATAAATTGCTAGCTAATAGAGACTACTCGGTTATGTAACTACAGTTATGCTAGCTCAGATAGTGTGATTAGTCACTGATTTTTTTACTTGAAGTTAAAATGAGTGTGATTGTCAAGTTGCCTTATTGTAATGCTAAATTGCACTGTAAAAGTTAACAATCTGTTAGATCGCTTTGTTAGTTGTCTACAACCTTTAAAGGTGGGGTAGGCAGGATCTGAGGAAGCGCCAGTTTTTGGGAGAAATCTTGAATGTAAACTCTACCCCAGCCGTGGCCAGAGGAGGATTCAGACAATTTTCTGTACTTTCTGGTTGGTTTCTACGGTCTGATATTGTAGCACGCTAACTTTGTCTGGGCTTGTGAACGTTATTCGAGGACGAGGACATGGACGAAGGACGAAGGACAACCAATCAGGATGGGGGAGGCGGAGAATGGCTTGGTTTACAGTCAGAAAGAGCGGGCCGCTCAAAAAATTTAAAAATGTTGACTACATGGGCATAAGAGAACGCAGCGATATCGTTATTTTACCGAATTTCATCAATAACTAAAAGCTATTGGCTGATATTAAAAGCTTTTTTTCTAAATACATTGCAAAAAAAAAAAGATGCTTCTTTAAGGGAATCCTGCTTACCCCACCTTTAACCTTTTTTTTTTTTCTCAACCTCAAACTCTTTTTTGATAAGTAATCATGATAGTAATCTGTCAGCATTGCCCCTGATAAATCCTTACTAAGAAACCTGTAGTCAAAGCAATCTCTTGGTATCGCCATGAACCATTTCTTCTCTAGGCGGAGAAGGTGGTGCTGGAGATGCAGGACCCCAAAACAGGAGTGAAGTCACAGCCACAGAGACTTGTTATCACAACGATACCACACGCTATCACTGGTAATCACACACACACACACACATATAGAGTGGTACACACTTGATGTAATTCAGTCAGTTGTTGAGTGATTGTACCCGCATAGTCTCGGTGGAAGATACCCGAGCTCTGGTATCCTCGAACTCAAGAGCTACAGATTAAATCTCCATGACAACACCCGCCGTCTTGAAATCACAGAGAGAGAAAAGTAGGAGGTGAGGGAGGAAGAGGAGGGAGAGGAGGAAGATTGAGGGGGTGAGGAGAGGAAAAGAGCAAGAAACAGAAGCATGAACAGAAGGAAAAACAAGACCGAGAAAAGTGAGTGAGAAAGGAGGGGGAGGAGGAGGAGGAGGAGGAGAGGAAACCCAGACTGTTTCGTCATTTCTGAGCTCTGAATCCAGGCAGGTTAAAACAGCTGAATGAATCAGACTGAGCAAACATGCATGCTGCTTCTTCTCTTCCCTCTCCTTCCTCTCCTTTCCTCTCTCCTAACATGAGCTGTATATCCTGTCGGCTGTTAAAGCTGACTTTGTGTTAGAGGATGTACACACCTGCCTATTTACGCACCCACACACACACTTGCTCTCTTTTCTCCAGTAAGTGGCGATGCATGTTTTGTCAGCTCTGCCTCATCATCTCTATCTTTTCTCCTCAGGTGAAGACATAATTGCTTGGTTAGCCAATAGATTTCAAATAGACGCTCAAGGTGAGAAATGAGTCAGCTAATGTTGTTCATAAGGCATGAAAAATACGTCAGCTAAAAGGCTTTAAAAATCTTTTTTTTTGTCCTTTTTGATGTAATTAATGGATATAAACTTTCCTTTTAAAGTGATTATCAGTAATACTGTCTCTCAGGCTTGTTAAATCTCTGTTTGTTATTTAGAGGCGAGGAATTTTGGCTCCATGCTGGCGGCGTTAGGATACATCTACCCCATTCAAGACCACAAACGCTTAGTGATAAAACCAGATGCCTCCCTCTATCGCTTCCAGGTAAACACATTTTAAAACCTCAGCCAAAACAACAGACACTAGAAGCTGTTTTGGAAAGTACTAACCATGCTGCACAGAAGAAAAGATATTTTGGGGCTGACTTTAAAGAGGCTTAATTTTTTCCTCCGCTCGTCGAGCTTTAGAGCCGAGTTATTAATGAGTGGGCTTTGTGTTTGTTTTTATTACCCAAAAATGGACTTGAGGAGGATAGTCTGGGTATCAAAATATTATAAAATTAAGCTTTTCAATTTCAATGAGGCAGGAAAAGTTATTCAGTGAGTAAGATAGATCAAAAGGAAAAAATAAGATTTTTAAAAATTTTAGGCAAACTCTTGTTTTTGTTATTAAAGCTACAATGAGGAATTTTCAGCCTGTGTTGACTTTGGCGCCCCTTGTGGTTAAAAAGGATGCACTGTACCTCATTTTCAATTATGTCCCATATACCAATGTTAGAAGTGCTTTCTGACAAATACCCCAGCTTGTTTCTTTGACTGTTAAATGTCTCTTAATTGTCGGCATTTGCAGCAGAAGAAGTAAAATAGGTTTGTGTCTTTGCCTGTGTTTGCAGTTACATGTTTTTTTATGCCGGAATATCCCTTTAATGGTGATGTTTCTTTATCTGCTACAAAAGCAAATAAGATTTTTAATTAAGTTATTTTTTCAAACATGTAACCACAAACACAGGCAAAGAAACAAACCTATTTTACTTCACATTTCACATTTTTTAAACATTTTCAGTCCTCTTAAAAGTAAGTTAAGTTTCTTTGTTAAAATCAAAGAATTATATTAAACATGTCATTGAACTGGATGCAGTTAGATTTTAATATGAGAGCAGAATTAGTATCTGCAGAAACTGAAGTTAACATGCAGTAATTGTGTTCCTCAGTCTATCAGAGCTTGATCTTGATAAAAATGCTAATTAGCCCGTAATGCTCTGTAATTATATTGACTTACTTAATGAAGCCTGCCAATTAGTAACCATGGAGCTCCTTTAACACACTTGACAAACAAAGACTTGTCCCTTTGAAATTTTCAAGGCTGTCCCTCTTGAATTGAGCCCACATTAGCTATAAACGGATAATTGAAGCTACAGTTAGCATATTTTTTTATTATTGATTAATCTGTTTGTCGTTTTTGACTAATAGGTTGAATTTACATCCCATTTGTTTTTTCCAGACTCCGTATTTCTGGCCCACACAGCAGTGGCCTGTTGAAGATACTGACTATGGTGAGCAGACAGAGTTGCTTAAATTTTCTAGACGCTCCTGTCCGTCAGTTAACCCTCATTTTTGTCTCGTATTAAAGCGATCTACCTGGCCAAAAGAAACATCCGTAAGAAAGGACTCCTGGAGCTGCATGAGCAGGTGAGAACAACTCTGACACACCTGTGATCAAGACGCTTAGAGTGCTGGCATTTCCTCAGCTGTTATTTCATGTCCCCAGGAGCAGTATAATCGTCTTCACAAGTGGATGAATCACAAATGGGATTTCATCGTGATGCAAGCAAAAGAACAGTACAGGTGGGTGTGAAATAAAACACAAAGTCGAATCTAAGATCCCGGAGGTGTTACGATGCTGTTTGTGTGATTTTTTAGAGCTGCAAAGGAGAGGAGGAAACCAGACCGTGTGGTGTTTGAGTGCCAGGAGAGAGCCTACTGGGTGGTTCATAGACCTCCGGTGAGAATACACACACATAAACGCTCAAACAAACACACACATAGATCGTAATCAGAGTTTAAGCACACACTCAAGATGTAGCTTCATGTATTTATAAGTGAACTGACAGCAGACTGAGAGGTCTGAAAATAAATTGCACTCCACCTCTTTACTTCCCAGGGTATCTAATTATCTCCACCCATGATGCCTCATTAGCCTCTCATGTCCAGTCAGAAGAAAAGGGCACGGCTGATTAATATTTCACACTGCGTAGGAGAAAGTAGCGCTGTGATTTTCACGTTACGCTCAGGGGATTGAGAGTCTTAAATTCTCACTCTGTGTCCTGAGGAATTACTGCTCCCAAGACATCCAGAATCCCTGAGGGGTCGGGGTTCACCGTGTGTCTTTTGGTTTGTATGAATTTTAATCCCTTTAAGTAGGAAAGGGAATTAATCCACTGATACATTAATAAAGGGTAAGGTCTCTCCTGTCTCATTACATGAACACAACACTGCTCGGTTATACAGCATTTCATCGTTATTGCACTAAAGCATAGACTGCAAAGGAATGTATGGCAGCCCAGAAGTGCAAAAAATTAAAAATTAAAAACAAAATAAAGCACAGACTGCAAATGAATGTATGGTGGCCCAAAAATGCAAAAATAAATAAATGATAATAATAATAAAAACACCAAAAGCACAGACTGCAAAGGAATGTATGGTGGCCCAAAAGTGCAAAAATAAAAATAAATAAATAAAAAACAAATACACACTAAAGCATAGACTGCAAAGGAATGTATGGTGGCCCAAAAGTGCAAAAAATAAAAAATTAAAAACACGATAAAGCACACACTGCAAAGGAATGTATGGTGGCCCAGAAGTGAAAAAAAAAAATTTAAAAACCCAATAAGATATTGTAAAAGTAGGAAAAGGGAATTAATCCACTGATACATTAATAAAGGGTAAGGTCTCTCCTGTCTCATTACATGAACACAACACTGCTCGGTTATACAGCATTTCATCGTTATTGCACTAAAGCATAGACTGCAAAGGAATGTATGGCAGCCCAAAAGTGCAAAAAATAAAAAGTAAAAAAAAAAAATAAAGCACAGACTGCAAATGAATGTATGGTGGCCCAAAAATGCAAAAATAAATAAATGATAATAATAATAAAAACACCAAAAGCACAGACTGCAAAGGAATGTATGGTGGCCCAAAAGTGCAAAAATAAAAATAAATAAATAAAAAACAAATACACACTAAAGCATAGACTGCAAAGGAATGTATGGTGGCCCAAAAGTGCAAAAAATAAAAAATAAAAACACGATAAAGCACACACTGCAAAGGAATGTATGGTGGCCCAGAAGTGAAAAAAAAAAAATTTAAAAACCCAATAAGATATTGTAAAAAAGATTACAAATCACGACAAAAAAATCAAGAAACTCAATCAATAAAAAATTATAAATAACAACAAATTCAATAGTCAAATATATATTTATGTATATTTTTATGTTTTATGCTTTGTCTCCTTGCCTTGTGATTTGTTTTTGTGCCATGCTGTTTTTCATGATTTGTTGCCATGTTTTTGATTTATTCTTGATTTGTTCTAGCTGTGTTGTTGTGTTTTATGTACACAAAAAGGTATGTATGGTTATAAATGATTGTGCATTTTTAAAGACAGTGGGAATCAAAGGCTCCACTGAAAAGAGAATACTTCGCTGAATTTGCGCCTTGAATCAAATGAAAACACTCTTTACACATGACTCGTCAGCTTGTTGTCCAGATGGTTCGGGAAAAGTGTGACACATTAGCGGCCTACGATTAGCATTACAAAACAGCCATCTGCTTTCATCAGCAGTCCTTTGGTAAACACACATTGTGATATTTGTTTTGTTTTTGTTGACATGCTATTCTATGTGAAGCCAGGGACGGTGAGCGGTATGGACTATGGACTGGATCGACGCATAGATCCTAATGCAGAGGAGGTAACAGGTGAGTCTGTCTGACCTCTATGGACATAAACCCTGTCGATCAGCTTATATATAAGAGGGCTTAATTCATGCATGTAGGTGCAGTATAGGCTGCTTATCTTCTCTTCTTTTCCTGTCTGCTGTGTCACAATCTAACTCACCTTTACTAACATTAAACCTTTCTTTTCTTGTCTCTGTTCTTCTTTTCTACAGGAATTTCCTATGACCTTCTTCTCTGTGCTTTTAAACTAGTCACAGACACCAACACACCCCCACATTTTTACCTGACATATAACCTTTAGTTAAACGAAACATCTTTACAAATCTTTCCAAGCTTTACTGCACATATCAGGAAGTTGTATTAAGCGTTTTGAACCTACAGAGGGCGCTGTTTACATCTTACAGTTTTCATATGTTTACTGCATTGCTTCACAACATTGCTGCACTCAGACCTTGGTTAGGACTCTATGCCTCCAAACATCAGCTTACAAACATGCTGTGCTCTGCAAAGATGGTAAACACAAAGACAGGGTCTCCTTTGTCAACATAAATGTTTTTGATTATTGATTTTGTTCTTCCTCAGGTTAAAACTCCTGACTTCTACGAGAAAGTAGTGAGTGAATTTTCATTCTTCACCTATTTTCTGACTCTCCCCTCATTTTTCCTCATATTTTGAATCGTCTTTATCCATTAACAGTCTTTCATTAAGATGTTTTTAAAGCTGTCGCCTCTCCTCTGCTCTCTGTAGATGATTTTTACCCAGCAGTCCATTATGAGGCCCAGAGTGAAGTCATCGGTGTCCCTTGGCGCGTAAGCTCCTCTATATTTCCTCTCTGCTTGAATGAGCCTCAAATCATCATGGCTTTAAATCATGTAAAAACACGCCATGGTTTAAAGTCACGTGATGGAAACACAACCTAAATTATGTATCAATAATCCTGAATATGGGAAAACTTTTCAACTTTTGCCACAGTGTCAACAGGAAGAGCTAAAATTTACCAAACTCTTGATTTAATATGTGTGATCAAGTTGCCCCTGGTGTTACCTTACCTTGAGCTTTAGATATGAAGTGCTTTTCCAGATCAGATTTTCTTCCTCTCTTCTTGCAGGTTAGTGAAGTACTGTGCCACCTACAACAGCCACGACCCGTTCCTCTCCAAGTGTCTACCCAGCAACCCCTGGCTCACCGACGATGTCACCTACTGGACCCTGAACATGCCCAAGTGAGTCGGCCGAGGATGAGACGTGATTTATGTTTTATTTATTCAGATTTGATCGAGGTCGGGGTGTTGAATTGAATTTGACGCACTTTTTCCTTTGCGGTTATCTGTGTGTGTCAGTGTGGAAACACCGACTAAGAAGCGCGTGGAGAGGTGGACGTTCAGTTTTGGGGAGCTGCTGTCAGACCAACGAGGGCGAAACGACTTCAGACTCTTTTTGAAGAAGGAATTCAGCGGTATGGTTGCACTTGAGGTTTTTGGGTAACACTTTACAATAACCATAACTTATCAATGGTAAATAGATAGTTTATTAATGTTTAATCATCATTTATAATTAGCATATAGACCATTAATAAATAGTAAATGACCCTAACTTTACAATAACCATCTGAGTAATGCTTATAGATAGTTTATAAACCACTTATTAACCATTTACAAAGTGCTACTGACACACATTTTAATCTGTATGTTTTACAACCAACATTTAAACCCTATTTAAACCTTTAATAATTAAAGAAAATTATTAATAATAATTTCATTGCATGTTAATGCTAAAGTAACTATTAACTTACATTAATAAACTATCTATTTGCCATTTAAAATTGGTCTATATGCTGTTTTTAAATGAGGATTAAACATTAATTAACTATCTATTTACCATTTATAAATTATGGTAATCGTAAAGTGTTACCGGTTTTTGTTTTAGATGCAGCTATAAAGGTTTATTTGTTTTTAATCATTGTCGTTTTGATTCTGGTCCATCTCAGGTGAGAACTTGGCGTTCTGGGAAAGTTGTGAAGATCTGAAGTGGGGCACTGCTGGGACTGTGAGAGAGAAAGCAGAGCAGATCTACAAGTAATGTCTGAATCAGAGTGCATTTCTGTGCCGATTTGAAGAGTTTTCAAGTGTTCATCACGCTTCATGAATCATATCTGGAACATTTCATTTCAAAACAGCACCTGAGCGGCCAAAATAGACTCCACTAATGATCAATTCCCTCTTCTGTTTCTGACTCCAGGACATTCCTGGCTCGTGGTGCTCCTCGCTGGATCAACATCGATGGGAAAACGATGGAAATCACAGTGAAAGGCCTGAAACACCCACACAGATACGTGCTGGATGCAGCCCAAACTCACATCTACATGCTCATGAAGAAGGTCAGTAAACACTCTCACAGGTGGCCTCAGCCAGGAGATGACAACCATCAGAAACCTCTGAGTTTGTGTGTCTTCTACAGGACTCGTATGGTCGCTACTTGAAGTCTCCAGTGTTTAAGGAGACAGTGAAGAGGGCGATCTGTCCTGAGGAGCACAAGTTCAGGTAATTCAGACAGTCAGACAAAACCGTCAAATCACATCAGATAAGAAGGTTAAAGATGCATCTGATTACTTTAAGTGACACTGGTTTGGAAGAAAAGAACGACTTTGTTTGTTTGACCTGCTCTTTCCTCCATCAGTCAAGCCCAGCTGGAGCAGAATGCGAGAAACAGACGGCCCAGCGTCAGCCCCATCGTCCTCCGCCAGCAGGAGCTGGAGCAGAAGGCCAAGATGGCCGCCAGTGTTGACATCACACAGGTCATGAGCAAACTCAGCAAGCAAAGCAAGGAGGCTCCTCCTCCTCCTCCTTCTCCTCGCCACCCTACGAGGAAATAAACACGATCCTCAGTTACTACTTATCTTATGTTAATGTCCCTTTAGTTTGAATCTAAATCTGCTAAAGCAAATAATTATTTTACTTCAACGTAGAGAGTTTATTTAATCAGCTAAATGTAAAAACAAGTAACTGATTTGCAGCTTTAAAGGGATATTCCGGCGTAAAATTGAGTTAGGATCAAACACACCGTAACACAGAGTTACCAACTTTAGTAATGACCACACGATAGCAATACAGAGAGCCACATGCTCAACCAAAACGCCACTCTATAGCCACAAATAATGCTCAGAACAGCACCTAACTTCATCAACAGGACATATAGGGTCCCAGCTATAGTGATAGCCACCAAGCATCTTTTTAACTTTGCCTGATTTCTTTAGTAAAGTGATTAAACATTGACTATTGTCCATCAAATGCAGCAGAGTTTCGCAGCTCAAGGAAGAACATTTATGATCATTTATTCATAGAAATGCAATCAGACCGAGACGCTAAGGCAGAAGAACTACCACGTCTGCAGAGCAAAGTGATTAATATGGTGATTATTACTTCAAGGAAATGATAAAGAAATGATCTTAAATGTTCTTCCTTGAGCTGCGTCACCCCGCTGTAGTCGATGGACTCGCCCAGAGGTCTCTTGCTACAAACAAGCGGCTGCTGGAAGAGAGTAAGTGAGTTGTGTTTAGTCTCTTTGCTAAAGAAATCAGCCAAAGTTAATAAGATGTTTGGTGGCTAGTACTATGTCTGTGACCCTATATGTCCTGTTGATGAAGTTAGGTGCTGTTCTGAGCATTATTTGTGGCTATAGAGAGGTGTTTTAGTTGAGCATGTGGCTCTCTGTATTACTATCTGATCCTAAATTAATTTTACGCCGGAATATCCCTTTAAGGATGATAATACTACAGTGTTGTTTTCTGCTTCTCTCTGCTGGTAAAAAATGTAACTTTTGAAGGCTTTACGCTGTAGAAACAACCAAATACATAAATACACAAACCCATAGTTAGTGAGAAAATTATGTAGAGACTGTTTCATAGAGTTTTAGTTACTTTAAACTTTCTCTAGTTCCATTTTCATTCATACAGCCTGTGTCTGTTTTCATGTGTTTTTCCCTCCATTTTCACTCATGAAGCCTCTGTACCGTTCTGTATGTTTCCTGTCTGTCTGTATGTCGTCAGTCATGAACTAATAAAACACCAACAAATCAAATCACCTCATCTTTATCTGTTTGTCCTCACTTCTCCTTCATTCTTAACGATCATATATTAAAGTCATCACACTGTGGGTTACTCGTTTTGGACAGGGTCAGAAAATTATTAATGGAGGATATACGCTCACATGTTTTCGATCATTCTGTACTCTTAACCTAACTTGTGCCTGTTGACCTTTGACCTCACAGCTCTGCCGCTTTACCACCCCTGTCCCCCACCTCGCTGTCTACTCCGGCATCACCGACTTCCCCTCCTCCAACGCCTCGCCCTCTCTTCCTTTTGTTACCAACACCCCAGTTTGTCCGTCCCCCATCAGCCTAGCTTTGGACAGCACGTCCGTGTCTGAGCGGCGAGCAGAGCCCGGTGAAGTCGGGGGAGAGGGAAACTCTGGAACTCGCGCCCCGGCGACGGGTCATGTGTCCAAGTCCCGCATGGCTCTGTCCCTGCGGCGTCTGCTGAGGCGAGGCTGCACCCCTTCCAACATGTTTGCCAGTCTGTCACCAAAATGCCACTCGGCTGCAGGGACGAGTAGCAGGATCCAGCCAATTAGCCCAGACCAGCCGAGTCAGGCTCCGCCCAGACGCATTGGCAAGTGAGTGTCATGAAATGTACACATAAAAAGTCCTGCATGCAAAGAAAAATAACTTATTCTTTGGGACTGAGGTTGAAATTTTAAGCTTGTCTTGAATAATGTTCAAGTACCCATGTGTGGAGTTTGGGGCCTTCTAGTGGCCAAGCTGTGCATTACAACCATCAAATGTTCACAGGACTAATATGACTCTACAGGGGAGTAGTGTCTTAAAAAAAAGATTAAAGTTATGATAGTCCGTGTTTTGGTTACATACATGTGTTGAACCAGTTAATTCCATTATTTGATTAACATTTTACCACTCAGATTTAACTAAACTTTACAAGAAAACCTCAGATTAAGTAGAAATGGAAAAGTGACGAGCTTCCAAAATGATCTTCGAAAACTTTGCTGGAGGCAGATCTTCATTAATCTATTGCTGCGTTACAGTTATCTCGGTAGTCAGATGTTGCAGCTGGGAATGACGCTACACCCGAGTTGACAGTGTTCCAGTTAACAAGTCTGTAAACAAGATGGACACCTACAGTTACCTGTTGTTAGCTGCTGTTAAAAATTGTCAGCTGACGTTGGCCGTTGTCAGCGGTTGTTAGTTGTTGTTTGCTATGCCAGTTGTAAACAACGCACAACACAGTTTTGCTATATGCTGCTATGTGTTTACAAACACCATAGCACCGTGTTCACATTTAGACGTTGGGCAGCACAACATAAACCACTTATTTAATTTCACAAAAACAAAATAGAGTCGGGGTTGGCTAGGATCTTCGACTTGGAAATCTGACTTCAGGGGGGCATTCCAGATGAATTTCCAACTCAGAGCTTGGAAATCTTGACTTCCGAGTACAACAGGAACGCAGCAATAACTTTCTCTGTATTGGTGCCTCTTGGTACACAGAGGTGCCCTTTTTATTCTTTGTCCCTGCCCCTCAAACAGTTTTAGTACGTCATGGTCATAATCCATTTTTTGGTAGTAGATCCTCCTGATTCTCACATACTAGTTCTTTGAGCAGAAAAAAATGGTTACCCATGTTTCTCACAAGTCCCCCCTCCAACAGTTTTTTCCAGATTAAAGTGGACATTCCTCCGGAGTGTCGGATCTACCCCATAGAGTCTGAAGACGAGGACGAGGAGAGCAGAGCCGCCTCTCGGGGAGGAGGAGTGGGAGCCAAAGAGATCATCTGCCCCTGGGAAAGCCTCACCCCACAGAATGGGACAGGCTAATGGGCTAAACCAAGTACATTCACACTCATATGCTAAGATGGTGTTTCCAAATCTGTCTGTCTGAGCCAGAAAATTTGTCCCATGCTCTGATAGAGATGAAAGATCTCATGTAGAGCATGATAGGAAGAGTGTGACAGTGTGTGCACAAAGCAGTCTACAACATAAACATCAAACACTGCATGATCTAACACTAAACAGTCCAGAGATCTGAGGATGTGGCTCTTGAGTGACAGCAGTCTCAACTTTAACTCCTGAAAAGGTTTTGTTTCAGCTGTGGCATGATCTTAATTTTAATAATTTCTCCTTCATTTCAATAATTTCTCCAAAATTCTGTTTATTTTTGGCCACCTTGCTGTTTCAAAGCCACGAATGTGAAGTAAACCCACAGTAAGTATTCTTTTTATAATGTAGACTTCCTCTCAGGTTGTTAGGACTCTAAATTTTAGAACATAGAGTAATTAAATAAAATGAGATTATAAAGAGCATTTAAGTCATGACCTTTGTTGACACATAGAAGTTTAATTAAACCATATTTTCGCATATTTAATTTGACAAAAGATATGTAAAAAAGTGTTTGATACTCAAAAAAAGGTATTTTGGTGGACTATTCCTTTAAATATAGCCTTACTGACACAGACCCCTTACTTATGTGAGCTCCAGCTGAGCCGGTTGTTTACAGTGGATGTTGCTTTCATCAGGCCCAGCTCCACTCACAGGACATCAGGGTGTGCAGACCTCTAAAAAGCTTTCATAGTTAAGCTGTAGCTTTCACAGTCAAACCTCACGAAAAAGAACAGTAGCCCAGCAGCAGCAGCCTTATCCACCTCCACACACCTGAAATAATGTGTTTTATTTTTTGCCTAAGAAGTTTTACAAAGCAGACATGTGCACACAGACTGTTTCTGAAAAATGAGCTACGAAAGTACCCAAATGTTTATGTCTACTCACCATGTTTTTGAGCTGGCAGCACCTATTTTCTGTATAAATCCCATGCAGTTTGGTGTCCTCACTACTAAAATGCCTTCATGATATTTGAGAGCAGCACTTTAACTCTTAGCTTGTGAATGTATGCAAGAGTTAGAGTATTATGGCAAGGGGTTTTTAAACAGTAATAATAACTTACAGCTGCAGTAACACAGTTGAGGTGTATATGATCAGGAACTGTTTGTAAATGGTCAGTATTAGCCTGTAGCATAATACCAGAGTAGGTCTTTGACTTTAACAGTGTTGGATGACTGAATAGGTACAAATAATTAGGTGATGTGTTAATTTCTGCCTTCTAAATATTAGTTTTAATATTTTATTGGCTTTTTATTTTTACATACATCTACATAATGAGTGTGGCAGTAATTGTTAACTGGTCGATGTAAAGTGTTGTCACTGTACTGTATAGTGTAAATGGCAGTTAAAGGGATATTCCGGCGTATTTACGGTTAAACACTGTAACACTGAGTTAGACACCCCCTTGAGGGATACATGTTACCGACCGCTTGCTTGTCTAGCAACAACTTTAGTAATGACAATAGCAATACACAGTGGTCTAGGGAGCCATCAACAAACCTCAACCAAAACGCCACTCTATAACCACAAACAATGCTCAGAACAGCACCTAACTTCATCAACAGTACACAGAGGGTCCCAGCCATAGTACGAGCCACCAAACATCTTTTTAACTTTGTCTGATTTCTTTTGCAAAGAGACTGAACACAACTCACCTACTCTCTTCAAGCAGCCGCTTGTTTGTAGTGAGACCTCAGGCCAGTCCATTACGGATTACAGCGGGGTGTTGCAGCTCAAGGAAGAACATTTATGATCATTACTTTATCACTTCTTTGAATCACCATAATCACCATATTAATCATTTTGTGCTGCAGACGCGGTAGTTCTTCTGCATTAGCGTCTCGGTCTGATTGCTTCTTCTCGGTCTTATGGCTTCTCAGACCGCTGTGTATTGCTATCCTGTGGTTGTTACCAAAGTCGGTATAACCAGGGAAGCATTTCTCGAGGGGGTGTCTAACTCGATGTTACGTTGTGTTTGACCCCAATTTTGTCGAAGTTATGCGGTTATGCCACTTTATTTTTGTGCCTTTATTTTGAAGAACGCCACTCTTATTTTAATACTTCCTGTTACCGCAGACGCTAGACTTCCCGCTCCTGACTCAGCTAAACAGCATGTCTACGATACTTCAGAGTTGGTACAGTAAGCAAACAAAGTATTTACATTGTCGTATCCTGTGTTGAAACTTATGATGGGACTTTAGAGCAGATTTAACGATCGCTAACAGATACCCGGAAGTGCCGCCAGATAACTTTAGTAACCTAGCAACAGTAACTGAAATAGCGGTCGTTGGCGCTGCCAGTTCAAAAACATTTTAAAGCGACACGTAAAGTTTTAAAAAATAAATAAAAAGAAGTATTTTTTTTGTCAGGAAGATTAAATAAATCCACAATGGTGAAGTAATAATTTAAAATTAATGTTTACATCACTTCTATACATTAGCCAAAGGACGGTTAGTTACAGGCAATTCAGACTAGCTAACTGTGCACATGCCTGCTTAAATATTGATAATAATGTATTGATATCGGTTACATTATGATCTGTTTACATGATGATAATAAAAGTGTTTTTGTGCTGCTACATAGACTTAGATGCCTCATCCACAGTGTACTTACCTCTGACTCACTTTATGTGAAATAGACCGATGTGCACTTTTCATGAAAGAAGAGTGACTGTAATAAGAGTCAGCTGATAGTTTTGTATTTGGCTTTACTGTTTTTTGTACACTTTGTGTAGCAGTTGTAAACTGTACACTACTTAAAAAGATGTATGTTTTCTTACATGTTGCTATATTGGGGGTTATGGGGGCAGTAAAATGTGAATTAACTGTCAGAATGTATTTACCTTTATCATGTTTACAGAAGCAAGAATGTGAAATACACCTTAAAATTTATTGTATTTGATTTGTACATTCCATGGCTTGTGTCAAGTGCCTCAATAAATGACTGTCTTAACAAAAAGTTTGCCTTAAAAGTCCCCAAAGTTGGCAAGTGATTTTTGGAAATGACACATAGCAATGTGATAACGTTGCCTGCCTGGACTAGCTCACACTGAAGTAAACTGTTATTGTTTCTTACTGTGAAATATGCATCTTTAACCAGGTATTCCCAGGTCAGCTGAAAGAGTTTCCTCATTTCAGTGATGACCCTCAGTGACCACTAGATGGCGCCACAATAGTGACAATGGAATTTAAGCTCCAATAGCAGGTGGGAAATTATGATTAGTTCACTGGGCCCTGATCAATGCAGAGGTAAACTACATTTGTAATACATTAAACAGTTTTTACAAATTTTCTTCCCATAAATGTCAATGGATTGAGTCAATATTTTTCTAAGCAGGAGGATTAGTTTCTATGTCTAAAACAGAAACAGATAATTAAGAATTTTATCACCAATGTTGACTTATTATTTCAATACTTCTACAACTAAAAATGATGTTCAAGGACCAGACAACACTGTGAAAAAAGCCTTTGTGCTCATAGACATGATCATTTCTGTCATCACACAAAGACACACACACGAATGAAACACACACAGAGGTGAGTGAACTCAGTCCGGAGCGTAGCTTTGATCAGCGTGTGTGTTTTTATGTCTCTGAACAGAAGCGAGCAATCACTGCCTCACAACACCCACACAGGGACGTCCACACAAAGTCCATTCATACATTAGCTTAGCAAGGAGGACAGAATTTATGCACCGCTCTTAACATTCATCTGAGGTGTGCATATATTAAAATACATTTGTGCGTGAGCATCTTTTGATGAGGCCCTCTGTGTTTTTTGTTACACCTAAACAATCACACCCTCGCTATAGTTTTAATATTTTTGCCAGAATCAGAGTTTTTCTGCCACGTTGCTTCTGTCTGAGGACACATTTTTAGTCCTTATCTGTTTGCTGCCTTCAACTCTTTGATTTCTCACTTATCTGTGGCTGGAATTATTGGACCGCAAGTTGCACAGAAGAAAAAGACATAAATCAGCATTTTAAGCAGGAAATTGCAGTCAGAACTTAAAAATATCACATTCTTTGACCCAGATTGCTGCTCAGACACTTACGGAGTATCAAAACACTTTCAAATCAGCCCATTGTGAAGTGAAGGAGCAGTCAGACACACGTGTCACCCTCTCTGAAGATGAAGAGTTTTTGATGAGATGTTGTGTAGAAAAAATCCTATCAGACGAGCAAACTTATCTCTGAACAAACTGACCTGCTTAACTGAGTAAACACAAAAGCATAACTGATCTATTTGATACTAAACTCAACCATTACTAACCCTCTTTGTATGTACTACATTATACTGTGTAGAGTGGCAGTACAGTTAAGTATAACAGATATAAAGTGAATGTACTTTATTCACCCAGAATCATTTCCATTTAACTGTTTTTGGTGAGTCTTAGTTTTACTGTTAATGGTATCTTACAGAAAGGCTTGCATCAGTGACATCAACCCCTAAAGAAACGCGCTTACATATAATTTCATGTCTGCAAGATTAACGCAGACACATCTTGGGTTCATCCAGAGTCATATCCATTCTGGTGAGTCTCAGTTGATAGTGAAAATTAGTAACTACAGCAGAGACCATATGTTTAAATTAGTTTCAAAGATGCTCCTCCAGAAATGTAAGCAAAATTAACGCCATGGTAACCTGGTCCACCCTGGGTATTACCCATTTATCTGTTCCCAGTGAGTCTCAGTTTCACTCTAACCGGCAAAAACCTTAGCTCTGGCTTTCATCAGGGAAACAATCTCTTGAAGAATCCCATTTTCATGTGATTTCAATTCTCCAAAATAACCACAGTCATATTTCAGTCCAACTGGTGTAGCAATCACTCATCTGTTTCTAATAAGTCTCAGTTTCAGGGTAAAAGTAACCCATTTATCTGTTCCCAGTGAGTCTCAGTTTCACTGTAACTGGCAAAAATTTTAACTCTGGCTTTCATTAGTGAAACAATCTCTTGAAGATTCCTATTTTTATGTTATTTCATACCTCCAAAATAACCACAATCATATCTCAGACCACCTGGTGTAGAAACTACAAATCTGTTTCTAATGAGTCTCAGTTTCAGGGTAAAAGTAACCCATTTATCTCTTCCCGGTGAGTCTAAGTTTCACTGTAACTGGCAAGATTTTTAACTCTGGCTTTCATCAGTGAAATGTCCCTAAAAGAAACCTATTTTTATGTGATTTTATATCTCCATCTGGTGTAGCAATCACTCACTGTTTCTAATGAGTCTCAGTTTCAGGGTAAAAGTAATTTTACAAAGGCTTGATTCATGGTAACATCAGCGATATGAACCCTTCAAATAACTATTTATACATAGCTATTCAAAATAATTAATGAATCAAGTTTATTTAAGTAAGAGTATAAGCTTTTTGTATAAATTGAGGTCGATATCAAGAGGATCTACAGCGTGTTTGTTAATTAGAGGATAAAACCAAATAAATGTGACCTTTAAACAATGTTATCATCTTCCCTGCTGCCCCTTAATGTTCCTTTGTCGCTTTAACTTCAGCATCTTCATTTGTGCTGACTTGAAGGAGAAACTGGACAAGGGTGGAGACAAAAACAAAGCCATGGACATACAATATTAAACCAAACACACACGTGCTGAAATACACACACACAGGCACACACAGTCTCTGCAGACATAAACATGTGTCTGCTGCTGTGTGACCTCGCCGCCACATGATGAATGACCAAATCAGAAGTGTAATGAAACGCTGCGCATTCGCCGGCTGCTGCTTCCCCATGTATGCACAATATGTGTGCGCGAGTGTGTGTTTTCCTGCGTGTGTAAGTGTGTGTCTATGAGCGCGTCTGAACACCCAGGACCTCAATCAGGATCACAGGTGACCCGGTGTCCTGCTGAGCCTCCTAAATTTGACAAGAGCAGATAATTACCAGTGACGCCTCACATCATGCGGTGAGAAAGCAAGAGACGACGAAGAGGAAGAGGAGGATGATCTTGGAGCTTCACCTTTGTTTTCTCCCACTATGTCGACCTTTCGCCCCCCAAACACCATCCTGACCGCTCTTTATTCTTCTTCTCTTACTTTGTACCTGATGGAGGTTGATCATCACCTGAAGCTGGGTCTCAGTAGTTCTTTCACTTCCCCCTCAGCTCTTATTTTATATGACGTATGCTGCGTTATGTAACCGTGAAGGTCCCACAGGAGCCTCCAAGAGAGCAGATGGAAAGTGGGCAGGTGAGGAACTCGGGGATTTAGACTGAATGCACCTTGTACTCATGATGGATCACCGCTATTATTTGTGCAGCAGTCGCATTTATTTACTTATTCTAGAACCTTTGGGCAGGGCGGCTGGATATGCACAGCAAGCCAAACTTACAGTGAAACTGAGACTCACCTGAAACAAATAGATGCACGCTACTTCATCTGATAAAAACGGATCAAAACTTTCCCTACATTTTTCTTCAATATGGTCGTTTTTGAAGCTGCTGATTGGTATGTAAACCACGCCGCGCACCGAAAAGGAAGTCTTGCTGGAAGTTGTTCATTGCTAACTAAATCAGAATGTCTGAAAAGTTCACCGTCACCACCAGAGGCTACACTACTGTCAGGCAATAGCTGCTGGGTTCTGAGATTAATGCAGCTGCTAATTGTTCCTTGCAGGTTCCCCCAAATAGCAACCCATACCTGTCAGTGTGACAAATGCATTTAATCCACAATGAATGCTCGAAGGCGCATACGAATGATGGGGGGTTGTAACATCCTATCGCAGCAATCGAATAGAGAGAAATCTTATATTGTGTTTTGATGACAAGGATGTATGTAGAGATAGATGTCAGGTACATTTGTAAGTGTTATTCCAAACAGTACTAGAGCAGTTTCTTAGATTTCAAAGATGGCCTAAAATTGTGATGCACAGCGATCAATCTTGCCATCACTATAGGTCAAAACATGGCGAGTAGAGAGTAGGAGATGATATGCAGCAAAGAATCATGGCTTGGAATCAAACCAGAAACTGCCATAAGGACTACAACCTCTGTAGATAGAGTGCAACTTAACTCCTAGACAACCTAGACTGTGCACTCTTTGTTTTCTTCAGTGTCCAAGTCTCCCCAGTACACCTCTGAAAACAGCATTTTTCTTAGATAAACCTGTTGTTAAATCTCCATCCACACCAATCTTTTCATGAGCTGCCATTGTTTACAGGCTTACAGTCGTCACAGTTACCTTAAAAGCGACTCGGACAACGCTGATTGGTCCGATCATTCTTCAGCAGCAACCTGATATGTAGTTGCAGTTTGAACATAGTTTCTTCAACCTCGGTCTCAATCATAAACCTCCTGGATCTGGACATCATTTACCATTCATCAAAGTCAGTTTGTTTTTGACGGTTAATCCTCCCGATTTTTCGTTCGTTCGTTCATTCTTTTACTGTCCACAAGTGGAAATTTGTCTTTAGTCTCATCGTGTACAAAAAACAGATCAACAGCAACAAGGACAGCAGCAACAGACACATAACAAATACACATAAAACATCTTGGCAGCAAAAGAGGGAGGACAACAGTGGCATGTACTGTACATAACAGGCAGATCTGATGAGACATAGGCCTACTATCATTCAGTGCCCTGATGGCGTTATGACTGAATGAGTTTTTGAAGAGGTTACGATTTGCCTTAGTTGATAACATCTGCCTGACTTAAGTATAACGAATTCACTGTACAGAGGGTGAGAAGGATCATTTACTATCTTAAAAGCTTTTTTCCTAATCACTTCCATAAGTCCCTTAAACTTGGAATATCACATGTCCAACACCAAAAATCGTATCCCTCAACAGAAGTGTCTGTTTACAGAGATGACATGTAGCTTCACTAGACAGAGCTCAGGATTTTCACTCGAAGCAGAAACAGAAATGGATTGACGCTTGTCACGGCAGGTGTGATTCCCTCAAGGCAAACTTTTGACTCATAAGTCAATACACTGTCCGGATGCTCAGCCCTCAAACTGGTCATGTTGTGAGAAAATAAGAAAGACATGCATTTTGGGGGATTCTGACGGTTATTTTACACCTGTACTCTCACAAAACCGAAGCCAAAGCAAATCGCTGTCTCTTGGTTTTACAAAGTTGTACGTTAAAATCTAATTTACACGTCTTTCTTTAAAATAAAATGTTCTTTCACATAATGAGTAAAAGAAAAGACAGAAGATAATAACTATCCAACCAATATAAAATGTATGAATATTTCAGGAGCATAAATTTTTCACATAGTTAACTCATTTCCTAAAATGTTTCCTCTCAAAGCTATCATGGGTTTCCATATGATCTTGTGTGTCTCTGTGTATTCTCACAGGCATTCTCAGGTACCAGACTCAAAAAACAGATTGAAGAATGTGAATCTAAAAAAAAGCTAATGAGGAACTGCAAAAAAACTGCAGTTCCTTGAGTGTCCACTTGAGGCATGCTCTAAAGGCCCAACAAATCAATTGTCAACAGATCTGGCAGTCAATCATCTTTTTAAAATCAAATTACTTATGAAAACTGAAGGTCTCAGATAAATAAACATGAAAGACATGAAGGCATGTTCGCCTCATACCATCTCTTATAATGGAGGAGGCGGGGTTTAGGACTGCAGCCAGTCAGAGAGGGGAGCCCTGAATCTTTTGGCTTCACGGTCAGTGAACACCTACGGCGCACATTTTAATTTCAATTCTATACTCTCGACTTTTACCAGTAGGGCGTGAAACCAATGAAACCTGTGACTGAGTAGAAATGGGACCAAGACCGAGTCTCCAGATTGAGTCCATACAGCCATGAGGATTCTCCTGTGAGGTGCCTAAGCCACCGTGGATAACTGGACCACAAACCTCCTACTTTGACTGACACTCAGGTTTCAGACTGTTAGCAGAAACCTCTTTCACTTCTAATTTGGACTTCAGATGTCTTATTTTTTTGGAAAGTCTTGGACATCCAAACCAATATTGCTTATCTTATAAACTTGAAATGTGAGTGAGAAGTGAGGTAATTTGATAAATTTAGGATGTCAGGTGTAAATAAAATTTTACCATCAATGTCAGCTTTGCCCGAGGGTCAAGTATTCAACGAACCAACCAGCGTCTCTCTCCATCAGACGCCAAAATATGCACAAACATGCACATGTATAGTACACGTATGCACACACACACACACACACACACAAGCGCACACACAGATTTATGCACTCCCACGCATACAATCTTTGTCCCATGAGGAATGGTATTAATATCTCGCTGGCTTTAAAATGTCAGAGAGTCTCAAACAATGCGCACAAAGACCCAATTTATTTATGGATCTGACACCTCTCATGTCTTCCTGCTCTTTTTTTGTTGCAGCTATTTTTTGCTTTCAAAGTGTGTCTTAAGAAGGACGAAGAGGAGGAGGAGGAGGGGGAGGAAGAGGAGGAGAGATGGGGGATAGAGATGAACTTGACAGACTGACCGAGCGCTGGGAAAAGGTGTGTGTGCCGGCAGCTCAAGAGATCAGCCTCCTAAGCCCCGAGGAGTTGGTTTTTTAACCCACAGTTGAGGTAAAATGTCCCTCAGGATTATTCCTACGTTTCTGACACATGGCCGTGATCAAAGAGTTGCATCAGGAGATAAAAATATCACAAATGTGGGCTAATCACAAATTTGCATTCAGCCCTGATGGCAGCTTTTCTAATATAAGCCGATAGAGTTTATTTACTTTTCCTTCAGTCCACTGCTTTTGTCTTTTCATTTCCAATCTCCGTCCTCCTCTCTTAGTATTCACCTCCACAGCCACACACAGCAGTCCAATCATCTGAGCTGTTTACTCATTGAGTGATGATTGCCTGTTTAAACATCTGTCCACACTCATGTATACAGCGACACACACACACACACACACACACACACACACACACACACACACACACACACACACACAGCTGAATGCCTGATAATATCTCAAAAGCATGACTGTCTACCTGGTTTGCTGTTGTACAAAAATTATACAACAGATTTTTCTTGGTGAGTGTTTGATTCCAAAAGGAAACTTTAAGTTTTCATACATGGAAATCGTGTTTGTTTTTTGTTTAGAGACGCAAGGGATGCAGTAAACAGTCACCATGACAACAGTAAACGCTTGAAAACCAAGTCAAAATCATTACTTCATGGAAATTCAGTCAGACTGGGGAGCTAAGGCAGAAGAACTACCACATCTGTGGTGCTAAATTATTGATATGATGATTATTACTTCAAGGAAATGATAAAGAAATGATCATAAATGTTCTTCCATGAGCTGCGTCACCCCACAGCAGTCCTTTATGGACTGGCCTGAGGTCTCGCTACATACAAACGGCTGCTGGAAGAGAGTAGGTGAGTTGTGTTTAGTCTCTTTGCTAAAGAAATTAGGCAAAGTTAAAAAGATGTTTGGTGGCTAGTGCTGTGGCTGGAACCTGATATGTCCTGTTGATGAAGTTAGGTGCTGTTCTGAGCGTTATTTGTGGCTGTAGAGTGGCGTTTTGAGGTTTGTTTATGGCTCCTCAGACCGCTGTGTATTGCTATCTGCGGTTGTTACTTAAGTTGGTATAACTAGAGAAGCAAGTGGTCGTCCACATTCATCTCTCGAGGGGGTGTCTAACTCGGTGTTACAGTGTGTTTGACCCTAAATTTATTTTATGCCGGAATATCCCTTTAATTCAATCCTATATGATACTATATGAAACATTTCTATTCATTATTATGATGTGACACAAAATTCTACATTGCATCACAAACCATGTCGTACACTTCAAAATGATACATTATAAATTGATCCGCTACGATGTGTTACTCTAAAGTCGTACAATGCTATGACATGAACATAGTCATGAGGTATGTTATGGTCTCATACATTACAATGTAATACGTTACAATGTGATGTCACAGAGTAATGACGAGTGACATGATACATAAAATGATAAAGTGTAATATGTAAAAATGTAATATTTAACACTGATATATGGCAATGTGACAAGTTGTGGGATCTGTTACATGTTACAACCTGATTTGGTACAACGTGTTGATCGTGATATGTTACATTTAGACATATCACCACTGAAACAAAAGTGTTCAGCTACACAGACTGACTTGTAGTTAATATGTTTCTGTAATAATTCACTTTTCAAAACACAGGCTCATCTCTGGCTGTCTTCACTTGTTACTGCTCCCCAGGGTTTGATTCTTGACACATAGTTTTTAATTTGTGTTCTTCCTTAAGGGCATGTAATTTGTGAGCATAAAATTGTTTCTAATTGCTATGCAGATGACACAACTCTGTGTCAAACTGAAACCCAGTGATGCCGGAAACCTCAGCCACACTAAAGCCTGGTGTTTCTCAGAGATTAATCTTAGATGTTTCCAAATAACCTCCAGCTCAGAGACATAAAATCAAAGGTTCCTGGTTTGTCACTTTTAACCCTTGTGTGAACACCCCAGTCCATAACAATAGCAATGAGATAAAACTCTCAAACTACACGTCAAAAGTTAGAAGTGCAGTTACTTTTGTTATGGACTATTTCAACCCCCTGGACTACTTACTATCAAAGGCATTTCAACTCACTGAGGATTATATCTACCTTATAGATGGATCATATTATCCATATTTCTTGTTGCCTGTCAGTTTTGGAGCTTCTTTTGGAGGGACTGCACTTTAGCTGTCAGAGTTTCATGGTAAAGAGATTAAGTAAGTGCCTTCTTTAGGCGTCTGGGAAAGTGCACATATAATACAGGTCAGTTCTTTCCCATCTATGTTTTTTTCTATTTTATCCTGTATGACCACTTTGAGCTTCTTTCTCTTCGTTTCCCATTTATTTTTTTGCTTTTTACTTCAGTGATGCCGTGTCTTATCCTCTCCAGTTGCAACATTTTATTGAAAAACTGTCGGACACTTCTATACTTGTAGAGTTGAAAAAAGACACTAATTGCAATTTTACCATTTTATGCCACAAGGAACGAATAGCTCATTAATCATCTGTAAGGTCATTGTTCCCCTTTTTTCTATTATTTATCTTAAACTTTGCGAACTAGTTACTGATTACATTTTCTGAGCAAACATTAGAGTACTCTTAATCTTCTTAGTTAACTCTTTGCCATACAGTAAAGCATGAATAAGGTTTGTGTCGCAGAAAGTGGCCCCACTCACCTCATGTTGACTGACCTGGCCTGTGTGCTTTGCTTTACTGGCTTAACTCGACTGTTTGGGGTGAAAAACAGTTTGCTCATACCTGGACCACTGGCACATAACAGAGGGGGCCAAAATAAAGGATGATTTACCAAACCTGCCAAGAACTAACAACTGTTGTCCTGTGAAAATCCTTGGCCCCAATATGAGGTGCTGTCCATGGTGCTGAATCCTTGGGTCGCAGTTATACACATGTTTGGGCTGCCACTGGGGTAAATTTTCAACATAGATGAATAGAGCAAAGCCTGAGAACTAGTTCAGACAGTCAACTTAAGCCACATTGATATCTCACTCGACATGCGTCACTCTCACAAGCACATGACAAACACATACCCCGATTTGACACTCTGTTTCAGCTGAAAGATTTCTGCTCTCAGCCTGTAGTCGACTCAGATTTTCAGACCAACCACTCCTGCATCCACCCGAAGGCTCCAACTGGGCAGAGTTTGAGATATTGTGTCAATAACTCCACGATTTCTCTTCAACTCTACTGCCATAATATGTGAAAGTAAAGCTGTGAGGAGGGCAGAGGTCAGAGTCTTTCAACAGAGATTCATAACATAAGGGAGAGTTGTCTGTCTGAAATGTAGGGAAGCCAATTGTTAATTCAAAGAAAAAACAACAACAACTACTACTGATACTTTACAATGTCTTCTAATTCTAATTTATGTTATTGTAAGGATGCCTAGCTCAGGTTTACACTTGAAAGAATGGAATGTCTGACTGGTCTGAGACTGCTCAAATATATACAGTCGTCCACATTTCTAAGCATTCTGCTGGCATTTAGTTGACCCTAAGAAGAGTCCATGTAGGGTAAAAACAAAGGACAACATATTTTAAGGAGCCTTAGGTGAACATATGGAGAGACCATATAGAGGAATACCATAGCATAACAAATGTGTACAAGGTTTTTTGTTGAGGATGGTTGTCTGTCTCCAGTAATCTAACACCAACATATCCATGGTATCTGAGTGGCATGGCTCCACCGCCCTAAAGGCTGATGGGATTGGCTAAAGAAAATTCTCCTAACAGTTATTCAAAATGGGAAACCTTCTCGTAAGTGATAAGGAAGACTAATTACTGGTCTTGACCAGTTAAATGTAAATGAACTCCTTAGAGCTTTAACTTAGGCGACAACTTGGGTTATATTGTTTGTTAAGGTGTAGAAAGTAAAAAGTTTTGATATTAGAGTCCAGTGTTTTACTTTCTCTGTCTTTGTTCCAAACTGACTTTGTCACTATGGGAGTTGACTACAGCAATACGAGTCAAAAAGTAGTGGGGCGATGCCAATAACCGTTTTGAATATCCAAAGATACGATGTTCATGTTGTGGTTTTTGTCCAGCTACTGCAATAAAATTCAAGTGTGTACAATTAACAGAGATACAGACCTTAAAAAAAAGCTGTAATTTTAAAAGCTTGGCTTGGAAAAAGTAAGTAATGTTGTTTCGTTCAACTACAACAACTGTTTCATCACCACTCATGACACTCTCAGATGTTAATGCAGAGTTTATGAGCTGCAGATGTTCTGCCGTGGATTTGTTGACAATCTCAAAGAACAAACGCTGCAGTGAAACGCCGTATTGGTTCTCTACAAATCCACATCTTACAAGTCATATATTTAACATAAATCCTGCTTGACAACACTCAAAATTGTAGATTTAATTATCTGCCAGTCAGCAAGCAAGCTTTTCCCTGCGAGCATAATGTTGTTCCTCACTGAATCAATCAGAGTTAATCTGAGGATGTGATCGAGCTGCTGGCCGGAGAACATATGTTCTCTGCAGGCTGTCCAGCTGCTGAGAGAGAGAGACAGAAAGACAGAGAGAGAAAGAGAGAGAGAGATACCATCCTTTGAAACATCTGTCCTCTATTGTCTGTTTCCATTCTTCAGAGGTATCGCTGTATCTACTACACACACCTCCAACAGATATAGACACTTCAGTCACACGTCTCTCATCTCTAACACTCTATTTCAACACCCGTCTGTATTTATAGCGTTGTGTTAAAAGGCCTGTCACCTGACCGAGAAAGAGGAAGAAAACAGCTTTTATTAGGAGTGATGCTAACCTGCAAAAAGACAGCTCTCTTTAAAACCATCAAACGCTCGTCCCAGGATGTGAGTGAAAGCAGAATAGTTTGTTTCTTCTCTGCAAAATAACTGTCACAAGTAAGCCACGCAGAGATGAGAAAAAAAGTGTGAGGTAATCAGATATTTTTCTCTCCCTAACACTCACTCAGCATTACTCACTATTTTCTCCTCTCAGCACACAAACACATTTCCTCAAGTCAACATAACCCGGAGAAACATGTGCTCACTCTCTGCAGAATGGAAGAAGTGAGAGTCAGGATGGAGTACTTTTCTCTCAGACGGATGATTGCCTCCACTATAAGCACCTGAAACAAAACAGAAGCCGTAAAGCACGGTCACATTTGTATGTGTGAGACACTTCCAGGGTTCACAGCCACATTTGTTTTGTCTCTCGGGTTTTACAAGCTGCTGTGTTTATCCTGTCTATAATCCAAGGTAACAATGTGATATTTGTGGGCTGAAGTTTGCAGCCAGTGATTATTTTCTTAATCGATCCTCTTCAAATTCGTGCTGCAAACATAACAACACAGAATGGACGTGATTATCGAGAACACAAAACCCCCCAATAAACATGCTCATAGATAAATACTCAAAGGCTTATGGTAAGCTTGCAGTGTATAGGCCCAAATATCCTCTTTTATATCCAAATATTACAAGCAGACTGTTAGGAATAATATTAAATCAAAGAATACCACCTAATAGCTTTGCTTTCCTGCTCTTTTTGATATACTGACAGCATCTCAAGGAGCAATTTAGTTCCAAACTCAATTTCCAACAACGCTTACCTCCTCTGCATATAACTGCAAATCTTCCACAAACATTTTATTTTCTGTCTTTGTTGTTCAACTTACAATATTTTTGGGGATCGTGACATTTCAATTTCAAAGGACATCGATGAATGAATCTACACTTGCATAAAAAAATATAATAAAGTTTGGATTTTGTTTGTTACTTGGGTGTTTCATTTAGAAGAGTGACTTAAATTTAAGGATATTTCTTTTACAACCATAAAAAACAACACAAAGAGTCCGTAATTCGCATATTTGGAGTTGATATAAGGTAATGGCTCCCAAAACTTCCACTTTTACATTCCTACATTTCCCAGAAGGCACTTCGACAGCATACTTTCCAGACGTTTCTGAGTGAAGAAGAAGTTTTAAAATTTTGCGACTCAATTTGTTTGGAGATATTTGGAGCTAACCGTGTCAAGAAGATGTTCCTACCTGCCGAGGAAACAATAATGTTCGTTCTGAATCTTTTTTCCTGGAACATTGTTAGAAACGGACTTCTTCGGGGTGAGTTCTTGCTAGCTAAGCGACGGGAAATGTTTGGTGAGCAAAACTGAGAATGAAACGGCTTTGTAGTATTTGTTTCAACTCTGAGATTTGCTTTATCGTTTCAAAACGACTGTGTTTCTACTTTCCTACTAAAGATAGTGCGTTACGTTCAACAATTTTAACTACGTTCGAAGCAACGGTTTTAACGGTAGCAATTTAAACTGCGTTCGAAGCAACGGTTTTAACTGTAGCAATTTAAACTGCGTTCGTAGCAACGGTTGTAACGGTAGCCTCGGTAACTTCGCCATCTTACGTAGCCGTTAACCCTTTAAACCGGACATTTCTTTATCAAGCTAAATTAGCTGTTGTCATTTCAAGCCGAATATCTCCCAAACTGATCAGTTTTTATCGCTCATAAATGAAACATTTTTGGTGACATGTTAGTGGTTATTACTTATATTTAATTTCCACTGATTGTAAGAACAAACAGGTGAACAGGACTGCATGAATCAGCGACGCCCCAGGTAGAGTGTTTATGTCTTGTAACTAGGGATGGGCAATATGGGAAAAAATTTATTATGATATATTTTTTTCATATTAGCCGATATCGATATATATCACAATATGAAAAATTAAATTTAACAGTGCTTATTGGTAGCATGTCTTTTGCATTACAATAAGCTACTGCATCTGTGAGGTCTTTGTGTCTCTTCGACGTTTTGTCGTAAGGCGATGTGCTTGGGAAAGCGGACTGAGTGGTCGGCTGTTTTGGCTGCATAGGCGTCAATAGTTTTTTTTGTAGGACAGTAGGGGAAAGTCCCGCCTCCTTCGCCTCTGATTGGCTAGATAAGCTGGAAACGTCATCACACACTGAAGCCAAACGTCAGCTCTTTACATCGAACAGAACATTACAGAACATTATCGCACTTCTGAATCTCCTAACCCTAACCCTAACCCGACAGACAATGATGTTTCACAGCCATTAGGAATAACCAATCAGAGCCCAACACTTCTAGCCAATCAGAGGCGAAGGAGGGCGGGACCTTCTCCTACCATCCTACAAAAAAAAATAAAAAATTCTGGCACAGGCGCCGTGGGCCTCTTGCTCAGCTCAGGGTTTGTAACCTTTTGCATTGCATTTTCTTCTTTGTTTGTTGGTGGGTATTCACTTTTTGGTCAATTATCTCACCATATCTTCAATTGGTTACACAGCTGGCGTATTTCATAGGGCGTTACAAGAGGCAGTTTTCTGCACGTACAGAGTGACAAAAAATATCTATCTATAATTTCACATTAATGAAGATGAGATTAATGTGTAAAATTGGGGTAAATCCCCTTTAATGCACAAGCTTTGTAGGGTTTATTGCAGTATTTGCTTTATCTTGTTGGTTATTCTCCCTGTTTGTGTATTTCCCTGTCAGTCATCCAAGGTAAATATGATGTTTGTCAGGTTATTGACTTTGGACGAATGTATTCACACTGATAAACGCGCGACAGTGCCTGGAGGGGCCTAAGTGGAAAAGCAATAATCATAATGGGATTCATAGTGGAACAGAGAGGGAAAAAGGCAGAGATAAGGAGTTCAACAGAAGAGGTATACAGTGAGGTGATTTAAGGAAAAGTAGGCAGGATATATGGTAGGATGAAGGTGAGTTATACCGAGAAAATGGGAGTGAAAGAGGGCTGGGATGGCGAGGAGGAGGAGGAGGAGGAGGAGGAGGGGTTGCTCTGAAGTGAGTGAGAGGGAGGAGAGGGAGAGGAGGGTAGGCAGGCTAAATCCTCACACCATTATTATCAGGACGCACATGCAGCCCCTTCTGTGATGGAGTGAGAGGAGATAGAAAGAGATAAAGAAAAGATGGAGTTAAAGAGGAAATGGAAAGCAGGATTACTGGTGTGACAGAGCGGTGAGGGAGAGAGAGAGAGAGTGAGAGGGAGAGAAACTGGTGGGAGAAAAAAAAAGGGAAAAATCAGTGCAACAGGATGAGGACCTGCTAGTGCACAGCCTGCCCGACCCCGCAGACCTGCCATCTGTCCCGCTGTGTTTCCAACGCTCTGACCATCAACAAACATCTGGATCGGTTGCATCCATATGGGAAAAAGAGGGCATGGGGCGCGAGAACAAACCCAAATTTTCTTCTTAACTCCTCTTTTTTCTTCACACAGGAGCTGAGAGCACATTATCATCATCATCCTCATCACCAGGGGATCTTTTCCTGCGGAGTACCTTCATCACTGAAAACTGGACAAAAAAGAGGGGGAAAACTTTTGCTCCCAACATGCCAAAACCTGCGTGAGATTTCCCAACTTCCCATGGATCTGTTGTGTCTTTCGCCCCCAAGCAGGAGGAGGGAAAAGGAGGCAGAGGAGGTGGAGGAGCGGGGGAGACAAGAGGAGACGGTGGGGAAGCGTCACAGCAGCCACCACTACCACCACCACCGCCGCCACCAGCGCTGCTGCTACTGCTGTTGAAGTGTTGCCGCCGTCTTCTGCTCCTCCGCTGAAGAGGCATTTTATCACTCTCCTCATCCTCCTGCTTCCCTCGTTCTTTCACTCCTTTCCTCATCCGAGCAGCAGGGAGCCAGAGGGAAACAGACAGAGAGCTAAGCACACACACACAAACACACACCGGCTGGATGCTCATCTTCTGTCACCCTCTTCGCTCCTTTTTTGATGTCCTGTCTTCACCTTCTGGACCGCTTGTACATTTTTGCACCTTGACAAACGCATGAAAAGAGAAAAAAGAAAAAGTGAGGAGTTGAAATTTTTTGGGGGGGAGAGAGAGATCACATACGCTCGCTGTCACGTCGTGAAGTCCTCCAGGGGAGTGTGCAGACATCCAAAAGCTGCCAAACACACACAGAGTCGGAGAGAGAGAGAGTCACTGTTAACTCGCTCTTATTCGCTCTCACACTGAGACTGGGTCTAAATGCACACTCCTACAGGTGCTGCGAGGGGAGAGAGGCAAGTCAAAACCAGGTAAAAGGGAAAAAAAAGACATTCGGAGGAAGAGATGGAACAGCAGGAGTTCAAGCTGGATGACGGCAGAAAGCACAGGTAAGTCTCCAGCACACACACACACTCCCTCACACTCCCTTTTTTTCGTCACTTAATCTGTCAGGAATTATGTAAAAGTGAGCGCGACAGATTTGGAGAAATAGAGACAGAATAGAATCAAGAATAAGGAGCTCAGGGGGACTGTGAGTGAAGACACGCAGTATGAGAGCAGTCATTCCTTCAGTTTTCATAAGTGAAGAGTTTCCTCGAGAGAAAGATCCCATCTGCTGCTGCCGCCGCTGACACAAACAGAGCAGCCAGTTGTTTCTAAAACTGGAACCGCTGTAACAGGACGTATTAGCATTTCTCTGTTTGACTGTGTGCGTGTGTGTGTGTGTGTGTTCACCTGTGTGCAGCCTGACACATTTGCTTATGGTTTATGGATGTTGGGCTCGCACCGTTTCACTGTGGTATCAGTTATCTGCTAATGCTCATTGATTTGTCCCATAAATTGAATGTTAGCAGCTCTCATTTTTCTCCATCACTGACACAAGCTTTCTGCTCCACTTTACGCTGATCAGGTTACAGCATCGTGTACCGCAGATTCTTTTAGAGGCACAATTCAGTTACGTTTACCTGAGGGGGTTCTCAATATAGGGTTTGAGGTCCTTTAAGGGTCCCCTGGTAGAAGAAAAAGAGGTCTCAAGCTGGTTTCATGAAGAAAATACCCTGTAAATTCAAACTGTTGTTCCAGCTTCTTTTTAAAATCCTTGTTAAGACGTCAAACTGCTGCTGTGAACATATATCAGGCACCTCTCACAACAACTCACTTTGGCTTCACAGCTCTTCTAATCATGTGGTTGGTGGCCTGAAGATGAAGCAAAGTGGCCTCAAGTTAATGGAGGAACTAACTAGAAAAGGCACATTCATCTTCGACCACATTTTTTTGTCTGACTTTTGTGAAATTCATGTATTTTTGACAGCTTGAGAAAATTCAAAATCAGCTGCGGTTTACAGTCCAGTGGTGCTCAACGTGGGGTTTGCGGTCCCCAGAGTAGTCTAGAGGTAAAAGGAAAAGGTCTCAGGCTTGAAGGGTCTCAAGAGGTCCAGGGGCGGTACGAATGGAAAAAAAAAAGCCTAAAAGACGCTGATCTTGAAAGACGCTCTCTTCCTCCCTCCCTCCCTCCATCCCTTTCTTTCTTTCTTTCTTTCTTTCCTTTCTTGTCTGTCGTCTTTTCTTTCTTTCTTTCTTTCTTTCTTTCTTTCCTTTCTTGTCTGTCTTTCTTTCTTTTTTTCTTTCTTCCTTCCTTCCTTCTTTCCTTCCATCCTTTTCATTTGATGTTTTTATTGCTGTTACTTCTTTCTGTTTTTCTTTCTGTTTCGTTGCTTTTTTATTTTTCCTTTTTGACTTTTTTCCTTCTTTTTTATTACTTTTGTTTTTCTACTTTTCTTTATATTACAGGGACTATTTTCTTTCTTTTTGCTGTTTTTTTTCTCTCTTTTCTTTGTATTTCTGTTATTCATTTGACCCACCATCTCCTCATTTTCTTTACTTCTTTGGTTTTGTTGATTACATTTTATTTTTATTTTTTTGTAACTTTTAAAAAAACTTGTAATGTTTAGACTTTATAGAACTTGCAGACACACTACAACATGGTTTTGTGTTAAAGCGTCATAACCAAATGGCTAAGACTAGAATGAATGAGGAATAATTGTGTGAATAAATGCATGAGTTAACAGTATCATATATAGGGGTCACATGTCTGTTTTAAACAGGTGTGGCGGCAGATTGGGTGTCTCTGAGGTTTTGATTGCTTTACGTTTGATTGGCAGGAGGCCGAGCCGTTATAGAAATGCCCCCGTCTTGTCAACGTCACTCATCTCTGCTGCTGCTGCGTTTCGGCCTCCAACGATTTCCTGTACAGCTGTCAAATCTTTATATGCGAGAGCAGGCGCCCACTGAGAGACTGGGTGGCAACTGTTGGCGGTTAAAACCCTAATTATGATAAATTTATGAGGGAGACGTTATGCGATATGTTTCATAATAAGCTGAGGGGGTTAAACATGACATGCTGATTTATTTATATTGAGAGTTCAATTTGTATGTTTATTAGCAGCTTGCATGGCCTTTTGAGAGCTGCATGTGCAACACTCACAAGTCAAGTTGTCTTTATTATTCATCCAAGAGGTAGAAATGTAGAGGGATGAAGACCAAGTGGAAGGACAGTCACGTGTTGAAATCTTCGCTAATTTTCTCCTGTCTGTTTTTTTGACCAGGACAAGGCAGTGTAGCTCTGTTTGACGTCTGTTGTGCAGTCTGGTTTTGTGACTGTTTCAGGTTTTCATAACCTAACAAGTTGTTGGATGAAAGACTTTTGAAAGCAGAGGTTCTAGCCTGATAATGAAGCTTATTTTCAACCTGCATGCTGTCCTCAAGTAGTCTTGACGTGGTGTTAAATTTAGGTGATAAAGCATGAAGAGAACAAATGATGATATGGGCCTCTTCACCTAAGAGATCAGGTTTTATCCTGTGTTGAAACCAGTTGTTGACTTCTATAACGCACACCCTATAATGTTTTGTTACCTTTATTAAATATCTCATGTACAGTTGTAAGTAGGTCAGTCATTCTGCTTCTGCAGACTGAAACTATGACCTTTTCCAAATCACGATAAAGTAGTTTTGTGCGTTCAAAACTGAAAATCTTCAGTGAGCGTCAACAAGCTTGTTTTGTTAAGATGTACCTTAAGATTTTGTGCGTTGGGGCACAAAGGTGAGCTGCATCTTGGATGTTGGTGTGAGCAGTATTCCAGAGAAAACGTAGAGGGGGTCTTTGTATATTACCCAGAAGATGGCGCCTGAATAAACAAGCAACAACTTAAACATGCAAAACTTTGTAGATGACAGAAAAGGTATAGAAAGTGTATCTTATACACCTAATTTTAGAGTTGATTTGGAGAGTAAAGAGTCGGGGAGGAATAAATGACTGCTGCAACATGGATTAAAGCCTTGAATGCTTAGCCAACAAACGCCCTGAACATTGCACAGGAAAAAAAACAATCGTCAGTAGTACTTATTGTAACTGCTTTATTCTATGAGTTCAGTGGTCTTGTATGAATAACTTCCACACTGACACACACCATTTTCCAAATATTTAATGGCATGTGTGCCAGTTGAGCAAGTCTTGTTGGACTGGGTTGGCCCAATCTTGAACCCTCCAGTTCCTACAGTACAGATGTGTTCCTGTATTTTCATTGTATTAGCAACGGTTTACTTAGTGGCTGAAGGCTGTAGTTTAAGTCACACACCCGTCATCTGTATTGATGTGATCTGGTAACCAGTAAAAAATTGAATAATTAAACTGTTACTGTAATGAATGACCCTACAGAGGCATTTTTATTTATATTTTTGTTCTACTTTCCCGTTAAAGGCAACTAGTATAAATTTCACTTAATTTAAAATTCACTTTTCAGATCCAGAAAAATAATCCAGAGTGTCATCAATGCTAATTATGATGTATTTTTATAGGTCAAGGCAATATTTCATCTATTCCCAGGGGAAATTCAACAGCTGTCCAGCTATGAAGTAATTAAGATTTGCTCACCCATAATCAGCGACAAAATTAACATCATGCTTGCATCAGTGTCTTGATTGTGTTGCAGGAGAAATGATCTCTGTGAGATAGGTCATTCTGTGTTGGGAGTACCTTTACTATTGAAGCAAAATGTTTTACATCTTATTAAGACTGTTTTATCGCTAACAAGGTCTGAATACTGTCCCAATCACAGACTATCTCCCAGTCATCAAAGCTTTGTGCGGAGAAATCAATTGTGCACTTAAAAGTCATCAAATCAAACGTTTCCACTATCAGTTAGAAATAGTTAAATATCAGTATCCTGGAATAAAATAATTGCAGCAGAATAAATTTTCATACTGTAATTTCTTGGACTGAATATCAAGTCTGCATAAATGAGGCTCTAGAGGATCCTGATGTTTCATACAGCTGTCAGAGCGCTGTGCCTGCAGTATGTTGATGAGAGGAGGGCCGTCTACTACATTAATACTGGCCCACTAATTCAGGCTCCCTAATTAATGCAATCAAATCAGTTTCAAAGGTGCAGCAAAAAAGAAGGAAAAAAAAACCAAGGTTGGAGGCAGACATGTTGATAATACTCTGGTGATGATGCTCATCCCATCAACTAGATCCTCTCTGCTCATTTCCTCTCCACCCCCCGGGGACTCAGTGTAGCGACTCCAGCGTATCTGAGTTAAGTAGCTAAATGACTGAATGTTCCCCTCTGTAAATACACTGAGTTTCCCAGGAGGGTTGAGAACCTTAACCAGGGGACAGCTTTAAGCATCAGCTGAACATGTGGTCAAACAAGTTTTTGGTATTGTTGTGCAGCAGTAATAAAGTAATGTTGGCCTTTACAGTACAGTTGTTGTATTTGGTAAACAGTCAGATTTTCTGATGCTTTAGTTAACTTCTTAGTCATTTTTGGTTGATAGCAGAGCGCTGCAACTAGGGCTGGGTGATATGGGAAAAAGTTTATCACGAAATATGTTTTAATATCAGTTGATATTGATTTATCACTAATCGTAAGAGTTCTATTTTTGCGGGATGCCGGATAAGATCAGCGAAGATTAACCCGTGCTGGAAAGGAAGTCGGGCACAGACACAAAATAAAACATCCGGCTTCTTTTCAAAATAAAACACTGTGTTTCAGGCGGATCGTATTTCCCATCATACAAACAGGCAAACAGCATTTCACCCCGATAACACCATAGATGAGGAGATGCTGATTTTATAAGTCTAGAAGTGGATTTCCTCTTCTGGAAGGACACAATCTCCTGATCCTATGGTTAGCCTATGTGTCAAAAGACAACTCGTTATCGCGTGATTCTTGCTGTCCGTAATCCGCCATGAAATTCACCTCACAAACGGACCTGGTAGGAATTGATGTACAGCGAAAATCGACGCCGTTCCAGATGTGGAGGGAATCCCAGGTTAACCTATAGTAGTATCACTAAGAGCTGGCCCAAGCTTGAACCTGAACCAACCCTGTTTGCTTTATTAGCCAATCTGATATACATACATACATTTCTCTCACACACAAAATTACATAGTATGAGTTTGAAATGGGCTTAAGACTCAGTAGTGTACAGTTTTGGACACAGCTCTTGTAGAAGTGCAATAACAGTTGTTTTTTGTATATGACCATATATGGACAGGTGGTAGAGCTGCACGGAAAACCACAGCTTTGCAAAAACTGACATCAAAACTTTACAATCTCAAGTGTCTGCCAAAAAAGATTACAGGTATGTCGCCTTCAGGGAGAAGAGGTTATTCTACAGTGCTGGAAGCAGACTGTCATCCAAAGCAATATAAATTTTCTTCAAGCACAAAGATGTATTACACAGAGGAGTTGTATGAAAGTTAATCACCAGTGCACAGAACAAGCTTTTTAAAAACCCCAAACAGATTCTCCTTAATTGGCGGTAAAATGTTTATTTTTGCTGCTGAAGTTTGGCATTGTAACCTAAGGGGGATTGACTCACTTTTTGGAGCTGGCCTCAAGTGGCCATTTAAGGAAATGCTATTTTTCTCCCATATATTCTTTAATTCGCTGCCCTCTTTTGTTGTATTTTTTGTAATTAGTTTGATGTTGAAGTTCGTACAGTCTTGTGTATGCTGGTCCTGATGGCTTTGAAACCACGTCCACAATTTACACTGACACTGAAACCAGAGCGCACTTCCGTTCTCACTTGATCCCCACACGTTGATATATTTTTTGGGAGAATTAGCGCAGACACACAACAGGATTTAAGGATGATAAGGCCAGATGTTATCCCGTTAATCTCTGTGTGTCTGCAACAATCATCTGTTTTCATTTATTCAAAGATAAGAAGACAGTCAGCTGATTCTGCCGCCTGTTTGTGTGTGTGATTGAAATTCAGATGCCTCACATTGTTGCCTAACCCTCCTCTGTTCTCATCTTTTCACTGTCATAATCACACTCTGTTATGTTGCTGCTAATCTGGAGCAGACGCACCCACCCTCTCCCTTCCACACACACAGACACAGACACACACTGCTAATCTGAAGCCCCATTATCCTGCCTTTTTTCCAGAGATTACACTGTTAAATGAACACTTGACCTGCTCACCAGTCGGCATTCGTCCACTCTGTCCTTGCTGTTATCATCTTTTGCAGTCATCCCACGGTTTCCAAAAGTTCCCATCTCCCTTTACCATTTACTTTATTTTATATTTTATTCATATGCTAACTCTCTGAATGCAAATATGCCCGAGTGTTTACACCAATGACTGCATTTAAAGAAGGACAGCACGTCTAACATAATGCACATTTGGAGCCAGAGTCTGCACTTTGGAGTTTGTTGGACTTGCAGTATTGATGTCTCACCCCGTCTGAAAACAAAAACACACATTCAACTTACTGATAAAACAGTAAGGATCCCTCAGGTCAGTACAAACCACAGGCTAATAGCTTCTTCAGTTTGCTTGAGGCAGAAACTCCGGGTTATGAAAAGTTCAGTGACACCGTGCTCTTCCAGCTAATCGACTTCACACAGCCGGTAGGAGCCTCATTCGTCAACAGAGCTGTCAATCACGTCATTGTGTCCCATTTCCAATGTCAGAAAGCTAATAACATCATCACCAGCAGCAGGATGAGAACAAATCATAATGTCAAAGAAAACTTTCTTTGACATGCCTTTTGATTTGACCCATGTCCCGGACTTATAACTACATCCCAGAAACCATCAAGATAAATCAAGTTGTGTCTGTTGGCATCATAATACTTACTCTTTATCTAGCTGTCTGCATCTGGAGCAGATCATAGAGCAGGTAACACACAAAATAGTTGGGAACTTTTGAGTTTTTTTTTTTTGCTTTGGCTGCATATAAAGTTTGATAACAGCGTTACCTGGGATTTCCACCGCATCAGAAATGGCTCCGATCCGGAACCGCAGCGATTCTCGCCATACGCCTATTCCTACCGGGTCCGTTTGTGAGGCCAATTTCGTGGCAGATTACGGACAGCAGGAATCGCAAGAACTCACAAGAACCCGCAGATTCGCATGCAATTGCGATATCGACATCCTCTCATCCATAGTGTCATTGGGGTTGAAATGCTGTCTGTAAACCTTTCACTTGTTCGTCCCTGCCTCTTTGCACGATGTGAAATACGGTCCGCCTGAAACACAGAGTGTTTTATTTCGAAAAGAAGCCGGATGTTTTATTTTGTGTCTGTGCCCGACTTCCTTTCCAGTACGGGTTAATCTGTGCTGAATTTATCCGGCATGCTTTGGCGTCCGGAAAAGTAGAACTCTTGCCATCAGCTGCGGAGTCCGGCGTTCCGCAGCGGAACAGAAAGAAGCCGGTGGAAAAACATTTTAAAAAAAAGACTCAGTTGATGTTTTTCTGAAGTCTGTCACTTGGATGTCTCTCTGTGTGGGGGGTTTGTTCATTTTTAATCCCCACATATTATGAGTGGGTGGTGGGTTAAAAGCTCCTCTGTGCCTCTATCCAGATAAAACGATAGGTTTGATATAAATAATATCAGTGTGTCAAAACAAGCAATGCAAGGATTTACATAAGAAACAAATGTAAGACAACCTGCTACAGTGTGTTGGATCTGCATATATTCTCTGGGGATCTGCATAAATCATGTCTCAGATGTGGTTTTACTGTAGATCTGATCCTCAATAAAGCCTTTTTTTTAAATGGATTTAATGCTGATATTTAGCTGACCAGATGTCTGAACTGTCTCTGTATGCGGACGACACCACTCTTTACATTTTTAATACACCGTGTCCATTAGGATGGACCTTTTGAGCAGCAAACCGCTCAGGAAACACACACACAGAACGAAGAAGTAATCCTCAGTTTAAGGCGTCTTATGTCCATCATTCCAGCTTTACCTTTCATTGACTGAATTTTGATCAGCAGCATCTAATAACAGGAATATATTGCCTTTTTGGGTTTATATATTTATTGCACCGGGCACTTGAAGCCCAGGAGCTTAAAACCTCATTAAGATAAATGATTGATATACTGAGAGCATGAAGAGTGAGAAGAGGTGGGACACATTCAGCCCAGTGTTGCTTTGAAAGGAGCTTTGAATCAAAGCTGGGAGGTGCTGTTAATTACCAGGGCGTCTCAGATGGCCACAGATGAGACCGACACTCCATATAAAAGCTTCTATCAAAGTGAAAGTGTATGTGGAGATCTTTATTGGCTGTAAGAAAGCTCGTCTGGCTTTATTAAAGGTTCAAAGGTATTGATTAAATAAAATGATATCTTCAAACCGTAAACACTTGATCAAAGATGCTCACTCTAGATAGAAATGTGAGGATACTCACACCGTCTGTTGTTGGCGCACTAAGAATCTGCTGGTGGTTATGGCGATGAACCAAGTTTGTTACGTGCTTAAAAACGAAGATGTTTCTAAATGTTTTTCTTTTTCCACGGTACAGATTTAACTTTTCAATTCATCATTGAAAGGGCAACTGGACTTGTTTGAGGGTCTTGAAGACATTATTACTCTGAAATTGTCGAATTATTTGCTCATGCAGTCACTCACAGTTACCTCGCATAGACTTTTTTTTTTTGTTTAAACATTTGATTGAGCTTGTTTGCGATATTTGCGATGAAATGCGAGTTTTAAATAATTTTCAAACAATCAAAACCTGTTTTAATCAACATTTTACACACATTCCAGCTTTGTGGAAAAGTCACAGAGATGTGAATAGAGGAAATCCTGTGTAGATAGATATGGGGATTCAATTTGTTGCTGATATACAAACACAAAAATTTCAGTTTGATGGCTGTAAGAAAACGCGCCGATTTTGGCTTTTACAGGCAGCTGGTCACCGCACCACTTTGCTGACATATTTTTCATCTTGACTTTAAAGAGTTGGACACTTTAATGTGATTAAGGTCTCTGCAGCCATCATATTTTATTTATTCTACTTAAGAGGAGCAAAAGGGGGAAACACAAGTGAAAGCAAAAGTGACAGCAAATGTAGTAAAGCCATGGAGGACTTATTTGGCGAAGTAAACGTTGATTAATGTCAAAAGTTTTCTTTAAAACTGTTGTGGTAACTTAACCTCTGCAGAGATGACATGGGGATTATATTTTCAGAAAAGTGTATAACGTTTGATTTTAGGCGAAGTCGATCACCTGCTGCACTTGTTTACAACCCAGAGGCTGATAATGTCAGTTAGTCACGACTTTGCCGAGTCAGACCAAAAATAATCAATAAACATATTTTTTCGTTTTATTTCACTTTCGGTTCTGATTAAGAATTGATCCTTTTGGGAGTGAAATCAAGCCTCCACATAAAAGAAAGACCCACTTTACAAGGTTTACAATTGAGGTGATGTTCACACTACGATATTAATAACTGTGATTCAAAAATGTCATTTATATAAATCTCTAATGGGAGAAAATACAACTTTCCTTTTACTCTTTGTTCTTCTTTCTGCAGCTTCAAAGACTCAGTGAAACAAACATGTTGAACCCACTGATAGTGGCTGAACAACATGGTTATTGAGCTTTTGGCCCACTGATGAAAGCCCTTACAATGAGTGACGTGTTCTCCATTGCTGAGCAGTGGTTGTTCCCTCTTAGATGGGAGGGGAAGTGACTCTAACAGACTCGGTCTTTAGCCCAATTGTGTGTGAAGTGGCTTGTTTATTTCCTAGTCTCTGCCGGCTGTCTGAGCCTCTCCGGAGCAAAGAGGGTCACTATGACCCGACAGTCTAAGAGGAGGTAGACAATGACTCAAGTCACACAGATGACATTATTTGAATCCATTGGTGGTTGAGTTAAAATTTAGGAGGCAGGATCATGTCTGAAGAATTGTTCTGATACTTAAAATCCAACAAAAAACGTCAGGACCACCATCGACTTTTTGTGATAGATGCTGGATGGTTCGTTAATATGCACAGTACCATCAAAGATTTAGTTTGCTTTAAGGCACTTTAAATATTGCCAATGAATGAGAGATGTACTGAGTTTCTGCTGGGTCCTAAAAAGTCTTGAAATGTCTAAAATTCTCTTAAAGGCTCATAAAATGTCGTAAATATGAATTTGAAAGTAGGGCTGGGTGATGAACCGAAAATTTACCGATACCGAAATTTACGACAATAACTGACGCCATTTTGGTGAGCAGCTTGTGGAGTAGTTATCGTCCATTTATCATTATCGAGGTGAACTGCTCAATATATCGAGATATTAATTTGAGATCATATTGCCCAGCCCTATTTGAAAGATCTTAAAAATGTCTCAATGTTATTCACAAATAAAGATTGATTTGAAGTTAGTAAAAATGTTCAGATTTCCCTTCATCTCTTTTGTACTTTTTTTGCCAGTTTGAATGTAAAATGGATCTTAAATCATATTCATTATGGTCTTAAAGAGTCTTAAATTTGACTTGTTGAAACCAGAAATATGACAATAGTTATTCAACAGGTCCTGATAATATTCGCAAATGTGAAAGTGTGAGTGTGAAATACAAGTTTGACTCTTTCTGTGTTACTATTGATCACAGTAAAAAGGGTGGAGTCCTGGTGCAACAGTTTGGGTTACCCTCTTCTATGTGTTTGTGCGTTTGTTGATGTGTGTGTGTGTGTGCGGACTCAGAGATGTGTAGAGATGGAGAGGTGATTACAGGCATCACACTGGGGGGGAGGCTGGATTACAGAGGATTACATGCGTGCACACTTGCACACGCTGACAAACACAAATAGTTTTCTGCACCACACAAGAGGCTAAAAGCAGGGCTAATACTCTCAAACAAAAGGGTCAGAGATAAAAATGACAAAGACAGTATTAAAGGATGAATTAACAAACAGATTATGACCTAATATGTCAGAGAAACGTCAGAGAAATTAAAAGCAGATTGTGTCTTTCTGACTGTTCCTCTGTTTCTTCTTCTTCTTTCCAACCCTTGCCCCTTTTCTGTCCATCTTTTCCAGGCAGTAGGTTGCCAACATGGCCGTTCCCAGGGGGCATCCTCCTCCCTCCCCCTGGCCTCCTCTTTTCCTCCTCCTCCTCTTCCTCCTCCTCCTCATCTCCGCCCCGCTCCCTCTGCAGGCCCGGCCGCTCCTCCTCCACCCGTCCATCAACGTGGCGGTGGTGTTCAGCGGCTCCAGCTACCAGAATGAGGTCAGAGGGCGTCTCAGTGGGGAAAACTTCGTCGACCTGCCCATAGTGGTCAGCCCGGTGACCGTGCTGGTCAATGACACCAACCCTCGCGACCTGCTGACACACCTTTGTGATACCATGGCAACAGAGAAGCTGCATGGTGTGGTGTTTGAGGACGATGTGGGCTCGGGTGCGGGTGCTCAGGTATAAAAATGATACTGATGCCTCTTCATAATCTACGAAAGCAAAGAGATCCATTATTTGATTATTTCCATGTCATGATTTTTGATGGTGTAACAGCTGCTGAGGATTAGGGGTCAACACCATGAACCAAAAATTTCCTCACTGGGGCTTTAAAGGGATATCCCGTAAAATTAATTTAGGGACAAACACACCGTAACACTGAGTTAGACACCCCGTCGAGAGATAAATGTTGCTGACCGTTTGCTTCTCTAGTTATACCAACTTTAGTAACAACTGCACGATAGCAATACAGAGAGCGACGCACTCAACCAAAACGCCACTCTATAGCCACAAATAATGCTCAGAACAGCACCTAACTTCATCAACAGGACATATAGGGTCACAGCCATCAAACATCTTTTTAACTTTGACTCATTTCTTTAGCAAAGAGACTAAACACAACTCACCTACTCTCTTCCAGCAGCCGCTTGTTTGTACAGAGACCTCGGGCCAGTCCATTAAAGACAACAGCGGGGTGACGCAGCTCAAGGAAGAACATTTATGATCATTACTTCATGGAAATACAATCAGACCGAGACACTAAGGTAGAAGAACTACCGCATCTGCTGTGCAAAATGATTAATATGGTGATTATTACTTCAAGGAAATGACAAGGTAATGATCATAAATGTTCTTCCTTGAGCTGCGGCACCCCACTGTTGTCTTTAATGGACTGGCCCGAGGTCTCGCTACAAACAAGCGGCTGCTGGAAGAGAGTTAAATTAGACAAAGTTAAAAATATGTTGTGTTATTAATTAATTTTATGCCGGGATATCCCTTTAACTTTTCAGCCGAACCAAAACAGTCACATATTTTTTGTGCAAACACTTGATCTGTGTGTTCTTTTTGGTCTTCAGGTGGCTGAAGTGGCACAGATTCTGGACTTCCTCTCCACTCAGACAGCTCTGCCCATCGTAGGCATCAGTGGCGGCTCTGCGGTTGTCATACCATTCAAGGTACTGCCAAAATAATGAGCTCTGTCCCCTCACTGTCACTCTGGCTTGAACCAGGGCTGGACTGGTCCTCTTTTGCTGTGCTGTGGTCATTTCACAACCAATGAATGTTGTTGTCTCAGAGTTGATGGAGTCATATCCGTCACATCGTTAAAGAAGTAAAAGGATTCTCGTAATAGGATGAACCTCTAATGTAAATCCTGTCAGCAGAAACAGCTCCCCTTCTCACTCTTCCTGTCTTCGTCAGAACTCTTCCTCACCGGCGTCATTCAGCTTAAAACAACTTAAGTAGGTCAGAGCGGTGAAACCTACTCCGGCGAGCAACTCTCTGCATGCAAATATTTGGAAATGAGCCATACAGATGAGTGAATTATCAGCCATCGACCCTCATCAGCTCCTCTAATCCCAGGCTGGGAAGAGTCTGCGATATGGGGAAGAAAACTCTGCTACAAGCGATCTGCATCTCAATCCATCACCCCCGAGCACTTTAAGAGCAGCAGGTTTTTCCTGCGATGAGTTAGCATGTATCTCATTGATGAATAGAGATGGAGAGCAGTGAGCTGTGCAGTTGGATAGTAAAGAGATTGATGACAGCAGCACAAAGATTCTTAATCTACATTTTTTCTCCACTTAGTTGCAGAACGGCTCCATCCCTTCTTTTTTGTCGCTCTGTTTCTTCCTCCTGTCTGCCCCTCTTTTCTTTTAATAGCTATCTACCATCATCAACACCTCGTATTTATAGAACCAACTCTCACACGTAGATACACACATGCAAATGAACACGCTCGCACATTTCGGCGCACACAAGCCGAGCTAAGCGAGCGCATTCCCACACGCACTCGACTCGGAAAAGCACCAAAGTGTGTTTGCGAGTCGTAGCTTTCACCCACGAGCCATGTTTTCTAAACCATAGCATGTTGCATTTATCATCTTTCCCGCTAATCAAAAGGTATCTGCAGATGTCTCGTCACAGATGAGTCTTAAACAGGAGGAGTTGTAGCTGCAGGAGGGTGATTGATTTGCTGTGTTTTGATGGCAGAGCTGGAAAAGGCAGAGTGAGTTAGTGAGAGGCAGAGAGAGGAGGAAAGATGCTTCGATGAGGCTCGGCTGACAGCTGCCTGAAGGCGATGTTTTACTGTTTCCCTTCCTTCCTTTAAAGCGAGGTAGTTATTCTTGTTTTCACACTTCTTTCTTTTCATTTCCATTTCAATTTTGTCTTTTTTTTTTTTTTGACTCTCCCTCATCTTCTCATCTCGGCTCGCTCCCGCCATCACCTTTACTCTTTGACACATTTAAATCTAGTTTTTTAGGCTCTGCTGTGCTCCGGCTGAATCCATCAAGGTTATGGCTTGAAGCGAGAGGCCCCGCGCTCCTCTCCGCTCTTTCTCCCTGAGCTCCAGGACCCCATTAAACTGTTAATTAGATCCTTCAGGAGTCTGACACCCCCCCACAGCTTCTATCTTTCATCCCAAAATCAAAACCTCTAACTCCTCTTTTCCTTCTTTAATTTTGCTGCTTGTACCTTTTCATAACCTTCCTCTTCCCCCCACCTGCTGCTTTTCTCCTCAAATTAATAAGGAGGTGTTCACATTTACCCCAGATGTACGTTTGATACTCGGCTCAGTCACAGTTTCTACTTTTTGAAGCAGTCGGCTGTGATTTGAGGAAGCTATGGGTGTCTAGATCACAGTGAGTGTTGACGGGGAATTAAATCTGAGTTGAATTCTTTATTTTCAGTCAGTCTTGGTTGATTTATATCATATTTTAGTCTGCATTTTTAGCGGTATGTCGACTCTTGTTCTTTGAAGTCACATTTTAGTCAGTGTTTTGATTAGGATTGTCTTGGTAATGACGTTTTTATAAACAAAGATCTTTCTCCTTTCAGAAGTTTCAGTGGGTAGAAAAAATCAACTTTGTTTTGTCAACTTTACTGAAAGTGTGTCTTTCACCTTTACCTCTTTATTGTCATATAAAAAAAATCAGATACTGAAAATGAGGGCTGAACAATTCATTATTTGAAAATCCTAGTTTCACTGTGGTCCTTTGCACTGGTTGCTGCATGACTTTCAATGGAGGATAGACGAAGAAGACGTAGCAGGCCGCTAATGAACTAGCTTCACTCCTAAAGATCTTTAAACGTCAGTCTTTACAAAATCGATGTTTACATGTTTTGATTAAAAGTCCAGTTTCCATCAGACTGAAGTGTTTGTTTGACTATCTGATTATCTGATACTCCAGACCCCAACTACAACTGTTACTCGCTTTATTTGCACATTTATAGCCGTTTATTCTAGTTTAAACAGTAATTCCTGCCAATTCAACCAGCGGGATCAAGTGATAGACAAATGTTTTTTACAATTTACTGGGTAATCTGACCTCCTCACTCACTTGCCTCCAAGCGGGCTCCGCTTTATTCCGGTTTCGGTAATTGAAAGAAAAGGTGTCATACAATTCGGGACACCCACACACCCACGCGATCAGTTTGTCCTCCATGTTAGATACCAGTGAACAACCGTCCATTTTTCATACGTCACCCGGCAACCTTCGTGCTGATTGGTTATTGCGACGCGAATATCAGCTCAAGTTGAGACGTTTTCAGCTCCTGCTCAATTCGACTCATTTGCGCTGCCAGAGTAGTACAAGTGTCTGACCGCGTCTTTGCATTGACGTAACATGTAATTCCTACGATTTTACTAAGTCAGTTAGAGCTCTGTCATCTGTTCTTGTTTACATACAGGTAGTAGATCATTGTGTCATTTTAGCTTCAGCATTTAGTTGTCCAAGGACTAATTTAGCAGTGAAACAGCACTCTCATTTATGAGTTTAAGAAGCATCGGAAAGTTTGATTATAGGTAGTTTTTAAAAACATTAGATGAGACAGATACTCAGTATATCACTTATTGAGAATGTGTTTATTTTACGACAGAACTCAGTTTGAAATAACCATCGAGAGCAGGTTCCTCTTGGGGTTAGTCTGAAACCTGTTGAGTGACCACCCCTCTCTAGTTTGTAAATTTTCTGGCCTAATCAATGCTGGTACACTTCAACTGTTTTAATCTCTGTACTCTGACAGCGAAATGCAAAGATTGGACGTTATCTATCACACTGAGCAGCGTTTGTTTGACAAGCCCAAAGCGTTGACTGACAGTTCTCCGTATAACACATAGAGTAAAGCACTCTCATCAGAGGTCTGCCTGTCAGGGGCCTCACTCAGCCATCCTCTCCTCACTCCCCCTCGGCCTCTTCCTCTCTCTTCAGCCCTCTTTGTTGTGAGTGGAGAGGGAAAAAAAAGCTTGTCAGAGGTGTCTGGCACAATGGGACAGGTGGAGTGGATGTAAAAAGACATATGTGTGAGTCTCTGTGGGGGATAAAAGAGCTCAATAGTGCTTGATTATCAATAGCCTGATGATGATGATGATGATGAGAATCTTTGATGGCGGTTTGTAAAAAAGGAGCAGCACCCGCCCGGGCCGCCTATTTCTGGTTCCTGTCTCAGTGATCTCTCTATGGCAAACACGAGGAAGGAGGGAACGAGACAAAGATGAAAAGACCGAAGGGAGGAGAGGAAGTGTGTCTTTTGTCAGGCGGAACACACATCAAGAGAAGGTGAAGAGGAGGAAATGAGAGAGAGCGGAGAACGGCGGGGAAAAAGGCGTAAAGACTGTTCAATAGGGCCTGCGAGGAGAACAGGAAAAATATTGCAACGTGTCTCTCAGAGGAGTTGGAAATCAGAGGGTTCAGTGTGTTTTGTCTTAATGTGTGTGTTTGTGTGTGTATGTGTGTGTTCTTGGCTGGCTGGTTGTGAGTCACTGCAGTGTGCCGGGTGATCATTAGAGGGTGCTGCATCCAGATGTTGAATCATGGGAGTGGTGGAGCAGGAGGGAGGCTGAGGAGAGGGGGGAGAGGAGACGAGGGAGGAAGAGAAGGAAAAGCTATCGTCAGAAATAACAGAACATTTATTGAAAACAACAGAACTTCAATTACTCTGCATGATCCTCTACGATCTGATAAAATTCATCTAACTCATAACATATTATTTTAATAAGCATATGGACACCCATTCATTACAGCCAGTTGTGCCTGTTGCTCTCAGCTTCGGTTCATTTGGGGATTCCTTCGTTGTTGTTGTTGTTGTTATTGTTGGTGTCGGTGTCGGGTGCAGGGGTTTGCTCTCATTATTCTAATGGGGTATTGATGTCCAGCTATAAGGTCTTGTTTGTATTCTGTGTTCCAGTCCATGTAAAACCAAAGGTCAGGGTTAAGAGAGTCTGCATGCCTAATCCACCCATTATCTATACGGCTCATCCATTTCAGGGCTGTGGGGTCTGAACTGAAGCCAACCCCAGCTGTTATTGAGGCGAGCCGGGGGCGTCCTGGATTGGCTGACATGTCAGTCATGGAGCTGACATGTAGAAGGACCATCCACACTCACACCAGAGTCACCAATTAACCTAACAAGCATGTCTTCAGATTACGGGAGGACACTGGAGGGAATCTATGAATGCATGTAGGAAGCATATAAACAAGGACTCCTTCTGTCAGGAAAAAAACGAAAACTGTTGATCGATTTTGGTGCAGCTCGCGGACGTAGTCTTTCAGCTGATCTTACATGTGCGGTTAGTGATGACAGTGAAGGTAGTGGCAGAGGTGATAGAGTGTAACAGTGAAGGCTGAGCTTTGTTGTTGTTGTTTCAGAGTCCCTGTTCAGAAAGATCTTTAGTCAACTCGACATTCATAGCTCTGTGCATGCTCATTAAAGTCAGAGGTGAAGAGTTACACCAAAGTACGGCTGGATAATGTGGAAAAATTCGTCCTATTTCCTTTTTTTTTTTAATGGCAGAATTGTGATCTTGATTGTGTCGCAGTTTTTCATGTTTATGTTCAAGACTATTTTGCTGTAAATGGTGAGTTTATCCACTCAGTAATAGATCCTACATGACTTTCACTTCTTAGTAACTTCAGATTGGCTTCATTCACATGGTAATCGTATCATTTTAGCTTGAGCTCAAGCCTCTACATTGTGTGGCTGTTACTTTGTACCTGAATTTGGAACCTGCATTCAAACTCTGGGGGCTCTCACTCCAGCTGCAATGAGCCGTTTAAACACATAATAACACAGTGAACCACCGCCTGAAGTACCTGAAGGTTTTAAACTCGTTTTGAATCAAATTTAGAGGAATTCAGACTTGAATTTGTTATAAATGATAAATGTGATTATGTCAGTGTTGAGTAAAGTCTAAAACATACAGGATCCGTATTGAGCGTGTTCCGTCAGCGTCGCGTATCACACAGCAAATAGGCTGCCATTTTAATCAATGCTGCATTTAAAACAGGAAGTGTCTCAGCTCCGTATCAGAAGCGTATTGAGGGCAGCTCTGCTAAAGATTCGCGCCAAGTCTATTTTATCTACACAGAGAAGATCGTCCCAGACAGGATGTCAAGCACGAAAACCGCACGTTATCCGGTATTTCAAAATAAAACATCATACACAAACTCCACTGTGTATCAGTTTTTGTAGATGAAAAATACTTCCTGGTTCTGGATTTATCAGTAACGCAGAACAATCCGGTGGTCAATCCCTGATCCATGTGGACCCCAACAGGACTTTTAACTGCTAACTCTGAAGGTAACAGCATGGCATAAAGGAACATAGTTTACTTTATTAAACACGAGTAAACCTGCAAAAAACAAAACTTTAAAATAATGTTACTTTGTCACATATAGTAGAAGCTCAACAGTCACTGAATTATATCAAAATTAGCAGGAAATCGACCACAGAAAGGCAAAACAACCTGTTGTGAGCATGTTGTTTCCTCTCTACTGTCCTCATACTCAGTGTGCACAGCTTAGAAATGCAGAGGATTTATTAGATGTTTTGGTTTTGCCGTTTGTTTTCCCTAATGTTGGAGTTGCAGCTCTCAGTCTGTGCATAATGAAGAAACATGTTTGAGTATAAAACTGAAACAGATGCCAACAAAGCTTGTAAATACTTCAGTCTCTCAGGTTGTGGACGTATTCTAGTCCTTCAAGATTTAATATTATGTTATAACACTCACTTTTCCCTCTAAAATGATCTAAATACAGTAGGCTAGTTTACTAAATAAAACGGTTAGGTTTTGATGCTGACAGACAAACTTTGAAAGGCCCGACATTTACCCTGTATGATATAAGTATCCATGAGATAACCTTAGCTTTTTCTCTCCGTCTCTTTCAAAAGGGACTCTCACAACTCTCAGAGCCCGTTCTCAGGAAGTAAAAACCGAAAATTGCACTCGCTGTGTAAAGGCTGCCAGGAATTCAATAATAACTTGAGCTTTTTGTGCGAATCTGTCGAGAGGAAAGCGACGAAAATCCTTCAGACTGTCACCAGTAACTTCATGGTGATGAGAAAATTCACCAACCCTCAAGCTTTCAGAAAACTAAAAAAAAAACAACAACTTCAAAAACACAATGGACTGTCTTAAGAAAATAGCAAGTCGCCAAGCTTTTAATGTGTCTGAGTGTTAAAGGATGACAGGAGGGAAATGAATCCAATGTGATGTTAAAAAGTATGTAATTACGTTTGTTAAAAACATACTGTTGTAAATAAATGAGGATTCAGTTACTTAGTCATGAAGAAAACAAATTAATTACGGATGACAAATCTGTCATTACGGAGCCGAATTGAATCCATCCCTTTGATGCACTATATAATGAATGTTTGATCATTCACAAGCCTGTTTTCTTTCATTACAGCCGCAAACATCAAATTAAAGGTGATGCTGGTGACAATAATGATGAAGTTTGGTATAAACAAAGCTGACAGATTTACATGTCTGCCAAAGTGTGCCTCACAAATGTGCACCTGATGGATGTTTGAAGTAAAGGAACTGTCAAGCCTCAGTTTTCACGCATTCAATATCAGTTAGTATAATTTTAGGCTGTCAGAGGATTATGTTTCTGCAGCCTTGTTTCAGACTTTGTGGAATTTGATAGCCATGATAGAATTCCTCTATTGTACCACAGAGAAAGTTTCACTTTTTGGGTTTTTCCTTTTTGGCCAGACTGACCTGGTTTCTCTGTTTGACCTTCAGTACTACTTGTGCCTCTTTTATCCGCCTCCCCACAGCTGTTTCTCTTTCGGCTTCATGGTCCAGATTCTCCCTAAACGGGTCATGATCGCTGTGGGAGTGAAAGCACGTTTATGGCCTCCTCTAGTCATTACGGTTTAGCCAAATAATTGGGGCAGTCGGTCAGATGAGGAAACACTATGTCAAAGGTAGATTATGTCGGCTTGAGGCTGGAAAGATAATAAGATTTCACACATCTGCTAACACCAAGAGGATATGAAAGTTCAGAACACAGTTTAAACAGTTGTACAAAAGTTATACGGACACATTTTCAGTGACATCGTCCAATAGCTTCATGAGAAAACTTTGGTTAAACTTGACGCCGATCTCTATAACGCATTATAAATATATACACAATGCGTTATAATCATGTTATAGCACTGTATAACTATAGTTATAAACGCTCATAAATGATCATAACACTTCATAGCAATAATCATAACACATTATAAAGCATTTTATTGTGACTTAAAAGGTCAGGTATTAAAATGTGTTATAACTGTTAACAACTCACTGACAATCCCCACATAGATAATGCAATACAACTGTTGTTAACAGTTATAACACATTATTAGACCTGACCTCGTAGTTCATGATGAAATGCTTTACAGTGTATTTCAATTATTGTTATAGAGCAATATGAGTGTTTATAACTATAGTAATACAGTGCTGTAATCTGATTATAACACATTATACATATATTTATAATGCATTATCTATATATCGATCTATCTATCTATCTATCTATCTATCTATCTATCTATCTATCTATCTATCTATCTATCTATCGTTCTATCGTTCTATCTATCTATCTATCTAGTGTTCTATCATTCTTTCTATCGTTCTATCTATCGTTCTATCTATCTATCGTTCTATCTATCTATCGTTCTATCTATCGTTCTATCGTTCTATCTTTCTATCGTTCTATCTATCTGTCATTCTGTCTATCTATCGTTCTATCTATCTATTGTTCTATCGTTCTATCTATCGTTGTAGAGATAGGCTTCAAGTAAAGTATTACCAAAACTTATAGAAGTGTACTAAAGTATGTCTTAAGTAAGATAATAAACTAAATGTGCATTAAATGTTATACTATATAAACATATTTGGGGTTATTACTGTTTAATCACGAAGCACAAAGTATTTTATTGAGTACGCTGTTTGAAACCAACAACTGTTTACATATTTCAAAGTGGCTGATGTATTAAAAACCTAACTTTTTTGCCAATGTAGACCCAGGCAAATCCAAAAAGGGCCTCTCAAGCCTTGTTTTGAATGAGTGTGAATGGGGTCAAGTGGACGCTAGTGGAACCACACATGCAGCGGCACCATGCATAGACATGCTGGGTGGAGATCGAAACAGAGTGATTTCACAGAAACGTTGTAAATTTGATGTTTTACCGTCAAATCCTTGGTATCAGATTCTTATTAGCCTGAATTAAAATTAATAATTTCAATAATTTCCCTCTATGGTAAAGTTTGATTTACTGTGTTTGATCTTTTTTCTGCTTTCTGTTTTCTTCAGTTTGGTGGAAGTCTTTTCCATCTGTGTCTTATTTCATCAGTCACTGTGTCTGTGCTGTTTTCCTTTTCCTTTTTTCTTTGCTCATGATTGATCAGCCGTCAGCAATAAATCAAGTGTTGATGCTCCAAGCAATCTAAAAGTAACAACAAATCGAAAAGATAATTTCATTTCTTACTGCAAACATTTGTCCATTTGTCTTTCCCGGGAATACTGGCACTTTGTCACACACAAGCTACCATTAAGTGTCTTCATGAGACGCTTTGACCTTTGAACGATCTCCAGTTGAAATCTATCCGAGGGAATATTCGGTGTCAGAGCCTCTGCTCTTACTGACATCATTTAAAAATCTATAACGTCCCCTGGGATGGTGGTTTATGGGTCAAATAACGCAAACCTCATTATGATTCAATAAGTAACTTTAGACAACAGATGTACATTATGAATGTTATGATGCCATCCAATACAGGTGTAAGAGCTCTTTAAAACAAAGGACTAAAGCTTCAATTTATCGACTTTAAACACAGAGTTGTAAAACATCACATACTGCTTCTTTATTCCGGAGCGAGCATCTGCGTGTGCGACCTGCTTCCTGTTTGACCCCAACTTTTTTGTCTCTGACTCGTGGGGGGAGGAACAGCACGGTTCTCCCCCACCTGCGGGAGGAGAGTATAGTGCGAGCAACCAGCGTGTCCGCTGTCTTCCTGTCACATTACCATACGCTCCTGCTGCAGGACTGCTAATTACGTCTGTGTGTGACAGCCGCACTGCCGAGGTGGTGCGAACAAGACGGCCAGAAGGGGGGGAGGGGTTAACGCTGTCCTCCTGTGTGAGTGTAGGAATTACACTACGATGGAGGTAAATGATGAATAATAATTACTTAATTTGACCAAAAAATTGAATCTTTTATTATTTTTAAAAGATTTTTAACAATCAAACGCCCCATATTTGGCAGACTTAGTGAAAAATGGCACAATTTCTGCTGTTTGTCTCTCTGTAAATTGTGATATCTCTATTTATTTTGGGCTCAGGACACTGTAGTACTCCATATTTTATCCTGAGCCTAAAAAAAAAATACAAGTATCAAATATAGTGTAACAGTTTACCCAACCGGTGCTGCCAACACAGCCATATTTTATTTATTCAGCGTCAGTCTGACAGGCTTGTGTACAGCTATTTTTGTTGCTATTCTGGTGCACAGCCCAGTCAGTGGTCCATCAGAGTTTGAGCCTGCGGAGGTGAGTCTCTCTCAAACGGGCTCAGACTGAGATAAAACTGGTTAAAGCGAGTGAAGGAGAGACTGAGCTGTGATACTCCTGCGGTACTCCTCGGGCTGAACGTCTCTCTGGGGCTTTGCAGAGACTCGGAGCAACAGGAAGGAGGGATGACAGTTAGTCACCTCCGAGATGAGAGGATCTGAGACCTGGTCCCAAGTGGCTTTTGACAGTTTAACACTTTCTCCTCTCGCTCCTGCACATTCATCTATCATGCATGACTTTTCCGTCTTCATACGTGTGCGAGGCAGCGCCTTGAGAATTGCCAGATTTTCTTTCTCCGCTTATTGGAGGATGTTGAATAAAAGAGAGCCCACATTACCCTGAACTTTGAACATTTTCACCAGCTGCACCTTCATTATCAAGTGGAACTAAATTAAAGGTTTGCAGTTTTTCTTATAGTGACCATCCAGCCTTTTTACATTAATCAACTCAGCTCTATTCTGTTTAAATTAAACCATATTTGTGACTTTATTTTGGGAGATTTTTATGTTGTCTTTATTTTTAAGTTAGTTTTTGGTCCTTTATGTTGGAGAGGATGGATCAGTAGATGAAGGACAGGGTGGGACATACTGGAAAGGCTGGACTACCCACTTCAGGGTGATAAGCCTTTGGACACCTCAGACACCTTTGACCTCTTAATCATCCATTTGTTTTTGAATCCACCTGTTACTCTTCAGTAAGACTTGTTAGTTCTTCATAATGTAAAATGATATCCCCGCCGGGGTCACTAACCAGTAGACCTGGGTGATGTGGCAAAAAAACTGATCGTGATATATTTTGTCATATCGTTAAACTGCCTGTTTTAAAGCATCTGTGCTAAAAACTAAAGAAACTAGAGATTAGTTCAACATTTTATTAACATACAAAGTTAATAACAAAACAAATTGAATAAAATACACAAAACATTTTAACTCAACAGTACAACAAATGTAGATAAATACTAAATAATACAGAGAATTAGTTTACAGTCCTGAGTGTTTTTGCAGGTATGCAAGACCCAAAATAAACGAATCGCCCCCTCAGAGATAATGAAGACGCCTTAAATGTAAACATTAGATGATGGTAACGTAGATGATAAGATTGATTGCTGCTTAGGTCTGGTGGCTGCACCGCTAGTTGTGGCTAAACTGCTACTCATGCCGTCAGCAGTGACCACTTGTACAGACTCCGTCCACATTTTCATGCTTTCCGAAATACTTCTTCAAATGATTGAACAGATTTGTTGTGTGGCCGGTTTTTGATGGCATCGACCGCCAACATACCTTGCACACTGGCTTCATTGCTCGACGTCACTTTGGAGATACCCGAAACAACGCCACACAACCGACGTTGAATAACCTCTCAACAAAAACATCTTCTGAGGATGACTCAAAGTCACGGCTGACATCTGATTTGTTGCGCTCGGCTCCGCGTTTAGCTCCTTGTTCGGTCGTTCTGTTTACTTCTCCTGAAACTTACAGAAGTGAGCAAGAAAACCTCGACTCTGATTGGCTGTTGTGACGCACATTTCCGCTATGTTTGATCGAGTAAATATGCTCACAGCTGATCACCGTGGTCGAACTGAAGTTTCTCACGATCATATAATCGCCCAGTCCTACTAACCAGTAAAAAAAGGCGTTTCTTCGCCTGTTTTTCTCCCCCAGTGCACCCACTGTAAAATCTGGGTCTGTCTCACCCTCCAGGAGCCCCCTCCTCTCGGCCCCGTAGCCTACTTTCTGAATGCTTTTTGAAGGACGCGGGTTCAGCAGGCCGTGATAAGTTCCATCTTATCTGACAGCACATGAGAACGCTCAGTAATACAGTATGCAAATGTCCGCTAACACACACGCACATACATTGGACCTCCCATTTCTGACAGAAAGAGAGCAGCAGGACTGAGTGATTGCAGTTTGAAGACACTTGCACCAGATTGAACTGAATATGAACAATCAGAGCTGTGTCGTGAAATCTACGTGACAGTAAAGGTGAAAACTCTCCTTATGATATGAAGTCGAACTTTTTCTTCTCACTGTCCTCATTAGGATGTCTTTGTTTCCCGCCCTTCATCAGAACATGTTTTAATGCATTTGTGTAAATATGTCTGCTGTTGAAATGCTCATGTCATAAATTTTCACTTTTTTAAGAAATTGCAGATAATTATGAGGATATTAAAGACTCGAATGAAGCCAATTTAGTTGCTTTTGTCTATGCAGAGCTCACTAAAACGTTGTCTTTTCCCTTCTTGACTTGTCACTTCTCATCACCTTAATTGGTGTCTGTTCCTCTGTGTTGCTTCATGACTTTTAAGAGAGCTGTTTTAACAAGTGAAAGTCTGCTTATTTAACGAAAGGACAAATGATTAAAGTGTGTTGTCCAAGCCGTGGCAAAAGTTTCATCCAAATTTAAATGTTCTGCAGCGGTGAAAATGTTAAAGGTGCTGCTAAAATGAGGAGCGGCAGACTAGTTAATTTGAAGACCTTTCGTCTGATCGCTTCGACTGTGGTGGAAAAGTTGAACAATGAATCAAAGCCAGCCGATTCATCTCTGATATTTCACCCGACTGTTCTCTGAGATGAAATACTTTATAACCCCAGTGCCCTGAAACCTCTCCAGAACACACAATACAGTTTTGAAAATACGTCTAAAAAAAGTCTTATTAGGAAACGCTGCTCTGCGCTGAAATGTCAGGGTGCTTGAAACTTCTGTGACAGCAAACATCCACCCTGCTGAAGTGTCTCCATGTACAACCAGCTCCGGTGATGTTTTGACGTCATCCACCTTTCACCCTGTGAAAGATTTCCCCCTCTCTGAATTCGACTCTCTCTCTCTCTTTCCAGGCTGAAGGGTCGTCCTTCTTGCAGATGGGAGCGTCTCTGGAGCAGCAGGTTATTTGCATGTTCAAGGTGAAGAAATATCTCTCAAATGTCATCATGATGAAGTCTGTTTGCATGTCTGAGGGAGAAGAACATCATGTACAGACATCCCAGACATCAGCGGGGTACCTGATCTAAAGATGTGTTCAGACTCACACTGAGACATTCAGCTGGTCTTCCAGTCCTCATGAGTTTAGACGAGTATTACTTTCTGCAGTTTTGGGAGTCAATGGAATAACTTTGGTTTGATCTCTAATACTTACTGGCATTATTTTATATTAATTTACCCTAAAAAGAAAGTACCTGTGTTTGTTTTAAGTCATTTAATCCTCCTCTTGTTAACGCCACATTTGACACCTTCTATCGCTTCTCCACCTGTTCCAGCTCATGGAGGAGTACGACTGGGGTGAGTTTGCGGTGATCACCAGCATGCTGCCGGGCTACGACACCTTTGTGGATATCGTTGAATCCTACACAGATACCTCTTATTTCCTGTGGAATTTCCAGGACGTCATGTCTCTGGAAATGTCTGTCGGCGCAAATGACGTGAGGACCAGGCGCATGCTACAGCAGGTACGACACGACGGGAGGATCCCGGACATGGCCGGAGCGGATTTCCCGAACCCGTTGATTGCTAATTTCACACCAGAACATTATCAAGTTGTGTTGTAGCATTAAAAACTTTTCAAGTCAAAGTCTAATTGTAAAAAAAGTTTGTTTTGATGGTTTGGAAACAAATCAAACCTGATATTTGATTTAAAAGTGCAAAGACAGCACATGAAATGCTTGTTTAGATGAGTAAACTACACACCCTGGATACTGTCATGGTTGGAGGATGATCCCGTTTTCCAAAAAGAAGGTTAAACTAGAATCAGACCACAGGACACCACAGTCCATCTCAATGTTTATTTGTGGTTCTCCTTTGATTTAGTTCAAAGACGATGTTTTTTAAAGCATTTTGAGTCCATGCAGTGATTTCCTCTACAGAGTTACATCAATTTTCAATACAGCCTCACTCAAGATTATGGCCATCCATTATTAGTTCTCAGGCTTTATCCCTTTGGTACACAGATTTTTAAATGGTGATAATTAAACCCCTAAATTTCCTCTAATTTTACTCTGAGGAGCGTCTAACACAGTCTTCTCACAAAGTCTCTGTTGCCTCTCCTTTAAATCATCACTCACAGACCCGTTTTCTTTCTCTAGGTCGACTCTCAGGTCCTTTTGGCTTACTGCTCCTACGAGGAGGCCCAGTACTTGTTCCGACAGGCAGCTGAGGTGGGCCTGTTGGGGCCCGGCTACATCTGGATCCTTCCTAGCCCGGCCGTGGGCAACCCCGACAGCCCCCCGCCTCCCAGCTTCCCTGTCGGTGTTATCGGTGTCATTACGGACCAATGGAGGAAGAGCTTGAGGCAGAGGGTGAGGGAAGGTGTCGCTATTGTCGCGAAAGGAGCCGAGAGCTTCAAGAAGCAGTACGGATATATTCCTGAGGGACATGGCGACTGCAACAAACCGTCTAAACACTCCGAGAACATCACCCTGTTCAGGTGAGATTCATGTCGTTACCTATAACATAATGTTTCCGATTCTTCAATTTAAAAGTGCCAATTCAAGAGAAGAATTGAACATCTCAAACACACATGATCCAAGGAGCAAATTAGCATGGATTACTTATGCACAACCTATCTGTTATGGATGTACATCCTAACAGCCAGAAAATCACTCAGCAGGAGCATCACGCTCTCCACCAATCAGAGGCCCGTATCAGCCCCTAATGAGCTACTTCTTGTCTCCCACGTTCGGCCCCCCAAGGGAGCTTTAGGCTTAATTAGGAGGTGATCATTGTGTGTGTTTATCTGTGTAAATGAATATGCAAATTCTCTTGTGAAGTAGATTCAAAGTCCTGGGTTGCGTACTTTGGTATGACTGTCTGTCTGTCCCTGTGGGTTGCAGGCACATGCTGAATGTAACATGGGAAAGAAGAGATCTTTCATTCAACAACCAGGGCTTCCTCTCCAACCCCTCCATGGTCATCGTGGCTTTAGACCGGGAGAGACTCTGGGACAAGGTAATGAACACCTGGACCTGGATCACAATAACACACAGGCTCTGATGGCACAGGAACAAAAACATGTTTGATCTCTACTGCGAGGCACCGTGCACAGAGTAGCTATAACTGTACAGTGGACTGGCATGAGCTGAAACAGTGGACCATGGCAGAATAAACCTGACAAAGATCAGATGCATCACATTAAACATGAACATAGATTACCACAGAGGCTGTGGACTGCTTTTGACCTGGTTAGGAGTTTGAGTTTGTGACCCTCTGTTTGAAGTCTCAGGTTTTTCATTTTGGCCGTATCTGTCCTGTTTAGTTTGACATCTGCTGAGAGGCTGAAGAGGTGATTTGGGTCGTCAAATGCTTAGTTATCCAAGTAATTCAGGTGTACAGTCCATCTAAACCCAAACTATAGATTTATGTACACAGAAGCACCCAGGTTGTAACATGGATGCTTTGACATGGACTCCAACTGACTCACTTTTAGAACCAGTCTCAAGTGGGCAATTTAGGAACTGCAGTTTTTGGCACTGAGAAAATCAACTTCATTCGTCCAGTTGCTGGTTTCTTTTTTTTCCTTTTATTCACATCAGTATCACGTGTCATTTAAATTAATTCAAATATGTTTGCTAATGTAGGCCCAAAATTCTAAGTACCATAAATCCTCAACTCTAGGTCCCAGGCCTTTTTATGAAGCAAGCTTTTATTAGAGGCAGGCCTCTATATGAAACTGTCTCACTCTCTTACAAAGATAACTCTTCATAGTTTGCACCAAGTGGGGGTCTGATTCACCAACTCTCGCCAAGAAGACTTTGAATAATTCACAAAGTACAAAGGGTTTAAAGCTCCTGTAACGTTAGCATCAATCTTAATAGTTCATTATGTCGTCATTTAGAGCTAATTACACCTCCTTATTTCTATCCCTGTGTGTAAATTATCCAACAGGCTTTAACTGAAGATTGATGGTTTATGTTGTATCTAAGCTGCAGTGAAACCACCAATGTCAGGTTAAACACGGGCATGCAGAGGACCAATTGCTCTGCTAATGTTAGCCTCTTTTGGCCAATATGAGAATGTATACCTGCACTTTCTGTGATCCCATCTGCACTTTCTTACTTTGAGGCTTGTTGGTCAGTTGAAATTTAGATTTTCAAACAGATGGTGAGAAAATAAGACACAACATTTTATATATACTCTACTTTTACACTCAAGTAAAACCTCTGACATCAAATATATAAGGACTAATAGAGTAGTAACTAAGGATGTTTAGATTTGACCCAGTAATGTGAGCTTGATAAGAATCCCTACAAACACACGCTCCATTACTGTAAAGTCTCCTTATTTTATCCCTTAGCTGTGTTTCACATCATCTGCTGCAGCTCCAGCTGTGCAGTCTGTGTTGGTGAACGGCCAAAACTCAGCAGGACAAACTAGAATTACTAAGTTCCTGTTGTTTGAAATCATGTACACGCTCTTGTCTCTTTTACCTTACACGTAATCTTTGGCCCACACCTCCACTCTGTTTGTACTGTGTTTATTTTAAGATGTATCTAAATAGAAGAAACAAATTCTTAACAAGTGATCAGAGCATAAATTTTAACGTAGTTTGAAAATTATTTAAAGGTACAAGTCAGCACATGATTCAAAATCAATAACATTGTGTGTCTGTATCTTTCCTGTTGCTATAGGTTATCCTCACTCCCATTTCATCACCAGGGGGCCTTGCAATTTTCTTGAGTATTTTTAGCCCCTGTTACACACACACACTCACACTCACACTCATACACACACATTTCAAAGCCTGGGGCTGTATTGAAAAAGTGCGCCTAAACAGAGAGTCCTGAATGTAATCTCACAGCTACAGTTGAACTCATTTATTTCTACCCTGCAAAGACCAACCCACTTTATCAATGTCACCTCCCGGCTGCTGTGTATGTATGTATGTGTGTATGAATGTGGACATGTAATAGCGCTGAAGTGGGGCTCAGTTTGGATGTGTGTTGATCTCACAGTCGCACTTGTGCAGTCGGCAGCCGCCCGCTCATGCACCTAATCCTTACATTATGTATTCATGACCCTCGGATGCGCTGTAGATGTGTTTCTGCTGTTTACACACACTCACAACAGCTTGTAGAGGGTTATTGTGCAAATGTAGCTTCTCCTCACCTTCCTTATCACTGCTCCTCGTGTCTCTTAACCCTTGTAGTGTCAGGTCGTGGTGTATCTGCTCTTTTTAATTGTCTGCCCTCAGCTGTGACTCTCTGACAGTTTAGTACGATGTTGTTTCCGATGACTGTCTGCTGGGTGACAATTTAAGAGGGCGAGTTCACTCTCTACCAGACTGCTCGCCTGTTCGATCTGTCTCTTTTTCACTTACCTCAACTTTTCAACCTCTAGAATCAACACAGAAATCAAAATACGGCCTTGAATGCAATTCATGAACAGGACCATGAGCGTAGTTCAGTTTGAAGACACTTTACGACTGCTCAGATTCACGTAGATACGAATAAATTAGGTCAGATCTAACATACAGTTCGAGGAAGGTGCTTTCTTTGTTCGATATTCCTTTACTAGGGGTGTCCCGATACAACCTTTTTACTTGCGATACGATACCGATATTGTAGCCTTCAGTATCGGCTGATACCAATATTGATCTGATATTAGCACAAACTTGTGCATGACAAGTTTTGCATTCAGTTGTAATGTCTTTTTCGGACTTTAACGAAAAATACTGCTACACAGTCGATATCACTCCTACTCTTTGCTACTTTGTTGTACCTTAATACACACTGTTGTTGTGATCACCTGGGCTCTACATGCTGAATCAGGGCGCTGCTAGCTAGAGGTGCTGGAGTGGAGTCTGGAATGGACTTCTTGTATCTGAGTGCTGATATTGGAGATTTTTGATACAGGCCGATAAAATCCGATATTTGTTTTTTGGCTGATATCAGAATGATAACCGATATCAATGTCAAAATTTAAAAAAGTCAGACTATATTTTATGAAAAATGATTCTTGTCTTTAGGGTTAGTCGTTATCAGGGGTGAGAGGAAAAATCAATACAGCATAGTATCGTGATATTTTGTCTGTTGATATATCGTTTCATCTCATTTACCAAGTATCGATTTTTTCAAATTCAAAGATTTAATAAAAACAGTGTTGCCAAATCTGATCAGATGTTTGGTTGTTTGGCTCACTGTTACTTGACTGTTTCAGTACTCTCTAATAACTCTGATTAACCTCATTTCCAGAAGAAGTTTGCTGCAGCAAGAAAACACAGACTCTATTAGTGTGTCTGCATGCTCGGTACCCAGCAGACAGACAAAATTAACGACTTTCCTGTGAACACAGAAGAGCGTTTTGGAGCTGGAGAGCCAGATAGTAGTTTGAAGAGTCAGTGGAGGCCAAAAGAGAGCTGAAAAAGCGTTGGCTAAAGTTTGAAACTCATCATACTTATTTTTCTGTCAGATTCAACGTATAGGCAAATTTTTACTAATAAGTTTAATTCACTTGATTATGATACTGTAAACTGTATTTTATCATTTTAAGTTAGATACCAGAAACACATTTCCAAAAGTCAGGACAGGGGGAACAAAACACTGGATAAGTTCTCTTATAGTAAAATGAGCATCCAAACTAGACATGATCAGACATGACTCTGCAGTAGAAATCACTGCATGAGCTTCCAGACACCATTAGTGAGAGAACAGTTGGTCACTGCATCTACCAGTGACTTTCCCAGCCTGTTTAAGACGCGCTGAGACAAAGAGGAAATGCTGTGTGGTGAAAAGTTTGACATTCTTTAAGGATCTCACATAGTCTGGTCTAAAAAGAGAGGGACCAACCAAATGTAGGGGGACATCTGGGAGGCAGTATTAAAACTACATACACAGTATACTGTATTTGGCCAGTGCCCTTTTTGAGGGAAACGTTGCATATTTTGGCAAGACTATATTCATGCAAAACCACTTCTGCACATATTACAACAGTATGGCTCCTTAGTAGAAGAGTCCAGAGGCTAAACTGACCCACCTGCTGTCCCAAAAATTGGACATTATTTCACATCCAAACTTCATTAACTGAACTCGTCCATTTGTTCAAATCAGAGGCGATCCAGTATAATGGAACCAGGCCGATAGTCACACTCTGAAATACCTGTGTACAGGTGACAGGTTTGGAGATTTCTGCAACCGTCTAAGTAATTGAGCTGAATTAGGGAACTACCAAGACCTTCACACTAGATCTCAACCCGACGTCCAGTGATTTGTAAAAAATTGACACTTAACAGCATCTTGAGTGTGACAATAATGGAGATGACAGAATAGCTGCTTAACATGCCCTGTGGGAGGAAAAGACTCGTGAGAATCCCAGACGAAACAGATTGAAATGGATGATTATCCACAACTGTCGTCTCTGCGATTCAGCCGGTCACAGTCGGTGCAGAAACACAAATCAGCCTCTCGCTCATCTCCCTCTACCTCCAGATTTGTGAATCATCCGTGTGTGACTGAGTGAGAGCCCCAGTATGATGGCGCAGAAGAACAAATCTTGAGTTGATATGAAAAAGAGGTCTCATAAAGCTTCCAGGGAGCGAGTTTCACATGCAGTAAGTCAGCGCTGGCTGAGCGCAGTATGGCTCATTAGGCCTGGATGATGTGACAAACAGTGCTGGCTCTCACATGGGGAGTTTTCACCGAGCTTAGTGGCGACATTGATGGAATTACTCCCTGTGTAAGTTGATATCTTACAGCACATCTGGCTTTCTAGGATGTTCAAAATCCCAGTACACTACTTTTTGTTGAGCAGATATTTCAGTCTGGTCAGTGAGGAAGCATTTCCCCCCATTTTTTTCCCAAATATTTGAAGCAGCTCGACAAAAACAGCCAATAATTCCTGTGCATACACAACACAAACCACAGGAGCAGTTCTTATTAATGAACAGTGACATTTTAATTTGTCTACTTAGATGGAAAAGAAAATTAATAATTGAATAATCACTCTACAAAATGAACACACGGATTAGAGGCAACACTTGCTTGGATGTATAATTAAAGTGATGCAGTCAGCTTCCCTCTTTGTTTAGTTCCTGTCTCTCTTCTTTTTTATTTTTTTTGTCTAACTCAAAGACTTTAAAGTCTCCTCAGTATGCATAAATCAACTCTGCTCCTCTTTGATCTCCTAATCCTCTTCATCCAGGTCAGCACATGCTAATTTCTCCTTCATAAAGTTCGGGGAAAAAAAGCTCGTCTCCTGGAGTACGCAACAACAGGACAGGTGAAGAAAGAGGAGTTGACAAGCAGAGACAAAGATACTACATTTGAAAAGGTTTTTAGATATTTAACTAAAAAAGGAGAGCAGCAGAGAAGAGAGAAAGAGAAAACAAATGAGTTTACATGGACAGACACAGGCTCACAGGAGCTGCAGGTAAACAATCTCTAATTGGTTTACCAATGTTAGGGGAGTTAGCATCACAAGCTTTTACCTCACAGGTAACATTTGTGTCTCGTCGAGTCGTTATGTGCCATTTTCAACCAGACACAACCTACGTATACAATATTATTTCCATGTACAGATCAAAATACTGCCAAACTGCACCTTGTCAGATGTGAGTGGCACCTGTCTGCAGTAAAATAATAATAATAATATTAGCTTTAGATTTAAACTGGTTTGTAATTCTGGTGGTACAACTTCATCTCAGTTGTCTAAATCAAAATACTGCTGTAAGAAATGATCCAAAGATACAGCATCATCTACGTTTCTCTACATCAGGGTGGTAGAACATCATGACAGTGACCGTTCACTGGAGCTACAGCTCAGCTTCAAACTCAAGGTGGAGCAACACATTACTTTAGAGACTTAACAGATAAACCCAGTTATTGTAGATGTCATCATCCACTTCCAGCATCAGCAGCCCAGTGAAAAAAACTAGAGACTGCTTCATTCAGAACATTATCATACTTTTTTAAAAGTGTTTTTCCTGCGTTGTGTTTAGATTTTTTTTATTTCCTGCATTGTTAGAGTTTGCTTTCATTCTACAGGATAGAACTTTTGGTAAATCTTCAATTTAGGAGCTGAATAAAACAGGGAAAAGAAAATGTAAAAGTTGTTTTTGGATTTTTTAAAGTCTCTCATCATCTGTTAGACGGCTGCTAAAGCTGCTGCTTTGTCTCTCCTTGGTTTTATGATATGTGACAACCAGCGTACACGACTGCTACTGTGAACTCACTATATAACTGAATGCTTGCTTTTATTATATCAGTATATTTTCATGGTTTTTGTCAAAACTGGTATTTTACATCAGTGCTAGTACCGGGGATTCAGCTGCAGACACACATCCATGCTTCTAAATCTCTAATAGAAGATCAGAATTTTATCAGATGATCTTAATTTTGTGTATAACATGTAACCTTGTTTAATAATTTCAGTTTAAAACTACAGTGGTTTCACAATATAAGATGATTTGCCACAAAATATCACTGAGAAAAGGAAAAACTTGAGCTAACACGGTAGACTCCATGATCCAGTTTATGAAGTCCCCTTTAAACCTCTCTGCGCCTGAACTTATAAACGAAGAGTTCTTCATATTTCCCCCTCTCTCTCCAGGTCGGTACGTACGCTCGAGGGATCCTCCAGGTTCGCTACCCGGTCTGGCCTCGATACGGAAACTTCCTCGAGCAAGTATCGGATGACCGTCACCTGACTGTGGCCACGCTGGAGGAGCATCCTTTCGTCATGGTGGAAAACGTGGACCCGGGTACTGGGACGTGCGTGAGAAACACGGTGCCCTGCAGGCGCCAGTCCAATCAGACAGAGAGGTAACTATAGCAACACATGTAAAGCTTGTTGAATTTGTTAAGGTTGAGTTTGGAGTATTGAACTTTGACTCAGGGTGCTGAACGGATGTTTTTCTGTTGGTTATATCAGCTACAGCCTTCACAACGACAGTCACAAAGCTGTGTTGTGAGCACAGTGAAATGTTTTGGTGCTGCAGGGACATAAAAGTGTTTTACAGACGTTTGTTGGTATCAGGACACTCAGGATACTCAGGACAGTCAAACAGGGACGTATGATTGGCTTGTAAATCCCTGATATGTTTCATCAGCTCCTGAGCAGAATTACAAACAAAACCGTGTCAAAACAACAGTCTGCAGTCGCATTCATTACAGGTTTTCTCTTGTCTCTGCTTGTTTGAACATAATGAAGACATTGTGTATTCCTGATGTGCACCACTTGTAGGTAGACAGAGTTAATAGCTGTTTAATGGCTGTTTTCTGCCGTGCTGCGATCTGTGTTTGACACCGGAGGTGTGTTTTTAAAGTGCTTAGACACTGAGCACACACAATTACGCTGTGTTTAATGAAGTGTGGAGGTTTGCTGTGACTACTCAGTTCTAAACTAGGGCAGAGAAACAGAGAGGGAGGGGGCAGACGTCTGTCTGCAGGACTGGATATCATTTCACAGTTTCCCATGGCAAGTTGGAGCCGCATACTAAAATGTCACTTTACTCCACTTAGATGGAATGACTTACAAAGCACTTTTCCAGACGAACTAAAGGAACCATAAACTTACAATGTTTGTCTCAACATGAGCAGCAGAAAGACAATGTTTATTCAACAAAAGAGTCCAACATCTGCCCTTCCTGTTTTTATTTTCCTGATCAGAGAAAACGCTCGAGCATCTACAAACAGCAGGTAACGACTCACATTTAACATCCTCACTTCTTTCAGAGCTTTTCCTCAGGTTTGAGTTTCTCCTCTGTTGCTTTAAACTTCAACTTTAAACTTGAACTTTTGAGTCAGCTTGAGTTCTGATATATGCAAAAATCACTTCACAACAACAAGAAATCAAATTAAAACTACATGATGCCACTTGTGCACCTGTATCGCTGCTCCTGCCAGGAAGTCAGTCTGTGCCGTCTGAGGAAACATCACAGTGTGACGTCTGTCAGTGTCTGACAGCTTACCTACCACACCCACCGTACCTCTCTGCTCTGACTTTACTCAGAGGCCTTCAGGCTCACACTTGATGGCGGTTCAGTAATGTTTTTGCTCTTGGCGAAAGACTCCTTCACCTCAGACTTCACCTGCAGTTGCTCCTCTCTGCACTTGGAGTTTGTTATGATAGTTTTAGTGGCTTATGTTTAGATAGGACAGTAGATGGAGAAGTAAACTGTGAGGAGACAGTGAGCTTTGACATCCTGGGTGACCTGCTGCTAAGATTGTAGCCTCTTATCATGAGATGTGAAGTTTAACTGCTAAGTTACTTCTTCACTGGGTTGTCTCTTGAGAATTCCCTCCTGTCCTCATTCCTCCTACCTGCTGTTGATGATGTGACTTTGTGTTCATGCTGCAGTATCATTCAGTGCATTAACATGATTTAAAAAGACCTGATTTAAAGGGTCAGTACGGCTAAAACTGGACTCTGAAAATGCATGAAAATATGTCAGTTTGGCTAGTGAAAGTCAGATGTCTCAGAGTTGGTCTAACTGGTCTAGCTTTTGGTCTAACTGTTAATTCTGCTTATTGATTCAATTCCTCAGTCTGCCTTCTGATTCAGCCTTGTCAGCTGATCACAATTACAGCCTCTGATTGGTTGACAGACCAAAACAGAGGTGGATGCCTTCCATTAGCATAGTCAGATAACGACAGAAATTTCACCGTTCCTCTAAAATCGATTCATAAATCACTACAGGTTACTGAGAAATCCAGTCAGTTTCTGAAAACACTCTGAAAATCCTCTGTGGGATTCAGAGCCTCTAGATGTTAGATGGATGATATATTTTTCTCCCGAATCGATTTGATTTTAATTGCGATTCTACGATATTGTTGATTTTCTCGATATTTAGTCTGCATTTTTAACACCAGCAAAATAATTGAATGATTATGATTGTCTACTGATTATTCCAGGAACCATATTTCCCCAAAAAATACACATCACATCTAAGTCAGTTTTTAAGATTTATTATTCTTCAATTTGAAAAAAATAAATAGATTTAAAAATTGTAAAGCAAAAAATTGCGATACTTATGTAAATCTATTTTTTCTCCCACCCCTAACAGATGGTGTCGGTCTCACTAAGTGAGTGGATTTTATTTATGTCATCTCTTCTATATGAAGTTGTACACACCAACTTCAGACATTTTCCTGACCTCGTACACATACGCAACTAGGTGGAAGAACTTAGCTGAATTTTGTGATAGGTTTAATGGTACCGAAGTGCGTTATTTTCATATTTTAAGCTCAGAGTGCTCTGCCCTAAGAGCTACAGTGGAGTAGTTTGGAAAAAGAGTTACCGTAATCTACAATAAAGCATTAATTTGATCAAAGTAGGCTTCAGTATCTCCTGTTTTACAGAAGAAAGTTGATATAAAAGGCTAATATCACCTTATTGTTGTAGATAGACGAGGCACAAGCAGCTAGCCTAGCAAGTTAAGATGGCCACCAAAAGATTAAACCTCCACTTTAACAGTATTTAATCACAAACACAATACAGGTTATTAATGCCATCTTTTCTCTCTCTCTCTCTCTCTCTCTCTCTCTCGCTCTCTCTGTGTATGTAGATTGCAGATCTGACCACGGCTGGCACATTAATTAGGGAGATATGTAGCAGCCGTTGTTGGGTGCGATGGCACATTGATTGCCAGTAAAGAAGATTTATCTGTGCGACACGGGGACATCTGTCATAGCATGGCACAGTGTTATCCCCTCTTACCCTCTTCTCTCAGTTTCTCTTGAACAATTTCTTTCTCCGGCTGGCATATCCCATTATTTGGACACAGACCAACAAACGAGGAGACGTAAAAGAGGGAGAGGGGACCGCCGCTGCAGAGATCAGTTAATCTTGTTGTGTGGTCAGAGCCGCTTCCTGGCGGCGCAGATGTTTAGCATGATTAAAACTTGTTGTCTGGCTCATTAAAGACCTGCTCTTTGGACGGATGAAGGCCTCTACTGTCGGAAAACGAGCCCGCACTAACACTAAAATCCAACTTGAAATATGTCGACTGTTCATTTAACGGTATAGCATACAGAGAGCAGATGCTAAATGTTAGTATTGTTCTAACAGCGAGCTGGATGTGAGAGGATGTGCTGCTGCCTGAATGTCATGCTGGTCATTGAACGCACCACATTACACACCAAATTGTAAAACACTGAAATTGTATTGCTTTGAAGATGAGGAGGATGGATAAGCATGCAGGGTTTGATTTTTCAGACCTGCAGATCTGTGACTTGGTTTTGGATTTGGATTTGGAGAGACTGTGTTTGTTATGGCGAATGAGTGGCGTGCTAATTCAACATCATTTTTCTGGAATAAAACATGCTTGTGTGGTTTTTAAAGACCACGACCCACAGGGGAGTAGGTTTGATTTTGACATTGGTGGGGACACAAAATTGTCCTCCTGACATCCTTCAAATCCGACACCACACACGCACAAACCGACACAAACACAACTGTAAATGTAAATGACAGCCCTGATATTAAAATCTGTTTAAGCTGACATGACCCAGGCACAATACGCCAAACATGTTGACAACTTCCTCTTCGCGGTTGCAGATAACCTGCACTGTCTGCCTCCCGTCCGGTCCAACTAGCAGGTAACTTTTACAGGCAGATGTAGTGACAGCGGGGACAGCCAAACACATGTATGTAAGTGAAAAACCGGCAGCCAACCGAGGAGCAATATTTAGGTTAGGCGATATTTAGGTTAGGGGGGTAGGGATGTGTCCCTAGGGTCTCTACCCAATTCTACACCCTTGGTGACCTGTGAAAAAAGTCCAGGACTCTGACCTCAGCCTTATCAGCACTTCTGGACTGTGACGTTGACTATGAGTCGGTCCTGATCCTAAAACTCTGTGACCCACATCACTAACGCTCCTGTTGCTGAACAGGAGGAAATACCTGCCGCTTGGCTGTGCTGCGTGGAATCAAATTTGATCACGTTGTCCAAAGTGTTTGTATCATATTGAATCGCATCTTATCGTAATGATTTTATTTATTACTCCTGCATGATCATATCGAATATCCCCCTCTTCCTCCTCCTCCTCCTCCTCGTCCTCCATCTGTCCAGCTCCTGCCCTCCTTTCCCTCTAATCTGGAGCTGCAGCCCTGTCAGGCCTCGTCTCGTTGTTCGCCATGTGTTTCCTGTCTGCCGCTCACCTGAGAATCCTCCTCTCTCTCTCTCTCTAACTCCCTCTCTCTGGTCTAAATCCCTCATGGTGCTTCCCTCCACGCTGCACCAGTTTCTGGGCATTTTTTGGAGAAGACACACACACACAGCACAACACAACGCAACACAACACAACTGCTGCTAATCCTCTAAGGACACTGTACTATGTGCGCATGTGTTTGTGCGAGAGACGGCACAGTTTAGGTGTGTTTGAGAGTGTGTGTGTATTGTCAGTGGAGTGTGTATAATAACGACAGGTGGCCAGCTCCTGCAGCAATTAATTAACGCTGCGTTTATGGGAGCTATTGACTCCTCCTGAAAGAAGAGGAGCTTTCAAAAACACTTAAAAATTTCGCCTAAAATGAACCGTCGAAATAATCAACTCGAATGTTAATTACTCACTTGAATTCTTTTCATTCAATCTCCTGCTCATTTATTCACTCACATGCTCTTATTTTATCACGCCTCTGCTCTTGTGCTGACTCATTGACATGCTGCTCTTATCTCAGTCACACACACACACACACACACACAGAGCGTGATTCAGCCCCTGTAGATTTCAGGCCTCCAGCTGCAGAAAAGCAAAAATGAAGTTTTTTTGACTTCATTTTCAATCTGTTTGCTTTTGCCTCCGTCCTCCTCTGCTGCACCGTCTTTTTTAACGTTCCCGATCCTTTCCCTCTCTTCTTCTTCTTCTTCTACACCCCATTAGTCAGCGAGGCCATGTAGAGGAGGTGAACATCCCTCACATGCTTCACACCTTAATGGCCTTTGATTAGAGGCCATCACAGTCGCTCAGACATCCACTGTCACACTCCCTCTTTGTTTGTGTGTGTGTGTGTGTGTGCGCGTGTTTGCAATCTCAGCCATCTCCTCCGTCTCTTTGTCAGACGCCTTGTTAACACGCATTGATTTTAGCTAATGAACCAGCCATTTCTGCTCTAGACAGCGACCACTGCGAGCGAGCGTGGCGGCTTTTTTAACTCCCGCTCTCCCAAACAACATCTGCTTTAATCTGCCGTTCCAAAAATAACAACAGTCCCAGTCGTCGGATCTGAAGATTTTAGAAATAGAGCTGGATGTACTGTTCGTCTAACACTTCCCTTTCTCTCTCTTTCTTCCAAGTATCATCGGCCACTCGGAGTCCTACACCAAACTCTGCTGTAAGGGCTTCTGCATTGACATCCTGAAGAAGCTGTCCCGCACCATCAAGTTCTCCTATGACCTCTATCTGGTCACCAACGGGAAACACGGCAAGCTGGTTCGGGGGACTTGGAACGGCATGATTGGAGAGGTGAGAACAAGTTTGCACAATTCTGAAATGAGTTGAGCTCTGGATATTCCTGTACCCTGAGTACAACAGGTCCTGTGTACTCCGTGATCAGACTGGATCTGCTCTCCTGAGTTTGCTTTTTTCCTAAGTCCAGATCTGGCTCTCTGGACATGTCGGAGCATTTGAAAGGTAGAGGTCACATATTTTGAACGGCAGCACTTGGAGATATGATTTGTTTTTCAGGTGTGAAATGAGATGGCACCTCATTTCACACCTGATGCTTACGGTCTAAGCATCAAAACATCAATATAAGGAGTTTGTGTGATGAATGAAAAGGCTTGAATTGTCAGGATCTGATTGTTTCTTTTTTTTTTGTTTTTGCACTGAGATACTCAGGGTGATGGAAATCATCTTGGCAGTACCTTGAATATTACCCCAGACTTTGGACTCATCTAAGTGTTTTCTCTGACTCCAGTAGTCATTTTCTGGCCCTCACCTGTATTCTTAGACCCAAAAGCAGATCAGGAAACCAATCAGAGGAGCTGTTTTCATTAACACCAGTTTTTAAGCTCATCAACGTTACTTCTTCAACAAGACTTCTGACACTGACTTTGTCAACAATCGTGGCAGAGAAACCAACCACTCTTGGTTTATTGAGGTCCAGTTTCCAGGTCGAGAGCTGCTGCGAATTCTATGACATTATCTCTCCTACGTGATTTAAAGGGATATTCCGGTGTAAAATTACTTTAGGGTCAGACACACCGTAACACTGAGTTAGACACCCCCTCGAGAGATGAATGTTGCCGACCGCCTGCTTCTCTTGTTATACCAACTTTAGTAACGACTGCAGGATAGAAATACACAGCGGTCTGAGGAGCCATAAACAAACCTCAACCAAAACACCGCTCTATAGCCACAAATAATGCTCAGAACAGCACCTAACTTCATCAACAGGACATATAGGGTCCCAGCCATAGTACTAGCCACCAAACATCTTTTTAACTTTGCCTGATTTCTTTAGCAAAGAGACTAAACACAACTCACCTACTCTCTTCCAGCAGCCGCTTGTTTGTAGCGAGACCTCGGGCCAGTCCATTACGAACTACAGTGGGGTGACGCAGCTCAAGGAAGAACATTTATGATCATTACTTTATCATTTCCTTGAAGTAATAACCATCATTTTGCGCCGAGACGTGGTAGTTCTTCTGCCTTAGCGTCTGATTGCATTTCCATGAAGAAATGATCATAAATGTTCTTCCTTGAGCTGCGAAACTCCACTGTGGTCATAATGGACTGGCCTGAGGTCTCTCTACAAACAAGCGGCTGCTGGAAGAGAGTAGATGAGTTGTGTTTAGTCTCTTTGGTGGCTAGTACTATGGCTAGGACCCTATATGTCCTGTTGATGAAGTTAGGTGCCGTTCTGAGCATCATTTGTGGCTATAGAGTGGCGTTTTGGTTGAGTGATAGACCGCTGTGTTTCGCTATCGTGCGGTTGTTACTAAAGTTGGTATAACTAGAGAAGCAAGCGGTTGGCAATGTTCACCTCTCGAGGGGGTGTCTAACTTGGTGTTATGGTGTGTATGATCCAAAATAAATTTACGCTGGAATATCCCTTTAAGTTCTCCAAGAGTAGTCTCGTTGATTAAAAGAAAATATGAGGCGTCCAGAACATTTAAATAGTGTTTTTAGAGGCTCAATAGGCGCCGTCACGTTTGTTGGAAAGAGGCCCAGATCAAATGACACATAATTCAACGTGTCTCTATATTAATTCGACACATTTTAAACACACAGTTATTAATTAGTGCGTCTTTTTGTGAAATTACTCCAAAACAAACACATTAAAACGGTCGATATGACTGCGACTAAAACACAGAGCTCGTAATCAAACTTCAATCCACCGCTGCCTCCAGATCCTTCAGTTTAATTTCACAGAGAGAACAGCCTCTAAAGCTCCAATTAGCTTGAAATCACAAAACGAATCAAGAGGATCAAGTGTGGAAAACTTTGCCGGGGTTTTTAATGCGTTCAGACCAGTTTGAAGGATTACATGTTTCTCTTTCTTCAAGTTTAAACACTCTTGAATAAATTGCTAAAACTGCTGCTGTTTATGTTAAAGTACAAAATGGTTATAACTGTTGTCCAATTCCATCATCCGATCTTATTTTTACGTGTTGAGTATGAAGTCATTCTAGCTGCTGTAGCAAAGATTGAGGAGCTCAGAGGTAAACAGGAGGTCAGGTTCGACTGGATGAAGGTAGAAACTCGTGTCTTCTTGACTCTGGTACAGTTCGATGCTCAGTGTCTTTAGTGTCATTTCTCTGCACGGTAAACAGAGCGTCTTTGATGGCTTTTTATCTAGGTCAGTGGTGTGGGGCCGCGCATATACATACGGATCTTGGTACAGTTTCTCCCACACACGGAGCCACATCAAACAGAGCTGCAGCTCAAAGTAAAACAACCTGAACAGGTGTTCCTCAGGAGAGGCCTTCGAGCTTGTGTTTCTGTGCCTGCGGGCGCTTTGCCTCTTCTGTATCTGTATGCATGCGTATGTGTGTGTGTATGTCTGTCTGTGTGTGTGAGTGTGTGTGTGCTCCATTTATCAAAAAAAAAAAAACCCTCTCTACAAAACTCCTGCTTTTCAGAAAAGCATGCGTGGATGCGAGCACTCCTGAGATGCGGCGTTCACTCTCGTCGGATGCTCTAATGATGAGAAAAGTTTTTTTTTTTTCCATCTCTGCAGACAGACGTTATTAGAGTCAGGCTTTACTGTAGAGTGTTTGCTGTATTGTGGCATCGCCGCTCCAAAAGAAACACTCATGAAATTCTGAATTTGCTCCCTTTTAAGTAAAGACGCAGCCTGTCCTTTAGGATGCTCAGAAGCAGATTTTGTTGTGCTAAAACGCACCATTCAGGTCTACTTTGCAGAATTCTATGGTAACCAAAAATATCAGGGTACAAACTCCGATTCAATGCAGGACTGATGTTTTCATACTCCTTTGCAGTCTCTCTGTGCTTCGCTTTATTGTCCGTCTTTTATCTCTCCTCAGGTTGTGTACAGACGTGCTGACATGGCCATTGGCTCTCTCACTATCAATGAGGAGCGTTCAGAAATCATCGACTTCTCGGTGCCGTTTGTAGAGACGGGCATCAGCGTCATGGTCGCCCGCAGCAATGGGACAGTGTCCCCATCTGCCTTTCTAGGTGAGGAAAACAAACTCTCTCCCTCTACGTCCGATTTGACTCCATATTCGGTGATTATAACGTCCCTTATCCTGTACTTGTCGGCCATGCTGCCATCGTCTGTCTCACCGCTTTCTCTTTGGGTGGCCTACTTAAACAAGTTCCATCTCTGCAGACGCTTCAGGAAACTTCCCATTAAGCTTTCATCCTGCCGATAACTGTAGCCTACAACAAAATCCCCTTACCCCACCACGCACACACCTAAATCCCCCTTCCAAACGCCAAACAAGAAAACTCAGCACAAAATCCGAAACAGTGAATTTCTGTCTTTGCATTTTCTCATCAGTCGCCTCTTCTTCTTCTACTTCCTCTTCTTCTTCTTCTTCTTCTTCTTCCACGTCCTGCTGCTGCTTCTGCTGCTATCCCTTCCGCCACATATGGTGACTCCCATCACAGGCTGAGGTTTAGAGGCAGGAAACACAAAGGAGACTCACTTTAATCCTTTACGTTTGTTCCTTCTCTTCTCCTCCCGCAGAGCCGTACAGCCCGGCAGTGTGGGTCATGATGTTTGTGATGTGCCTGACCGTGGTGGCGGTGACGGTTTTCGTGTTTGAGTACTTCAGTCCAGTCGGCTACAACCGCAGTCTGGTCAGCGCAAAATGTGAGTTTTTAACCTCTTTGATGCACAAAACAACAATTGGTGTATCGTAATTTATTGTCTTGTACTGTATAACTTGCATCTTTCATATCAACGTGGTTAAGCAGAATTAGGAAACTTGGCAGGTCTAAAAATTAGACGTACTTAGACAAAGAAATAATTCATATTTTTATGTTTGAATTCATATTTCAAAAAACACGAATTGTTTCCTAATAAGCGTTTTGGAAAGAGTAAACCTAAATCCGCCCTCAGTCTGCACGATCCGCTGTGTTTCGAGTTTCTTCAGCAGGATTTTGGGGAGAGGGCTAATCAATCCCAGAATGCACGTGCTGACAGAGCGTGCCTCGTCTCCGAGTCCAAAAGGTCATTTTCCCGTTTTAATTAGCAGTTGTTGCCGCGCTAATCGAAGTGTGATTGATGACGGCGGAACCCTTTGTTGCTGCACATGAGTAACGGTGGCAGAGAGAGTGAAACTGTTCCGTAGTTTGGAAGTTTCCAGAACGGAAAGAGAACACTTTGGTGAACTAAATATGAAAACAAAGTGACAAAACATCCAGTACATCTTAAATAAGATTCTTCTTGGTCATAATTTTTACAGGTTATTCATGAAAAATTAAGCAAAAACAGAAAACAGGACCAAGTCTAAACGTTTCTATCATTTTAAAACTAATGTGTAGGTGTCACATTAAGTTTTTTAACATTCATCTACAACCAGAAATTCTAGAAACCGATATAAGAAGGTATTATTTGTGTAAATAAACTCTACTTTTACATACACTGCAAAATAAGTGAAGCGTTTTGAGCGTTAAAACAAGAGGTAAAAGACCGATCAAACTACAAGTAAAACGTTCAAAGATTGTGACAAAACAAATAGAAGGTAATTCAAGAATTAAAGCAAATAAAATAAGATAAAGTCAAGACAGTCAAAAGTGAAGTCAATTCAGATTAGTTAAAGTTGACTAAAACCAAATAAATACCAAAATAAAACCATATGAAGGCAGAAAAATAAATGTAAAGCTGAAAAATACCGCAAAGTAACGTATTCATGTATCAACTTCTAATCCATTTATCCTGAGCCCCATCAAACTTTATCTACGACCAATTCAGATTAAGAAACTTGGATTTCTTTAATTTGATTCAGGCCTAATCTACGTCCATATTGGTCTGCTGGTGTGTAAAGTAGCAGTGCTGATGCCAAAAGACAGAAATCTTGTTTCTCACGTCTCCATTTGACTCCTCAAACCCTGACCTGTAAATATAAACGGATATATCTGAATATATGGATACTACGACAGCGCTGGAGTGTTTTTCTATCAGTCAGATAAACCCTCATGGTGTTTGTTTTGAGCTCCTCTTCCTCTTTTTTATCCTTTCAGCGCACACTGTCTCTTCGGACATGAGGCTTGGAGTTAGTTTGAACTTCTCCTTAAAGTAATTCCTGAACAGACGAACAGTCTCTTTTCTCCCTTCGCGCCGCAGATTCCTCCGTAGAAAACAGGATTTTCTGTCACATGAAAAGTCTGGTGTGCTAATTTTTGTGAAAATAGAAAACAAAAAAATAAAAACAAAAAAAACAGATCAGACTTGTTGGATACTGTGCACTATTTCACAACACTCCCTTCCTCCCTGTGTTTTCTCAGCTCCTGGTGGTCCCACATTCACCATCGGGAAGTCAGTGTGGCTGCTCTGGGGCATCGTCTTCAACAACTCCGTCCCCGTGGAAAACCCCAAAGGAACGACCAGTAAGATCATGGTCCTGATCTGGGCCTTCTTCGCTGTCATCTTCCTGGCTTCTTACACCGCCAACCTGGCCGCCTTCATGATCCAGGAGCAGTATATCGACACGGTGTCTGGGCTCTCTGACAAAAAGGTAAACTCCCGAAAATCAACACTTTGTACTCGGAGGGAAATAACACGCTTATGAGGCGGGGCGGGTATTGAACTTAGACATAAAGAGAGCAGGCTGTTTTTGTGGTGCTGTGAGATATGGAGAAAACAACGTCTTTGTGTTTGAATCCAGCTCACACGTCTCTTCTTTTCTCCTTCCATTGATTCATAAACTCTGAAGAGAAGAAGGACAAAAGACCCGCAGAAAGCTTTTCAAGTCGAGTCAAGTCTGAGGAGTGTTCTGTGAACATCTTTGTCCTTTTCCTATCAGCGGGGAAGCCTGGTCGCATGAATGACTGATCGATTCCTCCGCTGTCAATACAGATGGTGTCTGAAATACTGACGGATAAAGTGGAGACTCAGTCTGTCCATCAATATCCCCCCTGCGCTGTCCCTGTCTCCCCTCACACTCTAGCCGTTAAAACAAGATCGCCAAATGTCAAACGATTAAAAACAGTCAAGCCATGGAGGAAAACAGCGCCCACGCACTTCCCTCACACACATATACACACACTCTCTCACACACACACACATTCAGAGGAGCTCTAGAAGAAAGCTTTTCATTCTTCACAGACAGGGATCAGCAGAGCCACTTCAGTGATCTATGGTTGAATTAACTGATTATATTAACTTTATGCAGATGCATCATGTGCCTCCAATATAAATGAGCCCGAACCTCCTCAGCTGCCTCTTAACTCTGAGCTACATGACAGAGGATTAGGAGGGTTTGGGTCGTAGGCTGGCTGAGGTCACAGCTCGCTGGTTTAAGTGATAAGGCCGGTGTTATCCAATGTTTGTCGAGCTGTTAATACATGTCAGTAAAAGAGAAAAGTCGCTTTGCAGATGCTTCTTCTGCCGTCTGAAATGAAACAGAAGTAAGCAAACCTGTCGAGTGTTCATTTCGTATCTAATTGCAGACCAGGTCCTGAAGGGATTGGAGGACAGTCAGAACTTTCATAAATCCAGGGATAAGTAGAGGTAAAAAGCAGCCGACCAAAACAGATCCAAGACCAGAGGAAAGTTGAACACTGGCAGCAGTTATTTAATGACCACTGTCGTGTCAAAACCTGCAGTCACTAAGATGAAATATCAATCTATTATTGCTTTAAAAATCTCAGTTTGAAGGCAGATTGAGTGGGATAGTTTCCTCACCTCCTCAGATCAACCACAGTCATAACTTCTCAATGAGGCTGTCATTATAGAGAAATAAACTAAAACATGTTACAAGCTGGAGACTGACTAACCCAGGGACAGGACAAAATCAAGACGAGATTGATCCCTGAAAAAGGTCAATAAATCACACTGTTATCCACTCAAAAAATTGACTTTTGACTGTGAGAATGAGATTAGAAATTAAATTATTTCTGTCAGCTCAAAAAGACAGACATGATATTCAACACCGAGCTGTGAAGGGGATAGTATGAGGCAGCAGGGGTTAGAGAATAGAATAGAATTGAAATGGGGGAATACACTAGAAATGGAGCAAAAGTGTAGAACAGAATGAAATAGAAACGGAAGAATAGAATAGAAGTTGAGGAAAAGAATAGAACTGAAATGGAGAAAGAGAGTAGGATAGAATAGAGCAGGATAGAATAGAATAAAAATGGAGGAATAGAATAGAATAGAAATGGAGGAAGAGTGTAGAATAGAATGGAGTAGAATAACAATGGGGGAATAGAATAGAAGTTGAGGAATAGAAACGAAGGAATAGAATAGAAATGAAGAAGAGTGTAGAATACAATGGAACAGCATAGAATAGAATAAAAATGGAGGACTAGAGTAGAATAGAATGGAATACAAATAGAGGAAGAGTGTAGAATAGAATGGAATAGAATAGAGATGGAGGAAATGAATACAAATAGTGGAATAGAATAGAAGTTGAGGAATAGAATAGAATATAACAGAAATGGGGGAATAGAATAGAATATCAATGGTGGAATAGAATAGAGGTTTAGGCATATATGGAGGAATAGAATAGAATGAAATTGAGTTGAATTCCTCTGGTGTAATTACATGTTTACATTCAGTCTCATAGTGCCAAAGTGTCAACAGGCTGAAGTGAAATGTGTCAAACCCTTTTTTAGCCTAATGATTTGAAGTGATTTATGTTGTCAGGTTGTAAATTAGCTAACCTCTGAAACCTGTCATTGTTAGTGTGATGTGGAGGATGTAACCTCAGAGGTCAGTCTACAGTTTTTAGACTCTCTGTTTAGCGGTGAAGGACTTCCAGCCAACACTTCTGTTTCCATGCGCTGCCATTGTTTGAGTGACAAATGACTGTGGATTTGTTCCCTCAAACCTGTGTTACAACTGCGTTTGCAGGGATTCTGACGAGCATAAACTACAACGACAGAAACCCTGTCAGCGCCCACACTTATGTGTAACATGTGTTCTGTATTTAGATCGACTTTTATTCCGGCCTTTTCCCTGTGGTGTGGGCTCCTGTTTGACCAGCTGATTAATAACGGAGAAAGAAGGCGTACAGCATGTGAACTGAATTCATTTGAGCTGCAGCTGAAGAGTGATTATATTTACACACATACTAACACCCACTCACTCGCTCACACTTTGATTGGCCCATTCATTTGCGTTCGGCTCAAAAGGTCAATGCCGTAACCAAGATAAATGGATCTCTCCTGTTTACAGTCTAATTGAGCCCTAACTGAAGTATTTCTGCCTCAGCCCGCATTACTGTGTCAGCGCGTGAAATGTGAACTTCGATCGGCACAGATTGAGCTGGATTAGGATCATCTGAGGGTAATGTGATGATTCGAACAGGGTTAGGCTAATTTCAGAGGAATTAAGACTAACCTGTCCATTCATAAGGTGAGGAGTGTTATAAAGACATTTTAAGAATAAATGAGAATGACTGTAAAATAGATTTCATGGAGCTGTGGAGCTCTTTCTCATCATTTTATTCCTCGTCTCTCTTCTTTATTTTTGCAAGTATTTCTGCTCCTCTTTCTTTTCCTTCTATTGTGTGTCCCATGTTTTTTTTTCTTCTATTTATCCTTTTTTTTCCATTCCTTTTCTTCCGTCTTTCTGCTCTTCATATTTCCTTAATCATTTTTCTTTATTTTCTTCTCCTTTCTTTCCCATTTCACTTTCCTTTTGACTTTAACTTTATCTTTCTTTCCTTTACTTCCTTTTCTTATATCTTGTATTTTTTTCCTCCTCTTTCCTTTACCTTCCCTTGCCTCCTTTTTCCTTTCTTTCATCTTCCCTCATTTCATTTTTCCTTTCTTTCATCTTCCCTCGTTTCATTTTTCCTTTCTTTCATTTTCCTTTTTTTTTTTTTTTGCCGTTTTCCTTTTTTAGCCATCCTCTCTTTCACTCCTCTGTTACTCCTCTTTCTTCTTTTGGTTTTTAACTTACCCCCTTATTCTTTCCTCATCCATACTTTTACAATCTCTTCTTTGTCTTTTATCCTTCCTTTTCCTCTCCTCTTTTCATGTTTTTAACTTTCGCTCTACTAATTTTTCTGTTTTTATTTGATCTTTTTCTTCCTAACCACTATCTTACCCTTTCTCCCACTTATGTTTACCTCCTTCTTCTTTTTTCTCTCTTTTCTATTCCACTTTTGACTTCTTTTATTCTTTGTCTTTGCTCTGTCTCCTTCCAGTCTTTCTCCTCTCTCTCCCTCTCTCTTCTACCTCTACCTTCACCAAAGTTCTACTTTTTTCGTTTTTCTTTCCTCAAATCTCATATTTTCTCCTCCCTCCCTTTTTCCTCTCCCCCTTTTCTCCCTCCAGTTCCAGAAACCACACGAGCATTACCCCCCTTTCCGCTTCGGGACGGTCCCAAACGGGAGCACGGAGAGAAACATCCGCAGTAACTACCCCGACATGCACACGCACATGATGAAATACAACCAGAAGGGGGTGGAAGAAGCGCTGGAGAGTCTGAAAACCGGGTACAGTTGAACTGACATTTCGACTTTATTACAGGATTAAATAACAGGTTATATTTAACAGATCATCCTGTCAGAGGAGACATTCAACCACAGATGATCGTATTTCAGGTGATGCTGCAGAGATTTGAAGCTCTTTGTGTTTGATCTTCTATTTTTGAATTAGGCCAACATGATGGTCGTATTTTTGGATGAAAACATCGCAGCTATTGTTGCTTCATTTTGTAAAGAAAAGTGCTGTCAAACATCCTTTCTTTGAAAAAGAATGAACCCAAAATACCTCGGGTGATTTTGCACGTTTTGATACTACAAACTGTTCACTCTCTTTATTTTTTGGCTCATATTCTTGTACCTGTGTTTTGTTTTTTTTTTGAAAACTTTGCTTTCAGTGACCAGAAACTTTGCAGGACCGATCGCCTTAGACAGACTAAGGAGACTGTTGAACAGCGAGGAACAGTCTGTGTTAACACTTGGTACTATCTTATTATAATTAAGAAGAAATTCAGACAGTAAAAAAAGTAATTCAGTGTTTGTTGTGGTGGATTATCCTCATATCTTAAGCGTATTTAAAGTAGCTGCAAGTCTTTCAACACAAAAAGTACTCGTATCAGCCTGCAGGTAAAGTGATTCTCAAGTCTATAATTGAAAGTGTTTGTTGGCACAGATATTCATCAATTGATGATCTAAAACATGACCATCTTTTTTCCCAGAGGATCCTTTGAGTGAGAAATTATCAGAAAAACAAAAGCGCTCACTCAAACTAAAAGTGGATTTTAGGTTTGTTAACCATAATCAGTTTTATTCCTCCTGAAAATTCTTCCAGCAGGAGGTTCATGTTGAGTGTTTTTTAAAAAAGTCCCCAGAGGTGTGTTAAAGAACTGACAAAATGTTTCCGCTCTTCTTTGGGTGCAAAGAGAAAGTTCTCGAGTCAAAAAATAAATAAATTTGGCACATCTGGATCAGCAGAGTACTTCTTTTAAAGTTTTCAGGGTATGTGGAACGAGGGAGAAACATAAACATGAACTCTGCCTGAGTGAGTGTTCATCTGTAAATTTAAGAAGGAGGTATTTTGCTCTTTGGGGTCCTTAAATTGTACCTCTGAGGCCTCTGTAGTGAATTTACCTGATTTTACCGCTCAAAAAATCTTGGACTAGCATCTTTAACAAACCCTTTTCCAACTGGACCGCACTCTAGCTGCCTCTTCTACTGTTGCCGTGCCATAAACCTTTGTCATTGTGCTAACCAGTGTTACTCGATCTGAAATGACAAATTATGGAATATGTCTGATGTCCCTGCTGTCCACCCCTGAAAAATCTCAGTCCTACCTCCTTACATGTGGTCAGACGATGACTTATTTGTTTGTCAACCCCGTGCAGGAAGCTGGACGCCTTCATCTATGATGCTGCCGTCTTGAACTACATGGCTGGAAAGGACGAGGGCTGCAAGCTGGTGACCATTGGCAGCGGGAAAGTGTTCGCCACCACAGGATACGGAATCGCTCTGCAGAAGGACTCCCGCTGGAAACGGCTTATAGACCTGGCTCTGCTTCAGTTCCTCGGAGACGGTGGGCACTCGCACAAGCCCTATACGATGCGTCACTCGACCGTGACTACAAACACACGCTCTTAAACACCCCTCTGATGTGCTGTTTGTGTTTGTGACACATGGCATGTGGACCATGAAAATGGCAACAGTCCAGTTGAGTGTGTGCAGTATCAGCAGGGTAATGGACTTACTGGGAAGAGTTAATATCCTGCAGAACAGCAGGAAGTGTTAAGGATATGATTATCTCCATCACGCTCACACTCACACTGACACACACACACATCCATCCTACCTACGCATATACACACTAACACACTCACCATGAAGGCCTGCGGTGTGGAGTTAATATCCTCCCTCCTCTGAGAGCTTAAGAGCATGCCCTCCACAAACACACAAACACACACAGTCGCACACACACTCTCTCTGAGCTCGCCATCATGATGTAATAAATAGTGTGTTTGTGGGTAACATACGGTAACTGAGTGATAAAACGGGCCGTGCTCCCTGGAGGCCACTGGGGGATGGCGCAGCTCAAGAGGTGACCACCTGTTCAGAGACCTGCAGGAGTATTTCATGTGGTAATGACTTGGGCCTTAAGAGCTGTAAATTCAGCTCATTTTAAAACTATCCCGGCCTTAAAACAGCATTTGAGTTTAAATGTTTACACATGGCAGCTGGAAAGATAAAGAAAAGTGAAATGTTTCGACTGTGATAGCTTCATTTACTCTCAGCTTTAGTCCAAAGGTAGTTACGCTGAATGACTCAGCGCTTAGTTTTTGCAAATTTCCTTTTATACTGGAGTCATCCTCACCCTGTCGGGATTCTGACTGTTAGCTGAGAACATTAGTCGGCTTATTTGTCACAATTCACGTCGAAATGAACATTTACATTGAAAGTGTTACGTTGGTTATGTCCTTCCGCAGATCGCGGGACAGGATGGTGGTCCACTTTTCGCTTTTAGAGATGGTTTAGATGTTTTGAAAATTATATCACGTTGTGAGTCTGAGTCATGTTGTTCTACTGATCTTATTATCTTCATCAGTTTGGTAAATACAGTGAGATTCAATAGTTCTCAGACAAAACTAGCGCCAAAAGATAGATTGTATGATTTCTATCCCAGGGAGGGCCTTACCTGTGTTGGACTGTTTAGTTATTCTCCTTTAATTCAAATATCCAGTGCCACCATGAACAAAGGTTTTCTACCTGTCAAAAGACAGATTTTCCTGTTGAGTCTGATCCTGTTTAAGGTCTCTACCTGTTAAAAGACAGATTTTCCTGTTGAGTCTTGTCCTGTTCAAGGTTTTTGCCTTCGAAAAGACAGATTTTCCTGTTGAGTTTGGTCCTGTTCAAGATTTCTACCTGTCAAAAAAAAGAGTTTCCTGTTGAGTTTGGTCCTGTTCAAGGTTTCTTTCTGTCAAAAGATAGATTTTCCAGTTGAGTCCGGTCCAGTTCAAGGTTTCTACCTGTGAAAAGAAAGATTTTCCTGTTGAGTCTGGTCCTGTTCAGGGTTTCTTTCTGCCTGTTAGAAGGCTGGTTTTCCTTGCCAAGTGTTTCACTCATAATGGAATAAGACTGTATTAGAGTTTGTCTTGTCTTGATGTTGGGTCTTAAGAGTTAAGTCTGGACCATCTGTTTTTGTGAAGTGTCATTAGTCATGGATTGACATTATATTAGTGAAAACTGATTGATTTCTGAGGTTACCACCAATCATAGTTTTATATTCAGCTAAGACAGGTGATAGTTCTTGGATAACATGTCAGGATAATGAGGCGCCACTGGCCTAGTAGTCATGGAGGATATGCTTGGAGCTGTCCCCCCTGGTTCGTGTCCTGCCTGTGGCTTCTTTTGTCCCTCCACTCTCTCTCTGTCACACTCTGTCCACTGTACCATCATCTCCAAATTGTCTGTTTTTATTCCAAACCATAACTACTGACTGAATTCTGGAGTTTAAAATCTCTGTGAGGAATTATTTCCCCTGAAAACATGTTTCAACCAAATCCAGTCTCACTTGGCGCCCTCTGCAGGCCTGGAGCTCCTCCATCGTCCTGACTGGATTTGTGGCATTTTGCTTTTACCATCTGTTTTCTTGGTTTATGAGTCTTTGTCTTTGCATGTAAATAAGAAGAAACAATGGGAATCTTTTTTGCCTTTACACCAATTTGCCTTGAGGCCAGTCTGAAACAAACTGTGAGCACAAAAAATGATCTGTTAATCTGTCGCTGCATCTTAATCTTTTTTATTTAATCTACTAATCTCTTTTTGTTTTCCTCACATCCCTCCAGGAGACACGCAGCGCTTGGAGACAGTCTGGTTGTCGGGCATCTGCCAGAACGAGAAGAACGAAGTGATGAGCAGTAAGCTGGACATCGACAACATGGCGGGTGTCTTCTACATGCTGCTGGTGGCGATGGGCCTCAGCCTGCTGGTCTTCGCCTGCGAGCACCTGCTGTACTGGAAACTACGACACTACATGCACAAGTCCCAAAAAGTGGACTTCATGTTGGCCATCAGCAGGGTGAGACTCACTCTTATTGATTCATTCCTTCTTGTGTAAGAACTCATAAATCACCTCTTTAAAGCTAATTGCTTGCTTTTTAAGATTCGTGCTCCGTCTCATTGATTTCTAAATTGATGATATTGATTTTAAAGTTCAATGAGTGATTGACTGACGGTAATTATATTAGCTCGTTTGAATGATTGAGAAATTGGCTGATTAGTTTGACTCTAAGTGGCTGGTTGGTTGGCTCATTTTCTGCTTAATACGCTGTTTTACATGAAGTTGCTTTCATGTGATGACAAATTAGAGCGAATGGCTGTGTATTTGCATGTAATTAAATGGTGTCGTTAAAAGGCCTTGTTAAGATATTAGCTAAATGGTGCTGCATTCTCATTAAGAGTGGGAAGGAGGGAGAAAGAGGAGAGATAAAGGGGCAAAAGGCAGCACTAATTCTGGTGTTTACTCAGCTTTTAACTCTGATTGCTTCATTTTCGTTTACAATTAGCTTAAATCAGCATCCAGTTTATTGATGCTTTTGTGCAGGACGGTGGTTATTGAGGCAAACAGCCACAGAAATGTCCACGGACTGCAACCTCTGCTGGGTAATTACACCACTGTGCCTGGATGTAGGTTTTTATCAGATTAAGGGCTAAATGACTATCTAATCATTAATCCGTATGGGACGGCCCCCAGGGCCAAATTAAATTCGTCTCTTTCAGGTTCTCTCAGCCAACTGTAAGGAGAGAGACAGAGCAGTCATGGGATTTGGCTCCGTGTTTGTCCAAGCAGTTAGAGACGGTTTCCTCTGCAGGGGACTCCAGGCGTGTGCGTCCGTTTATTGGGGCAATCCTCTCAGCTTAAAAACAGTTTCTCTTTGAGTCCCGGGAGAATGCATAATGAATTTGTGACTAATTCTCGCCTCGGTGGTAAAATGAGATATTAATGAAGTTTTTTAACTTAACCGCCGGTGGGGTTTTTATTAGTATGGAGGAAGATCTTCACTTTGAGATTCACAAATTGGCTGAAACTCGCCTGTGAAATTGTCCCTTAAGGACCACTTGAGGTCGATTCCAGGTTAAACAGTCTGTGGGTAACTATTGATTTTACTTCGAATGATCAGGGAATTACACTCCACTTTTCCTCTCCTGTTTCATTTTCTCTTCATTCTAGTGGGAGCCTGAAATTAGTTTTTCACACCTGTAATTTGAGGAGCAGGTCAGCTCGTGGTCAATAAATAATTCCTGGATCATATTGTTGCATTTGACAAAGTACAACGACTTAACGGTGTTTTCCATTTACCTTGGAGGATGATTGAGCTTCGAGTAAAGTCACATTTAAGTGTTCAAGTCAGTATATTTGATTTTACCAGCAGTGCTAGCCAGTGCTTGGTGATAAGACACACTTTCTGGTAGTTTTGGAGCGATGGTGTCACAGTTGGCGTTTGTACAAAAGAGGACTCGCATGCAGACGATAGTGTTGGGCGGTATGAACAAAATTTTATTTCCTGGTATGAGTAATTTCATATCACAGTAATGGTATATATCACGGTATGTTTTTTTCCCCCTGTAAATGCAATTAGTTGCTTAAAAATAACCATACTGTCGCATTTGTTCATTTTCCTTTTATTTTTAAACTCAGATTTGTATACAAATGCAAACAAAACAGTCTGGCAATTTTTTAATAATGGCATACCTTTGGTGAAAGACTCTGCCAAGCTCTTTTGTATGAGAGGAGCTGCTGCAACTTTGGTTTTTGGTGCAGCAGGTGCACCATGCATCTTTTGGCCCCCATAATAGAGCTTGGCGTGTTTCATTTTTAGGTGGTGGAAGTGGTTGCTGGTGTTTCCTCCTCCAGCAATGACAGCCAGAGGACACTCTTTGCAAAGTATTGTTTTTTGATCATTCCCGGATTTTCTAAATCTGAAGAATTTCCAGACAACCAATGTTGCGACGCGCTGCTGGACACGCTGGTGGTTATAGGGAGCGCACCCAAACCCAGCAAAATTTCTACCGGTAGACACTTTAATACCGTCACACAGTATAAACCGTCATACTGCCCCACACTAGCAGACGATAGAGGTTTTATTGGAGAAAAAGCAAAACAAAGAAAACCCAATGTCCAACAAAACCACACACGACACCGGGGAAACCACCAGGCCACATGGATGGGTTGAAGGATGATAAGGAGAAAGAACTACCAAATAAAACAGGAAACACTGAAAACAGGAAGACACACAAAGAGAGCAAAAGGATCAGGATGTTTTTCTGTTGTCAGTCTTGTGAGCGCAGTTTTGTTAAGATTCCGTTTATTGGTCTTACTGTTGTTCAGCTAACCTCTTCTTACTTCTGCTCAGTCCTCTCTAATCTTCCTCTGTCTCTTTCTTTGTCTTCCTCTTCCGTCTCTCAGGGTATTTACAGTTGTTTCAACGGTGTGGAGGACACTGGACATAAATCTGGTTTGGCCAAACCTGATCTGACCTCTAACTACGCTCAGGCAAACATGCTGAAGATGCTTCGCACTGCCAAGGACTTGGTCTCTACCGCCAACGTGGAGACCTCTCTGGACAACGCCACCAAGACCATCGAGCATTTGAGCCGTCATGGTGGCAGTTTGCCAGTTCGTGTGCCACCGGTCGCCACAGAGACTGTACCGGGAGGATTTGCCTACATCACAGAGAATCACTGTTCCGCACTCCCCCAGCGCTCCCTCACTCCTCCTCTGACCGCGGTGAACTCTCTGAAACTGCAGCGAGGGATGACCAGGCCGACGCCGCTGCGCTACACGCTTCCCACTCACTCCTCCTCGTGTCTGTATGATCGGCAGCTTCCTGTATCCAGCCTGAGCAGCCCTCATCTTGCCGTGAGCGAACCGCTTCCTCATCAGCACCCGCATCACTACCAGACCACCGGGCGACTCTACGTTGACACCCACTCACCCTTCATACCTTACACTGACCTCCAGCTTCCTGACATCTACACCTCTCATCCGGTGTCCTCACCTCAGAGCCAAAACGTCCAAGCGGCCTTCTCCAGGCGGAAACGGAGGTCCAAGAGTTTCCAGTATGACGAGGGGGACTCAGAGAGGAGGTCACACAGGGACCAGGACAAGAGTGATAAAAGTCCGGTCTTCCTGAGTGAACTCAAAGCCAACCACCTCCAAGAAAACCACATCTCTGCCCCGAGTGTTGAAAGCATCTACCCTGGAGAAGGGATGAGTCCTCGAGTGGAGAACTACGGCTCTTGGCCTCCGGAGGACCTCGTGCTCAGAGGAAGACGCAGGCACCGCCGCCCTTCTTTCCTCAAAGCGACTTGGGGCAGCGAGCAGATGCGCCAGCTGGACGAATCCCAGTCATCCTTGTCGAGCCAGTCCCCATCCACCCTGCCAGACCTGTTCCCGTGCATCGTTACACCAACCGCGGCCACAAAGCCCTACAACCCCGCCCACCTCCGAAACAACCTGTGCCTCCCACGGAACCAGGCCTACCTCCACATAAGGGAGGACCAGAGGAGGCCCAATGGGCGCAAGGGTCAGAAGCTGCGCTACTCCCACTCCACCCACCTCCCCACATACGGAGAAGCAGTGCGACAGGGGACTGGGTTGGGACGGGGGATGGTACGGAGAGCCACGAGCTTGCTCAGCAGACAGTACGCCCACTACCTGAACTCATACCCTGGATTACCCTTGTACCACGGCCCCTTGGACCTGCGGCACCACAGCCAGGCCTCTGGAAACCCGGTGTGCCAGCTGCTGGCTTGTGGTGGAGGGGGGTGTGGAAGCCAGAGAGCTTTGTTGTACCAGGACAGCGTCTACGGGGCATACGGGGTCTATCAGGGATCCCAGACTGGATCAGAGGTCCAGGTTCAGGGGGCTGGGGTACAGCCAACAGGGAGCCCCTGTGTACTTCGACCATGGCGACGGGTATCCAGTCTTGAGTCTGAGGTCTGATGGGGAACCAGAAGGATTTTGTGAAATGGATATTGTGGAGTAAACGAGGGAAAGACCACAGAGGGGGTTTAGTGGTCGGATTTCTAAGGGGGAAAGTTGTGATTTGAAGTTCTTGTGGAGTTTCTGTGTGACTTTGTGTGGTAAAGATAAGAAGTTTGGCTCTACCAACTGGGACTTACCTTATGTACTCTACAGCGAGAATTGAAGACTGCACTGTTATCCTCGGTAGAGCTGTGGAAAGCTGGAGTCGGCAGGTTTTACTCACTTGCTACTTTCCTACGACAACGCTTGTCTGTTTTATCTGTGCTTTAATGTGCACTCAGAGTTACAACAGTCCACAGTGTTGGCGCATGGTTAAGCTATAACCAGAGTTTTCATGCTGTGTTTGTCGTGTATATTTAATCGTGGATGGTCGGAGTCCGGTCTTGGGTGTCGTGAAACGTTTACAGCTCGGGAGAAACAGCGAAAGGAACACGGGATTGCGTCCTTAAATACAGCCACCAAAAACAAGTAGCAACTGTAGCAAGATTTTTAAAGACAGCTGTGACGAACATGTGAAGAGTTTAATTCCAAAAAAAAAGTAATCAATATTAAACCACTTTGTCTCCAGATACAGAAGAGCAGCAGTTTTCTAGGATGAAATAATCATTTTGAGACATCTGTTAATGAATTTCAGGTACCTTCTTTAAAGATTTATAATGTTTTGGAGCTAAACCCTTCAAGTCTTGGTGATTTAGTGATGAGTCAGAGACTTTTGAGTAAGGAGTCCATATGAACACAATCTGCTCAATGATGAAAGTATTTGAACAGCACTGTCCAGCACAAGGTGTCTTAATCCATGGATTCTTGTTCCTCCCTGAGTCTCAGTACGAGGCTCCAGTACAGCACAAACCTCACACAGGGCCTCACATTCAATCCATTCTGCATCTTAATACTATATCAATATAGAGAAAATGTGTTATTTCAGGCTGGTTAGTGTCATATTCATGTATTCTGCATATGATAGGAATTTATAGTCACTCTTAAAGTTTTCTAATCACACTTCTGGCACATTTTTTCTTTCGGTTAAGCTGTTGCGGATTTACTGAAACATGTGTTATTACTCTATTAACTCAGAAAGATTGGCCTATATTCAGTTGGCCTATATAAAATTTTCATCACTTTCTCTTTTCCACTCTTTTATATTCCCTCCCCATTCCCTCAAACTGTTATATGATCAAAACTAAATGAGGTATTTGAAAGCTATTCTAGTATCTATATTACCTGGCTCCCTCACCCTGTAATTAATCACTTAGATCAATTAAAGAGCCTTTTTGGATGAACATGCATGTGTGTCTCTTTTTTACAGAGCCTGTATCCTAAAGCTGAAGCCTGCTTTGTGGAAGGAAATACCATATTGACTGTAATATACATTTTTTTTCCCCCCTTGAAATACATTGAAGAAGGCGAGATCATCTTGAATTCGAGGTGTGGTAATTAAATGTCAATATTCATTACAGCAGGCGAAGTGTACCCCTCTCATGACTGAGGCCAGCTGTGACTCACTGCTGCACTGCCAGGGGGGATGAAAGATGGAGAGAGGCGGTGAACAAAGTTGTGCAGAAGTAGGACAAGTTCACCAGCAGCTGACACACAGAGACGAGAAAAACAGTAAGAAAACAGTCACCAATGCAGCAGAAACAGTCAACCGGTGAGCCTGAAGAAGTTGTACTAAAATACACATGAGAATATACCAGCTCTGTTTAAGACATGCCTACGACTCGTCTTTTACTGTACCTCTGTATTTTGTCGCTCTTTTAGTCAGAGCTATTAAAGGGATATTTCAGCGTAAAATTAATTTAGAGTCAAACACACCGTAACACCGAGTTAGACACCCCGTCGAGAGATGAATGTTGCCGACCACTTGCTTCTCTAATTATTCCAACTTTAGTAATGACCGCACACTAGCAATACACAGCCAAAACCAAAACGCCACTCTATAGTCACAAATAGTTCTCAGAACAGCACCTAACTTCATCAACAGTACATATAGGGTCCCAGCTATAGTACTAGCCACCAAACATCTTTTCAGCTTTGCCTAATTTCTTTAGCAAAGAGACTAAACACAACTCACCTACTCTCTTCCAGCAGCCGCTTGTTTGTAGTGAGACCTCAGGCTAGTCAAACATTGACTACAGCGGAGTTTCGCAGCTCAAGGAAGAACATTTATGATCATTACTTCATGGAAATACAATCAGACCGAGACGATAAGGCAAAAGAACTACTGCATCTGTAGTGCAAAATGATTAATATGATGATTATTCCTCTAAGGAAATCATGAAGAAATGATCATAAATGTTCTTCCTTGAGCTGCGAAACTCCGCTGTGTATTGCTATTGCACAATCATTACTCAAGTTATTGTAACTAGAGAAGCAAAAAGTCGCCAACATTCATCTCTCGACGGGGTTAGTTTTACGCCGGAATATCCCTTTAATTTGGCTAAATAGGGATAGCAGTTTTCTGGAAAAGCATAGCTGTCAGATCATCTTTGACTATAAAGCTGTGTGAAAAGTAACACCCAGAAGCTAAAACGGTTTCAGGCAGCGGCTTAAATATATATTTTTTGTGCTGCAAATCATGCGAAATTCCTCTATAGCCGACTCAAAGTGACACAATGAGTTTAGGAAGCCATCTTTGAAAAGTATGATTTAATCAGGTGAGTTTGTCTTAACTTCCCCAGTTTGAGTCCTATAGCTGAGCGAAGCTGCCGGCTGTAGCTTTTAGTCTGTAACATGACAGTGTGTGATCTTATCTTCCCAGACATGCCGGTATACTGTACAGTGTTCAACTTTTTTGTGACGGATGGAAAAGAGAAGATTGGGAAAAGGGTAGGAGTGGGAAGGGGAGGCAGCACATGAGATAAGAAAGACAATTTGGTTCCTGATCAAAACCTCCCTCTCTGATCTTGTCATATGGAGGTCAGTCATCTGCTGCGGCATCCTGGAGGAATATCCTTCTGGTGTCTGGGTCGCATGTCAGCTGGTGACTGACACAAATACACTGCAGCAGGGAGACTGCGTCAAACGGAAATCGTTTCATTCTCTTATATCCAATCTGCTGTCACACTCTTGAACTTTTCAGAAGGCGTCGCAGTCGTGACGCGTCTCTAAATTCCCCGCAGTGTTTGCCTGAAACAACTTTAGGTAGCGATAAACTGCTCTCACTGAAGGTGACCTGTTGCCATTGCAATTACTCTCCCGCTCTATGCTGTTGTCATGACCAGATAAGACTCCATTCAGGAGGCCAGATGAGTAATGCCGGAGAGTCCAAACATTGAGCGCTTTGATTTTTCCATTACTCTCTGCTTTGTTACTGGAGCTTCACCTTAGATTGGAGCGGAATATTGATTTAATCCTCAGCTCTGCTTTGGATCACATACTTTTCGAGTTCAGGATACTCAGCTGTGAAGAGCAGAAACAAGACCCAGCACACCTTTAAACCTGTAATTAAGACATGCTCTCTGGCCTGATCTGAACTTCTGCAGGTTTCGTCACTTTTTTGTTCAAATATCTGATACGTGAAAAAGCAGGGCAGTGAGAGGGGAGCTGTCTCCATCGACATTACAAAGCAGGTTTTTATCATGCTAACTGGGTCATCAATATTGACGTCCTCTTTTTTTAGTATTAAGGAACAAAGAGTCGCCTCACTTCAACCGAAGCTGTTTTTAAACCTGCTATTCATAGAGAGCTACAATTAAACATGACAAACTTAGTGTTACGGGACTGATGTTGTATTTAACATTTTATTTTTGGAACAAATAATCCTCCAAAATAACTTCACTTTTATACACAAATCTCTTTTTTCACCTCAGATTCTCACGAGTAAAGCGATCAAGTCAAATGACCATTTATTTAAAAATGTAACACTAAATGGGAAGTATTTAAGATTCACCGATCAAGTGAAGTAAGTGTTTACTTCTTTTTCAACCTGGTGTTATGATTCATCATATAGTAGGTTGGTCTCATCAGAAAGACTAACTGTGTGTAAACAGGGGCTTAGTTTTCACACCTGTCCAATAACCTGGTGTTATTTATCAGTTAAAATATCTTACCTGCAGCCAGCAAGTCACTTCTTTAACCATATAACTGTCATTGGCACAACTTCAATATAAAAGCACCATATGAAAATGAGTGTAGGCTCATGGATCAAGCATTTAGTAAGCTTGTCTGTGCAATATATTCATGCTTGTGGTATAAATAAAGCTAAAACAAAGCCCTCAACTTATCTAAGAAATGTCCTAACATGATTGAGGAGTCATATCTGACTTTACCGACTGCTGCTTGTAGTTGAAGCGAGAAGCGATCCAGAGGAACCTGTAGGATGTGGGAGCTCTTGGACTCCTAGAAAACATGTGGCTATTGACTTTAATGGGACATGATGATTCACAGTTAAGCCTGTTACTTTTTACACAGCAGATATTCATAATGAAAAGATAATCACTTTGTCCACAGGGGGCGCCAAACTCAACACGAACAGAAAGCTCCTTACCCGGAATTTCCACCGCATCCAGAACAGCTCCGATCTGGAACGGCAGCGTTTTTTCGCTGTATGCCAATTCCTACTGGTTCAGTTTGTGAGGCGAATTTCGTGCTTAATCTGTGCTGAATTAATCCGGCATGCTCCGGCGCCCGGAAAAATATAGAACTTTTGCGATCAGCTGCGGAGTCAGGCGATCCACAGCGGAATGGAAAGAAGCCAGTGGAAATTGAAACATTGACCTGAATGGTTACGAACAGCTACGATCGGCGAATACGGCCTTTTCGTATCTGTATACTTTCTGGATGCTTTACGACAAAAACTGAGTTAGAAATGATGGCTGGAGAGCTCCATGTGTGTGTGTTTGTGTGTGTGTGTGTGTGTGTGTGTTTGTATGGTTAGTGTAGTGTCCGTGTGTGTCGGGGTTGCATCGGGTCAGATGAGGGGTCTGTGTTTCCGCATGATGAAAGATGCGAGCTGCACATTTGAAAACATCAATGGAGCACCTGCAACAATCTGCAGACATCACAAACGTGGACTCACACAAATATCCACATGGAAAAAAAAACAAAAAAAAACATGCACACGCTTAACATGAAACCCCTCTACAAACACACACGTGAAACAAACTTGGGCAAAGACAAAGCAGACAGAAAGCAAATGAGATGAAGAACAATTAAGCGCCTTTAGCAGCGTGGGGATTTAATATTCATGTGAGGAGGACACAGAAGTCTACGAGGACCACCCTCCCAGCTCAAACATTATTCATTTATTCACTCAGATGCACACACCACTTTATAATTTCCCATCAGGGATATTCAACCCCTTTCATCCAGGGTGCACATCTGTTAGTGAACTTTTGAATCAGATTAATGACAAGAAATTACCGAAAGTGGCGCCCTGATTGTGCGGAGAGCACACGCATGCAGCTTCTACGTGTGTAGAAAACAACCTTCACAGGGTCATCGATGAGCAACAATGTCTGGAGTCACCAGAGGGCCAGAGTCCAGTCTCCTCACACCTCCCGCCTGTGAATAAATTGGTTCACATATCGCAGCAACAGCTCCAGATGCTCTGAGTCACCTTGAGACAAAAGGGCCGGCCCGCCTGCCCTCGCTGATAGGTGAGAGGGAGACCAGAGAGAGAGAGAGACAGAGGAGGAAGAAGAGGAGATAAGACAAAAAACATGCAAAGGAACCAAGAGACGGAGGGAAATATTTGGGACAATGGATAAGGGTTTTTCTAGCGAAGAGGATGAGGCGGTAATGGCGAAGGATTGTTAAAGGAGAAGAGATAGCTACGAGGGGAAGAGGGACGCAGACGAGGAGGCTTTGAAGGGAAGGGAGGAGGGAGAGGCAGGGAAATATTAGGACAGCTGATGTGAGAACAGGTAGGAGGAGGCAGGACGGATGAAAAAGGATTATTACATTGACCGCCGGGAAACCAGGAGAGTATTGGGGAAAAAAAAACCCATGAGTGCCTGTAAAAGCCCCCCACACATCCTCATTTCATGACTGAAAGCTTTATTAAAGAGGGATACACAAACCAGAAGACAACATCATAAGTATTTCTCTGACATACATGCAGAAACGTGACGTAAATGACAGCCGCTCTGCTTGTTTTGACTTCCATTATCACGTTAACTAAATCATCAAAGCAGCGCGGCATTCAGAGCGTGACAGCTGTCCGTGCATATGAGGACACGTCGCATTGTGCGCAATTAAACTTTGAATTTGAGGATCTGTTGTGTGTGTCTGAGCGTGTGCAGGAGTGTGTGCGTGTGGCTCCTTTCCTATCCGAGAGCAGACGATTGGATCTGCCAGCCAGCGGGAACGTTAATTACTTCGCCAATCTTCAGGCTCACTTCCCAATCACTCCCATCTCAGGGAAGGGAATGAGCTCGCCATTCAGGAAGCCCAGATCCAGACTGAGGCGCCGATTCAAATCAGTTACGGGGAAAGAAAGGAAATCAAAGAAGCAGAACAATACAGATGGAGTACGGGGCCTGTTGGCGACGGAAGACTTTCGCTCTTTTCCATTAAAGTACGAGCTTTCCAAACAGCTGGGACAATGGTGGAAAATAAAGGCTTTCACGGAAATTACCGCTCCCAGGTGTAAAGTGAAAAAATTAGTTGTCAGGGTTTCTCACTAGAAGTAAAATAACTTAATGAGACAGATTCAATCTTAACTCCTAACATACTTGTGAAGAACTTTATGTTAGTGTTGGATTTGACGCCCCCTGTGGACAAAGAGACTCAAGGTTTTAATTTGGAGAGGAAAGGACTGGATCGAGCAGGAGCATGATGTAGGAAAATGTTTACTCCTGCCAACGATCGAGCCTAAATCACAAGAGGAACGATGCCTGTTGTTGGACCCTTGGACTCGCTTGAACCCCTACAGATTTACCAATGGAGTCATATCAACATGATCATCCAGTCTACAGGTTTTGTGAACTTTTTGAGAGAGCTCACGTCATACCAGTCTTGGAGTCCTGTGGTGGGTACCGTAGGAAGGACCTTTACCACCAGCCATGTCTTGAGAATAGATGCAGTGTTTCCGGTTTCATCTCCACTCTTTGGGTTTGATGTTGCATGTTTGCATTTTCAATCTGCACCTCCAGCGGCGTGAGGACATTTTGCAGACAAATCTTGAGCACTCGGGTGTAACAGTGTAAGCACCTCCAAGCCTTGCATCACCGTTCTCTTAAAAGGTAAAGATCTCAGACATCATGAAGTTCTTGATATCCAACAAGACTTGACATGATTTGGGTATCTAGTAGGGACCCCAGTTGGACGCCATTTATTGGTTTCCCCTACACATACTAGGGGAAGGAGATCCCGAATTGTCCCCAGAACACCTTGGCTCTGCTCTTTTATGAAGTACTGGTGAACCTTGCTTGAGACATTTGACGCCAAACAGGATGGATGGAGTTTGAAAAGCGTAGACAACCGAAGAACCTCCAAGAAACGACCTTGATATTCAACTAGTTTGTAGAGCAAATCTGTGTATCCGTAGGTCAGTGCTGGATCTGTCGACCAGGGACAGAGTTTTTGAGGCATTTTGGGTCGTAATCAGGTTAATTTGAGTAATTTAATATAATCTCTAACCCTTAGGGCTGCGGAACGATGACTTGGTTCTACGTCACTCTGAGCTTCATCTCGATAAGTCTGATTTTTCATCTATTCCGGACTGTCATGGATCTCTATTACCCCACATACTCCAATCCTGAGGCCTTTCAGTCTCTAAACGAGTTTTCTGGGATGCAATTTCAGCGAGGCACATGCAGGTCTGGTTTGTGTGCACACAGCTTATGAATCATCAGTCTGAAGACGGCGTGACAACCAGGAACATGTAGGAAAAAAAACAAGTCATTCGCCCGCCTGAATAGGAGTCCTGCTTTGAGACGAGGCTGCCAGTCCTCAGATGAAGTCGCAGCTGTGATGAGCACGTGTTGCCTTGCTGATGCCCTGTGAACGACACCATAGAGCACACGGTGTCACCTCTCATCTTGTCCTTTCAAGGTGACAGCCCCTGGCGTGTTTTGGCAACGATCACTTCGACAAATTAACAAAACCACACCATGAGCCGCTGGAGGCAAAGCCGAGGAACCAGACCACACACACACATGCCACATGGTACCAGAGTGTGAAAAGACGTCCTGTAGTCTGCCAATTACACACATGCACACACTTCAGGCTGCGTAAGAAGAAACCATAACCCTCTAATTAACCAAACTCAGTAACCAAGAGCAGATGAAACTTCTTTGAGTCTTTTCTGCTCTGTTACGTTGAGGTTCAGCCAAATTAAAAAAAGAAGAGCAGAGTTGGCGGCTGGGATGTCATGACTAGAGATCTGTGGTTTTTAGTTTGTTGACCTGTTTTGATGCAACAGTCTGCATAGTGTCGTCTACCGGCTCAAATATTTATCTCTCTCTGTCACCTTGACTTTTCCTGTTTAAGTCTTTCCCTGTTACATTACTAGTTTATAAATAAGCAAAGAGTTAGTTCAGACAAGCTGATCCTGACCCAGGTCAGCTAATCACTGAAATCCTCCTTTTTATATTGTCTGATTTTAGCCTCATATGAATCGTTGCTAAAGTCTTATTTGCTGCTCTCCCCGCCTTGTGTCTGTAAAGAATGTAAACAACTTTTGTTTACATTTTCAAGAGCAAAGATTCACACTCAGTACGTTTACATGACACTCGAGAAATCCGAATTATTGCCTTACTCCGATTAAGACCTGACAACTGAGGCGCATATAAACACCTTAGTCTCCGATTAAGACACCCAGATAATGCGATTGGAATTCGATTTTCTCTGTCACTAGCTGGCGTAGTTGGAGTATGATAGGACAATGCATGAACGCATGCGCTACGCCCCTGTAACCCTGGAACAAAAACACCAGAGAAGAGGAGTAGCGTGCATCTCATCTGCTGAAAAAGTAGCGTGTACATCTTGTACGACAAAATCAAAGCTGTACGATGCTCCATCTTCTTGCTCAAAAATGCCCAGCAGCAGTTGTAGACACTTCTGACATCTGTCACGGACCTGCTGTTGTTGTTGACAGTTGTATGGGGTCAACCAGAAACAGCGCCACTGAAAAGACACATATCGCCTCCTAGTTTTGGGGAGGAGGACACATTCACGTCAGTAATTCATTTTTCTCAGCTGCATGTAATCGCGGACAAGGAGGGAAGTCCGAATCGGCGAAAAACCGAATTATGAGCTTAGTCCGATTAAGCTGTGCATGTCAACGCACTGACTGAGTCAAAGGTTTGACTGTCCAGTGAAAGCCAGATCAGATATTTGTTCACAGGGAGCAGCATAATCCAAAACAAACAGAATATCTTTTTGTGTAGTCGTTAAAGACCAAATACACGAAATAACAGCGAGGGCATCGGACTAAAATAATCTTTGTCTGTTGATGTGTAAACACTGAAATGACATTCATCTTTTTCAAGGCTTTGGCATGTCTGTCTCATTTTTACAGTTATTTAGATCGTCTTTATTTTACCATGAATAGAAATGAAAATCGCTGACCCTTTAAAACAACATTGCAAGTGTGCCAACAACAAGCAGACGACAAATTGTTTGGCAGGCAAAAATGTGTGTGGTGAAGCAGCATTTTGAGGGAACCAGTAGATCAGAGGAGGGGAAAAAAAACACATATACATCCTGAGTTGAGTAAAGTCCATCTCAGTTTGTACCCCTGAGGAAATCAGCGAGGAAGCAGCGACTATTAGAAATTTGGAGCGATGATTCCAACCCAGTGGGTACAGGGACACAGCAACCTTCATCACACACAAACACACCAACTCTCTTTTTTACTCGTCCCGATTCTTGATAGGAATAGTTTTTTTTAGATATCAATCAATAGATGGCAGGGGAAATTTGTTGGGTTGTTTTGTCGCTGGAACAGACTCAGCAGCTCATAACATGGACTCCTCTTGTCTCTCCGGGCCCAGAAACAAACCAAAACACACTTAACCTTCAGGTTTGACATTGATTTTCTGAGACACGTGTTTAACATGCTTCCTCGGGTCAACAGGTCAAGATAAAAAAGTTCACAGTTAAATAATAACCTTAAAAGTGGTAAAGAAGTTCTCTCTTTATATCCCAGTAAAGTGCACTCAGTCCAACGTAAAGGTCAAACTATGTAGCAGGAGCAGAAGGACTAATGCGACCTTCTGCTCAGATTCTCACCCTACAGCTTCTCTAATGTGTTAGTTTGACGTAAATACTGTAAAAGTGTTAAACTACCCTGTGAAAACGAAATTATCATCCTCACATTCAACCCATTTACAGTTTGTTTTATCCTGGTCACCACGTCCAAAGATCACACTTTATTTGAATCTATGATGCCACCAAGTCTATAACATGTATATACATTATGGAATGAATGGAAGTCATCTCTATGTGTTAATATAAACACAAATGGACGACTTCCATCCATTTCCAGCAGTGATGGACAAAAGAGCAATTACCCCCAAGTGCCCTTATGCCTGAAAAAGGGCCAAATAAAAGCCATGTTGAACGCCTTGGTAGTAGATGAAACATGAAAAGTCAGTTCAGTGTATAAATGTAAACAAAACACCCTTCTGGTTTCATATTTGGTGAATAAAATGCAAAAAGTACCCTTTCGTTTGTTTATTTAAAAACTAAACGTAAAAAAATTGCCCTTCCAGTTTAGAAATTATAAAAAAATACACGCTGATTGCAAAAGTACCCAAACAAAGTACCCACCAGAGGCTTATTTATTTAATGAAATGTAAAATAAGTATCCTCTGGTTGCTTTTTCGTTGGTAATGCTTACAAAGTACCCTCTCGATGCTTATTTAGTGAAGAACAATGTAAACAAAGTGCCCTACTAGTGTAATGCAACTTAATTAAATGTAAACAAAGTACCCTGTTGGAGCTTATTTGGGGTATGATTTTAATCAGAATGCCCTTTTTGTTTGATGAAAGTAAACAAAACACCTTCTGGTTGCTTCTTTAGAGTATGATTTAAAACAAAGAGCCCTTTTAGTTTGTTGAGTGTAAATAAAGTACCCTCCGTGAGCTCAATTGCTAAATAAGATGAATACAAAGTGAGGTTGCTTGGATCGCTCTTAGATGTGATTAAATCTTAATCAAGTGCCCTTTTAGTGGATAAAATCTAAATCAAGTACGCTCTAGAGGGTCTTCCAGTGAATAAAAAAGTAAACAAAGTGCCCTCTGGTCGTTCTCATAGTGGATGTAATGAAAATTAAACACCCTCTTGTTGTTTTCTTCTTAGATTTGTTTCAAACCAAGAATCTTTCTAGTGTCCAAATAACTTGGAACAGACAAGTTCAGTTTTATTGAAAGAAAGTTTTTATTCTAGTCTTTTCTCTGACTGTCTCCCACTTTATCTTAAAACAATAGTTTCAGTTAATTTATTCGACCATTGAAGGATAGCGTCCACCAGCTGATAATCACACAGACATGAGAAGCATCAGAACATGAGAGGTGATAAATGAAGGTCGAGTTTTATACCAGCACATGTGTGCGGGACTGCGAGAGAGAGATATCAGACCGGAGTCGATGAATGGAGACAAGTTTGCACTTAAAGGGAAACGATAAGATGGTTGTACCTTATCTGAGTCAGCACAAACCACCTCTGACAGCACTGATAGTTTCCAACCTATGTGTGTGTGAGTGTGTGTGCAAGTTAAGATAGTATCCCTGCTTTTACAGACGAGACCTATTTCTCCAGAGTGAGTTTCAGGCGTGTGGCACAGACTCGTAGAACGTCATCTCTCTCTCTCCTTCACTCTGTTTTTTTCTTGGTACCACTCACAAACACACTCCTGCAGCTTCACTCTAAATCAGGTCAGCCTCACTTCTTCCAAACTGAGCCAGCGAAATCTGAAAACAAACGTAAAGAAACACAAGGCTGGGGCATCATTAGGCTCCTGAGAAAACAGTTTGATTTTTGCGCCAAACAAACACGGTCCACTGACTTCAAATTGTGTAATTTCCAAAATTAGGTAACTGGAGGAATTATTTCAGATTTTAAGACATATCTAGAGTTCCCCAGCTCTGTTTATATGACTATTTCAAATGTTAATCTCATTTTAAGGTATTCCACAATTTTCTTGACGTTTCCTTGAACATCTTGTATAAAAGACTCACAGACAAAATTTTTATTCTTTTGCAGAATTTTTTTCTCACAACCTTATTTGACCAGTTTCGACCATCTCTCATAAAAAGGCCTTTCAATGCTTGGAGTGTGAACTCGATCAAACTCGCATGTGTTCGATTCACTACTTTGGCGTCTTTTTAAGGATTCTGCCCTGTTTCATTGAAAATTAATATTTTTCTTGGCGCCTCTGTAGTGGCGCCCCTGCTGTGCGCACACAGAGGCCTCATACAAATGAATGAGGAAACGGTGTGTTATCATGCAGCGCTACTGTCAAGCTTTCTGAGCAAGGACGGGGGGGAAACACAAACAAGGAGACACATTTCGAGATTTAACCTGCAAAGAAATGACAGTTTGAAAAAGTGCTTCACTGCATATATGTAAACTTTATGTTCTGGAGCAAGGACGCATACTAATGCATGAAAACAAATCTACATCGCCAGAGATTCAATATCCTGTATTCGCCCCCTTCAGTTAGACTTTAATCCATCTTCTTCTGACATACATGAATTCATGCAAACACTGTTTTTCACTTTCCTGTCTTCACCTGCACCGTCTCTGAGCTCCATGAATCTGAGCCGTCTCACTTACAGAGGAAAGAACATCAAACTTTCTGATCACTGCGCCTGAGTCATCCAGGAGAGGGGGGATGGGAGGCCCAGAGTACCTGTCAGCGCTACGGGGAAAGAGATCAGGATCAGGAGAATCAGGCTCACTGGTTCAGGTGGAATAAGACGAAAGGAGGGACGACTCCCAAGAATAAGATAAAGTAATGGAGAACAAGTGGGCATCAGAGAGGAGGAGACCCTTGATACCCATTTCAACCATAAGTTAAAGGAACTTTTGAGTTCCAGGAACTTCTGTTGAAGAAACTAAATGGTTCCCATGGCTCGTTGTCATCTGCTGTTCCACTGTGGCCTGAAAACTAGTTTTTTTTTTTGTGTAAAATGTGAAGTCGTCTTTGGACGGGGGCGACACTGTTGTGGCAGGGATTCTTGACCTTAAAGGGATATTCCGGCGCAAAATTAATTTAGGGTCAAACACACTGTAACACCGAGTTAGACACCCCCTTGAGAGATGAATCTTGCCGACCACTTGCTTCGCTAGTTATACCAACTTTAGTAACAACCAAACGATAGCAATGCGAACTCTATAGCCACAAATAATGCTCATGAATGATGAATATGGTGATTATTACTTCAAGGAAATGATAAAGTAATGATCAATGATAAATGTTCTTCCTTGAGCTGCGTCACCCCGCTGCAGTCCGTAGTGGACTGGCCTGAGGTCTCGCAACAAACAAGCAGCTGCTGGAAGAGAGTGTTTGTTTATGGCTCCTCAGACCGCTGTGTATTGCTATCCTGTAGTTGTTACTAAAGTTGGTATATCTAGAGAAGCAAGCAGTCGGCAACATTCTCCTCTTGAGGGGGTGTCTAACTCGGTGTGTTTGACCCATGACAGATTTTAATGAAAGTTGTCCAACTTTAGTTCCCTAAAGCAAGCTTGGAGTTGATTTACTCCTTACCTGAAGTCAAGAGATTGACTTTGACAGATTAAAATAGGCATTCCCCAAGGCTCAATATTGGGCCCACTGATTTTTAGCCTTAAAGGGGGAATTTGTAGAATTCCTTGAAAAGTTCCTGGTTCCTGGAAAAAAGTTGCTGCTTTGGAAAACTGTCGTAGGTTGGCGGTATTTTGCAAAGACAGATAGACACACTCCTCTCATATCTGTAGTGTGTCTTTGTATTACTCTCTGGTTACACCGGCGTGTCTGTGAGGGACTGTCTGTGCACTGTCCAATCAGCCAAGCTTCATTAGCCTCTTTGTGAGCTTTTTGAATCTGTTTACACCTGAATTAGCAGCGCCAGTGATCCGTGCACGAGTCGCCGCCTCCGCCAGGACTCCATTCATCCTTACCTGTCTGCTGTCACCTCACACCATCGACCGCTAACCTGATACAACAACACGACGATGACAGGGACCGATTAGCAACAACAGGAGGGAGACAGACAGACAGAGGAGGACTTTTAATGGGCCCAACGACACAAAGAGATGTACACTGAATGAAAATTGATGGAATTCAGTGAACAATACTCAAAATCCATCCAGGCAGAGCAAGTTTTCATCTTAAGAGCTGCTCTTCTCTCGTTAAACAACGCAGCATCGAGAAATGGAGGCTGCTTCCATCGATTAATATCCAGCGAACAGGCTCCTCTCATCACCAAACACCCCGGCTCTTCTTCTTCTTCTCCTTCTTTGTCGACTTATTTATTCATGCTGATTTTATTCCTGATGAGAGAGCCGCCCGCATGGCTGCGTTTTAAATAAATCCTGATATATTCATCTATTACAAAAGGCTCACACAGTCAGGGAGTAATTGCAGCACAGCGTTTAATACTCTTTAATTCAGTGTAATCACATTATGCACTGTCGCTATGTCTGGGTCTGTTTTAGAGGGCCTTTGGCTGTTTGCGCAATACGGCTTTCTTTATTTCTGTGTGAGGAATTCAGCCGAGAAAAGGCTGATCCAGAAATCCGTCTTCACACATGTGCAGACTGGGTTTCTATCCTCGATATCGAAGACTGTCAGCTGCCAAAAGTGGATGAATGTGAGGTGTCTTTTCTGATAACTCTGATTTGATCAAACCAGTCTGAATCATTAGCTCTGAATCATCATGTCCTATTAGAGTCACTAATATAGTCTCTTCTGGGAGTCTCTGAGCTCCATCATGCCGTAGGTTCCTCTGGATCGCTGCTGCAGACATTTTGCTGTCACCTCTGTCCATCTCTCTCTTTCTCCATCTCCCTCTCTTCCCTCTCTAAACCCAGATCAGTCTCAGCAGATGTCTGTCTAACATGAGTCTGGTTCTGCTCAAGGTTTCTGCCTGTTAGAGGAAGTTCTTCCTCTGCTGCAAAGTGTTTCAGTCATGTGGTTGAAGATCGGATTTGAGTGGGTCTGATCTTACAAGATGGGGCTCAATCTGATCCCATCTGTACATTAGGTCTTTGTAAATAGAATCTGGTCTAAGACAGTTTTTTAGGATAACACTTGTTGTGAATCGGTGTTGTAGTTCGATGGATTGAGAAGATTTGCTGCTGTAGACTTAACCCTGAAATGATACTATTCCCGGTGATGTTTGGGAGAAAAACTCGTCTGTTTTCTGTTTTTTCTGGTTCCTGATAACAAAAAAAAGCATTTGGTTAACCATTAACAGAGCAGAACAGAACTCAAATTAATCTTTGCTACAATTTTTGACCCTTAATTGCATAAAAAAATGATTAAGACCAAAAATAAGGTAAACCCGTACCCCTAATAACTGCTGATAGTGCCCGTCGACTTCTTCTACATGCTTTATTTTGTCATTTCATGTTAGATAATCAAACTCACAAGGCACCAGGCTCTATAAATCCACTTCTCTGTACAAACAGCAGGGACTGTGAGAGTCTAGAAGAGGTAATGAATATCTCTGTGAGGTTTGTAGACTGTCAGCGAGACTCCCAAACCCACTTAAATGGCTTCACGCTCTACATCCCTCCCCATCTCCTGTGCCCTCCAACCTCAGGAACAAAAAAAAGGAAAAAAAAAAAAAGGGTTGTGCAAAAGCTAGAAAATGAAAGTCAAACTAAACCCTGCCCAGGAGGTTTCCCATGATACACCTGGGCGTTTCAGTGCGAGTCCAAATGTACGTGTGTGTGGTTTTTTTTAGGGTAATTGTAAGCAGTTGAATGGGGACAGTATGTCTAATTGGGGACAAAATTGGGGTCCCCATTTGAATTTTACTGCAGCTGCATTCAGCCTCATGTGAAATGGTTTCTGTCTTAATTGTCAAGTCAAGGTTAGAAATTGGGGTTAAGTTCAGGTTAACTGTTCGGGGAGGAAATTTATGGCAGTGCTTTAAAAGTATGTTAACGAAAGTGTGTGTGTGTGTGTGTGTGTGTGTCTGTTTGAGGGTTGTCTTAGGACAGAAGCAGAAAGAGGTAAAAGCTTTACATTTCCCTTTGTCTTCCTTAAACCTGCTGATGATCACATTTCCAAACCCTCCGACAAAACAAACAAAACATCACATTTATCATCAAATTCTCAATGTTTTAAACAAATTACATAACTGAAGAGCATCTGAGTTCTGTTAAAGAGACACTAAAACTCACTGAGACTAAAGGGCAAAACAAATGCAACTGTGGAAACATACAAGTGAAAAAAAGCCAAAACAACAGCATGAACAGCAAACATACTGCAAGGACGTAAACAATGCCAAGCAAAAAAGCAGAAAGCTGCAAAGAAAAAGGAGAAAATATGTAAAACGGATTCATCAAGGTGCTCCAGGCCTGTAGAGGGCGCTGAGTGACAGAAATTGAATTTATTATTTACTCTGATGGTCTCATTTATTCTTCTAGGTCACACAGAAGTTCTAGAATAAGATTTTAATAACAGGAGATCTATTAAATTCATTTTCACCTCTCAGTCAGTACGTTGACATACACAGCTTAATCGGACTAAGCTCATAATTCCTTTTTTCACCGAATCGGACTTCTCTCATTGTCCGTGTATACGTGCAGCTGAGGAAATTGAGTTATTGACGTGAACGTGTCCTCCTCTCCAAAACTAGGCGGCGGTATGAGTCTGTTTCCAACCCCATACAAGCGTCAACAACAGCAGGTCCATGCCAGACGTCAGAAGTGTCTACAACTGCTGTTCGGCATTTTACAAGCAAGAAGATGGAGCGTCGTACAGCGTTTTTGTCACACATGGTGTATGCACTACGTTTTCTGCACGAGATTCACGCTACTCCTCTTCTCTAGTGTTTTTGTTCTGGGGTTACAGGGGCGTGGCGCACACGCACATTCATTGTCTGATCATACTCCTACTACGCTGGTTACATGGTAGAGAAAATCGAGTTCCAATCGCATTATCTGGGTCTTAATTGGAGTTCTCTGTCTCCAACCAAAGTTCTCGAACTCTGATTATGGTCAGACTAAGGTGTTTACATGCACTTCAGTTGTCTGGTCTTCATTGGAATAATGCAATAATCTAGTTTTCTCAAATGTCATGTAAACGTACTGACTGTGTCAGTCTGGGTCACCAGAAACTCCTTATTATTTATCTTATATTGACATCTTTGAGACCCCCTATGTCAGCACTTTTTAGCCTCAGCTTGAAACACTGAATTTTTAGCTGCTTTTTTCTACTGATACAAAGTTAGACACAGCTCATGGGTGTTACTTTTTACACAGTTCTTTGACCCACAAGTTATGGCTTTTCGGGAACTGTTAAAATAAAGCTGTTAATGCACAGTTAGCTCCCTCTTTAGCTGCTGTTATAATGTTATTTACAGCTTGTGGTCCCTGGTCCTTGTAAAATATCTTCAAGCTGGTACAGCCCCAAGTTTCAGTAACGTCTTTGCAGTAACTCGATGATAAATTTCATAAATCCCTCTAAATCCAGCTCCTCAAAGTCAAACTACTGTAGAAAATGTAGATCTGTTTTGATTTACTCCATCATTTATACAAGTAATATGCTTTTTTGCCGTCTATTCTTCTTTTCAGTTCATTTGTTATGCACCAAGACACCAAAACAAATCTGTGTTACCATAAATCTACTCGGCAACAACCTGTTTCAGATTTTTCTATATCAAAAATGATCCGTTGTTAAGTCCAAACATCATGTTTTCTGCGCCCCACGTTCATTCAATCCTCTGAAATCTCATCACACCATCTGAACTAATTCTGATCATCGTCCTTTGGTCTCTTTTTAACACGCCTTAATGTCTACATGCCTTTTAATTTACTCTCTGACAGGGCCACGAAGTCAACCGTTCAGACAGATTCGACTCATCTACTCACTACAAAGAGAGATAAACATTTCTGCATAATTGCCTCTAAAAATAATCAACCTTTTGAAGCCGCTCGACCTCGACGCCTCCCGCTGTCTCCGCTCTGACTGACTGACATGAAATACCTTTTTTTTTTTTTTCATGAAAGAGATCCGCTCTCAGGTGTGTTTGGCCCCTGAAGAGCCACGTGTCAAACCAATCAGAAAGGCTTGACAGTATCTCTCGAATCGTTGTCCTTCAAGTCGCCTTTCATCCGTCTTCCCGCGGTGTATTGTCTCTGAACGCAATATCACAGAGGAAGAAAAAGGCAATTAATTTCTCACCTGCAGGAGATCTAGATCACGTTTTTCTATGGACTCAAAAGAAAACCATAACTTGAAGATACAACCCACTCTGAACATGAAGAGTGTGATCTCTTTACTCTCTAATGTTCCTCCTCTGGGCAGACCCAGACTAATAGTGCTCAGACTCCTCTCTTCTGTCCACAAATGTACAGCGCTCTATTACAGCTCTTTCTTTTTTCCTCCTTCAGGGCTCCGGTGAACAGAGCAGTAATGGGAACATCAGTCGTCCATCCTCCTCCTCCTCCTCCTCCTCCTCTACTGTTCTTTATCTTTCTCTCTCGCTTCGCTGGGAGGAAGAGGAAAAAAAACAGAGGTTAAAGAGCTGAATGGACATACTAAATCAAACTAGTTTGAACACACAAAAAGAGCTCACAGTGGTCACGTTTGGTATTTTAAGTCCCACTCCGATCGTTTTTTTACTACTTAAAGTGTCCTCAGTGGTCTTTAAACTGTGATTATGAAGTTTTTTAGCCAAAATCGTGTTACCTGTGTCATTTTTAAGAGCTTTTCTTCTGCAGAGCTCCAGGAGCTCATTAGCGGTTCACCTCTGAGTCGTGGGTGGAGACAGGGCTGCTCTGTGCACTTCTCTTCACGCTAGCTTGCAGACTAACGTTGCTGGTGTAGTCGAAGTAGCAGGTAACAAAGGAGCTATTCGGCTCTCGAACACTAATGTCTTTAGGGACATGATGAAAGCTAACATCATTATTAGCTTTCTTACAAGCATTGCAATCCGCTAACGCACACACTTGTTCCGCGGTCCTCCTTTCTATTTCTCAGAGTGTGGTCTGCATAGCTGGGCTCTGGGGGCGGAGCTTAGATTTGTGATGTAGGTAATCTCACTGTTTCTTAACCTGCTATTTGGGTCTGCCAGAGGTTCACCGTGATTTGAATGAAAAAATACTCAGAAATGAAATTTCGCACTCATTTTTCTCATGATACACCCTGTGGCATCAGAAAAATGAACATATGAACATGTAGACAACAAAAAGAACATGATTTTCATCGGAGTGTTTGTTTAATGCTGTCAATTGTTAAATACTTGACATGCTAGCATACATAAACCTTATGTATGTAAAATAACTGAACACTAACCCACATTTGCATCAATATGATATTTTTATTTTGCATTAATTAGGTTATATAACATTTTTAAAAAAAACATGTTTTTTAAACTCCTTGCAGTTTACTCTCGTTTCGCATTTTGAGTCAAGCTGTGAGCGTCTTCACCGTCTGCAAAACAAAACCAGGTCCACTCATCCTCATGGAGCTAAAAACCTGTCCACATGTGGATGATGAGCTCAAAGAGGAGAGGATGATTCCTGATAAACTCTAGGTCACAATCTACAACAAACACAAATAACTTCTCTATACTTGAGTGCATGTTAATTTACATATGTGCTCCATTCTAGGGCTGGATAATATGGCCTCAAATCAATATCACGATATATTGATCAGTTCACCTTAATAACAATAAATGGATGATAACTACTCCACAAGCTGCTCACCCCCTCCCACATTAACTTTGTCTTCTTCAGCCGCTACAACTTTTGTTACAGACTGGATGGGGTGGAGTCACGTCTCTGACGTAGGACAGCGTCTTAAAGAGACGTGAGACCATAGCCTACCTACACACATCCAAAACCAACTTTGATTCATTTATTTTTTGACATGGAATATACCGCCATGGAAAAAAATGACATCTGTTATTGTCGTAAATTTCATTCTTGTTAAATTTTTCTTTTATCGCCCAGCCCTACTCCATCCACATAAGCAAACAGCACAGACACAGAGAGCCGTTAACTAGTAGTGCATTTAACTCACTGATTGCTCTCCAAATTAAATGCTATCCTTCTAATTTACACTAATCTAGTAAGTGCAAAATCCATTTATCTCTTGTATGAATCCGCGGTTTCCTCAGAGGACCTGCAGGATCTGTTAAAAGTACGCACAGAGAAAGAATTATACAACACCTGCTACAGTTTCCACCATGACCAATATTTAAAGACCTCAAATATCCTCAAGTTATGATTCCTAATGATTCGTTTGTGTGAGGACTTATCATTAATTCAGCGCGGTTATTAAACTGGGAATTGCACCTGCAGAAATGCCCGGTGTGGTAACAGATGCAGTGACAGCCAGAGTTTGCCAGAGTCTGGCGGGGCAGGTGGTGATGATTTGGTGCCTCTTTTGTCAGCACCATCTTGGGATTTGTTCGCGACTGCATATCTGTTTGTGACTGACAGTAACTTCACTTTTCTTTATGAGTTCATTGGGAAAAAGTTGCTGAAAGTTTGTGTCTGTCAGACTGTTTAAAGCGAATTTAACAAATCTAAAACTAGTCCAAGAGTTTCCTGTTATCAGAGAGCTTGCCCCCTCACCTTGAATGTTTAGTCTCTCAGCAGAAAGAAAGTCAGAGCCACCAACCTTTCAGAATCTCACCTGAGAGAGTCTCGAGTTGGGATCAGATAAAGGCTCAAGGGTCTGCACTGAAAGCAGGAACACAGAGACGGGTGTTGTCTCAAGCTCCACGGAGGGTCAAACACATTTGTAACCGGCGAGTGAGCTGCCACAGAGCAGATCTACAGGGACAGGATTTAAGCAGGATCTCAGGCCGACAGGTCGTTGTGAGAGTTAACGAGATAAAGAAACTGAAGACCTGAAGAGGTGAAGACTGAGAGGGATGATGGGTTATATTTTACAGGAACCTAACAAGCACCAGGCAGCAGACACATTAACAACAAGAGGGCAAGATAGAGCACAGTCCTGAGGGGATGATTGAGTATTTTAGAAAAGCAGCAGTTCAGGCCTAGTGGTCTAAGAGTCTCTCTGTTCTCTCTCTCCCTGTTTTCTGCTCTATCCTCTCCAATGAAGGCGCAAAAAGTCTGAGAATGAAATTAAGAAGTAATGCAGCAATTTGTCAATAAGTTTGCCATTTTAGTTTATAAATACCCTGTATGCACTGTTGATGAAGTTAGGTGCTGTTCTGAGCATTATTTGTGGCTATAGAGTGGCCTTTTGGTTGAGGTTTGTTTATGGCTCCTCAGACTACTGTGTATTGCTATCCTGCGGTCGTCACTAAAGTTGGTAAAACTAGAGAAGCAAGCGGTCGGCAACATTCATCTCTGGACGGGGTGTCTTATCCAGTGTTACAGTGTGTTTGACCCTAAATAAATTTTACGCTGGAATATCCGTTTAGCGATGTTTTCCAAAAAAATTGTCAGTGAAAAAATGACCCAACCTCACTTTAAAAGATATACAGTATTTTGATTATCGTTTGCTTTACTATTGCAGACAGGACTGAAAAATCGTGACTACTTCTTTTTTTTTTACAAGCCTGCATCATTTCATCATTTCTGCAAAGTTTTTATCCTTTATATACAATGAAGTCATGAGAAAATCTTGTTTATTGGTTTTACACACATTGGTTTTAGTCATTAAATTTGCCTTTTCATTTTCATGTGTATCATGCAGAAAATTGCAAACTGAAGCGACCCCGGATGACATCCCTGTGGAACACCAAAGACGTTAGCACCAACATCCCAGAGGCTAAAATCTGGTTTACTACACTACACAGGTAATAAAGTGGATAAAAAATGGCAGTGTTTAGCACATCTTGATAGAATTAAGATTTTAATTACTTTAGATCTGAACACACGTCAGTGATCCAGATTTCAGACAGAAGGGAGTCAAACATTTGGCTCGAACACAGTTTGGACTGCTGGTTTTCTCCTCAAACTGTTCAGGTTATATTGAGGAACCAAAGTGTTTCTGTTGCCTCTTTAGTGTTTCCACACAAACAGAGAAAAAACAACACCATCCCCACCATCAACCAGACACAACAGAAGCGTGCAAGTGTGTTACCATCTGTCCGGCTTTAATCGTTGGCAGATTCGCTTTTTTCCAGACAACTCTCGGCCAAAACGTCCTGTGCTGCAGCCATGCCTGCTCGCACAGAGGGACGTGAAAATTATGTTTCAGCACATGTGCGCAAACTTGAATCTGTGTGTAGATGTGCCAGTGAAGCTGAGAGGTGACAGAAACATGTCCTTTAACATGTTGTACTCCCTAAACCAGCCGGGTCAAAGGAGGATATCTTTCTGTGGTACCTGCAGGGTAACAGTGTTTGCACAGGATCTCCTCTCAGGTGTCACTTTACACTCGTGTAGGAATGTGAAGATGACAAACAAGCAACAAGCATGACACTTTTTCAATTTTCAGTGTAAGCACAGGTGTGAGCCCCTCAAGGTGTTCCCGTTGAGAGTGTGAAAAAGACGGCGTCGCTGAAGGAGACTCCACGGGACTGTTGACATGCGAGGGTTTTAGCCTCTCGGGACGATGGTTAAGCTCAGCAAATGTCATGAAAAAAAAAAGAATATTGGATTAAATGTCATTAGTGAAAATAAGACACCCCTAAGGTGATACAAGAGGAAATAATGGACTTGTCTAAAACTGCAATTGACCGTTCAAGGAAAATCCAGACAAGAGATTCTGTAGATTTTCGCTCTATTTACTCAGAAAGAGACACAAATATCATGTAATTATTTCATATTTAATTAAAAACATTGTATCTAATTTTATTATGTCACTTGATGTCTAATTATTTCGTATCATATCATTAAGTATCGGATCATTTAGTACTGTATCGTATCATAAAGTTTTGTATTGTTAAGTATCATATCGTTGGGTTCCGTATCTTATCGTATTGTGAAGTACCGTATTGTCAATTACCGTATCGTGTCAAGTTGTTAAGTACCGTACCATATCGTATCATATTGTATCGTTAAGTACCGTATCCTACCGCATTGTTTAGTACAGTATCGTATCATTAAGTACCGTATCGTATTGTACGGTATCGTATTATATTGTCAAGTACCATATTGTATCATTAAGTACCTAGCGTATCGTATTGTTAAGTACTGTATCGTATCACATTCTCAAGTACCGTATCATATCATATTTTTAAGTACAGTTTCGTATCGAATTGTTAAGTACCATATTATATGGCATTGTTAAATACCGTATTGTATCATCAAGTACTGTATCATATCATAAAGTACCGTTTCGTAATGTATCATACCATTAAGTAATGTATCGTATGGCATCATTAAGTACCATATTGTATCATATCGTTCAGTACGGTATAGCAATATATGTTTCTTTTTTAACAATACAACAATTGAACCGGAGTTGTACCGTACGGTATGGTATTGTTACGTACCGTGTTGTATCGTTAAGTACGGCATCATATTGTTAGGTACCATATCGTATCGTTAAGTACCGTTTTGTATGGTATTGTATTGTTAAGTACCGTACTGTTTCATATTGTGAAGTACTGTATAGCAGTATACTGTATGTTTCTTTTTTAACAAAACAACATTTGGACCAAAGTCGTATACATATACTTGATGTGTTTAATTGTTGTTTTTGAAGTCGGTCTGACTCTTCTGATCCAATGATTTAGAAAGAACTCCAATTATAACTAAATCTTCTTAATTTCAACAGATCGTGTCATTATTTTTTCAAACCGCTAACTGTAGAACCTCCAGTATTTTTTTCCAGGACTTACGCCAGGTCATACTGCAGATTATATTTACATTATGTGAGACACTGTCTGACACTTAACTGTCAGACAGATGGAAACCTATAAGGGGGTCTTCAAGAAACGGCGTCCCCCCTCAAGCTGTCCTTATACATGACCTCCAACCTGGAGTGCACCACAGGGCCGATGACTGATTGAAGCAGATGGGAGAGCTTTAAATGACCATACTGGTGATTTAGCACGTTCCAGTCCAATGACCACAAATGACATGCTAAGCTAGGCTGCTACATAATCAAGTCGTTATTTATGTTTACGCCTCTGCTCTGTCCTCTGGTGAGACTGTCTGACTTTGTCCCTGGTCTTAAGTTGTCCACTTACAGTACAAGGCAGGAAGAGGCTCGTGAGTGTGACCCAAATGTGATGAGGTCAAAATGAATGCCCATCGCACACTGACCCTCCAGAGAACAGACAGGGAGGAAGTAAATCTCTCGCCATCGCCCGTTTGTCTTCTTGTGTGTACATGCCAAGACAACTGATATCAGCTTCAAGATCAGGCTCCGTAGCTGCCACTGGGATGAAGTACAGGTGAAGCACCTTCACACCAACACATAAAACACAGTGACACCCTCGCAGGTGAGGTGAGAATTATTATATGACAGGTCAGAGCGGAGCAGGAGCTATGCACACAAAACAGAGATTAAAAAATAGACATATATAACCTTCGCTTTGTCAGGGCTGTGCTGCTCATCCAAGAGGACGAAACTGAATCAATAACTCACAGTACATACCCGTCAAACATAAGATTATGACCACTGAAACGTGGCATGAGTGCCATTGATTATCTTTTTGAAATGCCTGTCAATGCGTGAGATATGTTGCACACAAGAAGCAGGAAACGTGCTAGCTAACGGTGGGCCACACCCAGACCAGATCTGATCAGACCTGCAACTTTTGACCGGTTCCTTCTCTGCAACAGTATCAGAAATAATTCAGTGAAGGTGAACAGGTAACCCTGCAACAGGTTACTCGTTTATTTCAAAATGGACAAAAAGCAAAATGATGAAGAATTTATTAAAACGAAAAACAGAAGTGGTCCTAGACTACTCCCCTGTGGAACTCCAACTTTCCTATAAAGCCGTGTTTCTTATAAGAAGATCCAAAAAACAAAACAAAATTCATGCATGGTTAGCAAAGGCTGACCTGTGTGATCCAATCAAACAGAAGAGCTGGAATAAGACGGAAATCTACAAAATCGTGCCAAAAAAGCTGCAAAATTTGAGCGGGGTCTGGCTGCAGACCTCTACTGAGAGGAGCCAAGGTGACGTATTTTTTCACGCGCTCCAGTTAGTTTGAGGTGGTCGTCCTGTTTTGTATTTTCTCTTTGTTGAACACATGAATAAACCAAAAAATGATATACAAATTAATATTATATACATAAAATAAAGCCCCAAGACATGAAATGTATTCACACAAGACAAAAATATGTACTTCCCAGTCTAATCACTTTTAATTTGAAAGGCTTCAAATCAACTTCGGATGTAAAAAAAAAAAAAAAAGCAGTCTTGGTATATTTGCTTTTATTTTGAAAGGCTATAAATCAACTTCTGGCCCTTACAGTGGAGTTCTGCAGCCACTGTCTTGCAAAATTTGGCCCACTGACAGACAGTTTGTTCACCTGTGTGTAGGGACATCTGGTTCTGATCATAGTTACACAGTTTCTTAATATCAGGGTTGTAAGACTAGTTTTAAAATTCATTATACTTCATGGTGTCTGGCGTTTATTTAAGTAGTTGATCAAGAGACAGACAATCCTCCAAATGCGTATTCCCCTCATGGTCTGATAGTTAAACATGTCTCAAACACAAGATTGTCACGTTGATAGAAACACAGAGCAATAACAACAAGTAAAAATAACAATTAAAACTTGCATGAATTATTTTGTTTATGTTTTAATTTTGCATGTGTGTGTCTCTCAGAAGCTGCAGACCCCCAGACTCGGTGACAGATCTGTTCCCATCCTCTCCTGTGAGCAGACATGTAAGTATTAGAGAAACTCAAATATTTTATTAAAATCTTTGAGCACCGGCCAAGATCTGACTGACAATCTCTGACTTTACACTCCAGACTCATTATTATCCACATGGGTGATCTTGTTCAGTCCTCTTCCTGCTCTGCTGCATGAATTCAGATTACAGGACTGTTCAGTGTGACCTTACTGTCAAACAGATGGGAACCCGAGGAAGGGGGTCTTCCAGAAACAGCACCCCCTGTCCTCTCCCACCTGTCCTCGTACACGACCTCCAACCTAGAGCTCGCCGCGGGGACTGATGACTGACATGAGATCACTGAAAGGATTGTGCAGCAGGAGGAGAAAGGTGTGGAAGTTATCCTTTCTCATAAATTAAAATGATTTTGAATTCGGAGGTTTCTCTTTTTTCTATCACAGCTGTATAACAAACAGCTTCAGAGGTCGGCTTTCACTGGGAGTTGTTATTTCTGTTTTTCATGTGTTTCATACGTGGTAATCCATTTGTGTCTGAGGGCTGTTTTGACAGCTCCTGAATATTGTTGCGCTCACCAAAGCCCTACCACTTCATATTTAAAGCTGCTTTGTTAGAGTTTTGGCTGCGAGGGTTGAGACAAAAAATTCTGAAGCAAGTTGACTGATAAACAGAAAACAAGCCTCACGGTTTGAACTGATCAGCAAACTTGAAGAAATTATTCATTTTTACATCCAGGAGACATGAAGCAGTGTTAGCATTACCCGGTAATACCACTGGATCTGGAATGGTTCCAATCCGCCGCCACCATCAGAGAAGCTCTCGCAATATTACCGACAGTTCCATGCGAGACTGGACAAGATCTCACGTGTTTCCCGTGAGACATTGAATGAGATCAACCGGTCGGTGTATGTAAACGGTGGTGTATTTAACCTCCTTAGACCTGGCGTCCACATGTGTGGACATCACATTTTTGATTGTCAAGACCACAATATTAAATTTTGTTCACAAGGGCCTTCTCTCAAAATTTAAAACGAATGTCCTCATATGTGGACATCATTTTTCTCAGAAACTACATCATGTAAAAAGATCATTCTTTGTTTTTACACTCATCAGGTCCCAATTTGCCTAAATATCAAAGAGAAAATAAAAATGCATGCCTTGCAAGAATTCGGGTCTTAGGAGGTTAAACAGCCATATCCCACAACCCTGGCCTCTCCAGTTACCAAGTTAAGAACAGTTAAACATATTGACTTTCTTTTATTTTGAAAATTAACTGGATATTTTACTCTGTAGCCGCATACACTTCCGCTGCTGCTCGTGCTGCGCTGCACTGAGTTGATGCGCTGTCCTGCGGCGTCCGGCAAAAATAGGTGTCAGAATATGTCTGGCTCACGGATTCTGTGGAATGACACACACAGCCGTTCTGTATCCTGTGGGTTTTGCCTGTTAGGGTAGGGTAGGTTAGTATTTCTGCACACTTAAAACATCCAACACTCTCGGTTTGTTTTGGTTTGGTTTGAATTTCAAGAAAAAAAAAGTACCTCTTGTTGACGCTCACTATTAAAATTCAATTGTTTCTTCATATGCTGACGATACACTGATGTACCTATATGTCTAACCACCAAATAACAAAAAAATGTTGAACAGAAATAATTTTTATTTTCTCTTCTTCTCTGATAAAGACTAAATTCAAACAAGGATGGACATCACAGAACAGATTGTTTCATCATTTACTGGACGATCGCAACAAATCGGAGGAAAACCACGCTAAGCTGTAAGTACTGTACACTCATCTCTTACAACAAGTCTGCTAAGTTTAGATTTTTTCTTTTACCATGACAGATTCTGTGGTGTCAGGTATGTCAAGAGTGTTTTGTTTACCTCGACATGTTTCAACTACAAATTTCCTGCAGTCTTCCTGAATAGAAGTCTAAGGACAGCATCCCGGGTACATAACAACATGTAGGCCCCTCTATCCCAGCTCTCCATCCTCTAGGCTCACTTTCTGATCCCTTACTCAACCCTTATTGGTATCTGTTGTTCTCTGAGTGGATGACCTTGGCCTTTTCAAAGTCCATGGTGAGATTTCCTTTCGTGCAACAGTCTGAGGTGACTGACTTGAAGGATGCTGTCCTAAGACTGTCGGACAATTGGGGGCATGCTCGTCCCATCGCTTCAGGTAGGATGACCAAACCTCTACAAATCAGTTGACGTGCAGTGTCACGACAACATCACGAAGCTCTTCTGAGGGAGACTCCAGGAAGTTTGCAGTCGAGAAATGTCAAGGTTGAAAGGAAAACACGCTGGTCTAGTTAGGAGGAAAGTTTAAAAGTGATAAAATGGTTCATATCTAGAAGTGAGAGGGATAAAAAAGAAAGACTTCCCCAAGTGTATTTGGGGAGGGGACTCATGCATAACAGACAGCGTGCACCTGTTGTTATATGGGTCATCCAAAATAGTAATGACTGACCTCTGTTCACACAGATGAGTCCAATTCACCCTACAAGTGAGCCAGAAATAAGCCTCTGCTCTGTTAGCCTCACATCCGCCAGACTATCAACGCCGTGGGACAAACACAGAAGGTCAGAGAGGGACGGCAGGAGATGATCAAAGTGACAGAGGTAAGAAGAGAGAGATAACAGGGCGGGCAGTCATGCAGAGGGTGTGTTTTTTCCACCATGGTTAACCATTAACACGTGCTAACTGATGCTTTACACACCTTTTGTTTGTTCTTTCCGGGCGATGATAGAAACAGGAAACTGTGTTTCGGTGGACAACAGGAGGAAATGCAATCAATAGTTTCTCTAAGTTGAAAATATGAGTTTAAAAACTATTTTTGGGCAAATGTTCAACAATTAAAACATCTTTTGGGCATTTTTCTCTTGATCTTCTTGATTCCATGAAGAAATGATCATAAATGTTCTTCCTTGAGCTGTGTCACTCCACTGCAGTGGATGGACTCGCCCGGGGGTCTCGCCACAAACAAGCAGCTGCTGGAAGAGAGTGTGAGTAGTGTTTGCTAAAGAAACTAGTCAAAGTTAAAAAGATGTTTGATGGCTAGTACTATGGCTGTGACCCTATATGTCCTGTTGATGAAGTTAGGTGCTGTTCTGAGCATTATTTGTGGCTATAGAGTGGCGTTTTGGTTGAGCGCGTGACTCTCTGCATTTCTATCGTGCAGTCGTTCCTAAAGTTGGTATAACTAGAGAAGTAAGCGGGCGGCATCATTCATCTCTCGACGGGGTGTCTAACTCAGTGTTACTGTGTGTTTGACCCTAATTTAATTTTACGCCGGAATATCCCTTTAAATTCTTCACACCAGTCCTAGAAAATCTGCAAAAATCTGTATAAATGTTTCAGCCAATGAGACCCAAAGTGTCCACTGGTTCTACCACAAACTAACTTTTCTGATAGAGGTCACTGCCCCCGTACGTCTGCTGGATGTCTTAAATAACTTTTACATCATATAACTTTATTAGCCTGAGGTTGTGACGTGTCACCGTGTGTTTACAGCTTCTTCTCCTCCCTCAGGCGCATCAGGTAATACACATTTAACTTACTGATCTGATATTTCCTCCTCCTCCTCTTCCTCCATCGCTGCACGCCACAGATATTAAAAATGCTGTTTACCTCTCAGTGCAGTGGGACGACTCTCAAACTTCCCTACTGTTTTATTCTTGCAGAGGATTCCCTGTTTTTGCCAAACTTTCAGACATCAAAGCGTCACAGCAGAGCTCTTTTACTGTAAAACTGGAACTTAGCCGATCTGTGGATGCGCTCAAGCTGCCGCTGTGTCGACCGCACATACCCTACAGTGTTCTGCATATGGCCGCTGCACCACCTCAGGACACGATCCCCTTTCTTTGTACATTATTATTCCACCTGCAACATATGCTTAAGACTGCGCACAGGAATACGGTCTCACTTCAGCATTAATAATATGCTGTTTTTAGAGATTTGCACCTGCCGCTGATGAGGCTTGTTGGCTTCTTCTGCATCTTAAAAACATCTTTCCAGTAGTTTCCTGTCATTTGTTCATATTCAGTGCGTTATTATCAAACTTGTAAAGCACTTTTTCTTCAATAACACTAAAAAAAGTTTGTTTAAATTTTTCATTTTATTGGATTTTACCTCACATCAAAGTTTGCCTTTGGGAATAAGGGCCAAACAACTTGTAGTTGAGCTACTTTTGAGAAGTTTAATGATAACTTTTCAATCAATAATTTGTTAAGATCAAAATTCTCAACTCCAGATATGTGCTCAAAACTAACGCCATTATATCATCTTTATCTCCTCCTAAGTAGTGCTCTTTCTTCTGCCTCTAGTGAGTCTCAGTTTTACTGTAAATACCAAGTAACACAGAGACTTCCCCCTGATTCAGTAACGGGTAAGAAACTCAACACAAAAAAACTGATTTCTTTGTGATTTACTCTTTCGGGCTGCTGTGAAACTCCGTCTACTCAGGGCGCTTTAAAAAAGCAGAAAAAAACAACAGATTTCAGAGTAATGTGAGGTGACTCTTCATCGAACCATCTGTGTGCTCAGCTGTGCAGCATATGGAGCAAATCTGAGAATGTGACTCTGCCATCGTTCATAATTGGAGTCTAATCAGGACAGACTGCTAAACAGTAAAAATGTCAGGGCATGACCAGATAACATGACCGGACTCTGTTAAAAATATAAATCTTATAACTTATATTTTTACCCCAGAAATACTCAAAGTGCTGCTGTATTGTCCATTTTAGGCTGCCGTACATTTTGATCAGTCACTTCATGTTTTTTAGCAGTAAACTCAGCCACTGTTAAATTTTTAAGTGCGCATGTATTGGGATAATTACGAGTAGGAGTTACAGTGAGCAGTTTTGTCCTGTTATAATTCTACGTTCCAGTTTCCTTGGAAGTCGGATGTTGGAGCTGGGAATGACGTTACACCCGAGTTGACGGCTTTCTAGTTACAAAGTCGGAAAACCAAGATGGACGACTACTGTTAGCCGTTGTTAGCTGTTGTTTACAACTTGTTAGCTAGACCAGTTGCAAACAACGCATAACACAGTTTTTTACTCTTACTAACACCATAGCGCCGTGTTCACGTTTAGACGTTGGGAAGTAAAACATAAACCATTTATTTAATTTCACAAAAACAAAAAAGAAGTGCTAATAAATTTAACATTACAAGAGGTTTCACTGTTACTCTTTACTGTTGATGCACTGAGCTGCCATCTCAGATTGTGACGTCGTCGTCAAGTCGAGGTTGGTGAGGATCGTCCGACTTTCCGAGTCGCAAATTCGACTTCTGAGTGCAACTGGAACGCAGCAGAATTCCCCTATCTACTTTTGTTCGAACATATTTTGTTTGCATTCCACTTAAGTTGGTCATTAGCCAATCAGAAGGCTTCTTTTATCCGGCCAATTAGAGACATGCTTCCAATCAGCCAATAAGAAGGCTGTTTTATGGGGAGACTCCCTACCTTAGAATAATTAAGATGACTCCCTTTGGTCAGCCAATCATAAAGCTCCTCCTGATTGGTTAATCAGATCCGACCCTTTATTAAGCCAATCAGAATGCTTCTCTCATTCCATTATCGCTCTGAATCTACCATAATAACTGAAAACTTGCTGATCATTGTGAAGTCGACTTTACTCAGCGTTCATGATGAGGAAATGTCTCTTTACAGTTTTTGAGTAAACAGACTGTAATTCAGTTTTAACAGCGTAATTAAACCACCTATACTCGTCACAGCGGTGTGTAACAACATTCACTTCCACCATCAACTCTGATCTGAATGAATAAAAGAAATCATTTTCGTACTAAATCAAAATCCTTCGGCTCGGCGTCGGGGAATAGATGTTGTAGCTTTCAGTGTGTGTCTGTGTTGATAAAAATGAGCAGGCTGTGGACATGAATCATTTCCGTCGTCGCAGGTATTACAGTTGTGAGCCTTTGGCGGTTCACCGTGATTGATAACGCCGATGATTACAGCGCACTGATGGCAGAGGGAGGAAGAGCAGGAGGAGGACGAGAGGGAAGGAAGAAGCGTCATGACACTAATGATAATTACTGAATTGTTAATATCTGAGTCTTAAAAAAGTAGCCGTGCCTTTACTTCTAATCTTACCTGTGATTACAGACGGTATCACTCCGATAAGAATAACCATAGATCTACAGCGGCTGGGCTGTTTACTGCTCAGTTTTTCTTTAAAATGACATGAAGGTGATAAGATTGTAAACTCTACACTTTGATTTGTGTTTTTTCTTTGGCTGCAGCTTCATGACAAACTGTCTTTTTAGTTTACTAGTCCTCAAACACAACGACCTTCATAAAAATGACAAATTAGCCTAATGTATACAGTTTATGCACTGTATGTCACAGTAACATATGGCTGATAATTTATGGATGATGTCTTCTTAATAACAGCAGCCTCTCCACTACCTGCAACTGAACTTAAGTGTGGAGACGTGTTTGGAGAGACTGATGTTTGCAGCTGAAGGAGGACGTCTGCAGGAGCGATCTAGAAGAACCTACAGGATGAAGGAGCTCAGAGACCCCCAGAAAAGACCCCGACAGTCTGACCTTATAGCAGCACAAGGTCACACAAATCCATATGGAGGCCCTGAGAGGCCAGGGGAGTGGTTCAAGCGCAACCCATCTGAGAGATCATGAAGTAATGGTACACATCAGTCTCTTTTAGTAGAAATTAGTTTAACTCCTACAGGTGATAAAAATGTGTCTAACCCCAAGTTTCCACTGCATCCGGCTTGACTACGAAAAGGCCGTATCCACTGATCGTAACCGTTCAGGTTAATGTGTCAATTTCCACCGGATTCTTCTGGTTCCACTGCGGATCGCCGGACTCCGCCGCTGATCGCAAGAGTTCTGTTTTATGAGGAGATGCTGATTTTAGAAGTCTAGAAGTAGATTTCCTCCTCCGATAGGACACAATCTACTGCTTTTATGGTTATATGGCCGTCTTTATAGAGACAACTCTAGTTTTGCCGGCTGTTTAGATACGTATTATGGCTGCATGTCGCCACCTACTGTTGTGGAGTCAGTAATGTCAGTTACTGTCAGTAATTTTAATCGCGCGATTCCACGTGAATCTGCAGGTTCTTGTGAGTTCTTTCGATTACCGCTGTCCGTAATCCGCCATGAAATCCGCCTCACAAACGGATCTGGTAGGAATTGGCGGATAGCGAAAATCGCTTCTGTTCGGGATCGGAGCCGTTGTGGAACCGGATGCATTGAAAATTGGGGGGAACATTTTGTCGAACTGCTTAATCAGTTTTTTGAACTTTTTTTTCTACCTAAAAAAAAAAAAATTAACTAAAAAACTTTAATCCTGGCAGAACTTATTTCAATACGTCTCATTTATGAAATAAAAAATATTATCGATAACCCTTTAGCTTTTCTCTTTTGCCTCTCTGGGCTACCGTAGTTGACACCATAGCAACAAGATATTAGAATAAGATTGTGTTGTGGCCATGAAATTTCCATCAAGTGTGTGTGTGTGTGTGTGTGTGTGTGTGTGTGTGTGTGTGTGTGTGTGTGTGTGTCGGCTTGTCTGGCTCTAGTCTGGCTAATTGGAGGGTGATTATCAGCCCGTCACTGTTGGAGTGAGACTGACAGACTTTCTCATCAGGTAACAGTGGGTCCTTCACAAAGACACACACACATACACACACACACACACACACACACACACACACACACAGACAGGCAAACACGTGTAGGTGCTTGTCCATAAATACTCACAGGGTTGATTCACAGTCAGAACAAACAGGTATGAATAAAAACAACACGAATACGAGGCTGTAAACACATTTGTGAGCGCACACAGACGCACACAGACACACATTTTCTGCTCAGTCGAACCCGCTCTGTCCCTGTTCAGCCAGGCAGAAGGTCAATGTTTTTCTTTGAGCTTATTGAGGGTGAGCAGCTTTAACCTTTACTGAACATGTTGTCAACAGCTGCAGGAGCCAACGAGCACACGGCGGACCAAACATGACGCTTTTAAGAAGACGGTGCAGGAGGTTTTCAGTGACTTCATTAAACTGCCACGTTAATGTAAAGCTGTGAAATGAAGGGTTGGCAGACGACTGTCTTTATTCCAGTTTACAACCACAGGGCAAGAATAAAATTACTGACAGGAGCACATCTACCTACGCCTACGAAGGATGGCACACCACGCCGATGAGGTAACACACTCGCACACACACACTCACAATGTTCTCATTCAATTTCAACATTTCTGCGCCGTTTTTTGGAAATTTTGCATTTTTTTACTTCCTTTCTTCAACTGTCGAGGTTACGTTTACGATCCGGCTTCCTCGCAATTCACCTATACACACACCCTGACTCAGAGCCAGAACACTTAGGCTAGTTTCGAACAGGAGCAGCAGAGGAAGAGTAAAGGTGGTTGAAAACAGAAATAACTGAATGAACTCGGAGGAGGACGACCGGCAGAGAAGACAAACGGGTTACGAGGGGCCTGACAAGAAATGTGAGCTGTGTTTCCACCAGTTTGTGCCAGATTTTCTCCGACCAGTCCCTCTGTTTCGGCTGGCAGATGGGTCCTGTCGAGTGGCCGCCTGAAGGATGGCACACCACGCCGATGAGGTAACACACTCGCACACGCACACTCACAATGTTCTCATTCAATTTCAACACCTTTCTCGCCAGCGTGGATGCAGAGCTGACAGATTGAGAGCAAACAGGCAGGCAGGCAATCAGCTCAGACACCTGAGAGCGCCCCGAGGACCCCCGCTTTAGCTGGCGGGAGGACGAGACTGCTGGCCACGCCGCAAAACACCAATTAATGCCCGGATAAAAGGCTCTATTAAAAGACCAATTAAAGAGCAATTACAAAATCAGGAGAGGAGTGGTACCTGTTAGCTCTGAGCACAAAAACTAAACATGAACAGGTGTCACGATCAGCTGTAGGGGATGAGCTGACAGTTAAAAGTGTTTCAGGTGAATTCACTTTCAAAGCGTGAGGAAAGTGTCGCATTTCTACCTTTACAGGTTTGTTTTTCCTTCCTTTGTTTTCAAAGTGGAGTTGCATGAGGCACTTGTTTGCTCGACACACTTCCTACCGTGTGAAATGATCGTTCCTCCCATTTTATTGAGAATATGCTCCGGTCATTTAACCCGAGAACACTATCGTTAAAATTAGTAACACCATCACTATCCCAAATAATAAACCCAAGAAAAAGTACTTGTCATCAAAATATATCAAACTAGGACAATACATGACAGATTAAAGTAGTTTTTCTTTTATTTTTAACTGTGTAATGTCCAAAAGGAGGGAAAAAAAAGTACCATGAGGGGACCGTATAAAAATGCAACAAAACGACTGATATTAGGCATTCATGAACAAAAAGTTCCTGAATATATAAATATATAGAAACTGTAAACTTAGTTTCTTTTCCACCTATTTTCTGGGACATGTGAGTCTTTCTCTGTGAAGACTCAGGGTTCTTGGTACAATAAGAGCTGCAGGAGAGAGAACCAAAATATGGCCGATTTAGAGTAAAAATGACCAGCTGACTAAAATATTTCTTATCACCATATGAATTCCCTTGAAAATCACTACTTTGTGATAGTTATTTATAACCGCTGCGCTAAATAAAGATAGTATGTAAATTCCAGGACCACTCTTACTGACCTTATTCCTACATGCAGCTATCAAATCCACCCAAACCCACTTTACACTCTGTCACTACTGCCGGGTGAAAATCACCCAAACACAGGAAACAAATACGCCTTCAAAGATGTCAGAGGCAATGCTGAAGCAACCCGGGGACCCATGATACTCAGACAAACGCAACATCATGAAAATCATGTAAACATGTTTGGTCAGGGGAAAATCATCCGGCGATAGGGTTCAAGGGTTAAGAAGCAGTGAGAAGACAGCAAGGGACGCTATGACGTCAGCGATGGCTTGAACCCCAACTGTTGCATTCATGCATGATGATCGGTGCGTTCATGACAGTCACTCGTTTATTCTGTGCACATAGACAGCCTGCAGCAGCCTGTGTGGACCCTCATGAAGCGTGCCTGCGTATCAAGTGTGTTAATGTCCCCAGAGAACCGAATGCAAAGAGGCGAGGCACACAGGAGCTGCAGACCCAAACAGCTGAGAAGTTCAGATGAACACCTGTAGGTCATGTGAGCATAAACAACCTTTTTGGCTGCAAAGTCACCAACATTAGCTTTTTAAAGGGATATTCCGGCGTAAAATTAAGTTAGGGTCAAACACACTTTAACACCGAGTCAGACATCCCCTCTAGAGAGATGAATGTTGCCGACCGCTTGCTTCTCTAGTTATACCAACTTTAGTAACGACCGCAGATAGCAAAAAAGCTTCGCCATTGTCTTCTTCATCATTCTCTAGAGAGGGGTATCGGGTAGTGACAGGAGCAACACTGCCCCCTGCTGTTTCTGGTGGTACTGCTCCGTCTGGTCTGTATCCGTAAACTTTAAACCCCAATTTCCACAGCATCCGGACACAAAACATCCGGCTTCCGTATTTCAGGTGGATCGTATTTCACACAATGCAAACGGGTGGAGACGAACCCAGTGAAAGGTTTTTAGACAACATTCCACCCCGATGACACCATGAATGAAATTCGTCTCACAAATGGACCTGGTAGGATTTGGTGTACGGTGAAAATTGCCTCCGTTGAGTATAAATGAGTCTTGAATCTGACCAGTACCTCCTACAACCCGACCAGCACAATTAAAATAACCATACAGAGCTCCAATCTGCTAATTGTGTTGAACTGCTTTTGATTGGAGATGTTTGAGTTTTTGGTTTTAACCCAAATTTAAGTGGATGATTAATGAGATTCTCGTCTTTGATATCATTTGGGCATTTTCCCCCGTTTCAAGCCAAATTACCAGAGGCTTCAAAGGCGGAAACGTATCCTAACTTCAGCTTCTGTCCAAGAAAGACCATAGAGGAACACAGCTGTTTCCTGAAGGGCAACGTGATAAGATATCCATGATGATGAAATTTCCACCGAAATAAGCGACCACAAAGACAGGGAGGACTTTATCAGGGCGCTGCGAAGAGTAGTTCTTAGACTGAGGACTCAAATGGTCGTCTAATCACTTAACTATGTGATTACTCTCTATTTCTATCCCCCCCGATGTGGCCTCTCGTGACGGGTCTGAATGTGTGTGTGGGTGTGCGAGTGGGAGGGGGAAAGAGGCAAAGACAGACGGAGACAAGTGTCCTTCTGCTTGATATCTCTGCTCCCATCAGGACCAATCATATATATCAAGAAATTTTATTTTGGTCGTCATGTCACATACCCAGTAACATACCCTGTCAGAATACACACTCACACACACACACACACAGAAACAAACACAATGGATCTGTATGTGCTCTCTCCTGTCCACACACATCGCCATTTACCCGCTTCATTAAAGACATATACACTCACCGGCCACTTTATTAGGTACACCATGCTAGTAACGGTTTGGACCCCCTTTTGCCTTCAGAACTACCTCAATTCTTCGTGGCATAGATTCAACAAGGTGCTGGAAGCATTCCTCAGAGAGCTTGGTCCATGTTGACATGATGGCATCACACAGTTGCCGCAGATTTGGCCGTGTGTTTGACAGATTTTGTCAAATTTGCTCTATTGGATTGAGATCTGGTGACTGTGGAGGCCATTTGAGTACAGTGAACTCATTGTCATGTTCAAGAAACCAGTCTGAGATGATTCCAGCTTTATGACATGGCGCATTATCCTGCTGAAAGTAGCCATCAGAAGTTGGGTACATTGTGGTCATAAAGATATGGACATGGTCAGCAACAATACTCAGCTAGATCAGCAACAGGACCCAACGTAAGGGGCCCAGAGTGCCAAGAAAATATTCCCCACACCATGACACCACCACCACCAGCCTGAACCGTTGATACAAGGCAGGATGGATCCATGCTTTCATGTTTTAGCTACCATCCGAATGTCGCAGCAGAAATCGAGACTCATCAGACCAGGCAACGTTTTTCCAATCTTCTATTGTCCAATTTCGATGAGCTTGTGCAAATTGTAGCCTCAGTTTCCTGTTCTTAGCTGAAAGGAGTGGCACCCGGTGTGGTCTTCTGCTGCTGTAGCCCATCTGCCCCAAAGTTCGACGTTGTTGTTGCTGCTCTGCGAGATTCTGATTAGCTAGCGTGAGCTTATTTGAAACTTCCTGCTATCACTGCCACCTACAGGTTTGGCATGCTCCTCTGACGGCATATCATATATATCAAGGAATTTTATTTTGTTCGTCATGTAACATACAATGTTCATCAGGTACATGAAAATCAGGTACTAGAAGAAGAAATAAATAAAAATGGATATATAAATAGTGTTACATCTTGACCAAAGAAGGCGTAGGCTGAAGCTAATTGCTTATAATGCCGACCCTTTCTCCAAACTTAAATTTATACATGACATATATGTGAAAAGATATGTTGGTATTTAAGTATTTTACAAGAGTATAACAAGAGTATAAAGAGAAAGAAAGGCATATAACACGGGTTAGTGTAAACAAAAACTTTTTTAAAAACGTAGAGATGTGAACGCAGTTTTTTTGTAAACGGAGAGGGTGAAATGTCAGTTTATGAAAATAGCCATATTTGTATAAACGTAGTCTAAAACAACAATGAAAACAAACATCTTTTCCCCAGTATGGAGTATAACATATGCATCATCATAACAGCTTCATAGCCCATTATCTCTGGAAACACCAGTTTTTGATATCACCAGGGGTTTCTCTTTGCTCTCCTCACAGTAGGTGGGATTTACAAGATTGGAAAAACAGTCCAATCAAAATCAGAATAATTCTTTTGAACACTTTGATCAGGATATAATTGCTGATCCGATTGAATTTTAATGGGGAAATGGGGTGCCAATTTGACATTTTATTATGGGCTCTAATGAGGATTGACTCGCCTTTGAAATCAGCCCCTAGTGGTCACTTGAGGAACTCAATATTTCAGCTCAGCTTCATTTCTCAGACCGAGAGGCGTTCACTTGGTTTGTTTACAGCCCGTCTGATAGTCTGAGTGCTTGTTTGTCACTCGGTCTGATGGTAATTTCACTCCAGACAACAGCAATTATTCTTGTGAGGAAACTGACACTCAAAACTCAACTCAACCGAAAGTGATAATAACTAAATTTCATCAAAACAGAGAGATAAAATACTCTCTAGTTTGTCTTGAGACGACGTGATCTGACCGATGATGCTCCGGTGTGCAGATAGTATTTGTGACATCTCCTCTTTCATCTTCTCCATCTCCACCTCTCTGTCCTTTTGAGTGAGGATCTATCCTTGTTACACGGTGGCAGATTGACTTTGGCTGGTAAACAGATACCCTATATCCACGGGGGTCACATTTGTCTTTATAGATACCATGTTGAGACACAGAGAGAGAGAGAGTGTGGGAGAAACAGAAAGTGACACAGAGATGGTCAATAAGTAATAAATAGAAAGGACAACAAGATGGAAGGAGAGTAGAGGACAAGGGGAGGAAGAAAGAGGCGGAGGAAGAGGACGCGGAAGGACAACGAGAAAATGAAGGAGATGTGAAAAAAAAAAACAGACATAAAAAATGATTTTTGGGATCCTGGCTGGCTGCTGTGGGCATCTGGGATGGGAGGATGAAACGGAGGGAAGGTGCGAGGTGATTAAAGTATGGTGTCGACCTCGCGAGGACGTAAAGACAGACGTCATGTCTTCGCTCGTTTTTCCTTCTTACGGCGTTTCCTGTCCTCCTTTTGTCTTAATCACAGGAGAAACAGCTGGCCTCAATGTCAACGCGGGGCTGCTGGTCTGGGATCTGTGGAGGAACACGGCGAGGAGACAGATGCGGATAACTAATGGTGGTCATTATGAAAACCATTAACACATATCTGTGTGTGTGTGAAGGAGGTAAAATTTTGCGTACAGACCACACATCCTTAATATCTGAGCAGACTCTGAGTGAAACACAGTAAACTAAAATACATATGACATAGAATACATGCATTTATCTGCATCTGATATAACCATCAAATAAAAAAAACATTTTCCACTATACCTCCACGTTACTTTTGCAATTACCAGAGGTGGGGGCTTGACGACTCGACTCGAGACTCGACTTGGACTTGAGTCCGGTTTTTGACTTGCTTGATGATCAAGAAATGACTTGGACTATCTTGGGACTTGATTGCTAAAGACTTGAGACTTGACTTGACTTGAGCCCAGTGACTTGAAAAGTCAAGTCAAGTCTTTTCAAGTCACTTAATACCTTACAGCAAGTCCAAACCGTTTAAAAAGTGTCGCATCAACTATAGTCAGGAATTACGGCCGTTGGTAACACCGTGTTGTGTTTCCAAGTCTGCTTATTTAACGCAAAAAAAAACAACTTGTTTTTGGCTTGTTTCTGGAGGTCTGTTTCCTTATTTCTCTCACAAAACTTGGCAACACTGTCTCAAACTCTAGCCTCCCTCATAACGACAACACCGGGAGGACTGAACATAAATCACTCGCTAGTATTGCCCGCCTGTTTCCACGTGGAACAGTGAATTAGAGTATCAGTTTAATGTTTAATTGTATTTGAGTCTTCCTTATTTTTGTCTAAGTTTCCAATTATTAAAGTTTATTTGATTATTTTTTGTATGACATGTAAAATAGTTTGGTTAAAGCTGCACTATGTAACTTAACACAAACAAGATTGCTTGTTTAATAATAAATGCAAATAGTGAAAAATGCTCAAAGATTTATGTAAATCTTTACAAATAACAAATGGTTTATGGCTTTGATATGACTTGTTTTTGACTTGAAAGAAACGGTAAGGACTTGGTTGGGACTCGAAACAAAAAGTTCAGGACTTGGACTTGACTTGGGACTTGTCTGTGTTTACTTGGACTTGACTCAAGACTTGAGAGCAAAGGACTTGGACTTGCCTCGGACTTGAGAGCAAAGACTTGAGACTCGACTTGGACTTGCAACGTGAGGACTTTCCCCCACCTCTGCAGTAAACTCAAATTGCATATAACATAGAAAACATGCATTTTTTAAAACGTGCTTTTATCTGCACCTGTTTTACTGATATAACTATCAGTGATCCATTAAAAAAAAAAACATTTTCCACTATACTTCCATGTTACATTTGCAATTACACTAAACATAGTTCATTGGATATAGTGAGGCGTGGGCTGTGTGGGTGGCGGTGTATTGATGGAAGCTCTGGAGAACACTCTATAGCTCATAATGGTTTCATATACAATACACGGCTTAATGAAATAGTAAGCTGCTTTGATTGATGGTAAAACTCGTGCCATAAAAATTCACAACACTTAATAAAGTGTGTTTAATGACCATATATGTTCCATTACTCTCCTGCCTGCACATCATACAGACATACGGGCGAGTTAATATGATCTATCCGCTGTTTTTTTATCTGCAGACTCGGTTACATCCGACAAAAACAAATAGATAAAAGCTCAGACACATCCAAACATCGTTCTGTGAGGATACACAGACGCACCAAGGTCACTTTGAGCATCTGTGTGAGCAGCAGTGTTGAATGTTTGCTCTGGAAACTGCACTTGATGCCACTTCAAACAACACGCCAAACAACCGTCATCTGTTTAGTGAGTGTGGGCCTATTATTTACAGCCACTCTTTCGCTCGTTGTTCAAAAGAGAGCCGCAACCGGCGCCGTATCATCTTTGTTTCCATCGTAGAAACTAGAAGCAGTGAAACATACAGAGCAGACAGAGAAAGAGGAGGACATTAAAGTGACAGAAAACAAAAAGAGACAGGTGGAAAAATGCAAAATAAGAAATGAAGTCAGGGAGATATATTTAGAGTAACCTTGACTACAGTAAGCTGCGTCTGTAAGTACATTACTCTCTCAAGTGCAGTGGGTTTACAAGTGAAACAGACACAGTGATGCACTGATCTTCTACTACATTGAAATCTGTTTATTTTTCAGCATCCTGTCTCCCTGTTAGGATTACATTTTTCCTCCAAGACCCTACCAACTGTTAAGGTAAAAAAAACGAAGAAAAAGACACACAAAAATTTCCACCTTTGATGGCCGATGGGTCCTCACTGAGATTGAAACCCAAACACATTCACGCTTGCCTAAACTCACACACCTCTCTTGTACTTGTGTTTTCTCACACCGTACAGCCATCTGTCATCCCATGAAGAAGTAATATCACGTCTCAATTTGACAGCCTCCCTCCGAGCAGAAAATCGCCTCTGAGGGACATACCACTGGCATATTTTAGCAAACTCCTCCAGCCTATAATCCCCTTCAGATATCACCATGAGTGTCATCACCTGCAGGCAGAAACATGGCTGGAAAGCCAATTTTATACAACTGTGTGTAGGGTCAGCGATGGCGAACGGTAGTGGTGTATTTAATGAGAGCACCTCTGTTTTTTTCTTTAAACTGAACAGAGGTCAAGTCAGTTCTGTTATGGATCTGTGTTCCTCAGAAATCTGAGATTTGGGGATTAAAGTCGGAATTTTAAGATCAAAGTCAGAATGTTAAAGATAAAAGTTAGAATTTCAAACATCAAAGTCAGATTTTAGACTAAAAAAGTTTTAATTTTAAAGATCAAAGTCAGATTTTTAAAGCTAAAATTCAGAATTTTCCGCTCAAAGTCAGAATGTTGAAGATAAAAGTTGGAATTTGAAACGCCAAGTCAGATTTTAAATGAAAAGTTTTAATTTTCCAATCAGTCAGAATGTCGAACATAAAAGTTAGAATTTCAAAGATCAAAGTCAGATTTTTTAAGATAAAATTTAGAATTTTCCGCTGAAATTCAGAATGTTGAAAATAAAAGTTAAAATTTTTAAGATACAATTCAGAATTTTCCACTTAAATTCAGAATGTTGAAGATAAAAGTTAAAATTTTAAAGATAAAATTCAGAATTTTGAGGTCAAAGACAGAACTTTCAAGATCAAACCCAGAATTCTTTGTTTTAAGTCAGTACTCTGACTCTGATCTCAGAATATTTTTTTTTTTTTCTGAGAAAAAAATTCAATTCAAAAATATTAATCCTAATCCTGTTCTGTGTAGTGTAATTTGAGAATATACCAAAAAAAATTGGACGTCTGTGGTCTGTTCTTGAGAAGCAGTGACACTTGGCATGTCAAGCTAACAGGCAGCTAACTCACTAACAGGCTATTTGGTCGTCTGGTGAGATAATTCGATTAAAAAGGAATTAGGAAGACTATTTTCTTAATCTCATTTGCCTTTCTTGTTGGTGAGTTTGAAAAGAGCATGTTATTAAGTTATAGCACATTCTGAATGTGAGTACTGTTATTTTGCTATAACATGGTTAAAATCATAGGAAATCCGATATTCTCTGGAGCTACATTAGATTGGATTCTTTGGTTTCTATCCACATGTCAAAGAATTCACCTCCTTATATTGGACACTAAAGGTATCATACAATCACATGAGAGGGAATGAGGCGTTAATATCTAAACAAGACAAATTACTATAGAGTGGAGGAATTTTGCTCAACCTTTGCTAAATTCATTTTACACCAAAAAACTCTCAAACAGAATTCTAGCTGTGAGCGTGCGCAACATCTGATTAAAGCAGAGCGAACTCTCCAGACTCAAGGTCAACGCTCATCCTGACTATTAGAATCACATTAAAACCTCTGATAGTGATGCTAATGACCATGTGAGGAGGCAGCCTTTTTAATCAGCTGAAATATCCCTCTCATGCCTCCCCTGTGTGAGCAGAAAACGGGGGCCTCTCCTCATTTGCAGTGTGACGGCTGTGCAGCAGAGGGGAGTCCCTGCCGGCTGGAGATGACGGCTGCGGAGAGGCAGAGGAGTGAGTGACGACTCAGAGATAGTCCGTCTGTCAGACAGAGTGATGGCTGGGAGACACTCACTGACAGATCGGGTGAGACGAGAAAAAAGAGAAGAAAAGAAAAGAGGGAGTAGGAGGAGGAGGAGAGGAAAGGAAGCCTGGCAGCTTCGTCTTTCAATCCAGGAAGATATGGGAGGTTGAAAAAAAAAACACAGAATAGCAAACGCAGATGAGTAGGAGGCACCAGAACTTGTTGATGGTATTTTTCTTGGAGGGATCAAAGACTGAAAATGGGCCCCATTAAGCCCCATTTAGCTTGTAAGTATCTGGTGTGGTTCAATGATATCAAAGATCGTCTCCTGCTGGTGAAAAAGCTCTCACCCTGCGCCGACATAATGAACAGCCTCATCAGACGAGTCTGTAATCAGCCCGGTATCTTAATTAGACTGAAGAGCTGCTCTCAGTCTGGCCTCAATCAGTCACATTTTGACTGGAAGGTAAAAGATTTATTGATACGACTGTTTGAGAACAGGCTGAAAAACAACAGAGGGCAAAAACATCTGTAGACAAAAAAATTCACCTTTTCTTTTTAAACATCCTGCTGTGAAGTATGGTGGCCTCTGAGGACAAGAAGCTGCTTTTTCTCACAACATTCATGCTTTTATTTTTCACCGTCAAGTTAAATACAAAAAATTAAAAACTGCTCTAATTTACGTTGGAGTATTTGGGCAACATTAAGAAAAAAATGTAAGACTTCGTATTTACTTACGAGAATAAAGTCATAATTAAATCATAACTTATGAGAATAAAGTCCTAATAATATAATTTCTTATCAATATAAAGTCGTAACAGAATCATTATTTACGAGAATAAAGTCGTATTAAAGTTATTACTTGAATAAAGTCGTAATAAAATATTAACTTGCAAGAATAAAGTAATAATAAAATCATTATTTACAAAATAAAGTCATTATAAATTAATTACTTATGAGAATAAAGTCGTAATAATTTTTTTTTTACGAGAATTAAGTCATAATAAAGTAATCATGAGAGTAAAGTCGTCATTAAATAATAATTTACGAAAATAAAGTTGTGATTATGTAATTACTTATGAGAATAAAGCCGTAATAAAATAATTACTTATGAGAACAAAGTCATAGCTAATGTCTATTCTAACATGTTGTTAGTTGTTCAAATGAGCGCTGTGGAGCATTTAGATGAATTGAACCTCAGGTTTCACAAACAAGGAGATACTAAATCCTTTGGTGTTTCAGCATCACATTGTCATAAGTATCAGGACATAAGCAAGAAATGCATCTTTTCCACAGAACGAACCAGGAGGACTTATAGGGAATCGCTGTTTTTGAGGAGGGGGAAATGGCTGGAAATGTCTGTGCAGAGGATAAATCCCTCAATGCAGCCGTTTAAAGCAATAGCATATGGTTTTAGTTTATCGTATGAATCTATACGCCATAAGGTGTTGGTGCCTCTGAAGGTGGAGGTTGCTGCCGGTGTTGTGCCAGCATCAGAGACAGACGCGGTCTGAATGACCCACTGATGCTCCACTGATAACTCTGCAGTTGACCAGTTCAGACATTTCCTCCTCCACAAAAGGAGCTTTAAGACTTTAGTTACTTTACGACTTTATTCTTGCAACCAATGATTTTCCTACGACTTTATTCTCGTAAGTAATTACTAAATCTTAAATATTTTTCTTTATGCGGCCCTAATACTCCGTCGTACTAATTCAATCTAAAGATCTCTGTTCTTCTTTTATCTCCAAAGCTAATCATCCAATTTCGTCCAAGTTAAGTTTGAACCACACACTGTGGAGAAGTTCAACTCATTTGCATATTTTTTTAGCTGTGGAGCAGTCAATCATCCCGGTGTCAGCCAAAGTGCTTCTCAGGGGGTCACAAGTGGGTTCTGCTCTCAGGTTTGCCTCCTCCAGGCCCGAGATAACCAGGACGAGGAGCAGCAGCAGCACTGAGACACGTATTAGCATAAACCCTTCCCTCTCACTGCTCCTCTTGCTCTCTCCGTCTGCCCTTCACACTTTTACTGACAAATCCTGTTTCCTCCATGTTGAAACTAATTGGCTCCCTTCCGAACTGAGCCTTTACACTCAATTACCTCCTCTCCTTTTTGTGTCAAAAAAAAAGCAGAGCTGGTTTTGTGCGCTTAAGGAGTCTCCAGCTTCGGCGCTGACCTCCTGGTGAGTCGTGGTTACTAGAGAAGCCTTGTTGGGAGTAAAACAGACGTGTGCGAGCTGATACGTGTGCATTAACCCACCGACTGTTTGTGTTTGTGTTTTCTTTTTGTCGTATATTTGTGTTTGAAATCATCCATGGGTGAGTTTAGGCTCCGCAGAGGAGGATCTCCCTGCCTGAGGATGACTCAGTGTCCTCTTTTCTTCTCCTCATTAAACTCACATCTGCCGTCCGTCTTCATCCTTCGCTGTCTTGTATTTCTCTCTCTCACCTTGTTTTATTGACATATAACTTTTCTATCACTATTTAGTTTAGTTTTAATAATTTGTAACTTAATTTTTGTTAACCTGTAAAAAAGGATTAGTGATACTTTTATTTTGACATTTTTACTTGCTTTCCTGTATTGTAAAACATTTATTTTGAAAGGACATGTATGGTACTTTTGGTAGATCACAGTTTGAATGGTTTGAAAGTAAACGGCCGACATGTTAGCACCTCTAAAGAGGCACATAATGTTTTAGATTCAAGTGTTTTTTTGGGGCTGCTACAGCTAGTTTGCTAGCTGGCTGCTGCTGCTTCTTCGTCTTTTCTGTTTTATGGATACTACTGTCTCTTACTATAAACACAAGGTGAGGTTTCCCTCCATCTCCATCCTCTTTCTGTCTGTATTATTAACTTTGAATCTTCATTATAATAATAATACGTTTTATTTGTTAGGGCACCTTTCAAGGCACTCAAGGTCGCCTTACAATATGCATAGAATACAGAACATTAACAAATAAATGATCAAAATTTAAAATAACATTAAAAATACATTAAAACCAAATACAATAGAATACATTAAAGCATCATATAAAACATTACAATACATTAAAATAAAGGAGGGGAGACAGAGCTGTAGGTCAGATGGAGTAAGCAGGTCTGAGCAGGAATGTTTTGACTCGGAATTTGAACAAACTGAGAGATGTTGTGTTGCGAAGGGAAGGAGGAAGGGAATTCCAGAACTAGGGAGCAGAGTGACTGAAAGCTCTGCTCCCCATGGTTGCCAGGTTGTCCAGTTAGGGTCACTAATACAGTCTTTTCTTAGAGTCCCTGAGCTCCATCATGCTGTAGGTTCCTCTGGATCGCTGATGTTTTTGGCCGTAGACCCACCTCCTTCAATCTCACTTCTGTCCATCTTTCTGTTTCCAGATCTAACATGAGTCTGGTTCTGCTAAAGGTTTCTACCTTAGGATGCCTCTTTTACCCGGATATGTCCTCTTTTTGAGGGGCTGTCCAGATTTGTCCGGGGGAGTTTATAAAATCCTTCAAATGTCTGCAGTTTTGTACAAAAGTTTTGAGTTTGTGTCACTTAGACTTACTGAGTTAGAAGCGTGTAAAAGACTCAACCCGTCTCAATCATAAAAGGTGCGACCCGTGTCCTGAAGTCAGAATATGGTCACCCTATTCTACCTGTTAGAAATATGTTTTTCCTCCTCACTCTTGGCCCACCTGCGTTCACATTATTGGTATTTAAAAACTGATATCTGTTGACCATTAGTCCCTTGTGCTAACAGCAGTCTGCTATTCAAAAATAACAGACTGCAGGCTGACAAATTAACCAATCAGGATCAGCCATTCTTCGCAGCAGTGTAATATTCAAAGGAGGAGAGACGTCCCGAATAAAACCTGTCAGCTGAGCTTATTGTTTCTATTTTAAAGCAAAATGATAACCGTGCTAAAGAGCGTCACAGCTATTCAGCAGGATGACAGCAGCGGCGCACACTGTAGAGCCACAGGCTGTGGGAAAACAGTGAGTCGGTACTTTTGCTGAGACAAAAAGAAAAATGAGATGAGAGACGACACTGTAAGAGGAGTGAAAACAGGGGAGCTTGAAAGGAAAGTTCGAGGATCGTTTTGATGTTTTCTTTTTTTGTCAAAGTGAGTCTCTATTTTCATTTCTGTCTCGCTGCTGCTGCTGCTGCTGCTGCGCTCTTTTATTCCTCTCTGTTTGTTTTGCGTGTGACTCATCTTACATTCTGCCTCTATCTTTGTCTTTCAGTCTGAGTCTGTAACTGTCTCTTTAGTTGTTTTCCTCTTGTCAGCCTCCCTCACCATCTTTCCCACACACACACACTCTACTGTCATTTTATCACTGTTTGAAGAGCGTCCCGGAGGTCTCAGCCATAATAAGCTCTTAAAAGTGTTTATTAAGTCTGCAGGCTGGAGCTAATAGAAGCTTCTGCACACCTCCACAGGTTTGGACTGATAAACACACAAACATGTATCGTAGCATGCGGACGCACAGAGAGGGTGTTTTTCTGCTTTATGGAGAACAAGAGCCAACAACAGAAACAGTCACCACAAACAAGGTGCAAACTCATCCACCATGCAGAGTCAGGATCAAAAACAATACAACAAAACAAAACCAGGCGATGTATCAGACACTCTCCTGATCTGTAGGGGGCGCTAACAGCCGCAGCTTGATATTTAACTGATGGATTTATCACTTTACGCCCAGACTGAAGCAACCCTGGATAATATTTATGTTTAATGTTTTCTATTGAACACACCGTAACACAGAGTTAGACACCCCCTCGAGAGATGAATGTTGCCGACCGCTTGCCTCTCTAGTTTTACCAACTTTAGTAACGACCGCATGATAGCAATACACAGCGGTCTGAGGAGCCATACACAAACCTCAACCAAAACGCCACTCTATAGCCACAAATAATACTCAGAACAGCACCTAACTTCATCAACAGGACATGTAGGGTCCCAGACATAGTACTAGACACCAAACATCTTTAGCAGAGAGACTAAACACAACTCACCTACTCTCTTCCAGCAGCCGCTTGTTTGTAGCGAGACCTCAGGCCAGTCCATTACAGACTGCAGAGGGGTTACGCAGCTCAAGGAAGAACATTTATGATCATTTCTTCATGGAAATACAATCAGACCGAGACGCTAAGGCAGAAGAACTACCGCGTCTGCAGCGCAAAATGATTAATACGGTGATTATTACTTCAAGGAAAGGATAAAGAAATGATCCTAAATGTTCGCTACAAACAAGTGGCTGCTGGAAGAGAGTAGGTAAGTTGTGTTTAGTCTCTTTGCTAAAGAAATCAGGCAAAGTTAAAAAGATGTTTGGTGGCTAGTACTATGACTGGGACCCTGTATGTCCTGTTGATGAAGTTAGGTGCTGTTCTGAGCGTTATTGGTGGCATTTTAATTGAGGTTTGTTTACGGCTCCTCAGACCGCTGTGTATTGCTATCATGTGGTCATTACTAAAGTTGGTATAACTAGAGAAGCAAGCGGTCGGCAACATTCACCTCTCAAGGGGGTGTCTAACTCGGTGTTACGATCTGTTTGACCCTAAATTTACGCCGGAATATCCCTTCAATGACACAACTGCTGCCGCTGAGAGTTTCTGATGCTCATTCTCTATTTACCTTTATAAAATCTCTGTCCAGGCCAAGAACAAGAACAATTTAGGAAAATCTAAAATTACTCAAAGACATAAATTAGCAGTATAGAGCGGGCAAACACAAGTATAGAGATCCGATGAGTCTCAATAGTGGGGTCTGAATTTGGCGTAACCAACATGACAGCGTGGATCCATCCTGTCTTGTATCAACAGGTCAGGCTGCTGCAGTTGTTGTTGTAGTGTGTGGGGTATTTTCTTGGCACACTTTGGTCCCTTAGTACCAACTGAGCATCGTTTAAACTCCAAAGCCGACCTGGGTATTATTGCTGACCGTGTCCATCCCTTGATGACCACAGTATCTACTTCCAGCAGGATAATGCACCATGTCACAACGCTCAAATCATCTCAAACTGGCCTTCAAAACATCTTTTCGACCTCGCATTCTTACACGGTTGGCCGTCAGCGTCCTTGTTGTTTATTCCTGCAGAAAGTTTGTTTGTTTGGTGACATTTGTTTTTGGCAGATCCGCGGCACGTTTATTTATGACGGATTTACAAGCTCAAATCTTCGACTCTGGAACACATAATCAAGTCTGAGAAGTCTGATTGGTCTTCCCGTCGCCTGTGCGTCACTTTCTCTTTATCTAATTGGCTGCCTGGTGTTTCCACCCATGGTGATAATCTCCAATCAACCATCTGTCGTGTCATCTTTGTGCGCCACCACTCTGTCCCCTTCACCAAGTCCTCCCTCACGTCAAAATGCAATATCTCTAAACAAACACAGTCCACGATTAAAAGAGCGTCGTCTCTTTCGACGTCAATCAGACTTTTCTGTGTATGAGTGTGAAAGTGTGGAAAAGGCCCACCTGTGACGGAGGTAATAGGCCAGGACAGATGGCCTCCTATCCATCCAGCTCTCTCTCACACACACACACAAACACACTCCTCCCCTCGGTGTTTGGTCGCTCTCATTGTTGCCTGCTCCTGTACTAGCCTTATTCTGTCGCTCAGATCAGCAGGAGAGAGATACATCTGTGCCGCGTTTACTTTCTGATGTCGGTACAGAAATAGAAGTAAAAGCAGCCGCCGTTTGAAGCGACCATTCAGCTCTGTGACATCGCCGGGGTAAAAATAAGCAGTCTGTCTGAGCCGGGCGCTTTGGTGTACGCCGTTGAGCCGAACATCTGCTTGTCATAACCTGGTACACATCATACAGTGACGGGGCAACCACAGGTGCGCTACAGTCAGACGGTGTTGAGAGAGCGGAGGAGATATCAGTCGACCGTCATCACCAGGAGTCAAGTTCAATTTCATTCCTCTGATATTGATTAAATTTGGTGTCTTATAAATGAAAATCTGGCGTCTGAGTGGCACCGGGAGCTGGAATCAAACGTAAATGTTAGGAGGGAGAATAATGAAGTTTGGCAGGACAAAAATAAATAGGTGGTCAGGAGCAATTAGAGGAGAGATGGACGGACACGACACTTTCAAACTCCTGAAATTTTCCAGAAACGTCAAAAAGCTCGACCCAAGAATCGTGCAAAATCACTCATTCCTACAAGATTCTAACTGTCGCCATCAGAGCCGGTCCAAGCCTTAATGGGGCCCCGAGCAAAATTAGATTTTGGGGCCTACTATTTCTGCCAATAATATTGATTGTTGATCAGTCACACACCTTCACAAATCTCTTTGATTAACATTCCATGACATACCTTTATCTTGCCGTTTTTTCTCTTCTTCCTCTTTCTTTTCTCTGCTCCTGAAGGATACGTCCTTTTTTGTGACATTGTTTTAACCCATAACTTCCTGTGCTTTGGAGGCAGGAGGCACATAATGGTAGCAGAGCTTTGACATATCGTCAGTAAGAATCATAGGCCTACATCAGCAGCAGCACTAAAATGTTTTTACTTAATTTTATTTTTATAATAAAATATATGATCATACATAAAGCATCACTCATACATGCAAAGAATCAAAATATTAATTTTTTGGGGGGGGGTTGCTCTTGGGGCCCCCTACTGGTTTCAGGGCCCTAAGCAGACGCTTAGTTCGCTTATGCTTTTGGTCGGCTTTGGTTTTAACACACCAAGCATGAGTAAAATTATTTTTATGAATGAATTACATGTTAAGTCAATGCAAAGGCACGATTAGTCCACCTCCCACGACTCTGGCGGCGCAAATGACACAAATTGGGCGAATCTCAACTTGAGCAATATCTGGAATCAAAAGGAGGTCGCCTGGAGAAAAGTGAGAGAAGAGGTCGGGCTACCTGGTAAGTGATAAAAAAAACCTTTGTCTATTACTTGATCTCGCGAGTTGAATTGGCAGGAATTACCGTTGAAATTACCATTGAGGTGGGAATGAAGCGAGTAAATACTATCTGGAACAGCTCCGATCCGGAACGGCGGCAATTTTTCGCCGTACGCCAATTCCTACTGGATCCGTTTGTGCTGTGAATTTCGTGGTGGATTACGGACAGCAGGAATCGCGAGAACTCACAAGAACCCACAGAGGCTAACCATATAAATTGACACATTAACTTGAATGGATACGATCAGCAGATACAGCCTTTCCATAGCCGTTCCAGATGCGGTGGAAATTGGGGGTTTCAGTAAAGAAACTGTCAACAGACACATAAAGTGACTTTACGTAAAATCTAGAAGTTCTGTCAAAACGTCATAATGCAGATACTTTCTCACCAAACTGAGGGAGATGCTGTCGGTTTTCACAGTCCTCTGGTTTTTCTCACAAGCCCTCCTCTCTAAGGTCAAGACCACCGCCGTCCCCTGAAAGACCGGCGCACAATAAAGTCGAGTGGATCCGTCCAAACACTCGGCAGCACTTGACAGAGGAATCGATTGGTTAATGCTAATCCCGACGCTCTTCTGATGAGAGCCTCCAATCGACCTGTGACAGAGGTCGAAGTTTTGGCGGACCGCAGAGAAAACACGGAGTCAGAGAGGTCGTGAATCAGCGAGTCTGCGGTGTTATCTGTGTGACAATCAGGATCTAAAGACGGAGTGACACTCAGAGGAAGAGTCTATCAGAGTGATTACATTCAGAGATCTTTTGGAGACACTTCTGTTTTTCTCTGCAGATTTTGTTTGTCTGGTTGAACCACATCCTACCCGTGTTTCCGTGTTTGCCCTCTGCTTTTGTTTCTTTGTGCACATCAGAAGACAAAGAGCGCGTTGTGAGTCACGAGGTGGATCATTGTTGCCTCTCTCTGGAGCATGCTACAGGCGCAGAATAACCAAGGCCACAGTGGAGAAATGAGGAAAGCAGTAATTAGAAGCGCTGAAATCCTAATGCAATTACATGGAGTTTGTTTCTGCACAAAACAACAAGAGGATTAAAGTTTAAATGACTCATTTGCAAAGACGAGCAATAAAAGCGTCTCCAGCCATGTTATCCGGGATTGGGGGCATATAATGCAGACTTCGTCATGCATTATTAATGAGCGGTATATTAAAAGTAATATATGCAAGCTTCCTGTGTCTCCTATTACAGAGGGGAAGTGGAGCTATTGATTAAAAACTTCATCTGAGTGACGCACCAGGAGTTTGTGCAAAGACCGAGGCAACAGATACTTGAACTGAATATATTTTTAAAGCAGTGTGAGAAAAAAAGTTATATCTTAAGTGGTTTTAATATTGATTAAATATGTTTAATATTGCTTCAAATTATTCTGTTAAACACAAACCATCTGCTGTAAAATCAGTTAACAGGAAAAATTCAGTTCAGATTTTATAAATCCTTCTTCCTCCAGTAACATCTTTATATCACAGTCTTGATTTCATAACCTTACTTTAGATTTTGGTGATGTTTTGAAAGCCAATCTTATTCAATCTTGTTAATCTAGTGATATGAACATTAGCCATTTAAATCTGACTCTGGATTAAGACATTCTGCATTAATGATATTCTGGATTAGCATGATTTCTTACTTGGTTAAGACAGAATTCTGAATAATTTAAACCTGAATTAGTCTGGATTGACAGTAGTCCTGGATTTACAAACTCAGTATTCTTGATGAGTTAAACTCTCAGCAAGTTTTCTAATCTAAACTCTGGAATGGTAAAATTCCAGATTGATGTTATACGAGATACTAGACTACAATAATGCCATGCTAAACTCAGTAATGGGGCATTCCAGATTGTTTTATTTATATGCTGATACCCTGGATAAATAAAATGCTTAGTTTACAATATTCGGGGTTAATACAACCCTAGACATATTTTTTTCTGGATTATAAAGCTGTGGATTAATATTTTGGATTTCTAAAACTCTGGATTGATATTCTGGAGTAAAGCTCTTCATTGTTAAAATTTGAAGCTCCTGTAAGGAACTCTCAGTTTGTGTCAATCCTGGCGCCCCCCTGTGGACAAATCAGTTTTTGCTTGTTTTATCCTCTACATGCGTTAGTCGACTCTTGACATTCATCATATTTTACTGACTTTGTTTAGATGTATATCCTTTTTCCTAAAAAGTGGTAAAAACAGGAGCTGTGAGGCTGACACCGACTCACCTCACACCTGTTTTTAACTTTTAATATATTTATGGTCGTGTTTGCTTTTGAATATCATAGAAACCATCAGTATGGATGTCAGTTTGTTTCACAAATGTCAAGAAACTCCTTAAGGGAGCTTTAATAATCATGTCCTTGGTTAGTAAACTCTGGTTTTAAAATTCTGGATTAAAAATATTCTGAATTGTAACTTTTGACTGATTCCAATTCATTTGTAGTAACCTAAAATAGTAGATTTCAGGATTAGGATATACTCTGAATTAAAACGTGGATTAATAACTCTTAAATTTATTTTTTTTCACTTTTTATGTTTGATTGAAACACCTGAGTTTAAACTATCCTGGATTAATAAAACTCTGGATTAATCATAATCCACATATAAACTTTAAATTGATAAAACAATGATATTCTAGATTAAAAAAAACTGTAGAATAACTTCAGATTGATAAAACCCAATAACTTCCTCAACTATTACAACTGAATAATCAGAATCTTAATGAGACAAAACTCTGGATTAATGATAATTTGGACAGATTAAATATCTGACAAACTGGACTATGCTTTAGTTGATGTACATAAAACCTCTTTTTATTTCTTTTTAACAAAAATTTAACGTCTGACGTCTGTTAAGTATTACTTAGTATGACAGAAATTGAAATCATGCTTGGTTTGACTTTAACCAGCATAAAATCACAGAATGTCTCTTTAAATGGGAATAAAGATATCCATCAGACAATCTATATGATATTTCTTAAAGTTAATACAAATAAATAAGTGCACATCAGGCTCATCTCCCTCCAGTGGACCGCCAGGTTGACCTAAAATAGACGAACGTGTCTCTTGTCTACCTGTAAATAATTCCAGAGCCTCGTCTCTGTCCCATGAAATATTTAAGCGGCTCTGGAGTAATAAAGTTAGGATTGATTAGAGGACGTGGCTCTGCGTTCAAACGCCTCGAGCTCAAAGGAACCAATAAGGGAGATAATTAGAGGGAGAGAGAGAGATGGGTGAGAAAGAGAGAGAAAGAAAGAAGGACAGAGGGGTTTATCTGGTGTTTAACCGATGGAGAGTCAAAGGGAAAGAGCTTAATTACACTTAATGTACGATGACCAAATCTATCAGGGAGAGTAAACCTGTTAAGAAACACTGAGAAGTTAGTCCAGCTGTTTGAAAGTCAGGTCTGGACCACTCTTTAGAAAGCACATGACTGCCACCTACTGTTGAACTCTGGAGGTGCAGCTGCTCAGACACAAAGGAGAATTCTTTACATTTAATTCACATTTAATACAAGAATTCAACTTTTTAATATCATCTTTAGACTCAAATCATCTCTGTTTGAGTAAATTATCTAATATAGTATCCACACATGTATTCAAATATCAAAGAGAGCAAACCTTTCAGCCACTTATTGATTAGGTGGTTATAAGAAATTCATGCATATCACTCAACAGTGAGAACAAATCGGATTTAAACTGTGATTTTTATTGGCTGGACATGTAAACATATTTAAAATCAATGTCTTTAATCATTAATGAAACAACAGAATAATCAATATTGTTTGTTACACCAGAAAGTCTGATACTCTGTAACTGTAGAACAAATCCCGATCAATATTGCTGCCAAGGTCGATTATTTCAAGCACTTGTGAACGAATCAACACTAACGGCATCACCATGACTGCAGCTCTTAAAGGCTGTCATGTTCAGATACATAATCTGATGCTGTTCGCTTAAACTCAATAAACAAACAGAACTGCTGCGAGGCGTGGAGGCCCCTGAATTCATGAAACGATCTACTGCTCACTGTTTCCCTAGAGCGGTGGTTCTCAACTGGTGGGTCCCGACCCCAGAGTGGGTCGCGGACACGTTCTGGATGGGTCACGAACAGCTGGTCAAAAAAGTAAAAATTAAAATGTGAAATTTATTACATATTTAACATTTTTGTAGAAGCAACTTCAGTAGTTGTCGTCCTCATGTTGTCGGAAATGCACTTCCACACTGCACTACTCAATAAAACAAGTGGATTTATGTTAAAGATTAGAGTCTTTAAAGTTTTTTTTTTTCATAAAATATAAATTAGTTTTGTTTGGATTCTATAAAAGTGGGTCACGACTTAAGGACCGTGGGAAAATGTGGGTCCCAGAGTGAGACCAGTTGAGAACCGCTGCCCTAGAGCATAACGATAGGAACGTCCGATTTTAAAGACTTAAGTAATTCTTTTCTAACTACGGCACAAACACAAACACAAACACAAACACAAACACAGGTAAAGGTCTGAGGTTTCTTGGCAAACAGCCTCATACACTCCCTTTAGTCAACTCTGTCAGGCCCCAAATATCGCACATTTAAGAACAACCTTTTAGCTTAATACAGTCAAAAATGTTGAGTTAAAAAATAAAAAAGTTCACCCTCATAAAGAAATGAGCCGTACAGACCAGATCTGTTTCGGAGCCGGCCTGTAAACTTGTTTATTTCTGCTGATAAAATGTGTATCCAGCAGGAGACCTCATGATGATTCCTTGGCTTTTGTTGGCAGCCCCAAGTGGACACTCGAGGAATTGCAGTTATTTCACACTTCTGCATTGGCTGGAGGTTTCTGCTTGTGTTTAACAGTCCTCTAATGTTTAAGTAAAGTGGCTGTAGAAAATCCACATGAAGTCTGTATCCTTGTCTGTTTTGGCCACCATGTTTTCAACGTTTAAAGGGATATTCCGGCGTAAAATTAATTTAGGGTCAAACACACTGTAACACAGAGTTACACACCCCTCGAGAGATGAATGTTGCAGACCGCTTGCTTCTCTAGTTATACCAACTTTAGTAACGACCGCACGATAGCAATACACAGTGGTCTGAGGAGCCATAGACAAAGACTCCAGAGACTAAACACAACTCACCTACTCTCCTCCAGCAGCCGCTTGTTTGTAGCAAGACCTCAGGCCAGTCCATTATGGACTACTGCGGAGTTTCGCAGCTCAAGGAAGAACATTGATGATCATTTCTTAATCATTTCCTTGAAGTAATAATCACCATATTAATCATTTTGCTCTGCAGATGCGGTAGTTCTTCTGCCTTAGCGTCTCGGTCTGATTGCATTTCACTGAAGAAATGATCATAAATGTTCTTCCTTGAGCTGCGAAACTCCGCTTTAGTCTGTAATGGACTGGCCTGAGGTTTCGCTTGGCGTTACGGTGTGTTTGACCCTTAATTAATTATATGCCAGAATATCCCTTTAATCTCTCAGAGTAACGTGTGAAACACTCGAGACCTCAGACTTTTAGTTCGAGGGACTTTCTTCGTGGAGAATTGAATCACCTTGCACAGATTCGAGCAGCTGCCCAGGCTTGAGAACGGGAACCAACTGGCTCTCTGTTTTTTCCCATGAAGGTTCCAGAAAGAGGAGGAGCAGCGCTGGAACACCTCGATTTTGACCGAGTACTGAGCGGGAGCCCACTGAGATACACAGACCAGAGTCACAGAGGAGGCAAAACCACAGGTGTGAGGAGAAATCCCGTGATAGACGGACTCCCCCGGCCTCAGAGATGAAACCCTCTCCCACACCATCCCGGCCTCCTCTGCCACTCCCATCCCGCTGACGTTACAGAGGGCCTGCAGACACACCTCCTCCAGGGCCTCTTTGTCGGGGTAACGGAGCAGGATTGCGACCAGACGGGGGACAGCACCTCGACGGAGAAGCAGCTCCTGAAGTTTAGCTAGAGGCGATAGAAAGACATAATTAAAAGTCATAATCCTCACATTAATCCAAAAAAGTTAGAATGATAAAATCAAAGTTCTGAGAAAGTCTGAATTCTGACTATTTTCTCAGACAACTGACTTTAATCTTTAAACTTTTTTTCTGTCAGAATTCTGAGATGAAAGTCAATAGTTACTTTGTTTTCTAAGAATGCCAATCGTAATCTCCGGATTCTCCCTTTTTCCATAATTCCAAGATTAAAGTCAAAATTCTGAGATTAAAATGAGAAATCTGACTTTCTCACAGAATTCTGAGAAACAAGTCAGACTTCTGAAAAAAGTTTCTCAGGACCTCTGAGATTAGAGTCGGATTAGAGCCACTTTAATCCCAGTAGTTAAAGAAAAAGGTCAAAATTCAGAGATTAAAATTGTGATTGTAAGGTTAACTGTTGAGATAAAAAAGTCCTGATTTTAACTTAAACCTTTAGATTTCAGAAAAAAAGTGAGAATTATGAGATATTGGTAATCTCAGGATCTTAAAAATGAAGCTAGATCAAGAGAACAGATTATTAATTTCCAGGAATTAACCTGACGTTGTTATTTAAAAGTTTTCTTCACTTACAGCTGTCATAGGACATGCGTGAGATCGCTATTGCAGCGTAGAGGAGCACGTCTTGGTCCGGACTGGTCAGCACAGACAGCAGAGCGGGACCCAAACCTGCATCACCGAAACCTTTCCGGATCACAGCTGCAAGAAAAACAAACAAAAAAACAACAATTATTGATATTAAAGCTAAACTGATTAAAAAATGTGTTTGTGAATAAAACAAAATCTCAGGAGAGCTCACACTCCTTGGCGAGCTCAGCCACCAGTTTGGCGGTCAGCACGGTCAGAGGTCCTCTGGTTCTCAGCGAGAGGGCGAGGATAGGCAGGATCCCGCTGATCACCACCTGCTCAGCCGCACCTTTATCTGGACAAACAGCAGCAAGACAGGGTCATGTTAAATCTAGTTATTGTGAATCACGTTAAAATAAAGGCCTCAAAGATGAAGACCCTGGCCCTTTAGTGGATATTTTAGGTTAGGTCGCTACTCGAGGTTAAAACATCCCCCACTCTTTCTTCTTTTAAATCACGTCTTAAAACTCATTTTTATTCCTTGGCTTGTTGTTGTTGAGTTGTGTGATCTCTGTCCTTTTATGTCTTTTATGGTCCTTTCATCACTTTTATTTCTATCATGTTTTTATTTCATGTATTTTACATGTTTTTTTACCTGCTTTTATTTATTTCATCTTGATGTTTCCTGCAGTGTTTGTTCTTTTAATTTTATTGTGCAGCACTTTGGTAAACTTGAATGTCATTTTTAAAATGTGTTGTATAAATAAAGTGAATTGGATTGGATTGTTTATTTTGGCGCCCCCTGTGGACAAAGTGGCGCCTCTTATCTCTTCAATTTGTTTAGTACATTTGTATGAATCTAAGATCTAATCCTTTCATTTTTATGGTTTTCTGTAAAAATAATTTAGTACAAGTGAAATCTTGCATTCAGTTTAATGAGTGTTTTCATCAATATTAAGCACTTTGTAAATGGTGAATTGGTTTTTAAACCAGCTATAAAAATTACTTAGTTGTTTATTGTAAACTTGAAACTGATGTTTGTAATACTTTGTAAATGATTAATAAGTGGTTTATAAATCACCTATAAACATTATTTAGATGATTGTTGTAAAGTTAGGGTTAAAGTTGGGGTTAGGTTTTTTTGTAAAATGTACAATTTATTAATGGTCTATATGCTATTTATAAATGATGATTAAACATTATTAAACTATCTGCTTACCATTTATAAGTTATGGTTATTGTAAAGTGTTACCAAACTACAACAATAAACATTTTAGGCTGTTTTATAAACAGTTAAAAACTCCTAACTGGAGCTTTAAGTTTGTGCCCCACTATCCTCTCACTTCTCTTACATGATGGTAGTTTTCCTGACTCAGAATCTCATCTTTTTAATAGTGGAACGAGTCCCTCACAGGCTTTCAAATGTTTGGCAGAATCTTCTTGAAAAGCATCTCCAGCTGGTTCAGCGTCGCTTTCTTCGGGATCTCTCTAAACCTGCTTTACCTCTCCTGCCCCCCCTCCATCCCCCCTGTTGCTCTCTCACCAGAGGACACAAATGCAGATTAACGTCTACAGAGGACTTACCTCTGACACACACCTGATCCCTTCACTGCCTCCCAGTTCCCCTCCCCCAACCAGTATAGCTTAACTCCACGTGTTATCATTCAAAACGTGGAGCTGTGTTAATATGCTGCGACTGCCGATGTGAGGGAAGATGACTTTAGGTACACAAGGACTAAATCATAAATATTTATATAAAACGTGGCAACAGGAGTGTTATTTTGCAATTCAAATCATGTCAAGTGGAAAACATACCATGACATATAATGTCACCCTGAAAGCCTTTATTATACCCTGAAATAACAGGCGGTGATGAAGGAGATGCTGTCCAGAAGATCATTTTATAGCATTTGATTAAAGGATAACATCGCTTAAACAGGAAAATGTGTGAAAAAGTGACAAAAAGGGACTCACTCCTCTCCTTAATGATGGTCAGCACCGTGTTCATATGTGGTTTGAGTTCATCCTCAATGAGCTCCAGTCCAAGGACTCTGATGGCTCCTAAAGCATTGTTCAGGTTATCTGTGGAGGATTGTGGGAAAAAATTATGGACAAATCTCCAAAACTGACTGCATTCAATCAGAGATATTTTTACCTGTTACACTTATAGTCAAAACAATATCAGAGATTTCCGGGTTTAAATTAAAATCCAGATGTTTTAGTGAGTAACGTGACTAAATAAAGCTGACAAAAGAGTTCAAAGTAAACAGGAAAAGTTTGAAGTGTAATCTCAAAGTGGAAAAATGAAGCAGATTCTGGATGACGTCTTCAGGGATCATCCTGAGAGTTAGGCTGTTTCTGCAGCTGGGCACCAAGTTGAAAACCTTCAGCTTTACTTATACTGAAGCCTGTAACGCACACTGATTATAGGATGAGGTAAATATTTTACCATCAATTACTTAAGCCAATCGTGACTCATTAAGTTAAGATACAGGCACGTGGAGTGAGCTGACAGGACCATTATCCATGTTAAAGACCATTTACTGATTATCACGCAAACTCGACATCACATGTTTACATTATTAAAGCTGTTATATGATATTTTTATCATACACTACTATGACATAACCAACTATAATTTTTAACATACTCAACTATTTTTTTATAAAACTAAACAATGACATTTTAATTTTACTACGATAATTTTTATGACATTTTACTATGATTTTTTAAAATCAAACAATAATATGACACTTTGATCATACTATACAATGACATTTTATCATTCTATACTTTCATATTTTAGCATAAATAAAAATGTTGTAGTAAAGTATGTTGAAAATTTCAAATTTAAGTATGAAAAAAGAATTCATGTTTTTGTTTGAAAAAAGTCATAGAACAGTATGATAAAAATGTCATAGTATAGTATGTTAAAATTTTATTTTTTATCATGAAGAAAAATGTCATTCTAAGTATGAAAAAAATGTCATAGTATAGTCTGATAAAAATGTCATAGTATAGTATGTTGAAATTTTCATTTTTTATTATGAGGAAAAATTTTATACTTTGTTATGAAAAAAATATAGTATAGTATGATAAAAATGTCATAGTATAGTATGTTAAAATGTTCAAATTTAAATATGAAAAAAAAAATCATATCTTTGTATGAAAAAAGTCATAGTATAGTCTGATAAAAATGCCATGGTATAGTATGTTGAAAATTTAAAATATAAGTATGAAAAAAGAATTCATATTTTTGTATGAAAGAAATTCATAGTATAGTCTGATAAAAATGTCATAGTATAGTATGTTGAAAATTTCATTTTTTAGTATAAAGAAAATTTTCATATTTTAGGATGAAAAAAGTGTCATAGTATAGTATGATAAAAATGTCAGTATTGAATGTTGAAATTTTCAAATTAAAGTATGAAAAATAAAACATATTTTTGTATGAAAAAATGTCATAGTTTAGTATGATAAAAATGCCTCAGTATAGTATGTTGAAAATTGAAAATATAAATATGAAAAAGAATTCTTATTTTTCTGATAAAAATGTCATTAAGTATGACAAAAATGTCAGTATAGTATGATAAAAACTTCAAATTTTAGTATTGAAAAAAAAAGTAAAAGTATAGTTTGACAAAAAATGCCATAGTATAGTATGGTAAAAATAACATATTCTTCTATGACCAAAATGTTATATTTTAGTATGAATAATGTCATAGTATAGTATGATAAAAATGTCATATTATAGTATGAAAAAAATCATATTTTTGTAGGAAAAAATAAGGTCAATGGTAAAGTATGATAAAAAGACCAATAGCAACTTGGGTGGCACAGAAGCATAATGGTTACAACTGTTGCCTCACAGCAAGAAGGTCCATGGTTCAATTCCCAGGCAGGAATGTAAAAAGAAAAAAAAGTATTTTAGATTCAGTATGAAAAAAAAATGTAATTTTTAGAATGGAAAAAATGTCATAGTATAGTATGATAAAAATGTCAAAGTATAGTATGTTGAAATTTTCATTTCTTAGTATGAAGAAAAAATTTCATATTTTAGTATGAAAAAAATGTCATAGTAAAGTATGATCAAAATGTCATAGTATAGTATGTTGGAAATTTCAAATTTAAGTATGGAAAAAAAATTCTACTTTTGTTTAAAAATTTCATAGTATAGTATGATATAAATATCATAGTATAGTATGTTGAAAATTACATATTTTACTATGATGAAAAAATGCACATTTTAGTATGAATAATGTCATAGTATAGTATGATAAAAATGTCATAGTATAGTTTGTTGAAAATTTCAAATTAAAGTATGAAAAAAAAATTTATGTTGTTGTTTGAAAAAAATGTCATAGTAAAGTATGTTGTAAATGTCATAGTACAATATGTTGAAAATTTCAAATTTAATTATGAAAAAAACATATTTTTGTATGAATAAAATGTCATAGTATAGTAAGTTGGAAAAATTCAAATATGAATATGAAATAAGAATTCATATTTTTATGAAAAAATGTATATACTTAGTATAAAAAATTATGTCATAGTATAGTATGGTAAAAATACTATAGTATAGTATGTTAAAAAATTTCAAATTAGTATGAAAAGAAAGTTCATATTTTAGTATGAAAAAAAAGTCATAGTAGATCAACAGTGTTATGTGTGGCACAGTACTCAAATGGTTGGCACTTTCACCTCACAGTAAGAAGGTCCATGGTTAGAATCATAGTCAGGTATATTATTAAAAAATTAAGTAATTAAAAAAACTTCATAGTATTGTATGATACACATCATAGTATAGTATGTTAAAAAATTCTAATTTTTGAATGAAAAAATCTTAGTATATTCTGTTAAAATGTCACATTTTAGTATCAAAACATATCAAAGTATAGTATGATAAAAATGACCCATTTTAGTGTGAAAAATGTCATTCTATACTAAGATTTTAAAAAATGCCATGGTATTGTATTTTTAAAAGATCATATTTTCGTATTACAAAGTCATAGTATAGTATGATAAAAATATTAAAGTATAGTATGATAAAAAATATCAAAGTACAGTATAATAAAAATTTCCCATTTTAGGATGAAAAAAAAATGTCACTATACCATGACATTTTTCATTCTTAAATGTGATATTTTTATGATACCCTAACATGACATCTTTATTATCCTATACTTTGACATTTTATCATGCTATATTATGAAAGTTTATCATTCTATACTATGATATTTTTAGCAAACTATGCTGTGACCTTTTTATCATACGATACTATGACATTTTATCATACAAAACTCTGATATTTTTGTTAGAGGCAGTGTGACAGAGCGGTGGTCTGCTGGGGAGGCAGTCTATAGAGGTGCATGACATGGCTCAGGCCCTTTGGTTCCCTGCAGGGTTCTAGTTTAAGAAGCAATTTTCTTCTCACGACAAAACGAACAACTAATGTGCTTTGCAGCGAGATGGTTCACCCTTGACTTTTACACTGAGGCTGCTCAGCTGTCAGCAGTTTTTTAAGTGTGGTTGCATGAGCAGAAAATGTATGAACAGGAACTATTGTCAGCTCTATGAATATAAGGAAGCTTTAAAGCTGCAACAATGCCTGACCCAATACCAACATTTTAACACCATGAAGAAACTGCCACACCCTGCTCCACTCACCGTTTTGTGGGTAAGGCTCCAGCCGACTCGGTTTGTGCTTCTTCCTCTGAGGTTCTGTGTAAGTATATATGAGCGACACGTTTGGATGTCCCATTATTCTCCAGACAGGTGATGGTAAAACTTCCTCAGACTCACATCTTCACAGAAAACTTGCAAAACTCCCCCCCTCATTCCAGATTCATTCCAGAATCATTAGCCATTGCTTTAAGGAAACCCTCTTCAGCGTGAACTCGATTTGAATGTAATCCCGTTTCTGCTCTCCAAACTTATCCTGCACCATCTACTATATTTGGCAAGAGGAATAGCTGTCTATGTAAAATCACTGCCTTCCAACTAGTGCCTTAGCCTGCTCTCTGTCTCCTCATGGGGTTAATGCAGGGAAAATCCTCACTAAAGCTGCTCTCTCTCAGACCCACGTGCGCGTATGCGTGTAGTAAAAGGTATTACTTCTTGGCTGACTCTGCTGAACAGCTCTGACATCTCCCACAGTTCTTTCACTATCACGAAAATCCCTGCCAAAACAACAACACAGACAGGTGAGCATCTGGTGTGAGTTGTAAACAAGTGTGTAATTAGGCAGGCGTTTACCTGAGGTGTAAATTAAGAAATGACCTGTTTGAATGAAAATTATAAAGATGGAAATAAACCTTTAGTAAGGTGAATTATGTAGTTTTCAACAAACTATACTGTGACATTTTCATCATACTATACTATGACATTTTTGTCATACAAATATATGAAAATTTTTTTAAACCTAAATTTGAAATTTTCAACATACTTCACTATGAAATTTTTTTTCATACTATACTATGACATTTTTTAAAATACAAATATATGATATTTTTTTCATTCTAAAATCTGGATTTTTAACATACTATACTATAACATTTTTATCATACTATACTATAACATTTTTCCATACAAAAATATGAAACTTTTTTTATACCTAAATTTGACATTTTCGACATACTATACTATGACATTTTTTTCAAAATATACTGCCTTTTTTTTCATACTAAAATTTGAAATTTTTAACATACTATACTACTTATTTTACTCATACTATACTATGACATTTTTGTCATACAAAAATATGAAAATTTTTAACAACCCTAAATTTTAAATTTTCGACATACTTCACTGACATTTCTTTTAAACTATACCATGACATTTATTAGATACAAAAATTTGATTTTTTTTATTCTAAAATTTGAAATTTTTAACATACTATACTGACATTTTTTCATACAAAAATATGAAACTTTTTTACACCTAAATTTGACATTTTCGACATACTATACTATGACATTTTTTTCATACTATACTATGATTTTTAACATACTTTACTGACATTTTTTCATACAAAAATATAAAACTTTTTTTACACCTAAATTTGACATTTTCGACATACTATACTATGACATTTTTTTCATACTATACTATGATTTTTTTCATACTATACTGACATTTTTTCATACAAAAATATGAAACTTTTTTTACACCTAAATTTGACATTTTCGACATACTATACTATGACATTTTTTTCATACTATACTATGATTTTTTTCATACTATACTGACATTTTTTCATACAAAAATATGAAACATTTTTCATACTAAAATTTGAAATTTTCGACATACTATACTATGACATTTTTTTCAAACTATACTGACATATTTTTTCAAACTATACTATGCCTTTTTTTAAACTATACTGACATTTTTTATACAAAAATGTTTTTTTTCATACTAAAATTTGAAATTTTTAACAAACTATACTACACATTTTTATTATACTATACTATGACATTTTTTTTTCATACAAAAATATGAATTTTTTTTAAACCCCAATTTAAAATTTTCAACATACTATACTATGACATTTTCATCATACTATACTATGACATTTATATCATTAAAAAAATATGAATTTTTTTTTACACTAAAATTTCACATTTTTAACATGCTATACTTTGTTATTTTTATCATAACATACAATTTTCAGTTTGTGCTGACTCTAGCACCCCCTGTGGTACTGCATTTGGAGCATGTTTAAGTTGTTCTCTTAATAAAACCTCTTCGTGTTTTAAATGTGCGTCAAATGATTCAATACAGGCTGCTGAAATTCTTTTTTATGTGTTTTCAATAGTTATCATGATTTACGAGGGTCATCTTTACTGGTCCACTAATCTAGAAGAATCAAACCCGGCTCGAAACAGAAACATAACCAAGAAAGTTTTGAAAATGAATCTTTATGTTTCACTTTCCTCTTGATATTCAAGTAAAAAGAGACTAGTACAGAACAACATTACCTTCAACTCTACGCATGAATAAATACATGAAGAAAACATGAGACAAAATGAATCCATCTGATGAGTTACCTGACAGGTGATTTTCTATGTTTATTTTCATACATAGAGGTGATATTAGTGTTCGCTGACAGCAGCATAGAAAAATATACGGCTGGATTCAGTTAAATGATGTTAAACTTTAAAGGAATGAGTGTAAAGTATAACTTGACACCAAAAAAGAGCTTTAAAAGAAATAAAAACCTTAATTTTTGAGATGAAAAGGTATCCTGTGATTTTGTTCTGATGTTGGAAACTTGTATAATTAGTCAACAGAATATGACATAAACGTCAAACTATCTCTATGATTTAGCTTTGACGGTGTGACATAATGTGACATTGATACTGGGCTCATCAAAACTCATTCAAAAGAGTCACTGAGTATCCCTTTAAAGGGGGTCCGTTTGGTTCCTCATAAGACCCGGTATCAAACAGTTCCAGCTGCGTTCAGCCCACTGGAAACAGTCTCGTATCCGACAGACACCAGAGTGAGGACGTTATTCTTACTCTCCGCGTCATCAGCTTTACTCTGGTCAGTCTGGGTCTCCTCAGGAGCAGCAGATCCACTTTCTTGCTGTGTCTTCTTCTTTGCTCTGCGTACTTTACCTTTAGAAATCATCTTCCCCTGCTCTTTGACCCCCCCGGACATCTTGTGAGGCTTCTCGCCGTCATTCAAACGGGCTCTGCGGTGTCGCCTGCGTATGCGCCGCAGCGGAGGACCGGAGTCAGCGGGGTCTGACGCCGCTGCACCAGACAGGATCCGGATCTGCTGATCTATTACCATGATGATCATGTCCAGAGCCACGTCCAACATTCCCAATCCCAGGCCGTGAGTGACGTTATCGAACGCGCCGCTGTTGACCGGGTCCCTGAAACACTTTCTCATATCCTCAAGGTGGTTCCTAAAGGAAACAGTTGAAGAGTTATTCCCTCCTCAGGAAATTAAGCAGATCCTATCACAAGGAAATAAGTCACTCACTTAGTTTCAATTATTTTGGACCAGTGTTGAACCGTGTTCATCTCAGGGATAAGCTGCTTCGCCATGTTACCGTAGTCGATGTAGTCATGGGCAAAATCCTTCATGTCGTCACACAAAGCTCCAGTGTCGCCTTAAAAACACAAACAGAAGTCAGTCTCTGAAGTTTTTTTATTTTACCAGATATTAAAGGTCCTTTCACACCGGGGGTGTTTTTTTAATGCGGTCATTTCGGACGTCAGTATTTTTTTTCGTACCCGTATCCTGTCAATACAAGCATTTACATCAGCGACGTTTTCCCGTCCTGCGATATTGCGGCATTTATTTTTTCGTATCATGGTCGAATTTTCTAAAGTTTCGCATACTGTGTGTCAACTTCTGACCAATCAGATTCACGGATATATCCAACATGGACGACCGGCTGATCGTTTACGTGTCGGAGATAGTGTTGTTTTCGTTGATGATGACGTTGACGAAATATAAAATATTTTGTCAATGCCCCTTTTTTTCCACGACTAAGACGTGACAGTGACGAGCTAAACATAAGTCTTAGATTACTAAAATGTGACGAGGTGAATGTGCGTTTACGTTGACGAGACGAGACTAGACAAAAACGTTAGTGGTGGACGACGAACAGAGTTGCGAAATTCATGAGCATTTCGTCAGTCAAACACTAAACATATTCTGCAGTGTTGTTTTCGTTGATGATGATGAAATATTTTCGTCAACTTCAACGAAAACAACACTGGTCGGTCCTCTTAAAGCACCTTCTGTGAGTTTGGAGAAAGACGAGGACACAGAGGTGTTTGTGCTGGGAGTGAGTCCGAGAACACCAAGCGACTCTAGGAGGGTCTTCTTGCTGGCTGGACCTCTGCTGACCCGAGTGTAGGCTGCCAGGGAGCGCAAGGACATCTTCTCTGGAGCCTGGAGGCGCCGGCTGATTTCATCGTACGAGATGAGGTATTTTCCTGGGGATAGAGAGCAAGAATTGGTGCTAGATTACATTTCATCAAATCTGGTTATTAAATTTACAAGTCCCTCCCTGGTCCCACTGCCCACTTACTAGCTTTGGATCCTTTCATGTTTGGGTCCAGGAGTGACGACACCTCGGCGAAAGGCATCTGTGTCGGCGACTCTGTGTTTGTGCTCTGGTTTGGTGTTGGGTCCTGATTTTGAGACACATCCTCCATCTGTTCAGGGACAGAAACCTGCATCTGGGTCTGAACATGGGGCTGCATATGAGTCTGTAAGGTGTCCATTTTCACCTGGTTCTGGTCCAGCTGAGCCTGGCCTTGTGCTTGAGGGAGGATGAGTGTGTTTTCTGACAAACCCTGAAGTCCCATGCTGCCCTGTTCGACATTTGCACTTTGATCTGAAGACACTTGAAAGATGCTCATTATAGGTTTTACTACCGTGAAAACCATGTTCCCCTGGGCATCCAGACCCACCATCCTGGTAGATGGGTCCATGTCTTCTCTCAGGCTGTACGTTTTCAGCTGAGGGAGGAGGCTCAGGAGGCTTTAATTATCAGATCAGGTAACCTCAGAGGCCCATGTAGTGTGACAATACACTCCTCTGGTCTTAAAGGGTTTTGCCTAAAGCTGACCCTGCAAAAGGGTAACGTGAGCTGACACTCTCGTTACGATGAAGGGAAAACCTCCCACGCAGCAACTGTGTGGATGTCTCACTTTCTTTGTGCTGTGTGATGAGGCTCACAATGACGCAGCAGCTGTTACATCCTGAAAAAAGCAAACATTTATTTAGAAAGAAAAATTCTAATTCATAACCTAACACTTTTGGAAAATATTTTATACACTTTTAAAAAAATAATTCCAGGTATGATATTTAAGGAAAGGATAAATGCATTTAACTTGGAGTGTATTTCAGACAAATAAGGAGTTTTTTTTTTTACTTCATTCATAGCAATGACTCAGTCTTTACATACCTGAACTCTACGTTTTATGACTTTTCTGGTCATCTGAGTGTTACAATATTCTTTTACAACTTAATTCTAGTAGCATTGAAACTTCATTCTCATAACAATGCTGTAGACTAATAGTCATCCTAATATTCTAGTAATAGTATGACTTTATCTTATTCTACTTTGATTACTTTCTAACAACTTAATACTCATGATATTACAGCTTTATTCTCAAAATCTTTATCTTATTTTTGTCTCTTAATTTGGCCAGCTATAGCACAGTCAGCATGGCGTATAATCAATCAACATGTGATAAAATGTACAAAACACTGTAGATTAAAGTCAGTTAACTTTGCTGTGTCATGAACTCGGGGTTCAGGTAACAACTTTCTTTTCAAGTTTAAGGATGTGTAGAATTGAATATTTGAGTGGTCAGTTGGCTATGTAGGTCAATCTGTGGACATATCAAATGCACCATTCAGTAAATATACAGTAAGTATCCAATATTTTGATCAGATATCGGCTCCGATATTGACAAATTAACTGGATTGGATATCGGATGAATGGTGCCGATCCAGTGCTCTGATCAAGTTTTTTTTTTCTTTTTTAATTAATTTTTATTTTAATACATTGAGGTCTTACTTCTTTTTGCCTTGTGCTAATGTGCAATTTGTTATTTATTCCTAAACAATATTATAACAAATTTATGTGTTCATTTGTTCCTTTTTTTTTTTTTTTTAAACAAGGCTTATGTCAAATCTGACGCCTTCACTCATAGTGAATGGTATACAGTTCATTCATTCAACAGTAGTATTGGATCGGTATCAGATAGCGGACGATACGCTCATTCCAGGCATCGGTATCAGATTGGATCAGAAAAAAAATGGATCGGCGCATCGCTTATACTCATGTTGGCACACTGAATCAAATGTACACGATTTTTTGGGGCTAATTACACAAATGCGGGTACAACTGTGATGCTGACTCTCATCCTGGGAGCCCTTATACAGGTTTAGTAAACTGCTTTGATAATATTTAACCTACTGATATGACAACTAAGATTATAGATTTAGGGGGTTACAGTTAACCGTTCAATAACAGTTATTTCTGATTTTAATGCCTACTAAATTTCAAATTCACTTTTTAACGGCTGGCGCGTGCATGGTTTTCGAGCCTCGCGCTGGTGTCAGAGCGTCAGTTTGCATCCCCCACCGAGCAAACAACAAACTTTACCAATAATATCAAACAAGAGGCAAGACTTTACAGCTGACATTAAAAAGAATTACTCATTTAACTGAGTTGTGAATTTTTACTTTGTGTACTGCGTCGAAAACGCTTAATTTATGCTTTAAATTAACTCCTCGAAGCTTCTTTTGTCGCCACAAACATCCATCATGGCTGCCAGGTGCCACCGTTGCTACGTTTTTCTCTAACAGCTGCCCTTAAATTCGGCAGAAAAGAGCCAGAAAGAGGCAGCGAATCATCACAGCGCCGACTAAATGAAACAGCTAACCTTGATGCAACTAGTGACGACCGTCTCCCACTCACCGGATCGCAGTCAGTTTCTTCCTAAAAGGACACTGATCCTAGAACGGTCCACGTCGAAGGCAGCGACATTTTCCCTCCTTCTCTGCAGTCGCTTCGGCGGGTTGCAAATCAGCCCTACATGCACCACCTCCCATTAGGCCTAATCCCGCTTCTGATTGGCCATTTTGGGTGACAATCACAGGCTCTGTGCGCTAGGATTGGACAAGAGGCGTGACAGCGAATCAGAGAAGGTGGGACTTCCGAATCACTCTGAAATGTAGTGAAATGAGTGATTCATTTGAATGGTTTGTCTTTCATTTTTAAGTTGTTTGGAGCACATTTTTAGGATTAAGAGTATTTTTCTTGGCTTTGAGAACGGTATGCAGACTTTTGTGAAGAAATAATACTTAATGCTACAGTAACAGATACTCTATTTTCTGGTATAATGAGTTATATCTTGTTTTATAAGACTTAAACTCATGTATCCTGTCATCTAGGGATAGAAATGCCTGTTTCTCAAAAGGACAAGTTGATTCAAGTTGTGTCCTCAAGATCTCTACTTATATTTACTCTGACTTTGCATACCAGATTGATTAACCTCATTATCTCAAAATAATAGATCTTGTTTTAATTGGATTAAGGTATCCTTACAGACCAGGAAAGTTCACCTCCCTATCACTCTCTTAGGTGAAACACGCTATGAGGAGTATTGGCCACAAGATGGTGTAGTGTAGCTGCGATGGGGTTCATGCAGAGGGCACTCAAGACATTCAGAGAGGTCCTGAGATTCTCATGACATTGGAGTATTCAGGTCCTCTGAATGAGGCTTTAATGAGTTTCACACAGGTGTTTATTTTTGTGAAGAAAATGTAACGCTGTGAACTTGCTTGACTGAAAATTAAAGATACTTTAATGGACAGGAATTAGTGTACGCACACGACAGAGAAGACACCATGAATTTATCTCGTTGAAATTTATTTTGGGTACGAATAAAAAAATGTACAAAATAAAGCATAGAAAGTATTAATTATGAAAACAATGCCAATGAAATAAAATAAAAGGCAACAATTAAATAATTCCTTAAAAATACAGTGAGCTAATTTGGAAAAAGCAACCTGTGGTGCTATACATCTACACAAGGAGACATGGCAGACATGTCCTGTTTGGGTAAGAAAAGGCATAGACCTTAAAAAATATTAAGTGTGAATCCAGAAGTGCGCAAAAATAAAGCGGATAAAGGCTTGTGTTCAAATGTTTGTGTGCTGTTGTTTTCAGAGTTTTTTTTTTTTACAGATCCTTCAATCAAAGGGCAAAATCCACATGAGCTTCGTTTTTCAGTTTCTGGCCTCAGTAACAAGCACTGAAATCTAACAATCCCACAGTAAATCACAAACATTTCTACAGTGTTGCATTCGTACCGAGCTTGACACCATCCTGACTTGACGGGAACTTTAATTCAGCGTGACAGCGAGCTAAAGTGGAAACACCTGACAAAGCAGAACATGCACTGTACGCCTAGCGATCTTCGCGTCGCGCTCTGCGTCCACAGTGAGGCACAGAGTCGACGGGTTTTCAGCTGATGTTGCAGGCTCACAATCCTGCCTGGAGTCAGTCAGTCACTCGAGGGTTAACTGTTCATTCAACCCTCTAGGCTCGGCTGGTGTAGATGTTAGTGCTGGTGTTGGAGAATTAAGTGCGGGGCGGCTCAGTGTCTGCGTGTGCGCTGGCTGCTGGTGCCTGTGGTGGTGATGTAGAGGAGGGGCTGGGGCTGCCGCAGCTGAGGCCCTCGCTTCAGGTTACTCATGTGGGTCACGGAGTCTGTGTTTGAGCCTGTGAGGGGACAGTAGGAAAAAACAGTGAAATACCAAGAACATGAAAAAGGATCGAGGTTTAGTCAAGTGACAGACGGCTGTTTACCTGTTTGCTGGCTGCTGAGGGGAGCTCTGACTTTGGCAAGAGGAGGGACTCCTCTGTACTGGGGGCGGAGCATGGGGGCCTGGGGCAGAGTGTTGTTGTGCAGGTGAGTGTCTGATGTGCTGTCCAGAGGGCGAAACCTCTGAGCGGCGGTGGTTTTGGTTTGAGGCAGCTGAAAGTGAGAAGACGAGAAATTACAGCTCTCAAAGTGACCTCCTCTTTGGTCTTCTGAATTTACAGAAACATGGAAAAGGTTTTTGTTAACCTGCATTTCCTTCAAGATACTCACAGCTTGACCGGTGACTTCAAAAGAGCGTGACCGCCTCTTCTTCCGCCGAGCCTCGAAATCCACGTCTCTCGGCGTCTGATTCTTGTTGCTGATCTGCCGGTTACGTGGCCGTGTCCAGGTCACCTGCAGGCTGGACCCCTCGCCTGTGCTGCTGGACAGGTTATCGTCCGACGTGGCGTGCCTGAGCTCGGGGCTAGGCTGCCTGCCGCGTCGCATCTGCAGACCTGCAGGGGGAGCCTCGCTCAGGGAGAGGCTGCTCTTCTGCTTCTTGGGGTCCAGAGGGGAGGGAGGGAGGTTCAGCCGAAGGGCGTCCACCTCCAAGGCTTTGGAGCGTCGCCGGGCTGCTTTCACTACGATGTTCTGGACGCCTTTTAGGATCTGCTGACGCTCTGTGGAAACAAAGGAGAGTTTCTGTGTCTGTGCTGCTGCAGAAGAAAGAGAATCATTCATCCTGTTTAATGAGCACAGCTTGTTGCTGGTAAAAATTAATGAGAAAAGAATTAAACAAGTTTGTATAATTTATTTGAGTTATGAGTTACAGAGAGAAAGTCCAACATAAAAGTTGAATCATTGAGAACAAAAACCTGTTTTAAAGTCCAACAATTAAAGCACATAAGCTTATAAATGTTTACTTTTTGTGGTTTTTCCTGTGACACTGGATTAAAACTTTTCACTTAAAACATTTCTCCTGCGTCCTCTTACCACGTCGTGAAAGGGCGATTTCAGCCCCGGCCTCGCTGCTCTCAGGTGAAGAGTCCAGGTGGCTGCTGACGCTGTGGCTGAGGTGACTGTAGCTCAGAGAGCCCTCAGGAGCCAGCGGCTGCAGCTGCGAACATGAAACACAGAGAGTCCCGAGACAATCAGACATCCACTTTGAGCATCATCGACATGAACAGGTTTAGAAATTATTCCACAGATTGAACTCAGAGGGGTGCAATCTGTTTTTTTTAAAAGGTGTCCCACAGGGTTCTATCTTTGGGACTATTCTGTTCTCTGTTTTCTAATGATTTGAGTAAGGACGTCAAATCAAATAAAAAATACACCTCTATGCTGATGATACCATCCTCTGTAACAAACGCAGTACAGTAATCTAGTCTTTACAAACAGCTTTTCTGAATTTAAATCCAGCTTTGAACGCTCAATAAACAAACTTCATCGCCTTCTCAAAAGCTCGCCTGTAACAACCAGACAAATCCAACAATTCCACTCCTGAAGGCTCTTGTTAGACTCTCATTTAGAGGAGACTTTTAATCTAAATGGAAAAAAAAAGGTTAAAAAAGTCAACATTAAATTGTGTATCTCTCACAGCTCTCAAGGCTACATTGAACAGATAGGATTTGAAGCTTTAGTAAATAATGAATTCAGCCGGTTTACACATTTGGACTCTGAAAGCTGAGCAAAAACCCAGACTCCGGGAGCTGAGAGCGTCTTCAGCAGCTGCCAGTGTGTCTTTGTCTGGAGCTGCGTGAGCTGAAAATGAAACAGCTCGAGCGGAGTGAAATATCAGTGTGAGTCATATTGCTTCGAGTGAAAAGAAGCTCCTGACTGGAGTGTATTAATTCACAGCGTGGGGCTCCTCTCGGAGTGAGCCGCTGGAGCGAAATGAAAAAGTGAAAATGTAGCTTCTTACTGTTGTCCTCACCTCTCTGTTGCCCCTCCCGTTAATGTGGATGGGGGGCGGGGTCATCACCGCTGAGTTTTTCATCTGCCTGGCGTGAGGGCTGTTCTTAAAAACCCTGTTACTGTCCCTGTCGCACAGAGAGGGAGAGAGCAGGTTGTTATTGCTGTTAGGACAGCTGGTGTATCGTGGGTAGAAGAAGAAGAACAAGGGGGTCCTCTCACAGCTCAGGTTCAGGCAGGATGGGGGGCAAAGTGTGTCTGCGGGTTTTAGTCGGTCCTTGTCTGTTGTCGGAGTACATGTTGCGAACGCTCTCCTGGTCTGAGTCCACGTCCTGCATGTTTTCCCGGCCCTGACCGGGCAGAGTGATCTTGGGTAGAGAGCCCTCCTAAAAAAAAAGGAGAACATCAAAAACTGAGTGTCTCACATGAATCCATCTTGATGATTTCTTCTTGTTATCCAGCCGGGTCTACCTTGATGGTGTGTCTGGTGGTCACTTTATCCAGGGCCATGGCTCTGTCCAGTTTCCTCTCGTCCAGCTCTCTCATGTACATGTCATAGAGCTCCTGGAGGTGTGGAGGCACTAACAGACTGTGGTCTGCAACACACACATGAAGGCTAGGATTAGGCTATCAGTTTTTTGTAGGAGGTCTTTGATTTTCATGAACACTTAAAGTTAAAGGAGCCATGGTGTGTTTTGAAATTGAAATGTTCGTCACTTTCTCAAACATTTTCTCTTAAAGGGATATTCCGGCATAAAATTAATTTAGGGTCAAACACACCATAACACAGAGTTAGACACCCCCTTGAGAGATAAATGTTGTCGATAGCAATACACAGCGATCTGAGGAGTCATAAACAAACCTCAACCAAATGCCACTCTATAATCACAAATAATGTTCAGAACAGCACCTAACTTCATCAACAGTACACATAGCGTCCCAGCCATAGTACTAGACACCAAACATCTTTTTAACTTTGACTCATTTCTTTAGCAAAGAGACTAAACACAACTCACCTACTCTCTTCCAGCAGCTGCTTGTTTGCAGTGAGACCTCAGGCTAGTCTATTACGGACTACAGCGGGGTGACGCAGCTCAAGGAAGAACATTTATGATCATTTCTTCATGGAAATACAATCAGACCGAGACGCTAAGGCAGAAGAACTACCGCGTCTGCAGTGTAAAATGATTAATATGGTGATTATTACTTCAAGGAAATGATAAAGAAATGATCATAAATGTTCTTCCTTGAGCTGCGGAACTCCGCAGCAGTCCGTAATGAACCGGCCTGAGGTCTCGCCATAAACAAGCGGCTGCTGGAAGAGAGTAGGTGAGTTGTGTTTAGTCTCTTTGCTAAAGAAATTAGTCAAAGTTAAAAAGATGTTTGGTGGCTGTGACCCTATATGTCCTGTTGATGAAGTTAGGTGCTGTTCTGAGCATTATTTGTGGCTATAGAGTGGTGTTTAGTTTGAGGTTTGTTTATGGCTCCATAGACCGCTGTATATTGCTACTAAAGTTGGTATAACTAGAGAAACAAGCAGTCAGCACATTCATCTCTCCAGGGGGTGTTTAACTCGGTGAAGAAGTTATGATGGGGCAAAGTTGTTCTAACGAAGACAGACTCACCGTCAATAAACTGTCTCTGCTGCTGGATGATCTCGTCACACAGGTGTCTGTGCTGCTCGAAGCGCTGCACCACGAAGTTCTTGTGTCTGATGACGTTGTCTTTGAGCAGCGCGTGAGACTGCATCTCCGCGTTCTCGATCTCCAGCTCGTGGACTTTACAGAGGAGGCACAGCACCTCCCGCTGCTCCTCCGAGCTCACCCGCCGAGGCAGAAGCTCCTCCAGGCGCCGGGCCTGCTCCCTGAGCTCAAGGAATCTGCGCTCCAGCAACGCCTTGAGGTGAATAAACAAAAGTGAGTTTTTTTATAAGCAACAGAGATGAGCGAAAAGTTCTTACACTACTTTGAAAAGTTGAGGACTACCTTCTGTTTGTTGATGCGTTTCTGCTCAGCCATGAGGGTAACCAGGTTTTCTCGAGCCATCGCCACCTGCTGCGTCTCTGTGCTGTCTGGAGGAGACTCAGGGGAGTCCGAGTCCTTCTCGCTGTCGTCTTTATTGACACTTTCTTTCCTCCTCTCTGCTCGCCACTTCCTCCTGCGTCGACTCCGCTCCTGCTCCCAGCTAAGGGGACCAGACAGAAACACTTAGATATCAATTTGTCTCTCTAACTTTTTTAAAATATTGTTCCTGTATAAGTTTGAATGATCAGATCAAACCTAAGCTGAGTCTCAACACCAAATCAGATGTATCATTGCACTTTTTACAAACTTTGAAGACTGATTCAGACATGATTGGAGGGTAAAATACAGTCCATGTGGATGAATTAATCTTCTCAAACGAATTCAAGATGAATTTCGCCTACTAAAAAAAACTGTTTTGAACCACTTAGTCGGCCAACTGTTCCCTGAATGTTCCCAGGGGGACTGTCTGAGAAAATAGAAATCTGTTATAAACACTGACTCGGCAATGGTTAGCAGGTGTTTGGAGGTGTCGATCTGGATCTCCATATTGCTGTTCTCCAGCTCCATCAGGCTCCTCCTGATCTCCATCTGCTCACGGAAAGCATCCAGGAGCTGCTCCCTCAGCATGTCCATCTCTGCCCGGCTCTGCTGGCTGGAGTGGGCCTGGACCTCGGCTAAAAGGAAACAGGCACGACTGTGAAATGTAGACTACAGACACTAGAAGCTGCAGATTGAAGGCAGATTCATCTTTATTAACATACCTTGAACGTGTCGGATATCAGCGCGGTCGGCGTTGAGCTGGCGGCTCGCCTGGTCTGCGATCTTTTTCTTGAGCCGCTGGATCTCGCTGCGCAGATCTGAGATGATGTTTGTGTACTGAGCGATGTGATATGACACGTTTATGAGGTTCTTTTTTACCTGGAATACAAAGAGAGGAGACCGAGAAAGAAAACATGTTCAAGGATGATCTTAAAACTTCTGTTATAGAGCCGTAATGATCCTTTTTCCTTAAATTTAAGCTATGATACTGAGCCACGTGTAGTAAAGCTGCCTCGTGATCCTGCTGTGAAATATTTGATCATTGAACCCATCTCAGTTTCAGCTCTAAATAAAGGCGGATAAGAGGCTTAAGGATGAGGCCTTCCCCGGACTCACCCGTGTTCGAATGCTTTTGGCACGGTCGGCGTACGTCAGCGTGTTACGGGACTCCTCAAAAGCCACAGAGGCGGGGCTGATGTGAGCGATCATGACCGTCCGACTGTTTCCGCCCAACGAGTCCTGTGGGTCACAGAGATCAGGATAAATCATCATCCCAACCGTGAGATTAAACACATATTTACAGACATTCTTCTTCTGCTGCTTTACCTTCAGGAGGCGGGTCAACTTGCTGTCTCTGTAGTTGACGTACTTGTTGCCGTTTTTGTCGCTCAGGGCGTTGATGCAGTTGCCCAAAGCCAGAAGGGAGCGGTTGATGTGAGCGCCTTCTTTTAACCTCTGACCCCGATTCTGAGTCTAAGAGAGACACAGTTGTATAAAAATGAGTGTGAAAATATCCCAGCTTTGTAAACAGAGTAAAAAAAAGTGGACGGATGATGGTGAAAAAGGAAGAAAGAGATGAAAAATGACACCTTAAAGCCCTGAAAACTGATCTGAGGGAATATTTTGAGGCACTGGATCAACTTAAAGCGTCTGATTTTGACACCTGAAAGCCTCCTGTCTTTACATTAAAGGTCGTTATCATGTTTCCACTCTTGACCAGCAGATGGCGTCACTCCACCAGCTTCAGTCTGCTAACTAAATCAACTTTCACTGACCACTTCTACTCTTAATCTGTCGAGGAGGGAGAGAAAACGTTTCTTGTCGCCTCGTGTGGTTCTGAGTTTTCTGCTCAGCTCGATTTCTGACGGCGGCCACACGAGCGCAGCTCATCAATACTTAGACTGTGAACCTTTCAGACGGTCTCCATGGTGTTGACTCTTTGCCTTTTGTTCACAGCAGCCGGAGCACGCAGACGGAGAGAAGCTTTTCATTTGTCGGAGAAAAACAGACACATCTAACAGACTGATCTAACACTTAAGGATCTGACGGTGTTATTGTTTGTTTAAAGAATTTCAAAGTAAGACTAGAAATATGAATGAATGTTCTCCACATTAGTATTGATCATAGCTGTGTGATAACAGAGACAATGTTCTCAACAGTCAGCAGGTATAACTCTGCTGTTCCTCCGTTCAATGTGCAATCATTTTCTTCTTCGTGTTTTTCATCTTGTGTTTTTGTTCCTTAATGAAGAGTTTGTTTTATTTTTCCCTTTTCTTTGTTCTTCGTCTGTGAAGGTAAAGTCAAAAATATAGTCATTATAGAACTGATTAGAGCGGAGTATAACTGTGTCTTGAGATGTGATTATCCTCATATGACAGCACAAAGAGAAGGAGGAAATTGGCAACGTGATGAAAGTGATTGTTCCAGCTGAGCGTTTATAACCGACACTTAAAAAGGAAAATGTGCAAAATGGGATTTAAGTAAGACTAAATGTTGATATCTACAAAACTGACTAAAGTTTGAAACTGACTCGGCATAAATGAGTTTAAAGCTGCTGTGAGGAACTTCAAGTTTTTGTTGATTTGGCGCCTCCTGCAGGCTGAGATATAAATCACATCACTTCGTTGATTTTGTACATGTGTAAGTTTTCTGACTGAGTCTAATTCTGAAAAATGAGTCAGAGTGTAAAGAAAGGCTCAGTCTACAGCAGGTAAAACAACACCCACCCCCACAAGAATTACAGCAATTGTGTTCCTGACGACCTTCATTGTCTTTGTAGGTCATAAAAACACACTGGTGTTAATTTCATTCTGTTTCACAACCAGATAAAAACTCCTCACAGGAGCTTGAATAATCTCTCAATAACACTTCAATCAAAATGAAGTGTTATTGTACGAATGAGAATTAAGCATTTTACTTTTAGTCAATTTTAAACCCTCTTAGACGACAGTTGAGCTTTTTTAAAGATATATTTCTGTGGAATCCACCTTTATCTGACTGGATCTGGCAAGGGTAGAGAGGAAAGAGCGAGATAAGAGCCGAGATGAGCCCACAGCTGCTAGACTTGAGTTCATATGAATCACACAACCCCACTTCCAATAAAGTTGAGTAACGATGGTATCAGAATCATTTAAACCCTGTATCTAATCAGAAATAGAGCAAATACGACAAATAAAATAATAAAAATTCAGTTTTATGCTAAATATATGCTCATTTAAGTTTCAAAAACGCTGAGACAGGACAAACAAAACACTGAAAAGTTGTATAATTCTTAAGACAACAGCTGGAGGAACATCTACAAACTCGTTAGAGTGGTTAACAACAGATTAGAACGATGACCGTGTATAAAAATGTAATTAAATTCTAAGTTTGTGAAGCTGCACAAGGTTGAGTTTCACAATAAAGTTGCTCCACTTGCCAGGAGGCCGGTGCGTTTCTTTAATAAAGCTCATAGCGGGCTGCAGCAGCAGATATACAGAGACTCTTATTAAAGTCTCCTGAGGTTTATGGGAACCTCGATCCTGCAGCCTGCTGTAAAGATTCACTGCCAAGTATCCAGAGTGAGCAGACTGCAGCACTCACCATGTCATTTAGTGTCTGTGCACGTGTGATGGAGGCTGTAGGCTTAAAAACACACGCTGCATTCAGTGTGAAGATAATGAAAGTGAACGCACCACCGCTAATAAATATTCCACCTTGAATTTCCACCTCCTGACTGAAAATTACCTGTGCTGCTCGTTCAGAGCCGGCGAGGTCGATCATGAAGAGGCGTGCGAAGCGGACCTCCTGCATGACATCTCGACATCGGCTCTGCTGCTTGACGGCCACCTGCAGCACGGCGTGGGAGCGAGAAGACGTCTGATTGGCAGCTGTCGGCTCCTGTGTGCGCTGTTTGTTGCCTTTCACGAGCAACTCCATGATCTGCGAGCGCACAGGCAGGGTTTTTGTAAACACAGTTTTCTACCTAAAGCACCTAAGAAGTCGTGTTTTGATTGTCGTACCTCTTGGGCATTGATGGTGGACACTTCTGTGATGCCAGCGACTTGAATCACTCCTTTAGAGTCTTCTCTCAGGTCCAAGAAACCTGAAGATGGGTTCAGCAGGTCCCGGATCATCTCATTGTAGATCTAAAAGACAGATACACAGAAAGCTGTCAGCTAAAGTGCGGTTATATATCTCTTTCATTCATGTCGTTCTAAGTATGAGACATGAACCTGATGGGAGGTAGTTCATGTGCATTGAAAAGGCTCCATTCAGTTTCCTCGGCCACCCACACAGACCCAAACACGCTACAAAAACATCAAATGCTATATTTTCAGAAACCTGTCATTTAGAAACCACAGCTTGTTGGGTGGTGAGCCGTCATGAGCCGGCGTTAGTGCTCAACTCAGGTGACCTCTCTGGACTAAGACCGACGGTGCTGTAAGAGACCCCAGACCCACATAAAAGCTCAGAGCGGGACATGACATCCTGGAAAGGCGACCATTAGATGACAAACCGCAGGGAGGCTTGAGCTGTAATGACAGTTTTGATTTGTCAAACACAAGCAGCCACAAACCCTGAGAGGTAGGAGGTTTTACTGACACTGACAGCTGAATATTTGTGTCCGTTTTTTTTCCATTTGTACTTATTCATGGCGAGTGAAGCTTGAACAAGATCACTTTGTCTCAGGTCTGGGTCTTCCTTACTTATACCTGCCACTTTAGGAGGATAAATATATTCCCAGGGACAGCTATGAATATTGGGATGACGTTCTCGACGTGAAAAGCTGAGCGTGGAAACACTGGGTTATATTTTTTGTATGTTATGTATGTTATGGATGGGGCCACACAAGCGAGCCTATGCCTATGAAAATTTAATGTAATCATGAGCTCCTTTTTACAGTCTGTTCAGAGCAAGGCTGTTAATGTCTTACAGTCTGTTTAACAGCAGAGGAATCATGGGGCGGGTTGTTGAGGTGGTAGTTTCTGCAGCAAGTAAGCAATATTAACCAAACCCACATGTAAACATGTTTAATTAGTATTGAGACAAACGGCTATATTAGTACTCTCACACTCTTTATTTTACATGTAAATATACTAAATGTTACGGCAGTCCTTCCACTGGTTGTGGAGATATTTTGATCAATAATAAGGAGTGTGCAGAAGCTAAGAAGACTATCCTTAAATACATGTGACAAGAATGTGGAACCAAAATAAACATACCATAGGAGGAGGGTATATATCTGTGCATGTGGAGTAACTAAAGATAGCTCTCTTTATCCGCACTAAGTCCATTTATTTGGATTTCCTGTTTGTGTTTTGCGTGCGTGTGTGGTAGAGATTGCACGTGTAAAAGACTGTTATTCCAGCAGTCAAAGGAGCAGATGTGTGCTCGTCGCTCTGTCCGGCTGTAAAATGGAGTTTAACCTCTTTGTGGAGAGGCGGCGGTGGCGACCGATTACTCCCCTGGTAACAGCAAACACACACGTCACACACGGGCTTCTGTCAGGACTCTCTCTGAAGGGTTCAATACAGGTTAGGGAACATCCAGACTCCAGGATTGGCAATTTAATAGGAACATTTTCAATTTCACCCACCCACACTGCCATTAAAGAGTAAGTCTGTAATAACACTGCCAATCATTGAACATAATTGTAGCGTTTGGCACTAAAAAACACGAAATGTAATTTCAAAGTCGCATCTTAGACCCCCTGCCTCTCTTTGTACCCAAAATGTGCCATTTTCAGGCGGGGATTTAATGCCCCTTTTTTAATTTTCTCTTTTCATAAGAGGTTTTATTCATCATCTTTCTCTTTTCCTCTCCCAGAACTCATTTCCTCTCCACAAGCTAAGTGTGTTTTGAATAAATCTGACTCAGTTATTTTCATACTGCGATCTCCTCAAGAAAACAAAATATTCACTTACAATAAAAGGGAGCACTCACAAACATAAAGAAGATATTGAATGAGCCGTTTGTTTCAAGGTTTGCAGAGTTTATTTCCTGTCTTTCAAACTCTTTGTGGCTCTTACACGGAAGGTCGAAAATGTTCAAAGATAATATGAGAAGTATTTTGAAAGGAGCGTCTTGTTTGAATGGAATAATAAATCCACCCAGCAACCTCTTTCTTACTTTATTTTAATAGAGTTAGGCGGAGGTAAGAATGATCTTATGAATAAAAATTTGAAAAACGGTTCAATTTGTGCCAATCGACAGGAAAAGAGACGCTCAAATACAAGCATGCTGCTTTGTGCTCCAAAGAACAATTGAGAGAGAAAAAACAGGACAAATGTAATAATAAAATGCTGAAACAAAGTGTACAACAAGCAAGCAAGGGGGCTAAAATCCTCCAAAATGACAACCTTGTACAGAGACCTCTTGAAGCCACCTAACAACAGACCATGTCAGAGTCGTCAAATGACAAATGGGAAAGGCTGTTCAAAAAGACTCTAAGTATAAGGGCCTGTGTCCACTAACTCCTTTACTGTGCACCTTTTCTCTTTACAATATCATGCAATACATTAACTTACTTGATTTTACAAAGTACAATTTCCAGGTCTACTAATGCTGCAACATTATTCCCTTTGGTTTTAAGTTTTCAAGTTAATGCCATTGAATGACAGCAAAAATAATACATACAAAACATTAAAAAGCAGATGTGACATTCACTCCTAGATAAAGCAGTGGCTCTATCTTTTGTGATCTGGCAACAGTAAATGCATAAAAGAAGAGCTCAGATTGCTCTTAACTAAATTTATGCACAAATTCTGCTAATGGACACAGGCCCTAAAAATGGCTTGACTGTGCATGGCGGATCTTTGTACCTGAATGTTTGAGAAAAATAAAGTTTAAAGCATTGAGCATTGTGAAACAGTCTCCTATTATTCACACTTGAGGAAAGCGATAGTCCCATGGGACACCTTTTATGACCTGGTGACAAAGATGTTGCTAATGGACACAGGTCCTAATAACAGTTTGACTTTATAAAGCTGATTTTTGTACATGACTTCTCAACTCAGGAAAAATTAGTTTTATGTTTTTCCAACATATTTGTAAACCACCTTTTCATAACTTTTGTCAGGTTCATTTAACACCGTTGACATAAAACATAAAGCAGCTAAACAACATAATAGAGAAAAATGAGGCCATGAATGCAAACACATACAAGAGTGAAATAAAAGGGTCCTGCTTTAGTCTGTGAATGTGTCTGTGAATCTCTCAAGAGCTGTTGTCAAGGATGCCAGCTGCATTTCAGATGAGAAACAAATGCTGGCAAAGTAAAAGGACACCCGTCCTGTCTGCCTGCAATTGGCATCAGCTAACGACCTCAGATCTTATCAGTGTAAAGAAACCAGGACTCAATCAGAAGATCTAACTGTGATGCTGACAGACAAAAAAGATAAAGACGATTCAAATGTGAAGAAATCAGAGGGAAAATCTTGAGGCAAACCACCAGATAAATGACCACGACACTTTCAGCCGCACTTAACGGAAAGCAGGAGGTGTGTCATCAGAGTTTGAAATTTCATGAATAATATGGAGGGGAAATTGTCGAGGGAGGAATAAAATACTAACCTCAAGATAGGACATGGAGACGCTGTATGACATGTCATCACTGGTCTCCTCGATGGCACGGAACAGGTCGTTCAGCGTCCTGACGTAGATACCCGGCTCCTTGTCTGTCCCCAACATGGTGTATGTTTTACCACAACCTGGGAACAGAAAACAAAATTTAAAACAAGTTCTGACTGCCCTCAAATCTAAAAGAGATTGAAAACAAGTGTATGTATAATGGGGCTATAAAGAGGAATAAAAAGACAAGTTGATCTATTTTCCAGGAATCAAGTATGACATTCTTTATGGATCATTTTTATTTTAGCTAAAACTTTAGTTTAAACTCTGCAGCAATAAGGGCCTATGTCCACTAACAGCGTTTTTTTGCCTTTTTTCCCCCCAAAAAAACACAAACTAATGACGGGGTATTTCAGAAATGCCAAATGACAAAAGACAGACATAAAAGAGAGTGTAGAATAGATATAGTGAATAAGCACACTGATGACCTTTAGTTTAATTTCTACAGCAATAAGGGCCTATGTCCACTAACAGTGTTTTTATGAATTTTTTCCAAACAAAAAACAAAGTCATGCCAGGGTATTTCAGAAATGCCAAATGACAAGACATATGTAAAAGAGAGTGTAGAATAGATATAGTGAATATGTGTACTGACGTCCTTTAGTTTAATTTCTACAGCATTAAGGGCCTATGTCCACTGATGGTTTATGCTTGTTATGGTATAATTCCTCTTTCCATCCTGGTTCAAACTAGTCTAACTATTATGCTTCATTATTTTGACATCATACACTATAATACAGACTACAGTTGAAGGACAGTCTACCCTTTTTTAATTAATACTACCCTGTGAAAGTTGATGCTACGACTAAGAGCTAATTGCTTCCTGTGTTTACATGATCAGGATGTGCTGTCTTAATTTATTCTCTGCTGGCCTGATGGCACTGTCAAATGCAAATAAACACATGAACCCAATGACACACGCTGAAAACCCTGTTTACTTCAACAAAGGAGCAGACAAAGCGCTATGATTCACTGAGGCAGATGGACAGACAGATGAAGTCAGTCAGAGAGTTGGGAACTTGAGGACAAATACGACCCCGCTTCTCTTTGACAATCTGTCTCTGCCCGCTGTAAACAGGGGAGGTAAGGCATGACTCATTCTATGATCACACCTGAGCTAAAAATAGAACCAAAACAGATGAGAGTAAGATGTCTCACTATTTTCTAAAAGTGTGGAACAGGTGACTCAGGAAGGGAATGAGGAGAAATAACATCCATACACACTCGCACACACACAAACCTGTGGGTCCGTAGGCAAACACGGTGGCATTATAGCCTGAAATGAGGCCCTCGATCAGCCCTTTGGTGGTCGCTCGGTAAACCTCCTCCTGCAGAAATAGCACAAAATACACTTTAAAGTGAACAAGCAAACAAACTTTTGGCTGGAATTTCTTCCATTTATCTTTATTTTCAAATGACCTGAGTGGCTAGGTAGTCGAACGCGACGTCAAACATGTAGGTCTTCTCCCTGGAGCGGTTGGCACGAAGGACATCGTCCGGGTCCTCCATGGGGTCCATCAGAACCACCATCTAATCATGGAGAGGAAAGAGAGGAGAAAAAAACAGCTTAGTTTGAATGTTTTCTCTCCCAAAGACGTATATAGAGAATGTAAACAGCCGAGTCAACGAACAAATGATCTGCAGATTGAGGAACAGCTTGGGTCAGCTCAAAAATGACTAATGCAAAATGATCTCACTAATAAATGCCTCCAGGCCTGGATGAGTCAGTGAAGTTTACTTCTCCTAGAGCTCCTGTTACAGATAAACTTTTTTATGGAGATAGACTGATCCACAGTCAGCAGATTAGAGAGTCAGTTGGGTGTATCATCAGTAAAAATTTATATTGATCATTTCTTTAATTAAAAATCCAACAACCATCTGAGACTTTCACACTACGTAACGTTGAGTCAGTTTTCGCCCCTCACTGAACATTCAGAGTATTCCCACACAACTGTCAGGTATGCGTCACTGCATACTTGTTTACAATTACACACAATTGAACCGGGTGGTGTTGATCGAACACATCAAGTGAATTAGGTTAGTAGGACGACACATTCTGTGAATTCAGCTTATCCTACTTGGCACTTTACCTGATATTGTGAACAAACATGCTGAAGATCAGCCTGACTCTGCAGCTTTAGAATCTTGCACACTGTGTTAATTCGATTGGAATTAGAAAATGGCTGATATCCAAAGTGTTGACTGACGAGGAAACTTAAAAAAACAAAAGGAAGCGAAGTTTCCAGAAAGTTTTTGATAACTATAATGAAATAAGGACTGTCTGTCCTTATTTATGCTGGAATTATCCACCTATGTCCCAGGTTTAGTGTATGTTTAAATGGTTGTAAATTTAGACTCAGTGCTCTGTATTATCTCTTTTCATCTTAGAGGTCAAACCAAGGACAGGTCTAGTCCTGGTAAGACAGTTATGTTTCCCAAGGCAGTTTGTTGCAATTCATCTGAGTAATTTACCCTAGACTTTTGGCCCCGCCCCCTATATTGGTGACCCACCTGAGTCGCTCTAAGCATAGAAAATCTGTCGCTTTAGTTATATTTACTTTAGCAGATATTTTTAGTTTTAATAGACGATACAGTTTGAGGACTTTTGGGTCTTACGTCTGTGAAGTTTCTCATTTTACAGAGAAGCAAACCTACCATTCAAACCCGCAGGAGACACATCTGTAAGGGGCGAACTACATCTACCAGTGTGGGTCCTTAGGCAAGACTCTTGGCCTACCTCATAAACATGAGTACGTTACTGAAAGGGTTGTTGCGTCAACCCAAAATTTGGGTTAATTTGAATAACCCAACATTCTGGGTCAAAATAACCCAATAAGTAGTCAGTCCCTTTTCAACCCCGGTGTTGGGTTAAAAACAACCCAACTTGGGTTTTTAGAGTGTACAACAACCTAAAGTATCAAAGTTATCTTATGTACCCTTTTCAATTTTCATGTAATTTTTACTTCCTCCAACTCATTATCATCCATATTTATAAGAAATATGATAACCATAGAGAACACGTCAGTGGAGGCTGATTTCATCAGTGTCCGTGTGACAGGAGCAGCTCACAGTATGAATGTATGCAAATACGCACAGACTCAAGCCATCTGCCGTACTGTGACCCACATGTCAAGGACATTTACATCTGATGAAGACGAAGAGGCATGTTGTGAAAATGTGTTTGCACCGCTCTGTAAGAGGATTCACAGGGATTGAGATGTCTCTTTGTTCTGGTCGTTTTGTTTGTCAGAGCTTAAGCTGAACTGACAATCATCTTCAGACGGCAGCTCTCGACGATGAACGTTTCAGGGACATGGTCTGAAAAGAAAGGCTGACAGCAGAGGAATGTTTTATAATGCTGTTGACAAATTAGAGTGGGTGAATATGGCTCGACAGGCTGTCAGCTGTTAAGGAAAATTATGCTCATCACAGATATGTAGGCTTGAATTTTGTTGCTTTGCATGTGGTGGAGAGTAAAGTCAGAAAAACAAAGAATTTGAGCGCAATATTCATAAAGTTTTGGAGGTCAATTGTTAAGGGAAAAAGACAGGTTTTGTATGTTAACTTTACATTTTTCTTTTGATTAGACCTCCTGATCTATGATTGATATTGATTTGATACATCATACGTGAAAACAGAAAAATTAGATGATGTGACGGATGCCAAATGCTGAGTGTTTTTTCCCTGTTTTGTCATTTTAATGTACTTAAGCATTTATTTTCACTCATTTATTTCCTTTTTTCTTCCTAATTTAAAGTTAAGCACAAAGTATGTTCGCTTATATTGTTGAGACAGTGGCAGTTGTAGATTTTTCTTTTTGATTAGAACTTATGTGTATGTTAGAATAAATTAAATGTGACTTTTCTCGTTGAAACCGGTTGTAAATGGATCAAGAATAGGCCTTTAAACATCTCAAGCAAATTGTCGATTCTCCGTGTCATGTTTGTTGAGTAAAATATAAATTTAATAAAAGACGGTGAAAGTTTATCGAGCTCTTTTAGTAAATCAGATTGGATCAAGAGAAGCTGAGTTTGTGCCAGGTTTTACAGCTGATCAGTCCAGCTCGGTGCCCAGCTTGGAGAGTCCTCTGAGGCCTGAAACGCTGATGTGCCCGGCTTGTTTGATGACCCCCTCAACCAGTGAGCCGCTCACTTTGAAGCCTCTCAATTGAAATTCAAGAGGGGAGAAAGGAGGGAGAGAAAAAAGAGGGAGAGGCCACTGGGATAGATGCAACTTCATTTGTGCTTTATTTTCACTGGTGAAACAATTACGTTGTTTTTCCAAGAATAATTTAATCTAGTGAGCATCAAGAAGTGCGGCACTTGATGCTCCTCTTTAGCCGATCTCTCCTCCCTCTTATCTTCTCTCTCCCCGTCCTCTTAGCTTCCTGCCTTTCCTCTAACTTTGCAAACCGCCAAGCTTTAGTGACGTAAAACTTGTGATCGCATTTCACAGGAAAGATATTGTGGTTCCTTCTCTTTCTATTAGGAGCACTCGAGGTCAGAGGCCCTTAAGCCACTTACACTCAGACATTACACCGACGACCTCCTGAACCCAAATGTCAGAGGAACTAATTTGTCTAGAAACAGCAAAGGGTTGAAGTGATGAGCACGTGAGACAAAGGTCTTTGTCTCCAATGTCTCCTATGGATTTCACTTGACCCCTCTGACACTTGGTCAGAGTACTGGAAAATCTCTATCAGTAACAACCATATCGCTTGGTAATGCCAAACTTTAATGTACACTGTGAATACTCAAAGTTTTATTTATGTTTAATCTTCTCCTTACTTCAGTTTTCGCACAGGCATCTCCAGTATGTCATGTCTATTCTGACTCAAATTATGCAGAACTTGTCGCCGTAATACCTTCAAAACTGTCAAATTAAAAAGTTCACCTTTGTATGGTGAATTCAGACGGAGAACTAATATTTTTTTTGTACCAGGCTGTTAACATGTTTATTTTTTCTGATCAAAATACGAGCATTCTGCACTCTGAGACAAAATCCCATCTGTCATCTGTGCTTGTTTACATCAGGGTAGTAGATCATCATCTTTTAATCTGCAGTATGTGATTTTGACCTATTTTAATCTTAAAGTAGCTTTTTTAATTTACTTTCTTTTATTGTTTGATTTTAAGACTGTTTTATTTTATTAACTTTTAATGCTTTGTCACCTTCATTATATTTTATCATGCTTTTAACATTTTAGTCCGAGATCCAGTGTTTGCTCATCTTTTTAAACTCAAGATAGCATTCCCTCGGTCATCTGTGGCAAGTTGAAGAGTCCTCACCTGGTCTTTTGGGTGCTGTTTGTGTTGAATGGGGGTTGGGTGGGTGGGTGGGGTTTGGTATTTCTATTTGTATTTATTTTATTTCATTGTTTTTTTAATATCCTGCATGAATGGACAGCAATTCATGCTACATTCTATGTATAAAAAGTTCTTTAAAATAAGGTTTGATTGATTGATTGATTGATTATGGCATTACAGCTGTTAACTAGCGCTTCAGCCTTAGTCAGTGGCAGGTGGCCACACGTAATCCATACTACTGTAAATCCACAGTAATTCTGGTGCTAACTAGCAAGTGTAATGTTGTTTAATCAACTGAATTCATTAAATATACAGAAACTGGCAAGACCCTCAAATTTCTATAGTAACATATTTATTAAACTTCTGATTTTTATCTGCACAAAAAGAGAGGACTAGTGTATGTCTAAGCATTTAACAGCAGAAAGGACAGTATTATGATGTAAGAAAGTTAATTAAGGGAACATAAAATCGAGAGAAAATGATGTACCCTTGATGTAAACATCACCTGCTGGTATTCAAAGTGTTTGCATACGTTGATGTTTTTTCTCTCGAAAGCTGATGAGCGTGCAACACTAATCTTACATAATTGCACGTATAGTAGGTATCACATTATGTGCTCATCCATGCATGCTTTCGCCCGTGTGCACACCCTTGGGAAAATCATTAAGGCCTGAGGGTGTTGATAACACCTCTTGTCCCATCTGTCATCTGTGTTTCTTGAGTTACAGTATGAACATCCACACCCAGCAGCTGCTGCACGGGGGAGAGTCTGCACATCTAATTTTCTTTAAGTCTCCAGATAAGACAGTACGCGGCTGGCTTTAATGACAGCACACTGTGCTGCTGTCTGGGCATGTGCCCAGGCTGGTGCTTGGATGCCAGCGATGGACTACAGGTAACTCTCCTGACCCGAGACTGTGCCAGCATGGACAGTCTACTGTCTGTTCAGGTTAATTAAGACTCCAGGGCAGTCTGAGCCGTTAAGTGTTGATGTTTACTGTATACAGAATAGGTTAAAGAGCATTTGGCAGTCTCATGGAAACCATTAAATCTCCCACACATCCTCTCCTCGCACAGTTGCATGGAAACATGTAGTCACATACATAGCAACCAAGAAAGCGGCATTTCATGTCCTCTGCGCCGAGCAAGTCTGTGCAGGCAGGGTGGCAGAAGGCATGACTGACCACAGGACCTGAGGCCAAAACACTGACTCCTACACTGAGCGCTGTGGTACATGCATGAGCAACAGTCAGACAGCGGCAAGTCTCTTCATCCAGGCCGATTTATGGGAAACAACATGGTTAAATTCAAAATCCAACCCTTAGATTTTCTGATTGTTTTACAGACAACACAGGTTTTGTGATTTCTTCATTTCAGGCTCCAGGTTTATCAGGATTTTTCAAACATCTATGGGCTCACCAGCAAATGTAAAAAAAAAATGAATAAAGGAAAAACATTTATTAGATTTATTAGATTCATTATTGAGCAAAATGTCAAAAGTTTTGTTAGTTTTTTCAAGGATCTGTCTTCGTGTGATATTACAGTAAATCTATCTCATTCTCAAACCTTTTTGGCTTAATCAGGGCCTGTGTCCACTGACAGCATTTTTGAACTGGCAGTATTAATTTCCATGACATCACTGAAAAACACAGTGCTCTCAGGTAAGTACAGCTACACAAGTGTTACACTGCTGTGCTTGTTAATATCACTTTTCCCTCACTGACCAATCAAAATCAACTTCAATAGCAGAAGAAGAACACTGCTGTTAGTGGGAACAGGCCCTTACTTTTATGATAGTATCTTTTGGTATAGGACTTTTGTATAAACAGAAGACTATCTGTGTTGGCACCACTTTCTCTCTGTTTTGAGTACATCACCCTGAGTTAAAATGTTATGTTTACATGCTACAAATAGATAGTAACTACATACAGGCACACCTGTTGGCTATCCAAAGGGTTATAATGGATAGTATCTGTCTCAGAAGAGGTGAAAAGCTAATGGACTCTTTCCTCTCATAAGAGCTGAAGTTAAATCATGAAATCAACAGGTTCACACTGGGCTGTGAGTCAGCACACAGCTGCACAGCAACCAAACTCCAAACACAAATGTCACCAAACAGCAACCACATAAAACCTGATCAGAATAATAGGAACGTCCAACTGGTTCTGGAGTAGATGCTAATGGAACGATGGGGGGTAAGCTGTTGCTATGACAACAATAATTAATAACTAGAACACTGGCTTTGATTCTTCTAACCAGATTCTGACTCACTCATTTATCAGCAATCAGTGTATCTGTGTTTTTACAGTCCTTTTATTGTTAGCGGTCCAACCCTTTAAATGTTAAATTCTGCAAACAATTGATTTAATCAGCGATTGTTTGTCTGGAGCTCGGATTAGACAGGAGAAGGAAACAGTTTGAGTGGATTTCTCAGCATGCCAGCTCACCTTCAGCTTCCATACTATCAGAAAAGAAGGGGTCAGTTCATCGGTTCAGCCCCCTGATCCTACCGAGATCAGGAGGGATTAAGGAACGTGGAGACAGAGAGCTCTCTAAACTATAACCCTCTTCAAAAACACATCATGCGTCCAGTGATGTCACTGTGCAATTTTCCACTAGCATCTAAACTGGATCTTGTTGCTCTTTCTCCTGGGACCGATCAGCTCTTTCGCAAATTCGGAGCATCCAATAAAGAAGACGTCAATTTTGAGCTGAGCGGGACAGCGGCCCAGGAAGAACAGCGTGCGGTGAAAAGGAAAGCAATTTCCTGGTCGACAGCACCTGTAAATGCGGTGTCATTTTTAGCTCTTTTAATCATGCTGTCCCCTCAACAATGGGCACAACAAGCTAGCGCCACTTTTCATTAGGACGCGGGGCTTGAATCTATTCATCTTGACCCCGGGAGCTGACAAAACAAATGGCCCCAGTGTGAATTTACACACCGTGGTTATGAAAAAAGGAGCCTCTTAAAATATTCATATCCTCATATCCAGCCAAAGTCAAAACAACAGCTTGCTTATGCGGCGACATGAAACCAATTAGCATGATGGAGTTATCTAAACACCATAAAAAGCAGCAGGGTGTGATGGAGAACCACTGACTGCTGCCCGTCTTGGATGATGGCTCCTCTAATCAACTGGGCCTGCTGTTGTGGTTGTTAAAGCAGCAGGGTGGACTCGGCCAGCCATCTTGCTGATTATGGTGCCGCCCGCTCCCGCCTTGGATCCATAATTCAACGCCTGGATGTGGTACTGTTTCACAAGCCGGCCTGCCCTGGTTGGATCTCGCTGACTCGCTCCACTGTAGTGTGCCAAGTGGCGAACGCTGCCAAGACGGGCAACAAAAGTCAGGAGTTGTATGGACATCAAGCGCTTTTACAGGCTGTGGTTTCATTACATCTGCATAGTGGCTCAAATGACTCATAAAGCAACAAAAGAGCAATTAGAAATCACAATCATTTAAAGGGCCTACAGATAACCTCCTGTCACTCACACTGGGACTCTTTTATTTGTTATCCTGTTTAAAAGAAAGCATTTAACCTCAAAACACAGACAGTATTCACATTTTCAACAATGGGGATAGTCCTGTTTTAGTTAGGGTCTGAATCACAGAGATGAGAAAGAAATCTACAAAAAAGACTGGAGAAGAAACTAAAACAGATGAGACTTTTTTTTTTTTTTAGACACAAATATTTTAGTCTCTGGGCTTTATGGTGAACTTTGGGGATAATTTCCATTTCCATGTGTTGCATCACCAAGAAAAAGCTGCCCTTCCAGGTGTATCTCCAGAGTAAACACAGTCATTTAACATCTCGTGAGTCTCACTTTTACTGTAAACAGTAAATTTAGAAAAAACTTCCTGTTGTTGCAGCTGAATTTTTTATTCTAGATAAGACAGTTTGATGCATTTGTGTGTAGCTATAATAAAAATGTTATTAGGGGCTAGTATGCATTATGGTGGATTGCATTTTGCCTCTTTTGTTCTCCATTCACAGTAGAGTCTGTGCATCAGGGTAATAAATGCAGAAATGACTTGTTATCTTGTGTAATCAATAAGAAGTTGAATAGTCAATAAGAGCACAAATCTACAGCAGCTGCAATAAAGACAGAAAACAATAAACCCAAACAAAGGAGATGGCTCCTTTCAAACGAACACATGTGGGGTCTGAACTGGAACGATACAGCCGAAGACTCCTCATTCACATCACATGCACATGCCGGTGTCACGTTTTAGTGCTGATGTTTGTTCTTTGTCTTTATTGCTCTTGTCTAAAAGGTCAGAAGGTCACGTCTTCTTTTTTTATCAAGTCCTGAGGTTTGACCACACATGTATGGGAGAGATAAAGAGAAGGGCTTTTACGTCAGCTGTGTGTCTTATCGAGTGTCCGTGACAATCTGTGAATCCTTCCATTTCTCAGACACACCATACTCCTTCATCGCTCATCTCCACGTCAGGTTTGTTGATGCTGTGAAGAGATGTTTCAGCTCAAGTTCTCTGTGATTTAATACACCTCTGGGGACATGAATCAAGACTGTCTAATTTCCATTTTTGGACATTTTGAGACTTTCAAACGCCATGCTGGGAGTTTCGTCTGTGTAGAGGAAAATGCTCACGCTAAAAAACTTGAATTTCTCAAAGACAGCTAAAGGCATCTCCAAAATATTGGTCACATATATTCACAGTCTCAAGAGGATGAATCCTGATGAGTCTGATTTACTCTTTTTGAGAGCACAATGTAGTTTGAATGTACGTCTTTCATTGAACATAGTTGCAGTGGTTTTTTTAAAGGCTGATACTAATGATTCAGAGCAGCTCAGCCAATGTCCAATATATAATGCTTATAACCTAGAGTGGTGCATTTGATCAAATACAACAGTTTAATATCATTTATTATTATATACATTAAGATCTTTTCTAGAAAGATGCTTAAGATCAATTTTCAATGAAGTCATGAAAGTGAGGAGTACTTTGAGGGGTCCAAACTCCAGATATTTTACTCCTAAAACAATGACTTTACTGTTCTTTGTGCTAGAGAGACGCTTTTAAAAATTTTGGTAAACAAGATAAATATTTAACTAGGGGTGTCCTGATACCATATTGACATCGGATATCGGTCCGATATCAGCAAAAAAAAAAAAGAATATCGGATTATATTGGCCTGCAGCTAAAATCTCCGATATCAGCGCTCTGATACAAGCAGTCCATTCCAGACTCCGCTCCGGCACCTCGAGCTGGCACTGCCTGATCCAGCATGTAGAGCTTTGTACTAAGGTACAAAGTAGCAAAGAGTAAGAGTGATGTTAGCCTTGTGGCAGTATTTTTAGCTAAAGTCAGAGAAAAGACGTTGCAGCTGAGTGAAAAACTTGTCATGCAGAATTATGTGCCAAAATCGGTATCGGTCAATATTGAAGGCTTAAATATCGGTATTGTATCGAAAGTCAAAAGGTTGTATCTGGACACCCCATATATAACACATGCCATAATAGCCCTGAGTATGGAGTATATAAACATGATATTTTAGCATTTATTCCAAATATAAAGGGATGCTTACTGTGTCATGGCTGTAGGACATAACTAATGAAAACTCTTAAATTAAGAAGTTTTGCATCATCAAAACATTAAAATCAAAAAAGTAGGGTCATGCTTAAACTGAATTATCTCCACAGACTTATTAACATGTCATTGACGCAGACTGCTTAAATAATTTCAGATAGTTTTGCACAAATAGTAAACCTTATGTAAAGACTGGTGTCAAAGCGTCACTAATAACATGAAGATGCAGTGACGCATGTTTATGTGTTTGTACGTATAAAAAGCCGCACACCCTCCCCTTATCTTCAGGTTGCACACTGACACACCAGGGAGCCATTTAACAATGACATCTGTGCGCAGCGTCAAGAATAAAGCAAAGAACAAAGTATCAAGATCACAGAAAGAAAGCAATCAGGTCTGAGCGCTGACCTTTACGGGGCAACCTTTCAAGCTGCTCTTTCAGAAACGCAACCGAAGCTTTGGAAAAACCAACGGGCACAATTGAGCCTGGTTATCTGATAGAAAACCTCGGTGCTGCCCTCCCTGCACCCCGACAATGCTGCTGTAGATCCGCTTTCAGAGGCTCTGCATGATTGCGGGCGTGTGTTGGATCACGGTGTACTTGATACAGGGTGCTTGATAGCAAAGCCTGCTCTTCATCCGATGTTACATAAGACGTCTGGCTGAACGCAAGATCTATACAGTTGGACGAAGGTGGCTGTAATTCCGACACAGACTCTCACATGTGAGCTCAAAACAAACACACCTGATGGTCCCTGCAGTAAGAGTCCTGCTCTGTTTCACAACGAGAGGTTTTGAGAGATCATTCAGAGAGATCAAAGGTTGCTCTTCCTTGGTACTCTCCAGTTTTTATCCCCGAGTTAATTTCTTTCGCTCTTTCGGCTTTCAGGCCATGCAGCACAGATGTGTTTTATTGGATAGCACAGGCACAGATGGTCACAAAGGATAAGGGGGAACAATGCAGCAATTTGTCATCCATGAAAGCAAATTGCTCAAGCTCTGGATCTCAATTAAGATGTGGACAGAGCCTTGTGTCTTCATCTAAACCTTAATGTTACTCTCAACATCAGTGAATAAGTTATTTAAGTCTCTACAGGTCAGATTTTACCCATTTTTAAAAGACAATAGTGGTATTGTTGACATATTTCAGTATGCCGATTTTCAGGGATAGCAAAAGGTGCTTTTGGATGGGGTTAGGAAGTGTGAGGAAGAGGAACCAGAATCTAATTTAGGTTCTGGGGTAGTTGATCAAAGGGCGATTGTACAAGAGCAAATATTTCCCTATTCAGCCGACGGTTGAATCAAGAGTTGTGGAAAACAGTTCATCTACAAAGTCACTGTCATGGACTAGTTCTCGATGCGTCATTGGCCTGAATTACATCATCTTCATAGGACTTTAGGCCGTGGTGGAAACGGAGACAGCAATGGGCAAAAGGAACCGAAGGTCCCACAAAGAGAAACTCCTGAATCCAAAAGTTTGAGGTGTTTTGAGTTGAAATGCGTCAACAGTTGCCTAGGACATCCCCAAAGCACAACTACGATGCCAGGATTTGATCAGGTCAATTTCCTGTAAAGCTCATACTTATCCTCTTGGCACCTTCTCCATCCTCACACATTCAAGGGTACATCAACATGCAAGGGAGCTCAGCAGCAGGATGTCAGAGGCTGTTTAAGGTCAGGGGTAGCCTGGAGGCCAAGGGTCAAAGGTTGGTCACGACACAAAAGGGAGAAGACACCAATTACCCAGACAACAACGCACAGCCAAGCACGTTATGGACCTAATGGACGATCATCTCGCAGCATTCCAACTGTTTCAGCGCCAGAGCCAAGTCTTCAGAGTTGAGGAGAAACCGTCCAGCTGAGATTTTGGCATAAAAAATGAGGTCAAAGAGGTAAATCTCAGGATTACCATCAGGTCAAGTGGAAAGTTGAAGAGAAGTCTGACATTGCACGGACATGCATCTCTGTGAGTGTCCAAAAAAGAAGCTTACGATATGTTAAGCATCTCTTGAATTTGGAAAAACACTTTCAAGTTTCAACATTTCAGTTTCTTGCTTTTTGACGACAAAAATTATTCGACTAATAACAGAAATCTTAAAATGCGTCTAACCAGTGATCAATTTACCATCGATGTAGCTATCCTTCACCGATGGCTCCTTTATACAGAAACCAGTACAAGCTGGATTTGTGAACTGTTGTGAACCTCAGGCTATTACATCCAGAACCTCTTTGAACCACAAACTGTAAGTAGCATTATAACAGCAGTTAGTGTGGCGAAAGACAGTGCTGAGTTTTAATGAGGAGCTCAGTGGGTGTTCATGACTAGTCTCAAGTGGCAGACGCTAAAAAGTGATAAAATAAGTTTTTTTTTTCAGGTGCCAGTAAAGGATAAATTTTTTTTATGCTGCAAAAATCATGCAAAGCTACTCTACAGTTGTCCCAGAGTGACAGAATGAAAGGTTAAAACGAGTCCTTCGAGACTCACAAGAAACCGCTAGACAGGCTATTCTCTAAGGGGATGTAATAAACCAAGAAACGATGGTGTTTACACTGACACGTGGAGCAGCAAGACTTCGCTAGAAGCTTATTTATGACCAACCTCTGGCTGCACCAGAGTAGCAGAAAAAATGGCTTCCCTTTCCAGACATCGTCAGACACTGATAGATGATGATGACTGATGGTTTATGAGGTTGGAATAAGAACGACTGTTGTTGGGTTTTTTTTCAGAACATAAGAAAGATCATTAAAAGACACTCCGATTTCAGGAGTCAAGAAGTTAAAAGGTTGAAATATTCACAGCAATGACTAAATGCTGGTTTGTTTTGGAGCACCCACTGAGGAAAAAGATTGTATAAACTAATAAATAAGTTTTAAATTTGAGAATTTCTCTGTTTATGAAGCTGATCCAGCCGTCTGAGAGTGTGAGTCATCCATACAAGATTTTTCATATGTGCCTCTATTACAGAGAAAGCAGTCTGTCCTGTTCCAAATCAGCTCCGTTACTCAATAATCAACTCAGCGTCTACTTTTTCTGTAATAGTCCCGCCGAGCTGACTGTACATGAACGTTATTATAAGTAAGATTTTGATCATAATTATATAACTCTGCAGTGTTTGTTACACAAGATTAAAGGCAGAAAAATAAACCTGTGTCCAAGCTGAAGTGGTGCTATTTTCCAAAAGGAGAAAACAAACTGTGCGAGGCTTTATTCAGCTGTATGTCAAGTTAACTTCACACATGGCTCACATGGAAAGACAGCGGTAACAGCAGCTATTCTAAGCATGTTTTTTTTTCATGTTGCTTTCAGCACACACAACGGGGTGGAAGGTTTTGTCCATGTGAAACACAAAGCAGCCATTAGTGTTTCAGAGTATTCTTCTGTGTAGAACTGCATACAGGGTTGAAAAAGGCTGTTCTCTGTACGTCTATAGATGAAAATAACACAATCCAGTAATGACAGACGCAAGTATAGCAGCAGCAGCAACATAAGACATTAAAGGAGGGTAGATTTGTTGTTATGAAACCCTGTATTTTCAAATCCACAGATGAGAGTTTAAAAAAGATTTCTTTTATTTCCATCATCAAAGATATGGGGAGGTGACGTCTCTCCTGTGTGCGTAAACAGCTCCATCATTTCCAGCCCTAACTGCTGCTTTAATTCCTCTCAAAGGCCGTCTCAAGGCTGAGCCTTAGCAGACAAACAACCTGCTGTTTTGACTGCAGTGTTGTGCAGAATACATCCTTAGAGACTTCCTGCCTCACTCCTCGGAGCACAAAGCGTATGGGAGATGCTTTCTGTGTAAACTCGTGACTAATCGCTCGCTGCAAATCTGTCCTCGGTACTGCCTCTTAGATTTGTCCTTGTTTTCTCTCGACCCTTTTCTGTCCACATCGCCCTCCCACCTTGCTCTAAATCTTGTGGATATCAACTTGTGACCTTAAAGCTGTGTGGCATGGACCGATTCCATGTCTGCGGCTCCTGCCAGGTTCCTTCTAAGAAGACCCAACCATGGCTCTGCAACCGCTCTGAACTTCCTGCTTGTGTAAGAGGTATTAGATGACTGCAGAGCAAGCAGAAACATGTACTCCTGATACTGATACGCAAAACAAGCGTTAAACACAATAACTCGTTGATGTGGCAACCTCTACACGCACGTATTGGATATAAAAACCTCTTTTAACACGAAAAGGTTCTGGACACTTGAGAAACAGACCTTTGCCGCTTTTTAGCCTGGTCATTATGAGTTTATTAACTCTTACTATCACTACAGCCTCCCTCCTCTCTCCGTGCTCCCTCTGTCCCTCTGCTTTACTAACACACATGCTCCTGCTGCTCCTCTCCCTTTGCTTTGTGGCAGCATGGTGGGTTATACTTGACACAAAACTGGAATGTTGTGTCTGCCAAAACTCAAAAAGGGTTGGAAACTAAATTTGTGACTCACTAAAAGACAAAAAACCCAGCCAAAATGATAGACAAACAGTTTATAGTGTGTTGAGATTTGCTCAGTGTGTTTGTGTTGCGTGATGCTGTTTTTCAATAAACCTGTATAATAAACTCATTGTGATTCTACATGCTCCTGCAGAAACCTGTGAGTGGCTTGTGTATCAGAAGTAAGAGTTAATTCGAGTAGTGCTCAAAAAAACAAACAGGATGGCTCTTCAGCATCTCGTCTCCTCCAGAGGCCTCTTGTGGCGAGCTGCCACGCCCTGCCCCTCTCTCATCCAGATGAAGAGTGGAAAAGCTCAGGTGGCATCGAAAGGGGTTGCACACAAACATGCATGGACCCACCTAATAACCCTCACAGTAATAGAGCCTCAGGGAGGGAGGGAGGCGTGGCTGAAGAGGAATCAGAGAGAGTGACACCCAGATGCCGTGAAGGAGAAGTGGAGTCTGAGTAAAATGAGGAAAGCGAAGATAATCCACTCCACGGGGTCAGACGCTCCTATTTATGCCGACATATTAACCTAGCTTTGCAGAAGTAGGTCTATCTCTGTGTTTGTGAGGCTTAAAATAAACTCTGCTTGCTTCTGTATCATGTGGAGAAGTTGTCTAGGTCTAGGTCTTAAAACTGGCTCTGGTTATGTGTGTGGAGGTTAAATCTTCAGCTGACTGTCGCTTTTCTTCTCCCCTCTCCTGTTGTACAACCATGAAGCTGTTCAAACAGTCACCCTCATAAAAAAGGACTCTGGATGGACACAGTCTGCTCCTTCTAGGTTCCCCCTCTGAATTTAAACGGAGTCTTTACCCTAGTTTAGCACATCTGAAGGTGGAGGAATTTTAAGACAGCTAGAAAAACAGGTCAGTTCATGTTGATTAATATTTTTCTGATACATAGAACTGTTTTCCTTTACCCTCAGGCGAGAAGTCAAGTTTTAACCAGAGCTAACTGCTGTTTTGGTGCATTTTTAATGAAAACAAAATTCTCAGTTTGTCTTCTATCGATTTCTCCACTTTCTTTTATGCTTTTGCCTGGAAGCGGCAAAAATGAGCACTGGGCAAGGTTATTGGATGTTGACAAACTCTGCAGTGAAATTTCATGCATGTATTACCTAAAATAATTCAAACTCTGCACTCTGAAAAAGTTCCAGTCACAGAGAGAGTGCATGTTACCTCCATCTGCCTCTCTGCCTGCAGGACAAACAGAGTGTAACACTCTTTTATTCCAGCTGCCATCAGACTTTATTAAAATCTCTGTGTGATACGGCTTTTTGCATCTTTGGTTAATCCAGTTTGTTGTTATTCCTCTCTGCCGTCTGTGTTGTGTTGTTTGGAACTGCTGGCTGTAACACAATGTTCCCAAAGAGATAATAAAAATATCCTTTTCATTTTCTTTTCTTAGCTCTCTTCAAAATAAAAAGCTGTTTTTGCTCAAGATTTTTATTTTATTAAAAGTATGTTTTGGTGTTTTGGGCCAGTAGCAACCTTAAAGGGATAGTCCGGCATAAAATTAATTTAGGGTGATTGTTACTTCAAGAAAATGATAAAGAAATGATCATAAATGTTCTTCCTTGAGCTGCGTGGGTGAGTTGTGTTTAGTCCCTTTGCTATAGAAATGAGGCAAAGTTAAAAAGGTGTTTGGTGGCTAGTGCTATGGCTAGGACCCAATATATACTGTTGATGAAGTTAGGTGCTGTTCTGAGCATTATTTGTGGCGTTTTGGTTGAGGTTTGTTTATGGCTCCTCAGACCGCTGTGTATTGCTGTCCTGCGGTCGTTACTAAAGTTGGTAAAACTAGAGAAGCAATTGGTCGGCAACATTCATCTCTCTAAAGTGTTGTGGTGTATTTGACCCTAAATTAATTTTACGCTGAAATATCCCTTGAAGTGTTGGGTTTTTCCTCTTGCTCCCTGTGCACTTCAGAACTAACTTTAAGATTTTATTAATCCCTACGTCTTGCCCCAAGTTACTTAGAAATGCTAAAACCATATGAGCCGTCTTTAACCTTCGATTCTCTGGTGGTGCCCCTCTGGTCTCTCCAAAGTTGAGGGTTCCATCTAAAGGAGCTTACTTTCAATCAGAGCCCCTCGTGCAAAATCAGTGGCACGTTTTAAATCTGCTCCAAAAACTTAATTTTACTGACTTGCTTGTGCCAGTTTTGAGATCTGGTGCCTCATTTTCTTCGAGGAGCTGGTTTTGCAGCTCTAAGCTAACTACCTTCAGGTCCTTCAAGGTGAAGACAATCTGAATCTGTTTTCACCGACAGAACAACACTGGAAACCCTACACTGAGCCCTTGAGGTGAGCTGCTTTGTACTCCACAAAGGCAGAAAATTTGCCCGTTCATGACACGCTGTAATGAAGGAGACTTGGACTTGGACCGGGCTGAATGCTGCGTTTTGTTCCAGAAGGTTTGACCTTTACAAAGAAATGTGGAGGTAAACTGGTATGTCCTTGTTTGTCCAGTGGTCGACATTTTCTCTCTTGGGGTTTGGTGTGACGCACCTGGCTCAGAGTTTTGGTGTTTTCAGGTGAAGCATGAATGAATGCTCAGGAGGAGTTCTCAGCTCCTGTTGTTGTTAAGAAGAGGAGCTTTAAGTGCTCCATTATCTGCATACAAGAGGACCTTTCTCCGACAAGACGGCCATGAAGCACTTTTTTTCACTCTTTTTGTGATATATTTATTGCCACTTAACAACCAGTTCACCCTAAATTGCAGCGACGGGCTCGCCAACAATCGAGCTGAACAAATGTTCCATCAAAGAGCGTATTTATAACGGCCGATTCATCTGCCGACATGAACGAGAAAAACAATTGGGGTCTTCTTGCCTTGCTGGTTTTCATTTTTCCTCTATACTACCGAAGAAGAGGAAGAAAAAAAAAACAAACAATGGCCCTGACCTTGTCTAGGTGTCTCCATGGAGACCAGGCCTCACTATAAAGCATTCCCCACTGTGTGCCAGTGACAGGCCAGCCTTGCCGGAGACAAGCTCAACAAGTCCAAGGGCTGAGGGAGGCGCATCCTGCAGGTTGTAAACACATTGCTAACAAGATAATTACCTCAGCACCGGTCTCTTTACAAAAGGACAACTGCAGGGACTAACCCATGCCTGGTGTCGCTCAAAATAAGATTATTTTAACATGAGAAACCGGAGACCTATCCAAATGAATTAAATCTTTAACATGGTTTAAGGATTAAGAAGTATTCAGTGTCATGCGTATCAAAAGTCTTTTGAGTATAGAGTCTGTGGTGAGATAAAATAGTGCTCTCAGGTGTCTCAATTAGGAGGAAGAGCGACCATCTTTATTCCCCGGAGGATAAAAATAGTGTTCCTGAGAGCCTCTTAAAGAGGGATGATATCACCTCTGTGGGTCTTTTACTCCAGCCTGTTACAGTCAACACTGTCCAAAGCTACTCTCACTCTGGTCTGAGGTCAGACAGGACAGCAGATGTAGACAGAAACAGGTTTATGAATAGAGGTTTGCTCTGAATTTTACAGGCACAACTCAAAAAAGTATCACAACTTGAGAAATGTTTTTATCCTATTTTTGAAAAAGGTAAACTTACTTGTTTTCTTAATACAGAGAGCATCATGTGAAATATTTCAAGCCAATTTTTGTTTAAATTTGGATGACCATGGCTTTTACCTGATGAAAAAGAGTAATCTTTCATATCAAAATTAAGAATGAAAAAGGAGTTTTAAATACAGAAATATCAAGCACCTGAAAAAGTATGTCAAAATATTTGTCCCATTGCCATAGTGGCGAAAAAAAATAATTTATCATTTTAGTCCAGATAATAAGTCAGGCAAATCTGTTATAGAAAGAAATCTTTTTTTTTATTGGAACCACCAGTATTTTTTCTTTAAAGCTCCTGTAAGAAACTTTTACGTCAATTTTAGCGTCCCCTCTGTGCCAGCAAGACAACTTACCTTTTTAGAGATCCTGTCGTATAGATTAGTAAGTGGCGTTTTCTGAACTATGGCTTTATTTCCAATGTCTTACCATGAATCTTAGGTGTGGAAATTCTTTGTTAAAGCTGGTAATTTATCTGTAGTTTTTCTTGCTAGCAGTATCAAAGTAAAACCAGCAACAGAGGAAGTGTTTACATGGACCACCAATGATCAGGATAAGTAGTTTAATCAGTATAAAGATACTCAATGTAAACCCCTCACTCAGTCTGTTCAGAGAGAAATCTTATTCCAATTAAGAGGGGTGGTTTGTGCCGTTTAATAATCAGATTGTCTGCAATTTAAACATTTAATCTGATTATTTCCTTGTGGTTGAGATAAAACTATTCTTACAGTGCATATCTGTCCAATGTGAGGTTAGACAAAGGCAAAGCAGAACTGACGAATAAATTGATTAAAATACAGGCATTTATGCTCACAAACATTAGAGAGGAGGGGATTGTACAAGCTGGTGCAGGGGCAAGAAGACAAGTGTTATGTAGAGGCCTGTTAATTAAACTTAATTAAATCAAATTACGGACAATGACGCAGTGACAGGGGTGTTTGTTAACAACAGGAACAGACGGAGGGCACAGTTTCTTCTGCTACTGTTGGCTCATTAGACCAGCAGAACGACTCCGTGCATGTCAAAATGGTTTTATTCAGATTAAATAATGAGTCCGTGTGCGTACACTTCCTAATTTGATCACTGAGTTTAGTGTCCACAAAAACCGCTCAGTTGGAATCTTGAATGAAAAAGATTTTAAGGGGATTGAAAAACTAAACATGTAAACACACTGCAGCTCCTGTGGAGATCACCTGCTTTTCAAATAAAGTCTCAAATGAACGCCATCTGTTTGTAACTCGAAGGATTTAAAGCTTGAGACCAGTTTCACACAGAAGAGTAAAAATACAGAATAAACTATCTTTTCATTAAGACTGTGTTTCTCTGAGATGCTTTTTGATCCACACATGCCACGTTGAGGGTTGGTTTCTTTAAGTATTCATCATTTCTTGATTAAAAAGCTGAAATATGCTCAGAGATCTCTCCCCCCGGTAATTAAAAAGGTGAAAACGCTGAATGAAGCAGTTTCATGTTTGAAATCAGTGACTCTCTTAATTTTCCGGTGGGGCTTTGGGGGGCTGCTGCTTCAGCTGCTGCTAACTTTAGCTCAGTTTGTGTCTCTAAAAACTTCTCTTCTGATGACTCATTCCTCCTGAGAATGAACACGGTTAAAAGCAACGGTTACGTGACTTGGACGGCCATGAGTGTGGTAAGCTTATAAAGTCTGGCAGGTTATAATGTTTGGCTGTCAGCTACTGTCTATTGAAATATTTTGATAGGTGAGCGTCGTACAGGTAAGCAAAACAGATGACTCATGAAGCCTAAAATAGGAGTTTGAGGATACTGATCAGAACATAGAAGGTGAAGTCAAATCCCGTTATTAACCCGCCAAATCCAATTTGATGGACACGAGTCTTATTGGTTCAAGAGTTCGAAAGTGTTTTTGTGTCTGCAGCCAGAATTAGGTCAGAAGGGGAGCCATGGTTTGTTGTGAAACTACTTTTGCCGTACATGTCGAAACAGAGTCTGGTTTCCCAGTGAGGTTTATTGTTCGTGTGTCCAGAGTGACCAAGACAACACCAGTCAGGCCAGTTTCTTGATTTCTTTGACCTGTGCAATCAACAATAAGGCCGAAACTATCAGTCTCCTTTCCCATTCTCAAGTATATATATTCAGTTGTGGGATAAATCCACTTTCTCCATATCTTATTCATAAATCTACCTCACTACACCTTTGACTAGTAGAAGACTCACTCAAGGACAAGAAAAGTCCATTGATCATACCATGCGACAGGTGGTCACTGAAAAGAACTGTCTGATTCTAGCAGGACCGTCTATCCGCCCGGGGGAAGAGAGAGGGAGAGAGCAGGTGGCAGGAGGCTTAACCTGAGCTAAACCCCCTCCCAATGAGCTCATCTCCTCAGGCTTAGCCAGCTCTGAGTTGTCTGCTTTCTGCCAGAAGAGCAAGATCTACAAACACCCACCCAGTCAGCCAAGTCAGCCCCCACAACGTCCCGCTAATCTGTCTGAGCGCTACCTCTCAGCCATATGGTTACAACAGGCTGCTTTAACAACAAAGTATTAAAGGCCCTGTTACATGTATTTGTAGAAGGTCAGTGTGTGAAAGGGATTTTATTTTTGTACGCTGAGTCTATTTCTTCCCGTACATCTAGGAAGCTGTATCAGTACCAGTACCAGTAATGGCTCTTAACCAGTATAGCTAGTTTGTCTTATACATACATGTACAAATGTCTATACACATATAACTGCCGGTATACTTAAAGAATAGATACCAGTACTAATACTAAGGTAAAGTCACATCAAAACCAAAACACCGATATCACAGTAAACATTGCTACGAATACAGGTACAGCTACGCCACCTATATTGATATATTGTCAATATATCTATATCAGAACTGATACAGTTATCCATTACTATGGCACTTGCAGTATATCCATTCATTTACTTGTACAGACTCTGCTATAATTACAGAAAGTAGTGCTTGTAGTAATGTAAATACAAATATAAGAACTGATAAACAGATACTACAACCGATACTGCTATAAAAAACACACAAGTGCCCATACCGATATACAAAGTCTAGTAATGACACTGCTTTAATAACAGATACCAATAATAAACATACGGCTTTAAATAGAGATACCAGTATAGTGATTAATATAGATACTAGAGCCACTACTGAAATAGATTAAAATACCAATACTGCCCCGTCTATAGTTACAGATATCAGTGCCAATATTGCTGTAAATACAGATGCCAGTACTGATACTACGAAAATCAGAACCCCTATACCCAAAACAGAGCTAATACTGCTGTCACACTCATATATACAAATACTAGTACTGACTCTGGTATAAATACTGATACTAGTGCCGATATGAATGTAATTACAAATACCAGAAGGGATAAAGAGGCGCCAGTATAAGAAATGACACCAGTGTCGATACTAGTTTGCATACAAATACCAGTGCTGACACTTGTATAATTACAGATACCAGTGCTGATACTAATTTGGATGGGGATACCAGAACTGCTACCAATACTTGTATTAGCATTCGCCAATTAACTGCCTGAAACGTTTGATAAACGGCTGGTTGATCAGTTGCATCATCAGTTAGCCCCTTAAATGATGATGATGACACCAGTAGCAGCTCATTTACCAGCATTTTATCAGTATAAGGATGGAAAACATGGTATTGAACATCACAAATATCTTTTTTCCATTTCTGCCCATGAGTAAGAAAAGTTCAAATACCAAGATCTTCAAAATATTAACTTGTTTCAGGTCGTTCACAGTCAGGACAAAAAAACTGGGTGCTTCTGGTTTTCAGTCAATTCTCAAAGAAAGCTCTCAGCATCAGTGTCTCTCTTACTTGTGTGTGACTTGTGAGAAGGCCAGAGAAGTAGTGCCTTTCACAGTTTGACTGATTCGGTCATGCCGTGCTTTATAATCGCATCCTTGTGTTGATGTGACAAACCCTACTTTATCCCCCGCTCTCATGTAAGGGCAACCTCATGTAAGTATGTCTCAAGACAAGGGTAAACAGATTCCCCCTGTCCTACTGTCTGAATAACAAGTGTGTATTGTAAGCCCTGCTAATCCTGCACTGTGGATGTGTCTGAGCGGACCTTAAACAACCTCAATCAACAGATTTGACAGCTTGTTCTGCTCTCTGAAGACGTGACGAAATATAAACCGGGCTTTTAAGGGCTGAAATAAACAAACTGTGGGTTAAGTTGGATGTGAAACACAAAAGCGAAAACATCGTCTTTGTGGCCTTAGTTTGATTCAGCGAGGAGAATAACAAAGCCTTGTTATGGTGGCTGTGTCAGCAACATTTCTACCTGCTTGCCTCTGTGCTCTAATCCCCTGTGTCCAAGCCTGCTTTAATGATGTCATGGCAGACAGAAGTGCTGATGTTGTCCTGAAGACAGGGTGTAATTGAATTACTTATAAGAAGACAGAAAAACAAGTCGGCCCTCGGTGCTGCGAGTTACCTATTCGGGAAGGGTTGTCTTCAGCTTCGCGCCCAAACACGACTGTGAGCACTTTTGTATGAGTGTGATTGTCCCTCTCCAGCACAGACACACAAAAAAGCTTTGTTTCTATGTCAGCTGTTGCTATGCAGTCACTTTCTTCTGCTTCATTGTGGCTAATTAAAAAAAAAAGCCGCCCGCCGCTAGTGTGCCTTCTCCGGCGTCGATCAACCGACATCGAGTGGGGAGACACCTCAGCAGGTTCACAGTCAAGATGCTCATTATCATTTACACCACCGTCATCATCATCACACTCTCACCGCTGGTCCTGCTAAATGGTCTCCAAGGGGACCGATTCATAGAGAGAACTGCTTAGAGACTCGGTCCGAATGAAACTCATTCAGTCATTGAGAGATACTCGACGTAAAGAGAGAAAGAAATCCAGCCCAGGTTGTATTGTTTCTTTTGTTTTCATTCACACTAAAAAAGAATCAGCTTTTCTAGTGGATGTGTGCATATCCAACTGAGTTTTGGTCTCTCAGTATAAAGGTGGGAAGATGTTCACCAATTTGTGAGAGACCGCAGGAGCAAATAGATTCAGATAACGATTTCAAATAATGGTCAGCGTCAAAAAGCAGATCATTTTCATTATCTAAATCTATATAATCCACAGTGCACAACATCAGTATGAGACAATACTGAATACGTGACCACATTAAAAACATGCATAAAGGTCCTTACACACCGGGAGCGTTTTTTTCGTGCGATTATTTCAGACGTCAATTTCTTTCTTTTAAAAATGTATTTTTTTTAATTTATTTTTTTGTATCACGGTCGATTTTTCTAAAGTTTTGCATACTGTGTGTCCATTTCTGACCAATCAGATTTCGTGTTGTTGCGACGTCTGATTCACCGGTATATCCAACATGGCCGACCAGCTGATTCAGTCATATTCTGTCAAATTTCAGTCAAATTCTGCCATCAAGTCAATGCATGTTTCATGGGAGACCTCGCATGTATCACAACTGCATAGCTCCGTGGCCCCTACACAAAGAGTCTGGGTGCTAAACTGTCTTTCCTGCAGTCCTGATTCAAAAAACATTTAGCACACCATGAAATAAAAACACTAGAAACTGCTCTATCAGGCAAGAATGGAACATTTCACTTTCAAAACTCCAGTTTCAATATCTTATCTGTTTTCTTTCTTGTTTTCAATGAAATACAGCAGACATTTTTATCACTTTCACTCACTGAGACTTCTGCGACATCAGCTGTGACACAACCTTGTAAATGCCTACGTCCAATTAAACCCCGTCTATTCACAGTGGCAAAGCCCTGAGCCTTCTGCTTATGAAAAAATGCGACGCTTTCTGAGCGGTTAGACGAGGTCAGCGTTTCTGTTCCAGCTCTGAGTCGTCTGGCATTCTTTTACAAATGAAATGTGACATTTGAGCTTTACAGATGAGTTTGTTTTTTAAAAAAGGGCCACCGAGGTCTCCTGCAGATACCTTATCTGTGCAGCCTCCTGACAGGCAGGAAGAGGCTCCTGAAACAGAGACAACAGACCTCTCCCACAAGAGCACACACACACTGACCCCATCACTCACTCGCTCACTCGCATGCATGCATAGTGTATGTGCACTGAGGTAAACAGTTTACCGATGGACACACAGGGGGGAGCTCACCTGGTCGTCCATTCTGTGGGCCACAATGGTGGCCGCCTCCTCCAGCTCAGCATCACTCAGAGGTCGGATCCTCAAGGCAACCTGCGAAGATCCAGAGAAGTCATCCTCGGATTCAATTCATATGTGGATATTCTGTTATAACTTTAATGAAAGGCTAATAAACAAATTAAACTTTGCATTTAAAGGACAGGAACTGATGCTAAATTATTTTTCTTTTTTTTTTCAATATATTCATTTCTATTTTGATACAGTTTTATAAAGAAGTGACCCACATTCATGGAGATGTAATAAAAAATGCATGAGTAGTGCCAAATTAAGGATGTAAGATTTTTATTCCTGTTCAGTCAGATTAAACAAACACTGACTTTTAACTGCTGCCAGTGAAAGCTTACAGAATATCTATATTTTTGCTTCTTCGTTCCTTTTGCCTCCATCCATCCAAACCTATCATGTACCCTTACCACCATCTGAGTGCATGCCGTCATCGCCCTGACAGTGAGTTAAGAAAGCAGATGGTTGAATGGATTGATTAACATTTACAGCCCCACATTCAGTTTAATCACTTCACAGCCTGATTCATCATTAACTGACAGCCAAATTAGAGTGATGACATTTCAGCGCCGTGAACAACACTCATCTCAAATCTAAAACCCAACACCTGTAGGTTTGGGGTGAATTATGCCGCCCTAATGAGCACTGAGTATCAAACAAATTTATGAGCTCAACTTCGGCTTGGTGGTAGAAATACGTGAATGGGAATGTGCGTAAATCTGTTTAAATTATAAAAATAAACTTGAATTTTCTGTGATGGAAAGATCAAATAGCATATCGCATAAAAATTAACTTCAAGATCAGGAGCCATTGAGAAAAACTGGTAGCTTGACAGCAATTGTATAGATGTTAATGGCAGCTCAGCTCGCAGCCCCCCTCAAAGGCAGCCTGTGTTGAAGAATGTAGCAGCCCCTCGTTATATCCCGGTGAAAAGTACTGATTTTTAACCTCAAACTGCTTTGCTGAGTGTGTTTTGCAGGTAGTTTTCAAAATGTTTGGTAGAAACTCGGTCAAACAGGCATCAGCTTTTCATAAGAGTAAAATTAGATAAACAGGGGAGTCATATGGGAAAACAACTGTACACATGAGTTGAATCCATTGCAGCATGGGTATTGAAACAATAACAATAACATAAAGATGCTCAGTGTTCAGTGGGAATTAATAAGTCACTCTCTCTGTCAACACCCTGTAGAAAGTGTATTACATGCTGGACAAGAGAGAGGCCAGGCAACTGAAACAGCCACTTTAATTATTCAGATATAAGCTGCGGCAGTGCAGGTAGTGTAAGGCTGAGAAATCATACATGCAGTGAAATACTTTTAGTGCATGCTGTCGGGTTATAGAATATGCATATGGCCATTTAAAACAAACAAAAACACTCATCAGGAAACAATAAATGACATTGTGATCAGACAGGTTGCATGTTGGTTGTTGATTCAGCACTAAACTGCCCTTTACTCAGAGGAGCTCTGCCTTGAACATTTACATTAACACCAATGAGTGTATCCTTTCAGCATGCATACTAAGGAAAAACAACAGAGAGAGTATCAGGTCAGAAAAACTGTTGTATTTAACTTAATGAGGCTGCATTCTTATTGACCACTTAGTGTGCACTTTGCAGCAGATTTTTAGTTTTGTACCCTGGTGTCAACTGAAAAAAGTTGTCCCAAATGATTGAAAACGTTCACATTTAATTTATTTAGCATTTCAGCAAACACAGTGGTAAACAGTGAAATTTAGAGGAAGGTATACTTGTTCAACTTACGGTTAGTTGGTGGTCCTTTGACTCCCCTGTGTCCTTCATGGTCACTTTTGGTCCGACTGGAGGCTAAAAAGGAGCGTCAACAGCAGACAGGACACTGCACCATCCTCCTCACTGCCCCTACCTGCATGCTACCTCCTCCTCAAAACACACCTGAAGCTCTTCAGCTCTCACTTAACACCTACAGGACACCTTTCTACCGCTAAACCAGCGTCTTCTGCCTCTCTCTGTCAGCCGTTGCCCGGTTAGTCTGCCGTTTTTCTGTCCTTCAAACCGCGTCGACGCTCCGCCGTTTCTCCCTTCTCTGTGTTTCCGCTCGGCAGCAGGTTAGCGACGTGTACATGGGAACAAACAAGAGGGTATGGGTGACACCAGGAGGAGCCCACCTGCTACGTCCACTTCCCTGTCGTCTGACTTTACTTCGCTGCGTCTGCTGCTGCTGCTGTACGTTGGTGTTCCTGTATGTGTGTGTATGTGTGTTTGAGCGCGTGAGCGTGCGTCGCCTTCACGTCGTCCCTGGAGACACAAGAGCAACCGTTGCTGCTACTCAAGCTAGCTACTAAAAACGGCTAAACATGACACTCTTTTTTTGAATATAAACTCTCATTACATGGTTAAACTGAAATAAAAACACCGCACTGGCGAAACAAATCACATAAATTATAGATATTTTACTTGTGTTGAACTTAATTTTTTATAATATTATCATAAAGGCTACACATTTCAGCCGTTGCAGTTAATAGTTTTGTAATATAAAACGGTTTCATACGCTCCACACGGACTAAAAGGACGTTTTTAGCTTTATGTTTGCAGATAAGTACAACAGTTTCTGCTCAACTGCAGCCCTATTTTGCGAGGACTATACTGACATCTGCTGGAGTGATTCAAACACACCTCAGACAGTTTGTGGATCCTCTGTATGATGGGTCCAAACTAAAAAGCTAGACACTTAATGGTGTGTTGCCATTGAAAGGATACAAAAAACGGCCTTAGATGAGGAATTCTGAACATTTTCAAGCAAACACATTGAATGTCAAAGTAGTAAAACAAGTTTCAACTTAAAATGTACCCACTTGAGTAGGGGAGAGTGGGGTAAGATGAGACATTTTTAACATTTCGGATCACTACATCAAGGCAATCATAGTTTTGTGTCTAACTAGTGTATATTTCAAGATGTTGCTCATCCCTGCAAACCAACAGAATGAGTGTAAACATAATTGTCTTGATAATATAGCATGCCAAAAAAATAAAGTGGTCTCCTATGGTCAACTTACCCCGTGTATGGGGTAAGTTGACCATAGGAGCAGGGTAAGTTGAACCGTATCCCTACTAACCCCATCACCCAGCTTCCTCACAAAAATCCCTTAAGGTAAAAATTGTCATTTTTAGCATATAGATAGGAAATCCCCCCTTGCTCACCTCACCTGTCAGAAAAACAATAGTGGCCTTCGAGGACAAGAAGCTCAGGTGATGCATCGTATCATCCTTGATTTGCCTGTCTCCCATTTGTTGTCATAAAAATGTCCATCAATACAAATTCTTTTGAACACAACAACCATTCAGTTCGTCTACCTTTCCCATCAGTAAAGTGAGGGCAATCTTTGAGGACAAAATGCTGTTGTGTTGCATCAAGTCTGTCAATAGAGTTTTTTTTTTTTTTGGTATACAACCACTCTCAACTTCTTCGACAAACTGGTGCTTTGGGGTATAAAAAATATATATGTAAGTGTTTTGACTTCCTCAGCTTGGAATTTGAGATATGCTACCTTTATGCACATTTGAGCACTTTTTGTATCTTTTAAAAAAAGGTTGTATTTTCCATTTTTGGACGCATGATGAAATGAACAAGTTCTATCTCTAAAATGTGTTTGTTAAAAAACCCTTCTGCGACAACGGGTGCTATCCAACAGGTTATCGCAGTGTTAGGCATTGTTAAAGTTACATTTCAATCGTACGTGAGACCAAAAAGTTTTCAAGAAGTTTAGTCTAGTGTCTTTTTTTCTTGAAACTTCTCTTTGATATCACCCGCGCAAAAAAGACGATTAAAAACGCACCAATTTGTACTCAAAACTGATTTATTCAACTCACAGTTAGACCTCAAAGTTTCAGGTCGCACACAAAATTAAGCACCACCAATAGTGCCTGTACAATGTAACATGCTGAAATAATGACACTTAAAAAAATAATTAACAAAACTTTATGTTTTTAATACTCTACCGAAAATTATGGTTAGTCGATAGGAACATGTTTTAATGGTTTGAAGTGATAGAAATATTACCAGAATATTCTAATTAATCATTGTTAAGAGGAGCACAGCTTCCCGAGTTATGACAGAAACTACCTCTTTTTTATTAGCAGGGTTAGATGTGAAAAAAAAAACATGAATTATTTGCCCTTTAGGAAATACAATGTTTGAAACAGTGACCCTATGTGACATTGCCACTCAGGACTAGAAATAAAAAGTATAAAAATGGCACCAAATCAAAATGAACCACATCAGAATGCAACAACAGTCTGTTATTGTACATCTTATATACAGAAGCTGTGGTCTCAAGGTAGTGCCATCTCCAGAAACACAAAGCTTCACTCCGAGCATGCCTGTGTGTGAATGTAAATAAATTATACCTCAACAAAGCCTCTTCCACCCGCTGTGTGCTGCCACTGCTGGCTCTGTGCCTCATAAATAAAAAGCCTGGAGCACAAAACGTAGAAAATAATATGCCGTGTTTACACCAGCTGTCATGCTCACATTTTTCTCTTTGGAGGCCTGATTTGAGTTTTTGAAAAATGTGCTATAGCAGGAGAGACAGCCCATTTAAATTATCTTTATTCTTGACTCCATTGATGAAAGCTTGTGTTGGAGTTATTGAGAAATAAATCATCATAACTGCTTTCTTTACCTCTTTCCTAAAAGTAATTAATCATCTGATTTATTTCAAAATCTAAACTAAAGTTAAAACCTTTGCTTTCTTACCTATTTTCCCATAATGCTTCACCAATTGATGACACAGCCCGTCAAGCAATGTAACACAACACACTGAGAGCGGGTTAAACTTGACAGCATGTCAGAAATATTAAGCGACTTGCTCCAAATGTGAAAAATTGTGATTAAACATTTACGAGCGCACAGATGTGGTTCCTCTGTCCTGGCACAACACCATCCAGGACCAACAACATGTTACACACGATCCACTCTGTCTGCTGAAGGTGAATGTGTGTTTGTGACGCTGTTTCCAGCCTCAATCAGCGAAAAGAAGTCTATGCTTGGAAGTCGTTCCCAAAGTGTCTTCTCTGTTCCTCGGTCATGGACAGATAGGTGGCCCTCATACTGGGGGAGTACTGTGGAGGAAAGGCAAACACACAGACACAGACAGAAAGGACATTATAGGCTAATTCTGAGAGTAGCAGGTGAGGTTAAAAAACAAAAACAAAACATCATCTTGGGGGAATTTAAAGGAACAGTCCGCAAAAATCTGTCATTATGGTATCAAAATTTTATCACATGTAAGATTACAACGTGTTTCTGTGGAGATTAAAGCTTTAGTAATGAATAGCGGCTGTATCCAGCTTTGATTCATGGAAGTTGCAATCCTTTTCAGTGGCAGATCTGGCTGTAACAATTCTTCAAGGATTATGCTTTTTGTAAAGGAACCGAGAAGCTAGAATTACCCTGGTTACCTTGAGAAAAACATTGATAGCGTTAGAGCAAGGATCAGTTAAGAAGCTGTTAAAACAAACACCACTCTCCTGATGTTTTAGTAGCCGACAACGGTAAATACTGGGGTTTAAACAAGGCCACTTAATTGACTATTACTACTTTATTACGATACTATTACTACATTATAAACTACTACTGAAGACCACAGTTTCCTTACTTTAAAGGGACAAACACTAAGCTTTCAGTTTGTACATGGTCCATGTATTATTCGTCCATTCAGTTATTCTGTTCAATCTAGTAAATGAAAAACGAAAAAACGAGTCAATATTATGTTTGTTTTGTTTTTGTATTTTCAGTTCAAAACAGAATATATAATAGAGATGGAAATGAAAACAATTTTTTTATTTTTTGGTTATACAGAAAAAAACAAATAAACAAAATATTGACTCATTTTTTTCATTTTTCGTTTACTTGATTGAATGGAATAACTGAATGGACGGATAATACATGGACCGTACATATTCAATATATTGGTGTTTATCTCCTCAACCTCTGTAATATCATTTAGCCACTTGCTAGCATTAGCCTAAAGGCACCAAAAAGCTTAATTTTTCTTTTTACAATTAGGATGTTAAAAATGTTAAAGCACTTGAAAAAAACCTCATAGATTAAATTAACCCAGAAAAATTCAAAATAACACTCGACTGACCTCGAGGAAACCAGAGACATGAAAATGCTGACTCATCTCCTAGCTTGTCTCATTCTCGCAGTATTTGATGTTTTACCAGGAAACTCCCCAATGTGTTTTTTGAAATAAACTTTCCATGAGCCATCATTAGATTGAGGTAAAAAACTTGGCACTGCATAAAACACGGAGTAATTGAATTAAAAGTGGACTCGGGGGACATTTCAGCTTAGCCTAGCATAAAAACTGGATTTAGGATAACAGCTACTTAGCGTAATGGAATGGAGGTGTAAAGTTGAATAAAATGGAAAGACTTTGGTAATTTACAACCGCTCAAGCTGATTTTTATCAAATCTAATTTGATTAAAGTACATTACTAAAATCATTTGGCTACTTATTTTCCAGAGGTGCAGAAAGTCACGGCTCCTAGCTAACGAATTAGCGACCCCTGTGAATCTAAAACTTCGACAACTGCTGATCGAAGAGTTTTAAAGTGCGTTTAAATTCTGCTTTTGCTCCTTCCTATATATCCTTTAATATGACAAACCCTCCCAACAGAGCTGTCTAACTTTCTATCTTGCCAGCTTCTGAGATTATTTTTGCCTTTCTACTTATTCCTTGACAGTCTTTTTTGGCTTCATGTACTATTCCCCTTGCTTTGACTGCAACTTGCAAATGTAGGTCAACTTTCAGCTCTGTCTGTGCTGTTATGAGATCATTTTTACAAAGTGCATACTAATGGAGAGGTTTTAGGAGTTCTTAAAAACTTTTGCATACTACTCAGGATTGCTTTTAGATTTCCTTTGAGTCCAAGCTGCTACAGTTCCGCCTTCGGAGGTAAGATTTCTGTGGACTGTTCCTTTAAGTCACACATCTGTAATCTTCAGATTTTTTAAACATTCATCACCAATCATATTTTTACCAATTATAGCATCAATAATTAGCGTAACACTGGTGTAAATCTGGTAATAGTCAGAGTGAATAAGTTCAAAAACCTTGAGGGAGTACAGGTTAATATACTGAGTGACTACAGCTGAACTGCATGCACAGGGAGGCTTTCAGTGGAAAAGGGGAAATAACTACAGTAGCACCCTGTGACCACCAGGGGCAGACAAACCCTCACTGACTCAAACAGACTCTGGAATGAGGACAGCCGTTTGTGTCTCAAAAAGCCATGCAACAAAAGGAAAAAACTACACAAGGGCCAAACAAAGTGAAGTGATCTGAAGGAGAAGAGAAAAGATGGAGGTGCGACAGAGGAAAAATGAGTTAGTCCTGTGGAAAAGAGTAGAAAAGACTTACTCGGTTTCTATACTGCTGAGAGTATATCTCCAAAAGTTGATTAAAGAAAAGCGGAAGAATAGAAAATGAAAGATACAAACAAACAAACATGACAAACGAACAAACAAAAAGTACATAAAAGAAGCTGTTAGCCGCAGACTACTGCATGTTGCTGCACAGTTGAAGTCATGTGGGAGATTTAATTAAACAACGCTGGCTGCTTTTAATTAGGAAACCCGTCATAAGGCAGACTGAATCACAATAAAACAGAAGTTTAAACTCTACAGAGATGAGAATAATGACAGAAAAGCAAACATAATAAAACACTTAAAGGATAAGTACAAAATATATAAGTCTCAGTTACAGATGTATGGATTTTAAACCTCTCTGTACAACAATATTAAATCATCAAATACTTAAACATATGTATTTGTAGTTATATGACTTTCACATGCTCATGATCACAACATTAGAAAGGTTTCCACTGCAGGACATTTCTCAAGGGACAGAGAACCTTTAGAGCAGATCAGTATGTTTCCACTGCAGGAATCAGAGTCTGTACCCGCACCTTGCCCCAAAGGTTCCTGCAGGACTTTTCAAAGGGTAGTTGAGTTACCCCCTGACCTAAATCTAGACCCTGGTTTCTGCAATGGAAATGAACAGAGTTCCTAGCTCCTCAAGAAAGTTCCTGCTGTTGAAAAGCACCTAACGTGAGAAAGTTCCTGGTCCTGCCAGTGGAAATGTGGATGTTTCTCTAAGTGACCCTTTTAAACAAAGTTATGAAACGCCGGTCTGTACTCGATGAGGTTCCTGCATTAAGCATTTATTGCTACATTTCATCACACACTCATGTGGTGGGTTATCAGGAAGCTGTGCCCTATGAAATATTAATCTAAATTCGTTCTATTTTTAGCTTCATGATGTAAAGTCACGGGAGACCAGAGAGTCCCAGCTGGTGATGAAATTATTCATTGCATAAGAAAACCTTTAGTGTCAAGGGGAGTGCTTATAGGTGAAGACCCGTGTCACTTCCTCCTGGGAACCTGGCCTGAGAGAAGCTAAATGATGTTCAGCTCATGATTAAATATTAACGACGTTATTTCTCCTCCCTTTGCTTTGGTACGGTAAGTCAGCCTCTGGTAAGTTGTGGGGAACAGATGAAGGCACAGCGCACAGCGAAAGAGTACCTCGTTCAAAAGTCGTTCAAATGACCCAAAGTTGACCAGAGAGTTGGTCTTCGTAAATGTGAGGAGCAATAAGTGATCGCACTCACCAAGTTTAAGTTTAAATCTTATTGACATTATTCACTCAGCAGCCGTTTTCCTCCTATTATGGGCCAAAACATGAGGCCTATATGCTGTTATACTGATTTATCAAGGGGGTGCATTTTGATTTCACTGAAAATTTCATTCTCAAAAAAGAAAAAAGAGAAAATTAAGGTAAAAACAACTACAAGCTACAGTCAGATATTAGCCAACTTAAGCATGCAGCCACACCAAAATCAGCAGCACCATTAACGAGGAGGTAGTTTGACACTAGTATTACCCGACTTTTGTACTATTCAACCTTCTTTTAAGAAATACTTGATTCTGATTGGCTGAATGACGGCTTTTAACTCTGACCGACTACAAAAATCTGTTTATCAGTTTACTTCTGCGTGTTGATGCAGAGGCAAAAATGCTAAATTATGGGCTGAACAGTGTGGTTATTTCAGAATTAGATAATTCCAAGGTGTGAATGTGATATCTTCACAGCCTTAAATATAAGATCTTGTCCTGCAATCCAGGCAACGGCAGCAGAGCCGGTTCACCTCGCACAGTGTAAATATGAAAGTTAGAATATAGGAGGGTCCCAGCCATAGTACTAGCCACCAAACACCTTTTTAGCTTAGCCTGATTTCTTGTTTCACACAACTCACCTACTCTCTTCCAGCAGCCATTTGTTTGTACGGAGACCTCTGGGTGAGTCCATTGGCTGCAGCGGGGTGCCACAGCTCAAGGAAGAACATTTATGATCATTTCTTCATGGAAATGCAATCAGACCGAGACGCTAAGGTAGAAGAACTACCGTGTCTGCAGAGCAAAACGATTAATATGGTGATTATTACTTCAAGGAAATGATTAAGAAATGATCATAAATGTTCTTCCTTGAGCTGTGTCATCCCACAGCAGTGATTTAACTTAATTTTATGCCAGATTATCCCTTTAACTTCGACCACTAACTATGTATAATTCTGATATAAACAGCAGTAAAGCATAACAGCATCTTAGCTTCACATCCTGAGATTACCACCAGAGGAAAACAGCCACTGAGTGAATATTATAACTGTAGACATGAAGTAATTTCCTGTACTTTGAAGCTTAATCTGTCTGCTAGCTCAGAAGGAAGTGACATCATAGGAAGGACTTGGCCTCTGGGACCCAACGCACCGAGGGTGGCGGAGAGCCTCGTCCTATCAGAGGCACGTTCTCGTACCGTGGATTTCCCCCGAACAGCGCTGTGTGGTTCCTGAGGGAGACAGAGGGAAAGAAGGGACTCAAATTCCAAGAAATCAGCAGCACATTAAATATAGACCTGAGATCTCTGTGCGCTCACATGTACTCAGACATGGGGGCGTTGGTGAGAGCTGGGGTGGGCCGGTGCAGGCTGCTCTGGCTGCCCATGCTGCTGCTGTAGCTGCAGAAGCTGTGCATGTTAGTGAGGTTGGGGTTCTGGGAGCCTATCCTCCTCGCCCGGGGGTTGAATGGGTCCTCCTCGTCGATGTCGTCATAATCTCTTTCCCTGGAGCAACATAAGAGAAGAAGGAGGACGCAGATATTAGCTTAGGCTGGAGGTGTTTAAACTGTGGGGGGTAACATCCCAAGGGGGGCAAATATAGCATTTGGAAGATGTGCATTTTTAGAGTCAGTGTGGATTATATTTTTAAAGTTAATCTTCATCTTTGATGTCCACACACACATTTAAAAATATCCACATTAGGAAAAGAGACGCCGAATTTGCCTTTGAATGTTTAATTTCTCTTTCAGCATCAAAGTTATCTTTAATTTTCTGTCTGTATGAAGCTATACTGCCGACAAGAACTATACATATCTGTTTGGGCATACTTTGAGTTGTGCAAATATAGCAGAACTAAAAAAATAGATGCAAAGCAAAGCTTGGCTCATGTTATAATCTGCAGTGTAAGCCACATAACTTCACTGCAGAACCTCCAAACGTTTTGAGTTTAAGACTCTCAAAACTGAGGAAAGATGGATTATTAACAATAATGTTGCACAATGAAAGATTTGCACACACTCGCATTGCATTAGCCTGAACTTTGAACTCAAAGTGCACTTCGAGTGCTGTAGCTTGCTGCATTATGCAACATAGCTCCCAGTCATTTCAAGTTGCACGGAGGAGGTTTTGGGTGACCCCATCCCTTACAGGAAGACATTTTTTTCTGCAGCTCTGTCTGATAAACTCGACTGAAGAGTCTTTAAACTTTCTATATACATGTAAGCGATCATAACTGACATTTCACCACTTTTTTTTTTCCACATACTGTGTGTGATGCCGTTATGTAACATTACAGCTGTGAGCAGGGTTCCTCCGTCAGTGATGTTTCTCAGGGCAAAGAAATCCAAGTTTTGACACTCGGCTTCAGAACATTTACAAGTTCTGGTGACAGAAATCCAAACATATAATATTCAAAGACATAAAAATAGCTGGTGAAGCTTCTCAGTAGTTTATACTTGGAGTTTTGGGATATTTTAAGAGGATGTTTCACTGCAGCTCCTGCTTACGTCTTTATTACCACAAAATGAATGTAAGTCACAAAGACATGAAGGTGAGAGATATCTCATGGAGATGGATAGCCTGTCTAAAGCAGGCCTCTAAACTCTGCATTTAATCAATCGTTGCTGTCTGTTCTAGGTTAAAAGAAGAGCAAAAAATAATATTTAACCACATCATGGGGAACATATGCAACACAAACCCAAAGACCCTCAGCTGAATGTGCTCCCTCATCCTTACTGCTAACATTTCCCGTCTTTTTTCTGCAACCACTACCACTCCTCACTATAAACTTATCGCTTACACGTATAACTATATGCCTATTTTTAAAAATATCAGTATTTTATATTCAAAATTTATGGTTACTACTACCACTATTTTTACTCTATTTTCCCATGTTTGAGTGTTGTTTCTGATTGTTTTCTGGAAATAATGAGTCAAAAATAAGAGGCAGAACTCAATTATCTTAAAGCTCCTGTGAAAAACTTTCTGATTATGTCAACTTTGGTGGACAAAATAGTTTTTGCTTAACTTGGCTGTCTCTTTTTGGTCAAAAATATCATTTATTGTGAATATCTAATGTGGAAATCATAAAAGCAGGACCATTTCTCCTGCTGCTCGGCTGACATCTACCCCCTCACAATAGTTTTAGGCATTAAAAATAACAATAAAAACATCATCAATGTTGTCTTTTTATGGTCTTGTTTACTTTCAGATATCATGGAGAGGAATTTAAGTCTATTTAGTTAATTTAAAAAAAACTACTTACAGGAGCTTAAAGATGATGAGATCAAGGAATCTGTTCAGCTGCGAAAATAGCTTGAAAATAGGTAAATACCCTGAGATGAATAAAGACAACTGAAATATAGAGCAAAATATAATGTATAGCTGCATGTCTGCATAGAGCTTTCATAATACATGAATTATTTTGTATTTAAGTTGGCGAAAATAGACAGAAAACCTGCCTTATGTGGGTTTGCAGTTCAGTTTATTTGCTAAGAATGAGGGTATTCTGCAGCCCTGCACTTGCACCATTGGTGTTGTATTCGAAGCAAAACATCTGGGCAAAACGTTATGGGATGTTAAATTATCGTCTGTTGGCTCGTAGAGGACATAAAGCTGCAGAAAGATGCCTGCAGGAGAAAACGAGGACGCCGGGGCAGGCGTGCAGAGAACAAACTCACCTGCAGGCCATTTGTCTCCACGCCCGGGGAATGGCACACAGCATGACAGTGAAGGCACAGGCTGCCAGGGTGGAGAAGAGGCAGAGGTAGAGCAGACCTTCTACCCCGTCATAGCACACCCCCACCATCGCATCAAGGTAGTCCTAAAACAGGTCAAACACATAAAGAGGAGGAAAACCGCTTGTAGGAGGATTCTTGCTGTCACATTTGAATTCACAGAAGAGAAAATGAAGTCAAGATGAAAAAGCACTCGGAGCAGTGGAGCGTGGCATCTCCAGGAAGACATATATTTCATTCATGTCATGCACATCCAGCGGGAAGTTGCACATTATTCATATAAACAGCACAGCAGTCACGAGCCAAGCAGCACAAGTTAAACTGTGCAGCAAACACAACCGGAGGAAAACAGCTTCAAATTTGAACCTGGTTAAATTTCAGATTCCCTCATTTTGTGTTTGCTCGTCTCTCTCTTCAAAACTCCACTTTCAGTTTCCTGCTGTTTTTTTTGCATGACCGCTCACTCCCCTACTGACCCGGTTGTGCTGCAGTGGTGCCAATTAGAGAAGCACTAAACCAACCTTGTTGAGCCCCCTGCAGTCCAGCAGGGCGGTCAGCTGGTGCAGACTGGCCTCCGAGGAGTTGAGCAAATGCTGGATACCCAGCAGGTCTCTCTGTGGAGAAGTTAGCACAGATCTTACTGTTCGTGAAAATGTGATCGCTATTACACTGCAGCAAAGCTTGTGCGCTTGTGATACCTCAGCTGTAGGAAACAGAGGCACGGCGAACTGCAGCAGACCCTGGATCTGGATCTGCATGGTGGTCAGGGATCTCTGGAAGATGGTTAGAGGCTGCGAACGAGAAAATGCTCGTAAACAACAGCATGCAGATGGAGAAAGCTTTGATTTTCAGGACATTATGAGAGAAAGGTATTCAGGGAAAGCCAAAACAACTAAGAAAAGATGTTTTTCACAGGCTTAAACACGAGTGCAGGATCATATGATACATAATGGATCTAATTTTTCTGTTATTGAATAAAAAAGATAAAAGGCTGAGTGGGAGGCCAGAGTTATCTTTAAACCAGAAGGAAACTAAATCATAATTAATATTTTCCCTCAGTGAATAAAACAGACATCAAAAACAGATCACAAGACAGCTTTGTGCTCTTAAAGCTGCTTAACTAGGGTGTCAAACTGATCTACAAAACCTTACATGCACACGAATATCTACCCCTAAACAAAAACAAGAAAACAAGATTAAAATAGCAGCTGTCGTCCAGACGATGTAGCAGACAGTTAAGCTAGACTCATAAGCTTTTAGCAGGATTACTATATGCCTCAGTTTGTTTATCTCTGTTATAATTAGTTATTGCAGCTAATTAAACAAAAACTGTTTGGTACACGAGAACAGCAGATTTGTCTTAGTTTTATAGAGAAAGGTACGAGATGGTTGGTGAACTAGTTTCACTTGCTAAGCTAACTTTCTATGCAGTTATTGAGCTTTGATGCATTTTTTATAAAAAACAATTAATTTAATAACATTTTTTCATAAACAGTATACAACTTTAATAACGACAGAACAAAAATTTCACCCAAATAAATAAAAGAAAATATTAATGTAAATAAATAAATAAAAGATAAAATAAAAGGATAAAATAAAATAATTATAATTATAACGATAACGATAATAATAATAACAATTAAAGATAAATATATATGTAAATAAATAAAAGGATAAAATAAAATAAAAAATAATAATAATGATAATAATAATAATAATAAATAAAATAAAATATAAATGTAAATAAATAAAAGGATAAAATAATAATAATAATAATAATAATAATAATATATAAATAAAATAAAATATTAATGTTAATAAATAAAAGGATAAAATAATAATAATAAAATAATAATAAAAAAATTAATAATAATAAACAAATTAGTTTAATAATATAATGAAAAAAAATACAGCAAAACATATACAGCAAAGGTCAAGACATTGACAATGGAAAAGCACAGCTACTCCTGCAGATGTGTTACAAGCAGCACTTTCATAATTCTTTGAAATGTTGACACTTTTTGCTCAAATGTGTATGTAAAGATATGACAGTTACTGTGTAAGAAATCCGATAAAAAAGCAGATTTAAAGTCTGAATTTAAAGCACTGAACTGCTGTTAAATCACTCTTTTAATGCTTGATAAGAAGTTAAAAGTTTGTGTCCCTGTAGGTTCACGTTCTTGCCAACAGGGGGCAAAGTAAGCCTCCATTTTCAGCACATTGATAATCACATATCTAAAGACAGCACCTTCTGCACCATGACTGTTTTTGAATTAACACTCAGGCGCAACCATGAATGAATCAATCTGCTGGATCTCAGAGTTAAATTGTATCTTCACAGTCGCCTAACCTCACTCAGATCGTTTGGAACCTGCCCAGCTCGCGGCGGGATCTTAAATTGAAACAGGATATGGTCAATTACCTCGACCATCCACAAATGTAATTGCCTTCCTTTGATCTGACGTTTCTTTCTGGATCTGCATGACCGTTCGTGGTCAAACTGCTCGCCGCTGCACAATCCAAACAGCCTGATCAGGTTGGGTTTTTTATTTTTTTTTTTAAATCAGCTTTTCCAGAGCCAAATAAAGTATAAAAATAAAAATATAGGGCAGAGAAAGTGGAAAAAGAGATGATGATGAAAGGAAATGAAGAAGAGCCAGAGAAAAAGGAGCAGGGGTGACGGAAGAGTGGCGCCCAGAGCGATGAAGTACAAGTTCACCAAGGGTAGAAGAAGTACCGGGCACGGCTATGTTTAAGGCTGAAAATACACGAAGAAGATTTTAGAGAAAGACTTTGGAGGAAAAGGAAGAGAGAGGAGAGCTTATATGTTTGCAAATCGGAGTGAATTCTTGCTTCTGCCAGCTTGCTTGTGAACTTTGCACCTGTTGGGCGTCTGTGTGGCAGAGAAAAGAGAGCTGACTTTGTTTACCAGGCGGGGTGACGGCTGTCAGACCTCTGCTGCTCTGCTCTTGTTATCCTCAGGGTATGTCTACCAGAGCCGGATAATAAGATCTGAGCTCTGCTGAGCCACAGCTTGCAGAAATTGACTTTACTGCTGACTGATGTAAGCAGCCAAGTCAGCGATGTGACCCACAATTCCTGCTCTGTTTTTTCTGACGAGTAAACTCAGGGAGATTTTCTAAACCGCGCCAACTCTTCTGCGATTTTGCGACGTTTCTTTTAGTAACTTTCGGCTTGTTTGCTGAAGGACTTTAACAAGAGAGAGGGCAAAGTGGTAGTGACAGGCTCAGAGATAGGGTTGTAACATGCTGCCAGACTCGTGAGGTGAAATCAGGACATGACTCAGACAGACAGGGCCGAACAGAGAGGAAGAGTGTGATGAAGATGAGGCTTAAGGGCAGCGAAATGAACCCTCCATGGAGCGGCGATTCAGAAAATCACGGGTCAAAAGACGTCTGAACGTTGGGGTCAAAAATTAGCAAATCATCGTCGGGAAGTGGAGGTTTTAAAACGTCCGGGGTGACTCAACTCCATTTTTTTTCAAGAGCGTTTTAATGACTGTATTTCATTATGTAGAAAAGGACTGCTTTAGATTTAAATATAGTCATTGAAATGCTGTTTGAGCGCGGTTTTATGTAACCTTAAAACAGGAGCTCAACCCTGTTCAACTTTTTAATCAGTGAATGCGTTTATGCATATTAGCTTTATGTTTATATTCATCCTGTAGGATCCACTTCACCTCCAGAAAGGTCTAAGAGATGCTCCATTATACAGGGTTTTAGTTCTCTGGTTCAGGACTCACACTAAGAACCAAAACTGAGGATCTAATGGACTCGTGACTTAAAGCTCCAGTGAGGAGTTTTTCTGATGGACTGAAATTTATACAGCAAACAAAACTATAATAGACATGTGTGATTCAATTTCTTAGTTTTTATTTTTTCCTTTTTATCTTTCCTTTTTATCTTTCATTTTGCATCCTTCTATCTGTCTTTGTTTCTTTTTGTTTTGTTCTTCATCTCTGTTTGTTTCCTTATTACTTTTCCTTTTTCTTTCTGTTCTTTCTTTATTCTTTTTTCTTTTTCATTTCCTTTTTTCTTTTTCCTCTTCCTTTAATTTTGTTTCTTTCTCTCTCTTTCTTTTTTCTTTTTAGCTTTCTTTTTCGGTCTTTTGTTTTCTCTCTTTTTTCTGTTTCTTTTTCCTTTTTATCTTTCTTTTTTCTCTTTCTTTTTTCTCTTTCATTTTGCATCCTTCCGTCTTTTTTTTCTTATCTCTGTTTGTTTTTTCATTACTTTTTCTTTTCTGTCCTTTTCTCTCTCTTTGTCTGTTTTCTTTCATTACTTTTTTTCCATCTTTTCTTTCTTTCTTTCCTTTTTATGTTCCTCTTACTTTTTTTACTTGTAGTATTTCTTTCTGTGCTTCTTTCTTTTATCTGAATCTTATTTTGCTTTTTTCCTTTTCCGTTAGTCTTTCTTTCACTATATTTGCTTTAATTTTCCTTCTATCCTTCCCTCTTTTTTCTTTCATCCTTTCTTCCTCACTCTTATTTTCTTCTTTTTCCATCTTTCTCTCTTATATTTTCTTTGTTCATTTCCCTCTGTGTTTTTTTTTCTCACTTTCCTGTTTGAATTTCACTCTTTAGCCAAACTTTTTCACAGATGAAAAAAAAGATGGTAGGTCAGCAGAAACTCTTGGTCAAGAGGTTTAATTAAAAAGAATAAAAGAAAATTTTAAATCCAGATTTTTTAAACGAGTTATAAAATTCTGATAACATATCAGAGCTGAAAAGATCATCTTCGTCAATATTCAGCAGACGCTCTGACTGTTTCTTACCTGCTGGAATGGGTTGGCTAGAGTCTGGTTGCAGTACATGTAGTAATGAACAATATCTGTGGAAAATACAAAAACAGAGAATAAAACTGACCTGCGCTCAAATCTACTGCTCCATAAATGCAATATTAATCAAATCGTTCACAGTGTAGCTCACCAGCACCGATGAAAGTCTTTGTTTGGCTCAAGATGAACTTGTCCGGGCACTCACAGAAATCACTCGTGCCCTAAAAGACAAGAGGACGTGCGTGAAGAGAGCGGGTAGAAAATAAAACACCTTTATGAACTGCTCTGGAATTAATGGGATTAAACTCATTCGTTAATAGAGAGTCACTTTCAAAGTGTTTGATAACCACAGTTCATTATAAACACACAGTTTCAGCTGATAATTGATCAGATGTTTTGACAATGTGTTCATCATAATATCACTTAATGTCACGATATCTGACTGTAGTTAGGCTGAGTAATGACAACCTGATCACACATCATATCAAAACAATCTGCACTGTATCATATCATATCAAATTGTGTCATATCATCATCATATTGAACAAAAATGACTCGTATCATATAGTATCTCGTATCGTGTCGTATTGTAAATCATTTTATATTGTGACACATCGTGTCATATTTGTCTCATCGTAATGAATTATATTCTGTATCATATATCATGTCATGACATATCGTATTACATATAATCAAACTGAATCGAAAAGTATTGTTTCATATCAGATTGAATGGTATGATATATCATGTCAAATTGTATTATGTCGTATAATATGGAATGGTTTCATATCATACTATAGCATATGGTGTCCTGTCAAACCGTGTCATATTATTTTGTGACGCATTGTATCATATTGTATCTCATGGAATCAAATCGCATTTATCATATCGTATGGTTTCATCTCATTTTGTATCATATGGTTTTATATCGTAACAAATTGAATTGTATCAAATTCAGTCATATCATATCTTATCGTATCATATCGCATCATATCATATCATATCATATCATATCATACAGTATCATATATCATAAAGTATCCTTTCATATCATATTATATCATATATCATACAGTATCATATCATATCATATTATATCATATCATATAAAGTATCATATCATATATCATATCATACAGTATCATATATCATATCATATTATATCATATCATACAGTAGAGTATCATAATATATATCAAATCCAATATTTTGTATTGCATTATACTCAATTGTATCATATTGGGTCCTTTTGTCTTGTATGTAATGTTGCACCTCATACTTGTAGTCAGCACATATCCAAAATTAAGGAGTTTGTTGGGAATATAAATCTTGATATGATACGTTTGTGGGTCAAGTGAATTCTTAAAGGAGACATCAAACAGCAGTCTGTTGTCACCCTGTCACTTTCAGAAAGGTTGTTGAGAATCAAAATCACTCTCACATTTGAACACATTTGTTGATGATCTTGTCTTTGGCCTCCCTGACTGAACTACAGCTGCGCCGAGATCCTCTACAACAGCTCTGCCTCTTGTGTGGGATTCCCTAATTAACACTTTGCAAGTCTTTCTGACAACGCCGAACAATAGAGACAACAATCATCTTTATTATTTTCTGTCGCACAGAGAAAAGTAGAGATGACAGGCTCTCCTTATAATCCTCTTTATCATGTCTAGACAGAAATACTTTTCTATTCTGTCACTCAGACACTTTCACTCCAACAGGCAGCGCTAACAAGGAACCTGTCTCTGCAAATAACAAAAAGTGAGGAGTGATGGTCTCCTCCAAATTGCGCTGTCTGAATGTTAAATGTTCCCCAGACTCAGGACAAACACACACTCCATGAAGCTAAATTTTCTCTGGAGGGAGTGCTAATGAGCCCTGCGCACACAGGAGATGAAACAGACTCGAATCCTCTGCAAACCCAGGATAGTTTGAGCGAAAAGAGCGATACTGGGCGCCCTAACAAAGCAGGAGCTCTTTGTAGGAATTCCTGATAGAGAGGCAGTGATTCACAGAGGATGCACAGTCCTGACTACCCGCTGTCTGTAATTAGGAGTTCTGCGACGGGTTTGCATTCATTATGCATTAATTCATTCTGATCTGAGACTGTAATCTAACTGTCGTCTCCACGCATGCATAATTTGAAGATTCCCCCGCAGACGCACAAACATCTGCTTCCCGTCAGGCACAAAAATATCCTGAAAACACACCTGACAAACACACAGGCTGCAGCTGCACAGGCCCGTCCTCACACAGACAAACAAACACACAGGCATGAAGGTTGCGTCGGCTGTCTGGCACCATGATCACATCTAATTCGAAACCCGTCCGTCTGATGGCAGACGCAAATACATCATCAAAAGTCATGGCGGGATGTGCGAGGAAAGTCTCTCAGTGATTTTCACACATTGTCACACAGCAGATTGAGAGTTTGAACGCTGTTAAAGCCTCGCTGGTCACGGTTGTTATGGTGAGACCTTCCATTAACACACGAGTTCACCTCCTGGAGGTGAGCGCTGATTTATTTCAGCCTCCTTTAGAAAGATGGTCTGCCCAGAAGAGAAATATAAAAGTATGACTGGTGTTTGTGTAATACATCAAATGAGGAATTGGAGTTGAACTGTCTGAAGTTAAGTTTAGAGTCTGAACTGAGGCAAAAATTCCTCAGAACTTATCAAAGCCCTTCATAAAAGACTGAAACAATTCATCCATTAATTAATTTTCCGATTGAATATAATTCAGTTTGCAGCATTGAAGTCAGGCGCTATCAGGCAAAAGCCAAAAATTCACTTATTCCAGCTTCTTTAATGAGAGGATTTCCTCCTATTCTGTTTCGTAACATGAATTTTGAAAGAAAAATGACGTCATTAATTAGTTTGAGGCTTTTAAAGACATTAAATGTTCTTTTTCTCCATTAGCTCCTTTTTGTGCAAACAGAAGTTCTGTGTGGAGGACAAATCTAACACCCATCTGTTTACATCTTTGTTTTTACGTCTGAAAGCCTAAAAGGCATGGTTGACAATTGGAGAGATTGGTTATTATTATGAGCCTCGTTTCTATGGCGATCATGGTCCTATAGTGCAATCTCCAAAAAGTGAAAAGAAATAAGAATGGAAAAAATCCGTTCACCCTATCAGGTGCAGGGCTGCAAAAACATTGACCAATGGGAGCCATCCGTCCTAAACAGCTCCTATTGGTCAATCTCCTGCTCTGCTTCTCCGTCCAATCACCTCGCTGTATTCGACACACCCCTCTCCAGTAGTTCCGACTCGTCCCCTCCCATTCTCCCGGCTGCAATTTTTTTTTTTTGTAGGATGGTCCCGCCCCCCTTCGCCTCTGATTGGCTACAAGTGTTGGGCTTCGATTGGTTATTCCTTATGGCTGTGAAACGTCATCATCTGTTGGGTTACGGTAAGGGTTAGGATTAGGATTAGGTGTACAGAGCCGACAGCGCGCATTTGGTTTTAGCGTGTGATGACGTTTCCAGCTTTTCTAGCCAATCAGAGGCGAACGGGGCGGGACTTTCCCCAACCATCCAACAACAACAAAAAATATCGCCTCTCGGCCCTCCTCTGAGCTCTGAGTAGCTTTACAGATTTAGTAGAAGTGGATTAAAATATTCATGAGAGAGAGGATTTTTAATGACTGTTTTGTCCATAGGGGGCGCCAAGACCCACACAGATCGAGCGTTCCCTACAGGAGCTTTAATGAGACATAAAGGGGTGATGAACATAATTAATCGACTCTTAACTACCAAATAAAGAGGAATAGTGAATTTTCATTTGTTAAAGGCTTCTAACAAGTCTAACTCTGCTTAAAGTCTGTGTGGATGAACTCACTTACACAGCCATCGTCTGAGGACTATTAAAGGAACTTTTTTCACCAGATAAAAGTGTCTCTCATTTGGTGTATCGACTGTTTTTAAGGGGATCGCTTCAGGCTCCATTTCAACAGTTCAAAGACTTCATATATAATCCAACAATGACAACAAAGCCCTTTTTATAACCACTGTTAATCTATTATTTGCTATTCAGGATGGTGTTGACTGTACTGAGTCACACAGCTTTTCACAAACACTCACACACCAACATCTATATCAGTGTTTGTTTAACCTTCATGCTCACAGGTCAATACACACACAAACACACAAACACACACTCCTGTCCAGCTGCTCTTGGGCCAAAGTGCAAACAATTTTCCACACACACAGAGCATTACACTCAGCCCACAGCAGAGTAAAAATGTTCGTTTAATATCTTTGTTTACACCCATTTTTCTCCTGCCTGAGCGATCTTTAGCCTTTTGAAACTGTTGGTCTTAAGTAAAGAAAGAGGGGAAGTGGACATTGGCCGCACTGGAGACCGAATAAAACCAAATAATATACAGGTTACAACACAGGTGGAGGCACCGGCTGTGATTTATTTTGTAATTCAGACTTTGCAGAAAAATATGAGGTATTTTTGTGGCGCTTGATCCGAGTGTTGAAGAAGGATTTTTCAGCCATAACTGATCCAACTTTGGTTCAACAATAAGATCTCTGAGTATAGATGAAAGCTTTTCTTTCTGCTTTTGTCCACATGCTTGTTACATGACCTGAACAAAGTGGTAACAGAGTGCCACCTGCATTTCTCCAAACACCCTAAAGTCGGTCTCTTTCTCCAAGTTCTGACTTATTTCTTTTTCAAGGCGACTGTTGGGATTGAAAGGTTTGGTAATTTTAGGACTCACAACCGCAAACAAGACTAATTACAACATGACCGACTGTCAGCACGAAGTTATGATTAATGCCTCACTCTGTAGCCACAGGGTAGGTGTCAGCAGGCTGAAGAAAGAGTCTTTTTTTAAACATTTCCATGGAAAAGATTCATGACGATAACTTGAGTTTAAAAAAAAAAAAGAGTCAGTGTACTGCTTTGCCCACAAGGGGGTGCTAAAATCCACACGAATTAAAATTCTTTACTGGAGCTTTAAGATTTTCAAACACACAGGCTTCCCTAACTTTGAGATTGAGCAATAAGAGGTTTAGTTTTTTTAAACCGAATTTCAACCATCTAGATTCTGCGTATTTTTAGACAGAATTTAGACGTTGCACTTCAACCAATTTTTTGATAAATATTGCAAAACTGATCTCCAAGTACTTCACCAAAATAATTATGATAGCTGTCGAGCAATATACAGTGTAGTATAGATATATCCCAGATTTAGATTTAGTCTAAACCTGATCTAAATTTAGACGACTAAAAAAACGTTAATTTTTAGACCTGTGGTAGTCTGATTTTAGACCAGTCATTTAGGCTACATTTAGACGTCTATTTGACCTCTTTTAGACCTAAAAATGCTCAGTAGAGCTACACTGACCTCCAATTTCCACCGCATCTGGAACGGCTACGAAAAGGCTGTATCTGCCGATCGTAGCTGACCGTCACCATTCAAGTTAATGTGTCAATTTCCACCGGCTTCCTTCTGTTCCGCTTCTGACGCCAGAGCATGCTGGATAAATTCAGCACAGATTAACCCGTGCTGGAAAGGAAGTCGGGCACAGACACAAAATAAAACATCCGGCCTCTTTTCAAAATAAAACACTCCGTGTTTCAGGTGGATTGTATTTCACACCATGCAACAAGACAAACAAGTGAAAGGTTTATAGACAGCATTTCATCCCGATGACACCATGGATGAGAGAGTTCTTCCTACTGTCCATAATCCGCCATGAAATCCGCCTCACCAACGGATCCAGTAGGAATTAACGGACGGCGAAAATCGACACAGTTTCGGGTTGGAGTCGTTCTGGATGCGGTGAAAATTGGGGGTAATTCAACAGTGATTTCTCTACAGATATAGCATTAAAATTGAGTTAAGGTATCAATGGTCTTCAGATGATGAATTTTTGTTGTCAATACTTTCCCAGTGGACATCACAGATGACCGATTAGCCCAGTGACGGTCTCCTGATGATGATATTCAGTTTTTACAGATGTCCACAAAATATCATCAGTTATCTTCTTTTCATGATTAATGGGAGACATTATTGAAACTGAAAGAAGTACAGGTTACTTTGAAACATCCCTGGTTGCCATGACGCTCTCACGTCGTACTCAACCTCTCCATCTTCATTTGCGATACTGATTGTCTTTCCTACATCTCCTTCCCACCTCCACACAACATACTGTACTTCACAGAGCGGCGGCCTCGCTGAAATGGATCGTCTCTATGCTGTTTGTTAGAAATTCTGTCTTATGCGTCTCTTTGAACATTGTGTGCTTGCAGGTTTTTTTTCTTTTTTTTCAACCAAACATCTTCAGTGTGTCCTTTCAGTGGCATCACGAGGAATCCCAAAGGAGTCCCGGCACCGATGCAGCGAATGTAGACCACAGAGAGCGCAGTCTTGTAAAGCGGGCTTTAAACTCGTAGATGAAAAGAAGAGATGAAACCAGAGACTAATATTTTGTAACTGATCCCGCCTCCCGCTGCTTCCCACCCGATGCTAATTATCTCCAACTTAAATTCACACATGCTAACAATCCTCCGCAGCCCCGAGTCAAAACACAACATCAAACAACAAACCTGAGAGAAACAGCACACGCGCCTGAGGCTGATGAGTCACACACACGCTCACACACACACACCGCTGCACATCTTTTCTTTCTAATGTATCTCTTTATTTCCAATCTCACTCTAATTGTTACACTCGAGGTCGTTTTAACACTCTTTGGGCTTTTTTTATGCGGGAACATAATGAAGGAAAACATTAAAAATTGCGTAACCATGATTAGCTTCAAAGCCGCGTTTCTTTTCTTGATGAGCCTTCGCACTAAAGAGAGTTTTCAAAACTGAATAATAACGCTGGAAATGTTTGCGGTTCTTTTGTTGCTGTTTTCTGATTCTGAATTTTCTAATCTATTTCAGCATCAGGGAAAAAAGATCAGAAAATTCTTCATATTTGAATAACTCTCCTTTTATGTATGCATCGCCATATAATCACATTACAGATAACTATTGTGGGCACAGGAGTTAATTATCTTGTAGGAAAACAGTTTGTTATTTTCTGTGTGCAATTATCTGACGTACTCAGGTTAATTATCTTTTATGCACAAGTTAATTATCTTGAGTGTTCGAGTTAATTACCCCGTCCACATAAAATAATCCTTTGGGTTTTCTAATGCAGTTAGTTATCTTGTGCGTGAGAAGTAAGATAAAATAATCCTGTGCATGCATGCAAGTTAAGCGCAATCAATTAAATTACCTACATGACGCGTGCATGTTAACTAGGTTATGCGCACAAATTAATAGTTTTTTTATTGCACATGTATGTAAATCAACTCCTTCAAACATGTCGATGATCTTTTGGCCTTAAGTTAAATTTCTTGCATACCTGTATGTGACTTTTAGATACAAATTAGATTACTTGTGTGCACAATTTATTGATTTGTGATCGAAAGCAAATTATTTAGTTCACACAACTAGATTTTCTCATGCAGGCAGGGTGATAATCTTAATTAACAGGGTGCACAAGTTAATGATTTTGTGCACCATCTTGTGACTAAAGTAATTTATCTTGTGTGCACAAATTTAAACTCTTGTGCACGTTTACCTTTATTTTCTCATAGATCCAAATTTATTTTTCTTTTGCACCCGGTCTGTGTTCAAGTTTACCAACTTTATGAAGTCACATCATGTTTGCACAAGATAACCATCTTCTATCTTGAGTGCACAATCTTATTACCTTGCAAGTTAATTGTAATGAAGGCTCAGGTTAATTAAGTTTTGGATATAAGCTGCAATTACATGTTAATTACCTCATTGCTACAACTTAATTGTTCTGCACCAGTGTTGCCAGATCTGCTGAGAGAAACAAGCAGCCAACAAGTCCAAAATAAGTTGCCAGACAGGCAACCCGCCACACTGTGTAAACCAAGGGCCGCTTGTTAATGGTGAAAATATATACAATTATCATTACATTATGCATAAGCAATGGCAAAATTCTAATAAACACAGTTAACATTACAACTTTGGATAAATTAAATACCCCCCAGAGTACTCAAGTGAGCGCAATTCAGGAAACGGTGGTCTGACAAATTACCTACCCACGAACTCATGCTTTAGTTTGGAAGTTGTGAGATAACCGGGGGTGATTCACGCAGACAGAAAAGCAAGCTCAAATAAATAACTACAAGTTAAAAACAAGTCAAAAAAACGGAACCCCCGACTCACGAGTTTTACAAGCAACTTCTGAGAAAAACAGAACCCAAAGTTGCTTATGATAAGCAGACTTGGCAACTATGTTCTGCACTGGAGTTATTATTTGTAGTTTTTCTTCTTGTCTGCGCTAGACAAGATAATCATCAAGTGCACACTGATGCCCTTGTGTTTCACTTTAAAGGCTTAAAGGGATATTCCGGCGTAAAATTAATTTAGGGTCAAACACATCTTAAAACCAAGTTACTTTTAAAGTAATAATGAGCCAAAAAATAAGGCAGATATCACTTAACGAACTGTTGAATAGAACTGTCACACCACAGAGACACCCCCTCAAGAGATGAATGTTGCTGACCGCTTGCTTCTCTAGTTTTACCAACTTTAGTAACGACTGCAGGATAGTAATACACAGCGGTCTGAGGAGCCATAAACAAACGTCAACCAAAACGCCACTCTATAGCCACAAATAATGCTCAGAACAGCACCTAACTTCATCAACAGGACATATAGGATCCCAGCCATAGCACTAGCCACCAAACATCTTTTTTAGCTTTGACTAATTTCTTTAGCAAAGAGACTAAACACAACTCACCTACTCTCTTCCAGCAGCCGCTTGTTTGTACGAAGACCTCAGGCCAGTCCATTACAGACTACAGCGGGGTGACGCAGCTCAAGGAAGAACATTTATGATCATGTCTTTATCATTTCCTTGAAGTAATAATCATTTTGAACGGCAGACGCTGTAGCTTTTCTGCCTTAGTGTCTGGGTCTGATTGCATTTCCATGAGGAAATCGTCTCATTATTACTTTAAAGGCGCCTGTGAGGGACTTCATATGCGTCTGTTGTCAGAGTTAATGTTGCATCTGAAGGTTAACAGATAATAACCGAAACATCTTCAAGGGAAAGGTTCAATGCAACTTTGAAATAATGCAGCACACTGCACATTTTTCTATGCATAAATGTCCTCATGCAGGTAAGTGCACAATAGCAAATATGCAGCAGCGAATAATCACCCCCTCATCAAGACATTTTTCAAGTGCAGTGTGTGTGTAGTTGGAGTAATTCATCACCACTGACAGGCGCGACAAGAACTGATTACAGAGCAGTTTATACTTTGGTTCTCGTTGGGGGGAAATCTGTCAGTAAAGAGGCGAAGAAGCCAAGCAGCTCACCACAGCAGTGGCCAGGTCAGCTCCCAGAGACGTCCAGCTCAGGACCAGCGTCAGCACCCCGAACACCATCATCCTGCAGGGACACAAAGAAACAACAGCGGGGTCAGAGAACGACAATAATCAATCAGGAAATGGAGATTAACTGACGCCGCAGCAGCCATGATGGCTCCATAAAGCCGGCCATCTATCCACATAAATTAAAGCCTTTCAATTCAAACACAAAGATTGATAATGAGCTTCACTCGCTCCACTCCGGAGTACGTTTTTTTAGAGTAATTTGAATCGATTATAAATCACATCATTAGAAAACTGGCAGGCTAACTCGGGTTTATCGTCTCGACTTGCAAAGGAAAGAGATGTAAACAAGATAGAAAGTCTTTATTCAAAGTCTGGTGAGATGGCTCCAGTATTCATCAACCCGATGTTGCTGATGTGTGTTTTTTTTGTCAATGAATCGTCCAACTTCTAGATCAAGATGTGCTTTGGCAACATAGTTTTCCACGAGTCCTGCCAATAAAGCCATCGGATTGAATTGAACTGAATGGGAACAGTTGGCCTGCTGAACTTAGACGTACCAGCCCTCTTTTATGTGCGTAATAATGTCTTTCAGATCATATTTCCATGTTCGCACGACGTTTTTATGAAAATCAGTCCAACTAAGACCACTTCTGTCAAAGATTGCTAATTATACTAACGCAGTCAGTTTTATTTCCTGGTATCGCTCTGTTCTTGGAGGCCCCCAACCTTCTAGGTCCTTACCTGGAAATGTTAAAACCTGAGGAGGGGAGAGCCCACATCAGTGCCACTGAAAACCCAAGGCAGGGAGAGCAGCAGCAAAGACAGTCAGTTTTCAAGTGTAAATCTGCAGCAGGTGATGTGGCCAATAATCTGACACATAATTCGTCTCATTTCTACTGTTTTAAAAGTTAAAAAATTGCATCAAAAGTGACATTTTAATTTCCCTTTTAGCATTAAACACTACAGATTTACGTTTAGTCGATCTGTTTCATTTTTGTTTTTACAGCTCTGTAGTAAGTCAGAGTGCAGCCTCCGCTTAGCTGATAATTCACAGTCAGTATGTTTACGTGACACTCAAGAAAACCGAATTATTGCCTTTTTCTGATTGAGACTGGATAACTGAAACGCATGTAAACACCTTAGTCCGACTGTCATCGGAGTTTGAGAACTTCGATTGGAGTCAGTGAACTCCAATTAAGACACCCAAATAACGCGATTGGAATTCAATTTTCTCCACCATGTAACCAGCAAAGTCGGAGTATGATCGGACAATGCATGTGCGCGTGCGTCACCCCGCAGCAGCCATACTTCCTTCTTTCCTGCATGCAATCTGCCGTCGGCTGTCCAAATCAAATTTTTTCTCTGTTTACATGCAGACATGAAAACTCTGGCTGGTGTTTTTAAAAAGCATCATTTTCAGGGGCGAATTCTCGGTTTGCGTCTAAACGAAGGTTGCAAACGATGGTTAACGTCTCTGTTTTGAAAAATAACCGGGTACGTATAAACGGAGCCTGAGACTCACTGTAATAGTTGATGTCCATCAGTGAAGTGAAACAAGAAATAGTTGCGTCTGATTTTCACAAATCAAATCCCACGCTCACAACTCGTATAAGTGACGATTACATACAGTTGCTTTTAGTCTGAATACATGTTTAAACATCAGGAAGGAAAACTGTGAAAAGCAGGACAGAATGCATTACTAATACTGTTCATAATCTCAAAACTAAAGATGGGTTTTATGAATTTGGTTACTGGTGTTCCACAGAAGGAGAAAAGCAACTCAGATGGAGTTATTTCCAGAACTGCTTTTTCAAAACGACGAGCGATACGACACAGAGATGATACAGCCTCAGCTCCCAGAGACTGAAGTGTCTGATCTCAGTGATCCGTCATCTGCAGAAAAGGTCAGGAGTCATGCTTTTTCTCTGCTAGAGTTGATTTCGCAGCCCTGCACAGCTGCAGCCCTGTGGCTTTATGACCTCATGAAGGAGCATCAGAGCATATACCATCTCCCGGGCGGCGCTGCTCCGGATTACGGCCCCCGGGTGGATGACTGCTATCTGCTCCCGTGAGGACAAACATGTGGTTTGGTTTAAGTGTTTGCTCCCACCCTGATGAGCTCATAATATCAGTAATGACATCAGATATGAGCGTAAATGGGATGATTTGGGTGAGATAGTGGACACGCAGGGGTGCGAGTGCTGTGCCTCTTTGTTAGTGTACAACAACACAGAGGGAAATCAATACCCATTAAAAGATGAACTCTGGTCCTATCAAACGGCGGCTCTTGTTAGGTGAAACACTGTCCAGAAAATCCAATAAACTCCCGTTGATTTGACGGCTGTGGCACTTTTCCAATCGTCCTTTTACAGCATGTGTTTGATTTGAATTTGCATGTCCGGGCGTTTTTCAGCATGTCGTCTTTCACCACTCTCAATCTTTCAGGCGGTTATTTTATTCACAATGAGCTGAGAGGATACCGAACTCCCAACATTGAACTTACAAGCCTCTACTTGTTCTTTATCTTTTGTGATCCAGTTTTTTCTTTTCAGTCCCACTCTCTCTCAAGTCCTTCACCTCTCTCTCCTCTATCTTGCTTCCTGCTTCCAGTTTTATCTGCTCTGGTAGTCTGTCTCCCTCCCTCTCTCCCTCCCTCCCTCTCTCAGATGCAGAGCCCTCACAAGCGCTGACACTTCACAGCGAGACAGATAGCAAAGAGAGCAAGGCTTCACCGAGTCCTTGTCTTGATTTAAAATCACAAGGCAGAACAGATGCAGACAGGTTCAGAGTTGTTTTCCACAGTATCGTCTGCATACATTCACACACAATCTAAGCATCTATCTCGAAACTATGAACAAGAGCTCTGAATATTCCTCTGCAGGTTTCTCTAAATCTCAACAGACTGTAGATACTATGGATAACTTGGCTATGCCTTCCGTCAGTACATGCATTTGAAGCCGAAAAGCTCTCTGTATTTCCGAGGTTTTCTCCACGTCCTATATTCTGTGTAATTAGTCTCTAAAGTTTGTCCATTAATTTTGCTGGATTTATGACCTATACTGCAGCCCGTCACCAGAGGGTGCTGTTCTCACGAAGGCCTCACCCAGCGAGGAGGCAGATGGCGTCCATTCTAAATACAGTCTATGGTTATCACTGATACTGACTCTGTTCTCTACCCCCTTTGCTGCTGCTCTACCTGCCATGGCTTTTTGTATACGCTCATAGCACATATGTACATGCAAGGACTGGGAACACCCACACCATCAGGTAAAAAGCAGACTTGTCAGTTTTCTAGAGTCGTAGCTTCACTGTAAATATACATACACAGCTGTAAATCATAGGTCACACAGTAAAGCTGTAAAAACCTACAAAAATGACAGGTTACCTTGTGATTTACTTAATTGTCCCCAAAATGAACAGCTTTTGAATCCCGCCTGAAAATTTATTTTAACTCCTTGGCTTTTAACCCAGCATGAGAGTTGTGCGGTGTCTGTCTGTGTCTGTTCTTTTATTTCTTTATTATTTGCTCTTACAGTGTTTTTACTTTATTCTATTTTTATATCATTTTTTAAAGTGTTTTTATGGGATTTTATTGATTCTTTTATTTTATTCTATTTTATTTATTTTTTATTTATTTTTTGAAGTGTTTTTATGTGATTTTATTAAGACTTTTATCTTATTTTATTTCTTTATTATTTATTATTTAAAGTGTTTTTATGATGTTTTATTAAGACTCTTTAATATTATTCAAATCTATATCTTTATTATTTGTTTTTCAAAGTGTCTTTATTTGGTTTTATTATGACTTTTTTATTTTATCCTGTTTTATTTCTTTATAATTTTCTTTTTGGAGCTTTTTTATTTGGTTTTATTAAGACTCTTTTATATCATTCAATTGTATTTCTTTGTTATTTATTTTTTAAAGTGTTTTCATTACAATTCTTCTATTTCATTTTACTTTATTCTGCGACAGCGTTTTAAGTTCTGTGTGTTTGTAATTATTTTACTGCACTGTGCAGCACTTTGCTCAACTTGATTGTTTTTTTAAATGTGTGATATAAACAAAGTAAACTGGATTGGAAATTAACAGGTGTTAGGTTTTTTGAGATAACACAGGAAGCCAAGAAATCCAACTCTTATTGGCTTTTGCAACAAACTGTCACGTCATTGTCTTGACCATCATTGTGGTAAAATTTTACCGGCACACACAAAACCTCCTGGTATCTAATTTGACAATATCACTCAACTTAAAGACATAAAGCAAAGACAAACCAGAGTATTAGCAGGCTACAGTGAGAGACAAACAAACACACTGCTTTGGTCTCGAGCCAAAAAGTCCAGAGCTACTGGCTTGCGTCTTCCAAGTCATGCCACTCTGACAGTTTGTGGTTTCAGGGCGTGTGATATTGGACTGTGTGAGCTGGGTGAGTTGGCAACCCTTTCAGGGGCCTCTGCAGTGCCAGCAGGTCACATCCAAACCAATAAGACTGTGTTTGGTTTTGTGCTCTGGTGGGCAGAGGGGATTCACTGAGCTAAAAGGAGTCGCAGTGAATCGGGTGAAAACGTAACACAAAGCAAATCAAGTGAAAAAGTTACAGGGGCCGATGAGCCGCGCAGATGACTCTGGTAAAGTATGCAGCCGAGTCACTCTGGATTAAGTCAGTGCAGGGAAAAGGGTTTCTGGACTCTTTCGCATTTACCTGCTTTTTAAAGATCTCCACTAAAGCGTTTGTTTGTTTCAAATTAACAGAGAAATTAAAAGGGGATGTGATCCTCGGAGCAGAAAAACAGAAAAAGGAACAAGCTGCCAAAACCAAGAAACTCATCATAACACTCATATTATTCCCTCAAGGCTGAGTAATGCTTCCTGCTTTGTGATTGTCACTTTAAAAAAACGGCTGAAATGTGAAGGTGAACTACATTAGAGCTCCTCAGAAAATAATAACTTTCCGAGTGATTGATTGTGTCTGCGTTGAATTTATTCCCCTGAAAACACAGACTTGACTGAAATAATGAGACGTTTGGCTCTTGGGTTTGCTTCTTAACTGAACTTGTCTCTTGATTTTCTCGATCTGATCTTGCCCAGTAACAAAGAAAATTTATTCTTAAAGACAGCAGTGATTTTATTCATGAGAGATAATTGCAAACTTTAGTCTGTTTTTTTTGCTGAACCATCCAAGAACAAGAAACTGACTCTGAGGTTTTGCAAACACACAGACATGACGTGGATTGGCTACCGGACTGCTTCCTTCAGCTCCTGCTGAGTCAATAAATCACATTTTTTAAGGTTATTTTTTCTGCCATTTGTCTGTATTAAATTGCAGAAATGAAAAGCGACCGGTGGGATGAGAAACAGGAAATGACAAACAGTATAGAGACAAGGTTTGGAGTCTGATATGTCTTCTTAGGTCGAACAAAAAGTGCTTAGATCCATATTTAGATCCTTTTTAAGGAACTGTGTCTTCTCAAAATTTGATAGATTCTGCAATTCTTTCTTTCTTTCTTCCTTCTTTATTTATCTCAAACAACTAGAAACGAAAACACCAAACAAAATAACATACATATGTTCACCAAACAACTGTACATGTCAAAGATAAATTTACACAACACATGTATGTCAAAATAAACAGTTTGAGAAGGAACAGAATGAAGCAAAGAGCTGATTGATTTGTATAAACTACAAAGATCTGTATAAATACCTACATATTATACACATTTGTACAGTACACTCATTTAAACGGTGTATTTGCACAACCACAAAGGCCCGTGTACGCTTCCTTGTGGCACACCATAAATACAAATATTTGACAGTCCAGTTTTTGATTCAAAAATTTTATTATCATCCATTAATTATCACTTAACTTAATCAAGTTTCGTATCCATCTATATTCTCATAACTAGAGGTTTCACTGTATATGAACAATCATGGGCCGCAGTCTTGCTTATACGATTGTTTACGCCAAAAACAACCAATTCTACTGTGATGTAATCTCTGTAAATCACATCATTGTGTAGATTTGTTCATGCTTGAAAAGTCCTGTCTGTAAGATGAGACACGGAGCTTTGAGATGCTCATTTATCGAATGAGGGTCAGATCAACTGCTTGATTCGATCACGGGATGTCAGGGCAGTAAAAGCTTTAAGGGCCTGTTTCCACTAACAGCTGATTGTTCTACAAAACAGTTCAGCATTTTCAGTGATCAGTGTTTTGAGCACTAATGCGCCATCAGTGTTGGCAGATCTGTGTAGCTGAAGAAAGCTCAATGTTTGAAACACAGCTGCACTCGTTAGTGTTACGTCTTCATCGCAATCAAGATGGGACGGACATCTGGTATCTGTTTCGAAAACGGCATTAAAAAAGAAGACTGCAGAGCATTTTAAAACAGTCATAACCATCAGTAAAAAGATAGAGGAAAATGCCGGAGGACAACATTTGTTACCTAGCAACTGTAAGAACCAGTGAGAAGTGCTTTAAAATTAAAGGGGTATTCTGGTGTAAAATTAATTTAGGGTCAAACACACTGGATAATTTAGGATAATTTCTTCATGGAAATACAATCAGACCGAGATGCTAAGTCAGAAGAACTACAGCGTCTGCAGTTCAAAATGATAAATATGATGATTATTACTTCAGGCAAATGATAAAGAAATGATCATAAATGTTCTTCCTTGAGCTGCGTCACCCGCTGTAGTCTGTAATGGACTGGCCCGAGGTCTTTCTATAAACAAGCGGCTGCAGGAAGAGAGTAGGTGAGTTGTGTTTAGTCTCTTTGCTAAAGGATTAAGGGAAAGTTAAAATATATTTGGTGGCTAGTACTATGGCTGGGACCCTATATGTCCTGTTGATGAAGTTAGGTGCTGTTCTGATCATTATTTGTGGCTATAGAGTGGCGTTTTGGTTGAGGTTTGTTTATGGCTCCTCAGACTGCTGTGTATTGCTATCCTGCGGTCGTTACTAAAGTTGGTATAACTAGAGAAGCAAGCGATCAGCAACATTCATCTCTCCAGGGGGTGTCTAACTCGGTGCTTCGGTGTGTTTGACCCTAAATTAATTGTACGCCGGAATATCCCTTTAAGGTTGTGGACACTAACAGTATAAATAAAATGCTGTGAGTGGACACAGGCCCTGAAGCTGTAGCCACATTGCTTTAAATGTGTTCCTAGCTGATTAAACTTATTTAAAAACAGTGAAACTGTGAATTCATGTTAACGTGTTTTCAGTTGATTTACAAATAGCTAATTTTTTTTGCCTCTTTAAGTGTCTCCGCAGTTTCGCCTCATGACATTTTTTCTTCACTTTTGGTTTAAAAAAAAACTTTACCTACAGTCAACAGACAGTTTGAACACTTTTAAACGGCTCTGATTTCCATTTGGGTTATAAGTTCACTGAGGAAGCTGGTTTAGTATTTTACCTTCATTTGCCACGCTTTCATAACACTTCACCATTCAGCCGACTTTGAGAAACCGTATGAAGCTTTCGTGTATTCAAACATCGGCGTCTGAGATAGCTGCCACCCCGATAAATCAGAGCGGCGTGGGGAGTTTACAGCATTCAGAGCATAAACAAACTGACAAAAAGGATCAGCGCAGGCAAAGCAAAGAGAAATCAGAATAAAACAGCTGACAGCGAGGTCTATGCATGCCTCTCCTCCTCGCCTCACTTGTGGGCGTATCTTCCTGTCTAGGCTGTTACCGCGTGTCATGCTAACTCACAGCAGGCTGGTTATAAACACCGGAGAGAGTCGGAAGGCCCCCAGAGTGTGATCCGCTCCCAAAAGCCTTCAACCACTTCCACTCGGCTGGAGGAGCGCAGACACTCTTGACACTGACTCATCTTGTGTGAGTAGTGTCGCAGGAGGGTGAGGAAAGAAGGGAGGGAGAGAGAGGGAAGAGGGGTGAGGGGGTTGTTGTGGTTAGTAGGGCGACTTTAATGCAGCGCACACCCTAAACTGACTGATTGGACGAGACGTGAACGGAGGAAGAAACGGAGAAATAATAAATCATCACAGTCAAGAGGAGACGGGTGAACTTAACCCAAATGTACTGTAAGGAGACTGAACATCATGTGAATATACAGTATAATTACGGTTATTTTTGCTGATGTGCACCGCTGAATGGATATGAAGACGGATGACACATCTCCACCTCTTCCTGTTGTCAAAACACGCGCCCACACACTCATCAAAATTGCTCATTTGCAGCCAGAGTACTGAAGTCGTGCCCCTTCAGCTAAAACAGGACCCCGTTTAACGAACAGGTTTAAAAGCAAAAGCCCCTCAACATAAAATCTGCAGCATAACAGCCCTCTGTGTCGAGACAGAAACTTTTCGTTAGGTTTACGCCGCTCTTCTTTTTGATTGACAGCTCCTCAGAGAGGTCGATCACGGTACTTTACCCGGAGTTTAGCATCAAACATCCAAGAAGACGATCAGACATAAATCGGCGAGATGACGACTAACAATAACAATAAAAAAATTGTTTAAGCAATATAAAACTTTTAGTCTGCATTTTGACTTAAAGGTGGGGTAGGCAGGATTCCATTAAAGAAGCATCTTTTTTTTGTTGTGTATATACAAAAAAGCTGTTAATATCAGTCAATAGTTATTAGTTATTGATGACATTTGGTAATATAATGATATTGCGTTGTTTTATTATGTCTGCGTAGTCAACATTTTACATTCTTTGAGCGGCCCGCTCTTTCCGACTGTAAACAAACAAAGTTAGCATGCTACAATATCGGACGGTAGAAAACCAACCAGAAAGTACAGAAAATTGTTTGAACTGTTGAATAATTGGAACGATACGAGCGAGCAGGAGCGTCTGTGTGTGGGCGGGGCTTGCTGGAGCAGAGAGGGAGGGGAGAGGAGGAGCTGAGGGGAAAACTGGTTTGGAGGGGTAGAGTTTACAAACAATCAAGATTTCTCCCAAAAACTAGTGCTTCCTCAGATCCTGCCTTTAAGAGTCAAAATATCTGTTCATTTATAACTTTTCAAACCTTGCAAAAAGAAACTGACTTTTCTGGGACATGCCGAGTTAAGGTGACGTATCAAAATTTGACATTTTCTTTGGAAATCATGGATGCTACATTCTCTTTTCGCCCCAGTTTGCTGTAAGATAACATTTTTAAAGCCAGCATCCATGATGGTGTTGGGATATTTGAGCGTCTATAGTAACGCTAGTTTACCTTTCTGGGTGGACACCAATACAGGTTTTGGAGCAACAGTGAGGCTTAGTAGTAGAAGAGTCCAGGTGCTAAACCGGCCTGTAATCCATTTGGTGCACCAAAAACCAAAAATACAACAAATGTGACTCTGAACTTTAGTGAAACTGAAATCCTGTATCAAGAACAACATTTCACCACCCTAAACCTCAGAAACTGGTCTCCTTTGACCCCTAATGGTAAAATGCTCCTGTCTCATTTGATTGTTATTATTTGATATGTTTCACTGTGATATTTTCAGTTAATTACAGGCTTTAAATGGTTTTAAAATAGCTAAATGCCCACCTCTTATAAAAATTTAAAAATTTTACATTTTTAGAGTACAAAAACTCTGATATATTTACTTTAATAAAAGTAGTAATCTCCCACCTACTATGGTCCTATTGGTCTCATACTACTGTAAAGACTGTAAACGTTTCTGTGTTTTCCTCATCTAAAGTGTTTCCCCTTTACTGTATGATGTAAAACTGAGGTTGTGGTCTCTGTTTAAGTAAACACAGAGTCTCTTTGTGTAGAAATTCAAACAATAAACTTGTCCAAGTTTTAACCTTCCTTTCATGTGCTTTTACGTTCTTGGTTATCTTGCTTTTTTAGTTATTTAAAGAAGGTCAAATCAATAAAACATCGATCCTAAAAAAAGACCTTAAAACTCAAAGCTAAATAATGAATGACCTGCTTCACAAAGGTCCATAGAGGCAGGACATTGTGTCCGTTATCGGGGGGGTAATTCATGTCCGAGGCGGCTCAAAGCAGGTCAAGTGTTAAACTGGAATCACAATCTTCAGGAAGTTATATCGCAGATAACATCAAATGTCTTCGCTCCCATCTCTCCACGGCTCTCCAATCCAATTTGCAGAGCGAAGCCACTGAGACGGCAACACTGGGAGCGAGTTCAGGCCCACCGCTGGCATCGCTGTGAGCAAATGGTGAAATACAACAAGGGCTAGCCGGGCAGTGTTTGTACAAGGACTTGTTCACAGGCAATTTCCCATGGGAAGAGAAGCAAACCCTGCCTCAAGCACTCTCTGCCTATACCCACTCATACTTATTCATATTATCGGGCGGTGAAATGGATGATTTTTGCTGTTAACTGTATGGAAAAATAAAAGGTTCATGCATGAAAAGATTTGGATTCGTCTGCCACAGCAGAAAGTACAAACTTGAAGATTTGCAGCCACTCGCTTCAAAGTGTTTTTTCCACGCCGACTCCGGGTGAGTAAATACATCCGTGACAGAGTGAAGCAAATATGAACGTATGAGGAATGTATAAGCAATAAAGTTCTGTTTGATTGGAGGACAGCCAGTTCTTTGTTGTAACATCTGCAGCAGCTGCTCGGCCTAAAACATAATGAATGCATCTTGTTTTGATGATGTCTCCCACTTAGATGCCGTTTACTCAGTCTGCTAATCTCCCCTCACATATTCTGCCCCCTGGCTTTTCACTCCCAGTCTCTCCTTCTGCTGCTCGGGATAAAACAGAAATCCCTCAAAAATAGAACAGGCTGCCTCTCCTCTCTGTAAACACACGGCTCCTATTTGTGGGATTATTCGAGTGTTGGAGGGAATATTAGACTCACGTGGTGAGCAGCCAGCGAGACTGCTTGGCCAGACCCAGACAGGCCAGCAGGCAGATGATCAGGTCCACGATGAGGAGCAGCAGGTACATGAGCCACCTGCGGAAACACACAGACACAGATAATTGTCAGCTGCAGGTGGATGTCTCGTGGGTAAAACAGGAGATTTTGGTTATCTCGTAGTTTGTAGTTTCTTCAGGTAGATGACAGACGCCCTGGTCTGTGCGAGCATCACTGTAGTAGCCACCTACAGACCTGATTAGTGGTAAATATGAACACCCTTATCCTTGAGGAGGTTATATATGTTAGCTTTTCTGTTTCATCACACTCACTTAAAGGCATGGTTGACGATTGGAGAGATTGGTAATTATTATGAACCTCGTTTCTATGGCAATCATGGTCCTATAGTGTGATCTCTACAAAGTTGAAGAGAAAAAGAATGGAAAAAATCTGTTCACTCTAGCAGGTGCAGGGCTGCAAAAACATTGACCAATGGGAGCCATCCGTCCCGGACAGCTCCTATTGGTCAATCTCTTGCTCCGCCTCTCCATCCAACCACCTTGCTGTATTTGACACACCCCTCTCCTGTAGTTCCGACGCATCCCCTCCCACTCTCCCTGCTTTCTTCCGGCTAAAAGTAGCGTAGAAGCTTAGCTACAGGAGCTGTGGTGGAGAAGGTCACAAATAAAACACTTCTGCTTGCCCCACATCACCAAAAGTGCGAAGAAAACGCAAGCCCACAGAAGAAAGGGCGGAGTTGAAGAGGAAATGTGTCCAAGCGAGGAATCTAACTCGGATAAACTTCCAGCGGTGGAGAAAGTTCCACTAGGATTTGGGCCTGAAAACAGACTCCAAGACAGCAGAGTTTTTGTTGAACAGGTCATTTTTATCGCCTTTTGTCCTTTACAAAGGAGTTAGAGCGTTAGCATTAGCTAAGTGAGTCAAAGTTCTCTATTCTTCTAAATTTAAGTTTAATACTTTAATAATTCCATACAAACATTTTAAGTGTCCAGTTAACTTCCTGTTTGTGCTCAAACTTAGTTGAATTTTGTGGCAAGTGGAGCTTTAAGCTTTTAAATCGACTCTAGTGCCCCCTATGGACAAAACTGTATATCTACTCTCTTTCCTAATTTTGACATTTACATGTGTTGGTCTTGTTTTTGGACAAAATTACCACTTTTATTTCACTCAATGAGAATCTTAGCTCACCGTTAGCCATCTGGTCTGACACCTAACCAGCGGCAGCAGTTACAGCATCAAAAATAACTGAATAAATAAAAAGTCTGTATCGTCACAAACAGGCTAATTTGTTTATGTAAGTCATAAAAATCTATTATTTTTAGTTTCAACCTGCTAGATAACTGATAAGAAACTCCTTACTGGAGCTTTAATTGCAAATATTTACGTTATTAAAGTAACTTGATTCGTGAAAGTTTCTTATCGGGTCATACATGATTATATTTATTATTTGCAACTGATACAGATTGACCATTTGGCATGCTGCAGCTAAAGCTCAAATTAAATCTACTGACGTTAGCTTATTAGGCTAGTTCATGCTATTCTTATTCACTAGCTAGCTAATCCCAGTGAAACCTGCTGTGGGTTTAGCCGGGGAAATTAAGAGCTGGTGCTCAGAGATTATAAATCCTAATATTGTCAGCGTCTTTGTTCAAATCAGTGACAAACTTTCTGAGAGGTCTGGTTGGAAACTTTCAGCCCTGTAACCTTTAAAGCTACGGGACATGTGAAAACAAACCTTGACAGGATTATATTTAACAAAGAGCGAGTTTCAAAACTGAGCGCAGTCTTACAAGTAATGGAAAATAAAGAAAGCTGGAGTCAAGATCTTTGGAGAACAATGTTGAGGTCAGCCAGAGTCCCACTTCTTTTCACCTCTAAACTAAATAGCAGTCATCGCTGTGTGTGTGTGTGTGTGTCTGCGGCTGGAGGGTACACTCCTGTCCTGTCCGGCCTTGTTCAGGGTGTCCATCTGTTATTTGAGTGGTGGTCAGTCTTTGGACAAAGGAAGCCTGTCCAGATGGTTTGAAATGAATGGACTCGAACCCATATGGCTGAATGTTTTCTGTGGTGGAAAAAATGAGATTGGACCAGTTTTATCACCTTTCCGCAGAGAAATATTGATTTTTATCTCGTACAAGTCGCTCTCTTTGTCATCTTTGGTTTTGAATTATTTCTTTGCTCATCTTTTTTCCCCTCATTTATCTGTCTTTTTGTCCTCCCCTGCTTTCTCTCCCTCTTTAATCTCCCTCCCCCCGGTCTCTTTGCCTTCAGCCCTCTTTTGCCCTCCTCTCTCTCCCTCCCTGCCGTGTCTTCCTCGTTTCATCTTTTCCCCCCATCTTTGCGGGCGCCGGCACAAGAAGCAGCGACATCAACATGCACACGGAGGCTCTGGGGTGACACTGCCACCATGTTTGTCTGTGTTATCTTAATCCAATTAGAGTCAAACTGGGTGCGGAATAGAGACACGTGGAGATGTGGCGAGGAGATTTATCTATAATAGAAAAGTCCGTGTCTTAAAGAAGCTCGAACGTGTGATCGCAGACAGCAGCTGCTAATGGGCTCGCTTCAGTTTCAAAGCATGATAACTGTAATTGCAGGGATGCTTTATTTAACCCAGTTTAAGCAGAGGTCAAAGGTCATCTTTGTCTATGAAAAGCAGTAATTAAATGGCTCCTACAGTATTAAACCAAACTCCTGCAGAAAAGAAGTAAAGAGATTTTCACCTCCTCTCTTTTTGATGGACAAGTTAAAACTCTAAAGCAGTTTTTCTTCAGTTGAAGCGAAGTGTCAGGAAATGCAAACGTTGGCAGACTGCCACAGTAAATATCAAATTTATGACTAAAGTGTGGTTATGTCTTTGCAGAGGTCCTCTGGAGGCTGTTCTTTTAGTCTTTGACTGAATATCGAGCCGAAAATGTTGAAACCAGTAGTTGGGACTGAACTACTTCGACCTCAAACGCTGAAATTGTGGCGATCCGAAGGTCTAGTCGGGACTTGTTGTTGGTTCCTTTTCCTGGTTTTTCTTGTTCCTTTCGCAGGCTGCTGGTAGCTGAACTTGGGAGTTCCTGGCCCTCTCTCTCTCTCTCTCTCTCTCTCATTCTCACGGCAACAGGGTTTAGTTTGGTTGGCTTTAGCCTCCTTTGGACTTTGGTTTTACACTTGAGGACATGCTGCACAAATACATTTATTACTTAACCAACAACAGACACGCTGATCAACTGAGGCACACACTTCATTCCTTTTGTTGATAAAATATTAGTTTTGTATTGAAATATTATAGTTTGAGTTGACTAGGGTGACTATACGTCCTCTTTTAACTGGATAAATTTATAAAATCGTTCACAGTTTTGTACGTAAGTTTTGAGTTTTTGTCACGTGGACTTACTGAGTTAGAAGTGAAACTATCTCAGTAAGTTAGTTTCGCTAGAAAGTCTCAAAATTAACTTCGTGCAACTCTGTGAGTCCGCTCCTGTGTAGTCATGTCCTCTTTTTGGGAATCAGAATATGGTCACCCTCGAGTTGACCCTGTCCTCCCCCTTTTTTTGTGTCGCGACAAATAGGGGGCTCATTCAGGATTTGAACCTTGGACAAAAGCGTGACACATCATGAGAGGCAGTCAGCGTCAACACCGATCAAAGATTTAAAGAAATAACCAGAGTGGACAGAGGACAGGAGTGATCCAAACATTTTACTTACTGTAAAATCCACTCAGACTGTGAGACCAGAAATAAACTGTTTCACTAAACACTTTGAGAGCAAAGTCAAAAATATAAGAATGGAGTCAAAATCCAAAATCCTAAATGTCGATGAAGAAGGTTGAATAATGTGAAGACTTTCTGACATCAATCTGTGGAGAAAAAACGTCCTCTGAAAATCGTAAACCCTCCTCCTCTTCGCTCCCTCCTGACTCTTACACGTGTAGCTAAGTGATCATCCAAGACGCTCTGCTTTTGTTCTCAGAGCTGCTCAGCCAAAGTACCTGCACATGAATGTTTTAACAGGCTCCATTTATGGCGTCCCCGAACCTTCTTGTTAACATCGCACAGCTCATATATTGCCGTATTTATGATATGCTATGAAAAATGAAACGCGCCGAGCTTACATCTTTGTGTACATACGGGACTTCGACGCCGCTGGAGGACTACTTAAGAGACGAGCTGTCAAAACAGTCAATTTCAGCCTTCTGTCATCTCTGAAATGAACGATGAATCATAATCAGACGACAAATTAATGTCTGTGTTTGAGGAAAAGTTGATTTTCTACAGAGAGCCGCACTCGGACTTTGCCGAGTTGAATCAAAAACACGCCCAAGCCCTCTCTCTCTCTCACACACACTCTTCACAAACTACTCATTGGAGGGCGACGAGCGATAACCAGTCCATTAACAGCTTTCAGTGTCTGGCTGTCTGCTGTCTTTCTGCCCACTTCATTAGTTCTGAGCTATGAGGTATTGAATTATCGGCAGAAAAGAGGAGTCACATTACCGATCAATACGAACACACCAGCCTGTCACTTACCGCAGACTCTGAGAGGAGACTCATCAGCCGCACACAAGGACGGGAAAATGACTCGGAGCCTCTCAGAGTTTAATGGTAATGAGACAGGTAATAAGTCTGAACATACTGTAGTCGTTAAAGCTGTTGTTTTCAGAGCTGATGCAATAATTGCTGATGATTTAACGGGATAGTTCTCTTTTCTGTTAACACAAGTGGATGATGAACACATGCAGCCACGTTACTTCATCCCATCCCTTTAAACATCATGTGATTTATTCAGGTCATTATGTGCAAATGTAGCTATCCGCACACGAATTACCCGCTCATCTGCATGTTCGGCTGACAGTTTCCACAGAAGAGACGTACTACAAAAGGATTACTCACGCTTATCTGAACGGAGAATGTCTTTCTTAAACTTTAATTTGTACCGTTCAAATACATCAGCGTGCGTCTGTCCTGAGGCGAAGACTCCTGCCGCCAAAACGACACGATCCACGAAGCTTTGTATGGAGATACATCTTGTTCCCGTGTTATAAATAACCGTGCTTATAATAATGTTCCTGACTGATTTGCATTTAAAAATGCTTGTGTACATTTCGCCTCCCACGTAACTGTGGGCGCTTTATACCCTTGGAAATATCCATGGCAACGGCAAACAACCTTTTGAGTTTTGAAGAAAATCCCAAATTCTGCCTCCTCAGCTTTAATCCAGCTCCAATTTTGTTTTTCTCTCTCTCCGTGTTAAACTCGAAACTCAAATCTGTTTGTAATTCCAGCTATTACAGGAGTGACTCATGTTGACTTCCTCACCTGTAGTACTCGACGTGCGCCGTTTGATCAGCAATGGCTGCCAGGTCCACTTTAGCGTCCTCCCAGTCGGGCAGCCCCAGCAGCTGCTTGATCACGTTGTCCGCCATCTGCTGCATGAACTGCAGGGTCTGCACGTAGTCGCCCCGCGTGGCGAAGATCTCGTCCAGCCTTGCGAGGTGCATCTGCAGGCCGCTCTTCATGCTGCCCATGGTTCCAGTCACCTGGAGGGCACAGGAGGGAGGAAGGAGAGGAAGAGGAAGAGGAGGTGAGATGAATGTGTGACAGCGCTGCAGACTGGACTTGAATTCAAGTTTAGATTTATTCCAAGAATGATGGAGGAGGAAGAGATTTTATAACATGGAGTGAATGTAGATGCTGAAGGTTTTAAAGGGATATTCCGGCGTAAAATTTAATTAGGGTCAAACACACCGTAACACAGAGTTAGACACCCCCTCAAGAGATGAATGTTGACGATCACTTACTTCTCTAGTTATACCAACTTTAGTAACACAGCAGTCTGAGGAGCCATAAACAAACCTCAACCAAAACGCCACAAATAATGCTCAGAACAGCACCTAACTTCATCAACAGTACATATAGGGTCCTAGCCATAGTACTAGCCAACAAACATCTTTTGAACTTTGACTAATTTCTTTAGCAAAGAGACTAAACACAACTCACCTACTCTCTTCCAGCAGCCGCTTGTTTGTAGCGAGACCTCAGGCCAGTCCATTGCGGACAACAGCGGGGTGACGCAGCTCAAGGAAGAACATTTATGATCACCTCAAAGATGTTTCACCTCTAATCCAAGAAGCTTCTTCAGTTCTAAAATAGCTAGTGAGGGGAGCAGGTATTTATCTTACTGGAGAAGGGAAAAACAACGACTGGGAGGAGCTGGAATGAATGGGTTGTAGACACCCATGTCCGGGTAATGATCCCGAGGTCGTTAACCTGAGTGGGTCGTTACCTACCCCTTCCATGTGAGGTGTTGTGGACACATTGTCCCAGGTGTGAATGTTTGTGGAGCTTCCTGGGGAGAGAGCTAAGAACTGCACTGTAAGTGTTGGAGAGGTTAGTCCACCTCTTCTGTTCAGAGAGGGTTTCTCCAGACTGGTAAAGACTTTCAAACCATCTGTCCTCTCTAGTTGTCTGATTTTGAAGTCTTCAGGATAACCATGACACGGAAACATTTATGATAATTTCTTCATGGAAATGCAATCAGACTGAGACACTAAAGCAGAACTACAATGTCTGCAGAGTAAATTGATTAATATGATGATTATTACTTCAAGGAAATGATAAAGAAATTATCATAGATGTTCTTCCTTGAGCTGCGGCACCCCGCAGCAGTTCGTAATGGACTGGCCTGAGGTCTCGCCACAACAAACAAGCGGCTGCTGGAAGAGAGTAGGTGAGTTGTGTTTAGTCCCTTTGCTAAAGAAATGAGTCAAAGTTAATAAGATGTTTGGTGTCTAGTACTATGGCTGGGACCCTATATGTACTGTTGATGAAGTTAGGTGCTGTTCTGAGTATTATTTGTGGCTGTAAAGTGGCGTTTTGGTTGAGCTCGTGGCTCTCTGTATTGCTATCCTGCGGTCGTTACTAAAGTTGATATAACTAGAGAAGTAAGCGGTCGGCAACATTCATCTCTCGACGGGGCTTCTAACTCGGTGTTATGGTGTGTTTGACCCTAAATAAATTTTACGCTGGAATATCCCTTTGAGAGGTTCTCCAAAATTTAGAAGGTTCAGTATGTGTGTTAGTTTGTATATCAGCCCATGCACCCGTCAATATCAAGAGATTTTGATTCTTAAATTTTGCAAACAACAGTTCATGCACTCCTTTAAAAATCTCCCTGCAACCGTAGGTGTACTTATCAGATTCACCTTCAAGTGAAAAAGCACAGATTTCTCCTCATAAGTGTCGGCTCTCAGTCAACTTTCCTGCCCAGGAGAAAAACCCTGCCCTGAGCGTGCAGAGGTGAAGCTAACGTGAGGCTGGTCTGTGCTGCCAATCAGCAGCAGAGTTGAAACAGAGGCCAGTGCGGGGGAGCTTGAATACTGATTGTGGGTGTTGGTGAAGAGGTCCCTTTTCAGCGAACGGCTCAGCTTGGAAAACATCCAAAACTCAAGTACTCAGAGTTGAAATAGTAGGTTTGCTTTTGCTGGAGCTGTTTCATTCCAGGGCCGCCGTTGTTTGTCAGACTTTTTATCCGAATTGATACCTCGCTAATGAATCGGATAGTTTGTTTACTTGTGTAAGCCATGTAATCACATAGCAACTAATCCATTCTGCGGAGGAAAGATTGGGACTCTTAAAGGTGGTCAACAAACAAAACTAATACAGGCAAATATTTTTGTTTTAGACGCCAGATTTTTACCTCGATGGCCAAGAAGACAGACGGAGCAGATTTTATGTAAGAGCCAACCGTTCCTGTACTGTTACAGTTTCTTTGGGTTTAATTACCCTCCACTTTGCTTGAGGGGAGAAGTTGTTTACAGGGAATGGCATTCACAGAGACATCCTGCTATTTGATAATCAAAAAGAGGCTAATTAATGCTTTCATTCAGCCCTGGGTACTTTGCATTCGCAGGAGAGACAACTCATATTGTTGCCGTGTTTGTCAGGGACGGGATTTTCTGAAGCTGAGGCAAGGGGAGGTTGGGGGAGAAGTAATTAGTCGGGTTTGTATTCAATGTGCGGCCCAACAACAAACAAGTCTGAGAGTCTACTGCCTCTGTGAGGCTGTTCCTGGGAAAAAATGTTCTTTGAGCTGAAAGCCAGAGTCAGAATCAAGCCGAAACCTCTGGTGTTGAAAAATGAAACCAATCAGGAAGTGGAAAACACAGTGGATGTTCAAGAGTCCACTTGAGGCTGGCTGTAAAAGGCGAGGAAACACAAATAGGACCAATTTTAACTCCTCCACTTCACAGCCTGATTAAGCTTGTTCCAGTAAGTGACTGGTATCAACTAAAACCACCTTTGCAAGTTTCTGCTTAAAGGGATAATCCAGACAAACCTCAACCAAAACGCCAAATAATGCTCAGATCAGCACCTAACTTCATCAACAGTACATATAGGGTCCTAGCCATAGCACTAGCCATTAAACATCTTTTTAAACTTTGACTTATTTCTTTAGCAAAGAGACTAAACACAACTCACCTACTCTCTTCCAGCAGCCACTTGTTTGGGACCTCGGCCAATCCATTAGGGACTACAGCGGGGTGACGCAGCTCAAGGAAGAACATTTATGATCATTTCTTTATATAAATGCGATCAGACTGAGACGCTAAGACAGAAGAACTACCGCGTCTGCAGTGCAAAATGATTAATATGATGATCAATACTTCAAGGAAATGATAAAATATGATTATAAAGTTGGTATAACTAGAGAAGCAAGCGGTCAGCAACATTCATCTCTTGAGGGGGTGTCCAACTCTGTGTTAATAATTCTGGAATATCCCTTTAAAATAAACATACAGTAATATCCTGTATCTTAGCCGCTTGTAAGCTAGACGTAGCATCTCTATGAAGAACAGTCCAAGAACTTTAAAGCTCACTGCAAACAGCTTACACGTTCAGATTTCAAAATAAAAGCATGATGGGAATATTCTTAAGAAGAACAAGCATGCAGAAAACTGGATGCTAAGAGTTTTTAGTATTTTTGTGGTCAAATCTCATGTTACAACAATCAAAACCAGCATCATGTTGGTGCTAAAGAAAAGTCAAGAGTATAAAAAACATTAAACAGCTAATTCTATATATGTTTCACCTCCCTGTCTGATAACATGTAAGAGAGGTTTTCGTCAGTCAAAGGGAATAAGAACCATATTATTGTAAGTCTTCAACGTCTGCACCTTACATAAGTGTTCAAAAATGCACTACTATCATGTTTTCACCATCAGAGGATTCTGAAGATGTTAAACCCACATGAAGACCCAACACTGAGCGGTTTGAATATTTGAAAACGAAACAAAAGCAACCACTGAGATCATATTCACAAGCCCGGGGTGCTCTGAAGTCTGCTATCTGATCACTCAGTCACTCTCAGACTGAGCACATGAAATCACAGATGAGAAATGAAGGTTTGTATCTGATATTCGCCTCCTGTGTGACAATCTTATCTCAAACGCCCGGGGAGACAACCAGTCCCGCTAATCTCTCCTCGCCTTGGTCCGCTCCTCATCGTGTAAGTGATCTCCACAGATCGTGAAGATACGATTCCCAGTCCCAGTCCCAGTCTTTCTCCTCTCTTTATCTCAAGTCTGATGTTTTGAGGGCACGGAGAAGCATTCTCTGCCTCACAATTTTCTAAACAAGCAGCAGAAATGTGTTCGGCGTGAAGCTATTTTATAGTGGAACATTCTTTTTCTCTATTCGCCAGAGGGTAACAACAAACAAGAAACCGTGAGAAATCCAGATAAATGACTGCTGTGACAAATGACAAGAGGCCCTGGGCTGAAAACATGACAGAGCCGTCAAATATCAAATGTGGATTCAAGCTGGGGAAAGGGAAGAAAATATGTATCAATGGGCATTATGTAAAGGTTCTGGTTTACACGAGCGTGTATTCAGACTCTGGGCGATGTGGGGGTTGGTTTAGTCATTTAATCTTACATCTCTTTCTTTGCCTCATTGGCTCCATTATAAAACGATAAAATTTTATCTGTAATTACACATACAGACCGGAGATTTATGAATTCAGTCTTACGGAGGAGCTTAAAATCAATGCCACGGCTCGCACGATACACGAGAACCAATTGTATTACCATTAAAACTGCATAAGGACTTCTGCTGGACCATTTATTAACGTTTCAGAGTTAATAAAGCAGGACTGAGAGGACGACTCATCAGTGAGAGGTTTGCAGAATACATTATAATACTGCCTCCTTTGCTTTTGGGAGTACACTATAGAATTTTAAGTATATGATGCACCATTTTTGCTGTTTGAAAATGGGCTTTGTGTTGGTATTCACATCACAGGGCAGACACTAGAGTGGAGTAACCTTCCAAGCAACAAACCATCATTTGACTGGAGCTAGGGGTGTCCCGATACAACTTTTTTACTTCTGATACGATACCGATATTGTAGCCTTCCGTATTGGTTGATATTGATATTAATCTGATATTAGGGCTGGGCGATAAACCGAAAATTTAAAAGATTCCAAAATTTACGACGATAACCGACGTCATCTTGCCAATGTTTGATGTCAAAAAAATAGATAATTAAAAGTTGGTTTGGGGGGTTATGGTCTCATGTCTCTTTAAGAAGCTGTCGGACACGTGACTCCACCCCCCATCCAGTCTGTAACAAAGAGGGAATCACAGGTGTGGAGATGGAGGATGGTTCAAAAGTTGTAGCAGACGAAGTTAATGTGGGAGGGGGTGAGCAGCTTGTGAAGTAGTTATCGTCCATTTATCGTTATTGAGGTGAACTGCTCAATATATCGTGATATCGATTTGAGGCCATATTGCCCAGCCCTAATCACTCTTACTCCTGGATACTTTGTTTGTACCTTAGTACACACTGTTGTTGTGATTACGTGAGTGCTGCTAGATAGAGGTGCTGGACTGGAATCTGGAATGGACTCCTTTTATCGAAATGCTTATATCTGAGATTTTAGACACAGGCCTACATAATCTGATATTCGTTTTGTTGCTGATATTGGACCGATATCCAATATCAATATCAGACTGGGACATCCCTAACTGTAAGTTACCAGGACACAGGTCACTCCTAACTGTAACTTTGTTGCTTGGTTTTTACTGTTATTGTTGTCTTGTTGTGCACTTTGAGATTTATTTTTAAATGTAAAGTGCGTTACAAATAAAATCTATTATTATTATTATTATTAACTGTAACAACGATGGTGCTAGCGTCATAATTATAAGCTTGAATGTGACAGCAGGTTGAGAAAGCAAAATCCATTTCACCAAATTAACAGATGGCAGAGTAATTCATCATTTCATCAAGATATGATATGATTCGCACAGTGTGTACGCTTCCTGTAACAGCTACACAGTCGCACAGAAACTGCACATTGTGAACCCAACAGCACACACTGGAACTCCACAGCAAGATTTTCTGAATGTGGGATCTGTTCAAGAGTTTATTTATAACTAAACAAACTCAACTTATTATATAACACACAGCTGCGACAGAGCTTTTGTTTTATGATGTAGTTAAGTTCATTTTAGGGTTCAGCGGACATCTGAGAATCACTCCAAAACCACTCTTTGCTTGTTCGGTTATTTCTTGATACTTGATGAACCGTGAGTGAATCTGTCAAAGTGTAACAAAGCTAAAGGATTAACCATCTTCCCTGGTCTAAGTCCATGTCTTTGTTTGACGGTGGAAAGCCTTGCTATAATTAAAATTGAATGCAGGAGCCAGAGCGTGAAATGCAACATGGATCTGGAGTGCTTTAGCCGCTTATTCACCCCAAAGATATGGACCACGAATCCGAGCAGAACATCTCTTTAAAAATATATATCCTTCTCTCGGATACTTCCTGTAGCTTTTTGCGAAAAGGTGTTTATTGGTTTGTTGAATCAGGTCCTTCAGAAAACCTCACACAGCGAAGTTTGTTGACCAAAGGAAAAAATCAGAACGGACAAAAATACTTTGCTGTAAGTACGGTGATTCATGGGTAGATGAAAGTCATTCAAACCACTTTGGGAATGTCCGCAGTTTAGCTTTACAGAGAGCAAGAGTTCACAGTGATGCCGAGTGGAGTGGAAAGTGGTTTGGCCGCAGAGCTGACCTCTGGCCCAGTGTGAATGGTACTTTACCTTCAACTTAACAAGGCCGCCCTTATACCTACAAAAGAGAGCCGGGGAAGTCAGCACAAGTGTCTATCAGTCATGTCTCGACTGGATTACATTCTCAAGCACACACACTTCAGCACCTTTCAAAAGCAACTTTTCAGTGAGTACTTTCAATTTCCTTAAACACACCAAAATGACTGAGTGTCCTTTTCTGGGGTGGAACAGATTTCTCTCTATCATCGGACTCTCAAGCGACACCAAACCGAGGAGAGCTGCAGCTGCTGCTCTGGGTGTAAGTAGAGTTACTGTCAATCTATGTGTCTGTTTGTTTCCTATAAGTCCTAAAAAAGCCAAGATTAGACAGGAATAAATCAAGAAAAATTGAATTTTCTACAATTAACTTGAGCTATTAACCTGATAGCGTTCATAAAAAAGACTGAAACACAAATTGATGCTTTTCTTATGATTGTTTACAAGACCAACAATTTCTATACTGTAATTTCTGACCCTTGAAACCAATAGAAGGGGGCAGGAGTCAGCCTATTGAGATATTACCCAACAAGTCGAGAGTATTGTAGGACCATGCATCAATTCTTCACTCTGAGAGCCTTGAATTAATATTTACCATGTACACTTTATCACAGATGACAGATTAAACAAATCGTTCGGTCTTTTCAAGCTTTTCTATAACGTCCTTTACTATGTCAAGACTTGGACCTGGTTTTTATAATGATTCAGAGGAATGTCTCTCACTTTTGAGCACTTGTTTGTGCTCTTTGTTACTTATTATTGCTGTCATTCCTTTGTCCTTTGGCTTTTCAGGCGCACACCTGCCTCCTCCTGTTCCTCTCCCTGCTCTCCTCTCTCCACCTGTAGCTGCCTGATAGTTCGTACTGCTGTTACACAACATGTTGAAGATACATCGGCCCACCCTTGGGAGTTACCTTGAGCTTCCAAACCTTGTTTCACATTGATCATAGCTGCTTATGATGAAGTCAAAGTGACGGCTGATTCCAGCTAGCCTTTGTGATTGCGATTCAACATTTTGTCGACTGAAAACAAACACTTCTACGGAAGATCTGAATTCCACCTGAGGCTGTCTGTCTAGAGTTTGACTGTCCTCTCATTTCTATGAAAACTTCCTCCCCTGCGGAGAAGCTGGTTGAATATCAAAAACTCAGCGAGCGAAGAGAACATTCATCGTCCCTCAGGGTTAATGAAATTCATTATCATTCAATTCTTCGCTCAGAGACTAAACAAAATTCCAGTCACATATTTCAATTAATAACCGTTAATGAATACATTAATATTTCCAACCATTAAGAAAAGCTTATTATGTTAATGCTGCGGAGATGTGCATGTTTTCTAATTAGGTTGTGGCCAGCTTCCAAACCATGTCTGAGTTCTGGCCAAATGCTCAAGGACTGACCCAGACATCGACCGAGTCCACTGGGTGACTGCTGGCTGCCAAAACTCTCACACAGCCCCCTTTCTCCAAACAATGGAGTTATTATTAGTGCGTCTAAAGACTTCAAATGTCACAACAGTCCCATTACAGCATCGGCGAAGCATCTCAGTTGGCAACTTTCCATGTTTTTGCAACCAAGTTTTAGCATCCCTGTTAAAAGTAACATCTCTGAATGCACCACAATTAGTATTCAAGTGCTTTTTCCCCATTCGGATCCTCGCTCTGAAAGACGGTGTATTTTTTATGCATGAGTCAGAGCGTACATAAAAACATCATACGCATATATTCCAGACTGTAACTAATCAAGGTCTCAATAGTAGCCAAGCAAAAAAAGCATCTCCTGATAATGAGCCTCACAGCCTTTCTTTCCCGTCTTTAACACAGACTCTTTAGAGGCCAGCTCACTTCTTGGCGCTCTTGGATCGGGGCTAAAAGGCATTTGTGTGGGCCAAATGGCAGCGAGGCCTTCATTGTCACTGCTCTCAATACAGATTTCAATCCCGATTCTGCCAATCAGACGGGCCAGCATTGCTGCTTGTCCTTCCCTGTCAAACGGCTTTGTCTCCCGGGCTCATGGTTGATTAGGTGGGGGGAGACTGGGAACTGTGTGTGGCACACTAGGCTCTTTGTCCCGCTCGAGAACTTAGACTCCTCAACAGTCTATAGATGGCTGCAATGAACTCACTCATGCACACAGAAATGAGTGCGCTCACACGTGAGATGCTAAAATAAAGGCCACCATGTCCAATTATGTGTTTGCACGAGTTCACACATCCCGGAGGGACACTGACAAGATTTCAAATGAGCTATATGTTAATTATTTCTCTCCTTCCGCTAATGCGCCTTTGAGAAATGAAGGTGGCTAAGTGCTTTACAAGCATGCGAAACAATGGGTGAATAATTCACATGATCTGCAGGCTCTCCCGTCTCTTTGTGTAAAGAAAAGAACAACCTAAATGCGGAGATGCTGATTAAATTGAGTTAATCATATCGAGTATAATATTCACTGTTCGAGTGAATGGTTAATGCACGTCACATTATAATACCAGCTGACAATCTACAGCGGTCCAACATGAGTAATCGCAGGGTTCGTACATGTTTCCACTGTAAATCTGTCATCACACGCATCAGTCAGAGCCAGACAGCTCAGGACGACTCGCCATTAAGATCTGACATGGTTTCCCCCTCATCATAAGAGCGGTAAGTCCTGACATAGACCTACACTCCAAGTGTGTCGAGTGATCTATACTCTTGGTAAAGTGTTTACAGCTGAGGCCACACCGAGTCACAGCAGTAAGTGTTTCACATACCACCACATTAATCTCCATTAACTCAGATTGAGACTTAATCCCTGCCTCACGACAGCGAGCAATGCCCCGGTCCCTACCGGCGTTGATGCTGGTCATGCAACCCAAAGGCGGTAACACAAACCTATTCCCTCCAGAAAATATGCCGACATCAAATCAGCCAAAGCAGGTTCCAATTTAGTCCTGATTTAGGTTAAACCAAGTCCCAACACGACTAGACAAGTCTAGAGTTCAGTCTGGTCGATTTTAACAAGTCTCAAGTCAAGTGTCAGGTCAGCGCACATTCATTTTAAACACACCTGAAATCAAGTCTCGAGTCAAAATGCACAAGTCCCAGGTTCATCTTTACAGGTCTAAATCTAGTTTCAATCAGTCTCGAAGTATGATTTTTACAAGCTTCAAGTAAAGCCCCTCTACGTTGGTATAAATCTAGTGTCAAGTGCTTTTTCACAAGTCTTCAACCAGGCACCAAGTCAGTTCATAGAAGCCCAAAATTCACTCTGACAAGTCTTAAATCAAACCTCTGTAAAGCTCAACTTTTCAATATTCATGGCAACAAACTCGCCCTGTTCAACACAAGTCAATGGTAAATCTAGTTTTTGACAGTTTTCGTCGAGTCCAAACACCTCAATAAATTGAGGTCGAATTTCAATGTACTCCGTTTTTATCTCAAGTTAATTTTGACAAGTTGAAACCCGAGCCTTGGATCAATGTCAAAAATCTGATATTCAGTCTTCAGTTAATCCAACCATGTCTTAAGAGGTGTATCAGGTCAGTCAATCACTGCAAGTCTGTGGCCTGATATGACAAGTCTTAGTTCAGGTTTCAAGTCAGTTTGTATGAGTCAAGGTTTTTAATCACAAGTCATGCACTGGCCTCAAGTTAATCTTCAAAAGTTTAAACTCAAGTTGATCCACTAATTGTCAAAATTCACTGTTTACAAGATTTAAGTCAAGTCCCAAGTCAATCTACACAAGTGTCAAGTCTAGAACTGGATCAATTAAGTCTTGGTCCTCAGTAAATTTGTCAAAGTTTTGACACAAATCCCAAACTAAGTATCAGGTTAATCTATATCTGGTTTCTACTTTCACAGGTCTTTGGTAAGCCAAGTCTTAAACTGATTTTAGAAAAATCTCAAATTTTTTCAGTGAAGCCACAGGTTTTTGTAATTCCCTCAGGTCGGTGCTCAAGTTCTCAAGTCTTAACCATACAGCCTATCTGACAACACAATACCGCACACTGCTGAGCCAAGCTGCTGTGAACTGACACTGCTGACAGGTAATTAGCTTGTACTATTAAAATTACTAACATGACTTCAAAACAGTTTATAAAGAAATGCCGGATAGAAAAACACCCAGGGGTATCACTCTGCTCGGTGTTTGACACCTGCCTTAAAACACAAAACCTTCTAGTCATCAGTTTGAAATTTTCAACAGCGAGCTACATTTAGGGGTTGTGTGAAGAGCGTCTTTTCAGACGGGAGCTGAATCGGGTAAAAATAGAAAAAGATCATGCACACACACTGAGCTAAAGTGAGAACAAGAAAGGCACAGGACGGCTCTTTGTTCTGCTGAGGCCACAGCGGGCTGGGAAAAGGCTGGGCAGGGTGAGAGAGAGAGAGAGCGAGAGAGAGAGAGTGTTTGTGTGTCTGGAGGGAATGAGATTTTGTGTTTAGAAGCTGTCAATTTGTGTGTAGCAGAAAAAAGCCATAAAAAGAACCATAAAAACATTTAAAGACGTTTTAAATGGAGTCCTCCGGGCTTTCCTTTTCTCTTCTGTGTCTGTGTGCATCACAAAGAGCATTTTGAAGTCTTCACTCAGAGCTGTTTGTTTCTGGCTGCATGGCTCTGTAAACTTCACATGAACTGAATGGTTTCTATTTGGGTTGTTTAACAAATCAATAACGTTATTCTACACTTCCTTAATACGTTATGTGTTTAAACTATATACTGTATAAAGATGGATGGTGTGACAGATCCAAAAAGTGACGCCAAAGCATTTTCAGCTTCCAAGAACTGACTAACTGTAATAAACATCATGAGGTCTGTCTCCTCCATGTTAACAGATGAGACATGGATTAAGTTCTGAAAACACGGAGTGAGTCATTTTAATTGGTTCTTACCATGCTAATTTATGTCCAAGTGTTAATTTCAGTCAATTTTAAGTCTTAATTTAGGTTTCAAGTCAATATATATCAAACCAGAAACCAACTGAGGACATGACTTTGACTTGTACCAAATCCCTTGAAACCTGTATCATGACTTGTTAACATTACTCCTGTCAGTTGAATAGATTGACGTAAGACTTGGTTCAAAACTAGGTACAGTGACTTGGCTCATATGTGTCTTGACTTGAGACGTGTGTGAATTGGAGAGAAAAATAGTGTTTGAACTTGTTTTGTCAACAAGTCATGTCCTTGGTCAATCCCACAAGTCCCAAGATAAACTCGACAAATGCCTAGTCAAGTTACACACGTGAATTACTAGTCTTAATTCACTAATCAAAAGACTTGAGTCAAGTCACAAGTCAATCCACAAAGTTTGCATAAATTACTCCCTTTCTGTCTCAAGTTAATCTTAACAAGTTTAAACTCAAGTCTTAGATTAATGTGAATGAACCTAAAAATCAAGTCTCAAGTCTATCTACCCATGTTTCAAGTGCTGAATCAAGTCAGTCTTTATAATTCCCATGTGGGCAGGATATGACTAGTCTTAATTCAGTTTTCAAGTCAGTATGTGTTATTGCTGATTCATCTTCCAAGTCACAAGTCATGACTTCTGTCAGTTGTTACAAGTCCAGAGTTTAACTTGCCACATTAAGGGTGCTGTTACAAATAATTAGGTCCTAGTCTCAACTCACTAACAAGGTCCAAGTCAGTCTCAAGTCAATTTATAAAGTGTTTGGTCATCTGCAAGTCTTGAGCCAAGTATAAAAGCAACCCTAACAAGTGTTGCATCTAAAGTCAAATTTCAGGTCCAACAATACAAGTCTATGACAGGTTCCCAACGAGTCTGTTAGCGGTTTCAAGTCATTTCGCACAAAACCGAGAAAGTCTTTTGAAATTTTAAGCCAAGTCTTGGGTCATTTTTAGAAGTCCCAAATTAATCTTAACAAGTTTCAAGTCAAGTTTCAAACCATCAAGTTAATCTTCACAAGTCACAGTCGTGGAGTGTTTTGGTTTCACTTTTGTGAAAGTCTTGAGTCTTTAAAGTCAGTCGGTGGTTTTTATATTCAGGAGACATCCTTCATGTGACTCCTGTGTTTTACTCACCAGACTGTCCACTCCGCCCAGCGTGTGATTGGCATTGTAGAGGGAGTAGGTCAACTGGTACACGCCGTCATTCGTCTCGCTGTTGCCGTAGAAACCCACACCCACTGCGACGCTGCGGAGAGAGGAGACATGGGAGGACAGGTGAGTGTTTGTTAAATTAATGAGAGGAGCGAAGCGCAGCAGCAGCAGCAGCAGCAGCAGCAGCTCTTCGTGGTTTGTAAATCAAATATGTAAGAGGTGACGTCCTTTTCCATCACTGAACTCCAAGTTTGTCTGCTTCGTGGCCATTATTACAGCCCCTGCTTGGAAAAACAATACATTATAAACCCAGAAATCAAGACTTTTTTCCCTTTAGAAACACCCTGCCATCCTGAAATGCGTACAAATGCACTACCTTCACTGACTGTGGCAACATTCGGTGAATATTTCATGTCGTTTACTTCATCACCCTGATATTTATGGATTTTCACAACGCAGTAACATCAATTTTTCCGTCAAACTTGACTTTTTGATTACCGGGACGAAATGTAAAAGTAATGAGGCACTGTGGAACCATCCCTGACCAGAGGTGGAATGTTTTTGTGGACTGAATAAATATCTGTCAAGGTAAACACAGTCATCCGAGCAGAATGACTGACAGTAAATCCAAAAGGGATAGTTCTGCAGAGTATTCCTGCTGCAGCATGTCCGAGGGAAGGGCTGGCAAACTTTCTTCACTGTGTCTGAAACTGCAACCTGTGTGCAGTAAATCAGCTCGGTACGAACATGCACATGTATGTCAGCTGTGATTGGTTTTCAGACAAAACAAATATACTGTTTTAATACAGCACTGAAGCTTCAAGAGACACTGCTGGGACTCTGTGTTACATCAACGACACTCTTTGGACCAGAGTTTTGTGAGCATAATTTGAAATGCGTTCTGCAGATTCACTCGCCCAAGGATTTCATTTGTTCAGCTGGAGAATCAGCACAAGGGAGAAATTATCAGCCTAATAAATTCGCTCTCTTGAGCTGCCTTTCAGAGCGTCTTTTTCTCCCACAAGAGCTGGGTTACTGTCATCACACATAATGTTTTTTTTCTTAGCAGCTTTTGGACTGTTCCTAGAAAACCCACAAGTGGACGTCCTCAGGTCTTGGTAAGAACCGAGGGTCACTTTTAGATCCACTGCTGCTAAAATAAAATACCAGAGCTGCCTCTAAATTCCCGCCTCGATGAAACATTTCTGCGCTTTTATGAGATAAAGTTTAATCAACCATTCAACAGAAGACCTTGAGTGTAGTGTTAGTTCAGGCAGGCCATAAAATAACAGCTGATCCTTTTGCCAGCCCATCTTACCCGACTGCTCAGTCAATTAACTTCACGATACCAAAATGGGCATTCTATTAAAACTGCTTTAGCCTGCCTGGACTAGCTCCAAACTACGTTCCCCTCCATTAACTCCTCTTTTTATGCTGTGTCTGATTGTTCCGCTCTAAACCTCGGAATCTTTGCTGATGCTCTCCCCCCCTTTGCTTTTCATGGATACCTGAGACAGAGCGGAGGCGTTTAATCGCGTGCAAATTATTTTAAATGAGACCCTTACACAATTTCACTGGCGTTTAATTGATGATAAAACAGCAGAAATTAGCCTGGCATCTTCGCAGACATACAGTATTTCCTGAGGGGAACTATTTACACTCTGAGTCACCGTTTTACTCTATTTCAATCCAATTCACTGCTCTGCAGCAAATCCTATTTTCATTAATCATTCAATGCTCACAAGCGTTGATTCAGCCGACCAAGGGTGACAAATTGAGGTTAAAGCTAACATTATGTACGGCTCTCCAGAATTTTTACATGGATGTTTAAGCGGTCTGATGATCGTGGAGTAACTGAAACGTCGTTTACCTGCACTTATTTTTAACTCACCACTTTATTAATAACTGTCTCCATCTCCTGTCTATATGCAGTAAATTTAAAGATGTTGTCAAACTCTCGTATTAAACAGCGTCTCTAATAAAATCCCCAGCCTGTCATTGTGACACGATATTTCAACAGAAGAATCTACAGCCTCTCAAACGATGAGGGACGTAAATCAAAAGATTGTGTGATTAGACTTTACAGCACAACTACACAAGCTTTAAGACATCGAAGCTGTTCAAAAAAAGATGATACAGAGGATGATTACAGCGGCTCAGACTCACAGCTGTACCTGGTAAAGTGTCAGTTAATATTGAAGAGACAGGAATAGTAACTGACTAGAATGTTGCTACAGGCCTACAGAGCTGATCACTGATGCATTAAAGCTATTTTTACACATCGGAATTTGGATTAATTTTCTAACAATTCATTTTATTATAATCATTTCCTGGTGTTCCTCAATCGCTAATATGTCTACCTTTGATTATATGTCAGCTGTTATATGTCAAGGCAGATGTTCACATCACGGTTATCATGGTCGTAGAATATCAATGATGAGGGCGCTATTTACCATAAAGTTGAAAATAAAACAACACAATCAGTCAAATTAAGGAGAGATAAGCCACACATTACTAAATATACTTAAAAAGGGGTATTTTGCTTATTTTTCGCCTCTACAACATCCCTCTGAGTATTTCTTAGCAGCTCTACAAGATTTACAGTTGAACATGTTCTGAGCATATTTCAGCCTCTGTCTGAGACGCTGTCCCTTTAAGGGACCCCTCCCCCAGAATTCCAGAACACTGAATGCAGCGTTCTAGAACCCTAGATTCAATGTCTGGTGATGTCACCATTTGACCTCATCTCGTAATGATCTCATTGAATTCTCGTGTGACTGTCTGCCTGAACGAGCCATTTGTAGCTTAACTTCAACACTAGGGTGACCATACGTCCTCTTGTACCAGGACATGTCCTGTTTTTGGGGGGCTGTCCAGCTTTGTCTGGGGAAGTTTCTAAAATCCTTCAAATATATTTATATATATATATTTTGTATTGAAGTTTCGAGTTTGTGTCATGTGAAGTTACTGAGTTAGAAGCACGTAAAAGACACTCAATCTGACCCAAAAAACGTAACTTCATGCAACTCCGTGACTCCGCCCCCGCGTAGTCGTGTCCTATTTTTGGGAAATCAGAATATGGTCACCCTATTCAACACACATTAACCTTGTAATCTGTAACTTTTGAACATTTGAAGTTCACTTTTGTTTTCAAAATATGTAAGAAGTACAATACTATCTCTTAAAAACATAATTAATTCCTGTATGTTTCTTTCAGTAAATTGTAAGTTACATAACTAAAAGAAAAATAGCAGTCAGAGTGTAAATGTTCAGTTGATTAGTAACCCAAAGCGGCACAAGCTCTAATGTTTCTGGATTCAAAATAAATCTTAAATATCGGCTCTAAAAGTGCCTAATTGTCTCTCAGTCGGCTGCTACATTTAGCTCACTAGCAGTCTGCTACTTCTTCTTCGTCTATCCTCCATTTTGTGAAGCGTGGTAACCAGCGTACAGTAAAGTCAGGGTATTATCGTTTGCTTATTTTTAGTACAATATCAACATTTTAAGACAGTTAAAGCCAACACTGGTTTACCACAACAGCCCCAGTTCAAGGTAAGGTATTCAAAATGTCAGCTGATGCTTTAAGCCGCGTTCATTCTTACAAAACATCCTTTATTACTTAATCATTTTAATGATCTCTCAGCACACTGTGTTCACGTGTTTCAGCTGACTGATGTGTAGGTTATGTGTTCGTGATATCAATTAATGATTCCTCACTAATTATCTCTCCACGTGGGCTAAACCCCCACGTGACTCGGGGAGATGAATCCCAGCGTGGGAATCCCATAAGCCCTCAACTTTCCCATCTTTAAACGTGCTCCAGATGGAGGCCAGGGCGAGTCGGGTCAGCACCGAAGGGGGAGGTGAGCAGGAGCCAGCCTAATTAATACCTCGTAGAATATCCTCAACCTTGTATCGACTCCTCTCTGATGCTCTGGATAGGGGTATATGAAACCTTGGCGTGCTGTGCTCCCTGCAGGATTCACCTGGAACCACCGGGGATGCAGACAGAGTGCTGCAAAACACAGGTGGTGCATGAAATCAGGAGCTAGTGCTAATCTGTCCTACAAGGATGGAGCATGATTAGCAGACCCCCCTGCAGATAAAACCACCTATCCTGCAGGATTTGCCATAAAAATTCAGGGAGCTGCATGGAGAAAGGATAGATTAGAGATGGATGAAGGAGGGCAGGGTAAGAAATAGCCTCAAAAAGTGTGTAAACAGATGTGTTGACAGAGATACAAGCAGAAATGAAACATAGTGCCAATCTTTTTCTTTCTCATCAAAATCGTCACTCAAAAACTTAAAACAGGAGTTTGCCGTCTCTCTTCTCTGAGTTGGAAACAGGTTCCCTGCTTTTGCAGACCCGCCGAATGTGTTGGGTATAAGTAGCCCGAAGAAACAAGCAGTTCTTTGAAGTATGCAAATATTTTAAGGGCAGGATCTAATTAATATGGGGGAACTGAGAGTACAGAGAGTCCTTCCGCTTCCCTCGGTGCTGCTCCTTAAATTATCTACGGTCTAATTCAAAGAGAAAGGATATCATAGATTTGAGTGGGCATGTCCCAAGCAGAGGCCCGAACTGTCACGTTGATAAATGACAAAGTGGATAAAAGACGCTGAGGGGAAAATACAGAAAAAGGACCAAAAGCCTTAGCCGGTAGAAAAACGCCCTCGGCTCCTGAATGAACTCCAACATGTCGGAATATTTGAGTTTCCTGCCCCAGAACAGCAGCAATGACTCCTACGATGATGAATATAGAAACATGAATTTTGTATCGTACTCGGCCTTTGGCAAGGGCCATTCAAAGAAATCCCATCAATATGCATTATGGTTTTGGAATAAAACGCCGCTTCATGACCCCGTTTCCAGGGCAAGAAAACTTTAAAAACAGCCAATTTAAGTTCTGAGAAACAAAACAACTTATCGTAAACGCTCAGCTGCTTCAAATAGTGACCACAGAAATGTGAACGAGTGCCTAAACTGCTGATAAAGTCGACGTTTAATCCAAGGAGTGTGGTGTGGAAAATGTTTCTATAAACTGTTAACAGTGTAAACAGCTTATCTCTCCTTCTTTCTCTTCTACTTTCTAATCAGCGACAAACCTGAAGGGCGTAAAAGAGTTATTTTTATACCCGAGAAAGAAGAATCACTTGTATTCAACAGCCGTGTTAATTAAGCTCGTTTGGAGACAAATGGTTTCGTCTCTCTTCTAATGAACGCAATTCTGTCACTAAAATAAACTCATCTGCAGGTAAACTTGTTGAAAAACAAAAGGTTGTTTGTAGAGATTATTACGGAGCCAATCAACAAACTCTGAAGATTTACTCTGAATCAAAACAAACTTGTTTTTGGACTTTTAACCAAACTCATAACAAAATGTGCCAAAGTTTAAACCATCCCTGTGTATCGAGACATACACCGAATAAAAACCTAATTTTTCCCTTGTCTTTAAAATACCTTGTGCGGTCACTAACTCACTATCTTACTAACTTACTTACAAACTAACATCTTTATCTGCTTACTTTCCTCCTCGCTGGCTTAGCTTCTTGCGTGTATACTAACTCATTTTGCAAAGTTACTGTCTCGCTCACTTGCTTACGTAATTTATTAACGTTTTGTTTGCTTATTTACTCGTTCACCGTCTTATTTTCTCACATTGATGATGACGTACTCGCTTAACTTGCTTACATACTTGTGGAGTGACTTGATTACTAACATGCTTACTGACTCTGTTTTTCCATCTTATTTGCTTTACCTTTAACTCTTTCCCTTCTTTCCTGCTTCCTTCCTTCCTTGGTTCTTTGTGCTTATTCACTTACCATCTTGCTTGCGTAATCTTTATCCTCCTGAACTACTTGTCTCCTATCTTGCTAACTAACCTACTTTTTTCTGACTTACTTGCTGAATTACCTTCCCTAGTTATCAGTTCATTTGCTCAATTATCTACTGCAGTTTCTTACTCCGTCTCTGTGGTTACTTACTTAATGTCTTGTTTGCTTACTTACTTTTAGGCTTGCTTACTTATTGACTTACTTGATTACTACCGACTTACCGTCCTGCCTTCTTACATAATCACTGTCTTACTTGTCATCTCCTTACCCACCTTCTTACTGAATCACATCCTCACTTTATTACTGTTATATGACTCTAATTTTTGCCTTTATCTTTTAGATGCAAATATATAAAGATATATTTTTTACTGATGCAAAGTAATTGTTTATATTTGGGAGACCTCGTGCCAGTCCATTACGGACTGCAGCGGGGTGACACAGCTCAAGGAAGAACATTTATGATCATTACTTTATCATTTCCTTGAAGTAATAATCACCATATTAATCATTTTGCTCTGCAGACACGTTATTTCTTCTGCCTTAGCGTCTCGGTCTGATTGTATTTCCATAAAGAAATGATCATAAATGTTCTTCCTTGAGCTGCGAAACTCCACTGTAGTCCAAAATGGACTGGCCTTAAGTCTCACTACAAACAAGCGGCTGCTGGAAGAGAGTAGGTGAGTTGTGTTAGTCTCTACGCTTTACTTGTCTCCTATCTCACTAACTAACCTGCTTTTTTCTGACTTACTTGCTTAATTACCTTTCCTAGTTGTCAGTTCATTTGCTTAATTACTTAAGACCTTGATGACTGCAGTTTCTTACTTCGTCTCCGTGGTTACTTACTTAATGTTGTTTGCTTACTTTTTGGCTTGCTTACTTATTGACTTACTTGATTACTACCGACTTACCTTCTTACATAATCACCGTCTTACTTCATCACTCAGTTATACGACTCTTGTTTTTGCCTTTAATTTTTAGATCCATGTTTTTTTTTTTCTTTACCGATTTACTCGTTGAAATTTGTCTCTTAGAAATTAGTTAAATATGTGTTTTTCTCATATTTTTTGGTCAAATAACTGATTGCCAAATTTTGGGAGGATTTGTGTGAATTATTCATGTTTTAATTTGCAGTCTGAATTCATATCTTGTGATGTTTGCGAATTAATGACGCCGAACCAAAGTAAATTTGAAAGAGTTGTTAACCTCGAAACTATCTGCTTTAGACAAACTGTAAACAATTATAGTTTGGAAAATTGGGCGCATTTGGATTTAATTTGGCCGCAGCCAGAAATAATCAGCCTCAAATTATTCCGGGTTTATTAAAGTTAAATATTTCTATCTTTGTTTGAGTTGCGGTGCCCTCAGCAGGAGCCGTTCGTTCAGTTTCGGTATCAGATAATTACAGTGTAATTACATATTAACGCGCTTCAGTAAAGGCAGAGCTGAGTGACATCTGCTCTGCTCGGACCGCCGTTAATTAGGACGGACATCACAGCGTATCAGCGCGAGCTTCTGTCAAACATCATTACAACGGAGGACGGAGAGACTCACAGCGGAGACAGACGGAGGAGGGGAGGATGAAAGAGACTAAGTGTAGATAGTGGAGGGGTAAAAAAGGACAGGAGGAGGACAGGAAGAGCCAAATGAGGGGAAGGATCTGGACTGATGAGATTGAAATGAAGCCAGTTTTCCTTTTTTTGGGGTTCGACGCTAAAACCCACCGGGGGGATCAGTCCGGTGTGTCCCGTAGATTGGCATACTCAAAGATGGAGAGCAGATCCCCTTCAGGATGTTTCCTCCTACCCCCTTCATCTTCTGATTTTTAAGTCCAACAACTTATCAAGTCCGACCACGTAAGCTCTTTAGATTTACAACAAACCACAACACGTCACTCTAATGGGATTTCCAACTATAAATATACGGAGCGCAGGATTTTGAGACATAAGCGTGTGACAGATTTCATCGGAGTGATGTTATTTTTACTGTATCCTACATGACAGAGTTTACAACTGAGAGTCTGAGCCGCTGCTTAAAAGATAAAAAAGAGACAGATGGAAATAATCGAGTTAAGAGGAAGTCCAACTCGACTTTGACGTCTTTAAAGGGATATTAATTTATCTAGGGTGAAACACTTCGCAACACTGAGTTAGATACCTCCCTGAGAGATGAATGTTGCCGATCGCTTCCTTCTCTGGTTATACCAACTTTAGTAACAACCGCACGATAGCAATACACAGAGGTCAGAGGAGCCATAAACAAACCTCAACCAAAACGCCACTCTATAGCCACAAATAATGCTCAGAACAGCACCTAACTTCATCAACAGGACATATAGGGTCACAGACATAGTACTAGACACCAAACATCTTTTTAACTTTGACTCATTTCTTTAGCAAAGAGACCAAACACAACTCACCTACTCTCTTCCAGCAGCCGCTTGTTTGTAGCAAGACCTTGGGCCAGTCCATCACGGACTATAGCGGAGTATCGCAGCTCAAGGAAGAACATTTATGATCATTTCTTTATCATTTCCTTGAAGTAATAATCACTATATTAGTCATTTTTCACTGCAGACGCGGTAGTTCTTCTTCCTTAGCGTCTCGGTCTGATTGCATTTCCATGAAGAAATGATCATAAATGTTCTTCCTTGAGCTGCGATACTCCGCTGTATTCCGTAATGGACTAGTCGAGGTCTCGCTACAAACAAGCGGCTGCTGGAAGAGAGTAGGTGAGTTGTGTTTAGAGTGGCATTTTGGTTGAGGTTTGTTTATGGCTCCTCTGACCTCTCTGTATTGCTATCCTGCGGTCGTTACTAAAGTTGGTATAACTAGAGAAGCAAGCGGTCAGCAACATTCATCTCTCGAGGGGGTGTCTAACTCGTTGTTACGGTATGTTTGACCACAACTTAATTTTACGCCGGATTATCCCTTCAATAAACTAAAAAACTAGACCTAAACTTCGACTTTACTCTAATTGAATTATTTAAACAAAAACCCTGTCATTAAACAGAGCAGTTTCAGAGTCAGGCTCCCATCCCTGTTTATCCAATAGTTTCATATCATGTCTGATCATATGGCATCAGAATCAATTCACTGAATGTGTTCAAAGAGTCAAAGTGAAAGAAGATGGAGACAGAAGGCAAAGAGAAGATTTTAAAAACATCCTTTTGTGGATTCTGTGTTTGTCTAAAGTCAGCCCGGAGCGTTGTTTCCAAACAGCTTCGGTCGTGAATCTGCTTTCATGTTAAGGTCCTAAAGCGTCGAGCACTTCCTGTTCCGTTTACTCAAAGTAGTCTGTCTTTAAGAAAACCAGAAAAGCCTCATAGCTGGGAGACGTTTTCCTGTAAAAGGTTTAAAATCTAATCCTCAAACAATTGGTAAGGTTCTCTGTCAGCATCCAACAACCTGTCAACAAGACTCAAATGTATTTCTGTGGATATACTGTATGCTATTACATAACAATGCCGATTTCTGCTTTTCCGCTTTTGATTTTCCACGTTAATCTCCAACGCAGGGAGGAACGACACTTTTGAGTCGCTGTACGTTACAAGAAGCTGCACAGAGATGATTAATGATCCTGTAATGATCTGTGACATGGAATAAATCAGCGAATTAAAGGCGTAGTCTTCTGTGCCATCGTGCTCTTAACTTGAATATGAACTTTAAAATTTTAGAAGGATCCTTCAGCGTTTCTTTTCCTTCTATTTCATTCACACTCAGATAAATTAGGTTAAGTGGATGTGGGCAGAGGCACAGATATGTGACTGTAATGAAATGAGGTTGTAAATCCTCGGTGATGCAGAACTTTAGACGGTATGAAAAAAGCGCAGTTTCCCACCTTTACATCACCCGTCGGTTGGTTGATTTCGATTTTGAGAGCTGGCTTCAGCACTTTCCCGTTAGTGTCTACGGTGTGGCGAGCCCCCCTGATACTTTTTCCCCACCCAGAAGGAGCGGTCCAGGGTTTCCTGGCAGAGAGTCACGGCCTCTGAGTAAAAGGTACCGACCCTCATCTCCTGTGATTGCTTAAAGCCTGCTGGAAGTGCGACCCTGAAGAAGCCAACGAAACCACATCACTGCGAAAAGCTGAGATGGACCCCCTCCTCCTCCTCTTCTTCTTCTTCCTCCTGTTGGCTGCACCTTGAGATCCCATTAAGATCACAGACTGAACTACTTACAGAAGATGAGCCAACATGAAATGGGACTTTTCTACAAAAACCTAATATAAGACATTTTCGCCCCAAAATACGTCTGAAAAGGTGTGATTCTCTTGGATTTAGGGTTCGATTTTGTCTGTTTTGTTGTAAATGACAGACTGTGTTTAAAATTTCAGCTCAAAGGAGATAAACTGTGTTTTTCTGTGACATCCAGGACTTACCCAGGATTTCCACCGCATCTGGAATGGCTGTTCCGGAACGACGGCAATTTTCGACGTACACCAATTCCTACTGGATCCATTTGTGAGGCGAATTTCATGGCGGATTACGGACACCAGGAATCACGAGAATTCACAAGAACCCGCAGATTCACGTGCAATCGTGCGATATCAAGTTGTCTTTAGCCACATAGGCTAAATATATGAAATATGATTCGCTTGAAACACGGATTGTTTTATTTTGAAAAGATGACGGATGTTTTATTTTGTGTCTGTGCCCCGACTTCCTTTCCATCACCGGTTAATCTGCGCTGAATTTATCCGAGCATGCTCTGGCGGCCGAAAAAAATAAAACTCTTGCGATCAGCTGCAGAGTTCGGCGAGCCGCAGTGGAACGGAAAGAATCCGGTGGAAATTGACACAATGACTTGGTTACAATCAGCTATGATCGGCGGACACAGCCTTTTCGTAGCCATTCCTGACGCGGTGGAAATTGGGGGTTAGGGCGACCATATTCTGACTTCTCAAAAAGAGGACACGACAATGCGGGGGCGGAGTCATGGAGTCGCACGAAGGTAATTTTGAACGTTTTTCGGGTCGGATCGAGTGTCTTTTATGAGCTTCTAACTCAGTAAGTCCACGTGACACAAACTCGAAACTTTCGTACAAAACCGTGGACATTTGACGTATGGTCACCCTAAGGACTAATTACGCGTGAATTTTTGTTATTTATGTTGTCAGCTGATTGTGCTAGATAGAAGCCGCCATCTTTGTTTTGGTCTGTCAACCAATCAGATCAGAAATGTTAAAAATAGAACAGTTCTGATTGGATCCACTTTATTATCAGCAGATCTGTTTTCTATGCTTCCTTTTCAAACTGCACCAATCAGGTGAGAATGAAGTCATTATAAAATCTGTTTTAGACTTCTGTAGAGGCGTCCCCTGCTGGCTGTTACACATAATGCATGTTCGAAGCTCTTCAGCGAGGATACTCCCTCCAGAAGGTCTCGCCCTGAACATAAACTGTAACCTTTACAGCTGAGCTTCCCGGATCTTTGACTGGACCGTGACGCGGCTGCGTGCCTCCGTTTAACCACGAATGTCGTCTGAAACAAGATAGATGTAAGATAACGCCTGAAGCTTAATCTAATGCCGCTCACCGGTTTCTAAACATGACTTGTCACATGGTTTGGTGGAGTATCTGATCCGGCAGCTACAAACTCAATTAGAGAGCACATGTCAGCGACAGACCTAATGGTTTTTAATTTGTGACGTAAGAAGCTGAAGCTGCATCGGTTCGTGTATTTAGGAAACAGAATTAAAGACGGATCTTTACCTCTTAATCTACAGGGATTAGTCTGTGAGTGTAAGTGAGAGGAATAAAGGGATGATGTGTAGACTGTAAAGACTGTTATTCAAATCTAACGAAAAAATAAACGGGGAAACTTTTTCTAATCAATTTTTTGGCAGTTTAGAGGAAGAGTTGTTTTTTTGTGGGATTTTAAAACCTAATAAGATGCATTGAACTGTGCACAGCAAAATTGGTTCTCCAAGAATCAGCCAAAAAAAATGAGTCAAGCCAATTTTTTTTCTTATCCTTCTTTTCTCTTCCCCTCTTCCTCTCCTTCCTCCCTCAGTCTTGCACTCTCCCTGATCTGGATTTGCACCCGGGACTGTTTCACCCAAAGGCAGCAGTCATATCACACCGCAGGTCCTGCCTCGCTGTACTCACTTCTTTAAGTCTTTGCATTTCACCTTTTTGTTTTTGTGCCGCGCTGCAGTGTGACACAATCTTTTCATTTTTATCTCACATAGAAAGTTTCTCTCTGAGTAACGACCTTTCATGCTTTGAGAGGACCCGAGTCTGGATTTGAACCCACAACCCAGAAACCTTAACCGCCACACCCCTGAGCTGCCTGTAAGATTTCATGTTTTCAAGGTTTCTCTATTTTTTTTAGAGCTTTTCCACAGTGTAATGAAATGAAAGGAGCTCTCTGATTGGCCGAATTAAAGGAGCTCTCTGATTGGCTGAATGAAAAGAGCCTTCTAATTGACCAGAAAAAAGCAGCAGTCTGATTGGTGTAATTTTACTAGGGGTGTCCCGATACATCTTACTTCGATACGATACCGATATTGTAGTCTTCAGTATCGGCCAATACCGATATTGATCCGATATTAGCATAAACTTGCATGACAAGTTATGCACTCAGCTGCAGCGTCTTTTTCGGACTTTAACGAAAAATACTGCCACACAGCCGACTTTACTTCTACTCCTTGCTACTTTGTTAGTACCTTATGCTGCGTTTGAGTTACTTCAGAAGTCAGATGTCGGAGCTGGGAATGACGCCACACCCAAGTTACCAGCGTTTCAGTTAAGCAAAATCGGAGGCGGAAACAAGATGGCTACATCTACAAAAGTCATTTTAGCGCTTGCCTTGTCCGAATATAAGTAACTTCTGGACAAATATGCCGTCCTCCTGCAACATCTTGTTTCCGCTTCCGATTTTGCTTTTTTCCGACTTGGTAACTGAAACACTTGTAACTTGGGTGTGACGTCATTCCCAGCTCCAACATCTGACGTCCAAGGTAACTTGAACGCAGCATAAGTACACACTGTTGTTATGATTACGTGGGCTCTGCATGCTGGATCAGAGCGCTGCTAGCTAGAGGTGCCGGAGTGGAATCTGGAATGGACTGCTTGTATCAGAGTGCTGATATAAGTTAATGTGGGAGGGGGTGAGCAGCTTGTGGAGAAGTTATCGAGGTGAACTGCTCAATATATTGTGATATTCATTTGAGGCCATATCGCCCAGCCCTAGTCTGGACCCCCTTGGTGTTCTCTTAGCCCATTATCATCATATTAATTGGTTACTGCTGGGACTTGAACCCATGACCTTAACTTCAGGCACTGAAAATATCCTGCACTCTTGGAAAAATACAACTGCAATCAAGTTATTGGGAGAAATCTGCTTTTTCAAGTAAACGAATGAGGTAACCATGACACAGCAGACGCAGAATGTAAAGAGGATGACACCCTTTAGGTGATCTGTGTGTGTCATCCATAAGTTTTCATTTATCCGTGTCCTGATCAGTTATAGCTATGATATGATTTATCGTAATTCCGGATAAATATAATCCTACACCAGCGTAGTTTAAAGTTCAGCACAGATATGATGAGATCCAGCAGCCTGAAGCCAAAACAAATCACATCCACTACTCCACTCCTCCGCTGTTAAATCTGCAGGGAACCACGGGGTCAGATATCATCTTAAAAAAACGAGAAACATTTCTCCTCCTTTAACTGTTCGAGCGTTTATCCAACAAATCTGATTTCCTCATGCAGAAGACATTACAATCAGGCCTGAGAATTGACCAGGAGCTGTAAAGTCCAGTCTTATGATGATGAAAAATGTAATTTCACTCAGCATCGGGGACCTGTGACATGCTTTATTCAGCCGGGGACGTAAACATGACGGCTTTTATAGAAGCAAAACAAGTCGGCTACGCTTCATAAGCTTTATAGTCTGCAGGTTGAGGCATTAAGCATTTAGCTTGGGGGGAAATGTTATTTACAAGTGCTGCGAGTATTGGGTATGAAAAATCCATTTTAATTTCTGAGCTGTACTTAGTTCAGGACCTTTTGTAATATCCGTATTATAATCCTATCAAGATGTAAAGCGTGTGTGTAAGGGTTCAGCGGCCTTCATTGCTCAAATTAAAACCATTTCCAATGATTTCTTTTAAACTCTGGAGGTTTTTATTTCTTATTCTCTGTCGATATACCTCTAAATCTGCAGCCAAGACAAACCCAGCTCCGACTCGTATGCCAATAATGTATGTTTCTTTGTTTTTTTCATATCTGGCAGACTCGGTTGCATATGCTACCCACAGAACCGAAGCATCAAGGTGAAGAGGCTCGTCTGCCAGTTGGCTGTCACTGGCACTGATGCAGAATAAGAGCGCGTTTTTGTCAGCAGAATATTAATAACACGCCCACAGCAGGAGGGCTCCTCCAACAGAGATGTAACCGTAGAGTCAGAGTCGACTCCTTTTATTCGGCGCCTGTGTTTAGTCAGGGTTTGTGAATAATAAGATGACTGTGCCAATATCTTTTACAGCTCTGAAGGCACTGTACACGCCTGGTGCTAACATTTATTCTGTCGTTTGGGAGAAAAACAAACCGGTAGATTGATTTGATGGACACTTCGTTCCTCTTTGGAGTGTCTTCTGCAGTTTTCCACCCCCTCTCTCTCTTCATGGTCACCCCGGTGTTTTAATACTCTCTAGCCTTGGTTTCCTCGCCTGGTTTTTTGAATGTAGTCTTTGGGGATTTGCTCTTGCTAGATTTATATGCCTGACTTTCTGTGTGTGAACCCTGAACTATTGATTAAAAAAAACCTTTTCTTCTGTTTTGTGTCCTTCTCTGCACCTGGAGTCCCAGATTTGTCCTGAATTGTCACACAAAGAGACTTTGGCGAATAGCGACAAAACACACCGTAGCTTCTGGTCAACGCTAAGGTCTGCGTAACTCCTCGTCTTCACATCACCTCAGATACAGTGAAATTCGCAGTATAAAACCTCAAATCCCATTAAATCCCATTTTTGTCTTATTTGGAGAAAAAGAGTGCGTTAGGCCTAATTTGAGAAAAAAAGGCTCATTTCAAAGAATCACAGACTAAAAATAGGACCTAAGTTGCTTATAATGATGAAGAAATCTGCAGTTGGAAAAGGAAAAATGTACTTCTTACGTTTCTTGAGTAAGAGTTCTTAGAATAAGAAAATTCTTAACACTGAAAACTTTCTTCTTTATTGGCAGACTTTGTAATAAAGTCATTATGAGTCGTTTACTTTGGCAGGAGATATCTTAAAATGAGCCATATTTCTGGATTCGTTGAAGTAAAGTGGCTTAACTTAAGCCTTAGAATACTTTTCTTTTACTAGAAATGAGACAAAAATACTTTGAGATTTTTTACGTGTGGCCTGATGAAGATTCAGGTGCCTCTGCCTCATTTCGTTTGGGCTACACTAGGGACCTCAAACACGCCTGCCTCAGCTGAAATCTCCATCCAAAAAACCTCGGCTCATTTGAAATGCATCAAGAACTTTAACTGGCATCAGTCCAGTTTTAGCACGTCTGCTTCTTCCACCAGGAGGTTTCAAATAAGATTTTAATGTCCGCTGTTAAGGCGCAGAAACATCTCGCCTCTGGCTGTATGACCTTTTAACTCTCAATGTGCTGACCTCAGCAGCATCAGATCCACCAGAGTCCAGGATCAAAAGGGGCGGGGCCATACTTTTGATCCTGGCTCCCAGACATGAGATATGAAGCTGATGAAGTGCTAAAAACTGCAGTTCCGTGAGTGTCCACTGGAGGCTGGCTGTAAAAGCCACTGAAGCCACATACACACCCATTCAAAAACGCCCATCTTTGCACCAACAATAAAACTTAGTGTTAGAGATCATGCCAGTGCTTTACACAGTATATGGTGCACACATATATCCAAATAGCATCTATTCACATAAATGTTGTTCAAACGGAAAGAAAGCGAATATCAGACTGTTGCAACAAAATCCAGACGGTTGTCCTGCGTCTGATCTTGCGTTCTCACCAAACACAAATTAAATCATTGGCACAAGTGAAAAACATGTAAAGAAAATAAAAGACGCAATTGGATAGGAGTTCTTGTTGGGTGTAAATGAGGAGGTGCAAACTGAGCGAACTGAGCCAATAATGTGCTAATTTGGTGTTCAATGCGCCACTCGCTTATTTGTAAGAGTCAAAAAATCTGAAATCAAGCAAATCATTCGAGCCACCATAGCCAATCAGCATTAAGATTTCCATCGCATCTGGAACAGCTACGAAAAGGCTGTATCCACCGATTGTAGCTGATCGTTTCCATTCAAGTTAATGTGTCAATTTCCACCAGCTTCTTTACGTTCCGCCGCGGATCGCCGGACTCTGCAGCTGATCGCAAGGGTTCTATTGTTTACGGACGCCAGAGCATGCCGGATAAATTCAGCACAGATGTGCTAGAAAGAAAGTCGGGCACAGACACAAAATAAAACATGCAGCTTCTTTTCAAAATAAAACGCACCGTGTTTCAGGCAGATTGCATCTCACACCATGCAAACAGGTGAAGATGAACAAGTGAAAGGTTTATAGACAGTATTTCACCCCGATGACACCATGGATGAGGAGATGCTGATTTTAGAAGTCTAGAAGTAGATTTCCTCCTCTGTAAGGACACAATCTACTGCTTATATTGTTAGCCTATGTCGCTAAAAACAACTTGTTATTGCGCGATTGCACGTGTATCCGTGGGTTCTTGCGAGTTCTTGCGATTATCGCTGTCCGTAATCTGCCACGAAATTCGCCTCACCGCATCCGGATTGGAGCCGTTCTGGATGCGGTGAAAAATGGGGGTAAGATTAAACATGATATGTTCAGCTGTTAAAAATAATGATCATGTTTGCATTTGGTGTGATCACAACAACGCAAGGAAAATAGCCAATCAAAGGCGGGATTTGAGGTCACTGATTAGAAGAGGGGGCACGGACACCCTTTGCCAACCCTTGGATCTGCCCCTGCAGCTCAGTGACAGTGACAGGGTTTGTGTCCATTAGAGCGCCTTCATAATAGAAGAGGCTGCCAGAGGAAATCAGAGATGAAAACACACTTTCTAGCTTTTATAATTTTCATATTTTAGTATCTTTCACTCTGATTTAATTTAAACTCCAGCCAACACCTAGAGTAAAAGAGTTGCAAACCTTTAACTTTTTGAGAAATCGTTCTTTCTATTCAACGTTAATATCAAACCGGCTGAGACGCGGGTTAATGCCGAATGAAATCAAAGCAGAGGAAGGCACCTTCGAATCAAACATTCAAGAAAAAAAGCTGCTCACAAATATCAAACAGTTCGCAATCTTGTGCAAGAAAGGGTCGGAGTTATTAGAGAGATTTCATCATCGACGCTTCACAGAGATACAAGAGTCTTAACACGGATAGATTAAAAACCAGCTCATCCAAAAGAAGGAAATAGAGTGTGACACCAAAGCTGCTGTGGGTCTCAACCACATCTGCACGAGTAAAAGCAAAGCAGCAAATAGAAGCTCAGGCGGACCGACAGGCATGAAGACCAGAATAAAAACGACCCTGAACACCAGAATAGGAATAGAAGACAGGCATGCAACATGAGCAAACAAACAGAAACAAGAAACTATGAACTTAGAAGTTCTCCGTCTCAGGAGGGAATAAAAATTTCAGACACAGCAGATGACGCCGCAGCTCTCCTTTAGGAATACTCAATGACCAATCAAGACGGAGAGACAACATACAGCGTGGCAGACATCAACAATCAGCGCTTAGTCATCTCGTCCACGTCCTGTTTTCTCTTACCATGTGATGAGTCCGGCAGCGACAGCCGACCAGGTGACACAGCAGGAGTTGGGTCTCTTGCTCTCCTCCTCCTCCTCCTTGCGGCAGCAGCAGAGACAGCTCAGGTAGATGGCGAGACACAGTAGGTTAAGGCCGAGCCCGGCGGCCGCCACACAGCCCAGAAAAATGAGCGACTGCGGAGACAGAGATGGGGGGAGAAAAATGACGTGATGCAGTCGGAAACAAAAAGCTTCATCCTGTTTGACTGCGAGCGAAGAATTATCAATTTGACCTGGAATGATGGGTCACATATGAGTAATGCTTCCCAGAAAGATTTATGTAACTAAGTTTGGGGAAGTTTATCTGTTGGCTCACTTCACTAAAAGTAGAATGAGTCATTGGAGTAAGAAAGTCCATCATGAAGCATATCAGGGTCTCATTAGCAGAGCATTAATGTGTGATTAGTATTTAAGAGCAAATGCTGGAAAAAGAAAACCAGGTCAAAAAAAGAGGGCACATTTTAAAACTGATGTAAAAGAAGAGTCAAAACTGATTCAGTCGTCCTGATAGTATGTCCTTTAAAGTGTCCAGACTTGAGGGCTCAATGCTTGTGATCAATACAGCCTCTCTCCTCATTCTGTCCCTTAGCTTTTCAGATACACACAGATAAATACACCTGATCGGTTAGATTATGAACTGTATTTTTTTATTTTTTCACTTAAATTTATTTGCTTTTTTTTTTTGCCATAAAAAGAACAAAACATAAAGTCAAACAGAAAGTTTGTCGTGCCAGGAAAAGAAAAAAAGTTGTCCATGTAGCCTCAATTAAAGTTGTCTATTGTTTTCATGTGCTGTGCATGAATTGGTGCTGGGCGACAAAACGAAAATTTACCGATACCAAAATTTCCTACAATAACCAGCGTCATTTTGCCAATATTAGTATCATCGGTGTCAAAAAAATAAAAAATAAAATCCCCTCGTGTTTTTTTGGCTGATACTGGAACAATATCCAATATCAATATTGTACCGGGACAGCCCTTAATGTTACCAACCATTCCGACTGGTTAAATGGAAGGCGTGTTCTGATCTGCTCAATATATTGTGATATTGATTTGAGGCCATATCGCCCAACCCTGGCACAAATGTATATTTGTTCTATTTTTCCCACTATTAGGTGTTTAATTGTTGCTGGAGTCATTTTTTTTCACTGTGTCCTGACAGTTTTTCTGATTGGGGGGATCTCCTTACTGTCTCCAAACATCTAGCACAAGTAAAATCATTCACGCCAATGAATTACACAGAGACATGATAAGACGCTTCTACTCCTCTGGCGGCACGAATGACGCAAATTGGGCGGGAGCCAAAAATGTCTCTACAAAGGTTGCCGGATGACGTATGAAAACAGATGGTTGTTCACTGGTATCTTAAATGGAGGACAAAATGATGGTGTCAGTGTGTGGGTGCCCCGGATTATATAATACCTTTTCTTACAATTAATGAAACTGGAATAAAAAGGAGCTCGCCTGGAGGAAAGTGAGTGTGGAGGTCGGATTACCGAGTAAATTGTAAGAACCTTTGTCTATCACTTGATCCCATCAGTTGAATTGACAGAGATTACCGTTGAAATTATCGTTGATGTGCGAATGAAGTGAGTGAACACTATTCATTCACACATCTTGATTCACACAAATTTAGCAACTTGATGATTTTACTTGCACCTGGTGTGAACACTCCATTACACCAGTTCCTTGTACTGGCCTTCTTGCTGCAAGAAGTAATTTAACCAAGTATCTGTCTTTAACTTTTATGTTTTCCTGCATCAAATTACCCGGGTATATTACCTCAAAGGTCATGAGAAGCTCATATCCTAACACTGCTTTCATTCCTGTATTTTTTAAAACTGAACAAATACTTTTCAAGATTCAAGATTTGTTTATTTGTCATGTGCATGTTAAACAAGGTCAACAATGCAATGAAATGTCCTGGATGAGAGGACCGCTCGACTCAAAGGAGTACAGATGAAACACACAACAAGTACTGAAAAGGTTTGAGCAGTAATGCAACTGCACAAACCTTCTTTAATATTAAACCTCAAAGGTAAAGTTTTTTGGCTCAGGATCTGTTTAATGCTGTGAATCATAATAAGAAGATAGTATATGAGACCACACCCCCAAAATAACAAATTGGACAACGCCAAAGTAAATTGAAGTACAACTTTGATACTTAGTAAAAACATATTTCTCATCAAACAACAGATACGTTTCCACAAACAGAAGCAGCTACATCTATTGTCTCCAGCTGTAGAGCGGACACCTCCTCATGCATCTCCCCATCCTCCTCCTTTAGCCCCCATCCCACCTTCTGCGAGAGATGGAGTGCTGTGACAAAAATAGCACCAAGACTGTCCTGACGGTCTCAAATGAATTCTGCATCCATCTGTGAGCAGATGGGTTTATTCAAGCTCGCTCCCTGTGTGTTTTTTTCCCTCTCCCCCTCTTACCCCTCACTTTACGCTTCCTTTTTAGTTTGTTTGAAATCTTCTTGGTGCTGAGCCATCTGCTCTCACGCTGTGAAGTGATGTGTCCCACAAGTCAAGTAGTGGGATTAAAATTCAGAAATGGAAGAATCTGCAGGATTATGTCAACGAGTGCCATAAAAGAGCAGAGTAAATCTCAAATTGAAAAATCCTCGAGAAGCCTCAAAACAGCTGTTTATATCCTCTGACACGGTCCTTTTGCTGTCGACTTTGCTAATAAAACTGCTAAAAATAAATGTCAAGATACACCTAAATGTCAGGAATATTTGGATTCATGCTTTTGCTCTTTCCTCACCGTGAAATTTCATTCTTATCAGTCACTATCTCACCACCAAGAATCAATCTTTCTTTCTCTCCTGGCTTCAGTGCCTCATCTTGTCCCATTTCACGGCTACATGCCTTTCATGGTGAAGGCCACACATCTGCTGATGATAAAAAAAAAAAAAGGGAAATGCAGGAGGTGTCAAAGGAAGGACGGGCCGATCTCCAGCCATTGATCCCTGGACTTCCTCCTCTTCTGCCGGCCCATTAAAAAGGTGTGGAAATTAGTGGAAATGTGGCGCCCAGGCTCAAGAGACGGGATAGTAAATGTGCTAATGGGCGCGCTCAGACAGATGGATGGCTGTAAGCACCAAGGTGAGACAAAGAGATAGAGGCTGAATGGTGGGCGGCGGGGTGGCGAGGGTTTGGTGCAAACTGGGTGTAATTGAGGTGAACGGTGGAAAATGAGATGGAGATGTGGGGCGCAGGTGGATAATATAAACATGAAAGAGGGGGAGGGGTGTGAGGAGACAGCCTTTGATTGTTGGACAGACGAGGAGGGGACTCCCACTGATGCTCAAACACAGGGCCACCCAGACGCTCTTATCGTCATGGTAATGTGCAGGTTAGTCGGCGCCCTTGTGAACGGAGAAGAGGAGGAGTGAAGAGGCGAGTTACAGCGGTCTATTTGAGTTTAGCAGCATGTGACAGGCCTGCTTCAACTGCTCACTGCTTCTGTCTTGTGATTCTCTGCAGCCGGACTGAGTAGTGAAAGGAGGGAGTGTGGTAAGAGGGGGAAGACCAGACTAGACCAGAGAACGACTAACTGCTCAGGGACGGGAAACACAGAAGTGATTCGCCAATCATTTTTTTAAAAAGTACGTTTTTGGGGAAGTTTAATAATAGTTCATTTTTGTGTTACATCCTTAAAAGGAAAAATCTGCGCTCTAAGTATCTTAAACTTTGAGTCAGGGTCTCTTGTTCAAGTTTTAAATACTTTTATTCTCATTTAACTGGTAAGTCTTTTTGGAACTGACCACTAGATTTGTCTTATGGGGTACCTCAGGGGTCAATTCTGGGACCACTTTTGTTTTCTATCCATGTGCAGCATTGATTATCACTTTGTGCGCTGATGACACCCTGTTCTAAAAAAGTTAAGACGTATTTTTTTTAAACTTTTAAGAGACTTTTAACTTCAAACTTGTATCAACTTTTAAATGGTGCAATGTTCATCTTTTATTGAATTTTAACTCATTCTTGTTGACTTTTTTGGCCATTTATTGTATTTGTCTTTTGTTTTACCAGTATTTCTGTTCTATTTTTATGCTGTGAAACACTTAGTGTGGAAAAGCACTATATAAATTAAGTTTGTCATTATTACTTTTAGTATCTTTGAAAGGGTTGGCTGCCATTAAAATCACAATTTTTTCCAACTCATTGGTTTCTTGAGTATTTTGTCCCATTTTAGCTAAATGTTTCTGATTTTTGAGTCAGGGTCTCTAGTTCAAGTTTTAAATTGTTTTATTCTCATTTAAGTGGTAAGTCTTTTTGGAATGAACCACTAGATTTGTCTTATGGGGTACCTCAGGGATCAGTTCTGGGACCACTCCTGTTTTCTATCCATGTGCAGCATTGATTATCACATCGTACACTTATGACACCCTGCTCTACCTTTCTTTTGGTCACTCTCAGCAAAAAGTATAGACTTATTTTTTAACTTTTAAGAGAGTTTTAACTCATTGTATCGACTTTTAAATGGTGTTCATCTTTTATTGAATTTTAACTCATTCTTGTTGACTGTTTTGGCCGTTTATTGTATTTGTCTTATGTTTTATCTGTATTTCTGTTCTGTTTTTATGCTGTGAAACACTTAGTTTGGAAAAGAACTATATAAATTAAGTCTCTTTCAAAGGGTAGGCAGCCATTCAAATCACTGTTTCAAGCTCATTGGCTTCTTGGGTATTCTGTCCCATTTTAGCTAAATGTTTCTGAAGACTGTGAGGTGTAGCTAAGACCTGCTAAGCCTAGTTTGCTGGTTTTTTAGGTACTCTGCTAGTTTTCTAAAGTCAGATGCTTTTAGTGTTTACTCAAGTCATGAAGCAGTGATAAAAAGTCCTATCATATCCATACAAGCTTGGTAGTAAGGTCTACAGCTATTAAATAATGATGAATGTTTTAATTTTTTATCGCACGACTAACGCAGAAGTACTCAAGGTATCAGAGTTTGTGCAGAAAGGGAAAGAGTATTGTCAGAACATTTTTACTTCACACTGAAACATACTCAGAAACTACAACGTCAGAAGAAACTGGAAAAATGTATCCCGCTTCTTTTTTTTCTTTTTTTTTTTTTAGATGAACATTTATTGCAGGTTGCTGTAAAGGACGCAACACTTTCCTCTTCCTTCTACTCCGTCGCTTCCCACTACTGTTTTTCTTCTTGGTTTCAGCGTGCAAAAATAATGGCTCCTGAATTATGTACATCCATTCAGTGTGAGGTTGCACACAGGGATGGCGAGTGTACAAAGACACACTACAGACCCATCACTCGCCAAAGTAGTCCAACCATCCATTACGTTTCAAAACAGCATTTATCTTCACCTGACCACGGCGCGCACACGTCCGCTCTTTGGTAAGAAACATAAAATCGACAGCTCTGAGCGAACCGCTGTCTAAATTAGGTCGGAGTAGCTTCTCCGCAGAGGTAGACTTGATATGTTGCACCCAACTCAAGAGGCTCGCCTTACTGTCTTCTCTGTTTTGTTTCCTTTCAATTGTCCCTAAAGACGGGGGGTGGGGAAAGCTGGAGGCGATGACACGGCAATGGGAGGAAGGAAGATGTAGCTGAGCGGAAAGAAAATCCCTGAGATATGGAGAGAGTCGGAGGAGAGAGGAGAGAAAATAGAAATAGGAAGGGAGGGTGACCGGGAGACGGAGAGGGGGAATATTGAAAGTAATAAAAGAAAGAGTGAGACAGCAGGGTGTGAGTGGATGAGAGAGAGGGAACTCGCAGGAAGACAAAGGCACGACTACCTCATCTATGTGGCTACCTCAAAGAGCCTCATTACTCCAGGCTTGGCCCAGTTTTCTCCTCTTACAAGTGCATTGTAGATGTCTTAGCCTCCAGGCGGTTACGCTGCATAATGCCACAACTTTCCCAAAATAGAGAGAAAACCTGAGCGTCTCTGTTTATTGTTGGAATATGAACACACCACAGCGAGACGAGAGACATACAACACATAAACTCGGCCCCAGAGGATGACTAACGGACTGATTCAAGACGAGTTCAGTTAACACAGGAGGAGGATCAGCAGAGAAACTTAAAGGGATATTCCGGCGTAAAGTTAAGTTAGGGTCTAACACACTATAACACCGAGTTAGACACCCCATCGAGAGATGAATGTTGCCGACCTCTTGCTTCTCAACTTATACCGACTCTAGTAACGACCGCACGATAGCAATACACAGCAGTCTGAGGAGCCATAAACAAACCTCAACCAAAGCGCCACTCTATAGCCACAAATAATGCTCAGAACAGCACCTAACTTCATCAACAGGACATATAGGGTCCTAGCTACCAAACATCTTTTTAGCTTTGCCTAATTTCTTTAGCAAAGAGACTAAACACAACTCACCTACTCTCTTCCAGCATCATTTCTTCATTGAAATGCACTTAGACCGAGACGCTAAGGCAGAAGACCTACCGCATCTGCAGTGCAAAATGATTATCATGATGATTATTACTTCAAGAAATGATCATAAATGTTCTTCCTTGAGCTGCGCCACCCCGCTGCAGTCGGTGGACTCGTCCGAGGTCTCGCTACAAACAAGCAGCTGCTGGAAGAGAGTAGGTGAGTTGTGTTTAGTCTCTTCGCTAAAGAAATTAGGCAAAGTTAAAAGATGTTTGGTGGCTAGTACTATGGCTGGGACCCTATATGTAGTGTTGATGAAGTTAGGTGCTGTTCTGAGCATTATTTGTGGCTAAAGAGTGGCGCTTTGGTTGAGGTTTGTTTATTTCACGACGGAATATACCTTTAAGTTTAAATCTGAATAATCCAAAACTGCTTTTAAGGAAGCGTCAAATAAAACATGCAGTGATACAGTTCTCTGATACAGTTGTGACAAGTAGAGTATATATGTTATAAATGGTGCTACCTCTAAGAGCAGCTAAAGTACCCATCGTAACTAAGGCTAGCTTCCGCTCACAACCACAGAGCCAAATGGAGAAACACATGGAGCGCCAAAAACTCATCAGCTCAAAAGAAAAAGGTCACGTTAATTCACAACTGAGGAAGATGTGACCAAGAGGTGAATCTATAGCTTCATTTTTTGATATCATTTAGTAACATCCATATTAAATAAATATTAAGCTAGCTGCCTGATTAAAACTCTCTTAATTAGAAACTACTTGGGTCCACTTGTGGCTGGCTCTGAAAGTCCAGGAAAGCCCATTAGCACCTGAGTTAAAATGACTGTTCTGACAGCATAATTCAACACTTTCACAGTTTTTTGGTTCTAATAAGGCTAAGATTTCAGCACAGTTGTGAGGTGAGGCTAATTTGACTGAGGCAGACACATTCTGGCTGCTGCAGGGACAAAAGCCTCTACTTTAGTGCCAGTTTCTAGGCTTATTAAGCATAACAGAAAGTCTGTGTCCAGGTTTGTGTGCAGTCCACAATCCAAATTAAGGTCTGTACTTGAACCGCGGATTGATTAAAACAAGTTTGTCAATCAATCGTAAAATCAAGAGCAGATGCTTTGGAAAAACTCCAACTTTATCGCCTTTTTTAAGGCATCAAGTGCGAGGCAGTGAGTCTGACCTGAATATATTTATACCTCCTAATAAGCTGCACTGTTCTGAAAGCCACTTCACTGGAGCTGAGAGGGAAGAGCCGGTCAAAAGAGGAGATGAAGGATGCAAACTCACTTCAGTCTAAGTGGTATACGGTTGATGCCTTGAGCCGAGCACTCATTAAAACTCCGTTTTTGCTACACAGGTAGTGACCATGATTAATATATGGAGATGTTGAACAGTCCCATCTGTTTCAGCACATCTGCACAGCAGGACTGAGGAGTGTTTCGGTGGAATTCCACAGGCTTGGAGATGTGCTAAACGCACTTTTAGTGATACGAAATGTCTTCCGCGAGCGTGGCTGCTCCACAGCAGGTGGCAGACAGCTGTGCGGAGGTGGAGAAGGTCTCCGGGCGCAGAGAGTGCACCGAAGTGTGTGTGTGTGTGTACGTGTGTGCGTGGCCTGAATGGACAGTGACGTTCCTCCAACATGATAGGGGTTAAACGTGTGTCAGGACAGATAGAGGAGCGAGAAGACATGAGGTTCACCTTTGCAGTGAGAGTCTCGCAGTGAGCAGCGGGAGACTCTGTTGACACTCTGACACCGGAGGAGGAAGATTTAGTCTTTTAATTCCTTTTCAGCGATTCCTGATTTTTCCCTATTCTTAAAGGGCCTGTGAAGTAACATTAAAGGGATATTCCAGCATAAAATAAATTTAAGGTCACCCCCTTTTGGACACCCCCTCGAGAGATGAATGTTGCCGACCGCTTGCTTCTCTAGTTATACCAACTTTAGTAACGACCGCACGATAGCAATACAGAGAGCCACGCGCCTAACCAACACGCCACTCTACAGCCACAAATAATGCTCAGAACAGCACCTAACTTCATCAACAGTACATATAGGGTCCCAGCCATAGTACTAGACACCAAACATCTTTTAACTTTGACTCATTTCTTTAGCAAAGAGACTAAACACAAATCACCTACTCTCTTCCAGCAGTCGCTTGTTTGTACAGAGACCTCAGGCCAGTCCATTATGGACTACAGCGGGGTGACGCAGCTCAAGAAAGAACATTTATGATCATTTCTTTATCATTTCCTTTAAGTAATAATCACCATATTAATCATTTTACACTGCAGACGTGGTAGTTCTTCTGACTTAGCGTCTCGGCATGATTGTATTTCCATGAAGAAATGATCATAAATGTTCTTCCTTGAGCTGCGGCACCCCGCTGTAGTCTGTAATGGACTGGCCCGAGGTCTCGCTACAAACAAGTGGCTGCTGGAAGAGAGTAGGTGAGTTGTGTTTAGTCTCTTTGCTAAAGAAATCAGGCAAAGTTAAAAAGATGTTTGGTGGCTAGTACTATGACTGGGACCCTATATGTCCTGTTGATGAAGTTAGGTGCTGTTCTGAGCATTATCTGTGGCGTTTTGGTTGAGGTTCATTTTTGGCTCCTCAGACCGCTGTGTATTGCTATCCTGCGGTCGTTAGTAGAGTTGGTATAACTAGAGAAGCAAGAGGTCGCCAATATTCATCTCTCGACGGGGTGTCTAACTTGATGTTACGGTGTATTTGACCCTAAATTAATTTTACGCCGGAATATCCCTTTAAAACATGATGTCAGATCAACAAAAAGTGTTTTAAATTACCACTTTTGATTGTGTTTGACTCTGTTATATAAATGACAGTTGACCTCAGGGAGGCATAAACCATAAAAAAATGTCAGTAAACATTTGGTTAGCTGGTTTCTGCAATATGTGGGGAAAAAAGGACTGATTCTCAGACACTAGGAGGAATATTCTGCAGTAAGAAACAAAAGTATGACCACAAACACTATGAAATACTTGTTGTTTCCCCTGCAGTGGAGTTGAGCATTACTGGCCCACACTTGAGTGAATTTCAGCGCCATAGCCAAGAACATGAGGAAGCCACAGGTCACAGCGGTCAATAACTAAATCACAGATGCAGAAAACTTCTGTGTTTGGGTCCAGTGGACTTTAACGCTCCAACAACTTTTTTTTTTTTTTATCATCCTAAATTCCAACACTCAAGGTCTGCCAACATTTGTTGTTCCTGTGTTCAATCTGGTCTGAAGTTTATCTCTAAAAACATGATTGGTTGTTTTCTTACTCTCAACAAAGAGGAAGCGCAGTAAACAAAAAAAGCAAAAATAAATCGGGATGAGTAAGCGCACAGCCATGAGAGGAAATTGATGGATCGCATCTGAAAAGAAAAAAAAAACAAACCTGAACAAAGCGAATCTCAGAGCAGCTGCACTTTATTCCTCTGACATTTCCTACTTTGATGCACGGTGTGAAAAATCACCGTATTTCTACAACCATAAAAGGTTCAATAAAAGCCGCCTTAAGGAGCAGCATCACTAAGAAAAACTGCCCCCCTCCTCTCGTAGATCAATGGAGCAGTCCGACTCACTGTCTCCCCCCCGCTGCCGCTCGCCCCCCTGTGACACTCAGGTTAACGCCCCAGGGACCGGCACTGTTTCCGGCAGAGTACGCTCGGCTGGGTCCGCCCGTGTTCACAGCTGTGACGCCATTAAGTCCCAGTAAAGACACCCATGGGTTATGGATGAGAGGAGGAGAGGGGAAAGGGAGGGAGGAGAGGCAATGTTGCTAAAGGATCCTTCAAATCTGCACTGCCTTGTTTGCCCTGGAAACCGTGCTGTTACAAACTGATGTCTGAGGAGTTTTCTGAGGTGTACAGCTCGGTCAAGATATTCTCCTCTGGGTTTTTGTGAAAACACATGAAGATGTTTATTCAGTGTATCCTTCGTGAGCCTGACTGATATTTCTGTTGGCTGATACTGTCGGGCCGATACGGTCTGTGAGTTTGAGTGACTCTCTTGTAATTCTCAATACTGATTTTTAGGTTTTATGCATTTTTAGTAACTTTTAGTCATCTATTGTTTTAAAGTTCTAATAAGCAATGATATATCAGTATGGTCATGTATCATATACTGATATTAACAGATAAAAACTTCTTCAAAACACATTCAATAAAGAAACACTGTCTTTTCTTGTCAGTCCACTCTACTTTTAATTGCATTGTAGTTTATTTCACTCTTTATTCCTGATACCTACTGTAAATGTGTTTTTTTATTCCAGTCAGAACGTTAACAGATCATATTGGCTGTAATATTGGTAATCAGTGAAATATGTCAGTATCAGTAAACAGCAACAGATATCAGTATCAGTCTCTAAAATCCAATGTCGACTTTCATCCAGAGTGTATCTAGGCTTGCGATTTCCATTTCCTCTTGACACCTCCGGAATGGTGAAAATTTCAAAACACAGATATTTGTTGCAATATTGGTTATCAGTGACAAATATCAGTATCGGTCTCAAAAATCCAATATCAGTCAACTATAATGTAATAGTGTTTACTTTCATCACCCCTGGATGGGATCCTTTTTTTATCTTAGTAACATTTTCCTGACACCATATTGACTACAATATCGGCAATAAGTGAAATATATCAGTATCGGTAAAACTCCTGTATCAGTCAACTCTAATGTAATAGTGTTTACTTTCATCACCCCTGGATGGGATCCTTTTTTAGTCTTGGTTAAATTTTTATATTGACTACAATGTTGGCAATAAGTGAAATATATCAGTATCAGTAAAACTCCTATATCAGTCAACTCTAATGTAGAAGTGTTATCTCTGTTTATTTTTAACACCCCTGGATGGGACCCTTTTTATCTTAGTGAAATTTTTCTAACACCATATTGACTACAATATCGGCAATAAGTGACATATATCAGTATCTGAAAAGTCCTATATCAGTCTACTCTAGGTTTAAGTGCATCAAAATGTATCCTCCCCCTTTTTCTTGACACCATCTGTGAACCCCAGATCGAATCATTCCCAGAGGGGAGACAGGGGTCGAGATTACGATGCTTCACCCCCGACCAGAAAAGGGAACCCTCCCCCTCCCCAGGTCCTCATGTCAACAGAGGAGCAGACTCAACTGAAGGGGGAGGAATTCATACAGTTGTCCCAGTGTGAGCACCTCTAGGAAGATACATTGGTTTGATCTGAAACTGCTGAAGGTTTTTATTGTGGTCTTCACCACTAAATAAAACTCATAAAGAAGACAAACAATCACAACCCCCACATGACAGCAACACAGTATATGACTCCCAGAGCTGTCATTTCCTGTTGAAATGTGGCTAGATCAGCAGGAGGGACGGCCATACTGTCTTATTAGTGCAGACCCTTGACATACCATCCAGCCAATCAGGTGGTGCTAATCACTGGCTTTAGGCTCTACAGAGACAGATTGGGGTTAATGACCTTCTGGAGAGCTGGAGGGGGACAACATGAGTGCCTCTTTGTATATGTATGCCTGACACAAACAAAGACTAAGTGCACGGCTTCATTACAGCCTCTGGAAACACAGTTTGAAATAATAAAAATGCAAATATGATTTCAAAGCTGAGAGTCTCATTAGGCATCGACACAACTCAGAGTGAAAAAAAGAAGTTCCTCAGTACCAGAAAACAAAGGCCAAAACACACTTAATTATGCTGTTTGGAACATGTCTGACGGTGTGGCTTTAGCAGGTCATGTTTTTTTATCAACATCTGGCTCCACACACGGCAACAACACATGAAAATCAGCCGGAAACAGCTTGTTTGAGGCGTCTGAGTCAGAATCAGAAGAGAAAACAGGAGCCCGTGCACAGAAAACTATCAATCCTAACCAATTACTGTCTTTCTATACATGAAATTTAGCTGTTCCCTTCTCCACGCATGGTAATCTAAGACATAGCTGCTCATTTATGTCTTTATGGACTCTGAACAGTATGAAGCCAATGGATTGATCATAGTTATTTAAAGGGATATTCCAACGTAAATTAGGTTAGGGTCAAACCCACCGTAACACCGAGTTAGACACCCTGTCGAGAGATGAATGTTGCCGAACGCTTTCTTCTCTAGTTTTATCAACTTTAGTAATGACCGCAGGTTGCAGTACGGCAAGCCACATGCTCAGCCAAAACACCACTCTATAGCCACAAATAATGCTCAGAACAGCACCTAACTTCATCAACAGGACATATAGGGTCCCAGCCATAGTACTAGCCACCAAACATCTTTTTAACTTTGCCTAATTTCTTTAGCAAAGAGACTAAACACGACTCACTGTCTCTTTTCCAGTAGCAGCTTGTTTGAACAAAGACCCTGCAACAGTCCATTACGGACTGCAGCGGGGTGACGCAGCTCAAGGAAGAACATTTACGATAATTTCTTCATCATTTCCTTAAAGTAATAATCATCATATTAATCATTTTGCACTGCAGACTCATTAAGAAATGATCATAAATGTTCTTCCTTGAGCTGCGACACCCCGCTGCAGTCCGTAATGGATTGGTCGAGGTCTTGCTACAAACAAGCAGCTCCAAGCTGGCTAGTACTATGACTGGGACCCTATATGTCCTGTTGATGAAGTTAGGTGCTGTTCTGAGTGTTATTTGTGGCTATAGAGTGGCGTTTTGGTTGCGCACGTGGCTCTCTGTATTGCTATCATACAGTTGTTACTAAAGTTGGTATAACTAGAGAAGCATCCTAACTTTATTGTACACCAGAATATCCCTTTAAATAACTTTTATGGAATTTCGGAATATCCCTTTATCATTTGGTGTTTTTAAGTGGTCTTGCATCCATGATTTCATTTCCTTGAGGCAGATAAAAGGAGTTATGTTTGACTGGTCTCCATGTCTGGTTGGGATGTAAATTTGAGTGTCATCAGCATAACAGTGAAGCTGTACATTGTATTTACAGATATTATCAAGAGGTAGAAAGTAAATGGAAAAGAGAATAGGACCTAGAACTGAACCCTGTGGAACCCCACATAAGAACCAGCCACAGACACCGCAAAAGATCTGATCCAAGTACAACCTGAACCTCTGCTTTAGAGTCTACTACATCAAATGCAGCACGAACCAGGATGGAGCTCGTGTCTATGATCACAGGAAGCCCAAATTGTTCCTGAAATCTAAATTTGACAAATTAATCAGGCGGGCGTACCCTAGACGACGCTTTGTTCCCCACGCTTTGGAGGCAATGTTTGATGACGGCTCTGCAGGTGGTGCTACATTATTGTGAGCGTACATCTCCCCTGCAGACACTCAACACCTGCAGCTAAAAGAGCTTCAGCAGTCATCCGCTCTTCCCTCCTGCAGCTAAATAACAGCTCGTGAAAGATTAGGCCCGCATCATATGAGACAAACATTGTCAATACTGTGGTAATGTCTGGAAGTGTAATGAATACTCAGAACTGAAAGCGCGCACATTTGCTTTAAATCACACAGCTTCTTCTCAATCAGTAAACCAAGCTGATTTGGTTCCTGCACCTGATTATGACGCCTCCTAAATGCTTCCCTGTAGAGTTTTTCCTTCATGCCCAACAGAGAAGAGGCCCCCGGGGTAGACCCAAAGCTTGCTGAAGGGATTATACATCCAATCTGGTCTGGGAACGCCTAAAGAGTCCCTTAGGAGGAGTTGTAGAATGCTGCTGTGGAGGGTTGTGACCCGATTGTGGATAATTTGACGGATAAACTGAATTTTTCATGACGTGTCAATAACAAACACTCACCATGCAATAATGATGATTTTGATTGTGCAGCCGTACCATGAGTGTTGACTGCAAAATACAAGTTAATGCAAGGGGATAACATTTGTCAAATCTACAAAACTCCACATGGACATAAAGTTTTTGTCTGATTGACAGGGTGAAAGTCGAGTCCTAAAGCCCCGTGTTTAACATGAATCCGCCTGTTTCTGAGCTAATTATTAACTTGCAATGAGATTTGCACCAAGAAGCAGGGGCGTCTCCAGACTCTTTTGACTGGGGTGGCCTGATCCAAACACTGAATTATTCAGGGGTGGACAAATTAAAAGCATTTATTTTTGCATTGTTGTCTAGATTTCTTTTAGGAAATAAATATCTGCAACTAAAAAGGCAAACTAGCAAAATTCTTTTATTTTCTTTTGTGTTTTTATTTATTTTATAATTATTACTATTTTTGACCTCCATTACATCTGTTTTTTTATGTTCAATTGTCTGTTGCAACATTGAAAAAATAATAAACTTTAAATTTTATATACAGTATAAAAATAGCAAAATGATGGTCACCTTTACTTTTGCACATTCCATTACCTCATAAAAACTCACCACAGGAGCTTTAAGCAGTGCATTATGGCAAAATATCTTATCAAGCTGACTTTTGACTCTCATGTGTGCTAGTTTCTGAACATACCTACTGTGGAAAATTTTAAAGAAAAGTATTTTTCTTTATTTGAATTTCCCGCTGGGATTAATAAAGTACCTATCTATCTATCTATCTATCTATCTATCTATCTATCTATCTATCTATCTATCTATCTATCCTACTTAGGCATTAAAAATCAGTATAAAAATGTCAATTTTGTTTCTAATGGCCTTGTTTGCTTTAAAAAGACCGATAAATATTTAAGTCTGTTTCATAGATGTCAAAAAACTCCTCACTGGAGCTTTAACTGACGAAGATTCCCACCAGGATAAAAATCAATATCTGCTAATTCTTCCTGACTTACTATCAGACTCCTAACCATCAGGGTGTCTATTGCGTTAAAAAAAGACATCATGACAGCTCCAGAGGCCGAGCTGTGGTGAATCTCTGTTTCAACAATAACGTTACACAGTCTTTCACTTTGACAGCGAGACGCTGAGGTCAGACAAGGAGCGTGGAAATCAAGAATAACAGCTTTAAGATTGATTTTCTTCAGGGGGAGGGAATAGGAGTTGGTCAATTTCCAATGCAATCAGCATGGCCGCTGAACAGATAATGGATTTTCGGCCCTTTGTGCGCATAAATCTCCATTTTCCACCGCAGAAACTTGACACAGCTTTACACAAAAAGGTTATGCATTCTGTTGTTAAAACAGTCAATCAGAGACGCTCAGCTGCTTGTAATGGCATCAAGAAACCGGAGCGCAATGAAAACACCAAATTATAATTATTATGTAATGAAACAGTCAGTAAAACAACATCGTTTCATCACTTCAAGGACATAATCAAAGAGGGGGACGGTATTTTATCCTCAAAGTTTCACATTACCTCCCCCTCTTCAGCTATTCCGACACAATGGCACATCCATTTATACTGCTGTGGGATAGGTCTTACATCGCTGCACAAAAGGAGAAGGTGAAGAAAATGCTGATGAACCAGAAATGGAGAAAACAAAGACAACAGGGAAAAAAAAAAAAGAGAAAACAGTCTGGAGGAAAGAGAGGAGGCAGTGCGGACGCACTCGGCTGGAACATTGTTTCCAGGGAATCTCTATGAGAAAAGCCAGTGAGACGGTGAGAACGAGTGTGTTAAGAGCGTGTGTTTGCTCCTGTAATTGAATAGTACGTCTACCGCTTGTTCATTTATCTTGTTTCTTTCAAGGGCGAGGTAATAGTGAGATGTAGGCTTTCAATAGAAGCCGTCTGAGCTGCACGCTAAGGTAGTGAGATGAGTCTACCACAAAAGGTGCTGCCCTCATGAATCAGAACGTGTTTCTCTGCTGGGCGACAGACGGATGCCCTCGAAAGTCTGTGGATATTCACAGAGCGTGTCAAATCTACCTGAATAGGTACGATCAGAATATTGTTAAAGATCTATTCCTGCATGTTGAGCTCGGCTGTTTTTGTGTTCAAGACAAAAACCAAGGCTTTTTTTTTTCTCTACAGCAGCATACCAATAAGCTTTAAGGCTATATTTGTGCTCCACAGAGCATGCTTGATGCATAAATCACAATATTTACATTCATTACAGTCTGGCTGTCAACCGTGGACCACGCAACGGACGAAAACACACAGAGAGAGCTTGTGGTACAGGAAACCAATCTCAAAACCCATTGCAATCATTGCCTTTCACTGACGAGCCATTAGAGGCTGCAAACATCTCTACAAATATGGTGAAACAATCAGTTAGCCCTAGCATGAACAGCTACCACACACTATTTATAGTCTCAGTTTGACTGTAAATAATAAATCAGTCTGAGGTTTCACTCTGACTCACTTCAGCCAAATGAGCCCAGAAATAGAAAACACCTTTCATGAGATTTGTCTGTATTAAGCCCATTGATATGTTTCTAGCAAGTCTCAGTTTTACTGTAAAAAGTAGCTAACACAGAGGTTTCATTTTGGCTTACTTTGAGAGTATGTGCCCCAAAATACAAAACAACAGTAAGTGATTAAATGAAATAAATGTCCATTAAAGTCTGAAAAAGTAACGCCCCAGCTTTGTGCCCATTTACCTATTTCTGGCAGGTCTTAGTTTCACAGTAAATAGTGAATTATATTACACTTTCACTCTTGCTTACTCTGTGAATATAAGCCCCCCAAAGAAGAAATCAATCAGATGTGATTTACTTGCCACAAATGTGTCTCAAAGATTGGAAAAATAACACTCCAGCTTGGTGCCCATTTGTCTGTTTCTGGTAGGTCTTGGTTTCACTGTAAACAGGAAGTTAAATTGAGGTTTTATTTCAGCGTACTTTTGCAGCATAAGTGAAAATGCAAATAATATCCCAGCAACGTGTTTGTTCATCTGTTTCTGGCAAGTCTCAGCTTCACTGTAAATACTAAGTTATACTGAGGTTCCACTATGGCTTATTATGGCAACATTAATCCAGAATAAGACTGAATTTTTTTTGCATTTTTTCAGTAAATAATGTCTCTATAACTCTGCCAAAGTGACATCCCAACATTTTGCCTATTTATCTGTTTTTGGCAGGTCTCAGTTTCACAGTAAATAGTTATTTATAGTGAGGTTTTACTCAAGCTTTCTTCATTCTCAAAAGGATAATAAGTTTCATGTGATTTCTTTGCAATTAATGGTCTTTAAATGTGTCAAAATAAGACCCTCGCATTGTTCTTATTCATCTGTATCTGGCAGGTCTCAGTTTTACTGTTAATGGTTAACTACACAGGGGTTTACTTTGGCTTACTTTAGCTGTATGAACACAAGAAAAAAAGTTTTATGTGATTTATTTGCAATCAATGGTCTTCAAATGTGTCACTCCAAAAGTATTCCTTTAACTTGGTGAGGGGTTGCTTAGAGTTTGAGTTCATGTTATAAATTTAAAAAACAAATCACTCACTTTAACCATTTTTGGGGTGTAACCAGTTTGAAAATTGCAAACACAGTCAACCGTCTCTGAGACCAGACAGACTCACACACACGCTGAACAAACAGGAGCACAAAGGTCAGAGTGAAGCACATTTTCCCACACTTGTTATCCTCATAATGAACATAAGCATTATGGTTAGCATTGTGGCATTGACACCCACTGATAAAACTTTGTAAACATGGAACAACGAAACAGAAAGTGTGATATTTGTTTGGATTAGAGAGAAAAAAGGAAGTGGGAAATCATATGGACTAGAACCTGCTGACCTACACATGATATCAGTCTCCAAACACACACACATATAAACACGTGGGCTCTCTCAGATATCCTAAAATCTAGGCCCTTGTCCTATTTCTGGATGAGCTTCTTCATTTTCAGTTTTTGCCCTCTTTCCATGCTCTGGGCCTCGGGACAGAGAAACACATTTCAAAGAACTGAAAGTCCTGGCAGAGGAGGACTGAGAGATCTCTAAGAGAGCAACATCATCACAGCGTGCCCTCAGGATACTGGAGTGTCAAATTCAAACCCTAAAAGTCAGGAAACCAAGGGAATGTGATGCACAATACTCGGGCAGCAGAGCATGAAAGCAGAACCCAAAATACATCCATCAGACGTCATTCTGCTCATGAAATCACTACAAAAGATTATTAACAATGCAAAAAATCTATATTAGATATTCTGGCATAAAATAATTTAGGGTCAAACCCACTGTAACGCCAAGTTAGACACCCCATCGAGAGATAAATGTTGCCAACCACTTGCTTCCTTAGTTTTACCAACTTTAGTAATGACCGCACAATAGCAATACACAGCCGTCTGAGGAGCCATAAACAAACCTCAACCAAAACGCCACTCTATAGCCACAAATAATGCTCAGAACAGCACCTAACTTCATCAACAGGACCCAGCCATAGTACTAGCCACCAAACATCTTTTTAACTTTGTCTAATTTGGCAACTGCCGAGGCTCAGCAAGAAGGTAGCATCCAGGAGGATGAGGCTGGCCGGCCACTGCCATAGATAGCAGGAGCTCCCGGCCGGCAGGCTGGTCCTATGGGAACCAACACACGGGCACCGTTCGCGAGGACGTTCAGCGCTAATGTATGTGGACGTCCTGAAGAAGGATGCAGGAGCTGAAAGCTCTTTGGAGACTCCGATGGAAGCTCATCTGAGGACGACCGAGAGAGAATTTCTTTAGCAAAGAGACTAAACACAACTCACCTACTCTCTTCCAGCAGCCACTTGTTTGTAGGAAGACCTCGGGCCAGTCCATTACGGACTACAGCGGGGTGCCACAGCTCAAGGAAGAACATTTCTGATCATTTCTTTATCATTTCCTAGAAGTAATAATCACCATATTAACCATTTTGCACTGCAGACGCATTATTTGTGGCTATAGAGTGGCGCTTTGGTTGAGGTTTGTTTATGGCTCCTCAGACCGCTGTGTATTGCTATCCTGCGTCCGTTACTTAAGTTGGTATAACTAGAGAAACAAGCAGTCGGCAACATTCATCTCTCGAGGGGGCGTCAAACTCGGTGTTACAGTGTGTTTGACCCTGGAATATCCCTTTAAGAGCGGGCGCCTGCATGCTGAGTATTCAGTCAGTAACAACCACTGCATAGACTCAAGACAACAAGTCCTACTGTAGCTCATCTGGAGTGTACTGAACCGCCTGTCTCTGCAGATTTTTGCAGCATGTGACGAGATTTTGGGAAATGTTTGGCCGCAAAAATGAAGAATAACTTCTTTATTGTCAGAGGACAGAAATTACAGGGGAAAAAAAATCAAGTCAGGTGATTCAGCTGAGACACATTCCTTTACACACAATACAAGTGTCCAACAGACGGTGGGAATCCCACTGACACACACACTCACACTCACACACACAAACACAAAGAACAGTGAAAGATCACAACCTCTCACATTCCATCACATTCACTGGCCCTCAGCCAGCGGAGGCATTCAGCAGGATTGCCCACACTACAACTCACCAATTACAGCTCATCTGAGACGGCGTACAGACACTTTCAGGCGCGGCCCCTCTGCTCAATACCTCCACCACAGCGAAACCAACGACACATTGATTCAGCAATTCCATTACAAAGAATGGACTCGGTCTAAATTAAATTTCTTGATCGTACAGCTCCAGCTCAGATCCTCATTCTTAGTTGGAGCTGGATTTTAACACAGGGTTTTATTATTTACATTTTTATGAAGGAGGTTGTGCTTGAACTGTTTCTGGAGCATTATCATTATTATGCTCTGACTGTTAAGTATGACCTGAGTGAGTTTAATCAGGGTTTACCGAGTACAGCGAAGAGCTAACCAATATTTCCGGCATGTCAGAAATTCATCCAACCAGCTACTGATCGGGCCACTATTAACTCGGATGCCCCTTATTACACTGCACAGAAAACAACCTACAATTGAGCTGAAATTCAGCCTTATTAAACAACCGGTTGTGCGACTCAAAATCAAATCTGAATCGGCTTCAGTTCACAAATTGCATGCTCATCTTTCCAAGATTTCTTACCAACCATCCAAGTAAAAGCACCATTGTGGGATACAGGACAGGAGGTTATTTCATCTTGAAGGATTGCAACATGTCCGGATCTGCAAATCCTTGGAGGTCACAGTACCGGCACATTCTTTAGTCAGTGCTCATGTACAGATGCATGATGGCATCATTTACACAGAGCACTCCGATGCAAAAACAGTATGTCCACCACATCCACTGCATGCAGCGCTCTGCAAAGGTGGTAAATGCTGGAAGGCTTACTCTTGTTTATCACTTGGAATAAAGTGGAATTTGAATGCTTAGATTTATTTCAGATTGTGTTTAAAAGCGTACTTCTGTCAGACACGAATTGTACAAAACAGTACAATGATTTTTAGGAGCAGAGACCAACAAGAACACATTCTAATGAAGATGCAGCAGCTCAGAAAACCGCTGCCATTAAACATGAAACTTATTTTGCTTTTCGAAAAGATTAAATCAGCAGATCTGTTTGTTTCAGAGACAGAGGGACCTGTGTGAATAATTCAGCCTCCACCTTCAGAACATGAATAATAAAAGATACATTTGAGACTTTGTTTAAAAAGTTTAAAACATCCACAGCGGTTTTTCCTGCATTGCTAAAGAGTACAACGACGTGGACTTTAAGGAGACCTCGATATTTATCATTATAGTGTTGGCAAAGTTTGATAATAATGAGACACATGGATGGTGGAAAACACCCCTGGAGAAGTCCTCTAAATAGCTCGTTTTGAGACTTGGCCTGAACATGATGTCAGGTTGTGCCATCCCATTACGACAAGGTGAAAGGGTGAGTCCGCCTAGAAGTTAAAGAGTCCAATTCCCCCCTTCAATCTGCACTTTGTTGATTCACCAAGACCCGTAAAGTTGTGGTCTTTTGGTTGTGAAGGACCATTACCGCTGTTTTTCCTTCCCCGAGGACTCTTTTGAAAACAAAGGCCAGTATGAGCTGGATTTGCATCTGAATTGTATCTAGAATCTTATAAAAACCTGTCAAGACAACTCAGGAACGCAAGATCTTAGTAACATCATGAAAAGCAGGTAATGTGACAACACCAAGTGGGCAGAAATAGCCTCAGACGTTTTCTGTAAGGGCATAACTTTTGCATACTTTGCGACTACAAAGGGGTTGTTGTGGTTCGGTAGTAGAGTGGGCTGAAGGTTGGGGGTTCAATCCCAGATCTTGGAAACATGAGTGTTCTGAGAAAGAAGTCTGACCCCAACTTGACTTCAATGGCTGCGCCCAGTGGAGTGTGAGGGGTATTTGTTGTTACTAATGGGCGCTCTACATAGTAGCCTCCGCCGCCAGTGTGAATGTGGAGTGAATGGGTGAGTGGGACTGGTGTTGTAAAAGCTATTGGAGCCAGAACGGCTACAAAAAGGCCGTATCCCCCGACCCTAGCTGATCGTAACCATTCAAGTTAAGTGAAAGGTTTTTAAACAGCATTTCATCCCGATGACACCATGGATGAAGAAATGCTGATTCTAGACGTCTAGAAGTAGATTTCCTCCACTGGAAGGACTCAGTCTACTGCTTATATGGTTAGCGTATATGGCTAAAGACAACTTGTCATCACACGACTGCACATGAATCCGCTGGTACTTGTGAGTTCTCGCGATTCCTGCTTCCGTAATCCGCCACGAAATTTGCCTCACAAAGGGATCCGGTAGGAATAGGTGTATAGTGAAAATGGGATCCGGATAGGAGCCGTTTCAGATGCGGAAGAAATCCCAGGTAAGTGCTGCAAAAACACAGTCCATTTACCGATTTACCTTTTACAGAGCTGTGTAAAAAGTAACACCCCACGATGCGTTTAACTTTATGCTAGTTGGAAAGCAGCCGAAGGAGAAAGGAGGAGAAAAAGTATAGAAATTAGGGTTCTCATGCACCCCAGTATGAGATAATAGTGAGTTTTTTTGGGGGGTTGCAAATGAAGGTGAGAGTGAGTATAATGGACCTACTTTAAGTGCTGAGATGAACTCTAAAGTGGTCTAAATCATTCTGGACAGCTTCTATGTCGTCACTGTTCTACATCTGGCATCAAGCTGACACGGGTCACCTCAGTGGCAACACTAACACCAGCATTGAATAATTCACAACCTAACAACTACATAAGCACACCCAGGGGAAATTTATCACCTGTTTTCTCAGATAGTCTTACCCTTGATGAATGTCCAGCGTATTATCACTCCTACTAATGCAGTGAAAAGAGGATGCAGTGATCAGAATTAAGCTGTCTTCCCCACAAAGGACAGGGAATGTAATGGCCTAGATAGCCTTGCATCGGCTTGAAATTGTGTCATTAGCTTCGGCGCTTCAAAGGAAATTGTTCTACAAAGTGGGAGCATGAAGGGCTTGACCTATATCCGCGCAAGAGTGCAGGAGGGTGGCTGCGTTAGAGACAAGTAAGTGTGAGAAGCGAGGAAACAAAAGTCACTGTGAATGAGAGAGGTTGGTGGTTGTGTGATGGGGGTTTCCCACCCCTGACTGGAGGGTCTGTCTGTCTGTGGTTGACAGTTTTCTCAGGAGGAAGCGCTGCTCTCCTGCAGAGACTCACCACCAACATCCCCCACACACCCTGTGGCGATGACTCTATGCTTCTACTGTTCTACGCAGAATGAAAAGTGGCAGCACGAGGAGAAAAAAAACACTCCTTCACTTTGCTGCTGTCCATCCCGTCTCCGATACCAGCAAATCCAAACCAGAAGTGCTCCCACTGGAGATCTAGAGCGGGAGAGGATCAAACTAAAACTACTGCAGCTGAAGAGGTACACGGGGAAATCAAAAAGGTGGCGTCATGACTAAGCAACAACAGAGCCATCAAATAAAACCATAATAGAGGTGACACCTGCAGTTCCTCAAGTGGCCACTTGGGACTGGCCTCGAAAGTGAGCTATTCTCCATTAAGCTCCTCAATAAATGAACTAACTAAAAAGCAGAAATACACATGATCCCAAAACTTGGTTATTGATTAATCTAGACGAATTTCTTAGATGTTAAAAATGTGCTTAAAGCTCCTATGAGGAATTTTTTTTAATGTCTAAGAAATTGGTGCATTTTTATGATACCCATAAGCAAACAAGTTTATTAGTGTCGTGACTGATAAACTTTGTGTTGTAATTTTTAAATGCCTGAAACTAGGGCTGGGCGATTTGGGAAAAAGTTTATCACAGTATATTTTTTTCATATCAGTCGATATTGATATATATTACGATAAAAAATGAAAATTAACAATGCTTATTGGTGTCGGCTCCATGTGTTAAAGTGCTATGGTTGCGTGTAGCTGCTGCCTGCTACTATGCAGTTGTTTGCTACTTGGTTCTAATTCAGCACATGATTGGTTCAGCGCTAAGCGGACCCGGAGAATTGACATTGATAGAAGACCTGACTATACCAAGTGGAAGACAAGATATCTAAGGACTGCTTTGTCCACAGGGGGCGCCAAAATTGACACACACAAAAAGTGCCTTACAGCAGTTTATTCAAGCAAACAGTTACATGCATTTTTTTCTTTTACTTTCAAAATAAAAGAAAAGAAAAACTTGTTTTGTGTCATATGAGTGGATCAGAGAAGACCTGGAAAGGTGATGTGTACAGCATGAAGTTACCTGGCAGGAAGCTAAGAGTTAGCCACGTTACACAAGATCTCTTACAACCTTATTCTGATGGGAACACAGCGGTTAACAGGCCAGTGAATGAATTGGCCAAGTGCTCTTACTGGCATGCCCCAATGTTCTGCTGATCACACTTCTGGCTTCAATAAATCGACTCAGCAATGGCCAAAATGAAGGATTACAAAAACAGGCGGTTAGCAAACTAATCTGTGAGGTTTGGGCAGCTGAGATTGGATCCAAACTTATCTTGGTGCTTCTATTCTTGGAACGGGCGGGTTCTCTACAGCGTACCAACCAAACTCAGATATAATCGATCTGAGGTGTGTCTGTTCCTAAAAAGCTGAGAGATCCAACCAAAGAAAACGGTCTTTCTTCTCCTTTCATTGGAAACACAAACTCTTTGAGTCTAAATGTCAAACTCTGATCGCGGCGATGTGTCCTACACCCACAGATATTGTTCGCTCAGTCTGTTTCATGCTACAGCGACATTTATCACAAACTGCGGTTTTCTTATCCTCTATGATTTATTATATTCAAACGTGGCTTGGCCTGTTATGTACACCCTGGCTCAGATGTTGGTTCTGGTTTTATTAAACCAGCCTGGGGGGAAAAAAAAATTCCCATCTACTTATCCTCTTTCTTAATCTACACGGATGGAAATCACAACCTTTGTTCTTTGGATGTTTTGCAATTTGTTTTTCTCACAGTTCTGAAAATGAAAGAAAGCTTTCAGGAATGGAAAATTCAACACACTGATCTTGAACTTCAAACCTTAGCAGCCCTGAAAGTTTGTAAATCTGTGGTGGAATCTATTGAGTCTGTCTGTGTGGAAACTCTTCATCATTTAAAGCATCTAAGGGTCGTTTTTCATCTACTGTCTGTGGTTGTCTGCTCTTCAAACTACAGTGAAGCTGCTATTTTGATGTAAATAGAACAAACCAGACACTGTCCTCATAATTTTGGGTGGTAAAATACAACAATACAGTAACTCAGTCACCTGTAGCTGTGATTCAGAAGTTACTTAAGTTATATATTCTGTGAGGAAGTTTTGGATTCACTAACATGTCACTTAGCTTAGCACGTACATAGTTTACCTGCATTATCTCCACCCCGTTGTTCATATTTTAGTACAGCAAACAACATAAAAAGGGGTAGATGTCACACTGTTTTTGTTGTCGTCTTCGTTTTCTACTGCTTATCTGTGTACGGGTTGTGGGGGCAGCAGCTTCAGGAGGGAAGCCCAGATGACCCTCACCCCAGCCACTTCCACCAGCTCCTCCAGGGGGATTCCCAGGCGCTTCCAGGCCAGGCGAGATATATAATCCCTCCACCTGGTCCTGGGCCGGCCACAAGGTCTCCTCCCGGTGGGACATGTCACAACACTTCTAACGGGAGGCGTCCAGAAGGCATCTGAACCAGATGCCTGAGCCACCTCAGCTGACTCCTCTCGACGTGGAGGAGCAGCGGTTCTACTCTGAGCGCCTCCCGTGTCCGAGCTCCTTACCCTATCTCTAAGGTTGAGCCCAGCCACCCTGCGAAGGAAACCCATTTTGGCCGCTTGTATCTGCGATCTTGTTCTTTCGGTCATTACCCAAAGTTCATGACCATAGACGAGGATCGGTATGTAGATCGACCGGTAAATCGAGAGTCTCGCCTTACGGCTCAGCTCTTTCCTCACCACGATCCTACCTACGATCCATCCTACCTCACTCGTGAGCAAGATTCCAAGACACTTGAATTCCTCCACTTGAGGCAGGACCTCCTCTCCAAACCGGAGAAGGCAATCTACCTTTTTCTGACCCAGGACCATGGCCTCGGACTTGGAGGTGCTGATTCGCATCCCAGCCGCTTCACTCTCAGCCGCCCCAGCAAGAGCTGAAGGTCACTGCTCGACGAAGCTAGAAGAGCCACATCATCCGCAAAAAGCAGCGATATGATCTTCTGCCTGCCGAACTGGACACCCTCCACCCCCCTGCTGTGCCTAGAAATTCTGTCCATAAAGGTGACAAAGGGCAGCCCTGGCAGAATCCAACTCTCACTGGAAACGAGTTACAACACAGACCAAACTCGTGCTCCTTTGCTATTTTTGGTGTTTTTGTTTTCACTCGGCTCATCTATTAACTTCAATGTCATCCGCTCTCATTATGAAGCCGTTAGTTACCTGTTCTCACATGGAGCTAAGCTGTAAAACATGAATAATTGAACGGCTGAATAATAAAACATTCATAGAGCTTCACATGTGGTTACATGCAGGTCATTAGTCATCCAACGTTTAATCCCAGCCTGCTACAACACCGTGAGAAACAGAGCTTGTTGCCGCCTGTGGGATTAGATGGGAACCACTTTGACTCCCAAAGGAGAAACCGCAAACACAGAAATGTGCAAACTGATCATTTTCTGAATGACAGTTCACAGAAGGATGAGGAGATTTATGTGAGATTTAAAATGTAAGGAAGGGAATAGACCACCCAAATGAGAACTGTACTTTTCAGATGATATCTCAATTTTATCTGCTTGAACTGTCACGTTATATAGGCTTTTCCTGAGGTTTAGCATGTCTATAACTACTGTACTTTAAATGTCAGCACTTTCATAACACAGGGATGCAGAACAATGCCAGGAAAGATTGGGCCAGAGGAGAAAAACTAGCCTTACAGCACAGCCTGAGGGCATCACAATCAGTGTGAAGTTGGTTTAAAATCAACAAGGAACAGCATCCATTCACAAAGCTGCAGAAGTTTGAGTTTCCAGCAGAGATCTCAGTGACATTCAGAGACATTAGGGTCATAATGCATCCATAACGCACAATGTAATCCACATCTAATGGCACTGGAAGCATCATACTGCAGATTTTGTCACACTTTGACTTCCATATAAACAATGAAATCAACATGTACAGATAACAGAGCCCCCCTGATAATTCCCTGTGTCCCATCTTTCACTGACCTGCTGGTAGTTGGCGTCTTCAGGCTGGAAGGTGTTGTCAATGGGCTGAAACCTCAGGTTGATGTGAGGGAAATTGTGCAGCCAGTAGGTCCACCAGGGCTGGATATACTCCCCCCGAGCTGAAGACATCCCTACCCCGAGAAAAAAGTTCGGGCTGCGGTCTGAATTAGCCTCCTTTGACTACAGAGGGCTGCCTTTAATCCCGTGTCCTATCAGACAAAGACAATGATAAGAGCATGCTCGTGTCTGTGGAAACTGCGCTCTCAGCCACGCATCAGGGGAAAAAAACATGTGCAACAAAGTCCCGCAGACACGCCAGAGTTGTTGTAAAAGTGAAATCCGACTGAGGGTTTTCATGAAAGGTGGAGATAATCACAGTGCGCCCATGTCTCCGTGTCTGTGAGGACCCACGGCTCAGACCCGACCGACCGACAGCTGCTCCAAAACGCACACACAACACAGTCACAGGCGGGGACGCGCGGAGAGGACAAGAGTGGGGAGACGGGAGCGCGCAAATAAAGGCCGCTGAGGAGTTCGTAGAGATCTGCTTTTCTGTTTGAGAGCACACTGAATGAAAAATACACCATATACTTAGAGTTTGTGTAAAATAGTTTCTTAAATGGAAATGAATGGAGCGTTTTTACAGTTGTTTTAACGGTGTCAGCGACCGCACTGCCATCTAGTGGCCAAATTGGACAATTACAACAAATTACAACAGCTACAGGAGAATTCCAACAGTTTATACTTAAAATAAATCAGGATTTTTGATCTCCATTGACATTATGTGCCAGAATAAGTTATAAATTTGTGATCATACAAGTAAAATCAGAACATAAACACCCTGATAGGCCTCCCTCTTCCTCTCAATTCCAACACTAATGTCTATTTTAATAATAATAAACTTTATTTCTAATGTAGTTTTCATACAGAAGATGCAGCACAAAATGCTTTACAGGTTAAAAACACCCCATCACACACAGATAACGCAATCTTAAAAACATGTGGCTGAGTACAGAGGAGCCAGGTCAGGAGTCCAACTGCACTGGAGGCTGCTCACGGTCCAGGGTCAGGACACCTCCACTCGGGAGCGCAACCAGCTAGAGGCCCCAGGTAAGGGGCCCACAGCAGCAAGCACCACTGTAGACCACCACCTGGCCGAGCTGAGAGCACACCACAAGGCAGAGAAATCCCAGACAGAGCCAGTCACAGCCTCCAGTGCAGGTGGCCCCCACTGAGGAAACACTGGAGGAACAGAATAAAAACATAAACTACATCGGCTAAAAACACCAAACTAAGTAAGATTACCAAATACCGATAAATAGCTAAAATGTCATTTAAAAATAAGTAAATAAATACAGTAAATATAACATGTAAAATGAGGACTAAGATACATAAATGAAATAACAGTAAGATAAGAGTACAGATTAAAAATAAGACATTAGTCGGTGTGAAGTTTTCACTTCTGTTTGGTAGAGCTTGATTTTAGAGATACTCCTGTAATAAATTAACATACTGATTTGAATCTTTTAATGTATTAAGCTTTATGAAGACAGTTTGAGACCAAACTAGCTCAGAATATTCACTTTTAGTCTATGGACAAATAAATCAATCCATGTTCAAGGCTCACTCCCACACTAAAATTAAACCCTTTATGTAAACTGATGAAAAAGCAGAGTTATTCTCGGGTATTTTATCACCACAGATGTAGTTTTGCCTCACATATGATAATCTGAGATATGGCGCTAGAAATATTCTGTTTTAACATCCAGACTCAAGGTCTCACTCCCACAAGGCCTCCAACACTTTAATAAGGTGGAATATCTAAACAAACAACACATGTTTGCATCGCGGCAGTGGAATAAAAGAGGACACAAACTCCAGACAAACTTCTGTTTTCCAATTTTTATTACAATAATCTGTACATCACGGATTTACTTGAGCTCCTTCACAGCCAGACCTGGAAAACAAAAAGACAGCAGATCAGAAAATGTTCAGTGTCATTTAAAATAACAGCAGGAAAGAGCAGATGAGACCAAATTCACTTGAGAGGGAGTGTTAGGAAGCTCATTCTCCTAATGTCGAGTCAAGGCTTTCAAGTTTAACCCTAAAATGATTTTTCACAAACTAATTCGACCGCCCGGCTCCTGAAGGTCTGCGCTAAAAAGCACTCTGTCGATGCCGCCACGGAGAACTCATTTGCATATTGTTAGCATCATTTGACGTCCCAGACTCAAAGCTAATGTACTTTTTCTACATTAAAAGGATTCAGAACAACCAAATCCATAAGTTCTTCACTAAAAAGCACTTCTATATGCAGTTTAAGTCGACTGATCTGCATAAATAGACTATTTTTAGCACAGTGAGATGGTCTCATTAAACCGAGACGCACATTTACTTCAAAACCTTTTGTCATCATATATGTATGAACAGAAACACAAAGAGGAGGAAATCTTGAAAAACATCCTTGACGACTCGCATCACAAGAGCTCAGATGGTTCTCACTGAATAAGGACAGAGTACAGCGGATAATAAACTCATGTTGACACCAGTATGGTTAAAGAAGCTTGATCACACCTTTACTGTTTTAATTCTACTCGAGCCATCAACAGTTTTAATCTGATTTAAGGGCTGATTTGCCAAATTTCATGTCTGTCACTAACAGTTAACTACAGTCAGGTTAAAGTCTGTCTCTGTAAAGCCCACAGAGCCTTTCAGCGACTCGGAGCCTCTACACATTTCGCTTTAGGGCAAATCTCATTTGGTTTACGGGCGTGTTTAAACCTTGTATCATTACGTACTGCATGTCCTAATCTTTATGCTGTTAATACGACTTCTCAATCAGTGTACTTCATTCTTTCAGCACTTCTAGGCTGATGTGAGGCTATTTTCTGATCATCCTGGCTGATAATCTGAGCTGGAATCTGGTCGACTATCTGCATCTGCGTCTTATTTTAATGATTCTGGATATAATTAATTGATTGAAAATGTGATAATACAACAATTCTGCTCTGAATAAACAGTGATGTTAGGGGACCGGTGGAACTGAAGTTTCGGATTAGAAGCAAAACCCAGCACTTGGTCCATCATTATTCTTGCAAGACTGTGATGCATAACGAGCACAGCAGCCTGAGATGCTTGGACGTCTTGCTGGAGGTGTTGGCATGCTGCATGTCTGAGCTGGTACGAGGTCCCACATGAGAAACTTGAAGAATTTGTCTACTTTACAAGAGCTCATTTTTAACACATATTTGAAGGCCAAATCTTCCACTTACAATAAGTCGCATAACTCTGTTTAATTTGCACAAACACAGGCTGTTAAACACATCTACTTAAAAAAAAAAAAGTGCTCCTTTACATCCATTTTCACTCTGTTCTAACTATTTCCTCCTTATAACTACTGCTACTTTTTTAAAATTAAGACGTCTGAGCACATGTACTGCTGGTTATTACAAACATGGACTGTCAAAGGTCGACAGTTTTCACAGACTAAACCCCACTTAAATGCTGTTGTACATATTCATCTACAGTTAATTGTAATTAATTAGCCTGGCTATTTAATCCACGTCCAAAACTGAAGCAGATCAACAACTCAAAGTGGGTATATTGGTCCTGAGAAACCAGCATCAGTCAGCCCTTGTATTCTCATGTTTAGTTCTTTTTATTGGATTCTGACCTGAGGCTTCATAATCCTCATGGGACCAAAGATTTTCTGGCTAAATGCGAAAACACCTCAGCAGCACAGTCAGGAGTTGTTCTGTCCCCCCCCCCCCGAGGACTGAATAATTTCTGCCCCTTCAGGACTCTTCAAACTTTAAAAAACAGCCCAGTTTCTTTTCCTAACAACAGTTTCTCCTCCTGTTTCTCACAGTTAAACACGTATTATATTACGACTGCATCTGCATCTTCCCAGCGTTGTATAAATGAGAGGAAAAACAGCTGTATTCTCACAGGCTCGACTCCTTCTGTTTGAGCCCAAAGGTTCCTTTTTAGGTGTACTACATCTACTAAACGGTTTTATAGTGATCACACTGAAAGAATTCACCCACAGAAACCCACTTTAATCCACTACTTTCCCCCACAAGTGTCTTAGATAAACCCAAAGAAGAACATCGACCTCTCAACAAGACTGCAGCATGTCTGAATCCTGTTGTGTTTACTTCAGACCACCAAACTGACCTGGGGGCAGGGACTGCTTGAGCTTCTCAGCCTTCTCCTTGTCTGTGATGACCAGGGTGTACAGGTACCTGCTGCAGCGCACCTTGAACTTAACATTGTCCTTGTTCTTCTTGATCTTTACGGCTGGGGAAAGAGACACGACAAATCAGATTTAATTTACAGCTTTAGTAACTTCTGATTTAGTGATTTAAACTTCATAAAGTCAAAGACATGTAGATCTAGAAGGTAAAAGATTGAAGACCCTGTGTTTTTCACTTTGAAAAGAACTGTTATCAGGGCTCGACAGTGCGACCGTTTCACTCGCATTTACAACTAAAAATAGATGTGTCCAAATTGTAAAATGTATTTAGAGGTGACAAATATTTTTTCATTTAAATACCGCAATGAAGTTAGTTTGAGGTTGGATATTTGACGGACATTCACTGAGGATCTACCATTATCTTCGCACGCTCCATAACCAAAAATAGCGACAGCAGCATGGTTAAATCTACTCAGCACCCTTGCTGACAACATCGGGTGTTGAATAAGGCAGAGGTCCCCAACCACCGGGCCCTGGACCGGTCCGTGGATCAATTAGTACCCAGCAAAAAAAATAATGATCAAATATTTTTTTTTCCCATTTCATCTGTCCTCCCAATATCTTATTTTGAAAGACCACCACTTCTGCCATCACCTCACTTTCGCGCTTGACTCTTCGGCACGTCATTTTCCTGCATCAGCAACACAAGCTAGCCCTCGCAAAAATGAGCCAGAAGCATGGTTACATACTACGTACTGATTAAGGTTTTTGTGATTGGAACCGTAACGCCCCTACCCGGTCCTTGGAAACAGTTTCGTGCATGAAAATTGTCCCTGGTACAAAAAAAGGTTGAGGACCACTGGACTAAGGGACCATCAATGAATTGCTGGTTGATGTTCTCAGAAAAGGCTGTTTTCCCTTAATAGCTTCCATGTCATGTGATCAACTGACCTAAAATTGATTAATAAGACACAGTATTTGATAAATTTTCATTGTGCCTCTAAAAGTTGTTTGTGTGCTCCTTACTTTTTTAACTTAGCAGCACATGTACTCCTTGTGAAAAAAGTTAGTGTCAGGCCCTGTCAGCAACATCCGAATTGTCTAATACATGAGTGTTTACATGACAACTATTTCCGACAATATCGATCAAGTCTGGAGGTCTACTTACACTTGGCATCCTTCCTCCTGGCTGTCAGCAGGAAATCTTTGATTTCTTCAATCTTGCGAGGCTAAAAACAAACAAACCACAGAGAAATTTAATATCAAGGCCGAGTATGAGAGTCAGTCAGAGAGTTAAGAGTGAATAATCAGTGATGTTAGGGGACCGGTGGAACTGAAGTTTCGGATTAGAAGCAAAACCCAGCACTTGGTCCATCATTATTCTTGCAAGACTGTGATGCATAACGAGCACAGCAGCCTGAGATGCTTGGACGTCTTGCTGGGGGTGTTAGCATGCTGAATGTGTGAGTTGGTACGGGCTCCCAAATGATAAACTTCATAAACTTTTCTACTTAAAAGAGCTCACATCAAACATATTTATAGGCCCAATCTTCCAGTAACACTAACTCGCATAACTCTGTTTAATTTGCACAAACACGAGCTGTTAAACTCATCTATTCCAGACAGACTGGAGCAGCAGGGCCCACGCTAATGCTAACAACCCATGCTAGTCGGTTAGTTGCCCGTCGCTTCATAGTTTCACGAACACAAACAAACGTTTAACAGTTCATAATATACAAACTAAAAAGGGCCCACAGCACTATTAAAGCAGCAGGGACGGTTGTTTTACTATTTTACGTCAAAAAGTGATCCTTACCATGCTGCCGGGTTGGCGGACAGAGCGCTGGGGAAGAGCAGAGAAAGATGGTGTCAGTTTATCGGTCAAAGTAACCACAACAAAACTCTTGGAAAGCAAATTTTTATCTCATATTGAAGCCACGGATGTAAACATTTAATATTATACGGTTAAGGTGTTGTAATATGTGCTGAAAAAGAGGATGGATGGCGATTATAATCAAGATTTGTGTTTCTGTGTAAATGTGAGACTCACTCAGTCTGACAGAGAGGGGATGAAAAGGGGCGGGACTTCCGGTGAAGGTCGCAGTTATACAGCAGTACGGCAACAAAAGCGGACCAAGTTTAAGAGAGAAAAGCGTTTCTTATTTATAACATATATGGGAAGTGAAAGTCTTTAATGAGTGAGGAATAAACTCTTACCTCTATTTTATCGAGTGTGAAAAACGATGAGATGACTGATCTTATCCTTTATTGTTATAGATGACAAAAATAAAATAAAATAAAATAACATAAATTTAAAATAAAATAGAAAAATAGACAGAGCTTTGGGGTTAAATTTATTACTTCGAAAAACAAAAACTAAAATTAGCTAACAAAAATAATAAAACAAATTAAAATTACGACTCATAAAACTTTGAGTATTAATAGATGACGTAGAAAAAAACATGTTTTGGCTAACAAAAATAACAAAACAATAAAATACAATTCAGAATGGAAGAAATTACATGATATGAAATAGAATAAACACAAGACACACAATAAGGCTTTGGGTTTAGATGGCATAACCCAATGGGACCATTGTCTGAATTTCCATTTTCAGCAAACCAAATAATTAATATATATATATATATATATATATATATATATATATATATATATATATATATATATATATAAATAATTTACAAATTACAAGAAATATTCACAAGCGAAAAGAGATAGTTACAAAGTGAACGAGCTATGCAGTAAAAATTAATAATGGTGTATGAATGCTGTAAGATAACTTATTTCTGTCTAAATACAGCTAAATATCCGTTTAAAAAGTAATGCAAAACTTTTTTTAAGTGCCAAAATGCTGTCTCAGTACAAGCAAGTGGCATAAAATCGAAGTAACGCCATCTACTGGGCTAGTGGTGGAAAATGGGCATAAAGCGACAGAATTAAAGAACAAGTCTGAAAGGCAACCCTGTTTGATTCGCTCATTGTCAAATTCTGCATTCGTGTTACCTTAGAAGTCAGATGTCGGAACTGAAAACGACGTAACACCGAATTACCAGCGTTTCAGTTACCAAGTTGGAGAAAAAAAGCAAATTCGGAGGCGGAAACAAGATGGCTACATCTACGAAAGATATTTTTGTGCTTGCTTTGTCCGAATATAAGAGAAGCGCTACAATAACCTTAGTAGATTTAGCCATCTTGTTTCCACCTCCGATTTTGCTTTTTTCCGACTTGGTACCTGAAATGCTGGTAACTCGGTTGTGACCATAGACATTATACACGTGGACCCCTCATTACGTGCTGGAGCGTAATCCAGCGTCACTGCCATATTGGATGGGTCTCCCCACTCCAAGCTCGCTCAAGAGCCAAACGGGGTCAATGGAGAACCAGCTACTATGCCCATATTTTTGCACTCTATGGCTGAAAAAACTGACGCAGTATTGAAATCAGATCACATTGGATAACATTTCACAAATAAGATTGAAAAATAAATTTGGTTATTTTTGATGACTGACCTTGTCCTGTATTATGGCTACATCCCTGCCGTTTGTAACCAACCAAACAGTGTGAAAATCGGGCCAAGATTCAGAGAGTTATCATTAATATGGTTGGGCATTCCTACCTTAATTAATGGACTAGAGGCGCATGGGGGAACCATCCAAAACGGTCAGCCGCGCTGATACGTGATCTCCAATAGGCAACGTCTCATTTTCAGCTCGGAAATCTGACTTCCGAGGTAACTCGAGCGCACCAACAGAATCGTTCCAAGGAATCGAATCGTTCGCGGGCGCAGTTCAAACGGGATTAACGTTCGACGGTTAAAACAATTGTGTTCGTCCTGTGGTCGACCCGAAAAGTAACACAAACCATATTTATGTATTATGGCTACATCCCTGCCGTTTGTAACTAACGAAACAGTGTGAAAATTGGGCAAAGATTCAGAGAGTTATTATTAATATGGTTGGGCATTCCTACCTACTTTAATGGACGACTATAGGCAACGTCGCACTTTGAGGCGTCGACATATGTCTCATTTTCAGCTCGGAAATCTGACTTCCGAGGCAACTCGAACGCGCCATGAGAAACGTTCCAAGGAATCGAATCGTTCGCGGGCGCAGTTTAAACGGGATTAACGTTCGGCGGTTAAAACAATTCTGTTTGTCCTGTCGTTGACCCGAAAAGTAACGCAAACCGATAAAACCAAGTGTTTTTGGAAAAATAACCACACTGACAGTGACTGTGTGGTTCTGACTCACTTTTAAAGAAGTTAAAAGGTAATTTCAAGAAGGCTACAGGTGCGATTTAGAGTCTTTCGATACCTGTTAAGGCCTGATGGACGCTGCTGTGCGGTTGTGGAGGAAGACATTTCAAAAGTGGAGACAAACTGGACTCGGAGGAGGTGAAGAAACAAACTTTTTGGATATTAACTACAGCAGATCTTCTACAATGGCCGGATTGGACTCAAACTCCGGCTGCTGGCTGAAGACATCAACAGTAAGTGTTTTATATCTTTTATTTCCAAACTGTCCTGGTTGTTCGTCGCTGTGTGGACCGCCGTGTCTGCTTCGCTCCTGTATGAACACTGCTTGAACACTTTCCTGATTTCAATGTATGACTGACTTTGTTTGGACTTGCTGTATTGCTCTGGTGATTAATTAGCCTCCTGTTGATTAGTTTTGGAGGGAAAATCATGGTGCAGTGATTAAACTAACCACTTTTATGCAGCTTGAGCATTTTGTGTGGTAGCTGTTGATGTTCCTGGATTGTTTGTTGACTTTTTGACTCTATATGTGACCTACTTCATGCACTTTTGAGTGGCTAGGGTTGCCAAAAGAGTTTATTGGCAGTGCTTGCTCAGTTTTCTACCCAAACAGAGGTATGACCTGTTTAATTCTGCAGTATCTTGAGTATGAAGGCCTTAGTCTATCTACTTTAAATTTGTCTAACTACCTGTCTCTCTATGCTGCATTTCCACCTTCCACATGTGCGAACAATTCACAGCCATTACATCTCATTGTAGAAAAATACCTTGGAGCCAAAGAAAGAAAGATGTGGCCTAGATAGATTGATTTAATCAGTCTATCTGCACATTTATATATAGAAGATAAAGCACGTTTGTGTGGGCGGTTTTAATTTTTCAGCTGCCACTCTGCAAATCGGACCATGTGCAAATTAATATGTAAAGCTACACCATGTGGTTTATGAATCCAGTGTCGAATAATGCAAATGTTATATTTAAAACTTGTAGTTTTGTTAAAGAGCAAGAGGGAGTTACCTGGGAACATTCCCTCTATCCAAACTTCGCAGGGTGTTCCAATTGAGCTTGTATCTTTGTATAAATATCTGGGTTTTTTTGTTGATCGCAAACTTTGTCATGAAATTTTTGTTTTAAAAGTATTAATGAGGGTATTTTCAGATGCACATGTAGGAGTGGAAGTCCCTCTGTAAACTTTGTGAATGCCACTCGTCTTTGCTGCTCCAACACTCCCATTTAAAACCTCATTTGTCTGTGAAACTACTGTAATAGTGGAATCAGACAAGCTTTAAACCCAGAGGCCTCATTTCTTACCTTCAGGATTGCCTCACTGTGTGTTTCACTTCGATTTCTTTACCCCTCACTACCTGTAAGTTATGGATCCTCAAACAGCTTAAAAGATTTGCCGGAGACACCTCTGAGACTGCACGCGGTACAAAGATATACCTGCTGACTTATGAGTTCAATTATCTTTTTACAGTGCAGACAGATAAATCCAGAAGGAGCCTGAATAATAGGACTTTAAGTATATAAATGGTTCACGCTGAAGGAATTTCCATCTATTATCCTCCGAAAGTGACAAAAATAATTCAACAACAGCAGAAGAAAGTTAATGGGACTCTCCTGCTGTGTCATGAATTTATGCTCCGTGGCTTTGTTATACATTTGTTTTTCTTTTTTCTAATTTCAAAGATGTATTGCACGTATAATTTTATGAAGGAGAAGATGCTGTTTTCGCTCTGTGAACGACAACACGCCCGCTGATTGACTTTGTTATTTATAGACTTTTCTCCTAAAAGTGAGCTCCCCATTAATCTGACGTCTTTTCAAGTTTTAAAGTCGACCGTCTCCGTCAATAATTCACTCCAGGAGCGCCGTGTGAGTGCCGCATATTCGGCTGTCAAAGTTTGACTGACACCACGGTCCACACCTTGACACAGCATTAATTCCTAAAGACGGGAAACAGCAGATCATTGGTTTTTTAATTAACCTCCCATCCACCCGTCTGCCCGCGTCCACGAGGCGGCCACCCCCAGATACTCAATCAGCGCTCGGGCTGTCGGACACGTTTCACTCTGGATTTAAAAAATTCAACAGTGTCGTGTCAATCAGAGAAAGAGAGAGAAAGAAGGAGAGTGGTTCATTAACGGTTTCAAGATTTTTACATTCATCGCACACAAAGTGAAATATTCTAAGACGGATTTTATTTGAGTCTTCGTGATTATGGTTCACAGCTCATGAAAATTAAAAAACCACCTCCTCAAAACTTACAAATATTTGAAAATACTGATCTAAGGAAAGGATTTATGAGACAGAAAGGTCGACCTTCTGATCATTTATGCTCTCAGAACTTGGCAGAGGCTCCTTTTGCATGAATTACAGCATCAGTCTGTCTGCTGAGGTGTTATGAAGTCCAGGTCTCTTCGATAGCTTCTTTAGCTTGACTGAGTTGTTGGCTCTGGTGTCTCATTTTTCTCTTGACGATCCCCGGAGATCCTGTGTTGGGGTCAAGGTCGGACCAGTTGGTGGAACAATCAAGTCAAGGTCAGCAAGTTTCTGGTAGTTCTTGCGCTGTAGAAGTGCAGATGAAGCATAAGTGCTCTAAAATCTACTTGTAGACTTTAGACTGCGTTGATTTTGGTCTTGGTAAGACACAGTAGAGCGACACCATGACACCTAAAATCATCACAGAGTTTGAACACCGTAGATTCTGGGTCTCTCTGATCCTCCTCCAAACTCTGAAGACGTTTAACCCTTAGAACTCCCAGCTATATTTTACTATTTTTGGTCCGCCTGTATGTAGCAACTCTATCTACACATCTTTTTTTTTTTTCAGGACAACCTCAGCTGACAGTTTATGGTGCAAAAATTATGTAAAATGAAGTTGACAGTAGATTCAGAGCCATCAAAGTCAACCAAAAAACAAAAATGGAAATTGATACCAACAGTACTTTGCTCAAAAAACACATAAATCTACAGTGACCAAGCCTTTTCCCACCTGCACATCATTCTCTCAAGTCTTGGCTATCAGGAGAAGAAATATAGGGATTCTAACAAACACACAACAGAAACTATTGACATATTTACACTAATTCTTCCAGGTGTTTTTGTGATTTACAGTTTTTTATGCCACTCCTTAAAGTAGTTCCTGTCAGAGGGCCACATCATACTGCTCATAATCTCTTCTTTGCTTGTTTCCAAACATTAAGGACCATTATTTCTTATTTTGCAGACAAGCAGGGAACTTTCTTGTCTCTTGTTGATCTTTGGTTGCCTCTTATTGGACACTACCGTCAAAGGGAAGAATATGAGACTGTGTAATTGGTCGAAAGTTTGACAGAAAAAGACGTCATCAAAACAGCTTGTCAGTCATTAGTGGCATTTAGTGATAGCAACCTTTTTTTATCACAACATTATGATAAATAATCATGTTTTCATTGAGGATGTAGCATCAAATGTCTCTGATCAAACACCTGTTTTTGTGGCTGGATTGTAAACCTTGTTGCAGGCGTAGAAATGCCCGGAAACCCTTGATAGATCGTCAAAAGGGTAAACTTTTGAACACTTTTCATCCCATAGAGATACACGGTATATTTCCTGAGAAACTGTAAACAATATTAATGGTGTCACGTGGGATCGCCGGCAAACTTGTGTTGATAAACGGTCATCTGAAAACAGGACTTTGGACCACCGACCAATAGTCCAGGTCAGACTCTGATAATGTTTCTGGTCCAGGAGTGTCTGACAGCGGGATCTTGACACTTGCGGCCTGTTTCCTGGACTCGTCTGTGTGAAGTGGCTCTCGATGCTCAGACTCCGGCCTCAGTCCACTCCTGGTGAAGCTTCTTTAGGTTCTTGAATCTGCTTTTTTTGACAGTCCTCTCGCAGCTGAGGTCTTCCCTGTTGCTTGGTCACACTTTATCCCTTCAAAACAACAGATCACAGATATTTAGTGATTTAAATCTATAATTCAAACCTTTTCTGACTATGAATCAAAGCCAGAATCTCTTCCACATTTAGTAACCATGCAGAGTTGAAGCTCAGCCTCTTCCACCCAAACAAATGACCATGATCCCTTTAACTTAATCCCCTCTGCCTTCCGGATCATCTCTTACTCCATTTGCTTACACAGTAACAAACATGATCCCCTGAGCCTCAGTTTGGCTCTGAGATTATTTCAGACTGCTGCAGTTCCTCTCTTTTACCAGTAGAGGGCAGTGAGGAGCTGCAGAAGAGGGATTGAGGTGTGTTTCCACCTCAGAGTGACAATGGGAGACGCTGTGTATCAAGGAATGGACTCTACACTGTGAGAGGGAGTGATCACAGGACTGTATGTAATTCATTTTGTATTTTTATTTCATAAAAATAAGTTTTTTTTTATTGTATCGCAGTAGAAATAGATTTCATACTCCTCCTCACATCCTTTGTATCATAGATTACTACCTCAAAACTCTGGTTTTCGATCCATCTCTCCATCAGGGTCTGATTCTTTTCTGTGAACTCTTTGAATTTCTGACCTCCTCTCTTTACCTCTCTCTCTTTTTTCATACATTCACTCTTAAAAATGACTTTTTCTCGCCCAGAAATGATGGATTCAAGAAACCTGCTCGGGGCTACTGTTAATTTATTTACACAGCAGAGTTTCTGGACATACCTGATATTAAAGTAAACACCTCAAATCTCAACCCGCCCCTCTCTCTTCTTTGTGTAAAGGTAGTAATTGGAATAACTGCACCCTCAGGCTGAGGGATGGTCGTACTTTGTAACAGCGCACCGGCTTATTAAAAAGGAAAAAAGGGTGTAACAGGGAAAAAATGAGCTCCCTTTTATCTGTAACAGACATGTAAAGCGTGGATGATGGAATTTGAGGAGCCCTGGCAAGTAATGACACACATCATTTCTGCCTGCAGGCCTGTGTGGTCCACAGCAGCAGCAGCAGCAGCAGCAGCTCCACCTGAACGCTAATGAGTGATGCTGCAGCAGCTTCTGTTATTAATCTCAGCCGGGTCTGTGGACGAGCGGCGATGCAAGATGACCTCAAATAGGTTCTTCACCCATCGTTGTTGGGTTTAGCTCAGCTGTGGAAGAGGTTTTAGAAACATGTCCAGCTTAAATGTACTGTAAAAAACCTGAGTGACTGGAAAGATCATCTGCAACCATAATGTATAAAGTCACCTCTGTTATGAAGTGTAAGAAGGTTTAACCTTCCTCCTGTGTTAGCTTTTACTCATGCACCCAGCATGTTAGGGGTCGGTTTTCACCTGTGTCTTAAATCAGCTGTAAATTACACTAAAAACATTTCTCTGTCATCCAATTTGGTCCTCATCTCTTGGTTATCTTGTTAGGCTTCATTATCCATGAAAATATTACTTATAATAGTTTTTGTTGTGGTCCTCTGGGCCTTTCTTTGTCAGTATACCCCTCATACAGACAACTATACTGAATTGATCTTACATGTCTGGACATGCCAGATGTTGTTTTTCAGATCTTTTAGATGTACTGAATCACTAGAATCAGTTCACTTAAAAGATTCGTTCGAAAGATTCGATCATCCAATCACATGATCATTCAGTGGTTGGGGGGAGGAGCCTGTGACAATGATAGGATGCTGTGGGTTTTATCTACTACTTGTTACATGCTGTGTCCGACTGTATGCAAGTTGTTGTGGGGGCAGTTTAGCAGTAAAAAATTTTAAAAAGTTAGTTCTGTCCTACAACAATGATTCCAGAGAGTGCAGGTCAATGTGTGATTCCTTTACCAAGTGATTCAGGCGTCGGTGCATGTGATCCTTCGTTCACCGGCTGCTCGCCTGGCAATGCTACGTGTTATAGCATCTGCCCTGCTGACAGATCAACTGAACTGAGAAATGAACGAATCTCTTGAGGAAGTGATTTGATTCAGTATGTTCACTTAGGAGATTCAGTTCTTTTGAAGGAATCGTTAACGAACAACACAGCACTACTGACAGCGCACATATGAGTTCAGTTTTTGCTCTAATTATTAGATGTTGATCTAACCAGGTCAACAGCGACCCTAACATGACAAGTGCCATAATTTAAATAAGAGCATTTTATAATTTAGTCAATTTAATTATTTTTATGTTGTTGAAATTGAGGTTCCTGACAAAGTCATAAAGTCTTGATGCAAAAAAAGGCAAATTTTTGTGTGTTTTTTTTAAGCATTTAAAATAAAAAACGGGTCAGTACAGCTGTAACACCGGAGGAGGGTTAAAATGAGAGTATGGCATCGATACACTGTCAATGTTTTTACGTAAAGCTTAGCTAAGGTTAGCCGAGATTTCAGGCAGACTTAGTAGGTATGAGTTTATTCGATCTGTAGTTCCACGGTTAGACTGGCTGGAATGATAATTAGCTCTGTCTTAAAATTGGCAACAATAGAAAAATTATTACTTTGTCCACAGGGGGCGCCAAAGTCAACACAGACAGAGCGTTCCTCACAGGAGCTTTAAAGTTTCTCTCTTCAGTTAGGTTTAAATGAAGACAGAAACACTCAAAGTCATGTTAGTTAATTGGGTTCACCTTTGTAATAAAATGAGGAGTATATATATTTTTTTAAAAAACATGTTTTTTTTTAAAGTCACAGCACAGTTATCAAGTGTAAAAATAACCGAGGTGACAAGCTTGTTATGTCTGAAAACATCAATTAGATTTAAAGAGCTGGGCTAAATTAAAAAGATTAAAAGTTCATGTGAGAAAAAGTGAATCGGTTTTATTTTTGTTGAAACGAACATTTTTAAAGGCAAGTGTAGCAGCCCTGCTCTGTAATAATTAGACTGACTGTGTCAATGAGATTTCTTTAGTCTGAAAGAAAAGACATATGAGAAAGAAATGAAAGAGGTCGTAAGTTAATATGTTAGTCATACTGATTGAGTTTGATCTAGTTGTTATTTCAAGTTTCTGTCAGATGAAGTTTAAACAATTATTTTTACACAACTGTGTTGGACAAAAAAGCTTCAGGGTCTGATAAACTTGATAGTTATTGGGTTTCTCTCTCCTGTGTAGTGCATGAAAGGGTTTAAAATACTGATTTTCAATTGAATGACACCATGATGATGATGTCTTCAAACAGGTGAGCTGCAGCAGGAAATAAAGAGTCAAACAAGTTTAAAGAAAATCCAAACTGAACTGTAAAAATAGGACCTGTTAGATTTGCTGCATCTTTTTATTTCCATATCAGGGATTTATGATTGGTCTCTGCAGGCTGAAATTAAAGTGTTTAAAGTTAATTTATATGATAGGTGATTGGATGTCTCTTTTTGTTAATTAGATAAAATGGTTTCAATGCACTTTAAAATTATATTCTTTTAAGACTTACTCCATTATAGAGTAAGTTTTTTTATCACAGGGCTGGCTTAAGAACCGGTGTGCTGTTGCGTTAAAATTCTAACGAAATCCAAATATCATCTCATCTTCGTTATCATGAATCGTGAGTATGAATTCATGACTTTAAAGATGAACTGTTTTGAAAAGTGTTTACTTCAATATCAAAGTAGGATCAGTGAGAAACGAGGATGAAATTAAAACCCTCCAAAGTTCATCTGGATTGAAAACGTCCGCGTCATTGAAGTCGCGTTCAAGTGCAGCAATCATTAAAAATGCGAGAGGAGAGCGCTCGAGAGTCCTCTCTGCCGCGCTGCTTACTTAATCTCCCTGATTATTGATCAGATTGATTGGTCAAGTATTGATCCCTTTTCCCTGAAGCCTTATCAGGGGCGAGTTTTAAGTACATCTGCAGATGAGGGGAGATTATTAGAGAGTCTGAGGCTTTTACGCTGACAGAATCTCAATATGAATGTGTTGAAAAAAGCAGCAAAACTGTTCAGAAAGTTTACCGCAGAGCTCTGATTTTTCACCTCCAGGGCCACACAAGGGTTTATTTCGCAGACCGCAGAGTAAAAAATCATTTTGGCCGTCATTGTGACTTTAAAAAGTTGGCGTTACAAAAGCAGGATGGAGCGCTGAATAGAAGAAGAGAAGATTTGAATGCTGCATTCAGAGCTCAGGCTACAGAAGCGAAAGTCTCCTGACCATGAGCTCCTGCAGATCTTCAAGGCTGCAGAGGATGTTTTGTGACACGAAGACCAATCCCTCCTTCGCTTTTGTTTCTTTCTTTCTTCCTTTTGACAATTCTGAGACAACCTGCGAAAAAGAAATCCATGTGCCTGTCAGTCCCTCTTGGTACACCCCCCGGCCGTTTCCACTTCAGGGTCTCAGAGCTGAGACCTTGCGGCGGTAGAAGGATGTTGTGTTGTTGCCGAACTGGGACTGAAATGGTGGAAATGAAGTTTTTTCGACTTGGGAGCAGGGGGAAAATGGAAAGGGCAAACAAGGGTACGGCTGTGACACAAGTATTCTGCGTTTTATAATCATTAAACTACAATAAATCGAGACTTTTTAGCTTTTGGCGTGTTTTTAGGTATTCCGAGAGCGCTATTTTCGGTCTGTAGTGGCACTTTCACTCATCTCGGTTAAAGTATTCACTTCAAGAGACGATAACTTGAGCCTTCTGGGTCTCGTATAAGAAAAAAAAACAGTATAAATGGTGTATTATTTCAGAAATAAACAAGGCACTCGGCAGCTGGAGGCCATTTCTTACAGAGTTTTTACAAGTGAAGTGTTTTCTATTCTGTGGGAAAGAGTTAAGAGACAGAGGAGTGTGGGTATTTTTCCACACTGAGCACGGGGCGATGAAGACGCCTGGTAATTTCACATGTTCTTCTCCTCGGTGTCAAATTTCCGACCTTTTTTATCAGCCGATGCGGTATGAATATGTGACTTTTGATTGACAGCTCTATATTAGATGAATCCACTCTCTCAGTCGCGGTAACATTTTGTCCCAGCAGTGTTATTCTGTCTGGTATATCATGATCATGTCTGACTGCCCTCCAGACCACGTCTAAGACCCCCCCACACATGTCATTCTCCGCCTGTACATCCATCTATTTTCACTTGCCCCCATCCATCCATCCAGCTCGCCAGCACACACACTGACACTCACACACACCTGAGAGCCTGGGATGTCGATCGCCCCGCGCGCCCTCACTCACATTGCCCTTGCCTGCCCCCTCTCTGCACCCACGGTGTCACTTTTGGCTGACGGCAGGCTTGCGTTAGCCAGCTAACAAATTCCTGGCTTCTGTTTGCTCAGCACGGGCAGAGCTGTCGGCCGTACGCTGTGCCGGCGCTCACCTCTTTGCATCAGAGCAGCTTACACATGCAGTCATTAGGCTGACAGATTTCTCCGGTATGAGGGATGGGGTGTCTGCCAGAGATTCTGCCTGGGTACACTCAGGTTTTGCCTGTGGTTGTACGTTTAGGGGTTATGTTGTTGTTGTTTCAGGGCCACATAAGGTAACCACTGTGAATATATCTAATGCAAGACTTGTCAAATTTTTAACTACATCCAGGAGCGAGGAATAGAACTGGTGTCAAAGTTACTAAGGGATACCAAATAGGTCTCATATTGAAGTATGCATATTTTTGCAGCAGAAATAATAGAGATGTTTACAGCCTGGCTCAACAGCAGAAGCAATTATTTTTTTCACATACTACTTTTCGTTTCATGACAAGTAAGGGTGAAAGTTTTAGAGCTCATGTATACTTTTGTGCTCATTTCATCCATATTTCTGCTTTTTTGGTAGTTTGGAGACCTGCAAACCTGAAAAACTAAGCATACAGACCAGAGCTGTCACTTTAAAACAGAGACTCAAGTATTCATTCAAACTCATAATATGTAGTCACTGTGCCACAGACCATCTGGAGTAGTTTTCTGTTTGATCCAGCAGAGGGGGCTCTTGTTGTAACCTGACCATTGCATTGCACCCTTGACCTCAGTAAAATGATACAGTACTTATATTCTGCAGTAATGTGTGTATGTTATCAAAGCTGCCCTTAACAGACGGCTAGATACAGGATGTGGGGAGTTTTGAACTGGTACTGAAACCTCATAGTGAGCTCCAAAAGCAAACATAAACAGTGACTTCAGCGTAGTAACTTTTTCAGCTTGAAGGGGGGTCGGTGTGAGACCAGATGACTGACAGGAGAGTTGGTTTGACAAGACTCAAAACCAGCGGTTGACTTCACTAGTTAAAGATCACATGTTGTTATCTTGCGGGCCGAGCTTTACGCCGTGTGTCGAATAAATTCGCCAAAACCACTGTGATGAATAGCGGACCTCTTGAACGACTTCTAAATTTAATATCATCGAGACCTCATTTGATACACTTTTTTTCCCCCAAACCCCTGAGAGTAATCCAGACAAGCACCCCTGAAGTGCTATTGTACCAAAAATAGACAGTTGCTATGACGACTGTACACAAATGACCCTTTGCGGCACATACACTCCCCCCATCTCTCAAGGACGGGTTATTGGTTGAATCCCTTCCTTTTTGGAAATACTTGAAACTGGCGTGTCCACGACATGGATTGGAGTTGCTTAATCACTCTGTTCCTATCTACATAATGTCTATATCTCCTCATTAACGTCGGATCATTACTTCCTCTAATACCATGTACCTTCCAGCTGCTCTTTGTCTTTGGTAATTAGGTGATGATCTGTAGAAAAAGATATTAAGATGAATTCTGAGGGCAGTGGGCGGTATCACAGAAGAAGATTTGTCCGTTTTCAAAAGTCCTGATGATGTTGGAAAATTGCAGCGGGACACTTTGGGGAGGACAGGTCCAAGAATCTATCTCCAAACCCTCCAAAAAACACTTTATCAGTTTGTGATATTTTTCCATGCATGAGGAATTTTGCTGCTTCATTCTATTGCTTTATAAAGGTGTATTGAAATCTCTCACTTTCCACCCACCCCCCATCACAGCGCTGAATATTTATCCAATCTCTCCGCCACAATGCCGTCATGGTTCGATGAGATATTTATGATCCTAAAAAAAAAGAGAAAATGGATCTATTTATCCACTTTGACTGCAAGGGAAGACATGTAAACACATTTTTTTAGAAGAGTCACCAAGAAACTGCTCCCAGGACTGTTTAAAAAATAAGGACTGCAGCACTTTTGTCACTCCGACACTCCGTGGAAGTTTCACACCAGCGTATTTTCAGCTTTTATAATCACAGCATTTTAGAGGCGATATTAAGAATGCATTTAGAGATGGAGTATTACCTTGAAAGGCAGAGGCAGTGTCTTTTAAAGGGTGATAACTTTCCTCTTTTTTTCCATTACTGACCCAGTCTTGACCTCCACGCACCTCCATGGCAACACAAACGAGGATCGACCCGCAGACACTCCTGCACACCCCCGTGTGTTTATAGCGCCAAGTGGATATGATAGAGAGCGATTAACTTCCTCGTGAAAAGAGGAGAAAAAAAATAGAATGTCAAGCAATTTCTCGTCCAATAACTCTTGATTATAAGGGTTAAGCCTTTTGAGGCTTTTCAAGCATAAATGTCAACGACGCCTTAAACCTGCGGGGCCAGAACTTTCATACTGTCGTTGTGTGCTCGTGATGTATGACCTCCTTTTTTTTTCAGCGCTCTTCAATAAGGAGAAGCTACACCTTGTCTGCTTTATCGATCCCTTCCTGTTTTTGACTGCGAGCCTCGCCATAAACTTTGAGAAACTTTCTCCGATGCGTCATCCGCCTGTCAGCTGTACTTCTGGTTTGTCTAACATCTTCTGGAGCTACTTTCAAGCTCTCAAAAAATAAACACTGCTACGTAGCAACTCATGCATCACTAATAATGCAGCGATATTGTGATGTTTGTTGATAAAGATAAATTGACCTCAAGGTAATAGACCAAATTAGCTCTGCTTGAATGGAATTGATATGCGTTTACTGTAACAAACTTTATTTTGTAGTTTTTTTCCTGAATACACTGACACTCCATCACTCTGTTATACCCTCCTTTTTTGGCTACAGACAGTAACTGCATACCAACAGCTGCATTGGTAACCATGAGCTTGAATTCAGCATTATAACCCTGCCTCAGTCGTTGAAGACCTTAGCTTACTTTTTAAAAAACTTTTCTCCTGGACTATCACTGTGTCTCTCTGTGGTTCATCCTCCTGCTGCTGTAGTTGTGAGCGAGAGGCGCTGTCCACTGCTGTGAACATATAGAAGTCTTCTCCTAAGATATAAGACAATCCCACTTTTTTTAGCTGTAATCAAGGAAAAAGACACTTTAATAATGTCCACAAATAGATACGAGTAAGGGATTAGCTGCATGCTAGTATTACTGTGAGTCTCCACTGACGACACAGGTTAATACCAGTCATAATGTTTAAAACAACACCATCCAACAATCTCAACAAGACAAGCCCTTTAAATTATTCGTAAAACTTGATTTTTACTAGCTTGAATGACCAGATTTTACTCGAAATTTTAGTGATTTTCATATCTTTTACAGTGTTATGATTTCTTAAAGCTCCTGTGTGGATTTTTTTTTTTGTCAGCTTTGGTGCCCCCTGTGGACCAAGCTGTCTTTACTATTGTTTTCCTCTACATATGAAACAATCCTGCTCATCCTGCTGCCTTTGAACACTTAAAATCTTCATTTGTTGTGAATATTTTGCACAAGTAGGGCTTTTTCTTTACTTTCTCCCGACACCTACCCCACTCGCACCAGTTTTGAGCATTGAAAAAGACAAGATAAAAACCCATCAATCACTTAAGCGATGGTCTTATTTCCTTTTGCACATCATAAAGAACAATCAGTATGAATTTAAGTTTATTTTATTAAGGTTAAAAAACTCCCCACAGGAGCTTTAATATTTGCCTTTTTTTTCATGACCATCCTGTTTTTATTTTGCTGATCTTTTAAAAGGTCCTTTTTACTCCGATTTTAAAATGAGATCCACAACGATGGTTAAAAAGAAACAGAATGAGACGAGCTAAGGTGAAGAATACATGACTTTTGTTTGATATTCTGCTTCCCACTGAGCATTTTTTGGTCTAAAAGAAGTCTAAGCGACGACCGGACTAAAATCAGGCTTCCATAGGTCTAAAACTGAAAGTTTTTTGGATGTCTAAATTTGGACCAAGTCTGAATCTGGGCTATATACTACACTGTATGTTGCTCAACGTACTTGGAGATCAGTTATTCAACTCACAGTTGCTTTTTGAAATAAATAGTTATCAAATAATGGGTTAAAGTGTGACGTCTAGATTCTGTCAAAAAATATGCAGAATCTAGATGGTTGAAAATAGGTCCGAAAAAAAAACTAACGTCTGTTGCTCAGTGGGTTAGTTTGTCAGCCCCTGTTTTCTGGTGTCATTGCATCAAGTTGTAAAGCATTATACACATGCACACTGAACCCTTCTCTATAATAGAATGACATACATGTGCATGACTGTAGCTCCAGTCTGCTGGATGCCCTACAGCCTTAAAGTGTGACACAGAATAAAGACCGGGTCCTTCTTTTTAGTCATTCTTCAGCTGAGCCTCAGTAAAGTTACTTCAAAGCGCTCCTTTACTTTCCCTCTGTCTCTTATCAACAGTTATATGTTAAACACGCGTGCTCGCTCAAAGGTCACCTCTGCTTGCACTCTGGTTTGCCTTTATTATGCAGACAGGTGAGACACTGAGCAGTACTTGGTTCCTGCTGGAAGATGCATTAAATAGTGTTTGCCATTCACCCGTCCCCGCTTCTCTTTGTGGAACTCGCTATACAGAGCCCCTGTGACAAGTGCATGACTCCCACATGAATTATGGATCTTCCCAAGGGGCAAACACTGGGCCAAAAAGCTGTTAGGCCCTGCAGTCCCCTATGTGTGACATCCCTCACTCCATACAAATTTGCTTCCAGTCAAAACTGACAACGGTTTGTCCTTCATAACCCACAGCTAAGGTTGCACACTTCATGGTATGTAATCATTAAGGCTGAATAGTGAATAAAGTTGGAGACATTTGGTGTGACTACTTTTTGACATGCAGCTCCGGTTCAAAACGCACCGAACCAATAAAAAGTGGTGAAAACCGACTCTGACAGCAGGAAGAAAACCCATTTGACTTGCTGTTTCACTCATATTGTCTCCATGAGTGGTTCAGGTACCGACCGTGGAAACTGCTGAAACGGCAAAAAAGAATCAGTTAGTTATCCCAGAGTGTAGCAGACTTTTTACTCCTCTGAAACAGTATTTATTTGTTTGAAGAAGTCCAAACTTTCAGGAATCAATAGTTTTTGCAACTCCAAAACAAGTCCGCCAATTAAATCTGCTGATTTATAGCCAGGAAGAACAACAAGTTGAACTACAGCTTCAGATTTGAGACTGGAAAAGAAAAATGTGTTGCTGCAAAAAATAGGATAGTGACTGTAAAAGCTCATTCATGCTCGTCATACGTATGAAAATTTACATGGCTGTTTTAAATGATGGTTCTGTCACTGCCCACATACTTACATGCGTCCTTAACATTGGCATAGTTGCTAACCATTACATCCACCAGGGGGCAGGCCAGAGTCAAAAGTTTCTGACAATAATAAACAAAAAGAAAAATGGCGACTCGTGATAACGTATATTTTGCGTAGGAGACAGAAACGGAGGCGGCGTTGGAGGAGGCGGTGGTCGGTCAGGTCACTCAATGCCTCGGGGTTGGAGCACAGAGAATTTTTTTTTCTAGTAGTACCGATGAGAGAAATTCACGACGATCGTCATTTTCAGTATTGTGATAGTGTGTATCAGGTAGTGACAGCAGCGACACTGCCCCCGCCTGGCCCATACCCAGAAATACGGACGAAAAGGCAGTGAAGCACGGACAGAAAGCTCCATCCGTATCCGGATCCGTATGTAACGTTGAGCATAAATGAGCCTTTAGAGGAGCACTGAATATAACCAGTGATTCCAACATTTTCAATTTATCTCCTGGCAGGAACGGTTTTCTTGTAGAAGAGGGAAACATTCCTTGCAAATCTAGCCAATAAGAGAGGCCGATCTCTGCTCTAAGGGGTCTGGCACATGTCTTATCTGCTTGTTGACTCTGTGGCAAAATGTTATGCTGCGTTTCCACTTGTACTTGAAAGTCGGAATTTCCGAGCTCCGAGATGGAAATTCATCTGGAACGCCCCCCTGAAGTCAGATTTCTGACTCTGAAAAGTCTGACAATCCTCACCAACCTCGGCTTGACGATAACGTCATAATCCAAAATGGCAGCACATTGTAAGAGTAAAATACTGTGTTATGCGGTGTTTACTGGTGTAGCTAGGTACAACCAACAACAGCTGACAACCGCTAACAACAACTGATAATTGCTAATAACAACAGCTAACAATGGCTAACTGTAGGCGTCCATCTTGGTTTTCCGACTTGTTTACTGGAACGCTGTCAACTCTGTCGCTGTCAACTTGGCTTCTTTTGAGATTTGAGAATCATGACCGTCACAAATATCGGGGCTGTCTGAGGAAAGGAAAAGGAGAGCAACATCCTGTCCCGCAATCCATGCAACTGCAACAGAATGACATCAGTGACATCAGAATCAGGAAACCTGTTTGTGTCTAAGGCGTGTTTTGGATTTCCTCACTGCTGCTTTTAGCTGAATCCTAGACAGACTTTTTATTCTCTGAATAAACGCTACCATCCAACCGGTTAAACATCTTAAGTAAGCACTTTTAGCACTGTAGAGCAAGGCGTCTGGACTGTTCCCAAAACTTGACACTATCCCTTTAATGACTGTAAGGAACTGGCAAATACGGGGATCTAAATGTTTCCGTTGCCCACTCATCCACTCTGCCAAGTCTCTGCAAGCTGCATTTACAGATACACAAGTTTTACACTAACAGGAGCTGACACTTAAACTGGTGCCATTTTCATGCGTTTGCATTTCCTCTATTATCTCCACAATGACATGAGTGAATGAGCGTAGTATTTGTTTGTAAGAGGGGGAAATGATAGATTAGGAAAGCGGGATGAGGCAGGGGAAGCCTCTGAGCCGTGGCGATGGGATTAATTCCCTTATTAGTTACCGTCTGCAGTGACGCCAAACCGTGAAAGTCTAATACCATCTTTTTTTATGGATTTGACTCAGTTTAGATTACCTTCCTGAACATTTAGCTAAAGAATCACAACGTTTCCTTCTGTTTTTAGTCTTTTTAATGAGTGTTTCTGCTCCGCCAGAGAAGTCGTAGATGAACCTTTGAATAAAACCAGACGGACCGTGTACCTCCTTAAAAGAAACAATCGCACCCTGTGCTGTGGAGGGATCACAGAGGGGGACCAATAATCCTGATACACATTACCGTATATTTTATTGTCAGGATATTGTCACTGATGGACAAGCACATCCAGCAGGTCTCTCAAGGATACACCCACCAAGAAGTTTCTTCAATATTTCCCCAGCCTCTAAAGCTCATTTCCACACCAGCTTTTCTTCCGCTTTGTACTTCAGTGATTCAGTTTGTCTCAGAAAGTTGTTTTTAAGTCTTTTTTTGGTCGTGTAGGAAAGCCGCAGACATTTTCTCATCCTGACGAAGAAGAGAGTGTGTTTTTGGGGCTAACAGCCGCCACAGTCAGTACATTAACATAGGGCTGGGCGATATGGCCTCAAATCAATATCATGATATATTGATCAGTTCACCTCGATATGGATAAATGGAATTAATTATTCATTTTTTTTTTACACTGAGTACACCGATGTGGGCAAAATGGCGTTGGTTATTGTTGTAAATTTCGGTATCAGTAAATGTTTGGTTTATTACCCAGCCCTACAGTAACATACCAAAGCTTCACCATTTTTTCTTTAATGTCTTTACTTCTTCTGTCGTAGTTTTGTTTATTATCCTGTCTCCTAGCAACATATTGATGCTACTTAACTCTAACTCAAAGTTTGGCGTGCAAACTTAAATCTTCAGGCCAGTGTCAGTCTGATTAAGCGTTTACATGGAAGTAGGGCTGGGCGATATGGGAAAAAGTTTATCAGGCTATTTTTTTTAATATCAAGAAATATCACAATATAAAAAAAAATTAATGTGCTTATTGGAAGAATGTCTTTCGCAATACAATAAGCTCCTGCATCTGTGAGGTCTTTGTGTCTCTTCAACGTTCTGTCATAAGGCGTTGCGCTAGAGAAAGTGGACTGAATGGTCAGCTGTTTTCGGTGTAAAAGTACTATGGTTGTGTGTAGCTGCTGCCTGATACTACCCAGTTGTTTGTGACTTGGTTCTAATTCAGCACATGATTGGTTCAGCGTGAAGTGGACCTGCAGAAACTCCGCTTTTCATTGGCTACTCATATAGTCTAGCAAAACATGGCAGAATGCCGACTGTCGAAAAGCGTATTGACCATGTTTTATATTGATATTGAGGGAAATTAATTCTTCGATATATATCGTTATTGTTTTTATTGTTTCTACATGGAAGAGGAAATTAACCCCAGGTATGTCAAACCAACTGTCAGAAGTTAAAGTGCGATATAACTACAGCAAATGTAACACGAGGACGTAACAGTCAGTCTCCGCCATCTTTCTTTTGTAAAGTATAACTTTTGGGTGTTTCGTGACCTCACAGCTGTGTAAAAAGTAACACCCCCAAACTTTTATCAATAGAAAAGCAGCTCAAACAAAGAATTTCAGCTGCAGAGTGCTGAATGAGGGTTTCCATGTACATCACCATAAGATGAATAACCATATATTTTTTTGGAGTTGCAAATCATACAGAGCGTCTGTATAGATGTCCCAGAGTGATATAGTGAGGAGTGAAAATGAGTACAAAGACAAAGACGGAAGTTTCTTTATGTCTAAAGGAAAGGCGGCTTTTTCTGTGGATTTAGTGATTTCCAGGTGATTAAAAAGCCATTAGCGGCGCGGCTCTCGCAGGTAATTCACAAGGTAGTCATTCAAAACCCAGTTAGGAAACCGGGACGAGCTCCGACTGCAAAAATGACTGTTATTACTACAGATGAAGATATATCAAATTGCCCAAGTGAGAAAGCTCCCCCACAATCTCCTCTCCACGAGCCGAGTCGTCGTCATTCGGATTGATTGGCTTTCATTTCTTTTGGCATTTCTCATCAAACAGACGAATCGTAACAAAAAAAATAAAATAAAAAAATACCCCAAATTTATTTGCCGGTAAAACTAAAGAAAGATTGAATCAGAATTACTCTATTTGATTCAAGTCATATATTGTCTGTCAACGTTGAGGAGAGAAAAACAGAGCAAACAAGGTCTGGAAACATTTCCAGGAGAGCATACAGATGTTCTCAGACTGATTTCTTCCGTAAAAAGACTCTGTTATCTTTTTGCAGGAAAAATAAACACATGAAAAAACTTTCCTCCTCCTCATAGTGGGAAACTATTAAACTGGGAAACCATTATTTTGGTGTCATTCAGGGGGTGCTTATTGAATTGTACACGGTATGCTTTTCTAATGTATATTTGTACTCTACATTGACCACAAACTCCGCTCCCTATTTCGAATTATAATCACGATGTAAATCTATTTCTATTCATGGCTTATTGGCTTCCATCTTTCATTCCAAGCTCCATTATTTTTGAAGATTGCTTCTCGGTATTTGATGATGAGAGTTCAACAGCCAATCTGAGGGAGAAATCCAGCACAGGGATAGGAAGTTGTAGCAGAGAAATCAGGTAAAGTATGGACGTCATGTTTGTCTCTGCATGGATCAACATTTTCCTTTAATGTTCCCCTGCAGCCGCGGCTCGGAAAACCTCCACTCTTCATCGTATACCTCCTCCTTTTTTTTGTCTGATCTGTGATATCCCATTTGTAGCTCTATTACTTGAACACAAACGCAGCAGCAGCAGCGGCGTGTGTGATTTTTTTTTCTTTCAGGATCTTCGCTAATTGTTGAGACAAATTAAAGTATACACCTTGACAGTCTGACAAGCGAGACGTGTAAAGTATGGCCTTAATTTGCAACAACATTTCAGATCAGTCATTCTGTCAGGAAGTTTTCATCTGCCTCAGTCGACTCTAATTGGCTGAATTCTCAGAGCAATTGGAAAAGTCTATTTTTGATATCTCTGTCAAACCTCCCAGGCAGAACATTGTGTTTCTCTATTTTGTCTTGCCCAGCCGAAGATGAGGAGAGAGGAGTTAAAATTCATAAGATGTGCTTTTGTGAAGTATTTCCGAACATCCATCTTGGTGGAATTTTTCAGGGCTCTGAGGTTTACTCTGCCAAGCCTCAACTCAGCTGCCATCTTTTAAGTTTGTCTTATCCTTGTATCGCGGCCAGATTCGCACTCTGGGCATGGATGACATCTGACCTGGGAAAGAGTTGGACTCTCGGAAAGAGAAATATCAGTCAAGTGTTATTTTTAAGAGTCTCGATTCTTCTTCATATGCTTGTGAGAGAGGTCAGATTTATCGAGGATCTGTAGGTCATATCTGGGCTTCATGCCTGTAAAGAGTTTTTGTGATACACATTCAAAGCAAAAACAAAACTAGGGCAGGAAACTGTTGAGAAAAGCAAAATATTTAACTATTACAAAGGCTCTGAGAGGAGTTTTTAAATGATTTTGAAATAGTCTCACTCACTTTTATGACCTACTTAGTAAAATGAGATTATCATTAACAAGAATGGGGATCTCTTTATACGCGTCTTTGGGTCGGATTTTCCATGAGAAAACCCAGTCAAGAGTTTTCTTTCCTTTTAATACTTTTCCTTTTAAAAACTGTTTGATTCTAGTGGATCAGAGTAGTTGGAGCAAAGTGAAAGACTGAAGGGTTTCTGCTGAATTATTGATTTAGGTGGATAAACTTTATAAACCAGGGCTTCATATGCAAAGATGCAAAAAGGTTATGATCAGGATTTAATCTTGACGCCTGTGTTTGAGTGCTTCGCTGCTCTTCGAGGACTCAAGAGACCTGAGCTTCATCAAATTCAGTCTTCATCCTGGTAAAACATTTCTTCTTCTTCTTCTTCTTCTACTTCTTCTACTACTACTACTACTACTACTACTACAACTAATACTCTTTCCTTTACTACTTCTACTACTTTTTCAACTTCTACTACTTTTTTACTTCTATGACTACAACTACTACTTCTTCTTCTTCGACTTCTTCTACTGCTTCTTTTTTTTCTTCTTCATCCTCTTCTTCTTCAACTACTTTTTCTACCACTACTTCTACTACCACTACTTCTTCATCTCCTTTTTCTGCTACTTCTTCTTCGTCTTCTTTTACCTCTGCTTCTTCTTTCACCTATTGTTTCTCTTGTTCTTGTTCTTCTTCTTCTACCTCTTCCTGTACCTCTACTACTTCTTTAACTTCTTGTTCTTTCTTCTTCTTCTTCTTCTTCTTTTTCTACTCTTACCCGTTCTCCTACTTCTTCTCTTCCTCCTCCTCCTTCTTCTTCTTCTTTTTCTTCTTCTACTTCTTCTACTACTTCTTCTCCTCCTCCTCCTCCTCCTCCAATATCTCACCTTAAGGCTACCATCTTGTTCTCACTCCTGATTGAAGCTCTGTGATTTTTACTCACATTGTAAAAAACTCGAATCAAAAACTTTTTATTTTCTCGGCTGCACTATTTTATCAAATGGAAATATTCATGTTCTTCACATTCAACGCACTTCCCCTAAAAAGTGTGATCACACGTCTTTGGCGTCTTTAGAAACTTTTGGACGGGGTCTAGAATTTAAAAGCGAGTTCTGTGGGTCTTAGCGAAGCATGGGGAGCATGACTTTGTGAAGTCTGAGCCACCAGAGGGTCACTGCGGTTTAATTAAAATCTACCAAGCTTATCAGCTTATTTTAATGCCCAGTGGTGTGGTATCTTTCATTGGATCAAATGGGACTCCACAGTAGGGCCAGAAAGAAATGAGAATACAAAACAAACTGAGTGTTCCCACGGAATCAAACTTCAGTCGAACAGTTTTTTAAACTGTTTCAGTTGATGAAGTTTTCAGGTCTTTTTTTAATCACTATATTCATAATGGTTTATGGAAATCAGGGCTCCTAGGGTCCAATGTTTCTCGCCAAAAAACCTCTTAATAAGACTCTTCAAATGTTTTTATCTTTACTGCAGGGATTTTTTTTTCTTAGGTGAGATGTTGAATTTACATTTTCATTGTTGATATATAAAATAACTCCCCTGTATTTGGAGTTTAATGATCTCACACTCCTTGAAACTGTCAGCCGGTCAACCTTCAGTGTCTAAGTGTCTGCATAAGCATTCAAGCGACTGTATCTGAATCAGAGACGACTAAAATAAGCAGGTAAATTAAGATTACCATAAAGAGGGAATAGTCAGCTTACCTCAGAAATTATGCTGTTTTACACAGATGACCTTTATTTTGAAGGACTGGATTCAGTTTAATAGTCTTTCTGGAATAGCAAACCCTCCGATGTCACAAAAACAGAATTTATTGTCGGAAAGCTGCTGGTCTCACGAAG